GCGAGCTTTAGATGGCTCCACAGGGGGCGCATCTTCTACCTTCTCCTTTCCAGCTTCGTGTGAGTCTCGTAAAGCAAGAACCTCCGCGCAGATGAAAACTGCCTGCAGATTGGCTTCGGATCCTGCTGCGCTTTCGCAGTGTGTTAGGCTGTTGGGCGAGCTTACATCTTTGGCTTCGAGTAGTACGACGAAGTCGCAAGTTTTGAAGTATGAAAGAATTACCCGCTCCAGTGGGGCGGAGCCCTGGCCGGTTACTTACCGGACTATCGAGAACTTCATCGCCGTGGCCCTCGCCTCGGGCTACAAAACGTTTGACGATGATACCAGCCTGATTTTGAAGCAGGCGCGCAAGCAGGGCCAATTTTCGTTGACTGAAGTGGAGGAAGGGTTTGTTTGGTCATTGCTTGCGAGCCTTCGGCGGAAGGGTGTGTTCACTCACACCCAGAAGTCCCCGGTCTTCAGATCGCACATCTTGAAAATCCCTTGGGCAGAGGATCGGGCGCAGCTCATGCTTGCTTTTCTTTTCGGGTTGCGGAAGTCGGAAGCGGCGCAGATTAATAGAACCATCAAGATTTTGTGGGGGCAGCATTCGATCGGGTTAGACCTCCGCGGGGCAACATTGAAGTCGAACAGCACTGCTGCCATTCGTGTCCAGTGTACGTGCGCCAGCCCTTTGGGCCGTGCTTCCTGTCTTCATGCCTATCGCGGGTATCTGGACAAAGTTGTGGGGATCAATGTCGAGCGTTTGCTCGATAAGTACAAGATGGAGACTACTACTCAGTCCTTGAGGATAGGAGTGCTGCTCACGCTTCTATCGCAGCAGTGCACTACTCTGCAGGTGACTACCCGCCTTCGGTGGGGGTCGCCTGTTATGGTGCTACATTACGCACGCTGTAAAGGATTGCACGAAGTACCTAAAGAAGACACTTCGTGTCCGATCGCGCAGTAAATCTCGCGGAAAAATCTCGCTGGTCCTGCAGATTTTTGGTCCTTGATGTGCACAAATTGGCTGGCTCTCTGTGGGAAAATGCTCCGCCCTGTTCTCCGCCTCAAATTCTTGGCTCTTGTTCCTGATCTTCAAATTTAGCACTCGTTCTTACTCGCCCTTGGTCTACATTTGGGAGCAGTACTCGCGTGAGAAAATGGCTGATGGCGCGGATCGGCTTCTTCGGCTTGCCTCGGTAGGCTTTTCGTTGTAATGCTTTTGCTTGGTTGTGATTTTTCCAATTCGCACAGGGATAGTCGACAGATCCGCACTTCGGATTTGTTATTTTTCTTTCTGGCAGCACACTAGTATCTACTTTTGCTTTCTGTAGGGTTAGGCTTCTTACTACTTCTTTTGGAACACAATGCCTGACGCTTATGAAGATCCTCTCGAGCAGCAGGAGTCTCCGGCTCCTGAGGATCCCTTGCCTAAGGACCAAGATGAGAAGACGGCCGCCCTGGTAGCGGGTATGTTCACTTCCTTGTTGACGAAAGTCACCAAGGAAGCGGATGACGAGACGAAGGACCTGGAGGCCTGCCAAGCGCAGTGCGGAATTTGTGAAGATGTCGTGCTTCCGGCTAGCTCTTTTTCGGCGGTCCTGGGGTGTGTTAAGAAGCGCGGCGTCCAGTTCAAGGACGAGAAGGACACTATCGGGCTTTTGGGAGGAGTTCTACATGTGGGCAAGATGGGCATTGAGTTGGCGAACAGCCTCGGGCTCTCTTTGCTCCTGCGCTTTGGGAAACACCCGAACTGGATCGCGCACTTCAGCACCATGTGGAAGGGCGCGGGGACTCTTGTTGTGGATAGTTCGCCGCTGTTGGGCGGCCCCAAGCCCTCCTCTATCAAGGAACCGATCGACGTTTACGCGCGCCGCGTCTGGGTGTGGTTGGTGACCTGTGGGATGTCGGAGCTGCGGAGCTTGTGTGCGCCTCCCACCTCTAACAAGCACGACCCGCCTCTGAAGCGCCCGCGCTGGGAGCCGGGTGCGCAATCGGGTCCGTGCGCGTTGTTCCTGCAGTATGGCTCTTGCCATCGGGGCAGTTCGTGCCAGTTCCAGCATAAGTCGCCGGATAGTTTGGACCACATGAAGAAGATTGTTTCCTCCAAGGGTTGGCGTTTCTGCCCGGAGGAAGCTTGGAAGAAACGTGACAAGTCTACCGCTGGCGCTTCTTCTTCATCCTCTACGAAGAAGTGAGCTCGTCCCTCGTGCCGGAAATTTCTTTTCCGCTTGCGTCCGTTGTAGGATCTATTTATTTTCCCGCTTCACAAATAGGACCAGTGCTAGTTGCTGCTGCATTTTGAAAAGATTTATCTTTGGGGACCTTCAGAGGCCACAAACCTGTCACTACCTGCTCGACTCGAGATGTGTATGGTGTTCGAATTTTACCCGCAGGCCACTTTCATCTGCGGCGGTTTCTTCTTCGTTTCGGTACTGAGGTTTGTGTCGCTTTGTCATTTTATTTTTCGGTCCGTCGTCGTTGCCGGCTACGCGCTCATCGATGGGGCGCACTGGTTTCCCAAATTCAGCTACTGGCCGCCAGCGTCTCAGCGGGTTCTTTGGGATGCTTCGGCGTGCCCAGCCTCCGCCGGTGGGGTAGGTGCTCCATTTGAGCGCCTCGACGACGCAGAGGGAGATAGCTCCCATCGAGCGATCATCCATCGGGTGATCCGTCTGCGGTAACTGTATAAAATGTATGCCCGGGCAACAACAGGCTAGCGAGCCTGTGAGTCTAGGCTGGGGGTGGTCGGGCGGTATTTTATAGGTGGCTCCGCCCCCACCAGTCTCTATACGGTAGCCGGAACTTGAGAAGACTCGTCAGAACAGCCCGCCGACTTTCGGGGTGGGATTTTGTTTCGCCCACCCTCCCGCCCTTTTTGGTTTTTCGTGTACTAGGTTACTACGGATGGGTCGCTAGACCTCGCGCCGCCTGGCGTGTGCTAGGTGAGACAGAGGTTTGAAATTATCTTCCATTGCGGGGTAGGTGCTCCATCTGAGCGCCTCGACGACGCAGAGGGAGATAGCTCCCATCGAGCGATCATCCATCGGGTGATCCGTCTGCGGTAACTGTATAAAATAACAGTAGAGATATGTCAGATGTTGTAGCAAGGTCGCCAACGTTTCAATCTGACCGCCTTTTTCTTTTTGCCAGCTACCGGGCAATAAGGTGCGCGCCAAATCCGAAGCGACTGGAGGAAGCGTTTTCTGACACAAAAAATGCGAATTTTTTACCGGCTGCTTGAGCTTTGTTATTATATATACTTGTTTGTAGCTAAACAGGCTCGAGTTCGAGTATCGATCACCGAGTGAAGAAACCACGCGGGGGAGCCGACAAAAGTGGTGCCCGTTTGAGGCTTCCAGAGCCCCAGCAGTTTCTGGTGATGTTGGATCTTCAAGAAGGGCCGCTAAAAAAGCCCTAGCGAAAAAGAGCAAGCAGGCCTGCATGCTATTGGCGCTATTTTTGCCCAGATTTGAAAACTGCGAACGTGGCAACCGCGCGCGGCACTTTTTGTTGCTAGATATAGTTGTTGAAATAATGCGGGGCGACAAAACGCTTGGGCTAAGTCTTTCCGTCTTCTAATTACAAAAAGGACCGAGAAAGCGACTCACGCCAAAAAGCGAAGCTCGTCAATCCGAATGCTTCGGGGCTGATTTTGGGCCCACCATTTGGCCGCCAGGCGCGGAGGCTTAGCGCGCAGAGTCAATAGTTTTTGCGGGTTGAATACCAAAGAGCTTGCGAGTTGTGGCCGCGACTGTCGTCGACAGTCATACTGCCGGGGCTTGGGCGCACACAAAAAGCAGCAGGCTCCTTTAAGCCGGGCAGCCGCAACTGCTGGGACCGCGCAACAGGTGGCCGCCCCGGTTCCAGAATTTAGCCGCGCCCCAGGAAAAAAATCGCTCAGGCCTCACTACCGAGCTACAGGTATTCTGTGGATCGATGAAACGAGTTACCTAGAGAGAATGATGGTGAGTGATGCGAAATCCCTCATTGCTGGTTACCAGCTGCTTCCGCGTGTGACCCATGCAGAGCTGCAATGACGAAAGTCCTTTGCATAGGGCCTCGGAGGTGAAAGCCAGCACTAAGCGGCGCGTGAAAGCTGCTCTGCGCAACACGTTCTAGAGGAAAAAGGCGCGCAGTACTTACTTGCCCATTGGAAGTGCTATGATGCAAATATGCGTTATTTTGCGTGGCGGGGAACTTCGCAATTGAATCTAAGTGATCGTCCCTAGTTTGTTGTTGTTCACTCGATGAGTCAACTCTCCAAAGGTGGCGGCGACTACGGCTACTACTCTCTAGTAGCGAAAAAGCAAGTGTTTCCGGATCCGTTCCCAGGATCGGAGGACGGGAAGCAGAGCGGCAGCCTAGACACGGCGGTCGCAAATTTGTTTGCGAGTTTGGGTGACGCAGCGAGCAGCAACACTTCAACGGGCACTGTTACATCTACTACCCAGCAACAGCATGGTTCAATTTCAACCACCGGCACTGCCCGTGCGAACGCTAGTGCCCGCACGGTTGGTCTGCCGAAGGAGGGTGCGTGCGCCGGGCTTTTCACGGTACCGGGCGGGAATCAAGCCGGGTCCAGTATAATCGGAAGCGAGCTGGAGGAACTACTGGGTGCTATTGGATCGGCCCCCGCTCCGAGCGGCACCAACTCTGCGACCAGCAGCGCGCACGGCGATAACTCGAATTCCAACCACCCTCTGCTTCGCAGCACCGCTGTGACAGGGGCGGCGGTAGGGTCCAATCTACAAGACTTGGACTTCGTCTCCTGGCTAACCGCCGGGGCTTCGTCGGGGACCTCTACTACTTCCACCGACTTCACCACATGCCAGACCGCGTCCAGCGCCAAGACGTCGCAGGCCTTTCGCAGTTTGTCCGGTGGAGGCAGCTCCGCAAGCTCCTTTCTGGACCAGTTCTTGAACGGCATTGCTTCCACCTCCGGCGGGGCCAGCGGGTTTTCGGGCGCCGGCTCCGGCAGCAGTGTAAGCAGAGTAGTGGAGTCTGAGCTGGACTCGATGATGAATTGGGTTCTCGTCCGAACATGAAAACTTTTCCTACCCCAAAACCAACACGGATTTGCTTCCATTGCTGCAAAGTTTCTCATATGGAAAACACAGCACCAAGGCAAAGTTTGCGGGTAAGAATAGAGATTATTTTTACTAAGTGAGCAGGCACCTTCCGCGTAGCAAACCTGTGCACTAGGGACTCGCGCCACTTATGAACCCCTCGCGTTTTGCCCGAAGAGGAAGGGCGGACGCGTTGCGTTGTGGTGCCCAGGTGTGAAGCCGCTACGCGCCGGCCCGGTTTATCGGAGCCCGCTGAAAGCAAGGGGGGGCGTTTGCATTGCCAGCTGCCCTCCGCCGCCCCCTTCGGGGCGAAAAGCGACCGAAGCCCCACCCTGGCCGAATTGGTTGGCGCCGGCCGCACGGTTTTGGTAGTGTGCCCGCCACGCCTCCTTTGGTTTGCGCTGGTGCGGCGAAGGTGGTCGCCCGAAAAGACGGGGGAAGGAAATAGCTGCCGAGAAAGCCGCCCGGAAGGGCGCGTGGTGGCGTCTGCTAATCTCCCCGGCGCCACACGGTTGCGCCCCGAAGGGTCGGCGCCGCCAGCGACGGCGCCCCCTGTTTTTAGCATGGCGGCTGGTCGGCTGGCCGCGGGGTATCGCCCCGCGTTCCCCATTCCCGGTCCGCTTTTTTTTGGTCGGCCACCTTTTTGTTTTGCTGGCATACCCGCTCGGCTCCTGCCCCACACCCAGCCTGCCCCGCATGGGCAGCCCGGCCTGGGTTCCCTGGTCCGCGGGGCCCCTGCGCCCCCCGGCCCTCTGTTTCCGTGGGAGCGCCCGCGCGCGCGGCCGCGCCTGTTGCGTTATCGTTCCTAGCGCCACGGGCGGGGCGCCTCTCAACATGCGCCCAACCCCTTCTGCGTGGGCGCCCGGGGATTGTCCGGCGCCGGCGCATTTGCTAAGGCCAAGGCCGCCACCGCGCGGCGCCGCGCCGTCTGCCCGTGCGGCGGCTTTCGGAGGCGAAGTCGCCGGCGGGCCCAATGTCGCGCCGCCTCCTGGCGGGCTCGCGGCCCCGCCGTTTTACGGCAGCCGACCGATGGTCGGGCGGCGGGCCGCGGGGCCGGCGCGGCACTCCGGGGCCCCTTCGTCTGGCACCGGCGCCGGCCTCCCGTCCCGCCCCGGCCCCCTGGCTACGCGCGGCGCTAGCCGGGTAGCTTGGCGGCCGGGAAGGGGCTTCCTGCTTTCCCGCGCTTGTTATTTTCGCGCGCCACCCCCAGCCGGCCGCCCGCCGCCTCGGTTTGTGCTTTGCCGGCGCAATTGCCCTGCCCTGCACTCTTCTCCCCTTCCGCATTTGGCCTCGCCCTTTGCCGCACCTGCAGCCGGCCTCGCAGGCCGACCGCCGCCCGCGCCCGGTCGGCTGCCCGCCGTGCGGGCAGCCGCTGGCCCGGGCCGCGCGAGGCACCCGCTTGGCTTTGAAAGAGAAGAGCCCGCGCCCCATCGCGACGGGCCCGCCCGGGAAAAGAGGCCGCGCCCTTTGTTTCTTTCGCTTCGGTTGCCAGGAGCGCCGCCCGCGCGCCTTTTTGCCGCGACGACGCCAGCAGCGGACGGGTTCTGGCGGACCCATTTCAGCGCGCGCTTGCAGCGGAAGCGGCGCGGGGGGCTTTTTGGGTGTTGGCATGGCGGGGCGGGGTTTTAACAGGTTCCGGGCGCACCGGGCCCGGGCTTTGGCGGCCCCGGGCGCTGGGGCCTTGCGGCTAAAGCAGGGCAGTCCGAAGCCGCCGGCCCCACCGCTGCAAACCCGAAGCCGCGGCCGCCGGCGCGGCGGGCCCCTTCGCCGAAGGCACGGAAGCCGCCGGCCCCGAAGCTCGGGGGCCCCGCGCGGTAGATCGCGGCACTTGCGGCGCGCTGGCTTGGCCCGAACATAATGGCCGCGCCCGGGTCCGGATCCGGAGTCGGGTGCGTTTTGGGGAAGGCAGGTAGGGCCCTACGCCCGGGGCTGCGACCGGGGTAGCAAGGCCGAGGGGGCTCGGGCTCGGGCTGCCCGGGGGTGCCGGGGCAAGCTGGCACCATTGAAGCCCCGGCGCAGTTTCGGGGTCCGCGGTTTCTGGGTGCCTGCCCCTTTGCCTATTTCTTAAAATCTCGCACGCCCCTACCGTTCGGGGCGGCCCCGTGCGCCGGCGCCTTCTTGGCGCGAGGCGCGCACGCTTGCAAGGAGCGCGGGGCGTTTTTGGTTTCCTTGATTTTGAAGCACGTAGCGCCCGGGAATAGCTGCGCCACTTGGGAAATTGCAGGAAGCACCGGGGCGCACCCCGTTCGCGCCCCGCCGAGGGTTTTGCGGGCGCGGTTGCGCAGTGCGCGAGGCGCCAGGCTTTGCGGATGTGCCTCCGGCAATGGGGCCTGCCCCCGTCCCGGGCCGGACGCGCACGGCGCTGCGCGTAGTGGGGCAGGGCGCGGGGGCAGGGCCTCCGTTCCGCACCAGGCGCGCGCAGGGTGGCTCAGCGCACGGGCGCCCGCACGGGAGAAGAGCGCGGCACCGGGGCGGGCTGCGTCCGCCCGCCGCCCCGCAACGGGCGCGCGCGTAGTTTTTTGGCAGGCGCGCGAGCCGCCAAGCAGTGCGACCTGCCCCTCCGTGCCTGCGCACGGAATCCCAAGCGTAGCGCAGGGGCAACCAGCCCCACAACGAGCCAGCTGCGCCCTGCGGGGCTTTCGGTGGGGTAGGCGGCGAGGCGCGGCCGCACTCGCGCGAAGAAGGGGCCCCAGGGGGCGGGGCCGGGCGAACCAAGTGGGGCCGCTAGGTCCGGGGGGGAGCAGCGGCTGCCCCACCTGCGCCGGCCGGCCGGCCCGGCCCATTTTGCCTTTTGAAGGATTCGGCCGCGGGCCTCAAAATTGCCCGCGGGGCCGCCGGCCCAAAGCTTTGCCGCCTTTTCACGCCTCTCGGCACCCGGCGGCAAGAGTCCGCCCTTGGGAGATAGGGCCGCGGGCGAGTCTGCGGCCGCTTTCCCGGCGCCTATAGACTCCGCGCGGCCCGCCGCCTCCAAGGCGGCGCCCTTCATCAGCCGGCTCTTGGCGGCATTGGCGCGATGGGAGGATAGGGCCGGGCCCGCGGTGGACCTTGCCGGGGGTCCGGGGTGCTTCACTCGCAGCTTTGCCGCCCTGCCCGCCCACGGCGGAGTGCGCGGGCCTTTCGCAGCTCCGGGGCCCCGCGGCCGGTCTTGGCCCCGCCAAGGAGCCCCGCTCCCCAAACCCGGCGGCCTTCTTAGGCGGCGGCACGCGCGCGCGTTCGCACTTGCCCGGGCGGCGTGCTTGTCCGCTTCGCGTTTTCTCCTTGGTGGCATGGCGCATGCAGCAAAGCGGCAGCGCTGCTCGCGCTCCGCGGCTCCTCGGTGGGATGTGCGGGCGCCGCCGCGCGCACCCTGCGGGCCAGGGCGCCGCGCCTTTGGCCCCGCCCGCGGGCGCGCATAGATATGGCTCCGCGCCCAATGGCGCAACCTCCGCCGCGGGCGCCGCGCGCACCCCCTTCGCGGGAGGCCGCCGCGGGGACGTAGGCAAACCGAGCGGGGCCCCTCGGGGGCCCGAGGCCCAGCAGGCAAAAACGGAGAACCCAGGGTATGCGGCCGGTTGGGAAACACGCGCGGCAGCCGAAATGCAGCCCGGCCAAGTGTGCCGGCTCAAATTCGGGACGGCCGGGCAAGGGCCCCATCGCCTCCGGATCTGTTGGAGGGCCCGCAAAAAGCCGCGGCGCCATTTGCGAAGGGCGAACGGGTGGCGCGCGGGTGGCTCCCGCAATAAGCCGGGGCGCACACAGCGGCGCAGGGACACCCTGCGCAGAGGCCCTCGCGCGGGGTGCGGGGGTGCGCCTCTTGGCCGCAGGGCGATCGCGCTGCAGCGGCATTGTGCAGCGTGCGGCGCCCGCTGCAGCGCCCGCCCCTTAGTCCTGTTCTTTGCGGGGGCCCTTTTCTTTCCGGCTTCGGGCCCTTTCCAAGCCTTCGCCGGTTCTGGGGGCTTGGCAAAAAATTCGCCGAGGGCCATCGCCTAGGCGTTTGCGCACCCTTTGCGCGGCGGGGGGCCCTCGCGCGTTTCTTTGGAGGTCGCTAAGGAGGAAATCCCCAGACCATAACCGTGCGGGGGTCCACAAGAATGAGCCCGCGGCGGTAGCTGCAGCAAAGTAGCGCCGGAGGCGCGCGGCGTCATGCCGGCTTTCGAATTTCCCGAGCTGGGCCATTCATCTCGCGCCCGGAGCCGGTTGGCTTTGCAGCGCGAGCACAGTGCTGCGCTTTTGCGCCCTTTATTCCCGCGCCTTCTGTGTTGCGAAGGCGAAACGAAAACGCACACGGGAACGTGCTACAGCCCTCAGAAGGTGGCGCTGCCCTCTCCTGTCGCCAGCCGGCTGTTGCCTTTTCCTGTCGCCGGGGTGTTTGTTGCCAGGGCTCCGGCCTCTGAGTAGCACTGCCAGAAAAGTGCGCGGAAGCATTAGAATCAGTAGTGTCGCCCATGTAGAAACTGCGCGACTTTGCAAGCGATTCGAGCCTCGGGGGGCAGGCCACTTTCCAATATGAAAACTGTATTCCGAGTATAGTCGCACGGCTAGTATCCACGGCAAAAGTTGCGCCTTCGTGTGCGTACCTATTAACAAATCTTCCCGAGAGGGACGTGGAACGAGGTCACAGGGAACTCGTTCTATTTCTCAGGCGGCGTGAAAGTTTGAACAGTCTGCATGACTTGCTACGCAGTTTGTACGTAACTACCCATTTTGCAAGTAGCGACGCGCGTACCTGTGCCGTGTATCATGTCCTCCGCAATGCCCTCGACCGGTAATGGCGCTTTGGACACGAGTGCAGCTGGCGATCAGCGAGGTCTATCCTGTGCAAGAAGCACCACAAACAAAAATAATTGAAAGCAGGCACATCGTACTCCATCTGAAACTTCACACGTTCAAAGCTTCTGCGTTAGTCGTTTGCCTATCGGCGCCGGCACTTTTTTCTATTCTTCCAGGCGAAGGAATGAGTTGATCTAGGGAAGACTGCGAGCTTTTTTCCAGCGGATTTGAGTTGTTTGTAATTCGCATTCTGGCGGTGGTGACTCGCTAGCTTCTTGTAAAGAAAGAAATAATTGGCGACGAGAAGCCGCGAGCAGTAGCACTTCCTGGATCTGTGCAACGAGAAGCTGCGGAGCCAATAGAGCTGTTTGGTGTGCTGCTGTCACTGTGGCGTGCTTTTTACTCAGGATGGCGGCGCCCTGAAGGTTTCGGCAGCGTAATCCAGCATTCGGCAGCGACGTCTGCGAAGGGGTGCAGTCAGCACCGTACGTTTCAACAAAGCAATTTTGCCAATAGCGCGAGCAGTAGCCCTTTTCCCGGGGTCGGCGCCGTATTCGGCAGCAACACCCCACTTGCCGACCACTTTTTGGCGGCTACGTCACTTGGTAGTAGCACAAGCAGCGGTATCGTGATAAAAAATCTTCCATCTCATACTCGAAGCGCAATGTGTGTAGCATTACCTGCGTCGTTGAAAAAATGCGGCCTCAATGGGCGTGATTCGTCTCCGGGAAAGACGAGTGCCGTTTTACCTCGGAGTATGGGGAAAGGGATTTTTTCCTTGTGATGCGCACAGGGTCGGCCGTGGAGAACCACCTGTTTGCACCTGTGCGAGGTTATCCAGGAGAAAGCGCATCGATACCAGTACCGCACACGACACTTGCGCTCTCCTTTGTTTTGATTTGAAGTAGCTTCGTCACTTTTTGTCTGTTCTGTGCCTCCATTCGCCGCCCGCGTTTACGCCCGCGCGACGTGCCCCAAATAACCAAGTAGCCATATTGATAATTCCAGCGAAGCGCGATCATTTTTGAGGCGCTTGGAGTTTCGCGACGCTTTTCTTTTTGCGGGGCTTTGTTAGATAAGCCCACGTGTTCAGGCAGTCAGATAGAACCCACAGCGAGGATGCCACTTTGTATAGGTGTGGAATGCTTGCCCGGCAAAAAGTACCGTCGCCGATCAAGCGGCTGTATTGCAGTGGCTTTTGCCTTTCGCGCGGCCGTTCTGCGTGCCGATATCGGCGGCGCCACTATTTATCGGCGCGGGCAACGCGTTTGGCAACGCACCACGCAAGCTGACCAAAAGCCGGGAACGGTTAGGCAAGCTAGCCGCGTGCCCATTAGTTTGCTGATGGTCATGATCACGGGGGCGCAGCCCTCTATGCCACGGGTGCGGGATGTTCCTTCGGCAAACGCGCCCCCAATTCTATGCAATTACTGGCGCCAGACAAGTAGTGGGGCGCCTTGCTACCACTTACGCCAGACGCGAGTGTGGTGCAGGATGCGGCTGGGGAAAATGCCCGGCACTGGGCGAAGCGGGGGCCACGCCCGTAGTGCTAAAAAACTAGCAGAGGCGAGAACAAACTACCCACCTCGGCGAGGGCGATAGCTTGGGCGCGAGTCGTGGCGACTTAGATAGCAAGGCGAACGACCCAGGACGCAGCCGCCCTGGGAGTGAGCTTCGTGGGGCTCCCGTTAAGGGCCGCCGTCCCGCGGCGAATCTGAGTGGCCATTGACCCCTTCAGCCGCCAATGGTCCACCCGCGTGCGCGTCCGCGCGCCCCCTGCGATGCCGGCGACGATGCGACGTATCCCCTATCGGCGTAACTGGCAGCGCCAGCGCCGTCTGCGAGTTAGTATAGCACGCCGAAGCACTCCTGTGCCATCGCGCCAGTTCCAGACAGCACACGCAAAAAGAAAGAAGCGCGCCGCACGGGATCACCGACCGGCAGACGGGGGGGCGGCGGGGCCCGGCGGCGCTGCCTCGAACCGCCCAACATTGCAGCAGGCCGCGAAGTCGGGCCAGCAGATGCGGAGTCACCGGGGCCCGGCGGATCCACATGGGGTGCAGGCCGGTCCGGTAGCTGCGGAGGAGCGGCGACTCTGCTTCGACCGGCCCGGCTTTGCAACTGCAATTCAGGCCGGCAGGCGTGGGGCCGGAAAGCTCCAAGGTGATTCGGAGAATTAGACCTAGAGCGAAGCTCACAGCTGAATCTGAAACTCCGGCGCGAGGCTGACTCTGGAACTCTAAGTGACGGCTGAGCTGTTTAATCCATGGCAGTTGGTCACAAGGATAAGACTTACACACGGACGCCCGACCTTGACCTTAAGCCTTCGCACTACACATATGCTCTGGATCATGGTATGGGTGTGCTTTTCGCTTAGATGGAGGTGTGGGCGGTGGGTGCGGGTCGGTGCAGGGCGGGGGCACGAATCGAGGCAGCCACCGCAGCAGCGCAGGACCACTCGGACAAGGGGGATCTTTATCGGATCCGAATGCAGTAAATGTGTTATCACGAGGAGAAGTGCCGCCTTGATGTCAGAAGCAGGCTGCTTGCGCCGCTGCATTTGTGGCCATAAATGGTTTTGCATTGTATGTGGGAAAACGGGAGCTGTGCCGCAGAGTGCTGTCAGGCCCATGTTGATAAGCCGACGCGACAGCTAGACTGATAAAACTAGTACTTGGGTGGCGATCTTTTCGCGGTTCAGTTTTGGGTGCCAAGATGAATTGCGGTGGCTACAAATCGCGCATTACAGCTCTACCCCTGAGTATTTGGCTCCGGCTTTTTTCATCCGTGCGATAGGCGTTTTCGGATTTCGGGCAGCCGAGCACAGCGAGTTCCTCCGCCACTGGTCCGCTCTGCAACGGACCTGCGTATGGTTGTCACCGCGCCCGGGGAGACCCCGGAACTTTTTCGCACCGCCGCGACCTACCAGAGTGAACAATACCAGCAAGAACCTCATCAGTCGAGGAAGGCTTTACAGCGTGATTTGTGTGTGTGTGTAGCAACTGGTCCAGCATACGAGTGGAAATCCGCAAGAGCAAAACCGGAAAAGTTGGACCTGCGGATCGGATTATCCAGTAAACCTTTCTCAAGTAAACGCTGGCCGATGTGAGTCAGGGTGCGTCACAAGCACTCAATTCATTCGCTCACACTACTTAAGCGGGCCGCCATTTGGCAGATTTGTTGCGAACTTAGTATACCGAAGAAGGTGGTGTTTTTCTGCCTTGATGCGAGACACGTGAACGCAAATCACGCGAGTGAGGTCTTTTCGAGTGCGTGGGGACGGAGGGATCGATTTTCTTTTCGATACAACCACCAGCGTCCCTACGAGCGGACCATCTGCCGGCTCGATCCGCGCACGCTAGCCGCACCGACGGGCGGTCTATCGCAAGATGAAACATACCCACCCCAGAGCCGTCACGCACTTCTTGCATGTGCCGCAAGTATTTGATGAGGCACGTAACTCGCGCAGACATGACAAAAAGGCGCGCAATACTTTGGGAAAAACTGCGATACAGAAAAAAACTTGAAACTTTGAAGATCCGTTGAGACTAGCACTCTTGGAAGCAGGGCTGCAATGGGATTCGCAGTCAAGTATATGCCGCACCGGGCAGCTGCAGCAGGTAAGTAGGTGGCCGAGGTTGTGAAAGAGCTTGCGACCCGGCTGCAGCGACAACGGGCGTGGAAGGTCCTGCTTCAGATTCCGCAACCACTGCGCGTCTCCCGCGTTTCGGATCTTTCCCGGGCGCCCTTCCAGTTTTACTGTTTTAGTGCGCTGCATTGATTTTCCCATGTGGCTAACTAGGCACTAAGCAAGGGCGTGGGTGCAACTATTTTAGAACCCAGCGCGTGGTGATTTGGGCTAGGCTGACGAGGAGGCTTCTGCAGCGCACTCCGGTGGGGCCTGGCCGCCTTATTGCAGCACTAAAGGCCAAGCACCTTCGCAAAAATATATCTGCTGCGTGAAGGCTACAAAAGTCCGCGCTTTTTGTGTCGAGTACCCTTCCGAGCACCTCCGCAGCTCTGCTGTGTCCGAATTCTCAAAAATCAAGGAAATACCCTGTGCATCGACCTAGCCCCAATTGTTAACATTTCTGAGGCAGCAGAGCAGAGCACTCGGGCGATCTGCCGCTTCCCAGTTTTCAAATATGCCACGCCGCATTTTTCGGAATTTGCGAAAAAGTGCGCGCTCTGCATCAGCATCGGTGCTGCGCGGTGGGATCATGTGGCAGCTGGCGCCAGATCTGACGCGGACAGAGCACGCGGGCAGCTGCTCGGGACTATTTGAGCCGGCTCCTTTAGCAAGAAGCGAGAAGCGCTGCGCCTTGGGGTTTTTCGCTAGATGCGTTGCTATAACTACTTTGGTGATGCAGGCTCGCCGGGGTTTCTGGTTCTGCTCTCTACGCTAGCTAGGTGGTTGGCTTTGTTGGTCAAAGTCCCGGCGTGCGATTCGGCCGGGAGGTGATTAGGTCGCCCAGATATACACTTGCCGCCAGCGCTTTGGTCGTCTAGGCCGCCGCCCTTCGTAGAGCCTGTTTGTGGCTAACGGCTTTGCGACCGAACCGAAAAAAACAAAACCGCAGCCGCAACACTGCCGCGGCGTGAAGCGTGTCGCAAAGTACGCCACGGCCCTTTGGCGACAAATCACAAAAGGGGCGCAGCAGGGCGCCCAGAAAACAGCACAAAGCGACAGCACTGGCGCTGCCGCGGCTTTCCAAGCCCAGCAACTACCTATGCAGGCTAGAACGAAGCGGCATGGGCGCCGAAGAATGCCGCGGGGCCGATCGGGAACGGCCGGGGGAGTTGGGTCGAACTGATTGCAAGCGCCAGGGCATTTACTTAGGCAATAGCTTGCAAATGTTCAGGGCATTCGTCTAGTTTTCGCCAGACCCGGCCTGGTTTGAGATGGTTTTCCGGGCTTCGCCTTACTGTTTTCAGGCATTCAGCTTAACCGCAAGGCAAGGAAGCGGGCCCGCCCCCTACAAATGCCCTCGATTTTGTTCGTCGGATACTGATGGGCATCTTCTCCGCGAGAAAGCCCGAGCGCCTTTAAAGTACTGGCCTCGCTGGCACAGGGAGTCGCAATTCGAAAAAGGCGCAGGAGCTCGCGCGGTGAATCAAGGGGCGCGGCCGCGCATTCTTTTCCAGCGCTCCCAAACTTGCCCTGCGCAGCTCGCTCTAAAATCGCGCGCTGTTTCCGTTTAAGTTATGGGCTAGATAGATACGAGCGGCGCTGCCCGCTGCTCTTACTTAAGTCGGCAAACATTCCGAGCACTGCGCTACTCGTCGCGCTTCTATTTGTCTCTTTACTCTTTCGCCCTGTTTCCCCCCCCCCCCGTTATCGTTTCTGCTTTGTTTGGTGCTTTGCTCTCCTGTTGCTCATTCCCTTTTCTCTTTAGGGGACAAGGCGCGGAGTTAGCGATCTCCTCCAGGGCCCCCCATGCGTAACGTTCCTCAACTCCGGCCCCGTTCGCTTTCACCTCGGCCCCCCGACCCGCAGAGCCCGCTTCCAAGTGGGACTCTTTTGCAGAAGTGAAAGGCCCCGGGCCTCGGCCGATTAGTTCTCGGAACCTTCAGAAAGGCGCTGAAGTTTCCTGGAGCCTGCTCGCAATCCGGGGCGGCGTCTATCAGTCCAAATCCCAGCGGGCAATCGACTTGCAGACCGCCCCACTCGGTCGGCCCGTGATCGAGGTCGCCGGTGAAGCTCGAGGCGTTAAACAATTCGCGAGCCTCAGCGCCGCGCGCTTTCGGTTCTCACTCGGACTATCTCGGCCCGGATCGAGGTCGCCGAAGGCCGAAAAGTTAATGAGTCCTCCGGCCTCGGACGGAAACTCTCGAGTCGGATCCAAGTCGGCCGAGGGTTGAGCGAGGTGCAGGAAGCTTCCGACCCCTCTCCTTAACCGGACCCCTCTCCTAGAGGAGGCGGCCCGGTCTTGGGACAATTGCGGCCGTTCGAAAGTTCTCTAGGCTTTGAGCCGCGCCACGATCTCGCTTCCCGAGGGGTGAGAGGCCAGGACCAAGTTCCCACCCTCGCGAAAGTCGCGCCGAAGAGCGGGACCGCACGCCCGCAGGCCTTGGAAGCATTCCGCCGCGGGGCGAAATTTTCTTTCCTTGCCCAGTGAGCCGCTTTACCGCCATTATTATGCGTCTACGAATCTAGAGCCGTCGCGCTCGCGGCTGTGTATTGCCCTGGGCCCCCAGGCCTTCGCCTCACTTAAAAGTATGCCGGGAGAAGCGTTAGCCTGCGACGCCGAGAGCTTTCGCCACTGCAAGGCCCCAGGGCTTGGCAGTGGAGAACAGCAGGCCGAAGAATCTCCCGCGTGGCGTTCTTGCCTCAATTCCCAAAGGGCGCGCGCCTTCCGTTCTTTCTATTTTTGCACATTACGGGGGTGCGCGGAAAGTCAAAGTGTGCCGGCCAAGTTTTAGAAAGAACCCTGCGAGCCCCCAAAAAACCCTCAGCCATTTTTTAGGGCTCTGAATGCCAACAGGGGCGGGCTGCCCTTAGATCTCCGGCGCATATAGCTTCGAGGCCTGGTTCGAGTGGCTGCGTTTGTGCTTAATTATCTTTAGAAGCTTTGCCTTGCAGCATCTTTGTAGGCTCGAAGCCCCTCCGTCTGTCCAGCTTTTGAAGAAAACGCTGCGGGCAAAGGCGCAGAACATGTTCGCGCTGAACCTCCCAAAAACGTGAGCGGATTGCTTGCTCGCGTTTAGTAAAAGGCCGCGAATGTTGATAGTCGCACTCTTCGGAGTCCGGTCCTTCGGGACATAGCGGCTACAGCTTGGCAGCTGATACCGGAAACGTCGGGCCCCCACGCGGGTCCGCGCTTTAAACGAGAGAGAGTCTCTCCCTCGCGTTTTAGCATCAGGCTGTGCGTCGAAAGTAGGCTGATGGATTGAATTGGAGTGGCTGGCGTCTTGGTTTCGGGGCAGGGACGGCTTTATGCACGATTTGGTCCAGCGTTGCCCTACATTAGACGGGACGTCCCGCTACTGGCGGCCCCGGGTGGGCTGCCGCAGTCCCGTTGTCCGAGCGCACCGAATGGCTTGCCCCGCGGTTTGATGTACGGCACGGTGACGCGACAAACTCTACCCGTCGGCCGTGATGTCACGCATTTCGTTAGCCGCCGAGCGCGACCGGTTTTGCCACCGCCGCCGGATATTCTGCCGCCCCCGCCGAAGGTCAGCCGGGAGACGCAGTCGGTAGACCTCAAGGACCGCCCAAGTGCTGGCACGGCCTCTGGGGTTACTGCTATTCCCGCAGCAGAGACCAGTCAAACCACGTTCCAGCAGCCGCCCTGCCAGCCTATCGGTCACAAAGACGTCGCGATGTCGGGCACCGCTTGGCTTTTGGCGATGGGGGCCGGTGCTTCCGCGGCAGCGGAAACGGGAAGAGTAGGAGGCGCCTCATGTAGTTCCGCGTCTACGAGCACAACTGCGGTACGGGTGGAAGAGGTGGCACCTTTTGGAAAAGAGAAGCCCGCGAATCAACAAGGCGCCGACGATGAAGTGGCCGGCGCGGTGCTTTCCGCAGTTTCGTGTTGCAGGGGAAGCAGAGAGCCAGAAGGGGTTGCGAATAAATCTGCTATGTCCCCGGAACTGATGTCGCCCCCGCCACTGATGGAGGTCTTTTCGAATTTGGAGAAGATGAGAGCCGGGATTTCGCCACTGCCGCCCTCAACAACCGATGATCACAGCCCGGAGGAAGGTCCTTACTTAATATCTTTTACTGTGCTCCTGAGAAAGCACACCAGAAGGTGGCATTGTTTTGCCATGCATGCCGTACGATCGACTCTATTACTACGATTGGTTTCGGTTCCCATACAGCGCTAACGCAGCAAACGGAGAAAAAACCGCTTCTCAATTATATAACAAAGAAAAGCAAAAACGTCTCAACACATACACAGAGAAGAGAGACAGCTCGCTTCATCAAATCTGCATTTTGCATTTGCTGCAGCAGAAAGCAGAGATCTTTTTTGCAAATGGAGCCGCTATGTGGCAGTTCACGTTCTTGCAAGGGGGATGGATAGCGAACCCGCTTCCCGTCGCGTGTTCTGGGGTAGGCCGTACTCCTGGCGCTTTTCTAGTGTTGAACCAAGATGCCAGCGCGCTGCCCACTATCACTAGCAGCCAAAAGCAAGCCAGGAGATGCATCAATCCAAAAGCGCATCGATGCAGCACAACCGAAACTGGGCGCGCGCAAAAACTACATAGAATCCCTGCCGCGCACAGAAATCGCACAAAAACACAAGGGCGCGCTGTCTTAATTTCTGCAACAAGCCGAAAAGCAGCAAAGCGAACGAGCCTGCAAAAACATAAGCAATACGGGCGGGGCATGCGGGCGAAACAGTTCCAAGCCGAGACGCCGCCAGGGGGGCGCTCGGCAAAGCAAGTCACCAAGCGCCTTGCGGCGGCGAAGGCAAGAAAGGCGCGTAGCTCTTTGGCTTTGGGAAAAGCAGACAGCGTTGCCGCGACTTTTGGCACACCGGCCTACGCCGCAGCGCCAAAATTAACAGTCTGCGCGCAGAGGGAAGCACGGCGCCGCAAGCTTATTTGTAGCGAAGCAAAAGTATTCCGCTGGCCCTGACGCTACGAAAGGGCGGCGCATCCGAAGAGCGCAAGCACGCTCGAAGCCGCAGGCCCCGCGAGCACTGCGCTGACGCGGTGGCCTCAATCAAGCAGGAAAGCGCGCGGCGTAGTTCTTCTGCAGCCGATGCGCCCGGTGCGAAGGGGGCGGGGGAGGTGCTTGCAACTTTCTGGTGGAAGAGCCGCCGCCGGATCGCGCAGCGCAGCGACGCCGCCGCGCGATCTGGGGATTGCGCGAGGGGCGCAAAATCAAGGGGCGCGGTAGCTGACGGCGGCGCGCTGGGCAAGGGGCCAATAGGAGCCAGGTTCGTGCCGGCGAACGTTCTAGGCTGGCGCCTTTTTTTCCACCGACTGCGAAAAACGGCCATCGACCAGCAGGTGGCCAGATGCGTTTCTGACATGAAAACCCCCCGGCCCCAAGCGCACGCGGCTCAAGCTTTGCCGCCAATGGGCAGGCCCGCCGCAATCGAATGCGGCCGGTCCTCCGGGAAAAAATGGCGCAAGGAAGCCGGCAAAAGTGGCGCCCTTGTAGGTTGGCCACCTGCTGAGATTTGGGCGACTTCGGGCATCTAGAGTGGGGCGCCACATAATCGTCAACGAAGCAAAGGCCGCGTGTCCGGATGGTGTTCGCGCCATTTCCGCCAACATCGGCAGACCGAAAAAGCTGCCCCCTTGGCTGGCTAGGAGCTCTTGAGGCTGCGAGCGGCGTTGTGGGGTTGCGCCTTCTGCAAAAAAGCATGCAACAAAGCGAGAGGCGCGCGCCGTGCTATGGCCCCGATTGTGGGCGACCAATTTGTCGGCCCCGGCGGGTGGGCGGAAGGCCGGGCCACATCTTGCTCTTTTTCTGGGCCCAAAGGCTTACTATGTATCTTTGGCCGCGATTTTCGATTCGCGCCGTACCATTTTGCGGACAGCATCGGGCGCGTCGGCGGGAAGCACACAAAATATGGCACGCGCTAAGCCCATCGCCCGCAGTGTGTCGGGAGCGGCGATAAGAAAGTGCTGCGGCTCCACTGCCCCGACGGGACGGGTATTGTCGGCGCAGGAGTCGCGTAGCTGCGCCGCGAAGGCCGCGAGCGGTTTCAGAGCCGACTTCTACTTACACACTTTTCGCATGTTCGGCCGTGCGACTTTTGGTCTGCCGTATGTGCGAAAGCACTCCAATTCGATGCCGAGAAATGAGGAGTCTATAAAGCAAAAATCGCTGCACTGAAGCACAACCGACACCGCTACTAAAAGTGATGAGCATTCGAACGAGAACCGGAACCGGTTGCACTGCGGGGCCGAGCTGCTGTCAGCAGCCGATCAGAGCAGCATTCGAGGCTTCTGCATGCAGAGTGTTAATTTGACCTTTTGCAGCGAACAGCCAATGAATCCGAGGCGACCACTCAATATGTAATCGTCGCCCAATGATCTCCTAAGGATGCGCTTCTTTGTGATATCAGGCCGCAATCCAGAGCAGGACGCGCCAACAACAAGACTCGGAGATCACGCGCTGCCCTCTGCGGCGTCCCGATACGAGTGCAAGTAACTTGCAATGGCGCGCGTGAAAATGAAATAGAAGTACTACTACACAAGCTAGGCACTACGAAGGCGGTTCTTTGAAGCCACAGCTTGTCTCCACTTTGCAATAGAAGAGCTAGAGATCTCGCGACAGGAACAGAAGGGCCGGCTTTACCTGTTTTGTTAAAAGACCATAAGCGAGAAGGACACAGGGCAAGTGAGTCGCATCGCTGCTCTTGTTCTCCTAGTACTCAGTATGAAGAATGCAGCAGCAGATCACAAAATCGTCGGTCCAGGGGTTGAGCAATCCCAGAACTGGTCAAAACGCGGGCTGGTTTTATAGTTGTCTTATGGTTTGATGAATGAAAAAGAATGCTGGCGACCGGTATGTGTATGCGTATTCCGATATGGTAAACATAGTATTGTAGCTATCGCAAATATAGTTTCGCTGTCATCCAAGATTCTAATGAGCGAAAATGCATTTTTTTTTCATTGACAATACTAGCTAGACTACGTACACTTCGCCTGCAGAAGTGTGAGTCAATCATTCCGCTATATTGAAAAACAAGAAAAAGAAATAGCACCAGAGCACGAACTGCAAAGATATAAAAAGAAGAGCCATGGCCAGAAGCAGCTTCGTCATCATCTATCCGAGTAGCTTCGATGTCTTCCTGATCTTTGGGAGTGTTGGCGCACTGCTACTGCCCAAATTACCAAGCCAAGAATACCGCGGCAAGTAAATGGCGAGGGCTGCAGAGCGACTACATCTAGTCTTTCGCTTTCGGGATCCTGTATATTTGGCGCATGAACATGCGCGACAGTTATATCTGGCGCATCAACATGCGCGACAGTGGATGCTTTCCCCCACCTATCGCGCTCTTCATGTTTTTCGCCAGACTGTGACTAGGCCACCACAGGCAAGGAAAGCTATTTGCTTTTGAGGCCCTCGCGGGCGGCACTTTTATGCGCAGTTGCCTACTGCAACATCGCGCATGTTGCTTATCTTGCGCAATTTTTCCTGCAGCTGAAAGCTGCAGACACACAGCCTTGCTTGCTATGGGTGTCCTTTTCTTTTGCAGTCCAAAAGTCGTTCATCTTGAGCCCTTGCGTTTTAAACTTTGCGTCTAACTTTTAGCTCTTGCTTTATTAGTTTTCCCTCCTAGTTTTCTCTCTTGGTTTTTGCTTTTTCATTTTTGTTCTTTTAACTTTTTTGTGTTTTTGAGCGTCAAATTGCTGAGCAATAGGCTGACCGTCAGATGCTTACGCTTAGCAGGGGATAGATTTCTATGTCTAGCCCGGCAGTTTTCTTGCCATGAAGCGCCAAAAATTTCTGCCGGCAGTGTTGAAAGCTGTTGCGCGTTTTTCTACTTGAACAGAAATAAAGCGCGCGAGCCTTCTTGGCTTTGGCAAGATCTAAAATTGACAATGGCGAGCCAGCAAAAGTGGCGCCCTTCTGAGGCGCCCGCCGCATTCGTTCCCGGCGGTTTTGGACGCACAGAAGAGCGCTCCGTAAAACGAAAACGCGCGCAGAATCATCACAGCCGAACCGCGTGGCGCGGCCGCGGCTGCGGGGGAGAGCAAATAGGGAACCGCGGAAGCGGCCGCCTGGTCGGCGGGCGCCCATCCTGGGACGCTTTGCGCAAAGTGCAGCCGCAAGTTTCTGGGGCGCGAAAATGAAAAAGCGCGCCAGGCCCAGGGAGCCGCCCCGTCTGCAATTGGCCCGGGCGCCCGCCGTGCTTGGGCCCGCCCCGAAGCGCCCGGGCCGGCCCTGCGCCGTCGGGCCTGGTATTCGGGAAGGGACTCTGCAAATTTGCTGAAGTTGGCGACGTTTAGAAGTGGCCGCCACTCCACGCGGCGGGGCGTCCGCCATAAGGTCGGGGCGGCGCGCAGAAAGCGGCGCCCCGGCTGCGCCGGCAAGAAAATGGCAGCGGCCCCACTCCCTCCGCCCCCGCCGCTATATTTGGCCGGAGGGTGCCAGGGCTGCTAGAGTGCATCCAATTCACAGTGGGAAGGCAGCGCGTCCTGCTTGTAGCACTTCCCTAGCGGAGGGAGCATCATGCAGGATTTGCTAGTAGGTGCGCCCATCCTGTGCAAAAGTATCGCACTCGTATAAATGCGACAGCTTTTTTGTGCTTGAATTAGTTCAGAAGTTGGTGGGAGGTTGTTGGGAAGTCGGCGGAGAAGTTGCGGGAAGCCGGTGGCGAAGTCGGTGCGGAAGCCCTTGCCGGAGTTGGTGCGGAACCAACCCCGTGAGAAGTGGCGGGGCGTGCTGGCATCGTCATCGCCCCGGCCGAGTGCCGCGGCACGTCACTCCGCCGCGGCGAGTTCTATCGCCCCCGCTGCTTGCAGCTGCAGCTGCAAGGGCTAGAAGGAATTGCGCCGGAGATAAATAGAAAGACGGCCACTGCAATCCTTTCCATTTGTCTGCAGCGCTGCTCGACCAGTTTGCGCGACGCTTCCACGCGCGAAAACGTACAGAAGAGGCGGCAAAAGTTGCGTCTGTGATGGCTGCACGCGCAGACGCCTCGCTGATGGTTGCGCGCGCGCGACGATGCGGCGGCGCACGCCGCAGGTGCGCGGGGGTTCTTCGCGTGTTATTAACCGCAGAGCTACGCGGAACCGATTAAAGTCAAGCAATTTTGCGAGTGGTAATAGTTGGGCTGTCCTTTCTTCTGCCAAAGAGCTCGGCTGTGTGCGTAAGCTACGCGGTTTATAGTATTTTCTTCTTCGACACTTCTCAGCAACTTCTCCACAACCTCTCCACCAACATCGCTACGAACACCGGACCAGCTTCGCGGCTTTTTAAAGGCTTCGCGCAATCAATTTCCGAGAGAAGGTCTGCGCTTTCAAATTAATTGCGTGACGCCCCCAAAAGGCCACTCGCACGAGCCCGAAGGCCTTCAGCAAAAAAGGGCTCCGGGGCTCCCACATCGCTCGCATTTGCGCGGGGGTGCGGCCGAACAAACTGACTCGCGACTGCCTGCGCACGCGGCCACGAATCGGGAGCCGTGAAACCCATGAGACACCGCCCGCATCCGCATGCTGGTAGAGAAATGCAAACGGGCGCCCCTACGGTTTAAATCCGCGCCAATTCCCAGAACAAACCCAGCCGCCGACCCCCGCCAACTTCTCAACAGCTGGGAAGTTGGTGGAAAGGCTGGGGAGAAGCTGGTGGGAAGTTGGTCAGAAATGCGCGAGAAGCTGGCGAGAAGTTGGTGAGATGGTCGATGCAGAAAAAGGCGGGGTCTATACGAGTGCGATGCTTTTGCACTGGATAGCGCCGCTTTGGTGGCAATTTAGCTCGAGGGAGCACGCCAAGAAAAGTCTCTGGCCCCGCGCGGAGCGAGCGCGGGGGCCTTTGTGATGTGGCGCTTCCCGGTGCTGGCGGTCTCCGTGGCCCCTCGCGGAGAAACTAGCAGGCGGCCGGCCACAGCGCTCTCGTCGGCACGAGCCAAAAAAATAGCAGCCGGAAAAGAAGCGGCGGCGTGCCATTTGCCGCAAAGGCGAAGAGGTTACTTTGCTGGATACGTGGCGCGCGCCCCAGTAGTTGCCCGCAGCGCTGGCGCGGTCGCCGGGGGGCCGGGTAAGTATCGGCGGGCCACTTACTTTGCCGGGGCGGGCCGTTCTCCCGGGCGGCCACGCTATCGCCACCCCATCGGCCGGCGGGAGTGCCGTCCGCGCGCGGGCTCTTCGGCCCAGGCCAAGAGGCCGGCGCCCTTTCTGCGCTCCCCCCCCGAATTCATACGCGGGGCGCGCTCGCTTTTGCTTCGCGCGGGTTCGCTTTCGGGCTCACGGCGACTGGCCCGCCCAAAGGGCTCCTACGGAAGCTGATTCAGCTATTTTCCCGCGAGCCCACCGAGCGCGGCCGCGCGCCTCGCCCCGGGGGCGCTCGCGAGTCGGTAACCGCCTTGGGACCGCGGGCCCTCTCGCGTCTTGGGACGTTGCCCCTCGGGGCGGCCCCACGGCCCGCGCTTGGCCTGCGGGCCGCCGCTTCTTTGTGTTGCTTGTGCGCGCTGGCGGAAAACTTCGCAGGGGGCCCGGCCTCGGGGTTTTCGCATATGTCGTGCGCGCTGGCCGAAGCTTGCCGGTGCTCTCTATGCACGCGGCGCAGTTCCTTGCCCGCCTCTCTTCATACTTTGCCGGCGGTCGCCCGGGCTAGATACGACGAGGGAAGCACAGCGCCAATAGATCGAGATGGTGCCTGTACATGCTCCAGTATCTATCTGGCTGTAGTGCTACTGCGACTAGGGGAAGTTATGGCGTGATCCTAGGGCATGCCTTTGCGAGAACCAAGGCAAATGCAATCTGATGGCCGTGCCCGAAGAGGATGAGTAGTCGCTGCAAGGGCTTGTAGCTCGCATAAATAGTGTTTGCTGTGCCGGAATAGAAAGTACTGCGTTACGCCGTCCGTCTGAGCCACTGTTAATCGAAATCTCTATTACAGTATCGTCCACTACAAATATGTCTGGGTCTGGAAAGTTGTGATGCAAATCTGTACCTGGTCGTGGTCCTGGTCGTCGCACTGCAATACGCAGCCAAGCATGACAACTTTTTTAGCTGCTATGTGTTTCGTTTTGTGCGTGGCAAACTACGTTTCGGCATGACGCGCAAAAGGCCCTTCTGCTGCTCCTGCGTCACAGATGTAAGTGTCATGGCAGACAAGCATGACAAAGTTGCTCTCTTCCAGACCCGGACACATGTTCAATGCATACACAGAAAAACAAAAACGAAACTTCTCGGCGGCCAATTAGGTGGGAGAAGGCAAAGCCCTTCGCTAACATTATTTTGCGTCTTACGGAAGGTGAAGAGCTCTGACAGGAGCGGAAATTCAAACACGAGAATTGCATGCGATGAGATTGTCTTCAATGAATCTGCATGTTGCGTAAAATATTTTCACAAAATGCAAAGGTACAAGAACGCATAGAAAGAATATCCATGTATCCGATTTATTTTTTAGAAAGGGATCACGAACATATACATATGCATATCACGCTTGCAGCAGCTGCAAAATACGAGAGAGGTAGAAAGCAACTCACTTCTCGCACACGTCTTGTATCGCTTCAAAAGAGATACATTCAATACGCAATGCCATTTCATTAAACAATTGCTTCCATGTAGGCGAGAAATAAAGTTCACAGACAATCAGCGGCTGCCGACTTGTTCGACTATACAGGATCCAGCGAAAGATCAAGAAAAGTCCACAACAACGGAAAGCAGCGGCGGCTTCTTGCTGGAATTTTCGGCACGACCCTCTGTTACAGATCCTTTGCAAACAAAGACAAAGAAAAGTCTGACCGCACGGTATATTTCCAGGGGACGACTCGAAAAAAACGTCACTAGCTCTCAGTTGAGCAATGAATTGTCTACAGGATGCTGCGGTCGCAAGTATCATGCCATTCACAGAAAGGGTCACAGTACGGCTTTGATATTGATTACTACGCGCACTCAATTAGATAGTGTACAACCGAAGGAAGACTTTGCATTTTTTTTTTGAGACCGGCACGCTCTGAGGCCTAAAACGCGAAACACGACGGCAGCACGAAGGGCGCTTGTTATTTTACGGGAAATTAAATACCGGGGAGCACGTATGTCGCCCGTGACAAGGATTGCCCAGCGTCCGGGGGATCCGCCCTCGCCCCGGGGGATCCGTCCTCGCCCCCGGGGGATCCGCCCACCCGCGCCCCGGGGGCTCCGCCCTTTCCCCCGAGGGATCCGCTCTCGCCCATCGGGGGATCCGCCCTCGCCCTTCGGGGGATCCGCCCTCGCCCCGGGATCCGCCGTCGCCCCGGGGGCTCCGCCCTCGCCCGCCCCGGGGGATCCGCCCTCGCGCCCGGGGGGTCCGCCCGCTCTCAAGGGGGCCCGCCCGCTCTCGAGGTGCCCGCCCCCGCTCTCGGGGGATCCGCCCTCGCCCGGGGAGGGCCCACCCTTGTTTTCGGAAGACCCGCCCCGCCCCGGAAGGTCCGGCCGCCCTCCGGGGGTCCGCCCGGCCTTCGGGGGATCCGCCCCCCCCCCGTGGGAGCTGCCCGGCCTTCGGGGGATCCGCCCCCCCCGGGGAAGCTAGAGCAGCTCGGCCTCCGGGGGGTCCGCCCGGTCTTCGGGGGACCCGCCCTCGCCTCAGAGGATCCGCCCTAACCTCGGCCGGGGGATCCGCCCTCGCCGCGGGGAAATCCGCCAAGCCGAGGTAGTGCGTGCCACGAAAGTGCACTAAAGGCGGCGCAAATTGGCCCAGGGGATTCCGGAGAGGATTTTGGAGTCCCGTGGGGATCCTCTCCGGAATCCTTTCCCGAAGTCGTGGCATTGCCGCCGGGGAAAGACCGCGAAAGACGGCGCAAATTGGGCCGGATAATTCCGTAGAGGATTTTGAAATCCTTTGCGGAAGCCGTCGGGGAAAGGGCGCGGGAGACGGCTTCACTTAGGCCAGAGGATTCCAGGAGGGATTTTCGAACCCTCTGCGGAATCCTTTGCGGAACCCCCCCCCCCGAAATCGCGGCAATGCCGCAGGGGAAAGGGCGCGAAAGACGGGCCAACTTGGGCCAGAGGGTTCCTGAGAGGATTTTGGAAGCCCCTTCGAAATCCTCTGCGGAATTCGTCCCCGAAATCGAGGCAGTGCCGCCATGGGAAGGCCGCAAAAGGCGGCTCAACTTGGGCCAGCGGATTCCTGAGAGGGTTTTGGAAGCCTCTCAGGAATCCTCTAAGGAAGCCGCCCCCGAAATCGAGGCAGTGCCGCCGGGGGAAGGCCGCGGAAGACGGCCCAACTTGGGCCAGAGAATTCCTGAGGGGGCTTGGGAATCCTCTCAGGAATCCCCTCCGGAATCCTCCCCCGAAATCGAGGCAGTCAGTGCCGCCGCGGGAAGGCCGCGAAAGACGGCCCAAATTGGGCCAGAGAATTCCCGGGGGGATTTTGGAATCCTCTCCGGAATCCTCTCCGGAATCCCCTGGGCGAATCGGGGCCATACCATCGGGGGAAGCCCCCCCGGGGCGACCCAAATTGGGCCAGAGGAGTCGCGAGAGGATTTTGGAGTCCTCGGACGAGTTTGCTGGGAAATTCTCTGCGCAAATCGGGGCCATACCATCGGGGAAGCCCTTCTGGGGCGGCCCAAATTGGGCCAGAGGACTCGGCAGAGGACTCTGCCGAGCCCTTCGGGCAACCCCCTGCGCAAATCGAGGCCATGCCATTGGGGGAAGCCCTTCCGAGGCGGCCCAAATTGGGCCGAAGGTTGTCCGCGAAAAATGTGCGCCGGTTTGCGGCGCCTCCAAATCCGGCGGCAAACGGCATGGGGCTCTGCCACTTCGCTCGTTTTTGTGTAGTTTTGAAACGTTTTGCCGAAGCAAACACAACCACGAGCGGACTGCGCCGCCACAAGAGGCAAACCGCGCGACATTCACAAGGCCAGCCACGAGGGTAATACGCTACGGCGGCCGCGCTAATTTCGGAGCCTACGCGGGCGGGGGCGGTTGTGTGTAGTGAGGTCACCGAACGGCTCTAGCCAGGGAGTTTGTTTGACAGCCGGACAGAAAAACGGCCGGCAGTTTTCAAGTGGCCGGAAGCGCTTTTGCACATAAAAAATTTTCAATTATCAAGCGGCCGGGGCTTTGAAGTCAAACAAGCCCGGTCGAAAACTATCGATTCGCACTGGATAAAACGACACAGGGGAGCCGGCAAAAGAGACGCCCTTCCGAGGCGCCCGCCGCCTTAGTTTCTGGCGATTTGGGGCGCCCAAAAAGGGGCGCGCAAAAAACGCGCCCAAAATCAGAACAGCGAAACAGCATGGCACGGCCCCGATTTCGGAGCATTTTGGGCGGCCGCGAAAGTGGCCGCCTTTTCGCCGGTTTCAGAGCCTGGGAAGCTTTGCAAAAAGCGCTGGCGTGAAAAATAAAAACGCGAAAAAGAAAAAGCGCCCCAGGCGCGCAAAGCCAATCCGCATGCTATGGGCCCGATTTTTCTTCGCTTTTTGTTCGCCCCCCGTGGCACCCGGATCGGCGCCATAGCATGGGGGCTGGGTTTCGGAAAGGAATTTTGGAGATTTGCCAAAATTTGCAACGTTCCTCGAGCGGCCGCCATACCGTGCGGCATAACGCTACCCGCGGCGGTATGGCGATCCCAGAAAAAGCAAAGCCGCGGCCAAGGCGACGGCCGGCAAGAAAACTCCCACGACCTCACTACCTCCGCCCCGGCGGCTATATTTGGTATTGTAGGCCCCTCAGCGTGCCCGTCTTTTTTTTTCTGTGCGCGTGAAAGAACAGGCCCCATTTTACCCCTCTGCGCAATGCCCCGCGCAGGATAGATGATGATGATGATGATGATGATTCTGCCGACTTCGACCCACCAATTGAAAAGAGGAAAGAAAAAGAAACATCCGCTTGATATACTTTCTTTTGAAGACCCGTGCAATCCTAGTCGTCCTCGTAAGCAATAGACAAAAAGACCTTTCAGCAACATGGCACACAAGTTTCTATCCTCTGTTCCATCCATTTATAAGGAGGGAGCGGGGGAAGACAAGGGAGATGTGGCGCGACTGCAGGCCTTCATCGGAGCTATCGCCATCGGAGATTTGGTGAAGTCCACCCTAGGTACTCCAGCTTATATACTCAGTGCGAAGTGCTGCAAAAGCGAATACGAACGACGACGTCGTGCGTCCGCGTGCTTGATGGTCGTGTGTGTTTATGTTGTCAGTACCGAAAGAAGTGGGAAGGTCACTGCTTCATGTGAACTGTTAGTTCCCGCTACATTCTTCTTTATCCATTTTGTGAATGTTGTAGACATCGTACCAAAATCAAAGGTCCCAAGGGAATGGACAAGATTCTGCAACCTCTGCCAGGCGAAGGTGCCAGCAAAGAGACGACTGTAACTAACGACGGCGCCACTATTCTTTCACGTGTCTGTATGAGGGTGCACGGTTCCGCCTTGTCATTTGTCATGCAAAGGATATACCTTTGCGCGCCTATTTGCAAAACAAAAGTTGTAGCAGCTGAGTTATAGTACTATCATCAACACTGCTTGGCTGTTTCATGTACAGGAGCAGCGGACCACGTGGAATGGCTAAGGTGGAATGGCGCTTGTATCGGACCAAGTAGAGGCAAATGGTGGTTACGGAGCCACCTACTAGTACTATGCCACGCAGAGAGTTCCCGTGTGCCGCTTTTATTTCTGTTTCTGGCCATGCCTTCCAAAGGAAAGGCAAAGGGAGGGGCACTTGTGCAGTCTCATAGTCTGGGTCGACAATCCTAGCGCAAAAATTCTGGTGGATATCTCCAAGTCGCAAGACCAAGAGTGTGGCGATGGTAATTTCTGTGGTGATGAAATTTTCTTTGCATTTAATTCTATCTTGTCACGCTTATCTCGCTTCTCGCTCGCTGTTGAAGACGTGCTGCTACCATCAGATGAAGCACAGGAATTTTGTGTACTGCACAGACATCAAAGTAGTGGCATGTAGTAGCGTACTTGGTAGTGTAGCTTTGCACGACCGTTGTCATCCTGTTAAATTTGTGAAGCGACTCAATCACAGGAACGACGTCGGTTGTGGTTCTTGCGGCAGAGCTTTTGCGACAAGCGGAGCAACTTGTGCAGCAGCGCATGCACCCACAGGTGATAATCAAAGGATACCGCATCGGCCTGGAAGCGGCGCGCAAGCGACTCGAGGAAGTCGCTTTTGACAATGGTAGGCTCTTTGGCATTTACTTCTATTCATGTGCTCGCTTGCAAGTTCCAGTATTGGGCTCCTGTCGGCCAAGCTGGCGAGCAATATGGGGGCGGGAGATCACGAGCAAGAGCATCTCGTCCTGCTTGGAAAAGTGATGTTCATTATGACCGACGTCTCGAATTTGACACTGTGACAGACTTCCGTGTCGAATTATTTGTTGCTACAGGAAAGGACGAAGCCGAATTGCGTGCAGACTTGATCAAAATCGCGGAAACGACTTTGTCTTCGAAGCTATTGAAACACGAGAAGACGCATTTCGCCACTCTAGCGGTTGACGCCATCTTGCGTTTGAAGGGAAGACCAAATCTCGACTACATTCAGGTACACGTATCGATTGCTTGCCTTGAAACAAAATGTGCGCCGAATAAATGGTATTTTGTCGCGTCACACCGGAGTCGCAATAAAATTGCAGGTTTTGAAAAAGGCCGGAGGTGCAGTAAAAGAGTCATATCTGGAACCGGGTTTCATTCTTGAAAAACGCATCGGTGTCGGCATGCCGAAGAAGAAAGAGAATTGCAAGGTACACAGCTTCAGATTCGTGTTGGTGTGACGCAGAACAGGAAAGTTGAGAAATGGATCACGAGCGACTATGCATCTGAAAATGGTAGCATGCGATATTTATCTGCATGCTGCGATGGCACGAGAAATGGCAGGCAGTATCTTTCCATCCGCAATGTTTCTTACGTGTCGTACCTACTATAAAAGTTGCGGACTGGTGTCGCAATATAAAAAAGGTCCTGGTGGCCAATACGCCTATGGACTCGGACAAGATTAAGATCTTTGGCAGCCGCGTAAAGGTTGAGTCTCTGGAGGCTATGGCGGAAATCGAACGGGCGGAGCGGGAAAAGATGAAGCGCAAGTGCGACAAGATCGTGGCTACGGGGTGTAATGTTTTTATTAACCGTCAGCTCATCTATATGAAAGCGTCCGGTGGAAAGTCGTTCGTTTTGAAACATGTGCGCTGTGTGATTTTGCCGAGCAAGGTCTTCATGACAAAGACAAACGCTTGGCTCTTTACACTAAACAGTACGTATGTTGACGCGTTAGCATGATTTGGCCTACACTGGCTGCGTAGAGTCGCTGTGTCTAACATGTGCCGCCATGATCCATGACCAAGCATTTGCGGAAAGGCTTCCTGGCCGTCAGCGGAAACACGCCCGGTAGATTGCGTTTGTGATCGCGCTTGGACTAGTAACATGAAAAATATTTCTGTTTTGACGATTTCCCACCTGTCAGTTCCATAGTTTACAACTACCCGGAGGAACTGCTGAAGCAGGGCGGCATTACGTGCATCGGTATCGTCCAGGAAAATCCGCCCTCCACATACTCAAAGGGATTTGCCATCCGTAATTTGTGGACAAAGTCACTTTGCGACAAAGCGAAAAGGACAAACTCTTTAGATTTGCTCTGCAGGCAATAGCTCATGCTAAGTAGTCCGGGGAGAGCAGATGGTTCCTGTCATGCTGAAGAAACCCAGCACGTGACTGCAATCCGGGACTCATATCCGCATTTCATCAGGTGTAAGAGGAAACGACTTTCACAAGTCAGAGGTACTGGTGTATAGAGGCGCGGTCTGCATAAGGCTTTCCTCTTCATGGGGTGGCGGTTTTTCATTTTGACAGTCAAGCATTCGGATTTTGACGGTACCGAGCGGCTCGCGGCCGTTCTAGGTGGCGACATCGTCAGCACCTTTGACGACGCCGAAAACATAAAACTAGGCACTTGCGAACTGATCGAGGAGGTTATGATCGGGGAGGACAAGGTAATTCGCTTCAAGGGGTGCGCAGAAAACGAAGCCTGTACTATCGTGCTTAGGTAAGTGCAATAAGTGCCTACATACTTCTGTGTGGCACACTTTCTATAACGTGTTTTATTCTCGAGACTGTTCTTCTTCACCGCAATTTCCAGCCGTCTTGTAACGGTAATTTTTTGTAGTATAAGTTTTCTTCTGTGCCGGACCTGGACAACTGGGCAACAGGAGGATTCTCGTCTGCTTGTAGCTATAATTATCCCCCTAAGCGCTACTATCACAAAAGCAGAAGCAATCTCGCACCTACAATTCTTCTAGGGGTGCCTCCACGCACGTGTTGGACGAAGCGGAGAGGTCGCTGCATGACGCGCTGGCGGTTTTGTTCCAGACCGTGACGCAAGATACCCGAGTGGTGTGCGGGGGCGGGTGCTATCCTGTGTAAGAACGTCCTCACCCCATATGAGTGCGTCATGTAAGTTTGCCTTGAGATTTGGCCTTGAGTTTCGAACCCCACGCGCCCCCGCGGTTTGCCCCGCCGAGTCTCCACTGCGCTAGCGGGCCGGGCGGGTCCGTAGTGCGGAGCGGGTCTATTGGGCTACCGGACTGGCGGGACAGCATCAAAGGCTGGCAGGTAGTGCTACAGTGTGTCTTTGCGCGAGCACGTCGGACTTCGTTAGGGCCTTAGGCCGCGGGGCGCCCGGCCCTCGTCTTTCGCACTTCTGATCGTGGGACGGCGACGAAGTACAGGAGCAGGGCGAAACGTCATCAATCGGGGCGCCCCCCTGCCTGCCGCTCTCCGATGACGTCTAGGATTGGAGGCACAGGAGCATGCGCCAAGCGCCCCCCCTGCGATGCATATTCTTGCGGCGTGTGCCACTTTGTACTGCTGTACCCAGTTACCGCCACGGCCGCCGCGTCTGTTCGACCTGCGAAGACACTCGCAGCACGCCTGCCCTCACGCTTCAGGGGCCCCGTTTCGTTCTGCATGCGTTCGCTCTCATTTCGTACGCCTCGCCTACCCGTGCTCATCTCTCAGCACAGTCCGCGCGAATGCCTTGGCCTAAGTGCGAGCTTTCAATGCGTAGAAGACGTTTTTGCGATTCTTAATTTACTTGTGAGCATGTTGTTTTCAAACTAGTGAATACATAGTAGTGCTGTCGACGTAGTTTTTGTTTTTATTCTCTTTTATTTTTAGCTGGTGGCCCCAGAGCTGTAAAGCGCCGTGCCTGCACTCACGTTCGATGGATTTTCCAATTGCGCCGTACGAAGTGCGTCGGGTGGTCGGAAGTGTACTGGATTGAGGTGCATTGATTCTATTGGTTTAGTGTCTTTTAAGTGCCACCGGGGCAACCTGCCCGTAGATTTTCTATGTTGTGCCGTACCTATCACTATAAGCTGGAGGCTCTGACATGCGGGCGGGCCACGCAAGGAGAACTACACTGCGGACCCAGGGTTGTTGCGCGCATCTCACAAAGCCCGGAATTTGTGTAGCGGAGGTCGCAGAGGTGGCACCTTTACTGAGGGGTGGGTACGTTTTTGCACATGGTAGCTGCTGCGAGATGGCTATGTCCAGGGCGGTAATGCAGACCGCCGCGGAGGTCGGCGGCAAGGAGTCCGTTGCTGTTGAGGCTTTCGCAAAGGCGCTGGTCCAGATTTATCCCGCAGAAAAGAGCTAGCGCGCCGCGTTTGCAATGGAAGAAAATACACAGAGATCGAGAAGTAGCGCGCTGCTTCAATACACAACGAGTTCTTTTGTATGCCCTATTCACGTCCGAATGTGTGAAGCCTACTTCATCTGTTGAGAATTGAAAAACAGGCCAGCTATTCCGCTGGATCGGGCAAGAAGGTGGAGCACAGCCGCAAAGGTCAAAAGACTGGGGTAGCGCGCCAGAAGAGACAGAAAGAACCAGGCGCGGACCTCTCGGAGGTCGGGCCTGCCGATTTCTGCTGCAACAACTGGCCCGGGGCCGGCTCGTCCTGCGGGGGTCGGGTTGATCTGGCGGAGCCGGCTAGATCTCTTAGCAGTGCGAGCCGGAGCCGCCACGCGAGACCGCCGGACCTGCAGCCCCCCAGCGGTCCGTCCGGATCGTCCGGACTTGCCGCAGTCGGCCGCCGGGCCTAGCGGCGGCCGCCTGGGCTGCGATGGAGAGTTTGGCACAAGGAGGAACCAGGTACCCTACCGAACCAGGGACCAGGTACCCTGGGACCACGTACCCAGAAAACACCCCGGGTCTGAAAACGCCGGACCGGGGTATCCTGTTCCGTGGGTGCCTACAAGAGCTGGGCACCCTACAAAAAGGCGCACCGGGGGCCCTCGTCCGGCCACCGCTACCCACATCCGGCCATCTACATCTGCGTACCGGGTGCCCACATCCGGGCACCCGGGTACGGAGATTCGGGCAGCCGGTGCCCAGTTGTGGACACCCCGACGTGAAACCGCTCGAGTTTTCGCGTGACTTGCTTTTTTCAACTCAAAGCTGAAAAGGTGTCCCCATCCGCGCATCCACATCCGGATACCCGGGCGCCCACATCCGGCCGGGCACCCGGGTACCCAGGTACCTGGTCCCAGGGTACCTGGGCACCTGGGCACCTTGCCCCTGGGTACCTGGTCCCTGGGTACCTGGTCCCTGGGTACCTGGCCCCTGAGTACCTGGCTCCAGGGTACCTGGTTCCAGGGTGGCTGGTCTCGGGTACCTGGTCCCGGGGGGGCACCTGGTTCGGTAGGGTACCTGGCCCCAGGGTACCTGGTTCCTACCTCTACCGGAGAGTTTGTCGGAGGGGCGCGTTGGAGCCCATAGGGGTTTTGGTTCCGGGGCGGGCCCGCCAGAGCCCGTCGGGCCAGCCGGCGACCGCTTCGCTTCCCGAGGCGTGAGCCGACCGGACCTCGCATCCCGCCGGCCGCTCTTCGGCCGGCACTCGCGGGCCCGTCATAGTGAAGAGGCGGCGCGCTGTTTCCGGGCTGACCCTTCGAGGCTCCATCGGCCCATTTGCTGCGCAGCGTCTGCGAGCCCGCTCATGGTTGTTTTCGCAGCGCCCTGCCCTGCTTGGTTTCCTGCTTGCAAATGCGGACCGGCGCAGTGGCGTGGCCATCACAGCCGGCGGAAGCGTTCGCTCCTGCCGTGTGCGCCCCGGCAGGTTCCTAGCTGCACTTCCGGCAACCACGCCGCGACAGAGAGACCCCAGATCGGCCAGCGTCCGGGCTAGAGGGGTCGCATCATGCCAGGGGGCGGGCTTGTTTTCTGGCCCCGGCTGCCGACCGATGCGCCCCAAAGCCACCGGGGGCCGACCGCCGGGGGGCCCTAGCAGGGCGGCGGGTGCAGGTTTTTGTTCTCTCGCGCGGGTTTCGGTTTTGCCCGCTTTTCTCCAGTTCGCCCTGCTAGGGCAAGGCGTGGTCTCTCTGGTTCCCGTAAAGCAAAAGGGCGCAGGCGGTCAAAGGGGGCCGTGGCATGGAAAAGAGCTCGGGGGCACAAAAGATCTCGGGGAAGCCAGCGAGTGGGGTGGCGTCGTCTTTGCGATTTGTTTTTCTTCTGTGACCAAGAAATACCAGGCGCAAAAAAAAAGAAAGAGCACGAGCGACACGGGGACAAAAAGAGAAAAAAAAGAAAGACGCGGGCCCCATGCTCACAAAAGAACAGAAGCCCCGACGAGGGTTAGTTAGCAGCATGGCCCGCAGAAAAAAATACAAATAAAAGAAAGAGCCAGAGCGACGGAGAGAAAAGAGGACAGAGGACCAGGCTAAAAGATGACACATGTCCCAACAAAGTTAGACCGCAGCGAAGTGCGAGGAGCTCCGTGCTGATCACTGAGCTCGGTGGCGTCGTCCGTTCTGGAAAGCTTTCCTGCGTCCGCAAAGAAGCTTGCTACTGGGCACGGCTTGGGGCCTCTTTTTCCTGTTCGACTGACACAGAACCCAGAGGCGGCGGGTTTTTGGGTCAGGTATGTCGGGTGGTTGAGGATCCTCGCCTGCGCCTAGGCCGGGATCCTCTGAACATTGTGTGTGAGGGTGGTAGCACGCGACGGACCCCAGTCGGATGTCCCTTCGCTGCTAAAATGGGTGGCGTTGCGATGTCTGAGATGCCTGGCTCTCAGTGCAATCCAGTGCAGACATCTTGCCTCCAGGAAATTTAGGCTGATCGATGGCCGTTTCTGGCTCGCCTCGGCATCTAGAGACAGAGGCCGAAAAGGCTCGCTGCGCTTGTTTTTCTTCTTTGTCAGGATTGTAGCAGCGCTTGGCTTTAACTCGGGAGCTTTCGATGGTTTGATCGGTGGATGGGAATTGCGCTTAATCTCCTGAACACTAAGGGTGGACAGGTGGCAACCCGGGTGGACGCCAGGCGAGTGCTCGCCTCGCCCGCTACTAAAACGGGCTGCGTTCGGACATCTGTGACGCGGCTGGCGACCAACCCACTCCCGGCGATTACCCCCGAGGAAGTTAGCGCACCTCTCTGACGGTGCCTGGCTCGCCTGATAGCTTTCCTCCACTACCAAAGAAGCGCGCGGCGGTCGCGTTGTTTTTCTGCTGTGTTGTTCGTTCGCAAAAGCGACTGCAGCCCGCCAGGGTGCGGCCCATTTTCCGCAGAAGGCCAAGCGTAGTAGGGATAGGCTTCGCATTCGCCCACGTACCCATGGACGCACTAGCGGGGGCGCCGGCTGTATGCAAATACCGCGAGCCGCCCCGGCGCCGGGGGGCGGTCTAGAGATGACTCATCTTGGTGGTGGGAGGCGCAACAGGCCGGGGCCTTGCTTTTTTTCCGTTTGGCCAGCGGGGCAAGCCACCAAGGGCGGGCACGGGTTTAGGGATTTGGGTTCCCTAGGATGGCCGTAGCAAAGTGTGAACAGCTTCGCGCTGATCACGGCGCTTGGTGGCGTTGGGGTTCCCGCTTCTCTCCGGCTGCGCGCGAAAGAATTGGCCGGGCTTTTTTTTTACAGTATTGTATTCGCGTTGTGCGCGAAACTTCTCAAAATGGGGAGGCTATTCGAGGGGCTTCGGCATGAAGAGCCCCCCTGTTTCAATTACAGAGCAGGCCCGTTCCTTTCAACAACCTCAATGCGTGCGGCCCCCGAGCGGCGGGCAGGGGGCTTCGCCTTGCTGTGCGCTTTGCGCCCGGGTGGCGTCGGCCCGCCCGCGGTAGTTCGGGATTACGCACGTGCGGGCTTGTTGTGCGGCCCGCGGCGCCTCCTCCGCCGTGGCGGACAGCTCAGGCTCGGCCACTTTTGTGGGTGGGCAGGCCCCCCCATCGTCGTCCGCCTTCGCTCGGACCGCCGCGATCAGCGTGTGCGTTTTCTTGTGGTAAATGACCCCCGGCGGGGGGGCCTTGCTAGCTACCTGCCGCTCCACTGCCTGCTTGACCCGCGGCGGGGCGTCGTTGTGCCTGCGCCCTTGAGACGGTCTCTGTGGCTGCTTTGGCGGGGGCGCGAGCGCCGCCGCAAATTTCTCCTCCGTGGCCTTTATTTTACTGCTTGGCGCGCATATGGATGAATGCCAGGCGGGTCGATGTATGGCTGTCGGAAGGTGCCCCTCCTCCGGGGCCGAAGATATGCAAAGGCCCAGCCAAGTGCGGCGGACTTGCCCCCGAAGCCACAAAGAGGAGACGGCTGGCCCCAGTCCGTCCGCTGCGCAAATCTCTTTCCAAAAACGGGGCGGGGAAGGCCGCAGGGGCCATGGCCTTGCTGCGTAGGCCTCGCGCCGGTTCTGGTCCCCGTGCGAAGGTGCTGCCGCTGTGCAAAAAACTGGCCCGGCTATCCCCGGCCGCCGGGCTCGCAGGCCGCCGCCGCTCGCTCTCGCTTTTTATGAACCTAGACCAGGGCAGCAGATCGCCCCCCGGGTGCCCGCCGCTGGCTGTGCCGCTCCCCGGGGCCAAAGGTATGCAATAGACCAGCGAAGCGCGGCGGGCAGACTTCGCACCCGCGCCCAAGGGCTCGCAGCGCAGCGACGCACCCAAACGAAGAGCCCCCCATCGGCGAAGCTTGTCGGGGATGGGTTTGGGGGCACCAAACAGACCCCAAGTGCAGGGCGGGGCGGCGGCGCATGCCGATCGCGGAGCAACTACAGGAGAACACCGCGGGGCGCCCCTACGTCAAACATAAGAAGGCACTGCCGCGCAGCTAAGAATAAAAGCAGCGCCCTCGGCGCATTGGCCGCGGGTAGCAAACGGAAGGCCGGCGCCTTTAGAGGCCCGAGACAGACCCGAGCCCTTCTGGTTGGCCCGGTGGATCTTCCGGGCGGCGAGAACATCAGGCCCGGCCCGCGGCAACTCTTCGCACTGCCTGTGTGCGGGCCCACCCAGCCCTTTACTCCCCGCCGGCGCATGGTCATACTTGCGAGGCCCGCTGCTCTTGCTGCCGGGCCTGGGGGAAATTCACACAAGTGCTGCCCCCGGGAAGGCTTCAGGCACTTGGGCGGCTCGTCCGCGCAGGTTGTCAAGTTGGCCCTAGGGCGCCGCTGCTCGTTTTTTGTTTTAGTACAAAAGCCGCCCATGTCAGACGATCTCCTCCGCCTTGCTCATGCGTGCGCAGGTCTCTGAGTGCTTGCGCTTCTTTTGGGGTTTAGGGTCGAACGTTCCCAGCACCGCTGGAAGCACGGAGCCTCAAAGGAATGCACTCCCGGAAGGATTCGAGCGCTTTTTCAGCGGTTGCCTTTGTCCTTCTTGTTTTGCTGTCCCTCTTTCCTCGGGCCCTACTGGCGTTAAGCAGTTTTTTCTTTGCGGATGATCCGCCCTCTGTTTTTTATTTCGTTTTTTGTTTCTAGTCACCGCGAGCGCAAATCTGCACATGGCGACGTGAGCATGAAAATGAGCTTGGCGACCTCCCATCCACTACTACGGGCTGCGCTTTGCCGTCACTTCTTCTTTCGCCCCCATCTCCTTGTCTCCGTCCCGTCCCGGTCTCCATCCCGGTCCAGCGGCCGTCGCAGCAGGGTTGTAGGGTTTAGAAATGTTTCGGGTTCCTATGTTGACATTAGAATGCGCGAGAAAGGCAATGGCCTTGCCCAGACAGGACAAGTGGCGCTGCCCTGCTGCTTATTCCAATTTGCCCGCTGCGGCGGCTATTGTTGGCAAATTCGGCGTGCTAGCATTTTAGTGCAGAATAAGAGTCCGATGATTCTTAGCGAAAATGCCGGCTTCGACGCTCAGGAGATAGTGGGTGAGCTCAAGAAGTCTCATGCGACCGGCAAGGCATTCGCGGGGATCAACGTGATGACGGAAAGCGTCGCGGACATGCGGCCGTTGGGCATCTACGAGTCGTATCGGTCGAAGCTCAGTGGGCTTTGCTCTGCAGCCGAGGCAGCGGAGCAGGTACCCACGTATAAAGTCTGTGCAGTTGCTGCGGCGCATGCATCAATCAAATAAAATAGGTTTGAAAATAATGAGTTTGCATTTGGTACAAGGTGAAGTGCGCAACTTTTGCTGTAGCTTAATGCGCCGGAAGTTATTGTAGTGTTGTTCTGCTGCCCATTTCGTGTAAAGGTAAACATGCTGCAGGTGCGCTGTTTCAATATTTTATTAGTTCTACCGCTAATTCGAGAAGCGGAACCGATATCGATTGCATTTACTTCGACAGGTGATCCGCGTCGACGACATCATCCGGAACGCACCCAGACAGCGGCAAGGCATGTAGGACGGGGAACTCGCCGCGGAAGAAGTATGCAAGTTTTTACTTCACGGGGGAAGTGCAGTCTTTGACGTTGACCACTTTAGATTTTTCCTGTTCTGTTCTTGATTCTCGCTGTGGCGCCATCCTTTGTTTCCCGATCCGTTCGTTGGAGAGGTGGTTCCAACAGCCGTAGTCGCCGGTAATGTTGGAGCTGAGCGATGAATTGTGAGGGCCATCGCCATGTGGAGCGGAGTTGCTGTGTCACTGTCTGAGCAGGGAGCCCCTGCTTATATAGCTTTTTCAATAAAAGAGGAGCTTCATTCCACTTCACCTCACCTCACCGATTTGCGACACGGCTGCACGCAGCGGAAGTTCAAGCAGATTTGCAGGTAGTTCGTAAAGAAAAGAAGTGCGCAACTGTACCCAGGAGCGCGATTGTGGCCTGACGCAAGTGTATCTATTAGTCACCATCTGTGACGCTGACGACGAAGTGAAGTTGGTGGGCCGTGCCTGAGTTCTGTCGTTAGCATTCGCTGTTGAGGAACTGCTCTACATGTATCCCTCTTTGGCTGCGTGCGTATCATAGGACTCGCTTGTCAATGCGATTCTTGTGAAATTGGTGTGCCACGCTGCAATGTCGTCATCTCCTTGTGGAGTTGTCCTCTCAAAAAAGAATCGTTTTTCGTCGTCTCATATTATGTCTGGTTGTTATGCTTTCGACAGTAGTCCGCGAGTTGTTCACTCGCTTCGGTGTCGAGACAGTGCAAGTGGCTGCGCTGCACTGGTGTCAGCACTTGTGATGCATGATATTTTTTATATATTCGCTATGTCATTTTGATCATTATTCATTTCCATCTGGTTGCAAGAAGTCCGGCTCCTGTATCGACGCCACAGCATCGGATGCTTTTCGTGCCGTTGCTGCTTTCGCTTTACATCGGTCACATTTTCAGGCTTCCTGTTTCTTCGGACTTTTGCTATTTGTTTTGCCAACGAGCTAATTCTCCTAGGTGTGTGCCAGGTCGCGAACAGATGTAAGCCCGCGCCTGTCCTCTATCGAGAGCCGAGGTAAGAGGCAACGCCAGCCACCACCTATCTAAAGCTAAAAAAGCTATTTTTTTTTCAAAGTCAAACGGAGGCAAATGAAAATCATCAACGTCATCATGTTGCTGCAGAGCTTTTTATCTGCGTCTGGGCTTCACGACTTTCACTTTTCTTCGTGCTCGCACGGCGACGAAGTGCTACCGGTAAGGCAGGCGGCGCTCCTATCGCCTGGTGTTGCACCTGAGTCAAATGACAATGAGTACGCAAACTCCCAAGCAAGCGGAGGGGCTACTGTAGTCGCTACTCCCGGGGAGTTCGAGGACGTAGTTCAAAACCAACGCCTGCGCTGCGTCAGGATCTTCAAGGGTCGTCCTAACGCGCCAAGATCAGAATTGGCCACGTGCGCGCGGTCTCACTCTGTTTGATGAGGACATGTCAGAGAAACAATCAGCCCAGCAACAACCCCAGAAGTAACTCACTAATGTCGACAAACAATAGAACAGCTTCCGAAGCGGCGTAGTCTTTTGGACTTTTTCTATTGTACTTCGATTTTTTCCGGCCACCCTCGCAAGGAAGTGCAGACCAGAAAGCGACTCTTATAAATAGCATACCTGGCGTAGTGCAGGCTGATCCACTGACGGTATAAGTTGACTTGTCAGGATCATCAACACGGTAGACATAGAAAGTGAATGCCCATTCGCGACGCCTTTTCACGACTCTGGCGGTCGGTTAGATTTGTGTAAGCAGCAGCAAGTTGCTCACGGCCGCAGCACTGGCCGCTCGATTGGTCACAATGCATAGCAATATCAACAGAAAACCGGGAAGGATCGAGGTTCTTCAGTGAAGTGGTTTGGCTTGCGTGGGCCGTGGTGTTCCGTGATAGCTTTCGCTTTTGTGCATTTACCGATCCGCCGCTCTCGTGAAGCCACTGCGCAAAGTTTTGCTGAGTTCACGGGCAAAACTCTTCTGGGAAGATGACATCTTCGACACGAATTCCCCCTGCGTTTAGCCTGTTCCTTGTGCTTGAATTGCACAAGCACGATGGTGGCTGTCGGTAACATAATTGCTACCAAAATTGAATTGTATACTGAGAGCCGGGATAGTTATGCTCCTGGAAGATCCCTCTGTATAAGAGTTCTCTGCTGGATCTTGATCAGATTCTATGTAAGTAGGCGATCTCGTTTATTTGGTGAGGGTAGATCCTTGAGTGCCTAGGATGAAGATCGAGAACGCCGCGTCTTTCCTGCACCCTTCAGACGTAGTAAGTGCCAACTTGAAATACGCTATCCAGACGTGTGAGCGCTCAACTTCGTCTCCATACTCAGGGGGATTATGTGGTGCGATACTAGCTGATAGCCGTGTGGCCGCGACTATTGTAAAAAGCAGCCGGCTTCCGTTTTGAGTTGAAAAAACGAATCCAAAACAGAGCGGCCCAATGAATTCATGCGCTTTTGTCTGCAGCGGCAGCGAAATCTCGCGGAGTGGTATCTTCCTGCAGCTTCACGTCTTGTGCCTTCGCGGCCTTCTTCCTTCTGCCTCCTCTAGGGCTGCGCCTTGGAAAGGGCGGACTTGGTGTGTCATATATTTTCTATGTGCTATGTTTTTCGCCTTTCGGGCCGGGCCCTTGTCAGCATCTAGCCCAACTTTGGCGTACTTCCGCTTCTTTTTTGTGCTATTGACTAAAGATATGCGCCCCAACAAACATCGCCGGTTTTGCTTTTATCTCCTTGCTTTATTGAGCTTGGGCGCACAGTTGTTTTGCCGCTAAATCTTTGTTGGGTGTCCCTTTTCCGTGTACATTCCGTGCGCAGGGCGCGCTTTCCTCTGTGTTCTCCCGATATTTGCCCGCCCCCCCGGCCGTTCCCGGTGTGCCTCTTCATTCCCCGAGACCGGGGTTCCGGCGCGCTTCACGACGCTGCCCCCTTCCCTTAACACGGGGTCTCTCCTCCCATGCCAATAACTGCGCGCTGCTGTGTTTGGTATACATAAAAATTGACTCGTTTACGCGGCAAGTCGCGGTATGGACGATAAAAAGGGAGACGCTGGCGCTTTTATGAGCAGTTTGGTACTAAGTACGGCATGCGCATCTTTTGCAGCCACGTCGCAGTGATAAAGGATTGTCGATAGGATGGGGCAGAAGGGTGCTGGTCTACCTTCCAGAACTACAGGTTGATTCGCGTACACAGAGATAACGCGGCACAAATCTCCTGTGAGTGTGAGAGGAAGGGACTTCCTTCGTGACATACGCGGCCGCGCGATTAGGCGTAGAGACGGTAAAGGGATTTCCGCTATTCAGCGACGATTTGCGGACCTCTATCAATTTCAAAAGTGCACGGGCCTTAGAATTGAGGAACTTAGTATATCGCCCAGTCGTTCTCAATGACAATATATGAAACTTGGGTTGCATGAAAAAGAAAACAGAAGCTGTTACTTCATTTTCTACAGTGTCCAGGTGAGCCATTTCATCTTGACCACGGGAAAAGTTCCGCCTTTTTCTCGCCGATGTGCAACGCAGCTCGCCTGCGATAAGAGTTTGTATTTTGGAAATGATATCCATATCGTGCAAGCTATATGGAAAGCTTAAGGTCTTGCATTAAGAAGCTTCGTGGGGCAGTCATACTGCTTTAATTCGCGGTAGGTCAGCTTTTCGTACTGGTAACTTTCTTTGTCCTGGATGAGACGCCCGGTGAAGCCATACAAGGACTACTAGCAAGAGACACTCTTGCACCGGAACCGCAGTACGATGAGGGTGTGCGCGATTTGTGGTGCGACGCGCCAGTGTGTCCGAGGGTGGAGTGGGGCCCTGCGAGAGGCGAGAATGCGGCTGAGACTGCTCTGAAACAGGACAGCCTGTATCTAATCGCTGTGCCTCGCGTGGGAAATTCTGGGGAAGCGCTCCAGGAGTATCGGAACCGCGTCGATTTCCTCAACCGTTCGACAATCTCTGCGAACAATATGGATACGAGTGCGAATCCTGCTGGCACCGACCGAAAATATCTCCACAGCAGGGATAAAACCACGAGGCTGCAACTGCGCCGCTTTCTTTTAGATCGCAAGAGCTCGGGGCGTGATATTTTTTTTGTCTCAGGTTTCTCCCCAGTGGCCGACGATCTGATAACGTTTGCGACTTCCATTGTGCACGTAGAAACAGACCTGGGCGGCGGTGTGCAGAAGGATTTGATTGCGTCGGTGGGGGGGCCTAACCGAAGATTCGTTTTTCGGTACGCCGCTACCGAGGAACTTCTCCGGCCTGACGACGCATCCGTGGATCACAACCCTGAAAGAAGTGCGGTGTCAGTTTCTCCCTTGACTGTGTCCGAGCGTCGGCAAATTGGTCAAGAGTTCCACGCAACAACCTCTTCGTTCCTGCAGGCGTATCTGCCTGACCTCTTTCGGAAGAAGCACCTGCGTAGATTGGTGGGTCAGCTCGAGCAAGATCTCATTGCAGCAGAGGCTCAGGCTGGCCGCTGCCAGACTACGACAGCGCAGATAGGTAAAAAGAGGAAAGTAGATACGATCGGTGCGGCCCAAGACTCGCTTGCAGTGCCGTCAGACTTCGAGCTAAAGCGTGACGGATCTGCGGCGCTTCGGCAAGCAGGTGCAGAAGATGCAAGTCAAGCGCAACGAATCGACACCACGCAGGTCTGGCGCAACTCGGTTAGAGTAGGCACGATGCAGTCCTCTTACCGAGATAAAACGATATATAATTCGCAGCGCAAAAACGTCGTCGAGACACCGGATGTACAAATCCTAGTCCAGGAACAAGCCACAGAAAAGGGACATGGCGCAGCGGAGTTGGACTTCGAAGAAAGTGAGGCCGCTGCAATTCTGCGGACGCTTTTTCGGTGCAGCGATGCGCCGTCGTACGGATTCCAGAAACTTACCGGGGTAAGGGTTCCTGTGCATTTCGCGGTGCTGCGCGTGCTCTTCGAGCTAGACAGTTATGCGCCGCTTCTGCAGCAGTTCCGCGAGAATGTTGTTTCTCCGTTGAGGGTGCAAAGATCACCAGGTTTTGTTCCGGACTGGAGGCCATTGAAGAAACGCACCGTGCCCGCATTTCGTTGGTTCCACAGCCTGACACCGTTTCGGGCATATACCACGGCGCAAAACAACGACAGTATGAGGCGACAGCTAGGGGGCAGATTCACCACGTTTGATGCAGCGACCACATGTGCGCCCGCAGCAACACGGTCTGCCCTTGAGCTTCCCGCGGCCACGGTCGCGGTTCCTTGGGGTGCAGATTCCTATCACGTTGAGCTGCTGCGCCGTCGTGTTCTCTCGTTTGCGCCCATGGTGTATGAGCATGTCGTACGGGTGTGCGTCCGAGCGGATTTGCAGCCCGGAGACTATCTACGAGCGGCGCGTCTTCTTTGGCTGGTGCAAGGAGGCTCGGGGTTACACGAATCGCCAGACACAAATTATATCCGTGCGCCAGGTGGAGCAGGGCCATGTTCGTCCCGCGACAGAAGATTGCAGGAGCAAGTTCTTCCTCCAATTGACGGGACTGAGTATCGTATTGTCTGGATAGCGGTCAATGCAGAGACAACGACCGCATTCTGTACGCATGCAGCTCCTGAAACAGGGCACAAGGTAAAATCAACAAACGGAGATGCAGGGTCACCCTGGCTGATGTGTCCTTGGGAGACGTCCTTACGTAGCGAGATACATGGGCAGAAAGAGCTTGCGGTTGGCAGCAAAGGAGAGTTGCTCGTACCATATGCGATACGGAGTGCTCCAGGACCAGGAGGCAACCTCACAGAGACTCGGTTTTTCTGTCAGCCTACAGAAAAAGGTTGCGGGCCGAAAAACAATGACGAACATCCCAATCACGCCTCCCTTTCAGTAGGCGTCTGTTCAGTGTGGAACCCATTCCTGAACCGGGAAATGCAGGTGGCCTGTCGGGCTGCCGTCGCGAGGACGCGTGAACTGCAACCGATAGCAAGATCATTTGAGGATCTCCAAGAGACAACATCAGCCACGAGGTTTCGCTCGACACAAGTGCGCACGTGTGCGCTAGCGGGGCCATTGATTGCGCCCTCTTCTATTGGTACCTCACATACACCGAAGCACGTTCACTCGTCTGACTATCGCCTGCAAATATGTCTGGGTCTGGAAACATGCAAACCGGTGGTCGTGCGCATTTCGGACCACGCAAGAATCTGATAACTTACTTCTAACTCAATTCTGACACTACCAAAAACAGCTTCGCCTTCTGGTAAGCTCTTCGAAGCCTTCAAGTTCCATTGTCTAACCCCAATCCAACGCCATATGTTACTGATACTGTAAAATCTCTGTTTGGAATTGCCAAGGCACTAGGACGACCCTGATCGTCCATAGCCCCCTCACATTGTTAGCGCGCAGACATTCGCACACCCACGCTGAGGCGTGTACACCTGTGCCATCAGTCCTCGCAATTACTACGCTGGAGCTTCGCCTTGCTCTTGGGTTCGAATTGAGAGGTAGATAGTCATAATCGCCTCAATTTGAGTGATAGAGCGTTGGCTCTTGTCGTTCGTGGCGCTGCATTGTACTACTTCGAAAAGCATGAGGACCTCAGGCGTTTTTCCTCTATAACTTTGGTCACGATAGCGGCAAGGTGCGCGGCGTTTTATCTCCTCGTCGGGGTTCCGTGGTCATCGGGTCCTCGCTTATCATTTTGAAAATTTCTGTCGCCTTTCAAGACACTGAAAAAGCAAGAGAGCATATGGACTGCTTGGAATGCGAGTGGATTCGTCATCATGGCCGACAGACGAAGTGCCTGGCGCCTTGCATATCACAAACAAAATAGTCTGTTGGGATTGGCAGTTTGTTGGTGCTGCACCATCAGAAGTGCGGAACTTCCGAACGGTCGCCACCTTTCCGATAGTCCGATACTTCATAATAAGTACGTAATTCACGTACTAGGCAACCTGCATTCGCCCGGACAGCGGCACCGTCGGCGCTCTTTCTCTTTCCAGGAGACTGAATTTTCGGCGCTGAAGACAAAGACCTTGGCATGCTGAAACAGGCTTTGTATGATCTAAATCTAGTAGATGGGCGATGCCTTTCGAAGTGATTGCGTTCGAGGTAGGACCCGACGACCAAGTCAACGCGTGGTGTCTCTTCTTTCTCGCGGTGTTTTTCGCTTTATCAAAACGAATATACAGCAACCCCGATTCCGCGCGCCTGGGAATGAGGTCGGTCCCGGACGACATGCGTACGTAGTACAACTAACGCGCATTTGTTTTGCAAGAACAGAGGAGACCATAGATACGTGCTTCGCGGTCCGCTCTTCTCAACGCGGCACCGAAGCAATGGATGCGAGCATGATTGTTTTGCCATTGTGAAGGTGGGCGAGGGCATTACGAAATCTTAATCGTGCCGGTTTTGTTTTTTTTAGGAAATTTTGTTTTGTGTAACAACGCAAAGAGATCACGTTCTTGAAATGCGAGGACATGAGAAAGAATGTGGTTGGGTTTGGGCGACTTTTTCGTTGTCATACACTACTTTGCTTGATAGCAATTGCAAAAATGTGTCGGTGTGAGAAAGTGCGCGCACGCCTTTGTAGTTTGTAGCAAAGAAGTTCTTCAATGCATACCGAAGCGCCCCGAATTCATATTCAATGATCCTGCCCGGGCTCATTGTGACTTTCGATGCCCTTGGTGGAGCGTTTTGATTAAAGAAAATATCACCACGATGAAGCGTGCTACGTGAGGGTGACTTTTCCGGCAACGGCTTCCAAGGCAAACTCGCCGACCAACGTGCGCCGACGGCAATGCGGTCCGCCGACAGAAGTTGTTCGACAGATCGGCGGCGCCCAACGCCGTGGATTTGTGCCATATGGGCCGCTCTACAGAGCACCCAACAAAACCGCACCAAAGATACACGCAGCGACTCCGCAGCGTGTGGCTGCGATTTTAGGGGAATTTTGGAAGATCGCGCAAGCGATCATTGATTTCTTCGGCAACTTCACACGAAGCATAAGCGGTGGCGCAGACGCTCAATAAGGAAGAACAAGAAGATAGTTGTAAGCGTAAAACGCACGACAGAGCGCGCCTATTGTTGACTAGTCCTTGTAGCACGGGGCCGATCTTCCGCTCGTGTTGCTAGCCCTTGGTTGTTCGAGGGGTCCATGCCATTGATTCCTTGAGGAGAACTTTCGCAAGCAAAATTAAGCGCAGAAAGGGGCAATCTTTCGACCTTTTACCAATGCCCGCCACACAATTAGACGAAAAGCCTTGCACGGGGGTGTGGGTGACCCGGAGAATGCGAAAAAGCGTACAGTGGCCCCATTTAGGGGAGCTCCCACACATGGGCGCTGCATTGTACGCGGCCGCGGAAGCGCTCTCCTTGTGGCGCTTTTCTTATGCCCAGAAGGAGGCCACACGCACACAGTAGGCCTCTGTCGGCATCTTATGTCGTCGTTTATGTTCTTTCTAGCCAGCACGGTCGCTGGCCCGTTTCGTTAATCAGGGAAGGCGAGAAAACGTCGCCGTTCTCACTACCTCCACCTTGGCGGCCGGTTTTGGTAGAGGGGTGGTTACATAGTGAAGCAGTGCGCGGGGCGTCGGGAGCCGTTTGCATTTCGACGCCAGTACATTTTTGCAGCGCATATTTTGACTCTACGCACGATTGGGGCTCTCATACGGTAGCAGGTATGCGACGTTCTACCCTTCTAAGAGCTACCATGACGAAACTTGTGTTGCCGGTTCGTGTTGCTAAAAAAGCAGCGCTGCCCGACTGGAATTAGTCGATCATGCGATTATATTCAGTCCTTGCCATGCGCACCGCAAGCAACTGAATCAGACCTACACGGTAAGCAATGCCTTGCTCAATGACCAGACCACCTGTGCACAATCGGGTCACACGAGTTGAAGTCTCGGTATTTCGTGTGGGAGCTCTGTTTTTTACCCTGACAATAGCACTGATGGCACTATGGAAACAAAATGTCCTTTCCCCTGCACGCAATTTCCGCTGCGTGCTTTCTTTTTCTGTGCACGATAATTTAACTGTTTGTATTGCATGAGGGCAATGAGGCAGCCTCTTGTTGCATTGTGCAGTCGACTCTGTAATGCTGTTCGGTCCAGCGCATGTGCAGAGGAGAGACCGCAACCGCATATCGTGCTAAACAGGAAGACCACTAGGCGTCTGGCTGGCTTAGGATATGCCTGCAGTCTGAGGTCACATCACAAGTTGACTTGTGTCGATGTATGATCATGCTATACGAATCTACTTGATCTGTATCTGTAAAATGCACCGGGAAGACTTTTCGTCTCAATAGCGTTTGAAGTATTTGGTGATGAGTCCGCCACTGCGAGAGCTTCGACCTCCCAGCCAAATGGAAGCGCTACGAATTATCCTGTACGTCGAAGCTGCGCATCTCTTGGAACAACGTCTTCCGGTCGGTGCCCTTCCGCACGCGTTCGTGCTCGCGTGACGCCTAAGCCTGAGCGTAAGCACGAGAAATTTAGCTCTGCATCATGATCAGCACCAGCGAAAATAAATGTAGAACCGCGACCGAAGCAGTAGCCGTCCCCGTTGCACTTGCAGCGACAGAAACAGAATGTCCTGCGCCCCTTCGAGCTCGAGGCTGGCGTCTTCTTTAAGAATCTGAGCATGCCAAATACGTTGATCCGGAGTGAAATCGTAGACGCAGGCAAGGACGCAAAGACTGGAAAAGTTTGCTAGTGCGCCGTGGCTAATTCTGGCTGACGCAAGAACTAGCTACCGACGGTTCTGCTGTTGTGTTCACTTCCTGGCTAGCATCCTCGAGAACGCGCAGACTTTTTGTATATGGGGCAGCACGGCCTTCACGGTGAAAGTCGAGGTGAATAAGTGCGCGCCCCCTGCTCCCCTTTGCGAGTACCTCAAAAGCCCAAAAAGGAGCGCTTTAGATGGAACAGCGTAGACCGAGCCGTCGCCCGCAGAAGCGCGCGGCTCCGCTGCGAGACTTTTGAGAAAGAAAGTTTGGCTTGGTCAGTAGGGAGGACCCGTTCTGTCCGAGCGTCCGCGCGGTTGTTTCGCTTATTCGGGCCGAAGTTCAATTTCCTTTGCGTTTGCCGTTTGTTGCCGTCACGTCTACTTTGACCTATATGCTTTGTGGGATCCCGTGGGCAAACGCAGCAGTAGGTGTATCCACAACTAGCGTCGCGCCATTTCTAGTCAGGGACTCACTCGGTGTCGTCTTCTTCATTTCAAGCCCATTTGTCACAGGATGCGCAAACCTAGCCGTAGTATGTAGTGAGGTCGCCGAACGGCTCTAACCTGGCAGCTTTCTTGACAGTAACCGCCAAAAACGACCGGCAGTTTTCAAGCCTGTAGAGAGTTTTTTTGCCTGGAAAAAATGAAGGCGCGCCAGCCTGTTTGGCTTTGTTGTCAACGAATCGCCGGCGGATTCTATCGATCGCCGCTGGATAAAACGACGCAAGGGAGCCGGCAAAAGGGGCGCCCTTCTGAGGCGCCCACCGCCTTGGTTTCTGGCGATATGGCCAAAAAAACGAGACCAAAATCAGAACAGCGAAGCCACATGGTGCGGCCGCGATTTCGGAGCATTTTGGGCGGCCGCGAAGGCGGCCGCCTTTTCGCCGTTTATAGAGCCTGGGGAGGTTTGCAAAAAGCGCCGGCGCGAAAAATAAAAACGAAAAAAGAAAAAGCGCGCGACACGCGCGAAGCCAATCTGCATGCTACGGGCCCGATTTTCCGTCGGTTCTTGGGCGCCCCCCGTGGCGCCTGGATCGGCCCCATAGCGTCGGGGCTGGCTTCCGGACAGGAATTCCGAAAATTTGCCAAAAAGCGGCCATGTTTTTCAACCGGCCGCCATGCCGTGCGGCATAACCTTACCCACGGCGGCGTGGCGGGCCCAAAAAAAGCAAAGCCGTGGCCAAGGCAACGGCCGGCAAGAAAACGCCACCGGCCTCACTACCTCCGCCCCGGCGGCTATATTTTGTATAGTTCGCTTCGCTACAGCGCGAACGTCAAATCTCCCTCTGGGATTTTACGCAGAGATATATGCTCAGAGGATCCGCATGTTCTAACTTACTTGGCAGCCTCCTTGACATAATCGGCGAAGATGCTGGGCCATGCCGAATTATCGGCGCGATTGTTTCTTTATGCAGACTCACTCGAGAAAGGTGCTGGGAAGCTCAAGCTAGGCAAAGCTAGAGCGTATGCGCTTGATACGTAAATTAAAAGCGCAAGCGCTCTAATTTTCCGCAGCCAATGCAATCAGCATGCCAACAGGCCGACCTCCCGCCGCTGCGACGGCGCCCGCCGGGAGTCCATAGCAGGCCCACCCGCCCGGGGGTATTTCTGGAAGAAAATCCGCAAAATATGCGAAATGCCGGCCAGCGTTTTCGCCCGCCGCCAGGCCAAGCGGCCCCGCCTTATCCGCGGCGGGGAGGTGCGGCGTGCGCAAAAAGTGCGCCGCCCGGCTCACATCGCAGGCGACCGCCTTAGGATAGCACCCGGCGCGCCTTTGCCGGGGCAGGAGAAGGCGCCGAAGCCATTGTTTGTATATTGGCAGCGCCCACGCCGTCCTGTATGCAAAGAGCCTGCTGCAGCACAAATTGCAAAACCCAAGGCGCTGCTAGATCTGGAAACCACGTAGACAGGGGGCTCGAAGCAAATACGAGACGAGGGCGCCCGGCAGAGAGCGAACACACCCCAGCGACCAGCATCGGAGGCGCAGCTGGCGGAAAACCCTTCGGCCCTGCAGCGACAGACACGGTCGCGCCCCCCAAAACTTTTTTGGGTTTTTTACTCGGTGCGCCAATCGGATGTGGAAGCTATGGAACCGCGACACATGTCGCGCCTGCTCTCTAGTGCCATGTGGGCCCTCGCCTGTTTTATCTCTTCGAAACGCAGCCCGGGCCTTTTTAGGCGGGCGTGTTTGCGGTGTCGAAGTGTTTGCCAAGCAGCTCAGCACACGCGCTGGTCGAGTGCATCGGCGCGCCATGTTTGTTTTCGTGGCTCCGCCACGTCGGGGGCAATCCAATGGGCTGTGCTCCTCTGTCGCATGTAGTGAGGCTACCGCGCGGCCCCAGCCTGGCAGTTCTCTTCGCAGAGACACAGCAACACGGCCGGCAGTCTCCGGGCTTATGAGAGAGTTCTACAAGCGTACGACCTCAGAAAAGGTCAAGCGCCTCGGCGTGATTGGCTTCGCCTCCAACGGGCTCCGCCGAAGATTGCTGACAGTCTCGACGATGGCATGCCGGCAGAGGCGTGCCCCGCCCTGAGTTTTGGACTTTTCCGGCGCCCAAAAGAGGGCCCACAGAGGCCGCACGCAAAAGCAAGACGGCCCGCGGCTTTTGGGCAGTCGCGAAAGCGGCCGCCCTTTCGCCAGATTGGCTCACCGCAAGCCGCGGCATCTCCGCGAAGCTGGCGCCCTTCAAAAAATGGAACGCAAAAAGCAAAAAGCGCGCCGGGCTAATAGACCTGGCCCGCCCGCCAAAGGCCCGGCGTTTTTCCGAATCCCCGGGCCGTGAGGACTGGGCGCATGCCATCGAGGCGGGCTTTCGGGGGACCGCACTTAGTGAATTTGCCAAGTTTTTTATTTGCTGGCTGCCATCCCGTTTGGCGTTGGCCAAGCTCCAACCTGCACATGCACGACTGCGGCCCGCCCCCGCCGCTCGCCCACGCGCGCCCCTTGCCCGCTTCTTGGCGGCGCTTTTCGCGTCGGCGGTCGAGGCGAAGGGGACGCAGGAAAGGACCTGCAAGGCGTTTGTTAAGGGGCCTGATTTTGGGTGCTTTGTTATGGCCAAGGTCTGCTCTTCCGGCTCTGCAGCCCGCCGGCCGGTGCAAGGGAACGGCAGCGACCTTACTACCTCCGCCCTGGTGGCTATGCTTGGCATCCTTAGCGAGGCCGGCAGCTTCTTCCGAGGGCTCTGGCTTGTTTCGCTGCTTTCGGGGCCCCTCCAAGGCCTTTGGTTTGGTTGTTTCTTTATTTTTTGCGGCATCACAGAAACTCCGACCCCAGGCCCAGCCCAAGCTTGGCAGAAGATTCAGTCCCGACCCTGATTTTCATGCTCAAGGCCAAGCGCGAAGCTGAGGCCAATTATACCTCCGCCCGAACTAAGACCGCAGCTTCCAAGTTGACGCTGAGGCCCAAGCTTAAGCGCGAAGCAGGGACTCGACCTAAATCGCGAAGTTGAGGCCGAGCCTCTAGCTCGAAGCTGAAACGCAGGCACAGCTATGAAGTTCGTTGAGAGTGAGGCCGCAGCTCGATGCTGAGGCTCGAACGCAGACTCCTGGTCGAGGGAGTCTCAAACTCGAAACCAAAGCTCAAACCGAAACTCGATCGCGAGATGGTTTTTGAAACTGCAGAGCTTCACCTATGTAAAACTTCCACTGGGTAAGAACGGGCTTTCCGTGTGGTTTTCTTTTACGCCGATAGTATCGGCGGAAATTGACACCGACATGCCGAGCAGGTTTTTGCAGAAAGTGCGCAGCTGTATAGACAGGAAGGATGGGTCGGGACAAGGTGAAGCCAGTCGGTCTTGCCTGGGCACGTGAGCATAGAAAATCGCTGCTCGCTGCGTATCAGTGAGGTTCGTGGAGAGTCTTCGGGAAAGTTGCTCGTTTTCGTTGAGAGTGTACAGAGAGTAGTCTTTGCGTCGCGCGTGCCTTGTATGCGAAAAATAAGAGGCACCGGAAGTTGACACAGAGGAGGTCCATCAAGCGGAAAATGTCATCCGTGGTATGACATACACGATTCATTGTCAGAGTGACTCAACTCTTCGAGCAATTCGCTTCGGATGGTTGAAAGTGAGAATTGCCGCATGGTCGTTTTCGTTAGCCTCGATAGACATGCCAAGAAAATGCAAAAAAGATTGCTGACCTACTGTCCATAGATTAGTTGCCGCGCACAATTGACTGTAGCGCCACCATGATAGAAAGTGCGGCCTTCGGGCACCATCACGACCAAACTGGAGTTGCAGTGACGGCGCGCACAGAGGAGGCTTCGGGCTCGCGAGGGCCCCCGGCTGCTGAAAACAAAGGGAGTGGCACACAAAAGTCGATCGTTGACGTCGCAGAGGAATGTACGGTCTCCTTCGTTATTCTGCCCGACTATCCACAATATATTTGCCGCATTCGTACACAAAATGCCGACGGTCCAGTGCCTGACTGACAAGATTCTGTTCGTATCTTCATCGTGTTCAGAACGACAACTATCGTTTTGCAGTTTGGAAAAATTTGTACTATCAACATAGATCATGATCATTCTGTGCGTGTGCGGGAAATATGTACTATTGCATGCCGAGCACTACGGGCAAACAAAAGTGCTCAAGCTGGACCAAACGATACGGGAAATACGAGAGGCCTTGGAGCGGGAGCTGGCCATACCAAACTATGAGAATGCGTAACTCCCCTTTGCCCTCATCTGTCGTGGAAAAGTAGAGATCCACGGATGCTAATTCTTCGAGTTTCAGCTGCGTTGTAGCCTTAGCTAGTAATTGTGAGCAGCGTAGTGCTCGGACTCGACAGCAGCAACCACTACAACAATAGGTCAGCCAAGGGCCGGGGCAACCTAGAGACGAGCAACAGGCCCCGTCGTACACATAAAGCGCGCCTTAATGACGACAGCATGGGCGAAGAACCATGGAGCTCTGGATGGAGACTACTACTCCGCTTCTCGTCGTTGGACTCACACACGCCTGCCAAGCTGAGCGACTAGAGCCTCCGCCTTTGCGGTCCCACGGGGACACTCTTCAGCGGTTCAATCGCTCAGCAGACGGGGCGAAAGCCTCCGGCTGCGCTGCGCCCTGTTCCAGATTCCTTCGCGCCTAGTTCATATCCATGAACCCCATCGGTTCCAACCAGGACCGACGGACGAGCGTGATCGCAGTAAGACCATCGGGGGAAAAGAGGCCGCTTCGCGGATCCCTAGAGAAGGCGCCGACCTAAGCTCGGCAGGGGCCGAATCACATTGCCTGCGTGTTTGCTGGTGATTGGAAAAGTGGCGCGCCTGCCACCTCGCAAAGCTTTCGTGGCTGCCGCCGCTGCGTCATGCCGGTGGGGCACTTGGCCCCCTGTGAAGAAACTCACAGTGGGGTGGCTGGGCTTTCGGGGGGTTCGCCGGTTGGCGTGAGAAACAGGGGGGCAGGCCCAAAAAGTGCTCGCGGCGAGGGGCCTATCGGGGCGGAGTTTTCGTAATTCTCCGCAGCGCTGCGCTTGCGCCCCCGGTGCAGCATACTGCTGGCGCCCTTACTCGGCGGGGGCGGCCCCGGAGGCTGTTTTTCTTTCGTTTTCTCCAAGGGCTGCCTCGCACTACCGCCGCCCGCGCGCGGGCTTTTCCGCCAACGCACTGGGGCGCGCGCTCTGCGTTTTCTTTGTGCGCGCGCCTCCTAGATCACGCGCGCGCAGCTCTCGCCTTTGCCCCGCCCGGCCCTGCTTTGCCCGGCGGGCCGAGTGCCGAGGCGGCCCCGCGTCTTTTGGCCGCTACCGCGTTCCCCCGTGGAGCCCAGATAGCTGCGCCCCCGCTCGGACCTGGCGGACGCTCGGGGGGGGGGGCGCGCCCTCTCGATTCGCCCGGGCGTAGCTCCTGGCGCCCTTTCATGACCTTGCAGCCCCCTTCTGCGCCGGGCGTCTCGGGGCCGCTTTGCGTGTTTTGGAATTGCGCGCGCCGACGAAAGACTTCACGGTCGCGGAGCCCAACTACTCGGGCCTTTGTCCCGGACGCGTGCGCTCGGCATACGCCCGGAAGCCCACGCGGCGGGCTTTCCGGGCAAGCGGCGCCGCCATTTCCGACAAGAGGAAAAATAAGGCGGGGGTGGTTCGCTCACACGACACGGACAAAAATGCGGCTGGCACACTGGCTGAATTCTGCAAGAAGGGTCGCGCCAGCGGCGACTTCCTCGAAGCAAAAATCCCACAGGCGAGCAGCCTTGCTAGCAGTTGCGAACAACGGAGCGCCACAACTGGAGTTGCATGAGTAGACCCACCCGCAAGCTATCAATCTATATGAGCCAGGGCCTTGGTGCGCAAAAACCCGCCGGCTTGTGCGTATTTGCTTTGGATTAAGCGCGCCGAGCGGCCCGCTGCGGCCTCGGCGGGCGCTGTCCTTCGCGCGCACCGCGGAGGGGGGCCCTTGTGTGGGATCCGCGGCCCGCTCAGAGAGCTTGCCGCGCCTTTTTTGCGTGCCGCCGTACTTTCCACGCGCGGCGCGCCCGGTAATTCCGCGCGCTTCGCTGTGCATTAGAGCCCTCCAAAGCCGGGCTGGTCCGGCCCCGTTCCTTGGAGTCTTTTTGCTCTTTTTTATTTGCCACTATTCACCCTCGGGCAAAGAAAAAAAATAGGCGCACGGCCCGCCTTCGGGGTGCTCGAAAATGGGGAACCGCGCGGGGGCCCAAGGAAGCCCCTGCGGTCGTGGGGCGGTCTTCGTTGCCCTGGGTCTGTCCTCTGCACTGCCACCGACTCTGGGAGCTGCGGCCGCGCTTTTTTCTCCACTGCAGCCAGGCTGGTGGCCTCAGTGAGTGCGTGTGTCGGCTTGGGTCTCCCTCAGTCGCGCGCCTGTGCAGTTTCTCTAAAAGCCGGAAGGGTCGTTTTCTCGTCTATCGGCAGACTTCGCCGACCCCGGTTGCCGCTCCCACTAGATCCAACGACTGCTGTAATTGCTGACTTTTCTCCAGCCGGGTCCCATCCTGTGCATTCGTGACCCTCAAATAGAGAGGAGGGCGGGTTGCGCAGTTTCATACAAGCAAGTCGCTCTCTATGATGCAGCTCACGGGCGTCGAAGGTGGTGCCGTAAGTGGTACACTGCAAGACACGAGAAGCCTGCGGCAGTACGGTGTTCGGTGATAAAATGAAAAGCGCCCCGACCCCAGCGCAGACTGGCAAATACAGGAGGGGAGCGTATTTGGAAAGCTGCATGTGCAACGCAGAACATGATAGATTTTTAGCGACGCTCTGTGTTGCGCGGCGGCACAGAATCTATACATAGTATGCGCCATACCAGAGCGTCCCGGCACCACCGCTAGGCTATGAGACGAAATGGACAGTGTTTATTTTCTTCACGTGACATCGCTGTAGGTGCAGGTTCAGGTCTCCTGTATCAATCTGTACCTTCTTTGCTTCTTGCTTTCATGTGGAAAGGCGGGAGCAGCGCTTTTGCACGCGTTTTTATTTATCTGGAGCGTCGTGGGTCGCTCAGTAAACAGAAAGCGACACCAGGCTCCAAGTTCAGCCGCAGAGCAAAGAGGAAAGACAAAAACTGGCTACCAACTGATCCGACGAAAGCGCGGAAGCGCTTTTCCTGCCTGCTCTTGTTGTCGCTCGTATACTTTTTCTGAATCTGTTAAGGAGTGAAGTTTGGCCAGTTTCTGTCTGCAAAGTCGAAAATATAGCAAGTTGAAAGCTGTTGCTGAGTTTGTATACAAGCGACGCCGCGCTTGCGCAGGCCAAAGATTTCCGTTTGGACACTTTAAGTACACTTCTTGGGGAAGGGCGCTTTTTGGTATGATATCCGTCCCGGCAACCAGATAGGAATAGAACTCCGGATCAACTATTATGAAGCTGCAGCGAGCAACTCGTCGTATTTATAGTCTCGACACAAAAGCAAAATCATGAGTCTTCTGCACGAAGTTTTGAAACAGAAACGAAGACTTATCAGAGGATAGTAAGTATGTTTTTCTGTCCGGCCGAAGCAGGAGAAGGGTAGGTTCCTGCTGCCTTGAAAAGCAAAACACTCATTCAGGTATGTTATGCCGGAGGTTTTAAGTGTGACCGTTGCAGACGTCGAGGGAAGGCAAAGACAACTCACTGTTGCAGTTACGCAAGTCGCAGACGGATTTTTTTGAACGGAGCAGGGCCTTCAAATTGATACAACATACCTGGTTAATATATGTGGGTTTACTTTTGGATGGGGAGCTAATAATTAAAAAAAGCGCACACGTCATTCCATTTTTTTTGGTAAGTCTTGAAAATTTAAGCTTGCTGATGTAATCAGAGGAGCAAATGGAAGTGCGGCAAAGTCATGCCTTGGAAGCTCTTTCTTAAAGCAACTCACGGACTTTTCATGAATAGAGTTTGCTTCGACACAACGAGACCGAGGCATGGGAAGTGCTGTTTTGAAGAAATCCCATCTGACCGACTCATAGCAATTGAAAAGCAACAAGCCGCAAAGCCCTATCAGGGTGGATATCGCCACAAGGCTTCGGGTAATTGAGAAACTCATTATTTGTATATCAGTCTGCTATATAAAGTATCCGTTGGTGCTCTCCTTGAACAAAAATGCTTGCAGTTTAAATCAGTAATATTGATTACTTGCTGCCTGTAGCAGGAACCACAACCAATCCACGCGGCGTGGGCCGCGTGGGAAAAAATGCTCCTTGAAGGGTTAATTCGGTACCCGCGCCTGCATTGGTTTAGGGTTTCGGGCTTCTAAGGTTGAGGGTTTAGGATCGTCGGGCACGGGATACTCTTCCTGGCCCCCCTCCCACTCCCTGCGCGCCCTCTGTGGCTTTATCCTGTGCCCGTGCCTCCGCTCCCTCTCGCGCTTGCCTGGTGTTTCTTCTCGCCGACCCATGTGCCACCCCACGGCCATCGCTCATGTTGATGCTCTACGTAGCTGGTTGGGCTTTTGAGATTTTTTGGAAGTTGCTGAGGCCCTTCGGGTCGTTGGGATCGAAGGGTAAGGAGTTGCGATTCCTGTATTCCATCCCAATCCTTTTCTCTTGTGACCTCGGGAAGAAGCCGCATGAGGCAGGAGGCGTCAGATTTGAAGAAAAAAGCGCGATCTTTAGATTGCAGTGGTTCAAAAAAAGGGCAAGAAAAACCAACACCTTTGAAGACGGGCGAGCCATATTGGGCTACTTTCATGCCTCTGCTGGGTACAAGGGGACGCCAAGAGAGGCCAAGCGCTATACTTTTGAAGCAAAAAGACGTCCTTTTGGTTGTTCTTGCTCTTTTAGGCCTCAGGCAAGATCCGGAAAAAGTGGGTCGCAAGATCCGAAAGAAGCCAAGGGCGGCTACAAAGTTGGCCACTGTTGGTCTTCTGCCGGCCGAGCGAGGTCCGGAAGAACGCAAAGAAAAGGGCCCGCTTCTACGATAGTGCGCACATTTGCGCTTGGGCTTCCTCAGAGGTGTTAAAAAATAAGTCGCTTGCGCATCACGAAAGCGCTCGCTTTTGGCCAGATCCAGAAGACGGCAGAGGAGTTGCTTTCTCGTTATAAAGGCGGCCACTCTTCTTGGCTCCCTGCGGAAGGGGTGATCCCGGAGGAAATTAAAAAGCCACTTGCTTCTTTACAAAAGTGGTCATTTGTGCCTTCTACTGGAGGGGCCAGAGCTGGAAGAAACCAAAAGAAAAGCGCGCCTGTCCTTAGAAAAGTGGGCGCCTCTGGAGTCTTCCAGAAGGGCCAGACCTTCCGGAGGCCCGAGAAGCATCCAGCCGCTTTAGCCAAAATGCGCCATCGAAAGTGCCGCGTTTCATTTTGAGCCTTCAGGAGATTTTAAAGGCTGGGCCTTGAGGAGGTTCAAAACCTTCTGAAGGGCAAAAGGTCGCGAGCTGCCGAATTTTCTGAAGGTTTTTTGGACCCAAACGTTTCAGAGGGTTGAGAGAACACCTGCAGAAGGTCCAGACCGCCTGCGGGGGAGAAAAAGAAGCTATACTCTTCCGAGACTTGACCCAGTTCTGTTTTTGTTTCGGTCATTTTTTTACGGCGCTCGAATGTTCACAAGGTTTTTGCCCGTCTTCATGCGGCACGCCATTCGAGCCGTGGGCAAATGTGAGCGCACACTCCCGATATATGATTCACTAAGCCTGTTTCTCCTTTTGGACCTCTGGCCGTTTTCCACTTATCTTAATCAGTACCCCTTGTTTGGTATACCAAAGCATCGCAAACGGAGCGCAATGGCCTTCCCGTTGCCACATGTGCGCAATTCGATGGCGTGCCATCGTTCAAAAAGCCGGCCAGTGCTCGTTCGGGGCGAAAAAGTGGATTGGAAAGGAGCCCCATTTTCTTCAAAGACAGCAAAAACAGGAGGCCTCCAGAAGTGGAAAGGCCAAAAAAGTCAAACTTTGCGGCTCGGCTTGCTTTGTTTCGGAAAAGGAGCAACGGCAGTTTGAACTACGGCTGATGGCGTGGAGCGTTGCGTGGCTGAAATGTTGCCACCCGGGAGGCTGTCTGACCGCTTCTGGGCCAGAATATGAAAAAGACGCAAACTCTCGAGTAGCACAAGCCACCCAAAAAGACTGCGAAACTCGTGCCCGGACCATCGGCCGCTTACAAATTGAAGGCGATGCCTTTAGCTTAAAATGCTCACTCCGTTTGGAAAGTGCGACCCGGAAGAGGCCGCACATTGTCCGGGCCGAAGCAATAAAAAGAACGCATTACTTCTCGGAGCGGACGCGTGCCCTTCCTGCCCAGTTTTCGGCCTCGTTGAGGGCCAGGAATTGCGGCGCTTCCCTTTCTTACAAACGCTTTACTTGGGCGGCCCAAAAGGACTGCCGGGAAACGCGAAAACTACGCAAATCCGTGGGATTCGTCGGCTTTTGCCGGTCCGCCTGCTCTGCTCGCGCATAGACCTTCGCGCTGACTCGGACGCTATGCGCGCTTTTGTGTATCAGCATCAGCCCTTCCGGCGCGACCTGCATAAACGAACTCGGTATTGATAGTCTATTTCCATCTCCGTTTACACTTCTTCGCCATATTTCCCGTGTCTGAGAATATAACGCGCCTGCATTTCAGGCGTCATGTACCATCACGGGAGCACTCAAACCGCCAGGCTCGAGTATGCGTTCGAAGAGGCCGTCTACTGCCGAGCAAGAAGGAGCAAGTTTATAGTGCGGCAATTTTCAACTCAATGCGGTACAAGGTTCGTCCACGCCCTTACTCATGTTGCATGATCATTTGTTACATAGATAAGAAGACGCAAAGGGTATGCTTGCTCTTACGTGCCAGTTAGGAGCGCATCTTCCATATGATATTGAGGAGAAGGAGTATACAACCAAGTTTCACCGAGACACGCTATCAGACGAAGAGTGCGTGGCGTTTACAACACTTTGCCACGAATACTGCACAACTTTTCTATATTTCAGGCAAAAAGTTTTTTTACCCAATAGATAGATAGATAGCTAGCTAGCTAGCTAGCTCTACCCGGCAGGAAGACAAAACTAGTTCTAAAAAATTATTTACCTTATGCGATCAACAGGCTCGAGAATTTGTCTTCTGAAGTCAAATGACTCAGCACGCCTTCTATTAAGTCCCCTAAAGTCTGGTCTGCTAATCCAGGCGGTGGCAATTATTTCGTGCCAGACTTCTAAACAAGTTTTCTTGCCTCTTGGCGGTAGTTTGTCTAATAGAGAGCCCCCAGCTCGAGGCGGCGCCGGCGGCGCCACCTAGAACCCAGTTTGCGTCTTGGGCGGCGCCCCCAGGTTTGCGTGTTGGGCGATTTTTGAAGCGTAAAAAATTTTGGGCTTCGCGCGATTTTCGGAGATCAGAAAAGTTTTGGGCTTTGCGCGATTTTTTGAATTTTCAAAAAAGGGCGATAGTGCGAGGGTGCTAGAGCGAGGCGGACCGCAATCGAGCTTCCCTTCACTGCTAAAACGGGTGGCGTTGCGTCACTCGAGATGCCTGGCTCTCAATGCAATGCAATGCAATGCAATGCAATGCAATGCAATGCAATGCAATGCAATGCAATGCAATGCAATGCAATGCAATGCAATGCAATGCAATGCAGACAATCGACCTTCAGGAACTCAATGACAGGACGAGGGCAGCTCTTCGAGCTCGCCTGACGCGGAGTTTTTGTCTAAGAAGCTCGCGCTGCATTGAATTTTCAAAAAAGTTTCGAAGTTTGCGAATTTATTCGAAAAATTTCAGAAATATTCAGGAGGTGGGCGAATGTTGGGAACTCGTGAATATTTTGGACATTGGCGAAGTTCGGAAAAGGCTGTGGAGATAGGCACCTTCACAAACTCGAGCATATTTTTAATTTATGAAAGCGGGCAAAGTTCTTGCTCTACTTCTAGTTCGCAAAAAAATTTTTTAAGTTTGGCAATTTCAACAGCCCGAAGATGTTTTGAAAGACAAAAAAAAGTCTGCAGCTGCGTTGCGCGATTTTCTTTCCCCGGGGCGCTCGTTCATCTTCCGCAGCGCAGCAATAGGAGACATATGCCATGCCTAGGCGACTATATACTAACTATATATAGTTCATCGTCACACTTAACTAGCCACGTACGCTTCGCGTTTGCCTGTAGAAATGTTAAAGAATAACGCAGCACAGGGCGCCAAGGAATAGAAGGACGGGGCAGTAGTCGCTCGAAAAACGAGAAAGAACTAGGCGCGGACGGGCTTCCCCTGGCGAAGCATGTCGGCCCGGCGCGCCGCGACCCGCAGGCCTGAATGATCTTGCCTGGCTGCGCCTTTCGGCGTGCCGGTTTGCTTCCGCAGGGGCCGTGGAAGTCCGCGTGGCTTGCTGCATGTCCTCCGTTTGCCCCTGCCTGCCTCGATCCGTCCGGGTTGCCGGAGGTGCCTGGCAGGACCCTCTTGGGGCCACTCGGCTTCGCCTGCATGCTGGGGCCCGCAGAAGACGGCGCCGCCAAGGCCTTCCGCCCTTATTGAGGCCCGGTATGTTAGGTGGGTCTATCTCCTGGCTTTGGCTTTTCATTCAGGGCGGCCGCGGTTCGGGTCGCGCGCGCAGCGCGAAAAGGTCGGTCTGCTCGTTTCTGCGGATCGCCAGCGAGATGGTACGGAGAAGGGGCGCGCGAGCGGAGGAAGTGGGGGGCGCCGCGATCTCGAGCGCCAAGGGTTGAAGCTAGAAACACTCGCACAGCAGACATCGGACGCGGAAGCAACTTGCAGCCCCAGGAGGGCACGTGCTGGCTTGTCACCACACATCAGAAGTCGCTAGCTTTCTGCGCTATTGTGCCTCCGCCGGCTTCCCGCCGGTGGGGCGCCCGACTTTTTTTTGCGATTGCGCAGCCAGTATGTGGTTGTAGGTCTGCGCATTTCCATTTGTTTCTATCTCGATTGGGAACCGTCTCTCCTGTGCCTGAACAAGTACCGGTCAATGCGACTAACGGAAAAGGCCGCGCTCTTGCGTCGTGCCATCGCCAAGAAAGCGACTGGCTTCGGAGCGAAATAACGCCCCACCTCAACGTGCAAGAGCCATGGCGCACAGTATGGTGATCTAGAGGAGTGTTGCGCGTCGCAAATGAATTATCTTAGGCCTTGGCAAAAATATAGATTTGGATCTTGAGGGGCTCGCAGGGCAATTTGTAAAAGTCACGCCAAGTATATCGAAGAAAAAAACACCATCACAATCACAAAACTCAAATTTTCAAAATTTTTGACCATCAAAATTAAAATTTCGCTGGACTTTCGCGGCACTCCCGAACCTGTTGTATCTGGTTTTGAGTGTTGAGTTTTGCAGCAGATGATTTATGATATTGGCTATTGGCGGTAAGCTAGCTAGTTAAGAAGAGAGATTTCTGAAGACAATCGTTCAGCTTCCAGCAGACGAACAGTGGTAGATGGGGTTGTCGCCCTCTGGCCCCACCTGGGGCCAGAGGGCGACAACCCCATCTACCAAGCTTCGTCTGCTGGAAGCTGATCGTTTGTCTTCAGAACTCTCTCTTAACTAGCTTACTCAAACCGCCATTTTTGACATAACCAAATAGCTAACACAAAAATAAATACATTCGCATTCGAGAATTGAAAAGTATTTTCTTACCTGAAAATCAAAATAATTTTTTGTTCAGCTCCTGCAAAATTTTGAAAATTTGAATTTTGTGATTGTGATGGTGTTTTTTTCTTCGATAAAGTAGTTTGTGTCCTCGATACGCGCAGACCGTCGATCACAGAACGCGCTCGGTTCAGTCAACACGGGAAACAGGCACCCAAATGCCAAAGAAAGGTACGACATACGGCCAGGCTCTGCGGCCGACAATATCTTGTAAAGCATGAGTCCACTTCTACGCTGATGAAGTGATAAGCTGCAAGTTCTTCGCGTAGCAAGCATATTTTTGATTATCTATGAGTAGTATCATGGTGGTATGTACACGTAGGGAGGTCACGAACGTTGTAAGCTCGCGTCTTTTTTGCCATCTAGTGCGAAAAACGACCGGCAGTTTTGAAGCGGGCGGAGGTGTTTGCACACGAAAAGCCACGCAGTTTTGAGCTGGCCGGGGCTTTGTTCCGAAACAAGCCCCCCCGAAATTGCAGCTATTGCCGTGTATAAAGACGACGCAGAGCAGGAGCCCAAAACAAAGTGGCGCCTTAGGGCCTGCCGATTCGAGGGGCAGAAAAAACAGCGGCGTGAAAACAAAAAACCAGCATGCTGTGGGCCTCATCTTAGCCCACAGTTGAAGACAAAAAAGCGGCCAGCAAAGTCGGCTACTTGTAGGGCCTGGAGCAGGCCAAAAGCAAACAACAAAAAAAGGACGCGCCGCCAAAAGCTGAATGCATGCTGACTGGGTGCTCACGGAGCCGGCCCGGGCGGGCGCCCGGGCGGGGCCATGGCTACCTTTTTTGTTTCCCAAGAGCCTCCTTTGTTAACCTTGTAACCCTCTGCGCGATACCCCGCGCACAGGCCCCCATTTTAACGCGAACCTTTTTAACGCGCAATGCCCAGCGTACCTTTTTAACGCAAACAGGCCCCCTGCTTAACCCTCTGCGCAATACCCCGCGCAGGATAGATGGTGATGATGATGATGATGATGATGATGACCAAGAGTTTACCGCTTTTCGCCCTGTGCCAAGAATCGAAGGCCAGGGCGCCGCATGTTCCAGGCCCGATTTCGGGCACCCAAGGGGTCGACGCTCGCGGAGGCCCAGCCTGGGCCACTGCAGGTGGGCCAGGTTTTTTCTTTTAGTTGGCATGGGTTTGCCGCCTTTCGCCAGAAACCGAAAGCCAGGCCGCGCACTCTTGGCAAGGTTTCTGGCCCTCATGGGGCCGCCCTCCTGGTGGCGGCTCAGCCGGGGCCAGGACCAGCCTGCGGGAAAGCGTTCTGCTTCTGAAAGCAGCTGGGGAGGCTATAAATCGCCTACTTCACTCGCGATATTGATGGCGTGCCGCATCATGCGGAAGAATGATTTGCGCGAGGTCATGGCGGTCACAGAAGGACGCGGTCAAAGGCCGCGCAAAAAAACCGCCCTGGCCGCACTACCCCCCGAGCCGGCTACTACTAATAAAATATATTGGTAGCCAGTGGCGCCGAAAGAACGTGCGCCGGCGACTCTGTTGGCGTTTAGGTGACAAGCTGGGGGATTTGTCCTCTCTATGTGCTGAAGTCACAAGACTTCTACTTACTTAATATGTCTGGTGAGTTTTTTGCCACCGAAGCAGCAAAACGAGCGGCAGTTTGTGTGCGGCCGGAAGTCTTTTCTCCACATAGAAAGGCTGCGGCTTCTTCTAAGCTGGTAGGGCTTATTTGCCGCCGAATAAACCTGCCTGAGTGATAATGTTAATTCTATATCCGCGACGTGAAAAAAGAAAAAGAACGCAAGGGCGCCGGCAAAAGTGGCGGCCTTGTGAGGCACCCACCGCCTGAGATATCGGCGGCTTGCGGCGCTCAAAAAGGGGCGCAAGGAACGCGCCAGCACGAGCGAAACAGGTGGGCCGCCTGGCGCGGGCAGGATTTCGGCGCATCTCCAAGGGCCAAAAGGGCCGCCATTAAGGCGGCCACCTGTGCGGCGGGCAGCAGGCCAAAAGCTGTGCGCTCTAGACGGAAAAACGCCCCAAATAATACAGGAGCCGGCAAAACCCGACAGCCGGCCTGCCATGCTATTGGCCCGACGCCGGGCGCTCATAGGTCTGCGGCCGGCGGAGACCCCTGCGTTTGGGGGCGACTTTCTTTTTTGAAGACAAACAGCCAGCGCGCGACTTTTTGGCCCCAATACTAACTTCCTGCCACGCCACGAAGACCAATATATTTATAGGCGCGGCGGCGCAGTTCTCGAGACAGAGAGCGCGACTGTTCCGCTCATTGCGCTGCGCGAAAAAGACAGAAGGACGGGCCGTAGCCAGCCAAACAAAAAAAACCGCACTGACGTCACTACCCCCGCTGAGGCGGCGTAGTGTATATTGTAAATCGGCTTTTTTGGAAAAAACTGGTCGCGCGCGCTACCATAGCGTGACCGCGTGTCAGTCTCAACAAAACAAAACAGGAGTGGTTTACGTGAGCGACGAGCACGATAAAGTGATCTCAGGCACGCGGTATTTCAGCAGTGCGGACCTTTTTGCGCTCAGACTCGAAAAAATCCAAGTCATACAGTGCCATGCTCGGGGTATGTTTGCACGGAGACGCGCGCGCATGCTAAGACAGGTGAGTACTATGCTATGTGCTTTTCTGTTCGCGGCTAAGACCGTAGCTATCCTACGAGACTCGAAGAGCTGCGCCCGCTAGGCCTGGCAACACAAACTTGCGCTAGAAGGAGCAGAGTTCACAGAGTTCCAGGGCGGGACTCGTTTTTATGGCGGGGGAGAGCACCTCCGACGCCGACCCCTCCTTTTGGTTTTGCTCCACTTCTTACATGCGTCAGCGTGTGAGAACGCATAGCACTGTCATTCTGGGGGGGGGAACCCCCCCCGTTCCAGCGCGCATTGCTGTGACCGTGTGAGAAGCTCCCCTTTTTTCATCCTGGGGGAGGAGACCCCCCCACCCCACCCCACCCCCGCCTCCCTCTTGTATCGCGCACTGTGATCAACGTGTGAAAACCGGCAGCACTTTCTTCCTGGTGGGGGAAGACCCCATCCCACCCCCCCTCCCACTTTTCCAGCGCGTGCTGCTATGACGGTGCGGCAACCTGCACTATGTTCACTCGGGGGGGGGCGAAATCCGCCCCGACATCCCCGTGACCTCCATGGGGGTGAAGCCCCTCGGCCTTTCCGCCCGTAGCGAGCGGCAGCAGGCCAGGAGTGCAGCCCCGCCCGATAGCGCTAGGGAAGCGGCGCCAGCGCATGCTGGGCAAGCGGCAGCCGCGAGGGAAGCGAAAGCCGGCTAGCGCAGGGAAGCGGTAGCCGGCTTGCGCAGGGAAGCCGTAGCTGGCACTCTGAGTACGGTGTCGTTCCGTTGAGCAAGCCTCTGCCAAAGTGCCTTCTGCCTTAGTTCAGGCTGCTTCTTGTTGCCCTGTCCGGTTGCTATGATGGGTAGGGTCCCTCTCCCTGCGTGGCTAGGTGCTGCTACACGACGGACCCCGCAGAGGCAGGTGCTATCCCACGGAGGCTGACTCGTTACCCGACTCGCCATGTCAAGCCCGGCCCGGGGGCAGGCCGGCTCGTGCCCGAACGTACGCCCATACATAGTAATGGATCCGATGCCGTTCTTTCACCTGGGCCCGGCCTGAAAAGAGTGGCTCCGGAATACCTCGCGGGGCGCCAGGAGCTATGCGTTGGATCTCCGCTGGCTGCATTGCCAGGAGTGTAGGATACCTGCCGGCCGATGCGACGGCGCTGGACCACGTTCCACAGCCCCATGCTGCACCCTCGGCGTGCTCTCGTCGGTCCGACGCCTGATGCAGCTGCCCGTCAGGGCAAGCGTACGCAGGAGTGGGCTGGGCTAGGTGCGGCACATTCGTCGCACCTCCTTGCCAGGCCGCGCACCCTACCGGCGAGATGGGGAACACCATCCACCCCAAGGACACGTGGCAGAGCTTGAGGATTTATTTTTGCGGTGCTCTAAAACATTTCCATCGTGATGAAGCGATGACAAACAAACGCCAGTACTACTACTTCCCCAAACCACAGCGTAGAGACGAGAGCGCGCAGCTCGCAGTCGCGAAAGAGCAGAGGAAGCAGCTGGAGGCCGAGTTGCGACACAAGCGCGAGTATCCGCTGCAAGCGCGAGCACCCGCCTGGATCAAGAAAAATGCAAATTCTTGCGCTTGCTGCTGCTGTTTGTGTGCAATGAGAATGACGAGAACAGTGGCGCTTCAATTCATCACATGGATTGGCGTTTATGGGAAAATTATTATGAGTGTGCTGCAGGGAACGTCAAGCTGAAAGCAGCGGACATTGCCCAATTATGGCGGTTCGCTGTTTTTTTGCTGTATCTTTTATGACGAGCTCGTATCAAGAAAAGAGTCAAAGAGTTGGTAGAAATGAATGGTTGAGTATGAGCGTCAGACGGAAGGTAGCTAAGACGTGATGAGTAGCGGAATTGCCTTATGTACTCAAGCACACGCATTGTAAGCACTCTTGCATTTTCTTCGACTCAGATATGTTTGCAAATGAAAACGAGATTCAGCGGCGCATGCATCCCAGGACGTACGAAGACTTCGCAGTTCTGCACAAAGAATTGGAGATGTGGCGAGTAAAAGAAACCCGAAGAATAAAAGAAGGTAGAACTGTGGTAGTTGTTTTCTTTGCCTTCCTGAGGTTGCCCTCATGAAACAATTCTCATCTTTGCAAATAGCGCTCGTCTATTTTGCGCGACAGACTTTTTGTTTTTACACCGCATGCATTATACCCAAAATAGATCTGGACACCAGTAAGGAGCAGAAGCACCAAGCCTTGGAGCAGCTGCTGCACAAAGAGACGAGGTTGCTGCAGACCCTGGACAAGTTGAAGACTCAGGCGCACAAGCAAAACAAGGGCGCCAAGGTCCGAAAACAGCTCGAACAAATGTCACAGCGTATCCTGGGTAAAAACCTCAAAACCTCGCCGCGTGGCACGTACGCAGCAGAGAAGTCCACTTTATTTACTACATCGCGCAGAGTTCGGGTGTGAACTTACTGCCTGACCGTCTTCGGAGGTGGTTTCTAGATCCAGTCTGTGTGCCGGTTTTTACGTCGGCGCGACTTAGGGTGCATGGGGTAAAAATACGAATGGCCACGCCGGCGTGTCCGGCTACCGCTTACCTGACGTGCACAATGCGCGAAGTTGAATAAAGTCAAAAGTCTGTTTTTGTGTAGTCTACTCCATGCATCGGGCGATATTGTCTGGGGTGGTTTTTGGACAGGATACCTCCAAAGGTGTGGCGGCAAAGTGATAACGAGATTGTACGCAAGACATTTGAGTGGCTGTCTCTCCGTTGTCCCGGTAACCTCACATGGAAGACATATCACAGACGCAGTGCTGTGTGGGATTGGTTGCAGATCGATTTGCAATGCGAAAAGCTCAATTGAACAGAAAAAGCATACAACATCGTGATTGGGTTCAGAAGCAGCTGCAGGAGACGCAGGCTGTTTTGACCAGTTGCGGCCGTGTGCGCAGCATGACGAGCTTGCGTTTTTATGCAAAATGAAAGACTCAATGAGGCACTCCCACTTGAGCTTCCAATGGATTTCTTGTGAGTCGGATCGTGGCAATGGAGAATCAGCTATCTGGCGCGTATAAGCGACAACGGTCCACACACCCTACACCACTAGGGCAAAAGAACTGCTCGACCTCTTATGATCTGCAAGAGTGATGTAATCGCTTCCGACACTGGCCTCGCTCATTTCCTCCAGCCGTTTTTCTATGAGTGCGCATGTCTTGTTGCAACCAGTTGTTATTTGGCAGCATATATATGCTTAGCATAACCACGGCTGCGCGACTATGCCACTGTTGCAACGCATACCTCTACAACGGCCTCAATTTGCCCCTCCTGTCTATTGACGAAAGGCTCGACGTGCTGCTACACGTATAGCTTTGTTCTTTTTGGTCTTCGTTTTTTGACTCTCGGAGATCGGACCTTCTGGCTATCTCTTTTATTCGTCGCCACCTCTACCTCTAGGCAAAAACAAAAAGTCGTCTTGCCAAACACATCATGCACAGAAGTGGATCGTGATGTATCGGCCGTCGTGCCTCTGCCGACCGGCTCTCGTACGAGGGATCTGGTATTAAGAATAAAGAGAAGAACTGGAATAAAAAAAAGAGAGAGAAAACTCGTTTATGCGATACTGGCCGCCACGCAATTTCTTTTTCTACGCATTCGCCGTGGCGCACTAAATTTACATGGGTCGCCGGGAAAGGTCGGCGGGCCAAACACACAACGCACGGAAGTGAGACTATGTGTCAGCCGTTGCGCTTCTTTTACCGAGCGATCCTCGTACGAGGGGGATTGGGCGTGATGCTAGCAATTTACATCGGTTGCCCTCGCCGCGCCACCTCTAGGCAAAAGGTTGCCGCGCCAAACATACAACGCACGGAAGTGAGTCGTTTTCGTCATGTATCAGCCATCTCGCCTTGTCTACCGTCCGATCCTCGTGCGTGGGGGATCGCGCGCTGCCCTTCGTGTCTAGTACTGGCTATCACGCAGTCTCTATGTAGTCGCTGTTCCGCACGAAGTTTGCGCTGGTCGTCGTGCCACCTTTAGGTATATTGAGGTTCTTGTCGTTCCAAACCCACAACGCACGGATGTGAGTCATCATTTTTATGTGTCTACTTTTCGGCCGTCGCGACTCTACCGACCGATCCTGGTACGAGGGGAATCGGGCGTGTCCCTTTGGATACAAATAAGTACGCACCGCACGACGGCAGTGAGTGGTCACTATGTATCAGCCGCCGCCGCGCCTCTACCGACCGACCCTCGCACGAGGGGAATCAGGCGTGGCTCTTTGGATGCAAATGTAAGAAATCATATCCAGAATGAGTCCGAGTTTATTCCTGATTCTTAGATCAATTTGCAATGACGTCTGCAGGTGAAGTGGACGGTAAAGGAGTTCGACTGCAATCTGACCAGAGACATAGTCGACTTGATTGATCGAGAAGCCGACATGTTGAACCGAGGCCGCAGCGAGTCGAGCTTCGCTGGCCTACGAAAACGGCTGGCAAACTTGTTCCTCCAATTTGTCGAAACGCCGGACTTCAACCCCGAGGCGAGTCGATTCCAGCAGGTTCCGCGGGACATGATTCGTCAGACCGCAGTGCAGCCGCTGTCTACCGTTCCGCTCAACACTGCAGTTGGCCGAAAATGACCAGAGGAGGAGAACCAGCATGTCCCCCGGTTGGCCCGATGCATCAGTTTCGCGTTACTTGTTGTGCTGCCTGATTCCGAAGTAGCTTTCATGCCCAGCCAATTATACTATATGAATACAGCCCTATCCTATAATTTAATGAATCTAAATACGCTCGTTCAAGGTTTGGGCGTTTTGCTTTTCCTTTTGTTAATGACTGACCCGCATTATCTCAAGCATGCTGCAATTGTCAACTGATATTCCGTGAGCAATGTGCTTCAGGAATGCGCAGGGCTTCCACTTAGGTAACAGATTTTTCCGCTCTATAATTCAACCGTGTGATGATTTGCTACACGGAAAACAATCCGAGAACATTTGGCGCTCAGGCTCCGGCGGTTTGGAAGCAGTTGGTTTAGTCTCTTCGCAAGACCACGACCATACGGATGCATGTTTCATGTATATAAAATCCCGCGGGACGTCTGCCGCGATCAACCGAGACCGAACAGATTTCAATCGAAAAATAGGAGTCGTGTGGGAATAGCTCTGCCATCGTTGAGTATGTGCTGCATTTTATTCAGACCGTGGCTTTTTGTTTCTCTTTAATCCACTTCGCAGTTTTCGATCGCGAGGCGATGCTGTTTTTCTGATTCGCTGTAGTTTCGCGCAGTCCTGGAACTATGGATCGAGTCTTGTCGTTCTAGCGAAAGGCTGTTACTCACTTTTCTGTAAAAACTAACTCAGGAAACGCAAAAGCAAAACCAAAAAGAAGTAGAACGAAGCCCGGCCCCTTTTTTCGTTACCCCTCCCCTTTTTTTCTTTTTTTCTAGTCTGCGAAACAGTAAAACGAGGTGCGTACCCCGCGCGTCCCATCGCACGATAGATAGATAGATAGATAGCGATTACAACTCAGAGCGGAAGCCTATGGACGTAAAGTCGTTGGTTGAGCGAATCATTGTCAGCAGCCCGCAAAAGCCCGCAGCAGCTCGCTTTATCGGGTCTCGCGGTTTTCGCCGAAAAATTAGATCAACCCGGTGAATCATCAGTAGGACTCGATGCTTAATACGCTGGACGTTTTTCTCCTACGTACTACTTACTGCCTCGCTTGCGGATGTTCGCGCATACATGAAGGGCGATTTCTGTAGTTGTTAGAGAGTAGAGGAGTCGCTTCCAGAAGGAGTGAAAGCGATCGGAATCAGTCACAGTCAATAGATGGGCTTGGCATACAGTAGCATTTTTCAGCGACTGCCCCCCGGGGCCCGCGTGGTTGTGATGGGACCTCAGAACGCGGGCAAGAAGACGTTGGTGGGCCGGCTCAAATTACAGGAGGAAAAGATCGTAGTTCGCATGCCGGATGCATTCAGCATTCGAGCCTTTCGCACGCCTCCGACCACCGTGACCGGATCTGGCCGGGCGGACGGCGTAGGAGATGGACCACGATATGCATTGCAAACATAGTATCCATCTGGGTCTGCGAGGTATTGATGCTAATTCTTGAATGACAAAGCGACTGCTGCAGGAAGCAACGGGTCACAAGTGTTGTAGCGCAGGATAATTGGCTCGTCTTGTACATGACAAGCCCGGTTGTTGTCTGCGCGGATTCCTACAAGAGAGGTAGCTTGTCCCCAAGTGGCGACGAAGAACGGGAGCAGCAGAGCGCGGCGAGGTTCCGGCACTGCAATGGCTCCCTTCTGTTTTCAGCATAGCAAGCCGCACTGGCCACACCTCGCCCCCCGTAAAGGATAGAAGTAGCCCCCCGCAAGTGCGGCCAATGCCGTCCGCGCGTGGTCCCATGCTGTGCGACCGGGGCCAAGGTTTTGGACGGTCCGTGACGAACGTGCTGGACAGCCAGGAGATCGTATGATATCCGGGGCGCGATCTCGCACTCTCCGGCCGGCTCGAGGTTGGTGGGAGGTGGCGCCTCGCTGAGACCGGGCTTTGGCAATTCTTGGGGGCGCCTTTCTGAAACGCCGAAACCCGCAGAGACCGGGCCGACCGGCCAGGCAATCGTTCGCTACCTGCTCGCTTCGCATGTTATTGATAGTCTGCCTGATGCGGGTTGGGCGTTCGCCGGCTGACTAGGCGCGCAGCTTTTGCCTTTCCCGGCTGGGTGGTAGAGCAATCTGTGGCCGGGGTACGTCGGAGGGTGTTGCTTCGCCATTCCTTTTCTCCGCGTATGACAATCGCCTCGAACAGGGACTGCCAGCAAAGTGGGGCGGCGCTGCGACAAGCATGGAAGCCGAGAGGGGCAGCGCTACACTTCGAAGCGCAGGCGACAGGGCGTCAGCCACAAAGAAGCGGCGAAGGGCTCCGGGTGGCTGCCTATGCGAATCTGTAGCGCGTCGCCTGGGCTGTGCCGGCTCCCCGCGAGAATGTGTCTAAGGCAGGCCGCTAATCTCCCATGGGGGCCACGGGGTTGATCGGGTTGAATCATGAGCAAAACAGCCAATCTACCTGGTAGATGTAGGCGGCAGCGCGCCTCCCTGCGTTGCGTTACCACAGAACTTGCCGGAGGGGTGTCAGTGATGCGCGTGCGCCGGCCAGCAGCGCAAACAGGCCGGCCGGCCACAGGCCCGGCGGGGTTGTTCACATTGGCGGCATGGGCAACAAGAAGCCGCTGCGCAAGAACGGCAGGCACCAGCGAGCTTGTTGGCGCCACGACAAAGGGCGACGGACAGGACGCGGGCGAGGCGTGCAGCACGCAGGCGGGCCCAGGTGCAACGAGGCGCCTACGTCCAGCGCGCGCCCGCTGAGTGGTTTGCCTTGTTGCCAGCAGGCCCGGCGAGCAACCTACTGCTGCAGGACACGCGGGCAGGCCGAAGAAAACAAGCGTGGCAACGGCGGGGGATGCAGCGCAGGGAGCGCCGGCGATGTATTGCGATGGCGGGGGGCGCTTCGGGTCAGGGCAAACCGGGCGCACCGGAACACGTAGCGAAGGCAGGGAAGCAGGCGAGGCGATGCGCCGCAGGGGCAGGGAGCGAACGCCCGCGAGTGCGATGTTGCGTTGGCTGCAGTGTTCCCGACCTAGAATTGTTTGCAATGGATGCATGACCTGCGGAAGCAACGCCGTCGGTGCTGTGCCTTGATTTAACACGAAAAATCTGGGCCAAGTACGCTGCGGATTTGCGGAAGTACTACAGTCAAGCGGAGTGTCTCTATGAGAGTGCACAAGCCCTCGCCCACGTCAGTTGAAGGGCATCTGCAGAAAAAGAACAAGGGGTAGCGAAGTGGTCGCAGCCCCTGTATGATACACTGGGAAAGGGGGAGCGGTGCACCCGCATAGTTGCATTTTCGTCGTTGACAGTAGTGACCGAGATTCGCTACTGGACGCCAAGGATCTGCTGCGCCGGTTGCTGAAAGACCCTTCCGTCACGGATAGTGTTATTCTGGTGCTGGCAAACAAGCAGGACGTGGACGGCGCACTGTCGGTGGGCTCCGTGACACGCCTGTTGGATCTGGAGCAATTCAACAGCTTGATCTGGCGCGTCATTTCCACATCCGCGCTCTCTGAGCAGGGCGTCTACGAAGCCTTGGACTGGATGAGCCGAACAATCGTCAAGAAGGCGGAGCTCGATGCAGATTGAGATGATAGTGCGTGCCTAAGCAAGTGCGAAGCACTCACGCGCTTGGCTGTAGCAAGCCAGCCGGAGTAGAAATGCAGCGCCGCGAGTGGGAGCACGTACTATCGACAGAGGCGGTCTTTCTCGGATAGTACATTCAAGGTCTGGGGGAGCAGGTTCACTACGGACAAGCGAGTAGTGCAGAGTTTAGATCTATAGAATACTGCTATTGGGAGTTTTCATCCTGTGACTGTTGCTTTGTGTTCCTACGGCCGCTTTTCGGAGCAGTGCCATTATTTGTGTAGAATACTGCGAAAAGGCCCTTGGACAATTATACTAATGAATATAGGACTATAGTATGTAGCTAGCAGTAGCACGGGCGGTCGCTCCGCGACCGCTGGAGAGGTGTGGAGTATACTAAAAAACGACGGGCCCGATTTCCTAGTGGGAAGGCTGCACCAGCCGCGGGGAAGGGGTGGGGGGCGAAAACCCTACAAGCACAGGGCTCGTCCGCGCGCCTGAGCCCCCTAGAGAAACACAAAGGCGTGGCAGCGGCCCGCCCAAGTCCCCCGGAGCAGGAGAAGCTCCGGGGAACAGAAAGGACGCCTGGGGCAGCCGCAAACGGGAAGGGGGCGAGCCTTCCGAGCGGTTCCCGATTTGCGAGGACCCCTCCAAGGCGGTGGGGCTGCTTTTGACGGGACCCACAAGACCGCGGACGCGGAGCATGCAAAAAGAAGGGCCTAGCCAGCCCGCCACCTGCAGCCAGCACAGCGGTGGGGCTTGGCGCGCTGTTTTTGGGAATCATATTTATACATAGGGCGCCGAGAAAAGGCGCGTCCTGTTCTTTGTGCAGGGCGGCGGGGGCATCCACACCAAGAAGGGGCCACCCCCGCGAGGCAAAACGGGGCGGCCCAAACAAAGCGCAAAGCCATCTCCGGCGCCGTGGCATGGCCGCAGTTACTTCGCATGCACCTGCGGGCACAGCATCACGCGCCGCGCCACCCCTGTCCAGTATCTATTAACTCGCCCTCTTAGGGTTGTGCCCCATTTTCCCGGGGACGAGCGCCACACGCACACCGCGCTAGCACACAGACACGGCCTGCACGGCGCTAGTTACTCCACAGGGCAAGGGAAGCCAGCAGCGCGGGCGAGCTGTGGCGGAACCTCGGGGCGAACCGGCCCGCGAGGCACTGGGGGCAAATTTCTACTAGTAAGTTTTCTACGTAGTAAACTTTCTACTAGTAGCCTTACTAATAGGTAGAATTTTTGCTCCCTTGTTCCGATAAACTTACTAGTGACGTTGTTTACCAGTAAGAGTTTGCAGATTTTCGTAAACTAGGAAGATTTCACTAGTAGAAATCACACGAAGCGCCAATCGCATTTCTTGCCGTATAGTAAGTATAGCTGGTATTGCGAGGCCACCGAACGGCTCTAACCAGGGAGTTTTTTTGGCTTCTCCCGCGCAAAACGACTGGCAGTTTTCAATCCTACAGAGAGTTCCTATACATGAAAAAAGTCACAGCGTGCCAGCCTGTTTGGCTCTCCGGACTCGAAGTGTCGTTATGTGAGGGATAAGTCGGCGCTCGTCCTTTCGAAGAGTTATATTTATTTTTGCGGGAAGAAGTAGGAGTTGAAGTAGGCTCAAACGCTTGCACGCGTCTGCGTCGTCGTTTTGGACTGGTGCAGATAGTGTCGAAAATTTTGCAAAAGGGTGGCGCACTGCGTTGAGATTTTTGGGGCCCTCACTCGCTGCTTCTTGCCATCGCGTCCATAATAAATACTTAAGGCTATTTGTCATGATTTTGGTGAGACTGAGTGGCAAGAAAGAGCGAGAGTCTCCTCCTTGCACTGCGTAGTGAATAAGTAATGGATCTCGGTTTCAAAGACTGGAATCGGTGAAGAGGCTTCTGCACATCTCTACAGCATGCAACGACATCGCGCTCGGAATAATACATCGTTTTAGAAGAATCTTTAAGTTCAGGTTGCTACTCTTTGGAGGAGAAGCACGGCACTGTTTGTGATTTTTACTCACTCAACTTCATACATACTCTTTTCGTGCCTTCTGCGGAGCAAGCGCAAGTCCTGTGATGCCAGAAGTTGAGGCAAACGAACAGCAAGGCGGCGCAAGCCCAACCGCGCAATCTGGGAGCGCAGAGTCACTTTCTCCTGAACGCAGCCCCGAGCTGAGTCCCGCAGGTCGCATATCAGAAGCGAGTCATGACGATAGCTTTGTGCCAAAAAAGTTGAAGCCAGAACAAATTCGGCAACTCAGCAACCAGTCCCTCGGCGACGTCGCAAACCAGTACCACCAGCGGAAGTTTCCGAAGGCCTTTCGTATAGGATTTGTCTTGTATTGCGTGTGAAATTTGAATTTCGCGAGAAGTACTCTTTCGCATGCTTGTCGTATTGGAGGGCGGTTGGGGCAGTTCGTGTCGCTGTGTCAACACCAATTTGGTCATTGACCTCTCTGGTACTACTGATAGCGAAAGTAATTCCTGCACCTGTTTTATTGTATTGATGTATCACTTAACAGGCCAGCGAGACAAAACAGTGGAGATAAATAATTACGCGGGCGTATCGTGTGCAAAAGCTATACCGATCCATAAGCAACGAGACATCTTTTGCCACTGCACCGCGAGTCACAGGGCCACAAGCCCATGATGCCAGCACGATAAAGAAATTTCCCAGCGCGCATTCACGGATCAGTCCGGAATACAGACGGTAGAAATATACGACTATGCAGGCTTGGTTCGAAAGTCAACTTTCATAGATATAGAGCTTTGCTGTACTAGAGAGGACATGTGGAAGACATTAACTCACGAGCATATATGTGCCCCACTCTAAGCGCGATGTGCTCTCGTCGGTATCTGTGAAATGAGGACGCGAAGTGTCTCGAAGGCCCCCGTGAACAAGACGATCACACGTACCAGCTGACGAGCAGAATGCTTCCAAGCGACTCGCTTGCCTGCTCTGCTTCCTCGCTCTTCATCCTTGGTTCCCATGCTCCTTCGTCATCTCTCCTCCTTGAAAAATTGAAATTGTCAGTGTCGTGTGCTATTGTTGTGTTTCTCTTGATAAAACTTCTGTCCTGTCGGATATCATTTTGCACAGGATAGGCAGCTGGTATCATTCCTTGCACTCTGGTGGACGGAAAACTACACCTGTTACTCAATCAGCCCAGGCTATGGAGGCGTTGGGTGGGAAGTTGTCAAGTTGGGAATAATTTGTCATGCATAGACGCGACAGCTCCGACACCGACAAGTTGGACGTGGATTCGCCATTTTGCAGCGAAGCATGACAAATTTACTTTAGCCCCTGATCCTGAACGGAGTTTTTATTTTTAGTTCTGGCCACCCGAATAGCAATAGCTCCGCAGCGACTTCATTGAGCCGCATCTATGATGCTTGTGCTCAGGCCCTTTCTTTAGCATTGTATGCAACGCGGAGCTTTGGCCCGTGAGCTAGAAATAAGACACATGGCGAGCGTTCGTGGTTGCGGTCTGTGTAGTCTGACAAATCATTTTGCTTGCGACGTCGCTACATTGCTGGGATCATGAGCGCTGTTGTCCTTTCCTTAGAATAGAAATCTGCGCTCGCCCCTGGAGCAGCTCTCCAGCACAGGGAAATCTGCTTATTAGTATATCAAAGGTTTCTGCGGCTCCTAAGGAATTTGCTACAACGCTGCTGCTGCAAAGCGGCGCATCAGGGGTGGCCACTCAAGGTCGAGAAGCTGGCTAAGTGCTGCTGCCACTGAGAAAAAACTACTGTTGCGGCGGCCGCCTTAAGATTTTTGCCAAGCTGCCACTTTGTAACAGCGGCGCGCTTAAAGGCCGTGAAGGCGGAGGCTCTTTTCTTAAGGAGTTTGCTGAGGGCTCCTTAGCAGCTTTCTACGGAGCTCGCTCAGGGCTTCTTACCCGATTCCCAAGGAGCTTTTTCAGGGCGCTCCTCAGGAGTTTGCTAAGGGCTCCCGAGCGGCCTCCTTAGGGGCCCGTGCGCTTTGCCTTTTGCGCTTTGGCCTCCTGGCCTTTTCGCTTTGGCCCGTGTTCTCGATGTGGCTCAGACGCGGGCGCTAAACTTAGCAAGGCAAGGCGTGAACTTTTGCCATTGCGCCTCCCATAATGCCGCGAGCGCAATTTGTTTGGCTGCGGTTTGCTACTGTATACCAAAAAAAAAAACGCCGCCGGCGCTCCCCGACCTGATTCCCCGGATTTCGGTAAATGCGAACAGTACTCAAGAACCCTCGCGGAAGAATTAGATCCCGCGGGGCCACCTCTTTTTCCGATCTGAAGTTGTCTATGTGATATTTCGCTGCGTTTTTATTTTTGTGATTTGTATAAAAAAAAAAGAAAAATCCCGCAGGTTGAAGAGATCGAAATCGGAACGGCGACGGAGCTGGGGCGTCGGGTTTGCTTTGGCCGTTTCGCCTTGCTTCGCTTAGGCTCGCCTCTTTTTGCATTGGCAGGCCGTTCCGCTTTTATCTTTCCGCCATGCTTGATTCTTTCGCTTCGGCCTCTTGTTTCGGTATCCGGGTAGACCAGGGCCCCTGCTCAGACCAGGGACCCTAGACCAGGGCACCTGGTAAAACCCGGTCCCCTACGAGCTGATCGCTGCCGCGGGGTGGCCTACTCCTGGCCGAAAAATGTGCGCCAGCTTGCCAGAGTGCCAGCGGCCCATTGGCGTGCGCCCGTTCTTTGCAGACGATTTTGTAGCGGATTTCCGAAGGGAGGTTCTGCAATCCTTCCTGGAATCCGCTGGCCAAATCTGGCACATGCCTTCGGGGAGGGGCCCACGCCACCGGGGAACGGCCGACAGACGCGGCGGGAATCAGGCCCGAGGCTGCCGGAGAGGATTCATCCTTTTCGAAGTCCCCGTCTGCCTAAATCGCGCCACGCCCTCGGGGGCCGGCCGATTCAACGGCCCGGCAATAGGGCTCAGACCATCGGGGATGGGCCGCGGGGGGCGGATACTCCGGGAGGGATTCTGGGGCGAACCCTCGGCGGAGTCCTCTGCCCATCCAAGTCGGATACACAGCGCCGGGGAAAGGTCGACGGCCGGGGCTGGCCGAGGGTCGGTGGGGCTTCTGCGGAATCCCCTGCCCGGATTGGTCCCCGGCCTTCGGGGGTGGCCGGGGGAGAGCTGTGCGCAGGTTTGCCGGATCTCACATCTTGGCCGCAGGCCGTTCGGGGTTGTCTGTCGTATCCCTCCTCTCGATTTTGGCGCGAAGCCGTATCGCTTGCACCATGTGGCCACAAATCGAACCGTGCAGCGCCGGCGCGCTACATTCGTGCGCAATCTCAAGAGGGACGGCCCTAGAGCGGGGGCAGGGGCATTCCGGGAAATTACTTTCCCCGACCGAAGCGATAGCGTTCGGAGTCGGTGTCGGACTGTGGGTCTGAGTGGCCGCGCCACCGTCTCGAAGCGGAGAAACAGGCTCGGCAGACCGGCTGCCGGTAACGCCGGTCCAGATGGACCCTGCCTGGCCGCGGGAAGTGCGCTTGCTTGACGATCTCCCACCTGGGTATTCCATACAAGCACGGGAAGAAGGCCGGGGTCAGGTGGTATGACTTCGGAGGAAAGAAAAAGGACAAACTATTATCCCGTGTGAAGTGGTCCCCATCCCGATGGTCGTGTCGCATATATACTCAAATATATAGTGGATGCGCAGCAAGTCATTCGGTTTCCCGTGACAGTCGCTTTCTACCATTGTTGGGCATTTTCGTCAATAGTCTAATAAGGATAAGGGAGTGGTGCTACTATACACGCTGAGCACGCGACGGCGCTGGGCGTCAGACGTATTGTGCGGAATTGTGAAAGTTTCTGGATTTCTTGTGTTGGAACTCGTTACGTGAGTCTGGCATGGGGGTGGTTTTGCACGGGATAAGTATGAAATTGAGCTCCATGCTCTCGCCCAAGAAAAAATACAACCCGGTAACTCGCACACCTATGTAAGTATGCTACTTACGGGGCGTAACTAACTAGTGAGTCACTGCTGTTGTAGTGATAGTCTTCGCTATCACTTATTTTTCTGTCAGGGATTTTCTCGTAAAAGGCTCACGTAGAAGTGAGCACAAGTGGCTCTTCGATCAGGAGTCTCAACGTTGAATATCAAGTTGTGCTGCAGTCTTCTACCCATCAAAAACAACAAACGCTGTGCGTTTTTGGATGGGCTTTCTTAGTATTGCAGCGTCAGTCCCGGTCGTGAATCTTTCTTATGCGGTCTTTTCTGCACATAGTCTGTGCATCGCGAGATATTTTTCGCAGATGGTGTTACACGGATACAATACATATAACGCGACGCCGTCTTTTTCTCGGGTGGGGAGAGTTTTCGATATGATTGAAGGTGGAGTTACCAATCGAGTGCGGTAGTGAATGATTTTTTTTTCTAAGCGAAGTAAAGTCATGGTCGCGTAAGACTCCGAGCTTCTCGTTCCTATTGGTGATGTACTCATGTTGGGTCGCTTGACATGCACGAAGAAGAAGGAGATAACTGCTTGCTTCAAAACAAGAGAGACAAAAACCATGTACATAGCGAAAAAATTTCCTCAGCCTGCCGGAAGTTCACGAAGTACACATACGGCCTCTTCGCGATTGATACGGACTGGGCTTCAGCAGATGTGCTGGACTATCGATGTTTTAGACAGGGCGTTTCAAGACGGTGCAAGCGGTTTGCCTTGCATGATGTGTCTCAGCAACAGAAAATATTAGATATCGCGGGCGGCTTTTTTGGCATCTCCCTCGCAAAACGACCGGAAGTTTTCAAGCCTGCCGCGGTTTTTTTTCATAAAAGAGCTTCACTTTCTAATTGGCCAGGACTCCGCCGTCAAAGAACCCCGACGGAATTGTATTTGCCTAAAGTCGACACATGGGAGTCGGCACAAGTGACTCCCCAGTGGGGCGCCCGGCATTTCAGATGCCGCCGCTTGAGGGCGCCCAGAAAGGGCCCTCAAAAAATTGCGAACAAACAAAAACCGCGAACCCGCATGGAGGTGTGGGCGCCACTTTGGCCCACTTTGGAAGGCTGCAAAAGTGGCAGCCGAAATGGCCCACGTCGGTGGCGCACTTGTACCGCGGTGGGCAGCGCAAAGCGTGCGCGCTTTTGATTCAAAAAAACAAAAGCGCACTAAGTCTGCCAAAATCGTTAAACAGCCCGCATGCTGCGGGCCCGGTTTGTGGCCCCCAAGGGGCCGGCCTTGGCGGGGACCAGGTTTGATTTTGTGAAGTCGGAAAGCTGTTAAGGTATGGCCGCGACCTATGTTACATGTGCGCCAGGCCATGAGGGATAGCATTATGCGCGCGGCGGGTATGGCGCACGGCAGGAGCAGGGCCCTGGGAGCCCGGATGCCCCAATACGTCGAGCGCCTTGACAAAAAAGCCGCAAAGAAACCACGGAGAGAGGCGGCTGCCTGTTATATAATGGTAGCGGCGTCGGGTTCTGCGTGCGAACGCGAAGTCAATGCAAATATGCCGCTGCGTCGAGTGCCGCAGATCTGAGGGCCTACATCAGCCCACCCCTTTGCATTTTTCTATGAAGTGACTTCACATGGAGCGTGCTAATCTGGTGGCTTTTTTGACATGTCCCGCGCAAAGCGACCGGCAGTTTTCAAACGGCCGGACGTGTTTTTTCACAAAAAAACAAAAAGCCTCTCCCTATCCAGCGATCCTGGCAGACCCGGTGCTTACTCGCCGGCGGATTCTACCGACCAGCGCATGAAAAAACGACGCAGATGAAGAAGACGAGCCGACAAAAATCGCGCCCTTCTAGGGCGCGCCCGGCCTCGGATTCCGCCTATTTGGGGCGCCCAAAAAGGGACGCCAAAGAAGCGGCAGCGCGAAAAATACAGCGAAGCCGCATAGTATGGGCCTTATTTCGGCCCACATTGGGGCTCCACAAAAGTTGCCAACAAGGCCGAGCACTTCGGAGGCCGGCGGAAGGCCATACGTTGCGTTTTTGCGACAAGAAAAAATAAACACAGCGCCGCCTGCCGAAAAGTGAAAGCTAATCCGCATACCTTGGGCCCGAGTTCGGGCGCTCAAGGGGCCGGTCCCGGTGGCCGGCCAGGCTGGGCCATAGCATGCGTAGAGGGCTCCCCTTTTCGAACTGAAGCGGCTGGCAACTTTGGGCCGCGACTTTTATCGGCCGCCGCGCCGTCGCGCAGGCATAACATTAAGCGCGGCGGCATGTTGGTAGCCATAGAAGTGCGGGTTCTTGGCTTGAGGACAAAAAACCCGCTATGACCTCACTACCCCCCCCCTTGTCTCTATTCAGAAGCCGCGCGCAGGCACGCAGTCCCGGCATCCCCCGCGTAGCCGCCCAAACCACTCAAGATACCGGCCCACGGAGGAGCCCGGCCGTTCTGCGGCGTTTTATTTTGTGTTCGAATAGGCACCGGCACACAGACGTCACGGGCTGCGCTGCGGCACTGCTGCTTGATGACACTTTACTATAGAGGAGGGCGCCCGCACCGCTGCTGTCGACAAGGACCGCGCCCGGTCGTTAACAGGGCTTCGCCGTCTTGGGGCGGTGTCGCGGGTGGCCCCTACAAATTGCAAACCGGCTGAAAACGGACCGGAAGGTAGGCGTCTGATAGGGCTTTCCCCCACGTCCTCCCGGAGGGTCTTGAGTAGTCACTTGCGACATCATACATACCGCAATGAGCTTTCCTCTTTAGGGGGAAATTTAAGCGTCACAAGGTGGGACGGGCTGCACCTGCGAGCCAAGATCCCAAGTAAGGTGAAATTAGTACCGTCAGGATCAATCTCTGATGTCGCTTTGAGAAGCTGCGGGAGTGATTCGTTTCTGCGTGATTTAGCCTTTTTCCATTTTGAAATGTCCCTGATTGGAACCGCTATACTCACGAGGTGTCCGAGATCTACACACGAAAAGAAAGCATGGAAAGAAAATGCTGTCTCATAAAGACGTTGTAGATATTTATTTTGTGAAAAATCTTCTATTCGCATAACTTTTGCATTTCGTTGCGAGCGTTCTTGCTCGTGGTCCCGATACAGAGAGAACAGAACAAAAAATGTACAGAAAGTGTTGCTGCAGTGAACTGCGACTTACACTTAGCATGATGAGTGAGACTTTCAGTTTCTGAATCTACAGTAAGTTTGCATGCCATAGTGGTGAGCATTTTTTTCTCGGTATACGAGGTACTTTATGATCTCGGGGAGACGTACACCCATACCTTAGAAACCGTTATAGACGTCGCTCGCGCTCTCCAGCGACTTTTCAAGGAGCCAAATGGTCACGCGATCGTTGGGTGAAGAAATATTTTTATAAGAAAAGTAGAAGGCTTGCATTTTGATTTTGGACGCTAGCCTAGGCATGCCATGCCTACGCACGAGTTTCAGATACAGCATGCGTGTGGAATTGAACTAAACTAAAGCAAGCGGCGGGCTTCCCCTGTCACTTTAGCTAGGCAAACCGCTGAGGCTATTGCTAGAAGAGAACCTGAGAAGCTTTTTTTGGAAATGGCTTTACGGATTTATCATGTGATTGGGATTTTTGTTATTGTTTGTGAGAGCCAGCTTTTGGCTTTTGCTTTTGGGCCGGAGTCTTGGGAGATCGGGGCTAGCTAGTGCTGGGGCTTCTCGGGGGTCGAGATTGCGACGTTCTTGTTTCTGTCTGCCGTCCACGTCTTTGAGCCATTTATTTCCCTGTGGGACGTGCTGAATGCGAATGGCCCTCGTGGACCGGCATCTGATCTCGGCAAGGATCTTCGTGACAGGGATCGGGAAAAACTGAGAAAACGAAAAGGGCGAAATAAAAGAAAACAAAAGGCGGCCGGGGCGTTTACATTTGGGGGGGACGCTGAGGGCTACCACCGGTGTGCTAGGATAGCGGAGACGGAGAAAAGCGGAAGGTGGGCAAGGGCAGGGCGTGGGCTGGAGAGGTTCTCTACCCCTGCCTTGCCTGTCTCCGCTATTCCCCCCTTCGTTCTCTTTTCCCATGGACTATGTCCTCCTGCCCCTCGACTCCTCTCTCCGCGACCTACGCCTCGCGCTACTTCTGCACCCGAAACGGTACTGGTGCTCCAGCTGCTCCGCTCGCGTCGGCTCGCTCACTCTCCCCCGCCACGGCTGGCATCGACCTTCCCTTTCTTGCAGTATTCAGTCAGTCCGCGCGGCGCCGATTCTTTCTTTGCCCACGGCTTCGTCCAGTTCGTGCTCCCCTCCTACTTTCCCGTCGCTCTCCTGCCAGTTTGCGCCCCCTGGAGTTTCCCTTGCAGTTCGTTTTGTGCCCTTGTTTTCTGTGTTTCCGCAGTTCGCAAAAATGTGACTTCGGGCAACCAACAGGAACTTGCAGATAGCACATTCGGAAGGCAAAGGCGTGTCTCCACGTCAGGACAGGCTTCCACGCTGCCTTACACTAGTCGAGTGAAGGCCCGCCGCTGTCTACTGCAGGGCTACTTCAGAAGCTCCGCCGTGCCGCCACTAATTGCACTGGTGGCGACTGCACAGCGGAGCCAAGGCGATTAAATCATTATCATCGTCGTCATATGACAACTAAAAAAACTACTTACTTACATGAAAAAGCTACGATAGTGATTGAATCGGGTACGGGTGTGCTCTCCTAGATGATACACTTGGCCACTACTACTCAAGAGCGGGACAGACTGGTGCAAAGCGTGGCTATATTGAAGAAAAAAACAGTGTTAGTGGAAAACCAACGCACAGCAGATAGAAGATGCAAGACAGTGGCTACGCCTACACTTGTCACGTTCGCCCAACACCGTAGGCTACTGCTGATGTATTCCATGCGTGTTTTCACAGGCTTTCAGATGCGTCATGCGGAGCGAGCAACTTACAGATGCACTCAGCGCAGCGATTGACAGCTTAGAGGTTCACTAGCACAGTTTTCTTCTTTGATAGGCGGCTTGAGAGTGGTAAGGTGCAAGTCGTTTTGCCCGCTCCGTTTTTTTATGAAACAACAAGAAAGCAGCAAAGGTGTTTTGGAATGTGTACGACATGGATTTTTTATTTGTGACTGTTCCTTGCTTGCTTGATTCGATCCTCTGTGAAAGACGAAATCCTAAATCAGATGCCGTCTGCTTTTACAATGCAGCCGAAAGTTACCACGTTTACCTGATGCCGGTCCCCTTTCTTGCAGCAGACGTGTTCTGCGAAGTCTCCTCGTCTATGGACGGTGGCAAGCGAGAGTTTCAGTGGATCCCGCACGACATTTATCCAAGAAAAAAACTTTTTCTCTGTAACTTTTCTCGAGAGCAGCAAGGGCAACATCACAAAATTCTCGCTGCGTGTTATAACTGTATCTAGAACGGGCTGCCGCTCCGCGACCGGCGCCCTGACGACGAGGGAGCGCAAGTTGAAGCGAGGAGAGAAAAGCACACCGAGCCAGACACCATGGCATCGCCTCAGTGTTCGTGGCAATAGACGGACAACCAAAGAGTGCCGCCGTTGACCTTTCCTGATGCGGGGGGAAAATACCGGCAGGATGCAGCGCTTGGGGGGCAACGAAGCTTACGTTCGCGACTTTTTTGCGAATCCTCGCAAACAAGGCTGGCGCAAAGGTATTCAAAACCTTTGCAAAGATCCGCCATGCGTCGCCGCCCTAGAAACACGGGCACCCACCTGTACCGAAAGCAGCAAAGAGGGGGGGCGTAGAGCCAAAGGGCCGGCGTCAAGCTATGCGAGGCGACGGGGTTCCGGCGCAAAGGCCTGGGGGCTCCTGCAAAAAAACGGCCGAGAAGCACGGGATGCGGTGACAAGCTATGATATAGAACCAAGACAGAGGCGATCGCAGCCAAAACGATGGGAAGCCCACTGCCCGGGCCGAAAAGCCCGCGGCAAGCGACTCAAGGCCCGGCCGCAGTGGCCAAAATGCAGGACGCAGCCAGACGGCAAACCCAAAAAACCTAACACAGCAAAGGCGTTGAAGTGCGCTAGGGCGTCGGGGCCGGAAAGTCTCTGCGCCGGCGCTCGCGCAAGGAAGTCCGGCCTCCAGAGCCGTAGGCCGCGGGGAGCAGAACGATCGGATCCATCGAAGCCAACTCCTGGGGCCGCCTGGATACCGAAGTTGGGCGCGCCAAGATGGCCCCGGAGGCAGCCGAGCCCAGCCATGGGCCACCAGTCGCGCCCGGCCAGGCGCCCGAAGGGAATGGAGACTGGGCCCCAAACAGAGCAGGCCAGCATGCCCGCGCGCCACCCCGGGCATGAGAAAGGGGTCAGATCGGCGGGCGGCGCGCACTCTTTTGCCTGCCTCCGAGCCGCGCCCACTAGTAGCGCAGGGTCCTTCGTGCGTGTCCTGTGCCGTCAGTAATTATTCCATAGTGCCCTTTGTGTGCATTTGCATTTCTAGCAGTGGAGGAAGGCAAGTTGCAGTTTGTCATGAGTTTCCAAGGAAACACACATTGCTGTGTCGTGTCTTCGGCAACAGTACTCAGAGTAGTTTCTTTCTTGGATGAAATTTTTCAGGCAGGACCGCTTTCAGGTATAGCTGGAGACGTTTGCTTTGGGAATTTTCATTATTCGTATATTTTTTAGAGCGCTGCAAGCGAAGACTGGAAGGATCATAAGCTCACGCAGCTAAAAAACAACACCATCGAGGGTCAGAAAAATGCTTCGGCTCAAATAAAGCAGTACATTCAACATTGCGTAGCTCGCATCCAGAGCCGGGCGCTGTTTGCGCAGTTGACGGGCGTCGAAGTGCAGAAGATCGTGCAGGGATGGTCACAGATTCTGGATCGCGAGCGGCCAAACACTTTTGAGGTGATGAAGTAAGGGGCTGTGTCCTTCCTTGGAAACGGAAACTGGTGCAACGGTCTGCCTCAGGAAGATGAAGTGTGTTACTTCGCTGAGATTACCGCTCCCATCAAAGATGCATGCAACTACCTGCTTCTGCTTGTTTCGAGGACAAAAGAAAACGAAGAGAAAAATTTTTTATGATTATATATAGTATTCTTTTACACTTAGAGTTACGCTTAGATATACTTATAGATCGCCATTGCCTTGCGGTTGCGCTCACGCGACCAGAACGAAGGACCTCCACGCGGTCGCTATGTTTTCAACCGCGTTCTCCATCGTGTTCGTGTGTGATAGTGGTCCTATGTAAGACGAGAAGGCGCGGCTCAGTAGGACACACCTTAACAAAGTAGAACTGTAAATTCTTGGGTAAAATCCTGGCAAAAAGATTTGGGCCCCTTGTTCGGCCGACGAGGCTTTTCCGTTCGGCGCTCAGTGCGAATGCTTTGCGCACTTCCTCGCGGAAACTTGTTGCCGCTTTCCGTGGCGTCGCATCGCCCCAACTCGAAAAGCGCTGCTGGATTGGGCTGCCTTCAACTGACCCGGACGACATAAAAATGATCTGGCACCCGGGTAAATTCAGCGGGATAAGAAGATATAAACTCGCAAACTCGTGAGAGAGTGCTTTGACTAGCGTAAAAAATAGGGTAAAAAGTAGCGTAAAAACTAGCCTAAAACTCCCCCCCCGGGAAGTCGGGAAGTATTTCCCGCCCCCGAGTAAAGTACGGCGGCAGGCGATTAGTTTTAAAAAGACATTGCAAACCTAAAACGATTTTCCCGTAGTTTTTTCCGGTGAAAAAAAAGTCCGCTTGCCCCGATACACGATGTCACTTCCCGCTTCCCGCTCCTTTTCTTCTTTTCGTTCGTCCATTGTGCAGGCGCAAAACCAATGCACAGGCCTCGCGCCGTCGGGACCGGCTAGGGTTGGCGCATTTTTTGCAACCTGAAATGGCGCCGAGAGTAATATTGTTATATTACTACGCGCCGGACAATTTTAACGGCTTAGGCTTTTCGTTAGGGTCGATTTTACAGAAGTGCAATGTTATGGCGAGTCCTACTGAGGCGCCTGCGTCTCCTGTAGCGAGAAAGTTACTGCGAGCACTTTCCGAATCGCTTCGGTATTGGCTCACTGTATTGCAGAGGTCAGGTGATTGGTTTCGATAGTCAAGTGTATGTGGCACTAGCCACGGAGGCTTCGCCTGTAGTAATGAGAAGACGAGGGTAATTAAAATTATGCAGCTAGATGTAGATCGAATGCGAACAACAAAGTAGTATAACAAAGCGACCGGCTACTGCTAAAAATCTCTGAGGACGTGTTAAGTGCTACTTCAAAAGAATAAAAGAAACCAAGCGCCATCGCCCAGTCCTGTTTTGGTTTGCTACCAGAGAAGGTGCGCCAAATTCCATCGCTCACCAAATGAAAAAACGGCGCAGGCGAGCCGACAGAAGTGGTGCCCTTGCCCCGAGGGGGTCCGGGCATTTAAGAGTGCGCTCAAAGAGCCCGCGCGCAAAATACCAGCAGCGGACCCGCATGGCGTGGCGGCAATGTCGCCGGGGCTGTGCGCAATCGCGAGAGCGCTGGGCTTCTCAGCGGTTTCTAATGCAGGAGAGCTTCGCAAATGCAAAAGCTAAAGTTGCCTGTGCGCCCGTGAAAAAGCAAAACGGATGCAATACAAAGCGCGCCAAATTTTCAAGCCCGCCAGCATGGCGTACGGGGCCGGCGGATCGCCGTCTTCTGGGCGACCGTTCGTTTGGATGCCAAAGTAGGTCCACGCTCTTCGGGATAGGGATAGCCGCCGGAGTGGAATTCGCAAAATCTGCGGGAGCCCCAGCCGTTTCTTCATGGGCCGCGACACCGTCCGGCGCAACGCTGGCCACGGGGGCAGGGTGTGTGCGAAACATGCGGGCCACTGCCCGCGCTGCTGCATTTCCACGGCTTCTCCCGCATTGTGCGCGGCTGCTCCGGGGCGGCACTTTTGGCAACTTTGCCGAAGCTGAAATAGGCGGGCAGCAAAGGCACTGCTCGGCCGCATGTCGCGCGGCCGCCCGACAAGACGCCGTGCCAGCGTGAAGTGGCCTGGTCGGCGGCGACCCTCGCCTCGCCCGTGGAGAAAAACAAAACGAACTGATGGGGACGAGCGTAATCGATTCGAGCGACGAAAAGTTTATGAGATGCTGTTTAACTTTAATTTTGCAAACCCAGCTAATACACATTACGAGTACTCTACATAGAAATCGCAAGACGATCAAGAATAGTTAGAAAGGTGAGTGAAAAGATATCAAATTCTGCTATGAGTTTCGAGCACGCACCTACACTAGAAAAGGGCATTAAGAACGAAAACTTCTAATGGAACAGATGAATGTCGGCCGGTCGAACTCGAACGTGCTGGTCGGATTTGGGTCCGTAGCCATTTTGGCTCAGGGAAGCGAGGACGGAAGCCCCGCCTTTCGAACACTCGATTTCATTATCAGGCAAATAGTATCCTCTTCCGCGCTCAAGATCTTCTTTGCCTGATTCACGTAGGGGAGGAGACATCGTCAGCTGAAGTAAGCAGAGCATAGAACAGAATCTCTGTGCTTTCTACCGTATGTAGTGAGGTCACGAACGTATTATCCTAGCTCTTTTTTTGACAGGTCTCATCCAAAACGACCGGCAGAGCAACGCGTTGGCGTTCTATGAATTCGCGGCCGAGACCCAGAGCGTTTCTTCCACGCGTGCGCTTATAAATATGTAGTGAGGTCACAGGCCTGCTAGTCTTGCGGCTTTTTTGCCCCGTCCCACGCAAAATGGCCGGCAGCTTTCAAGCGGCCGGGAGTGCTTATACACATACATTTATGAGTTTTCGTACATGCCTTCGGTTTCTAGAACATGGGCAAACGGGTTTTTACTTGTATAGCGACGCTGTAGTAATAAAATAATTTACAGACCACTTTTGTAAGACGACCTAATACATAAACAGGTTTAGGGTTCCGGCTTGTGTTCAGGCCCGAGAGGCGACCACACTGCTCTTTCCTAGTCGTGTGCCAGGTTGCGAACAGATGTAAACCCGCTCCTGTCTATCGAGGGACTGAGTAAGAGGCAACGCCAATCGCCACCTAATTCCCGTCCCGTCCCGGCAAAGTCTCTCGGTCTTGATCGAAGTAATGATGACTCTTTTCGGTTGGTTGCTCATCTCCGCGGGTCCAAGCTTCGGTGTTCCTAGAATATGGACAGACGCACTTGTGCATGTTTTTCGGTTCTGCTCGAGACCGGATATTCTTGGTCCTGGTTTTTTGTGCCGTCCGTTCACTTCCTTCGGTGCGGTATCGTGAATCTCGTCATTCGTTCAAGCCACAAGAAGTAGCGCACCACAGAAATCTATTAATTTCTCATGCTACTGCTCGTACACAATCTGAATCTCGTTCTTGGATTGCAAATGAAACGTCACCAGCATGCTGGAGCACTAGAAATTTTCCTTCATGCGAAGCACCTTAGGAAACTTACCTTCTGCTTCTCAACGTCAACGGGCAGCGACGCTTATGCACCTTCCCCACCCGATAATTTTATTTTGTTTTATGTTTGAGCAGTAGGTGGTTACCGGAAGTTACTCAGGCTTTCTCCTGACGCATTGTAGCAATACCGTAACAAAAGTAGTGGTATATATTATTTTAGGGGCGTATATCAAGTGCTACTACATTGGGTTTATTGGAACTATTATTGAGGAGTTTTCGCTGCACGCATAGAACCCTGTCCTCGAACGTGAACTCTTTTTCTGGTTTTGGGTGCTTGGTGTCGACGTCGAGTTTTTTTTTTCGCCGCTTTTTCTTTGACCCCCGAGAACTGCAGTCCTATTACAGCACTTCCTTTTTCGCAGGTGTCGACGAAAAAAGAGCAGGTAGGTATAATTTGGAGCTAACAGGAGGCACTTCAGGCGGAGGCACAGAATTTTGCTGCATTCGCTATAGTTCCATAGCAGTAAACGTAAATCCTCTAGGCTTTTCGTTGAATAGATTCGGGGAGTTCTTTTCCTCTGACCGTCGACGTTTGCGTGCTTTCGGGACAAAAACGCGTATGGTCGGATCTTCCCCCCGAGTTTTTTCCCTCTAACAGTAAGCTGCAAGAGGTATTTTTGATTTTTTGAACCCTATAGAGATAGTGCTCCTTGTCACTTCTTTTTCAACTTAGTTACGTCCGCCGCTGGAAAGCGAAACTCGTTATCTGAGTTTCCATAATCCAGTACATACATAAGGTTGAGTCGGGAAATAATAATACAACTTAAAGAGTAACAAGTCCGTGAAGCTCATTTGGATTTTGCGTTGCAGGCTATGTCTTCTCGAGGGAAAAAGAATCGCTGCCGCAACGAAGCGGAATTGATCGAAAACGCAATCGCCGTGGAGGCGCGGAAAAAATACATCACAACGCTGGTTCAGGAGCGCGCTTCTCTCGATTCCAGACTGGCCGAACGAGAACAGGAAATCGCCGAGGTAAAAAGCTGAACGTCACTAGAATCTGTTTTGTCACATTAGTCGATGTGCTGCATGTGCTTCTTTATTTGTCGTGGGTACTAAGGCATTCGCAGCGACGTAGTGCGTAGGGTATAGCTCGTACCACGAGAGCTGGTACCGAGATTAGTATACAGTTTGCGTGAACTAAAAAAAAGTGACTGAGTGCAGTTGATGACTGACACGCTATTAATATGTAGTGAGGTCACCGAACGGTTCCAACCTGGCAGTTTGCTTGACACTAACCGCCGAAAGCGACCGGCAGTTTTCAAGCCTACAGAGAGTTTTTTTGCATGAAAAAGATCACAGCGCGCCAGCCTGTTTGGGTTTGTTATCAACGCATCGCCTGCGGATTCTGTCGCTCGCCGGTGGATAAAATGACGCAGGGGAGCCGGCAAAAGGGGCGACCTTCTGAGGCGCCCGCCGCTTGGGATTCCGGCGATTTGGGGCGCCCGAAAAAAGCGCGCCCAAAGCCAGAACAGCGAAGCCGCGCGGTATGGTCGCGACTTCGGAGCATTTTGGGCGGCCGCGAAAGCGGCCGCCTTTGCGGCTGTTTGTGATCGGGGGAAGCTTTGCAAAAAGCGCAGACGCGAAAAAGAAAAACGCAAAAAAGAAAAAGCGCGCCAGGTGCGCGAAGCCAATCCGCATGCTAAAGGTCCGACTTTTCTTCGTTTTTGGGCGCCCCCCGCGGCGCCAGGATCGGCCCAATAGCGCCGGGGCTGGCGTTCGGCCAAGAATTTTGGAAATTTGCCAAAAGCCCGCCACTTTTTCCAACTGGCCGCCATGCCGTGAGGCATAACGTTACCCACGGCGGCACGGCGGGCCCAGAAAAAGCAAAGTCGTGGCCAGAGCAGCGGTCGGCAAGAAAACACCACCGACCTCACTACCTCCGCCCCGGCGGCTATATTTCGTGACTGGATCTCCGGAGCATAGAGTCTGTGACTAATTGACTTGCGACGTCAAAGCTATCTGATGAAGCTGATCAATCTGGGATGAATTTTTGATGTCAAAACCAGGCGATTATTAATTTATGATTGATACTAGCCACGTATGCTTCATCGCCTGCGGAAGTGTGAAACAAAATTCAATTACTCCGCTAGATCGAAAAACAAAAAAAAGAGCCAGAACAGGAGTTCAAAAATAAAAAACGAAAAGCCAGGGTCTGAAGCAGCTCCGTCCCGTTTGCGGTTGCGGTTGTGCGCAGATCTTGATTGCCATTGCGGTTGCAAGCAGTTTTTGCGGTTGTAAAGCGGATACGCGGCTGTGCTAACAGCCGTGGGCAGTTGTTGTGGCTGGAGTGGTTTTTGCGTCACTTTTCTGCATGAGCATGCCGTGGCTTTCAACATGCTTCGTGCCAAATTGTGGGTAGGTGTAGGTCTCCACGGCAAGAAGAGTCCCGCGCTTTTCCACTCGATGCAGGCACTGAGTGTCGAGACCGTTTTGCTTAGGCCCGTTTGCTTCCCGCCAGCTCTTCAAGACTTTGAAAGCCTGGGGCGTCGTTCTTCCTTCCAGCGCCGAGCACGCTTTTTTCAGCCAGCTTCTTTTGACGACCCTGCCTGCTATTTTTGTTGCGTGTTGAATTCAAAAGGTCTCAAAGTTCTGCTGTTGGCCCTCACCTTTAAGCTTTGCCTTTCCGCAGCTTCCACTTTTTGACTTTAGCCTTTACTTTTTACTTTTAGTTTTTACCCGTAGCTTTTTCTTTTTTTAGTTTTTACTTTTAGACTTTTTTCTTTTAGTTTTTTCTTTTAGGTTTTGCGTTTGGTTTTTTGTTTGTTTGTTTGTTCATGTTGGATACACGGAATCCGGGTGAAGAATAATTCTTCTCTCGTGTTGTTCTAGCGCTACTTGAAGAAAAAGCCAGTCTGACATAACCACTTTGGGCTTGCACTTGAGAAAAAGCTTAGACGTAGGAGCTGAAAAGTTAAAAAGTTTTTGGCGAAAGGTGAGAATCTACAACGAGCTGAAGCCTTTTGAAAAGTTAAAAGCTTTGCCGGAGTTGAAAAGGTTGCTGAGAGTCTATAAAAGTTTTCCTTGCCCTGTCGTAAAAAGAAAGCAAACGCTTTTGCAGCTTCCGAAACAGAGTAAGTTAAAAACTCGCCTGTGGGAAGAGCTGTTTTTGTGAAAAGAGAGCCGCTTTGTCAGGTCTTGTTGTTGTCGAAACTTACCTGAAAGCCCAAAAGTTACTTCGCAGAGAGAAAGTTTTGCTTTTTTTGTTTTTACTTTTTTTTTGAAGGTTTGCTACTGCCCACCTGGCTGTGGGTTACTTGTGCTGCAGATCCTCGGCAGGTCTGTCTTACGCCGAAACTCTAGTTTTTTCCATTGTTGCTTTAAAAGCAACAAGAAAAAAACTGCTCCTTTCCACAAAAGCAAGCTGAAAGGAGCAGTTTTTTTCTTGTGAAGTTGAAGGCGTTGTTTTGAAAAAGCACGAAAAACGACCTAGAAGTGCGCGACCAGTAATTTTTATTTTTGTCGAGGGGCTCGAAGTAGCACTATTTATGCTGCGTCGCGACCTGTGCGCGCCACCAGGATAACCTCACTCACCCCGTGGCCCTACAGTGTACGCGGAGGATAGTTGCAACCAACCTTGCTCGCCAGTCCATCTTCGGTCTGCGTCGCCATCATATCATAGATATCACCACAGCCGCCGGCCCATCCCGGGTTGTCAGCCCTTGATGACTATGAGGCCGGGCGGCGTGGATCACTTCCGCGTCGGTGGATAAAAAAGATAGATACTTAGCGCGCGTTCTCAGGTGTGTGGTTACTCGCCCGCGGGCCGGGTGCCTGGCTGCGTGCTCGTTCGCCGCGCCTGGGGGTATTTTGTTCGTCCTCCCCTGTCGGTACTTCCACCTGATATCACTGCACTCCGGGCCCTAGTCGGATTGTCAGTCCGACTAGACTATGGCGGCCAGGCGCAGGTCACTGGCGGTGGTGCTTCTGTTCGGAAAGGTGGCCGCTTTTGTGCGCCCCCTGTGGCGCGCGGACTTTCTGCGTCGGGTTGCTACGCAGCGTAGTAGCTGCCGGGGTCGCTCGCCCACCATAGGTGGCGGACGGCGGGGAAGGATCCGACCAACGGCGCCAGTAGTGTGCTGGCTCCTAGTAGCGCGCTGGCCGTCTGGTTGGGCTTGGCTTTACAGTCGTCGGGCGTCTCGACCCCCCACCACTTTAAAAACGCGCGCAGTCGTTTTTTTACTTTTGCTTTTTGTTTTTGTTTTTTGGCTTTTGCTTTCAGTTTGAAGTTGAAGCTGTGGAGTAATTGTTTGGCCATCACGACTTTAGTCGTAGCAAGGGATAGATTTGAATCTGGGCTGAAGTTTTTGAATTCTTTCTTCGAACTCTGCGAACTTTGTGAACTCTTAAGCCTTCGTGATATGATTTCGTAGATATGCCTATCAATCCTCGTCAAAATGAATCGCATATAATCGACAGGCCTTCGCGAAGCAAATGCAGCAGGAGCGGGAGGAGCTCGAGCTGGCGAAGCAAGCTGCTCTGCAAGAATGCCAGCGCACGTTCCATGAGCGGGTACATTGGTTACACACAGTTGCATTCAATTGATGAACTCCATTTCCACATCAAGTATTCTGATTTCAGTGTCACGATTATGGTTGCGTTTTCGATTTTGTTAGCTTTATTTGGTCGCAATTGAATCCGTACATATTTATGCCTGCTATACAATCATCAGGAACTGGAGTTATTGCACCAGCTGAATGAAGAGCGCTTCCTACGAGGTTGGAATCGTCAGCCCCCTTCGCCAAATCATTTCTGCTTCTTGGCAGTAGATGCTCAAACGTTTTCGCATCCTGCAAATAGAATTTACCATATTGTAAATGTTTCGAGAGCCCGAGCCTGGCACAAAAAAAAGAAAGCTTTGCCATGCTCAGACCTCTACTCCGGGGAAGCTGAAGCTCATTGATTCACTTGCGTCCTCCCAATGTGCTTCCTTTGTGTTTGCAGGAATTCGTGTCGCTACTTTCACTGTGATTCGAGAATTCTTTATATCTGGAAGTAGTACGCTGTAAAAAAATAGAGCGTCCTCCCCTGAACAGTTGCGAGGCCTCTTCTATAGCGACGGTACGATCATCAGTATTGTTCATGTCGTTCTTGGCATATTGTAACAAAGCAAGAAGATTATATTTTGGGAAGAGGCTCTTGCCCGCGATATTACAAGACCGAGAGCACACGCGTCCAGCTCGAAGAAGAAACTGAGAAGGAGAAAAAGAAGACCCTCGAGAAGGTGGACCAGCTGAAGGAGCTGGAGCTGAAAAGACTGAAGAAGCGCGAGCGGCAGCTTATCAGCCAGAAAAGGGTTTGTTAGCGTATCACGTCATGCAAGAAAAACAGAAATTGAAAAAATCACAAGCTTATATGCAACATGGATGAGGTTACCAAAAGTGCTTTTTTGCCTACCCCCAGGGGTTAGCATGTGCCGCTGGAGGCGGGCGTCCACTCGATGATGATGATGATGATGATGATACTCCAAGTCCAAGGAAGTAGCAAGGCAGGGGTCGGTAAGAGATATTCCAAGGCTTTGAATACGCCCCTAGATTCAAATGGAACAAATAGAAAGTATTGCGCGGGCGACCTCCTAGTGTTCGACTGTTAGCAACCCCTACGCCAGCGTCGCCTGTAGGTTTGCACAGCTCAGAAATTCCAATAGACGCTGCGCTAGATTCACAAACCAAGGAGGCAAGTGCCAAAGGCCTGGCGTGGACGGGAGCGCTCAACAGTGGGGCAGCGCGCCTTTCTCTTTAGGCGGAGAGCGGCAGAGAAAGCGGGGCGCGTTTCCCTTTCTGCTATGCGTGCGGCATTTTTCCGGGCGGGGAAAGTTTTTTATGTGCGCCGCGCGCGCGGGCCGGCGCCCTTCCGTCCGGGGCGTGCGGGGCTCTCGCCACACTTGGGGCGCGCACCCAGCGGGTGCGCGAAATTCGCCGGACGGTGTCTATGACAGGGGCCAAAAACGAAATCTGGGCTGTGGGCAGCCTGGCCAGAACGCTCCGCCGTTCTCTGCCGGAGTTGGGCCGCACATTCTAGGCGCGGGCGGGGCCTGCGAAAAATCTACGCGATTGCGTCGGGCAGCATGGGCAGCACCCCCGTGACTTTTTTCGTTGCTGACGAGAGCAGGCCCAGTCTAGCCTCTGGAAGCGATCTGCCACTGGGGTGGCGCCACGACAATCGCGCGCCCGGCGAGAGTGCCTCGCTTTTTCTTGTTTGGCTCCTTTAAGTTCAAGGCCGCGGCCCTCCTGCCTGTGTTTTGCTGCGGTTTTTGCACTCTTTTCTAGTGGAGGGACTTCTTCCGGCGTCGAAACCTTTGCCAAACATCTCAAGCCCCGCACTTACCCACTGCTGCCCAGATAAGTGCAGTGGCTCGACGGCTCTTTTACTTCAGTCGATTGGGTCTCTCCCTCACATAGTAAAAGACGCATTAGCTTGGCCTTGTCCTTGAGGAAGCCATTACATCGGGGCCGGCTGTTGCACACTCATCGGGGCCGACAGTTGCAGAGTATTCCTGTGGGGGCCGGCACATTTCGGAGCCTAGTAGGCCTCCTAAGGATCCGATCCCCATCAAACTCTTGGGCTTTGCTGGGCCTAGTCCCACACTCGAAGAAGTCGAAACTCAGACCCAGGTTCGACGTCGAAAGAGAAGCCCGCACCAATGAACGTCGGAACTCAACTCCAAACCCCACGGCAAAGGTGCGACCCAAGCTAGAACTGAAACGCAATCCCAAGTGTCAAACAGATTCCAAGCTGAGACTGGACCTGAAAGCTGAAAAGAAAACGGAAATGGGTAGTTTTGTAATGACATAGCACTCACTCACACTCTCAGAGGGTGCCAGTATGCATATGCAAGGATGTGACTCTGCAGTGCGTCGCATACTCATTGATATGTTGTAGCTATGCAAACTCTTTTCCGTGTGATGCAGCTGGACGAATACAAGAAGACGGAGGAGAAACGTTTCCGGCGAAAGCTCGAGGTGGAGAAAGAGAACCTAAAAAAGGAGCTGAGCGCGAAGCTCTTCGTTGAGAAGAAGAAGTACGTCACTCAGCTGGAAAAGAAGGAAAAGCAGCTGGAAAAGAAGAAGGAGGCAGAGCTGGCGGAGGCCCGCGAAACCATGGTGAATCAGCTCACCACCGTGAAGAAGAGCTTGGAAAAGGAGAAGCACAGCTACCAGGAACAGTTGAAAGCGAAGTTGGAGGACGAACAAAGATTCGAGCTGGAAAAAATCAAGCGCGCGTCGGAAGTGCCGGCGGAGCCTGATTGGGTGATCGTCTCGTGTCCCCACAATCTGCTCACCGTTGTGGAACACTAGGCGAACACGTCGGCGCCACAATAATTCTGTTGCTCAAATGCTCCGACTTGAAACCTCCATGATCTTGATCGAAACACAGCCAATCCGTTTTGCTCCAGGACTGCACTCAAAGTCAGGCCCTGCTTCCTAAGTGCTGCTATAAAATTCGGCATATATTCACTTGTGCACTTTTTTTCTAGGGGCGCCCATTTTGATTTAGAGTTATATATAGCGTTCTCATTTGCAAAAATGTTGTCTGATGCTATCACGTCCTTATTCACAACTTTCCACTGAGTCGCTCCGTTCTCGTCTCTGATTGCAGGTATATACACATTTAAGCTTTTTTACCATTTATTTTTATTGAGTAGGTATTACTAATTCTAATTCAACATCCATGTATCCTTTTATTTCATCTCAGACTCAGTCCACGCCAAAGCGCTGCCTCAGAAGTAGTGCCTGGCGCAGCAGGAGCGGAACGCGGCGCACCGAATGCGTATTTCCTCTGCAAAAGGCGACACGCGGGGGAAGAAGGCTTTTGCTAGTGTATTTCACAAGTATCAAAATTCCATTTACGATCACGTAGAAAAATTCCATTTACGCATTCGTTGTGCATACGGGTAAGGACGCAAATCTATCCTACATGCTCCCCAAAAACGTAGCACCCAGTATCTATCCGCGAGATGTGAATTTTTTGACAAAAAAGACAAAGGACGCGACGTGTTGTTGTTGGGGATTCTTTTGACTATCACATTCACACAACAGAAGCAGATCAACAAATACTCGTAAGAGCGTGTCCGTACAGTTGCCTTCACGTAGTTGCAAACATCAGCCAGACGTTCGCTGAAAAGTAATTTCTTGTTTCTCCCACGGTTACTCCATGTCCATTCCGAGGAACGTAAAGCAGCCAAGCAAGCTATGGCGCAACTAGGAAGTAGACAACCGGAGAAAGAAGCACTACACTTAATACATCAATTGGGCCCGGTGGCGACTACTTAACAACAAGTACATCAGGGCGATGCTCTCAATCCAGTGTCACGACAACGGATGTGAACCGGGCCTGCTTCGCCCAGCAGGATTTTTTCACGTCTCTAAAACTTCTTTTGATTCACTGCTAGCCTCGCACTGATTTACTTGTAATTTCTTATCGGCAACTTGAACTATATTTAGGTCTATAGGAAGTCGCTTAGTGCTCCCGATTGTGATAAGCTGATGAGTTGTTCATGATCACATAAATCTTCGGCGGCCCCAAAATCCTCTACCTGACAAAGGGGAGGCGGAGCTTCAGTTCTTTCGTGCGGACTCGGGATGATATTTTTCCCCCCTCAACGCTTTCCCATCTGCTCTGAAAGCTGCGGAGGCTACTAAAAACCGTTCTACCTGAAAGATGTTGCACAGCACTCCTCTGTTATGAACACGACGATGAAGATAGAAGTCGCCTTGGTGAATGAATAGAGTGGCTCCCTTCATCATACGTCAAAACGAACTACATTGCGTGTTCTGAAAAGCGATGCCCTAAGTTCTTGTCTCGTCTTATATGCCATTGATAAATGGTTGGAAATTATATATTATATATAAAGAAAGAAAACGGTGTTGTTCCTGTTGCTGTACGTGTTTTTGCGCGAAGGCTGCCGAACAACACTTTTCTTCCAACACAGCGTTTTTCTTATACGAAAATTCATTGCGTGGGTTGCGAGTGTAGACTTTATGCATGCTTGAAGGATCTGCGACGTATATGATTTTTCGGCTACTCCTGAAGAAACAGTTTGTTACGCCTGAAGAGGTACTCGCTCGCCCGAAGAAGCGAGCACACAACTGAGTGTGGGGCTACGTTCTTTCTTACACAGGATACGCGAAGGTGGCGAAAGCCAAGGCACCCCCAGCCACATTAGCCAATATTGTGGAGTGGATGTGTATCCGAGGAAAAAAACGGCTTCTGGGTAAGAATCGCGTGAAAAAATTTCCTGCGTGACAAAATGAAACTACAAGAATACCAAGAACTTGTCATGCATAGCTACTGCGTGAAGCCAAGCCCCTCATAGAGAGACTGAATATATGGTTGTCCGACACCGGCGGCTTCGAGTTCGACAGACTCCCACGAGCACTGGTTTTTTTTTTTGGATAATGTGCTGCGCCCCGACGGGGTATTACAAATGAGTATGGCTGAGGTTGAAGTTCTTTGTGGTTTAGTAAGACAGCGCTAGAACAGCCGGCGGCTTCGGAGGTTTTCGAGCGTTTTTGAAAAGCGAAGCGCTCTTGGTTAACTGGGTTTGTGGCAAACGATTCGCGCGGAGGCTCCTTGGTTCGCGGGAAGAGAATACGATGCAGGGGTGCCATCTAAAGTGGCGCCCTTCGGAGGTGCTGGCGCTTACCGGGTTATACATAAAGTGCTATGATAGAGGAAAGAGTAAAAGATCAGAGATCCTTCAGAAGAAAACTCTACAGAGGACGTGCAGAAGGTTGAAAAAAACAGGCGTAGCAAATCATTGAATTTGGTCTCAGACAAAGCGCAGTGCTGTGTTTGTGTGTCTGGGTGTTGCCGCGCCTCGTGTGTCTCACCGACCTCGCCCCCCGTCTGTCAGTGGTGGCAGGCGTACCTCTCCGCCGCTGCCGAGCGAACGCCGGCCGTTCGCTGAGGCCGCCGGGCGATCGTTCAGACGATTGCCCGTCTCCGTCAGAACGTTGACGCAAAAGCGCTTTTACGGGAGTAATTTCGCAAGTTCTCGCTCGTGTTTAAACATTCATAAGGCCGCGCATAGTATCAATTGAGAAAAGAGCGCTGTGATTCTGGTTTGTTAACCACAAAAATCAAACTGGCTCCAGCTCCAAAATTGATCCTGATTGAAAGCGTCCCCGCAACAGAGTCAAGATGGGACATCTGCCAGACAAATCAACCAGCTTTGGCTGTTTGGCATGACACGTTTTTCCTCGTAGTGTAATCCTGTTGAGGTAGTTTAGAAGCGTCACATATCTAGCTTAGCATGCCGATTCTAGCATCACAAAGTTCAAAACACGACTAAAAAATGCGTATCATAGGGGTCCTCATGAGAAACTTTGTTGGCTTTCTGAATTGCATGACAGCCCGGGGGTGGGGATGTTTTTACACAGAATAACTTTTTCTTTTCTGAAGGTTTAGGTGTAAATGCCTATACCTACTGTAGAAGGAGTCTATCTTTGTTGTTACACATGAAGCACGCTGGGAAACTGAGTCATATTGCGGAAGAAGGGCCCCGTCTTTGAAGAGCAAACAATTTCAATTTGTAATCTTGCGAAGAGATCAAGATCATGTGCAAATACTAAATCAGAATGCGTCGTCTCTTGGTCTTGTTGATTCCGGTGGACAAATGATGCAATTGCAAGCGAAAACTCAATTGAGAGGGCCCGCGTGCATGAATTCTCACACTAGCGGCATTCGTGCAAGGCGTCGTTACCACTACGCGCGCGCTGTGGTGGGAAGCGTTGGAAGCAGTACAGATAAGGGTCGAGGGCGACCGGGTTCTGCAAAAAGAAGGTTCACGCACCTTTGTGCTGCAGCTGCAAATTCCTGTCGGCACCGGATAGCAGCGATGCTTTCCCGTATCCGCTCCCAAGCAGGCGATTCTTGTGTGGTGGAGCCTGCGATTATTGGCTCGTTTCGCTGCCGCGCCACTTACTCTGACACCGCGTTGCAAATACTGCGCAAAGCGTCGCGGTCGACGCTGTTGCGGTTCCTCGTACCGAACTTGTTAGGGAAACTACAGCAGAGAGCCCTACAACGCTGGGAGCTGGGTGCGGAGCCACTGTTGCGGGTCGACGCGAATACTTCGGTTCCGGAGCTCATCAAGCTCTCTACTGCACAGCGGGAGCGCGGACGCAGTGTGCGGAACCACTGGCATGTGCGGGCCGCTCAGCGGAAGTTGCTGCGGGCGTTGCACCAAGCACAAGAGCAGGCTGCGAGCAGTGAGACACTGACATTCGCTCGGACAGATTTGATTGGACTTGATCAGGCGGCCCCGTATACGAACGGCTGCCGCCAAGGGCACGAGTGGGAGGATGTAGAGGAGTACCTCCGATTGCATGAAGGCAGTCGCCTTCGACGCAAGATTGGCGCGTGGATATGGAGGGGGCGGTCCCTGTCCCCTTCGCGGCCGCAACTTGTCCGCGGGCTTCTCCGCGAGGTGCTGCGCGCGTACCTTCTCCGGGAAAGTTATCGACGCTATCCCGCGGGAGGTTGCAGCCCCCAGCTTCCTGTCTGCCTTGCGAAAGACACGGTGCAGATGGTGATGATATCTCGTGTACTATGGACGTCCCCGCCCTTTAATACTGGCGTTTATGCATGTCCAGAGCCTGTCCAGTGCGCCTACCCGTGGGAGGCATGGTCGAATGTATGTTGTTCCTAATTTTACATCCTTGCAACTCTAATTGTAATTAACCGCCTAGGCATAGCTCTCCTGTCAGTACGCAGTCGGATTACCACACTGGGAACCTGCTACCCCCCGGCGCAAGCCGCCGGGGGTGTGTGTCGTGGTGCAGGGGGCGAGTCCATTCAGTGCCTGCAGCTGTGCACTAGAAGTTCTGAGGGCAAATGCAGAAGGAAGGGATCAACGCCGCCCAGTGGGGAGCCAAAGATAACGCCACTCCTGGGCCGGCTTCCAGAGCGCCAAAAGGTGGCCAGCTTTGTCAACACATGCTGGCGGAGCCGGGGCGCCAACAAAGCCGCGCGAGGTCGCATCTTCGGAAGCTTCGCGCGGCTCGCTGGGCACTTGCTTTGTTCATCTTGCAATAAAGACCGCGCCCGCGGCTGCCCGCGTGCGTTGCTTGATGTTGAGGCCGCCCTAGTTGGCCGCCCTCGCTACGGCATGGCACCGCGCGCCCTCTGGGGCGCGCAGGGCGGCGCGGGAAATCATTTGAAGGACGGATCAAACGCATGGCGCCCATGGCCTGCCAGATGCGCCCTTCGGGTGTGCTCATGTTCCGGCGAAGCGACAGGCCCGCAACCGCAGCGACGGTCCGGGGGAGCTTGCGGGAGAGGCTCCGGAAGTAGAGTGGAAGGCCAGAAAAGGGCCCCGCTTGAATGTTTGCGGGAAGATTCAGGCTCGCCTGTGTGTTACCTTTGTGAAACCTCGTCCCGGCCCCTACCCTGTTAACTTCACCAAGAGCGCGGCAACAAGTGCGCCGTTAACTACTCGCGCCCGCGAGTTGACCCCCGGGCCGGCCGGCCGGACGGTTAGCTTGCGGCTTGAATGGTTCCCAATTTCTCAATCTGCCCAAGCAGCGAGTTTCTCAATCGGCTCTGTTTTGGGCTGGTTCAGCAGCTGAGAACCATACAGGCCGCGAGTTAACCGCCCGGCTGGCCGCCGGAGGGTTAACTCGCGGGCGCGAGATAACTGTCGGCGCGTTTTCTACCTCACTCCTGTGCACTTTGCCCCGTGCGTGTCAATTTTATAGGTTACATTCCAAGTCACGTTATCAACGTGGAATCACGCTAGTCGAATCACGTTTGCAATAGAATCAAGCTAATGGAGTCAAGTTATAATAGTCTGGCTTCAGGGTTTGGGGTCTACGGTTTGGGGTTTGTGGTCGTCGGCCAGGGCAGCCGCCGCCGGCCGGCGCCGCCTCTGTTTTCTCCCTGTTGCGCCAACGCGCCCCCTCGCCCTGCCCGCGCTTGTGGTTATGTTGTTGCCCCATTGTGGTTCTCGGTGCTCGCTCCCGCCGTGGCTCCTAGGCCGGGCTGGGTGCGTCATTCGTTCCGGCGGACCGGTGGGGCCGCCCGGCGTTCGTTTAGGTTGTGGACATTCGGCAAACGCGACCCCATGGCCAACGTGATCCCGCTAGCTGGATTGCATTGCGAAACGTGACGCCAGATTTTGCCTAGCGCGATCGGGGTGGTTTCCAATTTTATGAGAGCCGGCTACGCCCCCCCCCCGTGACAGACAACCGCCGGGGGCGGATCTCTTCGGTTCGGGGGAGATGTTCCGGTGCCGATGGCGGCGGCAATCGCTGCGCAACAAAAAAGGCCCCCCCAGCGGCCTGCGCTGCTCCGGCCCCCCCGCCATTCATTTGATTTGCTAGCTAGCGGCCCCGCCTGACCCAGGGCGCGCAGGCGAGGAAAGCCGCCGCCCCGGCTTCTTTTAAATATCCTGCCCAATCCGTAGAATAGAAGAAGGCAGCAAAAGCAACGGGGGGCGCGCAATTTTGCCGTCATTCTCGACGCGGGGCGGGCGCGCGCGAGCCAGATGGGCGGGCCCTCATTCAATGCGCCCGAGGAACCCGAGCGCCGGAACGGGGCGGCCGCCCACCCACAAGGCCATGCGTGGACCGCCTTCCGGCTTCCGCCATGAAAAAGCGCGCGGGCGGGGAAATTTCCCTGCGGACAGGCCGGGGCCGGCGCGCTCGGGCCAATGCCGTCGCCGTTCAGACAGGAAGCCAGCCTCCGGCAGATTCGGGTAGGTAGAAAAAACCGCAGAGAGTTGCATTAGTTTCAAAGATGGGCCAGCTGCTGCGTCGACGGACGATTTTTCCGGGTGGGTGGCGCCTTCTCTTCTCCGTATAGCCGCAAGGGCGCCCGGGCTCCTTTTTGGGGGCCCCGCCCCATGTTTTCATTCCGTGTTTGAGGGCCTGCAACTTTCGCGCGGCCTGTTTTTGCCCCTTTCGGTTCGCCGTTTGCTTGGTGGGCGCCCCCGGCCTTTTTTCCCCGCCAGGGTGGCAGGTTTTGGGAATGCGTTGGGCCTTTGGTTTTCCAGCCTGGCGGCTGCTTGTGTGCCCCGCGTCGCCTTCGTGTGTTTGGGCCCCCGGGCTTGTGGCTGAAGCACCTACAGCCGAACAGGCGTGCCGGCGGCGGCGGCTTTCGCAGGTTCGCTCAGCCGGCGTGGCGTGCGTGATGGGCGCTTATCAGGTTGCGGCCAAATTCGCTCGGTTGCTTGCCGGCTTTTGTGCGCGTCTTGGGTGTCTTTCTTCTTGGCCGGGCCCGCGATAGTCATGCATCGGGAAGGTGACTCACTGCGATAGCCATTGCGAAGATAGAAGCGCTCTAAGAGGCAGGCTTGGTTGCGATTCTTTTGGGCCTTCGCACTCGAGAAAATCTTCGCACTCGAGAAAAGGAGCGCGAGCGTTTCATATTTCCAAACTGCGCCACGAATTGGGGGCAAACACAGCGCAAAGCATTACGCAGGGCCCACGCAAGGCAGCGCGGTAAAAGCTGGAAGCCTTCGGGGTGCAGCTGGCCTTCTGCGCCGCAAACGGGGGTGGCCGGCGGGGTTTTTTTCCTTGGGGGGTGACGCTTGCGCCCTGGGTGTTTTGGGCGCAACCGATTGAAGCCCTGTCGCGCCTGGCCTACTTCCCGGCTGGGAAGTGTTTTCTTTTGATCCTCAGGCGGCGCCCTGCCGGCGCCGCACTCTGTGCTGCCTTCACTTGGCAGGGCCTTCGGGGACCCGTGTTTTCTCCCGCTCAACTGCCTCAGTCTGTCTCCGCTTTATGGCCTTCCTGGCGCAGAAGGTGGCGACAAGCGGGGCCCGGAGTTCGCCCAGTTCGGCCGATTCGTGCGGCCGCGCGCGCCCGCTGCTTGTTCTTTCCCGCCCCCCCTCGTACACCAGCGCGCCGCGCCTTAGCGCGCCACCTTTTGCGCCCGCCCCGTTGCGCGTAGTCTCCAGCAGGCGACGGCCGGCCGGGCCCGCTCCGGAACTTTGGTGGTGGGCGCGGGCCGGGATTAAAAGCACTAAAAACCTTGGAGCTTTTACTTTGGTTGCCGGGCTCAGGCGTCACGCTCTGGAACTTTGACGGCCGAGATTAAGGGCCAAGCCTTACAACTCTGGCGGCCGAGACTATGCCAGGGGCGCAAGAAGCTCGGCGCCCGGGATTAGGGGCAAAACTTTGAGGCGTTGCCTATCGAGGTGGAGCAGTTTGCCAATTCGCAAAGCGAAAGCGGTGGCGTGCGATTGTTGACAAAAAAGCTGGAACGCCGAACAGGCGGCAAAAGGTTTCGAACCCCAGCACTTTGGAAATTCGCGAAAGTTCTCAAAGTTCGAAAAGTCTGGCAAAATTTGAGGCGTGGGCCGGTAATTTTTTTCCCCCGGCAAGTCGCCGAACTGCCCCCGCTCAGCAGGTGGAGCTGTATGCGAGGGCGCCGGGACCAGAAAAATAAAAGGGAGGCGGGGAAGTAGGATAAAGCTAAGAGAAGCGGCCCTCCTTTAAAAAGCGCGCCTGTTAATATGTGTGCCATTTCCAGCATTCCCCCCCTGCCGGCTTGGGCCCTGCGCCCTGCCCCGTGCCGCGGGCACCCACCCTTGCGTGCATGCGGGAGGAGTTCAGGAGGGGGGGGCTGTTCTCTTGTTGGCCAGCGTTCCACTCTGCGGGGCTGCGGGCCTCTTCTCGTGGTCCGCCCGCAATCCGCGGAGCCGATGCCGCGGACCATTGATTGGCGCCTTGGGGCCCGAAAGTGTCAACGCGCGGCATTTCCGAAACGTGGCCTGGGGCGGCTGCCTCACGCGTTTGGGATGTTTGAAAACTCCAGCGAAAGGGACCACTCCAACCCGGGCGCCTCCTTCGATACAAGCGTAGCCTAGCCAGCGGGCTCCTGCGATGCAGGGGGGCGCGCTATCATGAGTGCTGCGCCCCTCCTCGTCCTCTGCTGGTGTTGGGAAAGGACAGGCTGGCGCGCAGCTTGCTGCGTGTCAGGGCGGGCGAGAAACTAAAACGCGGCTCGCGCCTGCGCTTCTCTATTCTGAAGCGCGAACGGAGCAGCCCGCAGGGAAGAGGTGCCGGGCTGTCCCGCGTTGGCCTTCCCAAGTTTGGAACCATTGAGGTGGGCACTTCACCAGCTGGCGCGCAGCCTAGCCTAGGCCCTAGGAAGTATGGACGCCGTTCATGTGTGCGCCCCTTCGCTGCGGGAAGATAAGTCGCAACACGGAGACACATCAGAGAAGCTTAACCCGGGAGCGCAACCGCGGGAACAGTCCGTCGGGACTTCGCCGCCCGTTTGTAGAGTGGCACGGCCTTGCGCCGATGCAAAGCAATGGGTTTCAGAATAGCACGGAGCGCCGCGGGTTTATCGTGACTGCTGTTCTTTAAGTTACTCCGCTGACTCCCTAGCGCATTGGTTTCCGGCGCACTCCCTTCTCCCAGCGCCGAAAGCTAAAAGTCCGGATTAAGCGATTGCGCTCCTACATGGCCATAAGGACAAGTAGATGCAAACTGGCGAAGCGCCTCAGCCTCTCTAGGTCTTGCTGTTGGTTTTGGTTCTTATGCGGCTGGGGTGGAGATATTTTTCTACGTAGTAGATGGAATTCTGCCAGATCGCCGAAACTCGCCAGGCCTGCGCACTTGCGCACTCTCGAGTGTTGATACAGAGCGTGCCTCTTTTCCGTGCTTGTATGTATTGCAAAAGCATTGCGCGGCGCGGAAAGTCTCCGTAAGGCAGGGGGCGAAGCATTTTCCGGGGCCCGCCAGAGGCCGGGGCATGTCATGTCTTTGCAGCGGTGAGCGATGGGGGCGGGCCTCGCGGGCCCTGCGACTGGTGGACCGCTTCGCCACGGCGTGATTTGTCCATTTTCAGCGGCCGAGGCCCGGGTTGCGCTAGAAAGATCACCAGCAAGGGAAAGCCTGCGCGCTGCGGCCAATGAAGCTCGCGAAAGAAGTTTGTCCGCGTGCCGAGCGGGCGGGCTCGTGGCGTGGACCTTCTCCCGGGCAGGCGGGCCCCGGGACCTGCGCGCGCGAGAGGTGGGCGATGGGGGGCAGGAAGGTTAGGCGCTTGCGGCGGCGATTCTCCAGCCGCGCGCTGCGCCCAGCAAGCCACTACACAATCAAAAACGCAAGCGAAGAAGCTGGCGACGGATGGTCGAAGGGGGGCACGCTAAGCACGGGCGGCCGCCATCGCGGGCGCCCGGGATGGAATGCACAGGATGTGCTCCAGGTAGAGCACGGCGCTGCAGGGGCAGTGCGCAGGCTGGGCGCGATGGGCGCCCCTGCGCATCCGCGCCGCGGGGGCGGCCGGTGGTCCAGAACGGAGGCCCATCGTGGCGATCATATGCAGCGAGGGGCAGGTGGGGTAGTGTGACGGCAGAAATTGCGGCAAGGAGATGGGCGCATCGGGCTCCGCCGATTTGGGGCGTCCAGGATGAAAGGGGCGCCGAAAAAGTATTGCCGGGGAGGAAACAGCGAAGCCACGTCCTCGTGGCCTCGCTCCTCGTTTTGGATTGGTTTGCGTTTGGGCCTCGCAAAAGTCGCCAGCAAAGCCGGCAAACCCCGGCGCGGGCCGACGCCGAAGGCCAAAGGCCGTGCGCAGTTCGTTGCCAAAAAAAAGCAAAAGGGGCCTGATTTGGGGCGCCCAAGGGGCCTGCCCTGGTGGAGGCCCGGGCGGGGCCACGGCGGGCGGGGGGGGGCTTTCCTTTCTTTGTAAAGGCCGAAAGCTGTCGCGGGGTTTTGCCCGCGATTTCTATATGTGCGCCAGGACACGCGGAATATAAAAAGAGGCCGGTACGCTCTGAGGCCTAAAACGCGAAACACGACGGCAGCACGCAGGACGCTTGTCGTTTTCCGGGAAATTAAATGCCGGGAATCACGTATATCGCCCGTGAAACAGGTTGCCCGTTCTCCGGGGGATCCACCCTCGCCCCCGGGGATCCGCCCTCGCCCGGGGGATCCACCCTCGCTCCCGGGGATCCGCCCTCGCCCGGGGGACCCGCCCGTTCCCCGGGGATCCGCCCTCGCCCCCGGGGACCCGCCCGCATCCCGGGGATCCGCCCTCGCCCGGGGGATCCGCCGTCGCCTCCGGGGATCCGCCCGCCCCCGGGGGCTCCGCCCATTCCCCGGGGGATACGCCCTTTTCCCCGGCGACCCGCCCTCTTCCCCGGGGATCTGCCCTCAGCCGGGGGACCCGCCCTCGCCCCCGGGGATCCGCCCGCCCCGGGGATCCGCCCATTCCCCGGGGGATCCGCCCTCTTCCCCGGGGATCCGCCCTCTTCCCGGGGGTCCGCCCATTCTCCGGGGGATCCGCCCTCTTCCCGGGGATCCGCCCGCTCTCCGGGGGATCCGCCCTCTTCCCCGGGGATCCGCCAACTCTCCGGCGAATCCGCCCTCCTCCCGGGGATCCGCCGTCTTCCCGGGGGATCCGCCCTCTTCCCCGGGGATCCGCCCTCTTCCCGGGGGTCCGCCCTCTTCCCGGGGGGTCTGCCGGCGCCGCGGGGGATCCGCCCGTTCCCCGAGGGATCCACCCTCGCCCCCCGGGGATCCGCCCTCGCCCGGGGGATCCGCCCTCGCCCCGGGGGATCCGCCCATTCTCCGGGGGATCCGCCCATTCCTCGGGGGATCCGCCCGTTCCTCGAGGGATCCGGCCGCTCCTCGGGGACCCGCCTCCGCTGCTCGGGAGGAGGCCGGCTCTTCGGGGGGGGGGGCCCGCCCGCTCCGCGGGGGGAGGGGGCCCTCCGCGCGCCGACGGCTCCATCGGTGCCCCGGGGGATCCAACCTACTCTGGGGGGTGCTCCTTAGCTCGGGGGATCCGTCCTCGCCCCGGGGCGTTCGACCCGGGCCCCGGGGATCTCACCTGGCCCCAAGGGGTCCGATATTCGTCCTTGCCCCTCGGACTCAGCCGGCGCCACGGGGTTTCATTCCCTCCCCAACGGACATCCGGCCAGCCTCGGGTCGGTGGATCCGCCCTTGCGCCAGAGGCTCGGCCCTTCGGTTCGCGGACCCTGCCCGTGTGGCCTTGGTGGTGGGCGCCGGCCGGCAAACCGGCGCACATTTATTGTGTCGCCGGCAACTGCATGGGCCGGGGCCGTGGCTTTTGCGTTGCTTGTCAAAATGGTCCCGGTTTTGGTTGTCAAGTTGTCCTGCTGGTTGTCAGAGCGCTGCTGGGACAACCAGCAGCAGAAACAAGAGGCGTTCGCACAGCAACGCGGTGTCTTGATCTGGCAACCAAAGCGTGCGCAAGCGCTCGCGAGAGCGCTCTGCGAGATGCCCATCCATCGCAAACGCGGCGCGAAGGCTTTGCCGTTACCATATGGGAGGATGGAACTCGGGGGTATGCAATCGCTGGCAAATCTGGGCAGTGCTAAGTGTGTTTTGCCTTCAGAAAGCGGATCGGGGGAAAGTTGTGGGAATTTCATCGAAAGCAGCCAAAACAGCAATTATCAAGTGGGAAAAGGGTAAAAAAGAGCACTTTTGCAGCTCCGCCCGGTCTGAATCTGAAAAAAGAGAGTGGTATTGTCGGCTAGGGCCGATGGTGTGATGCGTTTTCTAGCGAGAAATGCGTCGCGTGCAGGCAGCTCCAGCCGCTTGGAAATTGAAAAAAAATGCTTAAAAAGTGCTATGTTTTGCAGCATACAAGCGGCAGACAAAATTTACCGATTTTCTGCAGTCCCCGGAAAGCGCTTGGAGATTGAAAGTGACAACTTTTGCTGAAAAAGCGAGAGCCGCTTGAAAATTGCCGCTCTACAGTGGTTTTTCAAATTGTCACACGGCCCACACCGTCGAGATTGGACGAAGAAAAACAGCTACTAAGCCTGCGGAGGTGTGTCACACGGGCACGGTTTTCATCCTCTCTGAGGGTCGCGAGATGAGATCTCCTCCCGCTTGAAAATGCCCGATCTGGGTGGCCCAAAAGGGCAGCCGGAAATGAAGAAAATTGCATCACTTTTTGAAGTTTGTGCATTTTACCTGGCCAGCGTATCCGGAAGCCCCCGATGACCCACATACCCTCCTGGCCAGGCGGCCAGTTTGTCATGCAGGAGGCTAGAAAGGATGCCCCGCGGCGAAATAGCAGACCGGATTTCGCCTTCAATGCTTATCGCAGGAGCCTGCGGGCCTCCGCGGGCGACAGTAGTCGTCCGCGGCCCAATCTAGAAATTAAACAGAAATGGCGCTTCTTCTCGTTTGCGGCGATGTTAGAAGAAGGTTGGTGGGCCTTCGCGCTGGTTAGATTTTCGCGCAAGCATTTGGTTACCAATATCGCCCTCCGGGCGCGACCTTAATAGCCGAGAGAATGCGCGCCGGTTTGCCGAGATGCCCTGCACTCGAGTACGTTCCAAAAGGCGCGCCGGTTTGCCGCGATGCTTGCCCTTGGTGCGGCATCCGAGGGCTTCGGAGGTCTTCGGCGGCCCCTCTGGAGCGCCCTCCTGCCAAATCGGGGCCGTGCCATCGGGGGAAGGCCTTCCGAGGCGGCCCAAATTGGGCCAGAGGACTCGCCAGAGGATTTTGGAGTCCTCTGATGAGTCCGCTGGGAAGTCCGCAGCCCAAATCGGGGCCGTGTCTTCGGGGAGAGCAAGGTCGCCCGTGGCGGTCCAAATTGGGCCAGAGGACTTGGCAGCGGATTTTGGAGTCTTCTGAAGAGTCCCCTGGATGGAAAGTCCTCCGCTCAAATCGGGGCCGTACCATCGAGGAAAGGGCGCCCGAGGCGGTCCAAATTGGGCCAGCGGACTCTTCAGAGGATTTTGGAGGCCTCTGACGAGTCCGCTGCCTTGAAAGTCCTCCGCTTAAGTCGGGGCCCTGCCATCGGGGAAAGGCCGCCCGAGGCGGTCCAAATTGGGCCAGAGGACTCGCCAGAGGATTTTGGGGCCCCCTGGCGATTCCTCTGGAAAGTCCTGCGCTCAAATCGGGGCCGTACCATCGGGGAAAGGCCAGCCGAGGCGGTCCGAATTGGGCCAGCGGACTCGCCCGAGGATTTTGGAGTCCTGTGGCGAGTCCTCTGGAAGGTCCTCCGCTCAAATCGGGGCCGTACCATCGGGGAAAGGTCATCCGAGGCGGTCCAGATTGGGCCAGCGGACTCGTCAGAGGATTTTGGAATCCTCTGGCGGGTCCTCTTGGAAATCCTCCGCGCAAATCGGGGCCGTGCCATTTGGGGAAGGTCGTCCGGGGCGGTCCAAATTGGGACAGGGGACTCGTCGGAGGATTTTGGAGTCCTCCGCCCAAATCGGGGCCGTGCCATCGTGGAAAGGCCGCGCGTTCGAGGCGGTCCAAATTGGGCCTGAGGACTTCCGCGGGAAATGTGCGCCGGTTTGCCGCGCCTCCAAATGAATCCGGCGGCAAACGGCGCGGGGCTCTGCCACTTCGGTCGTTTTTGTGTTGTTTTGAAACGCTTCGCCAAAGCGAACGCAACCACGTGTGGACTGCGTCGCCCCAAGAGGCAAATCGCGTGACATTTACGAGGCCAACCACGACGGGAGTACTCTCCGGCGGCCGCGCTGGTTTCTGAGGCTACACGAGCGGGGGCGGTTGGTTTTTAGGTCCCACCGCGTGCCATTCTCGATAAAAGAGTGCTAGGCGTGGCGGCATGTTGGCGCACAACAAAACGGCAGCCCTCGGGGCCCGGCGGCCGCAATGCGTCGGGCGCCTTGACAAGCGAAACCGCTTTGACGTCGCTGTAGTACTGGCATTGCTTTTTGCTTGGTAGCCTAGAAAAGGCAAAAGGGACGAACTAGCTGCCCCTATCTGCTATGCCATGGGGAATCACACATAGGAAAAGCATTTTAGAGTCCGGATGGCAATCTGTATGAGCGCGATACTTTTGCACCCAGTAGCTCGGCAAAATGTGGTCTACACGTTGCAAAAGCACGTGCAGCGTGCCGGAGCTCGCAGCCTTGTGGAGCTGCAGTGTCAGGGGTACTGCCTGTACGAGCGTGACCTGCGTCGCAAAACTGTTGAGGTGCTGGATTTCTTGCGGCAGCACTTTATACCCTGGTGGAACCGCCGTTGCCGGGACTTCTCTCTTTCCCATGAGATGGACCGTGCCATTTGTACGATAGGACCGGCACCGCCGCCGGCAGCAAGAGCAAGATCTACACACAGAAAGTCGACATCTTCGTACGATACCCCACCTGGTGCCCAGGAGATCGACGAACTTTCTGCGAACTACCGGTATTTTGCAGCACGCATTGACGTTTCACAGAGCGTACGCGCAGACCATTCCGTTTTGTATTTTGATGCGAGATTAGAGGAGCTCATGGCGGTGCTGGCGCAGCGGTTTCAATTGGAGTTCACGCTCGACGCGGCGCAGTCGAACGACGGAAAGTTCGTGTATCATGTTCGCAGTGCATTGGGATCATTACAACCTCCACCTCCACGGCTGGAACCGGGCCAAGTACGAGCGCGCACTATTCTTGTGTCTCGGGATGAGCTGCAGCAACCTGCGCACACTACTGCGACTCACCCTGTGCTTCAAGCACTAGTGCAAGCGGAGGGCGTGTACGATGTCACAGAGCCTTGCACTCGCGAAGCAGAAGCACGGGAGGACGCCCAACAAGTGAGCGATGCAGCGAAGCGGCGTGGACCCGTTGTACGGCCGAGAACGATATCGGGTAAAGTCGAGCTGTGTGCTATGGACGCAGGGGGTCCAAGCTGGGGAGGCCTCGGGATGCCGCACGCACAGACCGTGGCGCCCGGCCACGTGGTGGTGCGAAATCTGCCGTTTCTCGTCACGGAAGATCCCGACGGCAACGAGAAGGTGTGCGCCTTGTCGGTGCGCAACTGCGGCACGCTGCTGCATGAACTCGGTCACGCGATCCACTTTTTAGCTACGCCGCTGCCGGAGATCCTGGCCTTGGAGCACGATATTGCTGAGTTCCCCTCCACCATGATGCAGTTTGTCTTCGAGGAGCCTACTTTTCTCAGAAGCATCGCACTCAGTGCCCGATCGCGCCGCAAAGGACTGAATCCAGAAAGCCTGTCGCACGCATTCGGCACCGAATGGGACAATACACACGTGAGCCATGCTGCCGCCCCCAAAAATTATGCTCAAGAAATGGCAGTTGAAATAAATCCGCGCCTTGTTTTCTTTTTTCCTGCAGTAGCCTGTAAGCTGCGGGCGGCCGCCGTGGATAGTGGTGCCACATGGCCAATCCGGCATCCCTCGCGAGAAGCTCCGCCCCTGCTGCCCCGAGGAAGTGCAGCGGCTCAGCAGATAGCCACCTGGCCTGGTCGCTGCTGTAGCCCACGTAGGCCCGGCCGCAGTCGCCATTAGGGAAAAATTCTATGCGCCCCTAACGCGAACCGGCACACCCACAAGGCACAGCTTCGAGCTTTTTGCGCAAGTATGCAACAGCAAAAAACCCGGCAAATTGCGAAGCCCACGGCAAATAGATCCTGCTCCGGCGAAGGGCGAAAAAATTCTTGTGGCGTTGAGGTTTGATTTTAGTAGCGTCGCAGAGCATTCTACATCTACGCGCAGAGCCGGCGCCCGTGGTCGCGGGGGGAAGCCGGGCCCGCACCGTGCGGTTTCGCACACAGAGTGATGCGCTTGTGGCGCCGCCCAACCCCGGCTGTTTGCGCAGCATTTTGGCGGCATTAGAACGGCATTCGCGCGCCATCTAGAGAAGATATCGAAAGCAGCAGGCGGGGAAAAGCGTGATCCTCCTTATTGATTTGCAGCAGAGCGTGGCTTACCTTTCAAGATCGCGATGCCCAAGTTGAGTTCTTTGCAGCCTGCATGGCGAAGGCTTTGCATGCGATCGGCAAAGGGCGGAGCTTGCGGCGCCGATAAATTGTTAGCGTCGTCGTGTTCGCGGCGCGCCGGCGGCAGTTTCCGCCTAACCTATCAACACCCGGCGCACTTCCAGAAGCCGGCGGCGGCCGGGGTTTCTCTAATTATCTGCCTCGCAGGCTCGGCGGGGTTGTGGCTTAAGGAAGTTCATCGGCTTCGCGAGAAGTTGCGTCAGCATATGAGCGGGCTGGTCAGCCTCAGCTGGCGACAGCCTGCTTTTCCTTGTTGTTTTCTGTCGCCGTCTCCGATTGCGTCGCAAATGCGGCACTGCTTGGGCCGTAGTCCGTGTCCAAATAAGCGATAGACTACGGGGGCGGGGGCATAGTTCACCAGTGTAGCCAGGACTTTTTACAACTACCGCATTTGGCGCGACGCGTACGTCTTCAACGAGATATTCGCCACTACAAGGGGCGTGCATCAGCACGCACATAGCGAGTCGGAGTTGCGGGGTTTTATCAACGGCATTCTGCTAAAAGCGACAAGCCTGTCCTCGTCGAACGACGGAAGAAGTAGTGCGAAACTTGCCGGGATGAATCACAAGCACAATCACCGAGGGCGCGCCGTTGGGGTGTCAGAGATGGATAGCTCGAAGCCAAATGCGAGCGGCAAGATGTTCGAGCGATCTGGTTCCACAAGCGGATTGCACCCACTTCTATTCCCCGAGGTGGTGGAGATGTTCTGCGACTCTTCTTACTATTCCCGGTTGGCCTACATATTTCCAAGCGTCCGCGCCCGGCAGCAACTCGCGGGCTCTCGCCAAGAGCTCCAGCACGTGTTCACACGCAACTACTTCGAATACGGTACACCGCACCACTGGTGCCCAACCAAACGGGAGTTTTTGCAGCACTTTTGCCCGAGCGACGCAATAAATCGAGAAAAAGCACTACAATCGACATTCTTTAGAAGGACCGCGAAACCGAAAGAGCTCTACGTGCCTGAGAAAGATGTCAACCGTCATGAGTTCAAATTCGGCTGCCGCAGCTCTGTCGCAGAGGCAGGACACTCAGAGAAACCCGCACGAGCTGAAAGTCATCGACTCGGGTACGAGGGTTGGGAAAGAAGAAGACGCTGACTCTACCGTGGCGTAGTTAGCCAACGAATTTGAAAAATGAGTTTAGAGCTGTAACGCGTAAGCACCTTGAAGCATGCAGATGGCAACTTTTTTCCACTTCTAGCTGACAGATGCAAAATCAAAAAGAAAAAAGCGCCGGAGCACCCGGATCGCCGGAACCGAGATCGCCGACCGGCAAATGTAGACTCCCCGGGGCTCGGAGACTCTGGTTCGACCGGCCCGACCTTGCAGCTGCACGTCGCCGCTTCGACCGGCTCGACTTGGAGCTGCAAGGCGATCCGGCAGATGCGGGGTCGCGGCGGCCCGGCGACTCTGCTTCGACCAGTCCGGCTCTGCAGCTGCAAGTCGGACCGGCAGGAGACGCGCGACCGCAAAGCTCGAAGCTGATTCTGAAGACTCAAACTCGGAGCCAAGCTCGGAGCTGAATCTGAAACTCAGACTGGAAGGCACTTCTGAGCTTCACACTCGAAGACGAGTCTGAGACGCAAACGCAAGCCCGAAAGTGGTAAGAGGCAACGCCAATCACCACCTAAATCCGTCCTTCTGGCAACGCCAGACACCACCTAACTCCGTAGCCATTTTGGCTCAAGGCCTTGCGCCTTGTTGCCGCGTTTCCATAGAAAAAGGGGGCCGCGCTGCCCCACGTGCCCCCGGAGTGAGAGCGAGATACGGTCGCGGGCAGGCGGCCACTAGAGTCAGAAACAAAATAGAAGACGCGTCGCCACTCATTCTTTCGCCGCCCTGGGCCCCTCTGCATTACGGCCCAGGGGCTCTACACATCCGGCGCTGCCGGATGCTTCCCTTCGTGTAGCATTGGCGTGCGCAGAAGATCCCTGACGTTTTCGTCTTCTTTTCGGATGGGGCCCCCGGGTTACACGCAAAAGTCGGGCGACACCTCGCCGCGTTCTCCTTTTTCGAAGTCGCCGACAGCCGCCGGGTCGTCGTTGAGGCATGCTCTTTCTGGTCAGGGGCACAGTAAAGATCGAGTCGTGCTTTCTAGTCAAGGCGTGGATCATATTGCTGACCAAGCGCGTGGAGGCGGCTTCGCGGGCGGGATGGTCAGGGACTGCGTTTTTTCTTTTGCTTTTATTTAGTGCGTCCACATCTACATCAACATCCGAAGCAGCTTTATCTATGAGTGTGCGTCGGTGGGCTGCTAGCGGAAATAAGCAAAGTTCTAGCTGTCCACCTGCTCGACACTGGAGTCCTAGGCTTTTACACCTCGCGGGGCTATTTGTCGGGTGGGTTTTTGCATCGCGACCAATGTCGAAGCTTGGGCTCCGGGGAGGTATGGTTTTAGAGCAGTCCCGACATTTCTCATTTCGTGCTGCCTCACGTGCGGCGCTTCTTTCCAAAATCACACTAAAAATAGATGGAGGAAGGGCGGCGCGCGGCTTTCGCCATGTGCTGCCCTTCCTCGCGCCAACCCGGGACAAGGATTCCCGCAGGGGCTGCTGATGTTCAGCCACGTAAACCTGCAACGGACGAGGTGGAGCCTGCTGCGCCAGCAGGCTCAGCGGTACGACGTAGACAAGCGCCTCAGCATGTCTGAACCACCTAGAAGACCAACCTAGTTTGTCGCCTGTTCAAAGGCAACCCACGACCATCCTAACTAACACGCGCGGAGGCTAGGCGCGGCCGGGTGTGTAGGTATGCCTTTGCCGGCTTAGTAAACGCCCAAGACCTCCCACGTCGCCCCCTGTAGGTATGCTCCTTTGTATGCGACCATGGAAGACCACGGCATACAGTGGAGACGCTTGGCACTAGAATAGATATGCATGACCCGACGACAGCAGGCGCTGCAGATGCGCAGGGGTAGTAAATCGGGGCACTTTACTGAAAAAAAGTTAAAGGTCGGCAGAAGCGAGGGCAAAAAAAGGCTACCAACTAAAAAAACCACAGACGCCGAGGAGAAGCGAGTAGATAGCCCCCTGCCCTCGGTGTAGATTTAGTCTTCGTAGAGCAGCACTGCTGCGCGGGAGAGTCTGCGCGTCCTAAAAAATGCAAGTGTAATCAGCATGGGTCTAGGGTTTGTACGTATGTAGTGGCGTAGGTAGAAACTAGTTTACAGATCGTGATCTTGTAGAAACTCGTTTATAGGTCGGGGCTTAGGGTAGAGGCGTGCTCTCACGTCAGAGAGGCGACCACGCTGCTCCTTCCTAGTCGTGTGCCAGGCTGCGAACAGATATAAACCGCTCCTGTCTATCGAGGGACTGAGTAAGAGGCAACGCCAGTTGCCACCTATCTAAGGCGAAAGCTCTGGCTTGTAGCCTGTTCACAGGCACCCACGAACATCATAACTAACACACGCAGAGGCTAGGCTCGACCGGGTGTGTAGGTAGGCCGTAGCAGGCTTAGAAAACGCCCAAGATCTCCCATATCGCCCCCTGTAGATAGGAGCTGTTTTGTGTGCGGCGATGAAAGTCCACAGCATAACCGGGAGACCCGTGGCACTAGAATAGCTATGTACCTCCTGTGAAGGCCGTCGCCTGAGGAGATCTCCCGGTCGTAACGTGGGGAGAAGCAGGCCGCATGCTTATCAGGGCAAGCGGTTAGTAGATCTGGTAGGTTGAAAGAGTGGCCCCAGTGAATGAGGGCCGACGCCTCTCATGATGTCACCTAGTAGAAGACCATATATACGCGCAGGCCTTGTTGTTCTGCGGAGAGCAGCAAGCAGCTCCCTGGCCCATGCGCTTGCGCTACTTCGCAGGCTCGCAACAAAAAGGCACACCGCCGCTGTGCTGATTGTGTCCTGCCACTCGGGTGCCGCGGCTGCACCTCGCGCGACCGCGGGACACGACCGGGCAGCAAGCCGAGTGGCACCGCCGACGAGCGCAGCTGCGCTACCGTTAGGGGAGCGCAGCCACCCAGATGGCTGGCCACCCCACCCTCCCGGATGCCGCCCCTTATCCGAGCTCGGCCAAGCCCATACCGAGAATTATAGCGCCGACCGTTGATAGTGCGCGGCCACCCGGTTGGTCGGTACTATGAAGAGCGCGCCACGACAGGCGAGCCCTGTGGCACCACTGAAACGGCCACACAGCAACACACTGGCGGCGCACAACCGCCCACGAGTTGAGCGCCCCCAGACATGCAAATGCTTGCGGTGGCTACGCAGTGCAATTCCAAATCGGACGAAAATCAACGGCAGTCGTGGGGAGGTGTTGGTGTTCGCGAGGCACTACGTCCGACGCGCCTCCGAGCCGTGAGGGCACTCCTAGGGATAGGAGAGAGGGACCGAAAGAGCACCTACTCCGGGTGCGAGAGATCCTGCCGTGACAGATCCTACCATGCACTGAGATCCAATTGGCCCCTTGTGCGTGCGATGTTTGTGCACAGTGGTCGGCATCACCTGTGGCTTCGATAATAATAATAGAATAGCTATGTACGACCCGGCGGCTGCAGACGTTGAGAAGCAGGGATAGGAGTCCAGTTATTCTCTGCGTTTCCGAAACAGATTGAAAGAACCAAGGACCAAAAAAGTAGAAGCTCAAAAACCACAGACGCCGCGGTAAGAAAAAAAAATAGTAGCAGGTCCTGGTGCTCGCCACCAGTATAAACTTCAAGATGGACAACATTGCAGCGCGGGACGCAGGCATGCTCTACATATTTTTGTACTACGCATGGGTTTGGGGTGTTTACATACATAGTGGCGTCGGTCGTAGAATCTTTCTATACAGATCATCCTTGTAGCGACTGGTATATAACACAGGGTTAAGGGTAGAGACGTGTTTCCACGTCAGAGAGGCGACCGCGCTGTTCTCTTCTAGTCGTGTGCCAGGCTGTGAACAGATGTAAGCCCGCTACTGTCTATCGAGGAACTGAATAAGAGGCAACGCCAGTCACCACCTAATTCCGTCCGTCCGTTCTGGCACTCAGACTCAAACTCGAAGTTGGTCCTGAAACTCAAACTCAAGCAGCTCGGAGCTGATTCTGAAACTGGGAACCAGAGCCGGAGTTGGTTCTAAAAGTCAAACGCAAAGTGCCGGACTCTGGAACTCTAACTGGCATCTCGGCGCTTTATATCCATGGGAGGTAAAATTAAAAAGACTAACATCTATCGTCCAAGAATGAGACTGTGGTCTGCTCGTGGTGCTTATCAAAAACCTCGACAGGAGCGTGCTCGTGCAACCAAGATCAACCTTGACTCATTTTGGGCGTACATCATCGAAAGCAGAAAGGAACTGATTTGTCGCAAGAAAGAAATCACTCTCAACATCACAAAATCAAAATACACAGGCCCGATGATAGTGCAGCCTTTTCTGGTTGCGGGAAAACCAATTCCCACGTCTTTTTTTCCCAAGGATTATCGTTAGTCGCCTCTACTAGACAAAGCAAGCGTGGTCGAGCTTTAGTTCATGAAAAAGTCGGCTGCACTCTTAAAGTTCCGACACGCCACACCCCCGATCACGATCATCGAGATTCCAATGCAGTCCTTTAGTGAAGTTGAGGCGAGATCGAAGAACTTTCAGTCGGCTTATGACAGGAATGCTTCGTCATGCTGTTGCTGGTAGCGTGAGATAATTGGTAGCTATCACGCACGGCGCATCATGTTGCGCCGCCGAATCTGTCCTGAGTTGATTTTCTACTTCTATTCTATATGCTGTATGCGCTAGCCAGGGGGAAGGAATTCCTATCCCACTGCGAATGCGAGAGCACCGGGGGGGGAGGTAGCAGAACTGGAAGGGGAGGGTCAGCGATTCTGGGCAAATTTGGGTCGTTTGGGTACAAAGGAGCGCTTTTTTGGAAGCCTTGTGGTCGGGTGCGTGCCTTTTGTTGGAGATCGCGAACGCCACGCATTTGTGTGCGGCCTTGCCTGCCAAAGTGGGACGATAATGGTTCCAGATCTTAATCCGTGCCATATTTCGTGCGAAAAAGGCTGCGAAGCAGCAAGCTGCAGCGCGTGTCTACATGCACCGCGGGAGGCCAGGCTTTCGGCGGAGGGGCGTCCGTGGCGGCTCCTACTTCTCGATGTGCGAAATGGCGCCGCCGCTTTGTTTCCCGCCTTTTTGCTCTCCTTTTTGCGGCTATCTCTATCAGTGCAATGGTGAGCCTGTGTTGCCGGGCATACCGAAAACGCCGGCAAACGCCCACCGTCCGCAGTGAGACCTGCCGCCCCCGGCCGGGGCTGCGGCAAAGCTAGCAAGGCGCGCGCGGCTGTCGCTTCTCAATGAAGCCGTAGCCGGATCCTCGCGATACTTCGCGCGAAACAGGCTGCGAAGAAGCAAGCTGCGGCGCGTATCTAGATGCACCATGGCAGGCCAGGCCTGCGGTGGGGGGGGGGCGACCGCGGCGGCTCCTTCTCTATTTGCGAAAGAGACCGCGCGAAATAGCGCCGCCGCCGTTTCCCCGCCTCTTAATGTGCCTCCCTTCACTTGCGCGGGGGCACTATCTTCATCTATCAGTGTAATTTTGAGCCTGTGCGGCCGAGTATACGCACCGAAAACGCCGGAAAACGCCCGCCGCCCGCAGGCAGACCCACCGTCCCTGGTCGGGGTTAACGGGCAATCGAGGTGAGCGCGGCGGCCCCTTCGCTTTGTGTGAAATGGGGCCGCAGCCGGGCCCGCGCCTGCCATTTTGCGCACGAAAAAGGCCGCGAAGCAGCAAGCTGCGGCGCGTATCTAGATGCACCGCGGCACGCCAGGTCAGCAGCGGGGGGGGGGGGGGGGGCGCCCGTGGCGGTGTCTTCTCTTTGGGCGAAGTGGCGCCGTCCTCGCCTTGTCGGGGTTCTATCGCTATGTATCAGTATACATAGTTCCGAGACTGGGCGGCCTGGCATACTGAAAGCATCGGCAAGTTTTGGAAGTTTTTTTTAGAGACCCTGACGCTCTGAGACCTAAGCCAACGAATCACGACGGCAGCGCGGTTGTCTTGTGTTTAGAATGAGGGGAGAAAAATACGCATAGCGTCGTGATTTCGCTTTGTGGATTTTTTTGGGGGATCCGCCCGCTTCCCGGGGATCCGCCCGTTGCCCGGGGATCCGCCCGCTCCCCGAGGATCCGCCCGCTTCCCGGGGATCCGCCTTCCCGCAGGGGATCCGCCCGCTCCCCGAGGATCCGCCCGTTCCCCGGGGATCCGCCTTCGCCCAGGGGATCCGCCCGTTGCCCGGGGATCCGCCCGTTCCCCGGGGATCCGCCTTCGCCCAGGGGATCCGCCCGTTGCCCGGGGATCCGCTCGCTCCCCGGGGATCCGCCTTCGCCCCGGGGGTCCGGCCGCTTCCCGGGGATCCGCCTTCGCCCAGGGGATCCGGCCGCTCCCCGGGGATCCGCCTTCGCCCAGGGGATCCGCCTTCCCCCAGGGGATCCGCCCGTTCCCCGGGGATCCGCCCGCGCCCCGAGGATCGATCCGCCGGCTCCCCGGGGATCGGCCTTCGCCCAGGGGATCCGCCCGTTACTCGGGGATCCGCCCGCTCCCCGGGGATCCGCCCGTTCCCCGGGGATCCGCCCGTTACTCGGGGATCCGCCCGCTCCCCGGGGATCCGCCCGTTCCCCGGGGATCCGCCCGTTGCTCGGGGATCCGCCCGCGCCCCGAGGATCCGCCCGCTCCTCGGGGAGCCACCCGCTCCCCGGGGATCCGCCTTCCCGCAGGGGAGCCGCCCGCTCCTCGGGGATCCGCCCGCTCCCCAGGGATCCGCCTTCCCGCAGGGGAGCCGCCCGCTCCCCGAGCGGACTGCGCCGGCCTTGCGCTTCACTCCCTCCCCTACGGGCGCCCGGGCTGCCCGGGGCGGGTGCGCCCTTGCGCCAGAGGCTCCGGCCTTAGCTAGGGGTCCCTGCCCTTGCCGCGCTGGCGGTGAGCACGGGCACCGGCAAACCGGCGCACATTTCTTGCTTCGGCTTGGTTCTTACAAGTTGCCAACTTGTGTGGTTTGGTTGTCAAAGCGGCGTTTTGACAACCAGCAAGACAAAGGCGGCGGCCGCACAACCGCGTGGGGTCTTGATAAGCAAGAGAGGACAAACCGGACCGCGTAGACAAGACAGACACAGCGCGCCGAAGGCCGCGCGCCTGCACCTCAGTGCGTTCCAAAATGTGCGCCGGTTTGCCGCAATGCCCGTGGTGCCGCATCAGAGGGCTGTGGAGCCCTTCGGCGGCCCATGTGGAAAGTTCTCTGGTCAAATCGGGACCATGCCACCGGGGAAATCCCTCTCGAGGCGGCCCAAATTGGGCCAGAGGACCCGCCAGAGGATCTTCGGGTCCTCTGCCGGGTCCTCTGGTCAAACCGGGGTCGTGCCACCGGGGGAAGCCCTTCGGAGGCGGCCCAAATTGGGCCAGAGGACCCGCCAGAGGATCTTCGGGTCCTCTGCCGGGTCCTCTGACGGGTCCTCTGGTCAAACCGGGGTCGTACCACCGGGGGAAGCCCTTCGGAGGCGGCCCAAATTGGGCCAGAGGACCCGCCAGAGGATCCTCGGGTCCTCTGCCGGGTCCTCTGGCGGGTCCTCTGGTCAAACCGGGGTCGTACCACCGGGGGAAGCCCTTCGGAGGCGGCCCAAATTGGGCCAGAGGACCCGCCAGAGGATCCTCGGGTCCTCTACCGGGTCCTCTGGGAAATCCTCCGGCCAAACCGGGATCGCACCACCGGCGGAAGGTCCTCCGAGGCGGCCCAAGTTAGGCCAGGCGAAAACGTGCGCCGGTTTGCCGGGGCCGCCAGGTTGCTCGCAGTCCGCAGCCGAGTGTGGCGATTTGGGCACACGAGACGCCAACACAGACGCGGCGCGGTTGTGCACACAAACAGCAGCGGAGTCCATGCGCGCGCCGCGTTTTCGGTTGCATTGCAACACACTTTGGCACGAGCTAAGCCGAAGGTTTCCCGGGAAACCTTAAACGACCCTGCCCGAGCGGAGTCCATTGATTTCTAGGTCTCACAGCGTCGCTTTCTCTTTTTTTAAAGTTTTGGAAAGGGTGCGCCCGTTCGCAAGTGCCGCACTTCTGATGGTGCAGCACCAGCAAACTGCCAATCCCGCACTGCTGATGGTGCGCGTGAGGCAAAGCCACCAGTGCGGCCGGACTTATGTTTTTAGTTGTTATGCTCCCAAATGGTGACTGCAGCGAGCACCAGGAGCCCAAGCAATCCGAAAGGGATAGAGCCCGGAATAAAAGTCACTTACGCACTCGGATGAGCCGCGAGCCGACTCGGCCCCCTCAAGCGCCAGCCGCCCGCGGGAAGACCTACCGCCCCCAGCCAAGGTTGCGGCGAATCAGTGCGAGCGCGGTGGTTCCTTCTCTATGTGTGAGGCGAGGCCGCAACCGGGAAGCCGGGCGGAAAAGCCGGGAGACAGAGCATCCCCCGAGCGGCCTCGGATACGTGTCCCGGGGCGGGTTTGAGGTATGGGCACCCCTCGGGAGGCTTCGGGTAGGGGTTCCGAGGGACTGGCTTCGGCTAAGGGTACCGCGGGAGCGGTTTCGCGGAGGGCTATCGTGGGAGTGGTTTCGCGTAAGGGCATGCGAGGGTGGTTTCGCATATTAAGGCTACGCGGGGCGTGGTGTCTGCTTTCACGATTTCAGTGCCTCCATTCGGGTTGTATTCAGCTCCTTTCCCGCGTCTATGCATGTAAATACTTATATTGATTAATTGGCGTGTCCCGCTCCCGAACCCGACCGATGTCTCCAGCAAACATGGATGAGACTAACAGAAGCTGATGACGATCTACCTGGGTGGACATAAGCCATCCGCTTTGTCACGGATATCGTATGTAGTGAGGACACCGAACGGTTCTAACCGGGAAGTTTTTTTGCCAGCCAGACAGCAAAACGGCCCTCAGGTTTCAAGCGGCCGGAAATGTTTTTGGACGTAAAGGATTTCCATTTATCAAGCGGCCGGGGCTTTGAAGTCAAACAAGCCCGAGCCAATTCGATCGATTCCCGCTTGATAAAACGATGCAGGGGAGCCGGCAAAAGGGGCGCCCTTCTGAGGCGCCCACCGCCTTGGTTTCTGGCGGTTTAGGGCGCCCAAAAGGGCGCCCGAAAAAAAGCGCGCCCAAAATCAGAACAGCGAAACAGCATGGCACGGCCGCGATTGCGGAGCATTTTGCGCGGTCGCGAAAGCGGCAGCCTTTTCGCCGGTTTCAGAGCCTGGGGAGCTTTGCAAAAAGCGCAGGGGCGAAAAGTAAAAACGCAAAAAAGAAAAGGCGCGCGAGACGCGGGAAGCCAATGCGCACGCTATGGGCCCGATTTTCCTTCGCTTTTCGGGCGCCCCCTGCAACGCCCAGATCGGCCCCACAGCGTCGGGCTTGGCTTTCGGAAAGGAATTTTGGAAATGTGCCAAAATTTGTGATGTTTCTCAAGCGACCGCCATACCGTGCGGCATGACGTTACTCTGGCGAGCCCAGAAAAAGCAAAGTCGCGGCCAAGGCGGTGGTCGGCAAAAAAACGCCCACGACCTCACTACCCCCGCCCCGGCGGCTATATTTCGTACTAGTTTTCGTCTCGCACTTGTGAGAGCAGCACTCATCTTCGGCGACTTTTGCGAATGTGCAAGCAGTTGTTACCAGTGCGCCACGATGACGAAGCGTGCTGTTGCAGAGCCGGAAGCGCAGATCAGTGGCCGCATTCAAACGTTACAGATGATTGGCGCTATGCGACAGGGTCTTCACCGCGTCGAGAGGGTCTTGCAGATTCGCACGGATCATCTGGGTATCGGCTTCATCACCACAGCTGTGGTGATGATGACAATCCGTCATCCAAACGTGGTTCTGTTGCTCTTCGGCGTTTTTCTTGTCTTCGTCCGAATTCTCTGCAACGTGCACGAGCGCGGGCTAATTGGACTATTTTACACCGCTGAGGAGAGCGCGGCGTTGGCTGCTGGCGAGTTTGCGCGCCAGTCGATTTACGATTTTTTGGTGATCGGCTCGCTAGAGCGTCTCCGTATTTTCAAGCAGCTCGTGCGTGTCGGGCTTCTCATTGTCAATCAGAATCTTACCCGGGAGGAGATAAACTACATCGTCCAGGTATCTACTGTGGAAACTGGCCACTACTTATATGCATAAAAAATTATGCGATTACCTTTTATCAACTAACAAACATCCTCCACTTTTTCTAGCAACGCGAGCTTCGCGTTCGCCTGTAGGTTTGCACAACTCAGAAATTCGATCTCGAAAGGGCATTGCGCTAGATTCAAAGATCAAGGCGGAAACAAACAAGCGCTAAAGACCTAACGGAAGCGGGAGCACCAGCGCTCAAGAGGTGGGCAGCGGCCGACGTCGACCAGTGCCAGGCGTGCGGCCACTTGCAAAGCGCATGCCCTTCGCCGTGGCGTGCTGAGCACCGCGCCGCGGCCCTTATTAGCGGGCGACCGTAAATGGTGGATCTTAGTACCGATGGCGATGGGGCGAACGGCACGAAATACAGCATCGCGGCCCTGTCGTGACTTGCGCAGAATCCAAATGCTCAAGGCATAACTTGGAGCGCTCTTGCGTCGGTCAAAAGCCTGCGAAGTTTGCTAGCAAAATAAAACTCACGGTCATGCGCAAAATGCATTTACGCCGCTGGCGAAAAGTTCGTTTGGTAGCTCGGTGAGAACTTTCGTGGGCTGGCTTCAAAATCTAACAGCAGCGCACTGCTTCCTCGCAAAGCCTTGCAATTTTATTCACTCGCGTCGAGTGGTCTTGCTTTTGCTTTGGAATTGGCCCGGAAAGATTCTTTGCGTTGTTGCCGGTTTTTTATTGACGTTCTCCCGTGTTGCTTCAGAGTTTGAACATTTTGAAAAGTGCTTCCCCGGCCCTGCCTCATGAAACTAGCAGGCGCGAGAGAAACTAACAAAACAAAACACGATGGGGAAGCCTCGCGAGACTACTAAGGAAGCGACTAGCTACCCTGTTTTCTGCTTCCGAGTTTCTGGCGTAGTGGTGAAGCGCTGGCAGGTGTAATTTGCCCACAAGGCCGATGGAACGGCAAAGCAGCAGGAGTTGCGTCACGTGCCCTGTACGAACGAACAAGGCAGCACACCCAAAAAGGATTCTGCTTACTTTCCTGTAAGCTGGTTAGCCAAGGCTTGTCAGAATTCATCGCGGAAGACCGATGGAAGTCGTCGCCACTGCGTGCGCAGCTTAATGCAGGCACTGGACTGCGCTGAAGACTGGGGGAATTGCGGCCACAGCTCGCGAGAACTGTAGCGCAGCCCAAGGCGCTAAAGCTGCATCCCGAGAGAATTGCGGCGACAGCGCTCGAGGCCATAAGTCGCCCGGATCATTTTGGTCCGTAAGCAGGACGCTCCTGCACCCTTACTCCGGTAGCCCGGGAAAGCCGGCCCGTAACGCTGTGACTGTCGCCGTTGTTTCTGTAGCAGCTAGGGAATTTGGGCGGTTTTTGTTGGTTATTAGTTGGTGCGTGCCTACTGTGGACCTAGCCAAATTTGCTGTGAATTGATTCGCCCCGGGATCTGGATGAAGCCTGGGCCTTGCAGTCGGTTTTTGTGGTGTAGCAGGGCATTGCTGCGGTCGTTACCTGCGTGGCGATTTTTGTAATCACCGAGCGGAATGCGAATGAGAATGGCTCTGCCTATGTTCACTTTCGAGGAAGCGCGTCGGTCGGCAAGTAGTAGCGCGCTGCCGTAGTTTGCTTTGCTATTGCTGACGGCTGGAGGCGGCGGTCTCGTACTCGTACTTTTGCCGTCGTGGGAATTGGCGCAGAAACTTCGCCCACGATGTGGGTGCTGAACCCCTTAAAATTTTCGGCGTCTAGTGGCTAAGAAGCTTGCGCCATATTGCCTATCGCTCCGCTTCACTTCACTCCAAATCAAAAGAAAATAAAAATATATTGCTTTCTTGGGAAGCAGTGCGCTCATTATACGTAAAAACAGAACGACCAGGAGTACCTTGACCTTTTTCGGAAAGTGGTGGGGAAGCCGTTGGTGCAGTACCTCCCCGAGCATTTGAGACGCTTGCTATTTATCACAAGTAGAAAGCACCACACTGAAGATATTACGATGTTCATATGTACGGCACGACGAATTCTGCATCCCCTCCTGTGAAGCTCCAGTATTTTTTCTTCTATTATAGCGACTGGACGGAGCTTGAGGTTAAAGATACGGGCACTACAGATGGGGAGGCACAACTCGCAGATTTGTTGCACAATGTATGAGCTGATAGCTGGCTGGTGGCCGTGGTTGCGCTAGAAACTGTCGCCCCCTGTTGGTTTTGTATCGGACGAGTGCGCTTCTATTTGCAGGAGATAACTTTTGGGGCGGACTTAGTGCGCGACGAGCCCTTGCTACGGAGGTCGTCTACGACTGCTGGTGGTGCGGCCGAGTTTTCAGCTCTGAGCCCTGCGGCTCTTGCGTTCAGTCTCAGTGCCGGCGGGCGTGCAACGCCGACTGCAGCGCAGCCAGCCTTATCGCGGAGGGGCGCCACTAGAACCTTCTCTCTCTCCAAGTTCGGATACAGTTCCAGGAGGGGAGTGGCCACTTCAAAAGACGTGGCGCGTAAAACGAGAGCGCGAACTGTGGGAGAGTCGGACGATGACGATGAGGAGATCACAACGACTGGCGGAGCCACCACCGAGGAGCAGGAGGGAGCCTCTAGCACTGCCTCCAGTCCGAGCATGGCTGCCGGAGCGGGGGCGTCTGTTAAAGGTACCTCCCTTGTCCGGCGAAGAGCGCTGCTATGTGGGCAAAACGCCCTTTGTCCAGTCGCAGCCGAGGACGTGTGCCGCGGCGCGACGCGTTCCAAGCTCGGTAGACGGGGTGGTGCTACAGGAGCGTGCGACCCACTTTCACAACAATCGCCGGATCCTGATGAGTCGCAGAGTCCGGCAAGTACACCGGACGAGGATGTGGAGTATATCTTGTGTAAAAACGCTCTCACGCCATTTCGGTAAAAACAGAATGCACAGTAACCATCTGCGGCTCATATGTGGCGATGCCTATCGCGCATTTTTGGAATTAGAAAAAGGAAACCTTGAAGCGCTCTAGTCTGTTTGGCTTTGTTTTTCAAAGAGGAAAACATACAGCACATAATCAGTTCCTGGCTCGCCAGATAGTTTGAAGAAGCTTGCGCTTGCCTTGTTTTTCAAAGAGTTGCGAGAGGACCCCATCGAGTGCCGCTTCTTTATAGTTTCCACAATTTTGTAGACGGCAAAAATGACGCCCTTCTCGGGCGCTCGCTTTTCAGGCTCGTGCGATTTGAGGCGCCCAAAAAGGCGCCCAAAGAAGCCGCGCGCAAAATGAAGGCAGTCGGCCGGCACGGTACGGCCGCGATGCCCGGGCCTTTTGGGCGATCGCGAAAGCGGCCGCCCTTTAGCAATATTCCAAACCTGGGCAGCATCGTGAAGGCGTCGCGCCCCATAGAGTGCGACGCAAGAAAGCGCACGGGCCCGGCCCGCGTGCTATGCTTGGCCCGATTCTACTCCTGCCGTGGCCGCTGCCGTCTGGGGGGCGACCGGACCGGGCCCGTGCCGTCGGGGCGGGCTTGCGGTTTGGGGCTTCCTAATGCTGCCAGGGATCCTGGTGGCCATGGGCCGCCACCCCGCTCGGCCTAGCTAGCAAGTTGGCAATGTGATCGGCGGGGGCGCGAGGGACCCGGGAAGATTGGGGGCGCAGCAAAGGCCGCGACGGCCCTCGCTGCGCCCCCCCCCTGGCGCGCTCCCCCGCCGCCCTCCTGTTCTGCTTATTGCCATTTCACGGCAAAGGCAAAACGGCCACGGCGCCGCTAAAGAATCGCCACGGCGCTTGCTGAGCGTCCGGCGCTTCGCCACTTAGTTGCGGGAGGCCGGCCGGGCGCGGCGTTTTGCAATGAATCCGGCCCCCCATCGCGAGGAAGGCAAGACGGTTGAGACTACCCCTCTACCGCAGCCCCGGCAGCGAGCTATGTTTGGCGGCGTGTGATATTTATGAGATCTAGAAGGAACGGGCGGGCGCACGGCCCAGCGCCGAGGAGGCGCAAGGGAGGGCGAGGGGGGTAGAAGTTTCCGGAGGCAGGCGCCCCACGTCTTTTTATGCCCGCACTACCCAGTTTAGCGCCACAGCCGTAAAACAGAAACAACACACCGCCCGGGCGGGCGCATGCGGGGTGGGCGCAAGGCCAGCGGTAATCTACAGTCCGGGCGCGGACCCGGTCCGAGCCCGGACAAAAAGGGCCGGCGGCAAGCGTTTGCAGAACTGTGTCGAGGGCCCGGGTGGGAGGCTAGTCTCAGAAGACAGAACGAGAAAAGCGCGCCAAAGAAAGGCCGCGACGCTCGAGGCACGGCAGGCGCCTGGCAAGAAGCACAGGAAGGAGGCCGGCGGAAAGGCAGGCGCCCGAGGCGCGCAGGGTGTTGCATTCTAGAAAGAAATAGAAGCCAGAAGCCCCAAAACCAAAGAAGGCAGGCGCAAGGTAGAAGGCCACGGCGCTGGGTTGCCGGCAAGGCAAGAGACGCGCGAAAGCGCCCGGGCAGGGCCTGCGAACGAGTGGCACACCGAGCGCCCCGGCAATACCCAAGAGGGGAAGCAAAAGCAGGGCGCCTCCAGGGGGCGAGGGGGGCACGGCGGAAGCGCTTTCGCGGCCGCTCGATCTAATAAAGTGGCTCGCAAGAATGAAAATGGGAAGGAATAGAAGTGCTTCGTAGTTCGGTAGTTCCGCCTTCGCAGTGCGACGATGCATGGTTCCCGAGGCAATCGCTCATACTTGTCCTGCGAAATTTGATGTCCTGCTAGGCCAAGGCCCAGGACTAGGCCTAATAACAGCCCGTCGCGCCGTCCCTATTTAGAAAGAAAGGTAGATATGCTACACGTAATTAAAGGGAGAAGCCTCACCTTGACTACGCTTGTGCGTGGGACCTGTTTTTTCACCGGATGCTGTCAGGTTTGGATTTGCCCGATGTGGTGGCGAAGGTTGTAAGCGCCGCGGTCGGATTTTATACGAGCAGCTTCATGAGCTCCGACTTCGTGACTACGAAAGAGTGGGAGCGGCACTTTCAGGGTGGCCCCGAGCAGTCTTTCCACCTTGATCGCGACACGTCCACACTCGAAGCGTCGCCTACACGACGGACGATCTCGACCGCAACGGGTGCAACGACGCTGCTCAACACGACATGTCCGGACCCGGGCAGACCGCTCCGTATCATGAGTGACCATCACCCCACCTCATAGTCAATGCAAGGCTTGTTTAGCATGCTCTGCGCGCACAAGTGCCACATACATAGAACGTGACTCTACGCAGATTGGAAGCCTGCGCAGGGGCGCACGTGTGTGGCTGATTGATATGGCACACAAAAAGAGAATTCCCCGGAGCGCAATGTCGCGCAGAGGTCATGCCGCGCCGTCTTGCAGCAGAGGAGACGCTCGGTCTTCTTTTGAGCATCGGGAAGGCAGACTTTTTCTCGCAACATCACTCCTCCGGGGAGTATCGTCAGACGGTCGGGGTCCGACTGCTATCAATACGAAAAGCGCCCCTATCCCTGAGTGGGAAAATGCTCCTTCTAGGCTTGGGAGTTTCGCTTATGGAAACATTTGCCGGCCTAAGATATAGACAGTTCACCAGTCACCCCGCGCCCTCGGCGAAGGCCGCCGGGGTGGGGGCTCCTGTTGGGAGGTGTTCCGGAGGGGAAGGTGGAGCCACTGTTTGCGGCCGGCCTGCTCGCAGAATGTCCCTAGGCGACTCCCTTCCTTGTACAGTTTCGCGCTGTGTTTTACAACAGGCGACACAGGGGCACGCACCAGTTGGCGCGCGGCAGCGTGCCACGCTCTCCTAGGCCCGAACCAAGAGGCCTACTGTCGTATATCATGTGAGTGCAAACAGAACCCGGTGAGGTTCTGTTCATATGTAGTGAGGTCGCCGAACGGTTCGAGCCGGGCAGTTTTCTTGACACTGAGACAGCAAAACAGCCGGCACTTTGTGGCGCTGTTTTGCGTTTTTTTACTTCAAAAGAAAAACAAGCGCGTCAGCCTGTTTGGTTTATTTGTTGGCGCAGAATTCCGGCGGGCCGCTATCGTTCCCCGATTGTTGCAAGGACGATAGCGGGCCAGCAGAGACGGCGCCCTTCGGAGGCGCCCACCGCCCCGTGTTATGGCGGTTCGGGCCGTCCAAGCAAAGGGGGCCCAACAAAACCGCGCACAAGAAAAGGAGAGTGCGGCCGCATGGCACGGCCGCGATTTCGGAACGTTGTCGGCGATCGCGAAAGCGACAGCCCTTTCGCCAGTGTCCTTTGCTGGGAAGCCTCTGCAAAGGTGTGGCCGTGAAGAGCGGAAATATGAAAAAGAAAGAGCGCGCCAGAACCATGACGCCAAACCCCTCCGATGTTACGGGCCCGACTTCTTCCCGCTTCTGGGCCCCGCCCCGGGGCACCCGGACCGGCCCCATACCATCGGGGCTAGCCCCCGAGGGGAAATTCTGTAAATTTGCCAAAATCAAATCTGCGAAAGGCTTCAAGTGGCCGGCATTCCGTGTGGTGCAACGCTACCCTCGGAGGCGCGGCGGGCCCGCGAAAAGCAGGAGCGCGGCTGACCCGCGGGCAGGGCGAAGGCAGGAAGGCAGCAAAAGGCCAAAGGCCGCACCACCCCCGTCCCGGTGCCTATATTTGGCATTGTATTTGCAGGGGGGCGCCCGCGCACCTGCTGTGCGCGCTCGGGCGCTGCTGGATGTTGCGGCCACCATAGGCCGTTGTGTTCTTCAAGGCCGGGCGTCGCACTCACAGCGCAGGGTTGTGATAAAGCTGCGCGCGATCCTTAATTTCTGCAACATGCCATACGGAAAGAAAGTGCCCTCGAAGCGACGCGGCGGCCTGGCCATCTGCGGACAGGTTTCTTTCCAATTCGTTGCGTTCCTCGTTGCAGTCGGACCAGCAAGAAAGAAAATGTCCTTGCGGCAACTTTGCTCTAGAAACGCCGCTCGTTTTTGCGGGCCGAGGTGCACTTTTCGACATCGATAACTACTGTTGGGGCGCTTTCGCTGGAACGAATGTCCGAGCGAGCGGAGCCTGGATCACGCGAGGTGTCTCGGGAAAGCACAGGAGACGCGCCGTCGGAGACTTTTCTGGCCAAGGCCTTCGGTGGGGTTTTCAGTTTTCGGGGAGGGGGGCGACAGGCTGCAATATCGCGCACACCTCCCAGACCCACGCCGCTTGTAGTTTTCGATGGAGCCAACAAGCGCGAACGAGATATGGTGAATAGATGACGCACCTATGAAGTCACAGAATAGAATTCCGGTACCATCGGAATTACGATAGTTATCGGAAAACCACTACGATAAGACTCCCGATTGCAAGAACTAGAGCAGCGCGATCGGCTCGCTTTGCAGCGTTTCCGGCGATTGGCGACGCTCTTGGCGTGTCGCGGAGTGCATGCAAATGAGACATTATTCGACGCGGCCGAGAAGCGCCAGTGCGTGTCTTCCACTTCCTGCAGTCAGCGGCCGCGAGAGGTCTGGACATAGCTCGAGGGGGGACGTCTTGCGCCCAGGGCGGCGCGCTGTGTTGATTCCCCCGAGCCGCCAGATCGGCTTCTGGCAGCGCGCTCCTTTAGGCAGCGAAGTTTTTCTAGCTTCTTGGCGCGCTTATCGCAGACCCCGCCCTGCGCATGTTTTGCCGGCTTTGGGTTGATCGCATTGGGGACGGGGGGGCCGTGTAGCCCAAGCGGCGTCCTGGCCGGACCTGGGGCGTGTTGTTTTCCCGCAAGCGAGGCCATGAAGCCTCACACGCCCGCGCCCTCTTCCGGGGGACAGGCAGCGCGCGCGCGATCTTTATCTCGGGCGCCGGCTGCCGTGTGGCAGCCTCTGGCGCCAGTCCCGGCCGCGAAAATCTGCAATGTCTGTCTGATTAGAAAATAAAGCGCACCGCCCCACGAAAGTTTTCAGCGCCGGCAACATGTTGCAAGCGCTTCGCGGCTGGGTCGGCGTAAGTAGTTTTCCTTCTGTCAGGAAAGCCGGGGCGCCCTGCTGATTCATTGTGCCTATTTGTATTTCCAGCAGTGGCCCTCCGCCCCCCTTGCCTTCGTCTGCCCCCGCAAGGAAGCAGTGCAGCCCCCGCGCCACCCCACTTTTTTTCCGTCATTTTCCGCCGGCATTAGACTCTCGTCGGCGCCTCGGCACCACGGGGGCGCCTTCTCTTTCTGCTGCCCTGGATGTGCCGCCGGCGCGCAGCGGCCCGGCCCCAATTTCCCGATTTTATCGTCGAAACAGCTCGGGCGAAGGTGTTTCGACGTCGAAACAGCTTGCGACGAGCTGTTTCGACGATAAAATCGGAAAATCAGGCCTGGTTGCCCGCCGTCCGCGCAGCTTTTTCTTTGCCTGGCCGAGTGTGATTTTTGGCCAGCCCTGCTTCCTCAGTGAATGGCGCCCCTTCGGGGGAAGATGGCCGTCGCTTTATCCAGCCTGCCCTGTGTGGCGCGCTGCGTTTGTGTTTCAGGTGCCATTCTACCCGGTTTTTTTATTTTTCTCGGATTGTTGGGCGCAAAGGCCCTGGGCCTGGGGTAGCAACCCGGCCTGCGACGGAAGTATTGGGGCGAATGGCCAATGGCCTCGCTCCGAGCGACCGACGCCCGGGCGGGCACTCGCGCCGCCGCCTTTTTTTGTTTTGCTAGCCCGCGGGGGCTTGCCGAGTAGTCCCACAGCCTGCCGGGCAGCCGTGGCCCTGCGCCCTTTCAAGGCCGTACACAATGGGCGCCCCTGGGTAGCCGGGCCGCGGGGGAGATTGATCGCCCTCGTGGCGCATTGCATGCGCCCCGCGTAAGGCATGGCACGGGCCCCACATTGATGTAGCGGCACTAGCGTTACGCACCCCTCCGCGCGCAGGGTTGTGGGGTGGTAGCGGGCCTGGCTCCGCCGCGAAGCAGTCAGCGCCCCTCATGCCGCGCAATGGCGCGTGGCCTCTTGTTGGTTCTCCGCCTTGCTCTTTTAAATCGCTTGTTGGCCGGCTTTTTGCCTGCGCCCTTTTTTTTCTTGCCTGCGGCATGGTATTGCGTTTCAAAATGCCGCAGCCGATTTACTGCCAAGGGGGAGAGGTAGGTAAGCAAGATGGCCGAAATAAAATCGCCAACGCCCCCGCGTTGGCGAGCGGTCGTGGTTGCAGTCAAGTGCCCCGTGGCTTAGTCGCGGGGCACTGCATCGGCAGTAGATACACGGTAGCGCAACAGTTTTTCGCTTGAATTCCCGATAGCTATCGTAATCGCGATGGTACCGGAATAAATGAGTGTGACTTCATAGACGCACCACACACAGAGAGCGGGCACTCCTGCCAATAATCCCACAGAGTGACCCCGGCAGTTTTAGAGAGATCCAAAGAGAACGCGAAGGGGAAACATGAGGAAGGAAAGCACCTGAATGATCTCGGTACATAGTCCAGGGCCTGTGCGAGGAAGTCGCACGCTCAAGCTGGCCACAGCTCTAACTCTTCCCAGACTAGGGCACGCAGAGGCTGGCCTGAGTCAGGTGTCTCCCACAAGCAAGCCGACACGCTACTGCAATAATTGGCGTTCCAGGGCCTAAGTTGGGGGGTGATCAAGGCGATCCCTTAGGCTATTCCTAAAGTGCGCCTGAGAAGACTCACTATAAGAATCAGCCTGTGGCCTCGCCTGAAGGAAGAGCGCGCGTCTGACATTTTTTTTGCTGTTCTGACAGAATCAACCTGAGGCCTTGGCTGTTCCCTGTGTGGTTCGTCTTACATTTTTTTCGCAGCACACGAGAGGACGCAGTAGCAAACGCAGGCGACGAAAAGGAGGAGGATGATACCGATGAGCAAGGTCTGCGAAAAACAAGCGCGCTGGACGAAGAGGTTGGCCTCGACCTGAAGCGTGTTCCCCTGCACGGCGGGACCCAATCAACGCAAAAGCCTAGCGCCTCTCTTTCTGCGCAACTGCGGTGGTTTGTGGGTCGCTCGTCACCGCGAGAGGAAGCAAAGAAAGCCAGAACGATACCTGCTCCGGGCGGTACAAAGTTTGTAGGGAGACCGACCACGGCGTGCATTCGCCACCCTCTCGGTAGTATGTAGTGAGGTCACCGAACGGTTCTAACCAGGGAGTTTTTTTGACGCCTCCCGTGAAAAACGGCCGGCAGTTTTCAATCGGCCGGAAGCGTTTTTTGACATAAAAGATTTGCATTTATCAATCGGCTTTGGCTGTGTCGGCACCGAATCGCCGGCGGATTCTATCGGTCGCCGATCTAAAAAACGACGCAGAGGAGCCGGCAAAAGGGGCGCCCTTCTGAGGCGCCCAACGCACCTAATTCCGCCGATTCGGGGCGCCCAAAAAGAAGCGCCGAAAAAAAGCCAAGACTGACGACAAAAGCTGCGAATCCGCATGCTATGGCCACCATTTTTGGCCACTTTTGGAGGTCGCAAAGACGGCCACCAAAATCGGGCATTTGTAATGCGGGGAGCAATCCAAAAAGTTCGACTTTTTAACAAAAAAAAAAACAAAAAGCGGAAAGCCCGCCAAAGGCTAAGAGCTAACCCGCATGCTATGGGCCCGATTTGGGGCGCCCGGGGGGCCGGGCTTGGTGGGGGCCCTGGGGTGGCTATAGCATGCGGGAAAGCGTTTCGATTCAGTGGGCGCGGCTTTTCAACATAAACAACCAAAAGACGCAAATCCCGCCAAAAGCAGCAAGCCAGCCCGCATGTTATGGGCCCAATTTGGGGGGCCCACAGGGACAGGGTCGACCCTGGCGGAAGGCCTTGTGGGGCCATAGCGTGTGGGAAAGCGTTTCTCCTCTGAAAAGAGCAAAAAGCCCCGGCGTCGTCCATTCAAAAAAACCCCGAGTGACCTCACTACCCCCGCCGCGGCGGCTATATTTGGTACTGCGCGGGTCGTTTTCAGTAGCATTTTGGAGCACACGCCCAACATAACAGAGGCGGAGAAGAAGAAAGCCGTTGAGGTGGGAAGCAAATTTTTGCAGAAGCGCATCCGTGAGGTGGAGGATGTGAAGACTCTAGTGGCGCGGAAGCAGGCAGACGCAAACGAGCGCAACCAGCGGACCCGTGGCATGCTAGACGCGAACTTTGACCTGTCGACATTCTTCTGGATGCGGGTACAAACTTTCTATCGCCGCCACTTGGAGCAGCGGGTGTATGAAGCGCTACAGGTTTTCGGTGGGTTTGGAGTTTTGTTCGCAGCCAAGGGCATCCTAGAGGAACGGGCGAGGCAGAGTCCAGCCGTTCTGTGGTGTCGCGCAAAGCTCGCGGATGCTGCGAGTACTATTCTGAATCCTTCCACTCTCTACGTGTCTCTGGGCATCTCTAGTGGTTATCTGCTGTACCGGGCGCGCGCCGCATTGCAGTTTCGCAACCGGCTGTCGCAGGATCCTGTCGCCTGACAATGTCTTTTTGGTAGATTCGTGCGGTGCACAGTGCGCAAAATTCTTTAAATAACTGATCGTGTCCCACAGCCACGACAGTACCCATCGCAATTTCGCTTGCTGCTACTTCAAATGAAAATGATTTCCACGAATATCAGCATAAGCCGCAGCGTTGACTTTTCTCGAGTTCCAAGTACTTATTTTGCTTGATCTCGAGATGAGGGTCGGAGGTTTTTTTTATGCGTAGTTCGTTTTCTGTGTGTTCGGCGTCACCAGTCGGTCCGTTCCCGTTCGGAGTTCCTTATGTATGATGAAAGTGATGCACTAATAGGAACAATGTAAGTGGCCGTGTAGCACGAGTTCAACTTTCGCAAGACCTGAGACAACTGGAGTCCCGTGCGTCATAACATGATCTGCTACCTTGCGCAATGCCGCAGCGCTACACGCAATCCTGACGTTGTGATGAGATAAAGTTGGCGCGTTGGGGTTGGAGATTGTGATTGGGGCGTAATGTGGATGATGTTGCGAGCAGGCTTCATCGGAGTGGTGCTGGTCGTGTCGTGTTGTATTGGCCAGCACTCAATGTCAACCAGAAAAACAGCAAGTGATTTGTCGATGATGAAGCAAGTGGAAGAAAATCCAAAAAGAAAACAAAGAGCGCCGAAGCGGCCGCGATCGATCGCCCGGAGCGGGGTCGTGGGCACCATCACCGCCGGCACCGGGATCGCCGGAACCGCGTTCCCCGGGACCCGGAGCCGGCGCGCTTGCTTCAGGCACAATCAGGCGCCGGCAGGCTGGCAGGCGAGAATTGGCCACGATCCCCCTGCCACGCACCAGCTCGGACCGCGGCCGGGCGCCCTCAGCCTGGTAGGGCCGGGAACGGCCTGGCACGGCCTCGGCGACGGCCCGCCTGGCGTTGGCGGGCTTGGGCCGCGATCTGACGCCGACCTGGCCACGATTTGGCACCGGCTTGGCCACGAGCTCGCGGGTCTGTCTGCTGCTTCCGTTTTTCCTTCGGTCTCGGGGCCTGCTTGGTTGGTGTTTTGGGGGTGGCGGGGCGTGTTCCTCGAAGGCATGGGGCCCTCGGGGCTTTTGCAATTCGACTCTTCGCGTCGCGGCTTCGCTTGGCTGCGGCGAGGATTTGTGGCGAGGATTCGGTGCGAGGCTTCGCTTCAAGGCTCCGCTTTAAAGCGTTCCTCCAAGGCCTCGCTTGGTGGCCTCGAAGTCTCAGACAGACTTTCACTCTTCGAGTCTCACTCTTCCAAAGTGGAGCTCGCAGTTCTATTGCATGAAGCTGCAAGTAGCTTGATTCTGTTTCATGCCAAAGATGTTGCATGGCAATAGAGAATGGCCCGCGCGCTTTCCATTTTTCGTTCAGAAAAGCAGCAAAAAACTGAGGGACAGAAATTGATTAGAAAGTTTTCATGGGGCAGCAAGATCCAGCGTCGCTCGGAAGAGAGAGATCACAATCATAACAAGCCTCGGGGCGAGCCCTGCTGGGCTCGCCTGGGCTTGAGATTGTCGGCTGCGCCCGATAGTTTGGCGACTGGGTAAACTGCAAGGAGACCGGGAGAGGGGGCTCAGTGCCACTGGTCGGCTGGGCGCGGGGGCTCAGGGCTAGCTCCTTGGTCGGCTGGTCGCGTCACTGATTCCGGCGGACCGTTGGGGCCGCCCGGCGTTCGTTTAGGTTGTAGACATTTCGTCCGACCAATCCTGATTTGACTTGGTAATCTGAGTGCAATGCGTCCGATTTCAGAACAAATCTGATTTCAGTACCTGGTTGCATTTCGTAATCTGATTCCACAACTTACACAATCTGATACGACCAGCATCCGTTATTTTGTCTTTTGGAAGATGAAGATCGTGGTCTCAAGCCCTCTGTTTTGTGGATATTATTCCAACAAATGTTTATGAACGAGTACAACTAGCACGAGCTATTTCTTCAGGACTCTTATCTCAGAAGACTGCGAATGTAGTGACTCTTTAGAAGAGGAGTCCCGAAATCCTGAATAATATCAGCGATGTAGCAGCCTTCAGAAGATCAGCCACAGTTTTCTGATGATTGTTTTGAACCAGAAAAAAGCATGGAAAGTAGCGAAGCCTTTTGCAGCACATCAAAAATTGGTCCATACAGTTTTGGTCTTCCATGTAAAAATTCGACCCTGCTTCAGAAGGTAGTAAGTTTTTTTCGCTTTTTCAAGCTCGGGCTTTCATGTTTTCCTCTTCTTTCTGCTAATCACCGAACTGAATTCGGCAAAACCTTTAGAAGGCTCATACTCTTTATCTCCTGACGAATACTTATTTCTTCATGTTTCTGTAAAACTCCAACTCTGCAAAGTTTTGCTTTTCCGATAGCGACACTTCACATGAATTGCGCCAGCGTTTCCACTTACGACCAGAATGTTGTTGGAGTCTCGGTCCTCTCGGAGAAATCAACGAAGTGGTCGCGTTGACTTGGACCGTTTGGGACAGTGGTGGTGCTACTGCTACTTCCCAGGCACTTGGATATGACTTCGTCGATACGTCGCCAACAAGAACACTGACACACCGGAAGTGCCCATGCCTGCCTGTTCTTCGTTTTCTACGCTTAAGGCTTCAGGCTCAGTATCGGAGTTTTGCTCATCTTTTGTCCGTTGCGCGTCGGATGAGATGACAGTCAGAACATCTGCTCCGGCATGGGTCAACGTAGTTGTATGTACCCGTGTTCAGGTCCACCGTCCACTTTGCTGCGATACTTTTTTCTGAACTCGGATCAGTTTGATGTATCTCGAAACGCTTACAAGAGGTGATGATGTTGATTCGAAAACGGTTGCACTACGAGGCAGTAAGGGATAACTTCTTGTGGTTGAATCGGCACACAAGGCGCATTGAAGAAATTACCGTCGTCCAATGCTTGAGCGTGGGCGAAGTTGGATTGTGTCCTCAGGCACAGCAGCGCCCCGCAGCGCTTGCTGCGCAATGGCGAGCGTTGATGGTGGCCACGCCAGCGCGTCGGAGTATAATGGATCGATATCGCAAACTACGACCAGTTCCGCAGAAATATCCGCAAGCGTCTGCGCGATTGTCGGATGGGAAGGCCTTCTCGGTGCGTGATCCCATTTGTGCCGAGGCCTCTACTCGAGATCCTACCCGAAACCTATGCTCGCCTATTCTCGATCTTGGCGAGCCGACGAGTGAAACAACAACAACAACCCAAGCCAACCCATATGGAAACGTTGCTGGAGTGAAGCATTTTACGGAACTGAACAACTATCCCGCTTCCTCGTCTCTTATGCGAGCCGCCAAATCCTGTTCCTGATCCTGCTGCGACTGATCCTGTCCTGCAAATGTGATATGTTTGCCTTTTGGCTGTATCTACTTATTTGCATAGCAGGTTTGGGAAGCCCGGGAGCCGGGAGCCATGATAGCGGCGGTCCTCTAAATGTCCAGAACTCGCAGAAAGACATTGCTGATGATTCATTGACTGATCCGCAGTATTAAAGTCAGGCAGTGAATTTTTCGCGTAGATCAGGATGAGCAACAATACAACTTTTCGCTCGATTGCGTTGTTGATCCTGCCCTGCAAAAGAAGGGGATGGAGAGTTTTTCACTTCTGTCATACACAGTCGCGCATTGCGGCCGTTCTTGGATAGCAAATCTTGCGCGAGGAGTTCTTTGTCTCTCAATGAAGATGTAGAGACGCCGCTCGCGTATAGTCGTGTTTCATCGAGCGGGTCGACCAGTGCAGAACAGGAGAAGCAGGGCGTGCGTGACAGCAATGCCGGTTCCGCAACGAAAAGTAGCCTGCAAGCTGGTCGCTCTTGCGCGAAAAAAGTTCCGGCGTTCCGAGGCGTTCCGCCCGAGGTTCTCCACTCGGGAAATCCGCCGCGGCGAGTGCACTCACCGCCAAACGCCCGCGTGATCCGCGTGGCGCTGATTGGGCTCCCTAATGCGGGCAAGTCATCGCTGTTGAATGCGTGCGTCGGGGGTATTCCCGTGGCTGCCGTCTCGCAGAAGGTAAACACGACCAATACAGATGAAATTCGTGGCGTGTATACTTCAAAGAATGTGCAGGTGCTTTTCCAAGACGCCCCTGGGATCTTGCCCATCCGGCCAAAGCACCGGGAGTTGGCGAGGAAGGCGTGGGACGGGTACAAGAATGCGGATCTGGTCCTGCTGGTTGTTGATGTCGTGCGTCGACCCACCAGCGAGTTTTTTGGTCTTCTACGGAAGCTCGCTCCGCTTCCGCTGATGGGCTGCGGAAAAAATAGTAAAAGACCCGGCCAATGCTCTTACCGAACAAGAGCAGGCGTAGATGACAGCAGTGAAGCTGGCAGCAGCACAGTAGAATCGGAAAGGTCCAGAGTGGATCCCGGATGTAGAAAACTGACTACCGATACTGCGAATGTTATTGAGCCCCGGCTACCCCGCTGGGCTGCGTGCTGTGTCGCGGGGGCCTCAGCAGCTGCAGCTTTTCCAAGAGTACACCTGAATCGAGCAGACCGCTGCGAGACCGGAAACGCTTCGTCTGTGCCTTCGAAGGAGAACCCAGCGTCCGGCGATTTGAGCAAACGGCGCAAGCCCTTCGTTCTCTCTGGACAGGAGTTCTTGCTTCGGGAAATGGGGGATGCACCGCAACAGCACCTAGGCGCAGAAACCCTGGCGCGCCCGCCGGGAGCCAAGTTTCGATCGAGTGCATGCGGTTTTGGTGGTTCCGACGACCAAGCCGGCACACCGCGAAACTTTGAGGAACGTCGCGACTATTGAAGATAAAAGTACACCATCCCTACAAGAACATTCCTGATGCTGCAATTCTTAGATATTCTCCTGGTGGGGCTACATCATGATGCAAACCCTACAATGCAGACCCGGCCATAAACATAACTAGCAAAGCCAGCTTCGCCTGGAAGTAGGCAGTGGAAGAAGAAATGCAAATGTCAGCTACCGTCATGATCTAGATAACCAATCAAAAGCGCCCGGCCCGAAAGCAAAGCAAAGAAGTCAAAGCGCCGGCTCGCCCAATGTGCTTCGTTGTCGCGGCTCCGGCGCGCCCAGATTGGTCGCCCCGGCTCCGGCGTTCTCGATCTGGTCGCCCCGGCTTCGGCGCGCCCAATCTGGTCAACCCGTCCCCGAAGGCGCATGGACGTGACTCGATGGCGTCGGACAACTTCCGACCCGTCGGGCTATTTTTGGCTGTCCGACGGCCGTCGGGCAACTTCTACGCCGTCGGGCGACTTTTGGCGGTCCGACGGCCGTCGGGCAACTTTTGGGCCGTCGGACGACTTTTGGCTGTCCGACGGCCGTCAAAGTCGTCCGACGGCCGTCGGGTGACATTTGGATGCCCGACGGCCGTCGGACAACTTCTGAGCCGTCGGATGACATTCGTTTTTCCGACGGCCGCCGGGCAGCTTCTGAGCCGTCGGACAAGTTCAGAGCCGTCGGACGACTTTTGGTTGTCCGGCGGCCGTTGGACAAGTTTTGAGCCGTCGGACGGCTTTTGGTTGTACGACGGCCGTCGGACGACTTTTGACTGGCCGTCTTCGAGCTCTTATCTTAAACTCAAACTCGAGCCCGAGCTTGTGTCTCAAACTCACGCTCGAGCTCGCGCTTGTGTCTCAAACTCAAATTCGCGCCTGTCTCTCAAACTCAAACTTGAGCACGTAGCTCAGCGGCGAGCTTGTGCCTGAAACTCAAGTTCGCGCTTGTCTCTCAAACTCAGGCGCCAGTTTGTATCTCAAGCGTTAGTTTGGTTTTGAGCCTCAAACTCGAGCGCGATTCTGAGCCTTAAGCTCAACGCTGGAACTCCAACGGACACGGGCATTTTCTTAATCCATGGCAGGCATCTTCTCCACAGGGGTTTAGATTGATCAGGTTTACTAAAGTTAAGCCACGTACGCTTCGCGCGTACTAATGTGAAGAAAACGAGCGCAGTCATACCGCTAGCATGAAAATCCACAAAAGCAAAAGCAAAAAATATGAGAGCGAAGCCATAGAAGCCGGCAAAAGAGCGCAAAATGTACACGCGGGGCCAGCTCGAGTCCGGACCTGCCGGAGTCCGCCGGACCTTCTTTCTCTGTCCGCCGGAGTCTTGCAGAATCTCGAAAAGGAGCCCTATTCCATGGCGCTCGCCCGTAAAGGGCTCCGGGGCGGCAGGAGGCTCGCGCTCTGGTTGCCGGCCTGGCCCGCCGCAATCCGGCGGCGCAGCCGGGGCTGGCCGCATCTTTCTGTCGGTTGCCGCCAGCCTTTCCGAAGTCGGCCGGCCTCAAGGAAGGCCCGCCGTCCTCGCTTGTAAAGCCTATCTGCCCGGCTTGTATGTACTTAGAGCCTAGCGCGCCGACGTGTCCGGCCGTCGAGTTCGCAGGGCCGCCCATTGGGAGTCCGACCGCCACGGCTGCGGGTGTTCCTGTGACGAACCTTCTACCTAGAGCTTTTGCCTCCATTCCACCTGTGGCGAACCTTCTACCTAGAGCTTGTGCCTGCGGGCCGGACCGGACCGGATAGCGCCCGTCGGGCCTGCCGACTTCATCGGCAGGCTCGGCAGGATAGAACTACAGACCGACGCTGCGAACGAAGAGGGTAAAAAGGGCGAGGGCGCCGAAGAGTGGCGGCGCGGGCCGGCGTCAGCTTCGGGCCTATTTGGCTTGTTTTTAGCATTTGGATTTGACGGGAAGGCTTTGCCCGTTGGCTTTGGGGCTTTGCTTCAGGCTCTGGGCTTCAGATTTGGTCAAGGAGAACCATAGAAGCAGCACCTGAAAAATCAGGCACACCCCCCACCGTGCGGGGCCAATCAGCATAGACGTGCTCTCGTCTGAGTGTTTCAACTACGTGGCAGCCCCGCTGGTGGAAAAACTCGCAGGGAGGAAGTGCGAAGACTCAGCGAGCAGGCCAGGGGCATGGGAGGTCGCTCGGGGGTGTCCCAGCGGCGGTGTTTGGAATTAGTTGCGTTTATTTTGCGAAAATCCCATCTCCACCTGAAAGGGGAAGACGGGCGAGGGTGTGGCTCGTAAAAGATGCCTGCGCTGATATTCCGCGCGAGCGGGCTTCCGGCTGCCACCTCTAAACGGGGAAAAGGCCAGGGATAGGAGTGACCTGGCATGCGCAAGGCAACCGGGTTTCGCAAGGAATTAACGTGGAAGCGGGATGATGCGTTATACTGGCGCCGCCACTTGCACTTGCTGTGTTATGACTACTACGCAGGGGGAGACAGTGCTCCCGCTTGTGTCAGCGAAAATCTACATTGGTATACAGAGTCTACAGTGGTGGGAAGGCACTTAATCTGTTGCTGAAAGAACTAAATTCATGTGTGGCTTTCGTTTTTCGTAGGATACGGACGGGAATTTCACGGCAATCGTGCAGCCGCACCTGGTGGCCGATTTTGCAGCGGAGCAGAGCGTCGAAAAAAATTTTAATGATGATATGCAGAATGCCTACGCTCCTCGTTTGTCGGCAGAGGCCGATGCGGGAAGTGCGGTGCAAGACGCGAATGATCTTCAGAGGAGGGCTAGGGCCTCCAGCCGCACGGCGGACGGAAAGCAGTGCGCTGGCCTGGCGGCTACTGACCAGGAGCAGCTTTCCACGCCCACCTGCTCAGGCGACACCGGAGGACAGACCGAAGAATGTTTCGATCCGTGCCCGGAGCTAACGATGCTGCTACCTGCGCGACTGCGACTGGAAGAGCCCGGGAACGAAGTACCTACATATGTGCGCACCGCGGCAAAGCCTTTGGCAAGCCAGGGTGGAGCCACGTCTGGTAATGAACAGCACAGGCCGAGGCGGAGGCCGCCAGTGGTTCTGGTGCTGAACAAAATCGATAAGGAGCCGGAGCACCGATGGGTGGCGGCGCGGCGGCGTGAAATAACGGCACGCGCCAGCTTCGACAAAGTGTTTTTGGCGTCGGCTCTGGAGAACCGCGGGATTGAGTCGTTGCTGCGTTTCCTAGTCAACCATGCAAACCAAGACGACGCGACATTGCGGGACGCTTGGCTGTATCCCGCAGAGCAGAAAACCAGCCTCAGCAAGCCCGACCAGGTAAAGCAATCCGTCCGCGCGGTGTTAATGACCTGGTTTCACAAAGACGTGCCCTACAAGGTCGACCAGGAGGTGGTGGGATGGTGGGAGCTTGACGGAGACCGCGATATTTCGCGGGATGAAGATATTTCACCAGAACAAGATGTAGTCGGTCTCAAGAGCGTGAGCAACGAAACGGTAGGCGCCCTTGTTGATAAACTCGGGGTGAAACGTAAAAAAGAACCACTTTCTGGGACGCAAGAAGAAGGACCCGCAGCTGCCAGGGATAGAAATGACACGATGGCGGTATCCGTGAATCGAGCTCCACTTGGGCTGCAGCTATGCATTGCAAATAAAATAGGTACAAGGAGGAACCAGGTACCCTACCGAACCAGGTACCCGGGACCAGGTACCCGGGACCAGGTACCCAGGTCCAGGGACCCTGGGACCAGGTACCCCGGGACCAGGTACCCGGGACCAGGTACCCTGGGGCCAGGTACCCAGAAAACAACCCCCTCCCCAACCTGTCTCGACGAAGCTGCCCACCAGGCTGTCTTCGCGAAAACCAAAATCGACACACTCCGTCGCAGTCCGGAACGACGCCGCCGAGTATGTCTGCGCTGCAAACTTGTCTGGGTCTGGAAGGTTGCCATGCTTGACCAGCGGCGCTCGGGTTGGCAGTTTGGTGGGTGGGTTCGTTTTTCGCGTACCAGGGTGCTCGCTCCCGGGCGGCCAGAGCGGCGTACTGGGTTGCGCTGTATCATTTAGCATGAAGAAAGAAGCGGCCTCCCCCGGCTTTAAAAACGGCGGACCGGGGTACCCTGTTCCGTGGGTGCCTACAAGGGCTGGGCACCCTATGAGAAGAGGGACGGGGGGCCCACGTCCGGGCATTCGCGTCTGGGTACCGGGTGCCCACATCCGGGTATCCGGACGTGGGCACCCGGACCGGTACCCACATCCGGGCATCCACATCTGCGCACCGGGTGCCCCCCGCCGGGCACCCGGGTCCGGAGATGTGGGCACCCGGTGCCCCGATGTGGATATCCAGATGTGAAACCGCTTGACTTTTCGCGTCGCTTTCTGCTAGCTAAAGTTGAAGAGGTGGGCTCCCACATCCGGCGGGCGCGAGGTGCTCACATCCTGGTACTCACATCTAGGCACCAGGCGCCCAAAGCCACAGCCGATATCCACATCTGGGCACCGGGTGCCCACATGCGGGCACCGCTACCCATATCCGGCCATCTACATCTGCGTACCGGGTGCCCACATCCGGGAACCCGGGGACGGAGATGCGGACAGCCGGTGCCCAGGTGTGGACGTCCAGACGTGAAACCGCTTGAGTTTTCGTGTGACTTTTTTTTTTCAACTCAAAGTTGAAAAGGTGCCCACATCCGGGTATCCGCATCTCCGGTCCGGGTGCCCACATCCGGGTACCCGGGTGCCTGGTCCCAGGGTACCCGGTCCCAGGGTACCTGGTCCCAGGGTACCTGGTCCCAGGGTACCTGGTCCAAGGGTACCTGGTTCCTACCTCTACCAATGAAATATCCTATCTGGGTCTGGAAGAATGCACTTCGTATGTAACGCGTCCTGTGGTTCAGGTTCACACAAAGATCTGTCTTGAATGACTACCAAATAAAGCTACGACTTCTATTGGTCGATTTGAGCGGCAGCGGACCCGGACCCGGACGCTTCTCATGCAGAATAGTCATGGCTATGGGTATGGCGACGACCTCGCCCGTTCTGTGATGCTAATTCGGGAAGCAAGGCTTCACGCGGTATGGAAAATCTGCATGACGGGTTTCAGGAGACCCAGACACATTTGCATTGGATAGGAGCGAGCGGAGGGCAGCTCACCACTGTCGCGTCATTCAGAGAATTCTCGCGCCGTTGGAGTGGAAGATGGCGCAGGCAGCAGCAGCAGCAGTGGAGGAGGCACAGTCACCGGAGTAAAAACTGCGAGAGATACAAAAAGAACAATCGTGATTGAGCACCAGCTTACCGTGTCCGATTCCGTAGTGGCCCGCATGATCTGCGGCGTTGGGGGTCGTCTGTTGACGAGACTGCGTGAAAATGTTGCTTTTCAATTAGAAAAGATCTGGGGCGTGCAGCGTGTTGACCTTCGGATTACTGTTAAGTCTACCAAGAGCCGGCTCAGTCGACTGGATCTTCGTTTGAAAGCCGCAGCCATCCAGAATATGTGACGCGCGTACACATGCAAATGCATAATGACGGAAATATACCGGCGACGGAAAGGCTTTCCTGCTACAGGGAGGATTGTCTTTCGCTCTCTGATAATAGTACATGCGCCCCGTGTCATCTTCTCATTTTGAGAATCGGACATACAGGTGGCCCGCGTGTGTTTTTCAATTTAGCCACGTTATTTCGTCCTCCTCTGTGGTCTTTAGAATGGTAATGTTATTGTTATGGTGTGCCATTCATTGTCCGAGGTAGTCCATAGTTGCGTGGCCCCGTCGTTGATTCGTTGACTGCTTTGAAGGTGTGCCCGCAAAGGGTCATCCCATTCCGGTGGACTGAAAAACAGGAGGAGTCAGGTCTGGATCTCGCGCAGCTGTGGAGGGGGCACACCGGCGCGGAATATTCCACATAGCTTGAGGACAACAGTACGCAAGGAAACCAAGAAACTAAAGAGGAAAAAGGGCGCATGAGTTAAAAAGACTCCCCGTCCTTGACGTCGCAAACTCGCCCTATTGGGGAACGGGGGCCGAAATAGTGCAACTCCGAGCCTTTCGCATGTGAGTAAAGATAGAAAGCAAGGACACGACCAACGCAAAGTGGCGGGCGTCGTCTTTCTTAAATTGCGCAAAGAATCGCCACGCCGCAAAGAATCGCCACGCCGCAAGCCGTGACGCAGAGTTGCCCCTGACAATGCGGCGCGCCGGAGAGGGCTGCTAGGGTGGGCTCCTAAAAAACCTACGCGCCCTGCAGCAATAATGTTACGGGTGAGGGTATGAGGCGCGCCAGCGTCGTATTTGTCCGCTGCAGGGCAAAAATTTTCCTCGTGATCATCTCCCGGAGTGATAGGCCGCTCTAGTATCGCTCCACTTCCCGCTGGCCAACGGAGAGTGGGGTGGTATGCAGTGAGGTCACCGAGCGGCTCTAACCAGGGAGGTTTTTTGACAGTTACCTTGAAAAACGGCCGGTAGTTTTCAATCGGCCGGAAGTGTTTTTTTATTATATAAAAAGTTCCCAATTACGAAGCGGCTTTGGCGGTGCTGGCACCGAATCGCCAGCGGGTTCTATCGGTCGCCGCTTGAAAAAACGACGCAGAGGAGCCGGCAAAGGTGGCGCCCTTTTGCGGCGCCCACCGCCTTGGTTTCTGGCGGTTTCGGGCGCCCAAAAGGGCGCCCGAAAAAGCGCGCCCAAAGTCCGAACAGCGAAACACCCTGGCACGGCCGCGGTTTCGGAGCATTTTGGGCTGCCGCGAAAGCGGCCGCCTTTTCGCCGGTTACAGAGCGTGGGGGGGCGCCGGCGCGAAAAATAAAAACGCAAAAAAGATGAAAAAGCGCGCCAGACGCGCGAAGCCAATCGGCATGCTATGGGCCCGGTTTTTCTTCGCTTCTTGGGCGACGCCCGGATCGGCCCCAGAGCGTCGGGGCTGGCTTTCGGAGGGGGGTTTCGGAAATTTGCTAAAATTCGTCACGTCTTCCAGGCGCCCGCCATATCTCGCGGCCGGCCTAACGGTACCCCCGGCAGCATGGCGGCCCCAGAAAAAGCAAAGCCGTGGCCAGGGCGATGGTCGTCAAGAAAACGCCGACGACCTCACTACCCCCGCCCCGGCGGCTATGTTTGGCACTCTGGTGAGCCACTTCGAGACTGGTGATCGTCGGAGTGGCAACCCATCGAATTCTCGCTCCATATCCCCCGCTGCGCAACCACCACCGGAAATGGATTGATAACGCACTGAATCAGCAGCCCGGCAAAAGTCTGGCCTTCCAGCTCCGTCGCCGAAAGAGGCATCGTCGCCGCGTGATGCGGTTTCGTTAGCAAGCGGGAGAGCGTTTTGCGTTATCACGACACCAAGAACGTCACTCCGAGTCCGGAACGCGAGCGAGGAAGTGGAGTGATATACGAGAACTCAATGAAAGAAGCAAGTGCTATAATTCCGGGGAGAAATCCCACTTCCGGCGTTACGACGTTTTCCCGGAGTGATTCCAGAACGTGCTAGATTTTTATATATGGAAACCGGTACGCGCTGAGGCCCCGTTCTCTACTGCGTCGCCTGTCGCCACTTTTAGCTCGTGTTGTGCGTCGTTTGTAAACGATTTCGCACAGAGAGATTCAGAGCGAACAACCATGAGAGATCCAAAGAGAGAAGAGCGTAAGAGCGGTAGCGCTGTACTTCGTATTTATCCAATCTCCGAGTAGCAGTCACTGGCACATTACTGCTCAGGAGCAGAAATTGAGTCTAAACTTTTCATGTGGGGAAACAGCGTAGATTGAGTGTCTCTTTTTCCTCCCACCGTCCCCATCAGTTCCTATCTCCTAGTTCGTTATTTAAAAAAAATAAAAATGCGCTTTCTTTGCACGGGCCCGCCACAGCTGGACTCAGTAGCAATAGTCAAACGCAGGCGGGAGGACCTCGAGGAAAAGCAACAAAAAGAACTTCAAGCCAAAGGAGTTCTTGCTGCCGCCATATTCCTAATCAAAACAAATTCTGTCGTCGAAGTGAGTGAGCTATGAAAAGAAACTGTCAAAGTCACCAAACACAGTGAACTTTTGTAAGATGAAGATCATGATAAATAAGCTATACTCTTGTCAACGGGGCGCGGGGCGGGCGCAACCCAATGGACAAAAGCTTTCCAATAGTCGATGCTTGCTTGTTCTTCAAACTTAGTCTTTCCCTGTTTTGCGGACCTTTCATCTCGCGTCGCACTGATGTTTCCTATCATGGCGGGCCAGGCTTGGGGGGCGAGTCGTGGTAGTCCTGTTTCTTCAAGCGCGATGTTCCCATGATGAAAATGACGGAAGCTGCAGGCGCTGCACTAAGTATGTTGAGTCATGCGAGTGCAAGTAGCCATGCTCATCTTCTGGTTGGGGCCAAGAATGAGAGGCAGATTGCTTTCATCAGCAGGACAGGAAGACAAGAAAAGCGAGGCTATCTAGAAATAGAATCGTCGAGAATCAGAACAGCAGTAGATATCACAATGCAAATCATAATGAAAGGATTATCGGGAGCGACGATAAATGTCCATCAATGGGAATTGCGCCATATGTTAGTTTACCGGCCAGCCCCCGGCGGAGGCCGCCGGGGAGGGGGCTGTTCGGCGGAGGTGTTCCGGTGGGGAAGGCGGCGCCAATCCATCGCTGCCCGCCAAACAAGAAACAGAGAGCGCTGCCCGTAGTAGATGGCGCGCGGGCGCGTCCTGCACTTGCAGGGCCGGCCCTGTTAGCTGTGCGCCGAGAGAAAAGGCGAGCAGGATTTTTTTTCACCTGTAGCCGCAACAACTAACTTCACGACGCTACCGCGGCGGCGCACTTGCTGCCCCGCCGCGCGCGGGCGTTGTGAGTGTGAAGTTGCGGCCACCCTAGGTGGCCGCCCACGTTAAGGCGTGGCGCCGCGCCCCCTCTGGGGGACGCAGAGCGGCGCACTCACTTTGAACAGCCGCCCCGATCTGAAAACAAAAGCAAGGCCGGCCGATCTTTGCGCACGAGGCGGCGCGCGCAGACAAGCGGGCGTCGCTCCTGGAGATGGTCCGGAAGAGGATCCGGGAGAGGTCCCGAGAGGGTCCGTTGAGAGGTAGAGCAGAGGCTCCCGGAGAGGGTCGCGGTAGAGAGTCGCCTAGAGGGCCGCCCTATACTACGCACCCTCTCCGACCCTCTTTCCCTGCCCTCTACTTGACCTCTCCCCAACCTCTACGTACCCTACCTCTGCGCGCGTATAGCCCCGCTTTGGGGGCGTCTATACGGCGCACCCTCTCCCGACCGTCTATTTTATCTCTCCGACCGTCTATTTTACCTCTCGCGAACCTCTCCCAGACCTGTGCTGTACCCTCACCAGCCCCGTTTTCTTCCATATACAATGATAATGATAATTCCCATGGTGGAGGTGGAAACACAAGCAATTAACAGTACAATAATGGCCGAAAAGGAATCCGGAAATCTGGACCGGACAAAAAGAAGGGAATCCGCCCCTGGCAGGGGGGACCCCCGGGGGGTTCCCCCCCCCTGGACCCCCCCCTGGGACGTGGCGCGGTAAATTTGTGCGAGAACAAGTTGTACATACAAAAACAATCGACGCGCACACGCATGCGCGCAGCAGGATTCTGCTGCTTAGGGCATTGCGTTGCCCCGCCCCTGCCGAGTGGGGCGGCCAAAGGCCGCCGGCCGAAGGGTCGCACGCTTGCGCGAGGAGCTTGCCGGCTGGCAAACACCAAGAGGCCCACGCTGCCTTCTCTGTTCCCCCCGGGTTGATGCGTGCGGCCACGCGTCCTGTTTTGCCCTTTTGGGCGGCCGAAGGCCGCCGGCCGATGGTTCGCTCCTCTGTCGCCCGTCCGAGGTTAGTATGAATCCCGTGGCCCGTGTTATAGCAAGGACAACAGCAAGAAAGCCTGGGCGCATTCGAAGGGTTAGCTTGGGAACCAACAAAGTAAGCTGGGGCGCAAGCCGGCAACCAACGGCGCACGGGGCGGTCAGTAAGAGGGCCGGCCCGCTCGGAAGCAAGCGGCCCGCCTGCAATTTTTTCGTGCCCTCCCCTTGCGCTATCGGTTAGTCTATTATTTTGAGGCGCGCCCCCCTTTTTGTGGTCCGTCTCTCTTTCTCCCAACACCATCGGCATCACCCTACCTGCTTTTATTCGTTCCGGTCCAGACTCTTAGGACCGGCCACCAAGGGGTCGCCCTTTAGAGCGACCCAAATCTTGTAACTATGTATAACAAGCAATAGCGTTAGCGTAGTTCTAGCCTGGCCCTGGGCCATTTCTTCCCGGTATTACGTGCATAGTGCTGGCATCTTTGGCGTGCCCCTGGCTCCTCTTGAACATGTTTTAGCAAGCGCACCGCGAGGGAAAAAAGACTCCCCTGTTGGATCCTCGCAGCAGCGAAGCAAGCGGCGACTTGCGAGAGAGTGTTGATTTTTGTCCGCGCTGCTACCGTCTCCGTCCCGCCTGCCTCGTGGCATTGTGCTTCACACATGACGAAGCTACAGTGCGACATGTAATCCTGAGATAGTTCGTCTCGTCTTGTTACCGCCGCTGCGGCCGCCGCGCGTCTGCATTCGTTGCCTTCGTTCCTGAACTAAGTAGCTGTGTCAACCATGGCGTCGTCTTCAAGGCGTGTCAAGGTGGTGCTCCGGCTCGCTTCATTTTTCAGTTCCTACAGACCATGTTCCCAGGGCGTTTCTGCGTATGTTGCGCTCCGTGAAAGCGATAGTGCGCAGGTACTGCGACCGAGTTTCGTACAACGTGAACGAAGCCGTACTTCTATCCCAAGTTCGAATTCCTCATCTATGATACGGGATTCGGATGATTCTCGTGGCGGAGTGCGTTTGATTCCATTTAACGTCTGGGCAGCCGTAGCTGGAGAAGGTAGTGACGGCCGCGCAAAGCCAGAGACTCCTGCAAACACGGACGTTAAGAACTCGACGGAAATGAACAATTCTGACGACGCCGAAGATGACGCAGGCGCGCCAAGCAGAAAAGCAGCTGGAGCGTTCCTTATGGTGCTCGGTTTCGGAGACGCCCAAGATCCAGCAAAGATCTCGTCATCTTCAAGTGATAGAAATAGAGGAGCTGGAGCTATTCCAGCAGGTTCGCGCGGGAAACTGGCGAAGTTTGCTGCGCGAAACAATTTCGGGAGCAAAGGGCCCCACGCCATTCACCATTGTCCAGCCTTACTGATTTCCCGTCGGGGCATCGGACTCGAGACCTCCCTCGCGCGCTGTTTCAAGGCTCTCCTCCGGAAGATGGTCAGCAAGCACGTCCACCACGTTCACACCTACGCAGATGCAGACCACGGACCTAGGATTGTATCAAGATCAATCCCGACGCCGCTATCCACTTCCACTCCGCAAGGCGGTGAGATCGACAAGCAGCAGGGCCTCGACCGCGGCGTCGCGGCCTTCCCGGAGCTCATCGTTGTCTTCGAAGACGACGCGGTATGGCTGGCCGAGGAAGACGTCAACGATGTGAGTGAAGCCCTTCTCCGCTCTTGGCCAAAAGACACCAGCATCGTCCTGCTTGGGGGGCAGGAGTACCTCAAAGCACCAAAGCCGGGCCGGCACCGGGCGCACTACAGCCGACTCGTTTCGCTCGCTTCGCAAGGTGGCGCCACTGGCTTTGGGACTGGCTATCAGCTAGCTCACCTTGGATTTTCGTGGGGCTCGTATGGTTGGGCGATTCGCACGGCTGACCTTTCGGACTTCGTCTCCACCTTCCTCGACCCGTCACTCGCCAAGGCGGCCCGCGACTCGCGCGTCAGCCTTGCGATTGACGAAGAGTGGTATCCGTGGGCGGAAAAGAGAGGGAAGACCGTGCGAGTTCTATGTCCGGTAGTGGTCGGGCACCGTGCTGCGTGGTCCCTGACTCAAAATAAAGAACAAAAAGCCCTGACGAAGCGCCAATGTCCGCAGCCCCTGCTTCAGCCAGACGCGACCCCTTTCGCCAACGCCATCATATCGAACACAGAGACATCACCACAAGCGTCGCCATCGACGCACAGTGAGACGCACCTCAGCAGTACTGGAGCTTCGAGTGTATCAGCAAAAACGGATCGACTTGTTGACGAAAACAAAATTAGCACGCGGACTTTAGGATGGCGCTTGCCTACGACCTCCAGGGTGGCCAAGCAAAATTTGTTCAGGCGCCGGCTTCGCTATCAGCAGAAGCATGCGCGACAAAATCGGGCTCGCCGGGTTGCTGCCGCTCCCAATGCAGATTCAGCCGTCTACGACTCTAACTTCGCAACTTGGTTGCTCCGAAAGTTTACGGCTCTTGCGGAGCAAATGCACAAAGAACCGCAAGCGCGCTGCTATTGCCGAGGTTCCGGAACTTGTGAGCAAACTGAAGCCAGCGAACCTGCCCCCTCTGTACTCATAGGGATCAAAAGCGCCGCGCACTGGGCCAAAGTTCGCGCCGTACATTAAGGGCGGAAAAAGTGTGGGCGTGTAGGCGGTTTGATTGGTTTGCATATACCAATATCAGTGGCGCGCCTTTATAGTGTCTATAATAATACTGGCTATTAGCTGTGTGGCCGCCGTGTTTGTATGTAGTCAGGCCACCGAAAGCCGCTACCCTGGCAGCTTTGTTTCTTGATAGTGAGACAGCAAACTTCGGCGCCGGCTCGGTTCGGCGCCGGCTAAACTGGCCTCTGGTTCGGCGCCGGCTCCCGTTCCGGTAGACGCCTGCTGCGGCCAACTGGTAGGCCGCCCTCGCCAGGTGCCTTCCCGGGGCCCGGCTTTTGGCGCGGGCCGGAAAGCGTTGCGCCACTTCTTTAGCAAAAGCCAGGAAGCGGCTTCGGGTGAAATCGCGGGGCGCGTGCCTTCGCTTGGGAAGCCAACACGAGCCGGGGCGCCTGGGCCTATCAAAGTCGTAGCGTTTCCCCAAAGAGAACAAGCAGCCCGCATTCCATTCGCGGGGAGTCATCGCAAACCCTCGGCACTCTGGTCCCCCGCCCCCCCCCCCCCCGCCGAGCCCCCCCGTCCGCTGCCGTTTCCAGCTACCGGTTCCCGCTTCCCGGCTAGGTCCGGGTCTCGGGACTTGGTCACGGTCGGGGCCCGGCCGCCTGCTGAACGACACGCAACATGAAGGCGCTGCCGCCTTTTCAGGGCCCGCCCCTGCTTCAGGCCCATCTTTTGAAAGCAGGCCGCCCCCGCTTCTCGTGGAACGCATGGGGTGGCGGGCTACGCTTGGCGACTTACATACAAGGAAGGAGACGGACCCTCGGCCAAGAGAACGCCTAGGCCAGAAAGTCGGACGAGCGAAGTTCTACCGTTTTGCGCCGCCCCTTGCAGTGGGGGCCGCGGGCGGAACGCTTTGGCACCACAGGCGCGACCGCGTTCCGGGCGGCTTTATTCCGAAAAATTCGTTGGCCTCCCGCGTTCCGGCTGCGCGGCAAGGGCCGGGGCGGGTCGGCCTTGCGTAGATTCATGCGGGCCAACCCCCAAGAGCCGCGCAGCGTTTTTAGTTTACTGCCCGCGCGAACGGTGGCGCGCTTGTGTGTGGGAAGCTGGCGGCCGACGGCCTTCCATGGTGAGGCAGCAGTGGCGGGGCCGCCCGGGCAGCGCGCGCCCTATATATGTCGCCGCAGGGGCGGGCGGTCGTAACCTCAGGACAGGCCGAGCAGGCGCTGTCCATCCCCGAACTAAGAAGAAGAGCGGGCGGGGCAGCGTGCAAATAGTTCGGGCGCTTTTTCGTGCGCGGCGCGAACCAGGTGCGGCCGCTTCTATTTGATTTGAGCGGGCACGCAGAGCCGAGCGAGGACGCAAACCGGGGCGCGACGCAGCGCACCACCTCGGGCGGGACTCACCCCGCCGGGCCGCGCGCCCGCGCGATTGTTTTCCTTCAAGCCCTTCGGCGGCCCGCCGTCATGCCGGTCGCATGGGGTTTCAGGGTGGGGCCGCCGGCCGAAAAATAGTGGGTGGCACCTGGCGGCTGCGTGCGCAATTTACGCGCGAAGGTGCCCGCAAGGTAAAGAAGGCACGAATTGCGCGCAACGGCCCGCCACCGAGCGCCACTGACGGCCGCGCCCCGCGGGTGGCTAGCTGGCAAGGTAATTAGAGGCACGGCCCCCGCCGGGGGGTGGTAGTTGCTTAGTGGCGCGGGGCCGTTTTTGCTAGTGGAAATCTGTGGCGCGGCCTGGCCGCCTCCTGGCCGGCCCGCCGGGCCAGCCGCGCCGGCGCCGCTTTGGGCCGCCGGCGGGCCCGGGGGGCGCCAGCCGAGCCGCGCGCCCCGCCCGCGCATGGGCCACGCGCAAAAAGCTTCGGAGTGCCGCGCCGCCACACACCGCGGGCTGCCTGCCGCAACCTGCTCACAGCCGGCTTCCACGCCCGGGACCGTTTTTGATGTGTTCACACCCCCGCACTACCACTTCCGGGCCAGGGATGTGGCGCTTCATCTTCTGCGGTAGCAGTGCGGATTTCGGAACTCAGGGAGACAGCGACGGGGGGAAGAAGCATCAACCGCGGGGCGGGGTGTCCGGTGCTTCGTCGTGTTCGGTGCGAGTTGCGGCGTGTTGTGGCGCCAAGATGATTTTTGTTTTCAATGCAAATAGCGCGACTAGCCCTAGCGGTTTTTGGCAAATTTGCCTACTTGAGCTAGATGGGAAGGGAGGCGACGGCGCGCAGAAACACTCCGCCAGCCGCCCGTGCGCGAACGGCGCCCGCTTCGGGGATGCGCAGCCGACTCGGCTGGAGAACATCTCGCGCGGGCCGCGGCCGGGCGCGCGTTCCGCCTTCTGGGGCCCCGGCCGCCCGGCGGGGGAACAGCAGGCCCCTGGAAAGGGGCGCGCGGCCCCCCCTGCCGGGGGGGAAAAAGGGGCCGACGTGGCTCGGCTCTGCGTTCCCCCTTCTGGGGGGGCAAAAAATGGCCATTCCCTGATGCCACGGGGAGGGTGAAATGGCCCAAAATCGCGCACATTGATTTACAGCGGGCCGGATTTGTTGTCGGGGCACCCCGCCGCCCCCGAAGCGAAGCGAGGGCGGCCCGCAATGCCAGTGGGAGGGCGGAAGGCATTCCCTATTTCAGCCGAAGTTCTAGCTTCCAGGCGTGATATTGTTTGCCGGCCTTGTCGCCGTACGCGAAGAAGCAAAAAGAAAAGGAGGCAGACAAGTGCCGCGGGACATCTGTGCGCCATGCGCTAAGGTATTCAGATTCGCCGCGCGTGGCCGCTCAGCTTGTGCAATGAATTAGACCGCTGGTCCGCCCACGAATGTTGCGCCTTTAGGTTCCTCGTGCGACGTGGATCCGGCGCGGGGTCCGTTGCGGCTGTGTGAGCCAGCATGCACCGCTTCCGGGTATGGCAACCGCGCGCTTTCTTATTGGTGGGGCCCCGAGTGGCCCTCTTCTGGCGGAGCAGCGGCAGCACGGTGATTTAGTTTTCGTGGACGATGGGCAGGACGCAGCCGAGAAGTCCGGGAGCGGTGTAGAAGAAGGCTGGCGTGACATTTTGGAGGCGATGCCAAAGGACCGAAGGAAGATCCTGGACTGGCTCGCCTTAGTTGGGCGCAATATGACAGCTACGACGAAGATACGACCCTCTCTCTCGCCGAGTGTGACCCATGTTGGAAATATGGACAGCGATACATATTTGGAGCCGTGTGGGTTGCTTCGTGCTCTTCGCTTGGCATCTAGTGGGGTCGATCATGGACACGCACAGCATCTGTACTACGGTTTGGCCACTGTTGATGGCCCTGCCCATCGCCAGGAGCTCGCAAAGCAAAGCAGGCCGCTCTCTTGCCAACTGCCAGGGCGTTGCTCATATATGTCAGGAGGGTAAGCTTTTCGTATTCGCCCCTTTGTGATTGCGCATGACGATGATCGTTCTACTCACTACAGGCCGACAGCTTATTTCGTCCAAGCGAAGGCTGCACAATTTGGCCAAGGGGAAACAAGAAGTAAGGAATTGGTGAGAGGGTAGTCAGAGGAAAAGAGAAGGGTAGAGGAAGAGGAGGATAACAATTTGCCACGCGCTTTGCGCAGAACAATCGGCATGGTCGCGCGGCACCTTGCAGGCTCTCGCTGCAATCGAGCGCATCCGGCTGACCCAAAAACCCAACTTGTCATGCAAAATGCACATGCTTATGGTTATGCCGAAAAGTATCTATGCGACACAGTGCTGGAGAAATGCTCACGAACACGAAGACGAGCAGAGAGCTGCAAGGGGATAACATTGACACGAATTAGCCCTGCGTGAATCTGATTCGTCAAAATACGTCGCGCCTGTTGCTGAAATACGTCGCTATCTTGATCAAAGTGCAAGAGCTTGCCGCACGCATGTGCGAAGACTCGAAAAGTCGGCCCCCGGGCTCGGGAAAATACGAGACAAACCCGAGAAGCCCGCGGGCCAGGAAAGCGAGGGGAGCCAGCCCTGTGGAGATGCTCGAGCCTTCCGAAAAGGGCCCCTATGTATTCAAAAAAGCAGGCGCAGGGCGGCAAGCTGTGAAGGAGGTACGACTTTGGGCCCGGACGCGCGCCCGGGTCTGTGTGTTTCGATCGGACGGCAGCCGCCCGCGCCGCTTGCGGGGCCCACGGCGTGGCGCGGCCCAGTCGCGGCGGGTGGTTTTTGTGGAAGGGGCCACCGCCTGCGTTTTGCGCTTTGTTGAATTTTGCCGCGGCCCCGGCCCGACTTTGGCCCGCCGGGGCGCGCGAGTCGCGCCCTGCCGCCCTCCCCTGGTGAGGCGGCTTTCGGCGAAGGCGGCGCCGCTCGGTTTCTTCTTAGTGCCAGCGAAGACGGCCCGCGCAAGCGTACGGAGGCCAGTTGCGCGCTCAGGTTCGATTCCCGACGGGGGGGCGGCGTGGTTTTTTGGCCAGGAGATAATTGGCCAAGCGCGCCGGCAGTGGTAGCGAAAACGCGCGCGCCCGGGCCTGGGCTTGCTGTTGTGCGTACATTGGAGCTATTCTTCTGCAAGAAAACATAACGGGTCGCCCAGTCTCTTGCTTAAAGCAGCGCCACCGCCGTGCCACCGCCGTGGCAACTTGCCCCGCAGGTTCGGTCTTGCCACTTTGCAGCCAGGGTAAAAAAAGAGTAGCGCCGCCACCGCATGCGTGGGCTGTCCGCCCCCCGCGGCCGTGGTGGCGCGGGGTCCAAACGTTGCTCGTTTCCGCTACCGAAAGGCCCAGCGCAGTTTCCCGGGCGACCTCTCGAGCCGCCCCGGGATGCAGGGGCGTGGCGAAGAAAGGGAAAAACGCATCACATGCGCGGGGCCCCATGCGATCGGTGGCCATCAGCGCGCCGCCTGTGCGCCTTGGTCCCAACTACCAACCAACCCAAATCACACGGCCCCCCGGCGGTTTGCCGGGCGGCGTTTCGTCCCAGAGTTGAGTGGGATGGCAAGCCTGCCCAACTCCCTGACGTCGCACGTTCTGCGCCGAATTGCAGGCGATGGGATTCGGCACAGCCCGAAAGCTGTACCCGAGGGCACGCGCTCGGCTTCGGGACATTGCAGCCGGGGGGCCAAATCCTTCGAGGCCTCCAGAGCCCGCCCAGGAATTCTCTGCCCCGAGTTGGGCCTTCTGCGACAGCCGCCCACCCCCCTGGCCAGAGGGTTTTTGCTCCCCGGGCCAGAGCCAAGCACGCGCCCCACCTGCCAAAGCATTTTGACGAGGATTCCTGCACGGCTCCAAAGGCTCTCCGTGACCCCCTAGCCCAACCAAACGCGGCCGGCTGCCAGCCTGCGGCGGCCCCTCCCCGCAGGCACGCGGCCGACTTGGCCAGAGGACTTGGGCGGGGGCTGCGGCGAGGAGTCCAAAGTCAAGCAATGCCCCGAGCCCCTGGGGCCAAGTCGGAGCGCCGGGGCGGGGTGGCTTGCCGCCACAGGCGCGCGGCCGACTTCGCCCGAAAGGTTTTTGCCGAGGATTCTTGCGAGGGAGGGCACCAAGATCCGGCCGGCCGAGAATCACCTGGCGGAGGTCGGGCCGTCCTGGACAGACGTTGGCTCGCCGCTCGGCGGAGCGCCGGGCCGCCGGGCCGCCGGCCGGTTTCGGAAGGGGAGAGGATTTCGGCGGGGATTCCGGTAGGGCTTCCACAGCCCAACTTGGGCCGTCTGTGGCGGCTTTCCCCCGGCGGCACGCGGTCGAGTTGGTCAGGGGATTCCGAAGAGGCCTCCAAAATCCGTTCCAGGATCCTCTTCCCCAAAAAGAGGGGCCGGCTGCGACGGCCACCCCCCCGATGGCACGCGGTCAATGTGGCCAGCGCGGGGGCCTCGGTGGGTGAGAGTTCTTCAGAGGTCGGCGGAATCCGCCTCGGAATCCTCTGCCCTGCGCAAACGGCCCGTCTGTCCCGGCCGTTCCACGACGGAACGCGGCCGATTTTTCCGGAGGACGGCGCGGCGGGCCCCGGCGTGGATTCCGCATGCGCCCGCGCCGGCCTTCCGGCCGAGGCAAGCCCATTATTTGCCGGGGCGGCCCCGGCGATAACGGCGGCGTCGATGTTCGCCGCCTTTGGTTCGTTTCATTCCCCTGGCAAGCCTGTGCACGTTTTGCACTGAGCCCGGAGAGCGGGGGAAGGGGCTCCCAGGGGGGGCTATCTCCCGAAGGGAGGCGGACCCCCGGCGGGCAAGGCGGATCCCCCGGACGGGGACGGCCTCCAAGACAGAAAGCGGGCCTCCGAGGTGGAAGGAGGGCACGCGCGAATACTGCAGGCTCAAAGCACGACGTGGGCCGGGAAGATGCCCAACCCCATGGGGTCCGTCGGCTTTCTTGGCTTGGGCCCCACTGCGTCAGGGTCCTCGCTTGTCGCCTTGCCCGCTTCCTTGTGTTTCGCGAATTGCTCGGGGGGGGGGGCGTGTCCTTTTTGCCGCTAGTTCCGTGCGCGGCGTGCCGTGCGGGCACTTCATGGGCTGGGGCGTTTCGCGGCGCCTTGGTGAATGTCCCGCCACTCTGCCCCGACACCTGCACACCTTTGGCGCGAGCAGCGCCAGTGGGCAGAGGCTTCTATGAAGCCAGCGCTTCGCGTGTTCGTACACCAACAGGCATCGCCGCGAGCGTTGGCTCTCCCTCGGGCCAAGCGGAGGCCTTTCCCCGCGCCTGGGCGCGGGCCGCTTCTGGTTTTGGAATCGGCGCGGCGACCTTTTTGGCGCTCGCCGGGCGATTTTTGAAGCCTGGCGACTGCAGTGGCGCTGGGCGATTTCTGAAGCTCGGGGACATATTGAACGTCTGGCGATTTTGGAAGCGCCGGATGACTTTGTGGCCGGGGCATGAGCATGCGTCGAGCTTGGGCTGGTTTTTGGTGCGCGGAAACCTTGGGACGAGTTGGGATGCGAGGACATGTTTGCGCCTTTGGGCGGCTGCCGGCGCTCGCAGATATTTCGGCCGCATACGCTTATGCGGAGTGAGGCCACCGGACTGCCCTAACCTGGCACCCTTCTTGACAGTAACCGCCAAAAACGGGGGGCGGCAGTTAGTTTCGGGCCCTATACCACAGCGCTTGCGTGCTTTGAAAAGATTCAAACTGCCGAGCCTGCCCGGTTCTGTGATCAAAGCAACGGAGCGCGACGCTTCTCCACTGGTCGCCGGCCTAGCGAACGACGGCGGCGAGCCAGCAAGCGGGGCGCTCTTCGGAGGCGCCCGCGCCGTGAGCTTCTGGCGGTTTGTGAAGAACAGGGGGGCGCCCAAAAAGTAGAACGCGCGCAAAGCCACCACGCCGATACCGTATGGCGCGTCCTCCGTTTCGGGGTGTTTATTTTTGGCGATCGCGACGTCGGTATAGATCAGCTGTTCGTCATAGAAGCTCGGCGCTCAGCTGCTCTCGGGCTGGAGGAGGGAGTAGCGCGCAGCAGTCCGCTAAAGGGCACACCGCCAGCATCATCATCAAGGCGGTCCCCTTTTCGCCGGCTTAACTATACTAAGTGGGGGAAGCTTTGCAGCTGTCGAAAATTGGGAAACGCGAAGGAAAACGCGCGCCAGAATCAAGGGGCCCGCCCGCATGCGATGGGCCCGGCTCCTCTCTGCTTTTGCGCGCCCCCCGCGGCGCCCGACGGAACTGGCCCCATAGCGTCGGGGCTGGTCCCAAGAGAGGGGCGCTTGCTGGAGATTTGCCGAAGGGGCTTGCGATGTTAGCTTTCTCAAGGGCCCGCCATTCCGTGCGGCGTATTGCTATCCGCGACGGCATCGCGGGCCCGCAAAAAGCACGACCGCCGCCGGCCCGCTGCCAAGGCAGGCGGGCGCGAGGAAATGGCAGCGACCTAGCCACCTCCGCCCCGGCGGATATATTTTTCATATTTTTAGAGCTGGCAAATGCCCGGGAGTTTCAATTTTCTCTGGCGTGTTCGACGGTTTTCCTCTTCTGCAGCGTTGGCGCCGTTTGTTTCTTTCAGCGAGCCCGAGGCGATTTGCGACCCGCGGACTCTTCGGGGCCCCGGCAAGGTTTCTCGGCGGCCCTTTAGCACAGGGGGAAGCCAGCCTCGGGGTTGTATATCCACCCCCGGCAAATTCGCTGGGAAGGCGCGCGACGTGTTTTCGCGGCTGCCTTAAGTAACGGGGCGCAGCCGCTGCAGCAAGGCCGCGCTCTGCGGGGGGGGGGTGCGCTTTCGGGATTCACTCGGGGGACGCGAGGTGGTTGGTGCTTCGCGTTTTGCGCCCGGTCAGCCGGCCGGCAACTCAGGACCACGCCGCGCGGATCGGTTGCAGCGGGGCAGGCGACGTGCCTCATAGTTTCATCGAGATCCGCAGGGAATCCCCCGGGGCGCCGAAGATCCCGTCGGGGCGAAGGGTCGGAACACGGAAGTGCTGGCATTGAGGAGGCGACGCCGCGTGCGCCTCGAGCACCGCTGCCTCCGGTCGCCCCGTGATTTTCAAAGGGCATACGGCCCTGCTCGGGGCTCGGGGCCAAGCCAATGACGCCGATGCGCCGGGCAAGTGCAGGCCTCGGCGCGTGCATCCTGCTATTTTGACCCTAGAGCCTCTAGACCGAAGGCCAAAATATATAAACAGGAGGCACGCGGCTACGGCTACACGCTCGCCCTCGCTACGGCTACACGCTTACCCTCTGAGGGCGAGCGTGTAGCGCGTCGTCGGTCTGTGACTCTTCTAACTGAGGCAGGGCGGGCCGGAAGCAGCCCGATACTCTCTCCGCTGGCGTTTCTTTCAAGTTATATATTTGAGTACTACCAAAGGCAAACCAAGGGAAAGCCATCTATTCAAGTTTTACGCACAGGCTCTACGTACTCTCGCGCAGTTTGCTGTCGCTAATGTTCGCGAGAGACTTGCTGCCCCTCCTGATGCACGACTTGCAGCAACACCGCGATCAGTGCCAATCCGAGGAGGTGCTTGTCGGGTGTCTCGTCATGAATGTGGCCATCGCTACAGCGACGTCGGGTGGCCGCTCAGGCGAGCTGGTCGCTTTCAACTCCGTCGCAAATTCCGGAACGTGTCAACAAAATTGGTGCAACGCCTGGAATCCGTGGCGCGGCGTCTTCATCTTCAGGCACCTCGCTTACGAGTCAGCAACTCTTCTCCCGCGTAGTCTGTCGCACAATGAGCCGACCGCGGACGGAAAGGATCTGGCCCTGCCGAGGACGCCGGGAGCAACATCGCGAGCCACTCCCTAGGTTGAAGCATTCTACTGCGCGCGCTGACGCGGTTGATTTCTGATGCCCACACCACTGTAGAGGCGGCCGATGTATTTCTTCCGCTCGTCGTCTCCGCTCCTTGTCCCGGAAAGCATATACTCGGCAAAGCGTTGCAGAGACGGGTAATAGTACTAAAAGAGCTCGCACGAGGAAAATCTAGAGGCATGGGGCGAAGGCGCTGCAGCGTCTCTAGGAATCTCTCGAATTTTACGCATGTTGCTGCTTCTTCCCCGCACCCGCTTGTTTGATCCTGTGCTGCAGAAATAATTGCCGCCGTGCCTAGGACTGTCGCGCTCGCGGACACCGTCACACCTTCTACGTAAGCGGGCCGCCGGCGCCGCTATGAAAAATAAGAACGCCAGGCCGCAAAATCGGCCGGGGGGGCGCATACTTTTCGCGCACCCACTTGGGCCGAGGGCTGCGGACATAGCGAACAGAGGGGGCGCGATGGTGCGGCCGAGCGATGGACCAGGTTACCCCGGAGCCGTCCGAGCACAGCGGCGCGCATATGCGGGCGGCTGCGGGTGGGCCGCACCCGGCCGCCGGGGCGGGGGGGCCTGCGGCAAGGTGTTCGCGCTTCGCTAAGTCCTCGCGGGCTTCCTTGGTTCACGCCGGGGGCGCGCGGCATCTTGGAGGGGCCCCGCCCGCAATGCCTACGCAAGAAACGCCAGCAGCCCGGCCACTTGCCCACCGGTCGGGGGCCCGAAAGGGGCGGGGCATTTGGGCAGCCTTCCCCGCCTTCCGGGGCCGAGAGCGGCCTCAAATAAGATGAAGGGCTGGCAGGCCTGACGCCCTGCGCAGCGAGCCTGGTGGCTGTTGGTTTCACATACCTCGCGGCGCCTGGCCGCCGTCCGGGCGGTGCCAGCCTGGGTTCGTCTATCGTGTGGGCGGCAGCACCCAAGTCGCCGGGCCTTCAGAGCTGAAGGCCCCGCCCGCCCGCCGTGATGTTGATTCAAGTCCTGTCGTCCGAGGTGCTGCAACAAGTCTGGCGGCGCGGGCGTAGCCTCCCAAGCGAGTGCGTCCGTGCGCCCTTGTAGCCGCGGTGGGGTCGTGCGGGCGTGCTTGCTTTCGAATTTGCCTAAGTATTGCCCCTGGTCTGTTGGAATGCGCGCGCGTCAAGTTCAAGCGCGCGGCCTCTGTTTCTTTGGGCGGCGCCTATGAACCCACACAGCGTTGCCTGCGACCTCGGCCCGGGACGGTGGTTTCTCCGATGGCGATCGCGGCCCCCTTTGCTTGTATCCTGTCGCGCCCCCGCCCTTGACCGTCAGGCATCGGCGGGACATATTGAGTGGCTCACACGCTGGAGGAGGTGAGCCGGTGGAGACACTGAGACAGACGCGGCTGCAGATTCCCAGGGATGGCGTGGCAGTCGTCTCGACAGGGGAAGATGCCTCTAGGCCATTTCTTTGCTTTCTATTCTCTTGGTTCTTTTTTCTGCCCCGGGCCTGCTCTTGGTTCCTGCGCCTGCGCCTCTCGTGAGGCAGGCGCCCTGGCTTTCGTTGGGCTGCCAGGTTTGAGCACGGTTTTGCTTAGTTTTGCCGCGGCGCGCGTGCATGTGCTCTGGCGGCTACGTGCCGCCGCCCTTCCAGGGGTATAGGGTAGCGCATACCCCCAGAGCCAAAGGCTTTGCGGCCCAACCCCCGCCGCCCTTCCAGGGGTGAGGCTTGCTGGCCCAATCCCCGCCCCGCCACTTCTGAAAGGCGTGCGCGGTGATGTGCATCAGCGTGGGGGCGTGTGCTCGCTCACGCCCAAAGCAGCCCGCGCAGCCCTCCTAGGGGATGAGTTGGTTGGCGGCATCCACTGGCCCGCGAAAGGACGAAGGCAATACAATATTGGCGCTTGCACCTGCCTAATCGCTACAATTTAACAGCAACTCGCGTGGGCATGTGATAGGTTTTTGTATTTTCAATCTGCGAGAGGGAGAGCATTTGGAGCGAAGCTCCAAGAGCAAGCACAAAAAGGGCCCATCGCAACAAGATATTTGGGCAGGTGAGAAGTGATTGCTTCTGCGATCATTTTGATTTTTGATAAATAGTATGGTAGACAGTCACTCGCTCGCCTGAAGAAGCGAGCACACAATTGATTTTTGTAGACGTCTAACTCCAAGTCCAAGCAATGCCAATGAAGTGCACACGTAAACCTACTCGCAAAAAGACTAGCCACGTATGATGCGCCTTTGGAAGTGTGAAACAAAATTCAATTACTCCGCTAGATCGGAAAACAAAAAAAAAAGCCAGAACAGGAGTTCAAAAATAAAAAACGAAAAGCCAGGGCCAGAAGCAGCTCCGTCCCGTTTGCGGTTGCGGTTGTAAGCAGATCTTCACTGCTGTTGCAAGCAGTTTTTGCGATTGTAAAGCGTATGCGCGGCTGTGCTAGCAGCTGCGAGCAGTTTTTGCGGCTGGAGTGGTTTTTGCGCCACTTTTCTGCATGCCACGGCTTTCATTCTTCGTGAAAAATTGTGGGTAGGTCTCCACAGGCGAGACGAGTCCCTTCCTTTTCCACTCGACGCAGGCACTGAGTGCCGAGATCGTTTTGCTTAGGCTTGTTTGCTTCCCGCCAGCGCTTCAAGACTTTGAAAGCCTGGGGCGTCGTTCTTCCTTCCAGCGCCGCGTGCGCTTTTTTCAGCCAGCTTTGACGGCCTTGCCTCGCTCCTATTTTTGCTGCTTGCGGAATTCAAAAGGTTTGCAAGTTCTTCTGGTGGCCCTCACCTTCAAGCTTTGCCGTTCCTTTGGCTTTCAACTTTCAATTTTGGACTTTAGTTTTTACCTTGAGTTTTTGCTTTTGCTTTTATTTTTTACCCGTAGCTTTTTTAGTTTTTCTTTCTACTTTTAGTTTCTTGTAGTCTTTGCTTTGTTTTGGCTTTTGCTTTTAGCTGTTACTTCTAGTTTTTGCGGTTACTTTTAGTCTTCTTGTAGCGTTTTCTTTTAGTTTTTACTAGAAATCTCTGCTTTGCTCTCAGTTTCTACTTTTGGTTTTTACTTTTAGTCTTTTCTTCTAGTTTTTACTTTTACTTTTAGTTTTTACTTTTAGTTTTTTCCTTTTTTGCAAGGCTTTTCCTTTTGCGTTTGGTTTTTTGCTTTAAGCTTTTGCTTTTGGTTTTATATTTTTGGCTCTTACCTTATGGCTGCGGAGTAATTGTTTGGCCATCACGACTTTAGTCTTGGCAAGGGATAGACTAATGCCAGCTGGCACGCGTTAGCGTTCTATGAATTCGCGGCCGAGGCCAAGAGTGTTCCAAGTGTGTGCGTATAGTCGTCGCATGATGTAGAAAGGCTCCCCGTCTTTGACGTCGCAAACTGGCCCCATTGGGAAGCGGGGGCCGAAATGGTGCAACTTCGAGCCTTTCGCATGTGAGTAAAGATAAAAAGCAAGAAGGAAACCAACACAAAGCGGCGAGCCACTTCGTTTTTAAATTGCGCAAAGAACCGCCGCGCCGCAAGCCGTGGCGCAGACCGTTGCGCCTGAAAATGCGGCGCGCCGGAAAGGGCTGCTAGGGGGTAGGTTTTAGAGTAGGCAGCCAAAAAGCCTGCGCGCCGTGCAGCAATAATGTTATGGGCGAGACGGGTATAAGGCGCGCCAGGAGCGTCGTATTCTTCCGCTGCAGGGTAGAAATTTTCCTCGTGATCGTCTCCCGGAGTGATCGTCCGCTACACTATCGCTCCACTTCCTGCGGGCCAACGGAGAGTGGGGTGGTACTTTGGTGAGGCACAGGCACTTCGCGACTTTTGATTGCGCCCGGAATGGTAACGCAGTGAATTCTCACTCCATATCCCCCGCTGCCCAACCACCACGGGAAATGTATTGATAACGCACTGAATCACCAGCCCAGCAAAAGTCTGAGCCTCCAGCTCCGTCGCCGAAAGGGGCGTCGCCGCCGCTTGAGGTTTCGCTAGCCAGCGGGAGGGCGTATTGCGTTATCACTGCATCAAGTAAGAACGTCACTCCGAACCCGGAACGCGAGCGAGAAAGTGGAGCGATAAAGTAACTCAATGAGGTGCTATTCCGGGGAAAAATCCCACTTCCGGAGTTGCGACTTTTTCCCGGAGTGATTCCACAACGTGCTAGCGATTTATTTATTTCCCCGTCTCGGGAAAATAAAGATAAGCTCCCTGCTGAATCGTGCCTGCGCTAGCTTTCTCCTTCCGTAGCGATAATTCCGAGAACAAAAACGGCACTCCGGCAGAAGTGTAGTGACAAATCCGTAGCCCGGCAAAAACGTCACTCCGGAGCCGAGTTTTTTGCTAGAGTGGTAATTCAGTGGACTAGCGCTCCGCCTTTAGTTGGCCAACGGGAAGCAGAGTGATGCTTCGTTGAACGATCACATCGGCAAAAAGGCCACCCCGGAAGTAAGACTTTTGCAGGAGTGGCAACTCAGCGGAACGTCAACACGAAGACCAGACTTCGCGCAGAATGGCACTCCCAGGGGTTCTTACTCCTCGGGAGGCCGGATTGTGAGCGCGTGCGGAGGCGGGCACGCTGCTCGCCAGTGCTCGCTGAAAGTGAGCGTTGACGGGAAAGAAAGGCGGTCGCGACTTTTCGGCGGCCTTCGCTTCGCCCTTTGGCCCGGAGCAAAAAGGGTCGCAGCGGTGAAGGCTGCTCCTGATGGCGTGGCCTGGCGCCTGACGGCCGTTCTTTCGTTCTCTTTTCGGGTCCCGCGCGCCCTCTTCCCCGCCGGGCAAAATTTCCGCCGTCGATTTCTATTAAGGGCTCCGAGTCGCAAAAGAGCTCGCAAGAATTCCATCGGGAGGCACTTCAAAGGAAAAAGGTGACAAAGCCCGACCTGAAGCCGCCTTGACGTCTCCTTTTCGTCAGAAACTATTGTGGATTACGGATTTCAGATTCAGGAAAAGGGCAAAAAGAGTGCCCACCTCTAGACGTTTTAGTCTCCTTCTTTTGGTCTCTTTGCTCCACTGGTTTTTGTCAAGTTGGTGCTAGTCTATAGCTCCTCTGGGTATTCCCCCTCGCTAGTTATGGGCGAATAGTCCCGCAACTGCTCGGCCCCTTTTTCGGAGGACTCAAGAAACGGGGACTCCTTGCCGGAATATGACAGAGACCTGAACTATGCCTCAGTTGTATGATGCTTTTTTGTGTAATTGTAGATAGAAAATCATGCGTGCCATTAGTCCAGCTCTCCTCTCTTCGTCGCTCTCACTTCTCCTGCTGTTTTCCTTTTATCTTGGAATCCTGCCGTCGAGTAGTGGAGAGGCCGCGCGGTCCTGTGCGATACTTTGGCAGACTGACGAAGCAGCTCGAGCGTCTACCCTGGCGGCGGAGGCTGAGCAGTGTGTGCTTGAATCTTTTTCGCGCTTTCCAGATAAGGTTCGCAGTTACGCCCGCTTCTTTCGTTGTGGTGGGTGCAACGTGGAGTTTGATTATGGGAACTGCATCGTTGCGCGGGACGATCAAGTGACTGAGTTTGCCGGACTCAGTTCTCGCAGTCTGAACTGGCGGCAGGTTTCCTCGAGAGATGAAGCCGAGATCCGCGCGAAGCTGGACCTCCCGGCTGAGGCGGGAGAACAAATGGGAGGAGAGCATCCAAAGCATCTGCCGAACGAGCGCCCAGGTGCAGCGACGTCATCCGGCGGGTCGGTCACGACAATCTCGCAAGACGACACACTGTCGAACTTGTTCGACTCGGCTGCTGCAGAGCTGCTCGAGTTAGATGCCCCCATCCTTGCGAGGGATCAAGCTGAAGACAAGCGCACTGCGAAGTTTGCGCACGATGTTGTGTCTCGTTTTCTTATGGGGGCGTCAGGATCGAAACCGACAAAGTTGAAAAAAAACCCGGCAACACTTGGCGGAGGCGTTCAGGGCACCCCCTCCGGGACCCCTTTCAACTCTGAGACGCTCAAGCATACAGCGGCGACTAGCTTCGAAGGGGGCGAGTGTGTCGGCGTGGACATGCGAAATCCCGGCACCTTTCAAGTGGCCCCCAGGTTTTTTTTCAGCTTTGAGAATGTCGGTCCTGGCGCTTCAATATTTCTGTACCAAGCAGCGGAGGAGGGTGGAGCCATGCAAGCCTGCGCGTACTTGTGTTGCGGCGGCGACCAGTGGCTGTTTGACAGAGAGAAGAAGCCTCCGTCGCATGTATTGCATCGACCAGCTCGTGCCGAGGAACGCGGGTTCTCGCTTAGTGGGCAGGAGCCCTGTCACGTCGACGCAGAAAGCCGTCACACGTGTCTGCATCGCAACGTGTGCCTTGTTCCGGACAGGAACTATTTTTTGCTGCCAGACGCGGTTTTCGCCTTCGGGACAGAGGCTGAGGCTGGGGACAGGGCCCCGAGGCGGGACGACGCGAATCATTTTGACGCTATAGTCGACGAACCGTTGATGGGTTGTCCAGGCTTCACTTACGGACAGCCCCCAGCACTGGAGCTCTGGCACAGCCTGTATAGCTTCGACTTTCCCTACTGAGTTGCCAGCTTGGAAGTCGACACATTGAAACCATTTGCGATGCATTACATACGGGGCATAGCCGTGAAGTGCTTGGCTTGCAGACACGAGAGTCGAAGGCGATTGTGAGTGTGTTGAGCGTCAGAGATACATGAAGCTGCGAAGAATCACGGCCGGAGCTGTCGCCTTCGCTTCAAAAAGTGCAAAAAAAATGCACTTAGCTGCTTCTACTTTCCAGGTTTGTCCTGTACTGCTCAGAATTTGGGGCGGATCCCCGCCCCTCTGGTATCGATTTTATGCATTGCGTTTTTGTTTGCATTTTGTCGATCATCAGCCTGGCGCTTCTATATTACCTGCGGCTTCCAGTGGCCCGGAACCCTCCGCGACTTCGCTGATGTTTACGGGATGCGCATTCGAGGCTCGCTCTTTCCACCCCGGTCAGAACTGGTGCGGTCGCATGGAGGCGACGAAAAACGCCGCAAACATGAGACGTTGGCGTCGCCTTCAAGCTCAACGCCAACGTCGACAGCTGATCTTCATGAAGCGGCAAACGTCATCCAGGGATTTTCTCTCATCGTTGGCCTTCCGAATACCGTGCCCCCGACCATCTGGCATTTTGTGCAGCATTGTTTCGGGCTTGTTGGTGCGAAGGTGCTTTACCGTGTGCAGCGTTGGGAGTCTGTACTAGTTAGTGACCCGGGGGGATGGCTTAACCATCCGACGTCGCAGATAAGCCGCTTCTTCCGCCGAGTGTTCGAACTGCTTGTGGGACAACGCCTCGGTAGTGCGATCGAACTGCCAGGGGGGCTCAAATATTTGGGCAACGATCATTATTCTGAGAATGCAGTAGGAGTGCCTACTGCGGAAGAGGACGGAGAAATGGCGAAGGAACACACGTCAAATGAAGAAGCTCCAGTCGGCGCTCCGAGTCCCACACCAAGTGAGAATTTTTCTCATAGCAGTGGCATCGCGATTACTCCTCGTGAAGACCGCCAGCAGGAACTGGCGACTGCAGCTGACCGCGACGCCGAACTGACAAGCGTCTTCAAGATATCGGCAGCAAAAATAACGGGTGGGGGTGGAGATGAAGCTACGAGGGATGCGGCTGCCCTTCGCTGTATGGGGACGTCAGCTGAGTTGGAAATCGACAACATGGCGAACACGATTTGTAAATGCACAGCGCATAAAAATAAATTTTGATTTTCGCAACGCCGGGTTTGAATAATATTTATTATATATTTCATTCTGCGTAAGTAGGCAAGAGAGCATGGCATGGCTTCTGTCTGGCCACGCACTTAGCTAAGTAAGTAGACAGATTGATGATCGCCTTCAGGCGCTTTTGGTGCAATTACAATTTTTATGCGATTTAGCAGTCCTCTATGCAACGCAGTGTAGATCATGCACTTTATATTTTTTTTTCTGTTATTTAAGCAATTCCAATTTGTCGAGTTTTCACGCCGACCTGATGCAATCATACGCTGCCACGAAAAAGCCGTATTTTCGGGTTGGACCGCGACTGGCGTGTCGGGTACGCGAGAAATGACTTACTTCCGTGAGCTATCAACTGCGAGTATGTTTGGGATAAGATAATTGTCATGCAAGTCGATAAGTTATATTTAATTATGTTTGATCTTCTTGAACTTGATCCGCTAGTCTGTCGTGTGTCGTCGAGGAAGATGATGAGCGCACAATAAAAATACACAGCCGATCAAGTTGACAATGTTTTGAAGTGCTAGTATGAACAGTTATCTTGCAGCTGGAGTCTGGTAACACATGCCAGCAAGAACGAGGAAGCCAGGAGGAAGGTCATTTTGATGTTGAAACGCTCTTTCGTATATCATGTGCGTCATAGAAAGTAGTATATAAGCGTCTGTGGGCATACGAAGTAAGCATGACATACAGTTCCACGCCGAGGCATAATTGCAATGCATAGGAGCACGTGCGCCGCCTATACCCAAATATCCAGCAACGACGCTCGCACGTTCTCTACCTGTCTCGGAACCCCGGGATGGTAGCGAAAGTGTTGGAGAAGATGAAGGAAAGGAGTACACAGAGCAGGACAAGAGCAATGAATACTGTAGCAGCTGAGCGAAAACAGGAAGACATTGGTTGGTGGACGGCAGGTCAACAAAACACAATCACAAGTGGTGAAATGGAGCATAGCAAGAACCAGACTTCTACGAGGAGAAAAGAAATAAACAACTTCCCAACCGAGAGCCGGTTACTGTCTAATGTGGGGCGGAGCATTTGGAACGAGCGTGAGGTGGTGGTCGCGCTGCAGCGGCGCATTTGGCGCTTTCACCGCGAGTCTCGCTGGATAGCCCGTGCTTCACCGGACCTGCAGATTCACACCGGAGCAGAGCCGTTTGAAACGCAGCTGCAGCTTTTCGCCGGCGCTGCGCTGGTGGTTGGCACATTCGCTAGCGGGCTTTCCAACTTGATTTTTCTTCCGAAAAATGCTCATCTGCTCGTGCTGACGCCGAGGGGGAACATGCACAGCCAACAGGACCTCGCGACGAATGCCGGGTTTTTCTACCACAAGTTTTTTCTGCGGGATTCCTTGACAAGGTGTATGGATGGAGGGAATCCCGCGTTCGATCGTTTTCCGGCCTCGGACCCGATCAAGTTCCACCTAGGTGTACCCGCTTGGCGGGTTCAGTTCCCGCTGCAGAACGTGTCCGCAGGCCACCTGGCTTCCGTTAAAGGTCCTAGTGCGCACCTCCTCTGGCGATGCTCCTTTGGCGTTGACCTGGATCGTGTCCACTGGAAACATGTCTGTGCCTCGAAGAGTGCGTCTGTGTGAGGTCCCTTGCTTGGGGATAAGAGATCGTCAGAACTTGATGGTGCATGTTGCGAAAGAGGGCCGCTTATTTCTCTCGCGAAAATGCCAACTCAACTTTCCGGGTGGAATCCGAACCACACAGTTGCCGAGATACTTGTATGTAATGATGAGCTAGGCATTGCTGATGCTGTGGCGTCCTTCCGTTTTGCGCATTACTTAGCATCTCCATCACAGGGACGACTTTCCCGACTCAGATATGTTTGCAACGCATAGACCGTTTTTTGCCGGAATTTGAGACAATTTTTGGTGAGGCGTTTTCGTTCGTTCAGCGCAGGAATTTGAATGCCAACAGAGCACGAGATGTTGAGAGGTTTCATATGAATCAAGATCAAGATGCTTATTTCTACCGAGAGAGGTCTTTAAGAGTCCTCGAGGTTGATAGAAATTTCTCGAGTGACCCTAGCCTTCACAGCCCTTCGGACGAAGAAGAAGAAGCAAGCAGCTTTTTTCTCTACGCAGGTTTCGTACGCGAAAGAAAGTCCCCGTTGAATCATGACTCAGGACACTTGAGAAAGGAAACACAGAAGCAGCTGGGCGCTCGGGTTCAGAGTCGCAATGAGGCGGCGCGAGCCGTCCTGCCAATTTTCACATTCCTTCTTCTAATTCCATCGATTCCCGCTTTTCGACTTTGCCTATGATGAGTCAGAGCGGGATGTAAAGAGGTGTTCTGATTTGGTTCTCACTCTGCCCTCGAGCTGTGTCTGATCAATTATAACTCTAGCTAGTATAGAAATTCAAATTGTTCTCGCTTTGAAACTTTCGAATGGGAAAGCCCGAAGACGGTTGCTTTTTTTTTCGTGTCAGCTTCATAAACACTCTGTTACGCTCAACATCGTGTCGATGCATGAGTGGTCTCTTTTTTCATCTCTTTATGGAACCCAAGCACCCCTCCGGCATTTCTGTGGTGGAAACTCGTCGCCGTTCTTTTTGTCGCACTGTGTCGAAAAAAAATGATCGTGCGCCAAAGATTCAATTTTTTTCGTTGGTCGAGAAGTCGTTCACAAGCGAAGCTGTCGCTTTGTCGTTTTTCATTTTCCTCTTCGCACCTGGTGCAGATGCAGTACGTTTTCGTGCGCGCCGAACCTCGCTAGTGCCCTGTTGCGAGGGATGTGACTGAGCGAATGGCGCACTTTCTACAGATGTGAATGTGCCTTTTGATACCTTCAGGGTTCGAAGCCAATAAAACAGTCTGCTCCGTTCCTTCGTGTTTCAGCTAGTTGATTGAATTCCACCGTTTTCACACTCTTCGAGTATTCTGATTCTGGTGGTAAGCACATGCATCCGTAAAAAAACTGCAGTATTATAATTGTGTCGATTGCAGCCCCCCCCGGCGTCTACCCCTCAACACCGCATTGCAGTATAGCTAATATGGCGGCAGTTTTTTATAGATATGCGTAGCTGCAAATGCAACATCGATCTTCGCCTTGATATGTGCTTTCTGTCCGACCAGTTGTTTTCTATGATTCAGAATTTAAGTTGAAGCATTATTGAGACGATTGCACACAGACACAAGTCTTCTAGCTCTGTATAACGTCAGGACTGTGAGCTTCTAGCTAACTACGACGTCGCTGGTTATAATTGTCGCTGCTCACCTCAGTTTTTCTTTTTTTGGTGTCGCTACTCGCTCCTTGATGGTGGAAGACGGCGGGCCGACGCAGGAGCACGCCATCGAGATGCTCCTGGACGAACTACCGAAAATGGTAGAGTGCTTGACGCAGCAGGGCCTCACAGAAAAGCTGGAGCAGCCGATGCAGCAGAAATTGCAGCAGTGCCTAGATCATGGCGGTGCGGTGCTGGCGATGCCTTCTACCGAGCCCGGTCGTAACCTTTTTTTTGGGGACCTTTTGCAACTTACCGCCCACGCACTGACCCTTTTCAGCCGCGCGCACGAAGTGGAGGGGCCGTGCGCCCCCTTTATGCATTGCTTTACGATCACCACGGTCATATTTTCGCAGTTCGTGGACCCCCGCCAGAGCGCGGTTTTGTTCGGCATTCCGGAAGAGGAAAGCACCTCTCTTGGGACCTACATCCTTGCCACGATCGGGGACCACTTCGATTATTGCCTTCGCGAGGTCGTGTTCAGTTGTGGGAGCGACGTATGAAAGCTGGGGACAACTCCCCTCTTCATCGTTTCTTTGTCATGCATAAACATTAACATTGGTCCACCAGCCGTTGCCCGGTAATATCACTGCCTCGTACAACAACAACTACAGGGTCTAGCACCCCAAACAGCACCAAGATCCATACGAGCGAGGAAGGAGCCCAGAAATAAAGATATAATGACTTCGGACGAGGTATGTAGTCGTTGCGTCGTTTGCGCTTGGTCGCATCAACACCGATACCACGCAACATAAGAAAAAATAGTGAAGGTGGTACGTTACGAGGAGGACAGGGCTGCTAAGGCCAAAGCTAGTGCTAACGTATGAAAATGAATATATAGCTCGGGGGGAGCACCCCCTCCACTGGAGGTCCTCCCACGGGCAGAGATCGAGGCGGCGTGTGGCTGGCGCTTTGGGGACCGTTTTTAGGGAAGCGGGGAAAACAGCAAGCGGAAACCCATCGCGTAAGTGCATAGAGGAGACACGCCGGAGGACAGGGCGCCGCCGGTCGCTGTGCCATAGTAAGCGCGATCGCTCTGGGACCTCAGTAAATATATAGCACCCGAGGCCGAGCAGGACTGGCGCTCTCGGGAGCAGCGGGAGAAGGGATGCAGCCTTGAGGCTGCGCCGTGGTGAAGTCAATGCTCGCGGGCGTGGTTGTTAAGCTGTACCAGCTCCCTCTTGTCTTGGGTGTTTTTCTGACCACCGTCTGCGCCTCCAAGAAAGCTGGCAAAGAAGTTCCCCCCGGCTTGCCCCTTTCAAAGGCTTTGCAGAGCTGACGAAGGGCAGTGCGCTCGACCCTCCCTCTGGTGCCCCCGGCCCTGTCGAAAATCGTGGGTGGTTGTGTGCAGCTGCGGGCAGCAAGGGGCCGGGCGAGTTTCGAGGCGGGCTGCCAGAGTTACGCGAGTTGATACATTGGATTTACACAATTTTGGCAAGCTCCATAAGCATGATCCCTCAATTTTTATCGCAGGCTATTTTATTGTTTTTCGATAGTTATAGGTTCGTTTACTCAGAATGCTTCTGTTGTTGTAACTCTCTTTACATGCGGCCCAGGGAATTAACAGCTGTTGAAGTTGGAAAGTGCCTTTAGGTCGCATATCTCAGTGAGCAAGCTCAAGCTGCAACACGTTCTGCGATTGCGGGGCGGTGCGTGCGGCAGGTACAATGATCCACCTACTAGAGGCCCCGGCAGGGGCGGTTTCAGTTCTTCCGTCCTAATATTGGAACGGCTGGCTTTTGCTAGTATCTGGAAAAGCGGCTTGGGCGCAGTGCGTAGCGCTCTTTTTGGTATGTGCCAGTGGTCCTGCTCCGGAACTGCGGAGGCCGCTCTGCTTTTTTATTGATTGCATTACAATGGCGCCCCCAATCACGAAGAACTTCGCAGTTAGTTCGCCCTGCCTTGGCCTCCCAGCTGGCTCCGTCGTACGTGGTGCAGGGGTTCTCCTACCTAGGATATCTGCTCACCTTAGGGTCGTCTAATTCCCTACTCCCCCGGATGTCGTTAATTTTAGACACTACTCCCAGTGACTACCGTGAGGATTATTTTAAGACAGTTAATTTTAGCCACTACTCCCAGTTAATTTTAGACACTACGCTCGCATCGACTACCGTGAGGATACCTCCGGTCCGAGAGTCGTTTTTTGTTTTTAGTTTAAGAACATCGTGGTCCACATCAGGCGATGTTCCTGCCTTGCTCGTGCGCATACGTACGTAGATCTTTTGGCTTTGGCCAGGAGGTTTAGGGTCGGAGCGCTCTCAGCACTGCTGAAGCTTTAGAACCAGATGGGAGTGCACACCCGGACGGATCAGAGCAAAAGGCTTTATTAGCGCTTTTTGAAAGTAGATTTTACCTTTCCTTCCTTGTGCTGCTCTTTTGCTTTCCCCGGGCCCTACTGGCACCAAGCAGGATTTTTTTGTGGTCTGGGACATGACTCCCTCCGGTGTCCTATGTGGGTATTTTGCTTGAATTAGAATCTTTAGGTCTTACCATGCGTTTTTGTGCACACTCTCTCTGATCAGTGCGGTTTCCTGTTCTTCTCCCCCGATTCATCTTCCTACGGCCGGTTCCTTCGCCAGCGTCAAAAAGGGTTTAGAAGGGTTGGAAGGGTTTTTGGATTTGGGGTTCTATTTTGATTTTAGACACTACTCCCAGTGCCTCTCTTTGTGTTGGAGATCATGAGACAACTATGTTTATGCTTCCATTCCCTTCATTTTCTATTGTGGATCCTGGCCTGCGTTCCGAATGACAATGAGGGGGGGAGGAGTTGTCCACCATCATGCGACGACTCTAGCACGGATGAGATGATTCACGCTAAGATCTGCTGTCGCGTGATGTGGCGGACCCTGTGCTTGTGCGTGGGGGGTGCGCACAAGATCGACGGGGAGACGTTTTTGGAGTTGTGTGGAAACGAGGTCTATTTTCCGGTGGCCTTCGCCCGTGTGCTGATTCCCTGCGAGGCCGACGTTGCAGCTCCTTTGATGGGGCTGTGGAGCGCCGCGAAAAACGTAAATGCAGCCAACCGCATTGCCGCACAGCAGGAGGGCATCACTGGCGTGGCGGTTCTTGACGAGGACGGCAAGCGGAAGTTATGAAGTAAAAATCAATATGTCTGGGCTCTGGAAGCTGCAGCGCGATTGCTCTTTTGACATCATGCAAGAAAACTTTGTCATGAAGATGAACATGATCATGCATGTTGCGCTGAAGGGGCTGACGCGGACGCAATCGCAAAGTCGATCCCGTGGACCCTCACCTTAGCGCGCCCCAGGTCTTGCCCGGGAGCTCACCTCCGGCAGTGTTGGTGGGTGCTAGAAAAAAAGTTGAAAGAGCGCCACTCAGATGTCATGAACAAATCCGAGTACTTTATATCATGTTCGTGCGCATCCGCATGGATGACGCAGCGAGCAAGTAATCGCTCAAGCGCTACTAACGGTAACAATGCTGTGGCTGTACTGAGGTCAGGTGACCGTCGGTCCGCTTTTTAGCTTTACAGGTTTCAAGAGGTCGGCCGTCTTTGCAATGCATAGAAGCTTCCGAACGATGAATCTGGTGATCTTGCGGATCTTATCACAAGCAAAAGCACCACAGCAGCCATACTACCCATATTCATACAATATGAATATTCGGAAATATTTGTCATGTTTTTTTTCTGCCACAGGGAAAGATACAGGAAAACGCCTCTATGTTGAAGTTTGCGATGCCTGCCTACAATCAAATATATGTAGTTACAAGGCCGCGGCTTATGTCGTGCGATGGGAGGGCGAGCAGGAGCGGTATATAGCGTAGAGACTCGAAAAACTTGAAGGGCGCTGCACTTCGAAGTTGAAAATGAACGCATTCAGCTATATTATTCGTCTTCGCGTAAAAATCTAGTATGGGTCGTGTGCTTTTCTGTATCATAGACCTGTACGAGTACAAGAAGCAGATCGCGTGCGCTTTCGTAGACGACGACATCATTCCAGAACTCTGCCGCGCACTGATGGAGGCCTTATACCAGTGGGAGCAGCAGCCAGAGGTGAAGCAGTGGTTTCTAGCGGTTTTGGGGGCGCCGGACTTGACCAACCAGCTGGTGCCACCTCCAGCGGTGTTGCTTTCTTCCAAGACGCAGGAGTGCGCGCGGAGCGTTCTCCTCCTGTACACGGCGGCTTGCCGGTGCTTCAGCGAGATCGCCAATGTGGTTTTGGATGCGCACTACCGCGCGTGGGCGAGCCGGTACGGCAACTTGGTGGGACGGATGAAACGGCATTTGACCTTGCATGGGAAGGGGTTCCTGAATCACCTCGTCAAGCCCCACTTTTTGCCGCACAACGGGGCCGGCATGAACTCCGACCTGGACCTCAAACTTCGCATGTTGGTGATGTCTGCACGCGATCTGTATCAACTGCAAATAATATGGCTGCGGCTGGAAGGGTGAATCCTTTTGTTTTGACGATCACACAAAATGTTTGGAAACCTGTGCCATGCGTTTCATTCTATGTCATGCACGGGCCGCAGGCGCAGTGCCAAAAGAAAGTCAAGTGCGCACTCGTTCTTGTAACGGACAGTGGAGCGAGGGACTGCACGCACGAGAGATGGTCAGGTATTAATTGAGAAACCTTCACCTTGTCACCGAAACCTGTCATGGTAATGGTATACTCTTCATGTTCATTCAGACTTTGCGGGGTCTCCCAGGCAAAAAACAACAGGCATATGCTCGCAGGACTCATTCACGCATAGCAAAGTACAAAAGCGGCACGACAAAGTTTGCCGAGTGTCATCCCAAGCCCTGCTTGTATTGCATAGTCGGTCGTCGAATATGGAAACCGCTAGTGTCGGGATCGGGGAGTCAGTGAAGAAACTTTCCGTTGTGCTGCTGGACATGCTTCTGGCGCTGAAGGACGTAAAGTATGACGTTAAAGAAAAGTACACCCATACCGGAAAGCACTGTAGTTTACTCCTGACACTATTAGGTAATCCGCGGCAAATAATCAGATTCTATACTACAGTTCCGCAGATGCTTGCGCTGCCGCTGGGTCACCCGATCGGCAGCGAGCACTGCCACCGATCAGACTACAATATTCGGTATAATCGGCAAAAACAAAAGGCCTTCTGACGCCAGTAGAGTCTTGTTCTTGGTAGCAAGAACTGCACTTTAGAATTTTACAAGCAAAAACTTCTGCTCGCAAAAAGGTACTTGCTATACTAGTAGAAAAGAAGGCTATGCCTACCCCTACTACTTGTAGATGTGGGCCAGGCCCCTATGCGCGTTTCTGCTCGTGAAAAAGCGCGCCCGCACCTCTCTTAGCTAGTATGCCAAGGGAGATATGCGCTGCGCCCACACACTGCGCAGCTTTCCGTTCTTGCTGCGGGCCCTCCTTATGCATCGTGGAGAAACTCAAACTACCAGCAGTAGGCAGGCTGCGTGTGCGTCAGCGATACTCTGAAAACTGGAGTGAGAGGTGCTCTGAAAACTGGAGCGAGAGGTGCAGAGACACGAAAACCGTGCGCGGCAGTGACCCCAGAAGGACGAAGAGCGCAGGGCCACTGCAGACGTCGCATTCACGCACTGCTAAAGTTGCCGGCGCGCGCGCGCAGGAATGTTGTTCCGGCGCCGAGGGTGCAGAAATTGCAGGCCAGCCTGCCCCTTGGCCGTGGCCTGCCCGTGCGTCAGCCCGGGGCGGATCAGTTTGCGTCCGGCCTGCGGAAGTGCCTCTGATGCGTTTCCCGCAGCCGCAAACGCCAAAAAGCTGGCTCTTTCTGTATGTCGCGCACTAATCCACACACGCAGCGTGCCCGTTTTCGTTGTGCTACCCGCGCGGTGTAGTTGAGGGCCAAATTGCGACTGGCCTACCCGACCCCAATATTTTCTCTGGGTTTTGCTTTTGCTCGTCCTATTTGTCCGCAATTCAAAACGGAAGTGCGACAGGCCTCACCTCGACGACGCGCGCAAAGTGGTAACCGCCGGAGCCCTTGCGCGCGGTCCGCGGCTACCTCTACGCCCGGCGTCTAGTGCCCTTTCATTGTGGCCCAGCCGGGGAGCTGCCCTCTTCGCCGGATGCCCTCCGGGCCGGTGGGCGCTTTACCAGCGGAAGACTTCGCAGGCAGGGGGCGCGCCCGCCGGCGGTTCGCCAAAAATGCCGCGCACGTTGCCTGGGTGCCTGAAGGTGCGGACGCTGCCTGGATGCCTGCAGGCGTGCTTCTAGCGTGTGGCCCCGTTGCCCCTCGCCTACTTTCGTACTTCGTCGCCGGTAGCAGCCTGCTCCGCATTAGATTACCGCAAACGCCGCAAGACTTGCGGCGTGGCATCATGCAAAATGGAAAACCTATGTATGTAAATGTATTCTATTGCGGCCAAAATAAATTTTTAAAAAGAGAAATACGAAAGTTGGGAAAGCTGCCTATCGATGGGCATGACAAAAAATTCAAAAAAAGCGTTGTTTAACTGGTTGATTACAGCGACGCTGACTAATCTTTCGCTTTGCTTGTTTGATATGGGTGTATTTTTTTCCAGGACAAGATCTGTGAGCAGATCATGGGCCACGAATTCCTGGAGTTAGTGAGGTCCAGTCTTGTATCCTTCTCAAGAACTACGTACCTCCCGGCCCAGAATTGTAATGTAGATCTTGTTGCTTTTGCTACGTACCTTATGATCATTTTCGTTTTTCGCATTCACTTCCAAACCTTCAAGGCCACAGCTTACGTCGCGTAATGGAACGGCGAACGAGTGGACAGGGGGGAAAAGAAAATGGCGACAGGGTCGTGGGCAAGTGAAAAATTTGACTGAGGGCGGGGCAAAGCACCTGCGCCGCTTCTTGCTGAAAGAAAAAAAGCGGAGCGCCATCGCGTCTGTGGTTCCCGTCGTTGTGCGAGGACTCCGCCGGCGGTGGGCGCTCGTTTGCGAAGTGGCGAGCCTAAACGCAAAGCGGGAGAGCGGGCGAGCGCCAGCAGGGCGGAGAGGCTAAGAAAGCAAAAGAACAGCCCGCGCCACGCGCGGCCCGTTCGCGCCCGCCACAGCTTGTGCGCCCCCTCTTGCGCGCCGCTGTTGTTAGGTGGCCACCGCGCCCCCCCCCCCGCGCCCTCCTGCATGAGCAGCGGCCTGGTGCTCGTTCGCTTGCCTCCAGCCTTCCCCCGCAGCCCCCTACAACACCGGCGATCCCTGCCGCGGGGATAGAGGACGGGTGCCGGGGAGGGCTCCACTCTTCGTCAGGTTCTGGGCGGCCCTACCGCCCTCCCCCCGCCTCCTGTCCCCGAGAACGGCAACGCCCCGCGTGTTCGCGTGTTAGCTCGCCGCCTTTGATGCCGCCCCCCCGGCGTTCGCAGCCTCCAGCCGGCGGTGGGCAACTGGTCTCGCGGTGCTGTGCACTTTTTGGGGCTTGGGCGCTTGGCGATTTCCAAACCTGTCCCACTTGGTTTTCGTGATGGAAAGTAAAACTTTGGGGGTTTGGTTGTCGAGGTTGCGCGCAAAACTTTGCAAAATTGATTTTCGAAATTGAAATTGGAAAACTTTGGCAGTTTGGGTGTCGAGATTGAAGCTACAAGCTTGGAACTTTGTTTGTCGAGATTGAAAGCAAAACTTTGGCAGGTTGGTTGTCGGGTTTGAAAATAAAACCTTGAGGGTTTCCTGGCGGGTTTAAAAGTAAAACCCTGGCGCAAGTTTGGTGCCCGAACTTGAAAATAAAAGGGCGGAAGTTTGGTCCTCGAGATTAAAAAGAAAACGGCTGCAGTTTGGCAAGCGGAAAAAAAGCACTGCGGTGGGCGATTTTGCAAATTGGAAAAAGGGGACGGCGAACATTGGAAAAAAAGTTCTGCGCTCGGGGGCGATTTGGGAAATTGCAAAAAAAATTTGAAACCTTGAAAATTACGAGGAGGGGTTTTGACGTGGGCGATTTATTTTCTTTCCCCCGGTTAATGTTCGAACTGCCCCCGCTCAGCTATACTAGGAGTTAGATGAAGGATCTCACACCGAAGCGGTTCCTCTCGAGACGGCTAGCTCTCCGAGTGCTTTGGACTTCGTCATGCTCTAATCGTAATCGTGGTGAGGATGATGAAGCGAACTAATGATGCGGCTGTGCTACCTACTTGAACATGGCTGCCTTGTCGTGGTGTAGCTGTAGATGCAAACTTATAGTTACTCGTCCAAGTTAGTTGCTCATCCTCATGCTCTTCATTCAACTTCGACTGAAGCACGCGCACACTTCTCTGCGTCGCATGCGATTCTGCATGATCACAAACAGCTTCTCTGTCATGTCTACGCTGATCTTCATCTTCTATCTTTATCTGGTTTGTTCTCTGTTTCGATTCTGCATGATCACAAACAGCTTCTTTGTCATGTTTGCTTTGATCTATCTGTATCTGATTTTATATCGGATCTCTTGCTGGACTCACAAACATCCAGGATTTGCGTTGTGGGGAGGTGTTTTCAACCAGAAAGAAGAAAGAACCGTCTCGCAGTAAGGAACAGCTCGTTGGTGCAGCCACCGAGTGTGTTCATGTCATGGTCTTCAGCTGCCGAGGTTTCTTGGCTTGTGTAGCAGAAAAATCCTATAAATGATTTTGACTAGTAGGGGGTTGGTACGTTGTTACACAGGATATTGCGCACATACGCCTCCCATTCTCTCCACCGCTGCCGATCCAGCGATCTACGCTCGGATTGCACTGCTTTCCTTGACCCCGGCGATGTACACCGCCAATACCGACGAGGATGGTCTGCTGCTCGAGGCCGATACTGCACGACTGACTCAGGAATTGTTTGAGCACCTTGACCAGGTGGCGCAGCTGCGTGCAACCTGCTACCAGGAGCCGGCCTTTTGGCGAGGCTGCAAAAAATATCTAATGGCGTGGTTTGAAAGCACAAATGTGGGTGTGGCCGCCGAGTTCTGGCACACAGGTCTGACGGTTCAGGGCGGGCCCCTGCACCGTCTCGAGGGACAAAGTGCGGCCAATATGGTGGATTCGCACCAGACGGATTTGCCGATGGATTCCGCCTACACTGACGTACTGGCGCAGATGCACGACAGTGTTGGCTTGTTCCAGCAGAGTAACTTTATCACCTCCGCGGCTACAGGCGAAACCCCCGATATCAACACCGGCGAGGAAAGTATGCAAGGTCTTGGCGGTAAGGGCGGCGGCGGCGGCCCCAGAGCCCATAGGGGCGAGGTAGTAGATTTTTCATTTGTACTTTTTCACGGGTACTGTCTTTATCTTAATACTAGCAACGCCAGCTTCGCCTCTACGTAAGCACTTCGAAGCATTCGGATGAGCTTTCCAGTTCTAGATAACAAAAACAAATCCCAAAACAAGAAAGCGCCGGGCTCAAAAGCGCAGGCCCGGCGATGGATCCCGGTTCCGGCGATCGGCGATCCCCGTCCCGGCGATCCCGGTTCCGGTGATCCGGGTCCCAGCGATCCCCGTCCCCGTCGGTCCTGGATCGGGGTCAAGTACCGGGCGGGAGAGCCGCGTGGCCCGGCGAAGCGAGTCTTCCCACCGGCCCCGGACCGGGCTGGAGGGTCGCCGGGCCCGGCGAACCGCCCCCCCCCACCGGTCCCGGACCGGGCTCGAGAGTCGCTTCACCGGGCCAACCGGCCCTCCAGCCCGGTGCAGCTCGAAGTTGATTCTCAAACTCAGCAGCGAGGTTGATTCTGAAACTCAGACTCGAGGTCGATGCTGAGACTCAAGCTCAATGGTGATTCTGAAACTCAAGCTCGAAGTGGATTCTAACGCTCAGAGCTTAGTATCAAGCCCGAAGTTGATTCTCAAACTCAGAGCTGAGCTGCGAACTCGAGGTTGATTCGCAAACTCGAACTCAAGCTGGCAGCTGGATGCATTCTTTTAATCCATGGTGTGGTAGTGAATAAGAGTATCTTTACGGGATGAGATTAAAACGGAGGGCGTCGGCGTTTCTTCATGTCTGGTCCCGGTGGCGATCCATTGAGAGTGAGACACTAGCCGCCATAACTATTTACTTACGACTTACTCGCAGGAACTTCGATGGTGCGGCAAGCGTTTCACGCGCTCGCCTCAAATGGTGAGCACGCAACTGCTTTTCGTATTAAGCACATTGCGGGCCCTCGTCTCTGTTTGCGCTGACGCCGTCCCCGTCGCGAGCGCGAGAGCAATATAGTTGCAGTGATTTTTGACTTTAAATTGACATTGGCAACGTAAAGGTCTGCGAACGAATCTAACAGACGAAGAATGTCAATAGAGAACAACAACAAAGGCAAACAAAATCTTTATGTTCACACTCTCGTCAGGTACCTGAAGAATTCCGATGTGCAATTGATGGCAAGTTGATGCAGACGCCGGTGAGGTGGCTCTCCCCTGCCAGCGGAAACGTTTACGTATATGAGTTAGTGACCTTACAGGCTTGGGCCGAGGTGCAGGGGGACGTGTGTCCCGTGAGCGGCGAGGCTTTCACCGCTGAAGCACCTCCAGCCGTGGATGAAGGGCTAAAGGCAAAGATCGAGGCCTTTACGTCAAAAATGTAGAAGCCGAAGTTTTTCACTTACTCAAATGAATTCGCTACGTACAAGTAAACAAGTCAGCGTACGCCTGATACGACAAGTAAACAAGTCAGCTTCGCCCGGTGGTAATGGTATTCACATACTCCAGAACCAGAAGCCGTCGTGTTAACAACCAAAAACAAAATTATACAAGAACCAAGAACAAGAACGAAAGAAGGAACGTGAGCGCTGAGCAGCTGCCAAACACGTTCTGCCGACTTGGAACAGGCGCATTTTAGGCGGGACAACTTATCGCGCACGCTATTGCTATACGAGCGTTTCTCGGAATGGTTGGCTTGTCTTTCTTTCGACAGTAGCAGCTCGGCCCTTCTATCGCCCGTGTGCTGTTGTTCTTTCTGCAATCGTAGTCGCTTTTAGGGTCGGACGTGCGTGAGCGTGTGGTGTCGGAACCTGCGCGGAAAACGTCGAAACCCGTGCGGCTTGGATTCATTGTGCTGCCTTTTTTTTCTGGTGCGCCGGCTGGCATTCATTCTCACACGGAGGGACGAGTCAACTCCTTTTGTTTTTTCTCGTTCTTACTTCGAGATGTCGGCACATTTCCGAGCGCGTTTTGGGTCTCTCCAAGTTCCTGGGTTTGGTTGGTTCTTTGTGCCGTGGCAGCTCGAAAAATCAAAAGCAAGCTCGTAGCTGAAACCTAAAGCATATATATCTCGCTAATTCTACCCCTATTGCACAGGTTCTAAATAAAACTTCTTTCCGCGAAAAAAAAGCGCGAATTATTATTACTCGCAGGCTTTTGAGAGGCTCTTTATTCAAAAGGTTTCCAAGTAGGAGTCAATAATTGTATTTCACGACCCACGAGGACTGACGGATCTTTCTATTTGCACGATGGACGAGTGTTCACAAGGATCCTGTTGGTATGACGAGGTTTCTGTGTCACTAACACAACAATAAAAGTTGCAATCGCGGGAAAGTTCGAAACATGTTATTGTTCCTGACTCGTATACATGAACAAATTCAAATAATAACGACGCCAGAAGATGAAAACGATCGTGCTTTTATTCTCAGATTTGAAGATTTTGTAGCAAAGATCTGCTGCTCCACCTGCTCCTGCTTTTGGTTTTGATCGCAAAGACAAACACCAACGACTCCAAGTTGAATGAAGGATCGATTCAGGACCTACTAGATTGTATGTCATCTTCGACCAGAGGTAGAGCTAGACCCGGAAAGCGAGAATATGATTGTTTTTGAGACATTGCTTGAATAAAAGCAGACACTGAGTCTTCAATATGACATATCGACGCCCTTCTTTTTATCTTCACCCACCGACTTTTAAGTAGTTTTACAAACGCAATTTGCTTTCGTTTCTACTTCGATAAAAGTTGGCAGGTAGTGTGTTTATGATTCCCCGAGAATTTTTCCCCAAGTTTGAATTTCACTTGTTTGTCTCGAAGCCCTTTGAAAGCAACACCAGAACTGCCAGTATTACTCAATTACTGTGACTTGTTCGTTGGCTACTCTAATCTATTTAGTACAGCAGTCCTCATCTCACGAGTACGGCTACCCCCACGTGTGTCGCGGGCGAAAAAGTAAGAGATTTCGGCAGAGGGCTCGCCCAGGATGCCGCCTAAAGAGAAAACCAAAGAACAGAAGGCCGCAGAGAAAGCTGCGAAGGAGAAGCGCGCAAAGAACGCCGAGGACAAAACTTTTGGGTTAAAAAATAAAAACAAATCTAAGGCGGTGCAGCAGCAGATCAACCAAATAAAGTCCTCCGCAACGGCCGCAGATCGCAAGCCGGGCCAGAATAAGAATGAGCAAGACAAGAAAAAGGAGAGCGCCAAGCAAATGCAACAGCAAGCACTGCTGGCCGGCTTGTTTAACATGGCAGTAGACAAAAAGGGACGAGCCTTTGATCCGCAAGCAAAAAAGAAAGCCAAAGAAAAAAACATGGAAGAGGAAAGAAGCGGAGCAAATTTGCCTGAAGAGGTGCAAAAGGTACAAGATAGATAAAGAATTTGAGTTTTTGGATTTTCGTTCGTTCCATTCCTGTGAACGCCATGAAATATCAAGACAAACACAAAAGGACAGACGAGACTCTTTGCAAAAGTTCTGCCGATGAAAGCTGTCGTGGACATCCTTCCAGCCAAAACAAACAAAGCGACTTAATCAACCACAGGCCTTCATCGAGGGAATCAAAAACGGAATTCGGATGACCAACGCAAAGGGAACGAATTTGAGTCAAATATGCGGCACAGCCTACGTTATCAAATGGAAGTATGTGTGGGTCTGACAGATAAAGATTGTAGAAGTAAGTTTGTCATGCAGTTTTTCCATGCCCATGCCCTTCCCCTTGCGCTTGCCCGATGACATCCGGAATGTATGACCTGGGGCCACAGCTTCGGCGACGGCTGTTTTGCAGTGCCTATCTTGAACGAGAAACTTCTTCCGCTCAAATTGACTCGAGTAGCTTGCTGTGGTAGTCATGCAGGATTGAGTGCACAAGATATGCCAGCATGCATATCTCAAGATCCAGACATATTTGCAATGCATGCACGTTCGCGACGTCCTGGAGGACCCGAAATATAAGAAGCATCTGGAGACAGTATTTAAGCACTTAGAATGTTCTGTTGAAGATGAAAAGTATTTGCTCTAGAAGTATATTTTCTTATTCATCTAGTCTGCAGCATCGGAATTTCTTGGTCGTGTAGAGCGATCTTAAAAAGGCAGCCCGCCACGGCAGACGTATGGATTTAGAATGAAGCAAAAACTTGGTGAATGTCAACATGAATGTGCTTTCAGGTGACGACGCTTCACTTTATCAGGAGACATAGAGTCCATTTTAACATTGGCGAAGACGATGCTGACAACCAGAATCCAAGCGTGCGCTTATCCAAGTTAAAAACTCTCCCTCCCCGAATATGAATATATATTGACAAATACAAAGACATGTCTGCCGCTGCATGATTTGCGTACACAGATTACGATTAGCCTTGTCCTCCAGAAGGGGACTGCGCACATATAATTCTTGATCTGTTGGGAGGTGTACCGGTCTAGGCGCGGAGCATGGCACGCGCCTCCTTCGTCTGTTGAGAATGCCCGGCGTAGCCCTTGCCTTCCCTGTATGCAAGACAAGAAAGCGCCGGATCTTGACGCGATCGGTCTCTCCGAAGCCCCAGCCCCAAGTAGTTGCTCTAAAAGAGTTGCTTGCTTTTAGGCAACGTCAGCTTGCCTTCTTGCTTGATAAAATAAACCTAGACGCCGGACTTCCCCGAAAAAAATCCGCGTCGCAAACGTTCCCGCAAAGGAGTCCCGCTGCATGATTATGGTTCAGCTTGTCCGCGTTGCCGTCCGCCTTGATGTGAAAGCGTGTGACTTCGTCACCATCACCTTTTCAAAGTAGCGCAATGAGCAATATGAGTGCGTCTATTTTTTTCGGGTTGCCTTGGTCAGCTCGCCAGGGTGTAACTCCTGACTGGTGGCGGGACTTCATTCAACGAACGGAGGGGCTCGAGTCCACTTCAGCGTGATTGCTGCGCAATCAGTATGGGTCGGAGGTCAGAGCGTTTAGTACTGTGAGCCGTAAGGATGATCGCGTGGTCGATCCTTGGCCTCCAGGTCAAAGAATAGGACAAACAAGTCCCGGCTCCTGTGCGTGTGCTGGTAGTTCCGCCCCGTTCTCCGGAATGTGCGAAACATGCCAGCCCCCGAATGAAGCATGGCCCAATGATCGAAGGTGAGGGCGTTCCGCAACCGAATGACGAAAAAACCTGGCCTCAGTCAACGACGTTACCACTAGGGTATTACGGCAGGCTATTCCTGCCGCGCGTCGGAGGAGGGAGTTGCGCCGAGCCCCGCTCGAGCTAATCATCATCATCCAGCCGAAAAGACTAGAGCGCCTTATCGGAAGAGGGCAATTATATAAGAGCAATATTTGTGGCCTCACTTGTGCCAGTTCGGTGTTTCACCACAACGCTATATTATAGATATGCCTCCGCCTGGCGGGTACACAAGAGGCGTCAGTTACGCCAATGCCAATGGTGTCGTGTAAAGACCAGCCGACTCGCCACCCCCAGCCAGGTTGATCGGCACCGTGGTACGTGCGTAACCCGGTCGATCTCCGGAAAAAAACCCGCTTTCGTTGCAGTCACAAGTTTATTTTCGTTTCGTATTCTATTACGATCCAATTCCAAAACCAATACCAAATCCATATGAGGAGGTGGAGTTTTTCCGTATCATGACGCTGTCAAGAAGATGTAGATGCAGAGGATAACAAAGACGAGCGGGACATGTTTCTCATCTTGGAAGAAAAGCGACAGCCTTTTTTCGGCGACACGAGCCTGAAACGCGTAGATATGGCGTTCCTGAAAGCCTGGTGGCTGGAATCAGCACGGCTCGAGCTCCGCCGCGACCCGGATACGGGCGAAATAAGAGATGAGCCAACAAAGGTACAGCAAACGCTGTCGGCGAATGAAATATAAGCGAGAGACGTAAATCAATAATCTACGTAAAGACTCTGCTCGAACAAGACTGGTCCGAGCGGAGCGCGGCCGCTCTTCTGGACGGATATCGCCGCACTGCGGCTCTTCTAAGCCCACCACATTGGGGACCGTGGCTCTTCTGAACCTACCAATAGACCAATCCAAATAACCCAAAACAGACACAGCAAAAAACGCCACGGATCGTGCCAGGACGCAGCAGCGAAAGGCGCGCCGGCACTACCACGACCCCGATAGAAGAGCGGCCGTAGGAATGCGCCACCGGGCCCGGCTAGACCTGCCTCAGGCGCGCGCCGTGGGCGCAGGGCGCCCGCGACCGGCCCCGGGCGGCACGGGCCCTACGAGCCACGCGCTTCCGGCATATCTAGAGGCGGTCCGTACCGTTGCCGATCTGAATTAGGACGTGACCAACGTTTGTTTCGGCCTGTCTCGACCGCTTCCAAGGGGAAGGGTCCTAGCCGCTAGTTGCCATGCGGTAGTCAAAGCGCAGCCGCTAAACCGCATGGGTCAAAGCGTAGCGCTTCATCCACGCCCCGCCTTCCCGGTGTCGCCGGAAACCGTGACACGTGGAAGGGTGATGCCCCGGGGAGGGACAGCCACCCAGCGGCGGTGGTCGCGATTTGTTCTCCGCACGTGTCATCGGGGTCGGCGAGTGATCATGGGGCCACTGCCAGGCTCCAAATGTCATACATCCGACGAAGCGCAGCCTCGCGCACATGGCGCCGACGCTCCCGAGCGCCACCTCAGTGCCAACTGACGGAGCCGCTTTTCCCCGTCAAGTTTCGCGTCGCACCATGGCGCCACACAAAGACACGGGGCAGACGCTTAGCCGTGTCATAGCATTGCACCAAGGCGCCAGAATGCGGCGCGGGCGCCGACCTGTGTCCAGGGTCTCAACAGCAAAAGGGGCAACAGGTACCCGTTGCCAAAAATTGACTGCTGGCTGGCGCTTGTTTGCGAATATTTCTCAGCATGTCCTGTGACCTCAGTCCTCCCGCCGATGCCCCTGCGGACTGACGCGAGAATCTCTGTCACGCTCATGCCCAGACAGCGTCTGCAAATGAAAACACCGCCGCAGGCCGGGCGCATTTCGGCGGTCTGGACATAAATCGCAGCGCGTGGCCCGGTGGCGCCTGCTAACGTGGACGCACCACCAGAGTAGACGCGCGCAAGCATACTCTTGCGTTTGGCTGCTGGTGACGGTAGGCAAGGCACCGGCAGGCCAAAAGGAAGCCTTCTCGAGTCGGAAGCGATTCAATGAAATGGGGAGAGCGGGACAACTTGGGCGGGCCGAAAGCGAAGGTGAAACAAAAAACAGACGCACTGCGCCAGCCCCTCCAGGAGTTCTTGCAATTTTCGTCTACCTGGACCCTCGGGGCCCTGCGGTAGCAAAACCAAAATCTCTGCCCCGCATTACCTATTGTGGGTTTGCAGGCTCCACATTTGTCGGCCTGGTGGGTTCAAATAGTGGGGGGGTACACAGTTGTATACTGCCCCTGTTGGTGGGTGAGGGTCTACTAGTAGTGCGAAGTCTTACATTGATGTGCTCTGTAATATGTAACTCGCGCAAAGAGAAAGAAGCCACATCCGAAAATGCATCGAGTGTAAGCAAGCAGCATCTTTGCGCTGGACTTCCGAGTTCAGGACAATGCACCCGACCCCACGACTCAACAAAGTTTTTTCCAGAAGGAATGACGAAAAACTCTAGAGCAAAACGTTTTATTTGTACTGGTAGCTAATGCAAACAAAAATGACAGGCGAGAGGCAGACTTGCCGCGAAACCGACAGGCGAGCAGCTTTACAAAATGAACCCGAACATCTTCATATTTTGTGTAAAAACATTTCCACCCCCCCTAAGCACGAATAGTACTGTGAAAATTAAATGCATACGCAGCACATTGTGTAGGGTCCTTCGCGGGGCGCAGCTCTTCCACCCTGGCTCGGGCTGGCACTATGCTTGCCTTCCGGCGCAGAGCGGACATCAGACGCCGCGCTTCTCCTTGGAATTTTCCTGATGAAAAGTTGCTCGACCGAATTCCAAAACACAAACAATTGCGTCTAAAAATAAAAACGAAAACGGTCCGCTGACACGTTCTGAGCATGCTGATTTGTATCACAACTCTCATCGGGTAGAAACGTTTTTACGCCGGATAATTCAAGCATGCGGGTGCGACGGGGACGGATGGCGCAGAGTCGACTACTACCATGGCAACAAGCAACGATCAAAAGGGAGAAACTCCACAGGAGTTGCCAGACTCGGACGAGGACGAAGTGGAGCGCGACGAAAGTGTTCCGGTCGGCCTATCAAGCTGAAAAGTGCATCTAGTCCAAGATCGGAAGTAGGTGTTTGCACGATTATTGCATGGCTTTCTCCACGGCAACCTTGCATAACTACACAACTTTTCGATACAGCTGAGCATCACCCTGCGTTGGTTTGCGAAGTAGCAAACTCAATGCCTGTAGTTGTAGTTGTATCAATGGTAATCTTGATCATCAGCGCTGCTTGCCTCCATTCAGAAACAAAATGAACAGAATGCGTCGAACTTTCTCTATTTCCATGCGAGCACATGCATCGCGGCGGTAAGTGATACATCGTACGTCCGGATTGAGGGAACTTTTCATTTTCAGAAGGCAAAGCCTGGGGGGAGAGTAAGGACGTAGCAGAGCTCGAAAGCGAAAAGTGGTATTATTAGTAATATTGAAATTGATAATATGGATGCGTCAACTTACCCAAACTCAAAATACCCAAAAATTTTATTAGCGATTTTTTATAGCTAGAAAGAGTCTTGATTTCTAATGCCTAAAAGTAGTAGCTATGGTTAACTAGGTAGTAATTTATATAGCTAATTAAGGGCGTTTTCAGGCGTGTATAGAACCCGCAACCTCCGCGACCAACGATCACGGATTCCGGGGAATCCGTGATCGTTGGTAGCGGAGGTTGCGCCTTCTACACACGCCTGAAAACATCCCTTTCAAAATAGCTATTTACCTTAACTAATGGGTGAGGATCAAAAAGTCTACAATTTTATAGCACATCTGCTGAAATTTGATTCGATTTTGATCTGTTTTATAATCTCCCCGTCGTTCATGTTGTTCATCATTTCGTGAGTGATTTCGTGCTCTTTCGCGTCGGTCTGCATGTACGTTCTCCCTGCTCTCGTTCTCGCTATTCGTGAAAATAGATCCCAGCATTACAAACTTGCAGTTCATTCAGATCTCCTCGTTCCCAGAGCGCTCTCGATCTCGACTTTTATCGGTGGTCGTACTATTTTCTCTCTTTCTCGGTCTCGGCATTTGTGAGCAGATAGCCCATTAGCATTACAAATTCGATCCCGGTAGTCTTATTTTCTCTCTTTCTCGGTCTCGGCATTTGTGAGCGATATCCCACTAACATTAAAAAATTCGATCTCGACTCGTATTTATTTTCTCTCTTTCTCGGTCTCGGCATTTCTTTGTGAGCAGATAGTCCATTAGCATTACAAATTCGATCTCGACTCGTTTTGTTCTCGGAGTGCTCGGCTCATCGCATCGGTTTTCTCCCTTTTTTTATTTTTGTCATTTCCAGCACGTTGTTCTCGTGATCTCATTGTTGGTGAGCCGGCACCCCTGTCCACTTTGAGTTCCTGTGTCACGATGAACAAGCGAGCACTCCCATCCATTTCTTCATCCTTACCTGCTTCACAGAGCAGTGAAGATTTTGTTGGTGAGACGGCAGGGGCAGTAGTGCTGTTCATTCTTTTCAGATCATCTTTTTCTTCGACACATCGGTCGTGCGAGTGCTTCTCGGTGAGCGTTTTTTCGTTACGAGTGCTTGAGCGGGCACCTGTCTTCTTCTCTCAACTCAAACCTAGCCTGATTCCGTGCAATGTCCTTTGCATGTTTTATGCATGACAAATTGCGATTTTCTTTCTTATTTACCTTAACTAATAAACGTAGATTTAACGGCGCCGGATAGTAAGTCCGGACTCTAAGTAGTTAATTAAAATGGCTAGTTAAATTTTTGGGTAAGTTGAGTTTGGGTAAGTTGACGCAGTCATAGATAATGAAAAAATATGTCTTTAATTGTCATAGTCGTACGCATTCATCACCGGCATCTACTTGTTGTCGCTATACTTGAGTTCAGCCATAGGAGGAGCGAGATTCGAACGGGCGAAAAGGAATTTGTAATGCGCGCCCGCCTCTACGGCAGCGGCAGAAATGCGCACGAATCCGTGTGAGGTTGACGTTCCCTGAACGACCAATGATCTCGCGACCCGAGCAACGTATCGCGCTGTTGATCCTGTGGACACTGCTGCTGTGACGAACACTGTCTGATCCACTATCATGTAGAGACAGACCCCCCGGGGCAAGTGGCTCCTGTGAAAAAGGCGGCGCGCAGGCGCGTGCGTGCGAGCCCAATGTAGGGCGTGGAGGGCGGCGGGATGAAATTTCGAGCAGGGGCTCAATCAACCCGAAGGCTTCGCCGGGTTTCGCTGGACAATTAGAAATATTTCATCTCGCTCGAACAAAGGAACTGACGCTACTCGATTAAATAGATTATATAAATTTAGATGTAGGCTACAGTGACCTACTTAAAACTTCAATTTGCAGTATAGATATAGAATATCTTGTAAAATAGTTGTCGGCATCGGCAAGTAGAAGCACGATACCAAGAAAGCAGACAGAGCAGCGAACATTATTGCTGCGTCAGTCATCTGCATGGCAAGAAATGCTGCAAAGTTTAACTTTGATGAAAGGTTTTATGTAAAAAAATGGACTCAATAAATAACTGATCTTGCTAGGCAAGATCATCTTTATATTCGTAGAGAGCGAGGAAATCAAAACAACAGGGCCACGTTGTCGCCGAAGACAAAGGCAAAAGCTAAAGCAAAGGCCGATCCGCTGGCGACCATTGCAAGCTCGAGTGGCAAGCCGCCAACAGAAGAATATGCAGAGCGGTTCGACAAAGTTCTTGAAGAATTGCCCGAGGATCTCGGGGAACTCGAGTCCGTCTCCGAACAGGAGGAGTCGTGATGGCCACAGATTCTGCAGGCGCAAAGGCAAGAACGAGAGGAAATGGCTGGAGACGCGGATATGAAAGTTTTCTTTTTCCGCCTCCACGTGAAGCGATTCGCTGCTGGGCCATTCACTGGCGCGAGCGAGAGACTCTATCGTCCATCAAAAGTGCAGCGCTGGCCGTCCATTGCGGAGTGTCTCACCATCAGAAGTGCGAACTGCGAGGAGCGGGGCGCACCGCCTCGAGCTCGGAAGTTCGATCGCTGCGCTAAGTGTACACAGATAGAGCTTTCGGGTAGCCCATGGACGCACGAGCAATTGATGCGCATTGATTCTCACAGATTTTCTGTAGCGATCGGCGTGATCATTAGCAACTACGTTGCTTGATATAATTTTCATTTTTACGAGGTCATGATATGCAAGAAAAAAACACCATATACAACGAGTAAATAGCAATATTTCATGCCCTGCAAGAAATTGCGCTGGAAAAAATTGCAAAAGTGTGATCTGATTGTATGATGGTGTTTTTTTCTTCCATGATACATGAGCAGAAATGTCTGCGCTTGCGCCTGCACCAAATTGGAATTCCGAGATAGTTCCGCTGTTCAACCCTCCTCGTCCAGGAGGTCAGTGTGTTGCACTCGGTGCACTTCAGCGAAGATCCATAGTCAAAAGTAAGTGCTTCTCCTTTCGTCCACTCGGTATATTTGAGATTGACAGATACTCTAATTCGGTCACAGCATAAGATTCATAGGAGGAGAAGGAACTCTTCAGCGTACACGTCTTTCTTGAAATGACTAGGGTTTATCCATTTCTTTCATTCGCTCTATTAATTGTGCTTGGAACAATTGTTCTCGTCAAATCTCGTACAGGCATGAGCAGGAGTTTTTAGCAGAACGCAACTAGACTGCACCAGTGCGGCCCAGGCTGTTTTTGGTCTGATAAATGCACTTATGTGCGTGCGCGATCTCGAATAACTCGCCTCTGCATGCTCTTCTTCGTCGGGATCATCTTTAAACGTGGATGCGGGTGGCCAGAGTCTGGCTGTTAGCCATGTGGGGGATGCCGTGAGGAAAACTTCGCTCTCTCGCCCGGCTCTCGGCTTACTTTTTTGTGCAGGCCCTAGAACCTCGCGCCCTCTTGCATCAGGGTGCCCCAGCTTATATATCTGGCACCAGTTTCCTGTATTGTTTTTGTCTCATCTTGGAACGGCACGGGATTGCGTTCCTTAACGTTCGAAGACACAAGGTTGCCCTTCTAAGACTATCCACTGTCTAAATTTATTTGGGAGCCAGAGGCCACAGTCTCAAAGAAAAAAATGAAGCTGGAGGGGTTAGCCCGACTGCCCGCTCCGCCCATTCCTCAAGGTCGCTATCGGTGCTTGTCAGTGTTAACGTGTGCACTCGTGCGCGCCCACGAAATTGGTACGCTACCTTCGTCGCCTGGTGGGGGCCCGCGCCGCTAGCACTCGGCGGTCCGCGTCACGACAAATACGAAAACAGTTTGCGCAGTTTACCTGCGTAGTTGTGTCAAAATAACGCATATTAATACTATTGGACATTGCCAAATGTTTTTGCATTTTCAAACCCCCGCGCCCCCTTATTTGGATCTGGTCCAAAAAATAAAAACCGAAGGGCGCGGCGGGCATCCTGCTCGAGAGAAAAAGGCCGAGCGCGAAAAGTGCCAAAATTACGAGCGCGACCCACAGCATTTTGCGGATTCAACAAGGGCCCCGGGAGGTGATTCCATTTGTTGAATAATATTCAGCAAGGTCCGACACAAACAAAAGCCCCCCGGCCACGCAAAAACGGAATAAGATTTCAAGGCGCGCGCGCGTAATGCGCGCACACGCGTAACGCGTACAGGCGGGCGCGTAGCGCGCCCCGCGTCGCGTAACGCGCGAGCCACGCGGGGGGGGCCGGGCGGGCAGGCGGCAGGGGCCGACAGCTGGCGGGGGCGGGGGAGGGGGGGCCGGCCCGGGGTGGGGGCCGGGCAGGTAGGCGGCAACATGCGGGGGCGCGCCCCCCAAGCGGCCGCGGCCCCCGGCAGGGGGCGGCAGCGGGCGGGGGCGGGGAATGGGGGGAGGCGCGCCCCCCGGCGGCCGCGGCTCGGGGCGGGAGGGAGCCGGGCTGGCTGGCGGCAGGAGGCGGGGGCAGTAGCAGGGGGTGGGAAATGGGGGCGGCAGCGCCCCTCCGGCGGCCGCGGCTCGGAGCGGGGCGGGGAATGGCCGCAGCAGGCAAGCGGCCGGGGTCGTCCGCAGCGAAGCATGTGCGGGGGGGGGGCGGAGGTCGGGCGCGGCTGCAGGCGGGGGGCGGGGACGGCAGCATGCTGCGGGGGCACCAAGGTAGGTTTCCCAACCGGCGTTGGGGGCCGGGAACTGGCGAGGACAGGCAGGCAGGCCGCGCGATTAGCCAGCGCGCATGTGCATCGCGGGCAGGCGCGACGGGCTAAGTAATGCCCTCCCCTGCGGCTGGTGAACAGCACCACGCGGGGACAGACGAGGGCGCCGCGACCCGATGGGGGACCGTTGCCGATGGATTCTTCAAGGGCTGCGCGCCTCAGCGCGGCTGGACGACACCGACAGCGCTTTTTGCTTTTAGCGTTTGGACAGAATTCTTGGCGCGCAGTTTCTTTTTCGAACGAACGACAACGCGCTGGGCTTTTGCACCTAGTCGCACTAATTTTGCAGCCTTCAGTCTGTAAGTTTTTGCGTAAATTGTGGCCTGGCTTCTTACCCTAGTAAGTAAGTAAGTAAGGAAGTAAGTATCAATACCTGCCGACTCGTGGGCAGCTTCGTTTCCTTCAGCCGAACCGACGGTAGTTTTTGTATACGCCGTGGCTTTTCGATACTTCTCTGTTTTGCATGCAATCGGAAAGCCGCGTCTCATCCTTATGGTCTCGGAAGACGTTCTTGTATGTTTTTGGGAACACGCACCTACCAGCCCGAGGAGTTGCGGGAGCCCGAAAAATTGACAAAGCCACTGCTTCTGTTGGCAAATTTCGCTCTTCGTCAGTGAGCATGGCAAGCGCCCACAATTTTCAGCTGCGTCATTTTTATTTATTTCTGTTTGCGTGATATCGATTTCGATATGGTAAGTTAAGTATTCTTCGGAATCAATAATCATTGATGTTCCACATCCACCGAAAGAGAGGCTAAGGACACCGTTTCAGCGTGGAGGTGTGTATGCGTATGCCATGGTGTACCCCATCGTGCAGTACGTAGAGTTGTCTACGACGCAACTCGTTGCGAGTGTGAAGATCGTGAGCAAATTTACAACATGAAGTTCTCTCATCATTGCAAGAAAATAAAAGTTGTATCAAAAGCAAAGCCAAAAGATGACTGTTGCGACACGTTGCAAGTGTAGCGCGAGCTCCTGCAAAGGCACTTTGTTTAAGTTTATGTTAAGTGATACCAGTCACTGAAGCCCAATTTTAGACGCGCCAGCGCAGAATGATCTTCTCGCATCTGGCTTCCCCGGCGTTCTCATACTGGTCAGTGCATTGTGCTTCGGGCGCACTAGCCGTTGCTTTGGGAGCCTTCGGTGCGCACGGGCTGAAGGGCCGGGGCCTCGATACAAGGATGCTGGAGGTATGGGATACAGGGGTGCGGTACCAGTTTGTCCATTCGCTTCTTGGACTCTTCGCCGTCATGCACCGACACGTTGAGGTAAAAAGCGGCAGCACCCATCCCGCCAGTCATAACTATGGCTCGCTCTTAGCGGGTATTGGTAATCTGCTATTTGCGGGAAGTTTGTACGGCATAGTGCTCACGGATATCAAGAAACTTGGGATAATCACCCCGATCGGGGGACTGCTCTACATTGCCGCGTGGTTGTGCGTGGCAGCAGACCTATGACTAATGAGTTGCATTTTTTTCCATGAGGACTCGAGGGAGATGAAAAACGAAGTACGAGGAAGGTGGGAAAAATGAAAACGAAGAAGCACGGTGTTCTGCTTTTGCTAGAACTAACTAAAAAGGTACAAAGGAAAGGAGGATGGCGCGCGACTGCAATAGCACGAAGACATGTCCTCGCATACAATGCGTGTGGTTTCTCCCTGCTATCGCAACAATCGTGTATTATCGTAACGGTTGCTGCGACCCGTCAACGAACTTAATTCGACATGTTAGCAGGCTATCGCTGTTGTATAGAGAGGATTTACAGTTAAAGTTTTACCTTGTTCGCCGCAACAGACAGTAGACGAGGAAGCAAACATCGTCGTGTGAGTAGACGAAGCGATCGCATATAAATGTAAGTCTGAGTTTTAACAAAACAGAAACGCTGCCACTGCCAGCAGTGGTGGTGCCAGAATTGGAAAAATTGCACGTAAAGCAGAGGAGCAGGGACAGGGAGCGAGAAGGTGAGAGACCTCGGACTCGGAGATGCAAAACTTCCGGTATTGGCTACAAAGCGCCTTCGAGCTAGTGCATTCGAATCTCGTTGTAATGGTAATACCTACTTATTGATTCGTAATCGTCGACAGGGCCACTCTTTTTATCTCGGAGATGTTCGTCATCGCATCCTCGACAGCAAGGTAATTGAACATGGAGAAAAGTGTCTGTGAGTACTTCTCCACCATGTAGTACCAGCCCCACGGTAGATCTGTACAATCCGAAGACCGTAATATCCTCATTGATGCAGTTGTACGTTGTGCTTGTGTCCCCCTCAAAATGAATGCTTCAAAACGCGCGGGCGCGCGTAACACGACTAACATATGTGACATTCGCCCGCATGACGTGCGGGCGCATAAGGCACTGCGCACGGCACACGGTGGACGGTAGCGCGTAGGTGCAGCAGCAGGTTAGGGCGCGGTGGCAGGCGGGGGTGGGAAATGGGGAAGGAGCAGCGCGCGGGGGCAGGGGAGCAGGCGGGGGCGGGGAATGGGGAGGCTGCGGCTCCCGGTGGCCAGAAGTGTGCGTCCGCTGCGCAGCGGGACCAGGCGGGGGCCACTACACATCGGCACGCGGGGGGAGAAATCGGAGGGCGCCCCTCCCCCCTGCGGCCGCGGGGAACGGGAGCTCGGCCTCCCCGGGAGTACACGGTGCGGACAGACAGCGCAATCAGGCGGCGCGAGCAGGCAGCCTGGCAGCCGGATCGGGCCGGCGGCGGGCCACGCTCCCCCTGCAGCCGCTACCGGCTGCTGCAGAACGGCAGACAAGGTCGCGGAACGGCGCAGCGGTGGTTGGGAACGCGCCGATGGGTGAGAGCGGGGAGTGGCGGTCGGTGCCATCCCCTGCAAACGGTGCTGGCGGTTCTCGTAGAGTCAGGCATGTACCTTCTATGTATAGATACTGCTCACACATACGATTACGAAATCGATTGTGTTTTTGCTTTCCTTCGTTTTTCAACGAACTGGAGACTCTTGTTTACGCAAGTGCTCGCTCGGGCCAACCATTATGCTCAGATCTTTGCACGAGCCACGTCTGGTATTCTGCAGTTCCTTGCTTTTGATGTTGCCGGTTACACGTCAGGTCAAGGACATGTGGCGAGCTGCTCGGCCCTGACAGCCCTTGGGAGGTTGATTTTTCCACATGCAAGAGGAGCTATTGTAGAGCACTTGTGAAGCACAGCTCTGGTGAGTCTTCAGGCCTGCTAACATTACGCAACTCCTCGCTCTTGCTTGGCCGTTCGTTGGGGCGAGGGTTTGTCTTGTTGCGATGACAAAGCTTCTTGGTCAAAGGACTTGCTCTTAGGACGCGTCTAGAGCATATTTGTTCAGACAGTAACGCGCATGCCATGAGATGGGAGCATCGGACTGCGTTTGATATTGCTCCTGCTTTACACTTCTTGTATTTGCCAGGGGTCACCCTCACCTGGCTTCCTGCCCTAGTAAAAAGTTAGATTGATATCAACATTATCTAAATTTTATCCGCATCTGATAGATAAATAGATATAGAAATAGTGCCTGAGACTGGCGTCGTGCCTCTTGCTCTTCAGTTTATCTGTTGCGCGAATATTTGCAGTCTGTTTGGCTAAATCTACATGTAGCTTTTGTGGATTCTTGCGAAGACCGCCTCAAGCTGGGGCGACGTGCGACTTGTGCTATTGGCAACACACTAGCCCACACTCCAACTTCTATCGTTGACAAGACATAGTACGGGCCAGCTACGGTTCCGAGTGGCGGAATCTGACGCCGTGCGTGGCCTGCAGTTCAACATCTTCAACATCCACATCGGGCAACGAAACCTCGTGTCTCCTCCACGCCAAGCAGCTAGGACGATACCGTGAAGCTGTCTACTATCGGGACAAAAAGGGATCATTGCGTGCACGGCTCACTGTCGGTACGGAGTGCCGTCGTTTCGGACAGTAATACCAAGTACGGAGAGAAGTGGCAGTTGCAGAAGTGCGTTGGAACAAAGCTGTAGCAGCAGAGCATCGGCACTCTTCTCTGCCTCTGCATTATCCAAAGAAGTTTCGACGTGCAGTACTCAACATTGTTGTTCTGTTTGACAACCTGTAGGAGCCAGAACCTTCACCATCGACCGCGTTGGACGCAAACTTTCCCGCTTCATTATTTGCATTTCCTGTGGAAGTGACAACAAACGCAATCTCCAACGAAGCCGAAGATCGTCCCGCGAGCGAAGGCCTTCTTTCCCGGCAAGGAAGTATCCAGAACCACAGGCGTCTACTTTACTGTTCGGCCTGGTTTCAGGTAGACTGGCTGCGACGGTAGTTTCCAAATCCACATCCCCTCATCGTGAAGATCGCACGATTTTATTTCAGATCGCCCTCGTCTTCAGGATCAGGAGATTCGCGCAACGGGATATTCCGGAGAAGGCCGCCGCGTCCCTTCCTGTGGAAGGAAATAGAATACCGACAAAGAACAACTACAATAACCTATCCACTGCAAAGAATGCGTCTGGGTCTGTAGCACTAGCACTTCAGATGCAGCTTGTATATGAGCCTGCACCTTCCGGCTTCCGAACCTAGTCGGTGGTGAGGAGCCGTGCAAGAGCCAGTTGTATAAATCGGCTTTGTACCGCCTTTTTCGATCCCCATGCATTAGAAAAGTTCTATATTTGAGTGTGACACAAAGTGCGCAGCTAATGTTCCTTTCTTATAGAGAATGCCAGGTGTACTGCTCATGGCTCAGGCTTATTGCCCGAGCTGGTTGATAAAATCGGGCGCGCGTCTCGCACTAGGGCCTCACGTGGCTTTGGTCTACTTTGACTAGGCCAGTCATTTTTATTCCCAAATGGGGCACCCGTGACAGCCGGTGTAAAGAAACTGATGTGCAGACGAGATTTTGTAAGTATGTCTATGCTTGTGTCGCCCACCAGTGCCAGCCTTCGAAGACCCAGATCAAAAATATTTTTTGCATTTACATATTCATAACGTGCGATCGCTCGTCTGTTTTGCGCAGAAACCAACACGAGGAGACATGAAACCCACAAAACCCTCGACGTTTTCTTGTCATTATTTCGCAGATGCGAAATTGGACAACTCTACTGACCCCAGTTTGATGTTTACGTCTCGGCAGTGTTTTTATGATAATATTGATAGAGTATTTATACTAGCCACGTATGCTCCGCCTGTGGAAGTATGAAACAAAATTCAATTACCCGCTAGACCGAAAAACAAAAAAGAGAGCCAGATGAGCAGGAGCTCAAAAATAAAAAACGAAAAGCCAGGGACAGAAGCAGCTCCGCCCCGTTTGCAGTTGCGGTTGTAAGCAGATCCTGACTGCGGTCGCAAGCAGTTTTTGCGGTTGTGAGGCGTAAGCGCGGCAGCTGTGCTAACAACTGTGAGCAGTTGTTGTGGCTGGAGTGGTTTTTGCGCCACTTTTCTGCATACCGCGGCTGTCATTCTTCGTGCCAAATTATGGGCAGGGCTCCACAGGCGAGAACGGTCCCTTGCTTTTCCACCCGATGCAGGCACTGAGTACCGAGATCGTTATGCTTAGGCTTGTTTGCCTCCCGCCAGCTCTTCAAGACTTTGAAAACCTGGGGCGTCGTTCTTCCTTTCAGCGCCGCGCGCGCTTTTTTCAGCCAGCTTTGACGACCTTGCCTCCTATTTTTGTTGCTTGTCGAATTCAAAAGGTTTGCAAGTTCTGCTGTTGGCCCTCATCTTCAAGCTTTGCCTTTTCTTTTGCTTTCAACTTTCACTTTTTGACTTTAGCGCTTTCTTTTAATTTTTACCCGTAGCTTAGTTTTTAGCTTTTGCTTTTAGTTTTGCCTTTTTTAGTTTTCTTTTTTAGTTTTTTCTTTTAGTTTTTCCTTTTAGTTTTTCCTTTTAGTTTTTCCTTTTAGTTTTTCCTTTTAGTTTTTACTTTTAGTTTTTACTTTTAGTTTTTACTTTTTGGCTTTTGCCTTGTTGAAGTTGCGGAGTAATTGTTTGGCCATCACGACTTTAGTCTTAGCAAGGGATAGATTTATGGTATCCGGGTAGACCAGGCACCCTGGCCAGACCAGGCACCCTGGCCAGACCAGGCACCCTGGACCACTTAGCCTGTGAACTGGGTACCCTGTGAACCGGGTTGCCAGCAGATACCAAGTCTGCCGCGCACTCCGGCCGCCTGGCGCCAGGTCTGGCATCTGGCGCGCATTGCGGCCCTGTGGCGCCAGGTCTGGCCGTCTGCCGCCCGGTTCGGTCGTCTGCCGCCTGGTCTGCCCGTCTGGCGCCAGGCCTGCCCGCCTGCAGCGCACTCCGGCCGTCTGGCGCCAGGTTTGATACGCAATGCGGCCGCCTTGCGCCGGGTCTGGCCGTCTGCCGCCCGGCCTCGTCAGTCTGACCGTCTGGCGCGAACTGACTCCGTCAGGCCGCCTGGCGCCGGGTGTGACTGGCGCCCGGCGTGGCCATCTGGCGCCTGTCCTCTTCGGCCGCCCGCCCACCTGACGCCCGGCGTGGCCGTCTCTTGTCCGGCTATGGAGAACCGGTCACCCTGCTCACACGGCGTGCATGGCTCTCCGGGGTACCTGTTTCAGGGTACCTGGCCAATAGGGTACCTGGTCCAGGGTACCTGGTCCAAGGGTGCCTGGTTTACACCTTTGCCGATATTTATATATTTAATATATGAGTCTATAGGTAAAGGTACATTTTTGGATGGCCAAAGTTGTACACACCAGGCAAAATGAGTCGCGGCGTGAGGTTGTCATGTTGCAGAAGCTTTGCTGAAGGAAATCTTGTTGCACTACTTTTGGTTTGCTTTATTGCTGCTGTGGATCTAGATGCGCTTTCTATTAGGGAGAAGGGAAGTTGTCCACGTGCATACAAAGCAGACGGAACTTCTGCTGAGCGAAGTGGCGTCTCGCAATACTTCGATCGGCGGAGAATCACTTGGAAGTGACCGCGGCTGAAGCACATAGTTATTACACGTCATCTCTGCTGGAGGAGAGTCACACTACAACCAACTTCCTATTGCAGGTAGATACTCCTGCGCTTACCTGACCTGCACTGCTTATCAGGAAAGCCGAGCACGATGGGACCAAAAAAAGATCCGATGGCACCAATATTGGTGCACGAGGATGTTTTCTTGCGAGGGAGAAAATTTATCGAGCTGAAAATAGTGCCACCGCCGGCTAAGGGAGAGCTGACCGAACAGGAACTGTGCATCTCGCCGAGTTTCCATTCTCTGCCAGAACTAAAGCCAGCCGTGCAGTTTTACATGCAGCAATCCTGCCTGAAGTTGACGGATGACAAAAGAGTAGAACCCAGCAGAGTAGGACGCACAAGTTCTGACATAAATCTCGCACCAAGACTATCCTGTGAAAAGACGTCCCCACCTGCCAGCCAATGTCAAGATGATGTGTGTTTTGTTCCAGAAATGAAGATCTGCAACGAATGGGGCATCATGATGACGACAGTTACTCCACGGTTTTGATGTGTGTTTGGTTTTGGGTCTCCACGAAACCTGTAGTGTAAGTATTAGTTTGTTCAGCATGACACGCTTGGAGTTTGGCGCGGAGCGTCATCCTTATTGATCAATAGCTGAATCACGCTGCACATTATGAGGCCACTAATTGCGCGTCCTGATTAGGGCACAAGTGATTCGGAAACATCAACTACTAGGAAACGCTTCTGTCTTCTTCGTCGCGTCGGAGGAGCTGTCATGTGCGTTCATGCAGTTACATACATAGCATCTTGGCCTTGTTGTTGCTCTTGCATGACAAGAAGTGCGGACGGTTGGTGGCGACGTTTTATTTACGTAGGACAACTGCCAAGAAAAGAGTGTGTGGAGAACTTCAAGATGTTCAAGACGCAAGTCATATCCACTGGAAATATGTTTGGGTCTGGAATAAAGGCGTGACGGCAGTAGAGTAAGTATGACCCAGAAGGACACTCCAATACACAGCTCAGCACGTAGTTGAGAACTTTTTGAGCTACAGCGCAGTACGTCTTGCGCATGGAGGACAGCTGCCTCTTCGATTTTGCATAAAGTCGCAGGAGCTTTTTGTGACTTTCTCTCGGTCGTGATCACGTTGCCCAAACGTGTTCCTCCTCGAGGTTTTTTAGTAGGTGGCTACTAGCGTTAGAGATTTATAAGACAGAGGAACGTCCGGGATGGTGACCCCTTACTAAGGGGTAAGAGCGTCCTAAAATTTATATCAAAATATAAAGTTTCGTGAGCATTTCAAGGTGCTTAGGCTAAGTTATGACAGAGGGCTGAAGCTCGTCCTCGGCACCGACAAAAAGTTCCCCTTAGTGTTAACGGTGCAACTCCAACATGACAGAGCAATGAAGCTTGTCGGCAGCATGCATGACAAAGTTATAGTTAAGAATAAGAGGTACGCCAGCCGACTTTACTTCCAGACGCGGAGATATTTTCAATGGATGAGTGAAACAAGCAGAGAAAAGAAGCGTATATCATGAGATTCTTTTCTATGTACTAACTTATATCTATCTATATTTCCATACGAGTGCGAGTCGTGCACGTGTTGCGCGTACGTAGATCGAGGCGCTTCTCCTCAGTTTTTCGGATTCCTTCGCCTACAAATGCGGATTTATTTTTCGTACATACTGTTACTGTCACACTTACACCTCCAACTATTTCAACTCAACAGGCCCAATTTCTGAAGCAGCTGGAGAAATCAGAGGCGAAGCAGGCGAAGCGAATGGCTCAGATAGAAAAAATCGACACTCTTGAAAAGGCCATGAACGACGAACTGAAAGAAGCGAGAACATATTCCGAAAGGCAAGAGCTCTTCGTGCCAAAATACATGAACGGATCCAAATTCGGAGAAAAGTGTCCCCGAAAAAACGTCTGGATAGTCGCAGAAGCCACTGCTCTGGTAGCCACAGTTTTTCTGTGCGTTCCTCAACACATGCATGCTGATACATGACCCATAAGATGTTTTTCGTTTTCACTTCGCGGTGCGTCTTGTTGTTTTCTCACCTATTGAATGTGCGTACAGTATATAGTATAAGGCGACACCTTCTTCCAAACAGACCGGCCCTTTCGTCGCAAACATAATAGACGAGATAACGAAGTTTATCCAGACCTGTGTGGAAGAAAACTGCCAGTGTTTTAACCTCGCGGTGTTTGGAGCCGAAGGAACATGTACGCACTGCTTTTCCAAGCATGAATTATATATACCCAATGAGCAACGCGCTCCGTACCCGTGTTTGCGGATTATCGATGGGTTTTTTCAATATTAATACTAGCCAGGTATGTTGCTTCGCCTGTGGAAGTGTGAAACAAAATTCAATATTATTCCGCTAGACCGAAAAACAAAAAAAAAGCCAGAACAGGAACTCAAAAATAAAAAGCGAAAAGCCAGGGCCAGAAGCAGCCCCGCCCCCTTTGCGGTTGCGGTTGTAAGCAGATCTTGATTGCGGTTGCAGGCAGTTTTTGCGGTTGTAAGGCGTATGCGCGGCTGTGCTAACAGCTGTGAGCAGTTGTTGCGGCTGGAGTGGTTTTTGCGCCACTTTTCTGCATACCGTGGCTGTCATTCTTCGTGCCAAATTGTGCGTAGGTCTCCACAGGCGAGAAGAGTCCCTTGCTTTTCCACCCGACGCAGGCACTGAGTGCCAAGAGGCTGGGGCGTTGTTCTTCCTTCCAGCGCCGCGCGCGCTTTTTTCGGCCAGCTTTGACGACCTTGCCTCCTATTTTTGTTGCTTGTCGAATTCAAAAGGTTTGCAAGTTCTGTCGTTGGCCCTCATCTTCAAGCTTTGCCTTTCCTTTTGCTTTCGACTTTCACTTTTTGACTTTAGCCTTTACTGTTAGTCTTTTCCCTTGCTTTTAGTTTTTACCCGCAGCTTAGTTTTTGGTTTTTGCTTGTAGTTTTTGCGTTTAGTTTTTACTTTTAGTTTTTACTTTTAGTTTTTCCTCTCAGTTTTTTACTTTCCATTTTTACTTTTAGTTTTTACTTTTAGTTTTTACTTTTAGTTTTTACTTTTTGGCTTTTGCCTTGAAGTTGCGGAATAGTTGTTTGGCCGTCACGAATTTAGTTTTAGCAAGGGATGGATTATACGCACCCCACACGATTTTTATAATCACTTTGAATATAATGATAATCAGGGATGCAGTGGTGTCCAACTTTCCAGTCACCCCAGGATCCGAAAAAAGGGGCCGCAGACAGCATTAAGTGGATAAATAAACAGTTCACAGCCAAAGTCTGCGGAGCGAACGACTTTCCCCCGGACTGGGTACTCATCTACAGCGTTGTTTGTTGCTCTTATCAGACACGATGAGGATGTGTGTATGTCGGAGGATCTTCGAGCAAGATTGATAGTGAGGTAGGAGATGGAGTTCGTCTTCTGCGCACCGTGGTGAGCATTGAGCAATAATCCCATGAGATTGAAGATTTGTTTGTTGCCGCCAGACAGGGGATAAACTTAATCGTCACAACCAACGTACTAGGTGCAAATGTTTGAGAAGTGCTTCGAAGAAGGCCGCGCAAACCCAAAGTTGGAACCTTATGGGATTCTCAAACGTAACACTCTCCGCTGGTTTTACATGATTGTCATTCAGAAAAGTCACTAAGTAGTAGTATCACGCTGACGCTTCAGCTTCACACGATCAAGCTTCTTCGCGTGATAAGTTCTCGACGCGCTAAATAGCATGAGAATCCGCACCAAATCTGTAGGTGCAAGATGCGCAAGGTCCTCCCTTTCCCGTTCACCTTTGTGATTTTTGCATCAAAAAACGCATGTTTGTAACAGCTGAGAGCTTAACGCTTGAGAACGCCATAAACCTAGCACGATATTTGTCGCGTGCAGTAGACCACCAGAGGACAAAGAGGCAGTCTTCGCAGCCATGGAGGGTAAGGGCGTCCCGATACAAGCACTAGCATTTGACGAAGCGATGGAAGATGATGCTGAGTGCAAAAGATTTTTTGCCGACTTGTGCGGGGATAAAGGTAGGAGCACGTACAGATACTAAGTAGCCTATGACACTAAAACTTTTATGTGTACTCATTTAAATTTCCGCTTTTTGTGGTTTGTTCTTGTTGGTAGAGACAAGATTTATAGAAAGAAAAGACCTACTCCCCGCGACCGCGGCGTCTTCGGGCAACGGGGAGGACTGTTGTAATTGGATTTTTTACAACGACAGCACCCCGATGAAGCCTTAACTTTGAGACGTCAACCCGTCAACGGCCGACACACCAAATGCCACCTGCTGCACTTCTGGTTTCCTTGATTTGGGCTTTCGGGTTTTTGAGGGTTCGGGGTTGGATAGTGTCGTCGGGCAGGGCTGCCCTCTCCGGTGATCCCTGAGATTTCTCCACGGCATCCGCTGCAAATGCAATTCGTGTAACGCCTGAATTGTTGCGTGAAGCGCGCGCTAAGTTAAACTCCGCCCGGCTGCCGCTAGCCTGCCGCTAGCCTGCCGCTAGCCTGCCGCTAGCCCGCCGGCTGGCTGCCGTTCTGCTCATGGCAGAGCCCTACAGCAGGTAGCCTCCACCGCCCCGTCTCCTGGCAAAATCGCGCGTGCCGCCCTGTGATCCCCCTTAGAAACCTCCGTAAAGATCGCCTTCGAGAATCTAGTTAAAAATGCCCCTTGAAGAACTCGGCTTTTCGGCACGAATCGTCACGCTACGGCCCCGGTTTTATGGCTGCCAAAAATTTGCGCAAACGCACTCAGAAAAACGCGGTATGCCATCGGCGCAAAAATGAAACCCCGTGGACTCATCGATTCCGCGCCGTCCTTTTTTGAGGGGCTTTCACAGGGGAAGTATTAGGGGACGGCTTTAAGGCGTTTCGTTTGTAAGAATAAGTAAAGGGTGTCGCCGCGTTGCGTTCAAAGCAACAAGGGAAAAATTTTTCAGGTGGGATGTTAGTGGATACGAGCTGTAGAGATCTTCTGTACGTTGACAAGTTGCTGAACAACGTGAAGACAAAGAAGAAACAGCTGGAAAAACTGTACTGCTACGGTCGTCTTTTTTTTTCGTCTTATACAGGAAGAAGTGATCATCATAGAAAATGAAATCAGTAGCAGCACGCAGCACTGACTGCAGCTTTCTTCGTACTTCTGACATCTTGTTGCTCTTTGGGATACAAATATCTTACGGCAACAGGCAAAACCAGCTGCTGAAGATGGAGGACTTGACGGATGTCGTCCAAGCGAATAAAGAGCTTCTGGCACAGCAAATTTGTTTGGAGAACCTAGTGAAGAACGAGTTTGAAGTGTCAGAAAAGGACCTCTTGAACGCCGACCTGCAACGGGACATGGACGGGAATCTCGTTTTGCCGGAGAGCGTGCAATCATCCATGACCAAGCTCGGCAAGAAAGTCACCTGCTAGACGAGAGTACAAAATAAAGACTAGCGTGTGTAACGTTAGTACGGCTGTAATATGGCTGTATACTTACAGAATCAAATGCAAATCAAAGAGAACAAACAAGTGCAAAGTTCCTAAGTCACCAAATACACGAATCCAGTGGACACCTATCGATAAACAAACACAAGAACTACTCGCTTCAAAATAGCCTTTCGATTACAGACCGGCTCCGATTGCGCCAGTAGAAAGTCAATTGTAAATAGCTACTATGATAAGTAAGATTATGCTTTCCGGCGGACGCGTTCGCGGAATTGGAGAGCAGTCGAAAATGCCCAGAAATTCCTTGTACCTTATCTCTAGAGCTTCCAACTTCTTTGTATCTGACACCAGAACTATGAACACAATACCTATACTTACTTGCAGCCGAGCTGGATGCTGGCTTCTCAAAAATTTGCAACCACGTGTGGGTTAGATTGTGTTTGAATAGCTTCTCGATCTCTGCCGCGTACATTTCGTGATGATCGCAGAGAGCTCAGCCCCAAGTCGGATCCCTTTTTTGCTTTTCGTGCATTTCTCGTGGGCGGCAGCATGATCCATACCTGAGCACGAATGAACTGTCGCGGTCTAGTAACAAATAGAGACAAAATCAAAATGTGTAAGATGAGGATCGCAGCGAGTCGTCGAACACGTGCTAGTAGAGATCAAAACTTGATGACCAAGTGTACAGCTCCATAGTCGTCCTCGTCGTCGTGGCGTCGGGGGCGTTATCAAGGACGACTTACATCACTTACTCTACCACAAGAAATGATGGTCATCGAACATTCACGAAGCAGTTTGAAATAGAAAACCACAGATACGGAAGTCGTCCACTGAACCAACTGGTATAAAGAGGGTAAGGCTCAACAATTCGCATTGCACCTGCGCCGATCAAGAGCACCGCTCAGGAAACTTTCAAGTACATGGTCAGTGGTGACTGAACTTTTTTACACAGCTTCTATGATTTTGACGAAAATTCTGACAGCAGGAGAACAGCATTGCAGCTGCTCTTTGTTTTTCTCTAACTACCGCACCACCAATTTATGTTATTCAGTTTTAGATTGACATTTAGTCTCAAACCAAGCGAAAGACGAGCATTTTGCTTCTCCACGCCTCAAACACTACGAGTTTTGAGAAGACGCCGCATCAACTCCGCTTTTATTTCACGAAGTAGCTTCAACTTCTTTTGCACCTCTAGTCTCAGCTTGCAAGCCATGACGCTTCATCAAGATGACGAATTGGCGACGCCTATCAGAGCCTACATAGACGACGCAGCAGCGAAATCGAGCAACATCGCAGCCGTTCCACTGCCTGCAGCTGCACCTGGCGCCTCAATGTGCGATGACCCGAAGTACTCAAGTAACTTGTGTCATACTGCTAGACGAGGCCGTGCCACTGTGCTGTCGTTAGACGCAGAGTGTGATGGGAGCGGTTTAGGTAGGAAATAGATGGAACGCGTCGGAGTGGGAGGGAAGAAAAAGAAAAAAGCGCGCCGCAATGGGGATGCCTGCGTTCTTCAAAATGTGTGAACGAAGGGAGGAGCAGCGTGGAAAGAATGGACGCAGCGCGCCCGTGGCGCGGCCAGCACCAGGCCAAGCCCGCAAGAGAGGGAACGCGGCGGGCAAGGAAGAGTTGCACGAACGGCATTTGCCCTGCCTTATCTTGCCCACCATGCCTTCCTTACTCCGGTGCCTCGCCGCCATGTCTCTCCCTGTCTTACCTTGCCACCTTGCCGCAGGGCCCGGTCTTGCCTTTCCCCTTTTCCGTTCACCCTTACCTTCGTGCCTAAAAATGTGCCCCGGTGTATAAAGCACATACTTTGCTTGCTACCTTGCCTTGCCTCCCCCTGTCTTTCCTCCTTTATGCCCAGTGCACGCCGGCCACCGACGCCGTACTTGGCAGTCTGCCCGTGTCCTTTCTGTTTGGCACGCCGTACCGGCAAGGCTGCATCCGTGGGTGTGGTTTCGTGGCTGGCAGTGATTCGCCTCCGGAACTGATAATTTGTTTCCACCGGTGGCGGTGACTTCGATCCAGGATTTGGATTGTTTGGCCCGTTTTTGCTGAATGAAGAGGCGCCGTGGCTGATAAATATGGTGCCCTTTGTTCTCGGCCTGATTGCTGTCGCCTGGGACTACGACTTGCTTTGCTTTTTTTTTTCCCGATTGCCTGAGAGTGAGACCGTGACTTGCGACTGTCCTCGCGGTTACCTGCGAAGTGGCAACGGACGGAAGCTGTAGACGGGGACGCCATATGTTTAGCGTCGCGCACTTTTTTAAGGTAAGTCTGAGCGGTTCAGATGTCGCCGTTGTTTCGCGCACTTGGTAAAAGCCGCCGGCCTGCACAACAGCTGCGAAGCTTTTCGCGACCATTTATTTGCCCTGCCTCTGTACTCGCCGGCAGGCTCGTTTTGGGATATATTGTTTGCATTTTTCGTTTTCCGGTTCCAAGGAAGCTTGGTTGCGCTCAATTATATTTTTGTTCCAGCGCCTTTGATCTTTCTCTCTGGCATGTCGCGCACCTTGGAAGTGGATGCCTTTGCAAGTGCGGCAGCGGCCAAGACGGGTCGCCCTTCGTGGAGACCGGGCTCTGCGAGCGTAAGGCACGCTCTCCGGAAGGCCGCGACCGCCCCTCATCTCTTCCGTTTTCTGAATTATGTGTAGCTTATTGCGTCCCGGCCAGTCCTGAGGTTGAGGGAGTTCTTTTTCGGATAACCTATCTGGCCATGTCGGGGCTTGGCCGCGGTTACTCTGCTTGGAGGCAACCGTGATGGCTTCCTTGGCGGACACGTTTCGGAAAACGCCGCACCTGCCGTCTTGGCCCGTCCAGGTCTTTCCTTGGGCGCCCGGCCTGCTTTTTCCGGGGTCCGCTTCGGCTTCTTTTTCCGCGGCACGCTTTTTGCCTATGCGTACACGCGCCCGCGTTGACCGCGCTGGCAATTCATTACGTAGCACGACCGCACGCACTTCGTGTTTGAATATATGGTAGCCTGATCTCGATCTGGGTATCTTTAGATTTTATTTATTTCTTCATCGTGGAGCGATTTTGTTTTTTATTTTTTCTGCTTTCTCTCTCACAAGAGTCTGATGTTCTGTTCAAGCGCCCGGCCGGTCGAAACACTTCTGACCAAGCGCCCCGCCGGTCGAAACACTTTTCTTCTGATGGAGAGTCAGGGTTTGCCGGACTTACGGGTTTAGATTTAGATTAGCATTACACGCCCGCTTCGCCGGGAAGTATTCAAGGATAAGATTATATTTATAAGATACCCCACCTGTACTTGTTTACAACAGTTGATGCTGCGCGAGTGCGTTGGCGCTCCGGGGTCATTCCTTCGTTTGCAACAAAAAAACTACAGGTTTTCTCTTCTTCGGTCGGTTGGCGAAGAGTGCCAAAGTGAGCCGGAGCTGCGCGCATTGTTGGCGGAGAAGCCGCGGGACTTTGTCCTATATGACGGCTTATGGATTGCAGATATGTCTGAGTCAAAGTTGTAATGCTACGTGTACGTTGCTTGTGACGAACACGAACCCAACCAACACCAACCCGCTGTGATGCACAGCCGTGCATGATGATGATACTAATTCTAATTGATTTGTGGTAAATTTAAAATCAAATTGGAATTTCAAATTGATGAACGACTGATAGTGATACTCTGTCTTGCAATTCCAATTTCCCAGACTCAGACATACTTGCATTTGATACCTCTTCGAGCCGTCCGGGCGAATGCACATCGCTCAGGGCCTCATGAAGTCCATAAATGTCAACAAGTGCACAAAGGTAACTAAGTTGTGTAAGTTAAATTAATATAGATAATGAGAAATTAGAATTGCCTACTTCATAGTCGTGCTAAAGCCGAGACATTGTATAACAGGACGCGTAAAAAAAAAATGGCATTGCTTTGTTGCCATGAAGACGGACATGTTTGCTCGCTGACACTGTGGCTCAGGGACACGAGCACCCCACCACGCATTCAAGCTTGAGACCGGACCCTGAGCGGGGATTGATTTTGTAGAGATACAGAGCTGCTTGACCTATGGCCATGTTCTTCAAATGAAACATTCTACCAGGCTGGAGGGATTTTCAAGTTTTGGGTTGCCGATTGGTTTGGGCTGATGAACAACAAAATGGGAGGCGACCTGGAGAAAATCAAGGACGTTGGCAAGTACCTCATCGAGTGCTGGAAGGCTTGCGGAATGAATATGGAGCGGGTGAAGTTCATATGGACGTCCGAGGCCATTGAACAGAATGCCAAGGAATACTGGACCCAGGTACCATGACTTTTGTCGAGACGGCTGCTCAGCATTTGTGTTTATGTTACAAAGTAGTCCCTTTTTTTTAGACGGCGGCGTTAAGGACTCCGGCGGGGGCTAGTTACTAGCTACTCTCTGCTTAGTTGCCTAGTGGTCCTCATTGGTGCAGCTGGCGCTCCGGCGGCCCCCAGAACGCCGCACGTAGTCTTGCTCTTTTTGCGCGCCAGAGAACGGGCACGAGTTGCCTAGATGTAGATTTTGACTTGCCAGTCCCACGTCCGCACATCGAAGAATAACCCGCGTCGCCTTTCCTCAGTAAGCACAGGCTCGCGACCGGGCGCCGACCGGGGCCTCGAAAGATCGTGGCGGCCTTTCAAGAAAGTTTTTTGCATATCCCACAGGGGTAGACGAGTTCGAGTTGTGAGCTGGAATCAGAACCAGGCTCAAACTCAACCAGCGGAAGCAAACGCGCCGCCCGCCCGGCCCTTGTCGTTTTCAGGGGTCAAGCTTCCTGCCCTTGCCAGCGGAAGCAAGCGCGCCACCGGCCCAGCCCTCCGCTTTCGCTTTCAAGGGGGTCCGCCGGTCCGCCCACAGTGTCAAAGCGAAGTCTGCGCCGTTCTATCTAATTCAAGCGCATCAGGAAGATATTGATATACACAAAAATCATCCAGATGCTGGACATATCGCGTCTCTCGAGTTTGTGGCGCATAAAAAAGTGCGGTATGATAATGGGCCGAAAGGACGAGGAAGCCTTGTCGGGAGCACAGATTCTGTACCCGATCATGCAGTGCACTGACATATTTTTTCTGGACGCGGACATTTGCCAGCTTGGCGTTGACCAGCGAAAAGTCAACATGCTCGCGCGCGAGTATTGCGACGCGGCTGCAGATGGCCGGATGAAAAACAGACGCAAGCCGATCATTCTGAGCCACCACATGCTCTATGGGCTCTTTGCTGGACAGGAGAAGATGAGTAAGTCCAATCCCGACTCCGCCATTTTCATGGAGGATAGCGAGGAGGACGTTCGCCGCAAACTACGAAACGCCTACTGCCCCCGCGAACCCACCGTCGAGAACTCGTCTAAACAAAGGAAGCTCGAAGAGGAAGCGAAAATCAGATCGGAGCAGCAGACTGCTGCGCAAAACGTGTCGAAGAAAGCCGCGAAGAAAGCCGCGAAGGGCGGAGGTGGTGGTGGTGCAGGAGATGTTCGCACAGCGGCGAACCAGGCCAGCCTTCTTGCAGAGTTGGAAGACGACAGTATGCAGATAGCCGACGCTTTTGACGCATTGAAGAACCCAGTGCTAGATTACGTGAAGCACATCGTCTTCGCCGACCCGCAAGCCAAGCCACTCGCGATCAAAGGCAAAACTTATTACACCGAGCAGGCTGTCCGGCAAGACTTTTTAGCGAACCAAATCTCGGAAGGCGAGTTGAAAGAGGCCGTTATCGACCGGGTCAATGCATTGCTGCAAAATGTGCGCTCGGAGTTCCAAAAGAACCCGACCGCCCGGCGCCAGCTGGAGCTGGTGGAGCAGCACAAGCAAGCAGTCACTACTGGCGGGCCCGTCAAAACAAGTCTCCGCTGTCTTGCACGGAGTGCTGCGGCCACCAACACCGTCGTCTTCCTGCCCCGGCCAAACGTATCACAGGGAAAAGAGTCAGAGCGGCATCGTTTCGGCGCAAGACATGACACTTTGTCCTCTTGCATGTCAACCTAAACAGCATGGGCCCCCTAGGCTCGCCCAGGACACCAGATATACGTTTTCGTGTTTCTGTTCAGCTTGTGTTTCTGTTCAGTGCCCAGACAGTATCTCGCCCACCCAGAGGCGAGCACGCATCATGTTGTTTTTCTGTATATGCATGCTTTTCTTTTTTTCGCAGCGAAGTGCGTATAGCTTCGCATGGGTCATTGCGCTCTGTGGTGTTTGTGTTTATTATTCTTTGCTTCGCGCGAAAAAAGTAGGAGTAGCCGGGCCCTCCTTAGGATATGCTTTCTCTCTTCGACGCCGTTAGAGGCCGAGTTTGGACAGAGCTTGGCCCTTACCCGGCAGAGTTCGACGGCTTGATTGGTTGATGCGGCTCGGTTCTAATCTTCTGAACACTAATGGTGGACAGTTGGCAAGCGTGGTGGACACCAAGCTGACGGGTGTTTGTCCGCAGCTAAAACGTGCAGCGTTCGGACATATGTGACACGGCTGGCGACCAGCCCAGCAGGTAATTCACCTTGACAAAAATGATCGCGCAGCGCGTTGACAATATTCCCTCGTCCACGAAATTTTATCGAAGAAGCCTGCGCTGCATTGCTTTGCTTTTGCACGACCTTCCAACTTGTCAAAGAAGCATGTCTCGCATTTTGCAGCGCGTCGACGTTCTAGAACTATAGTACCGACTGACTTCTATTTCCGGTGTGATAAAACGCAACGGATATCAATTCCTGTGGCCTTTCTCTCGACGTGGTTCTGCAGACCGCCGCCACATTGACACAAGCTTACACGGAGGAGGCCGCTGCGATGGCAGCGGAAAAATCTATCAAAACTGACTCTACTGCTGAGGAGTACCTAGTAACGTTGTATTTAGAAGATTGGAGCAGCTTTGTGCTTAACAAGTACTACCATGCAGAAAGGCACACCCATTCCATACCTTCCTCGTTTGACTATACGTAATTTATATATAGGGCGAATTCATCTCATCACGGAAATAAAAGACTGTGATACTGCGCTGCCTGCAAGGGGAGCGCTTTTTGGTCGCGAAAAATGCACCAGAAGGCCATGCGGGTTGGAGATCAGGATTGGGCAGAAAAATCTGTATTGCTTTCGCGCTGTGCTTCTTGATGATTGATTTGGACCCGTCGCTCTTGGTGTTGGTCTGGACATGATCCCAATTTCTTTCAGCTGCGGGAAAGCTGTCAGTCCCTGACGTTGTCCGGTCGTTTCTTTGGTCGGTCTTGTCCGGCCTAAGTAAAGGGTGTTAGTGTCTATTGGTGGTCTGCGGCCTAAGAATGCGTTGGCAAGCGCGGACAACGACAAAAAGCGGAGGTTTCGCGCCACCAAAAAGCATGCCGGGTGAGGGACCCCGACCCCCGACCGACGGCGGCCGTAGTGATACATGCGGGGCCAATGCTTCCTGTGTGTGGTTAGACGGTGCAGTTGTTGTACGGAGGACACGTTGCATGCCGGGAACGGCCCACGCGAATATCTGCCCGCGGGCTGGCGGAGGGAGCGAGAAAAAAAAAGCGCCCTACGTCGTAGTACTTCGGAGAAAAACGGCTATCTATCAATTAGGCCAAATAATTACGTGAAAATGGTAGGGGTGTGCTTTTCTCTTGGATAAATACCAGGGCGATTTTGCGACGTTGGACAACTACCATCGTCTCTTCCTGAAGTGCTTGAGACTAGTAATCCCGGAAGTGATGGCTTCGGTTCTTCTTCTCCAGCAGTCCGTTGAAATTTGTCGTGACCCGAACAACTACTGGATATCCGTCATCGACGTTGGCCGCACCTGCAGTCTCGGCGACGTATGATACAGCTCTGCTTGCTTCCTTAATATATACTAGGGTACCCCCCTGACCAGTAAAATTAGCGCAAAAAGTTACAGACTGAAGGCCGCGCAATGCGTGCGGCTAGGTACAAAAACCCCGCCCGCGCGTTGTCGTTCTTTCGAAAAAGAAACTGCGCGCCGAAAATTCCGGCCAAACGCTAACGCAAAAATCCCCATCGGTGTCGTCCAACCGCGCTTAGGCGCGCAGCCCTTGAAGAGTCCATCGGTAACGGGCCCCTGTGCATAAAGAATCCATCTCGTCTGTCCCCGCGCGTTGGTGTTCACCGGTCGCAGCGCAGGGCATTAGCCCGTTTACATTTTCCTGCGGCCGACCCCGGCTGCCTGCCTGCCCCCGACCGTGTGGCGGCCGTTCCCCGCCCGCTGCCCCCTGGCGGCCCGCCCGCCCTTACCCGCGTGTCCCGCCCCCGCCCAACATCACCCTGAGCCCTGTTATGTTGCCTGCCCGCCCCGCTTCTGGGGACGCGACCCCCCCATTCCCCGCCCCCGCCCGCTGCCGCCCGGCCGCCGTACCGAGCCGCGGCCCGCCGCCCGAGGGGGGTCGTGGCCCCCCCTCTCCCCGCCCCCGCCTGCGGACGCCCCGCGCTGCCGGCCTGCCCGGTCCGCCTTGCTTGGGCCGCGGCCGCCCGGCGGGCGACCCCGCGCATTCGCCGCCCCCTGCTGTGGCCGCTTGCCCTTTCCGGGCCCGCCGCCGCCCCCCGCCGGCCGGCCCGCCCCCGCCAGCTGCCGCGCGCCTGCCCGCCCCCGCCTGCGGGCGGCCGCTGCCTGCGTGCCCGCCCCCCCGGCCCGCCCCCGTCCGCGGCCGCCCGCCCGCGCTCGCGCGCCCCGGGCCGCGCGCGGCCGCCGGGGAGGGGGCGCGGCCCCCCCCATTCCCCGCCCCCAGCAGCTGTCGATCCCTGCCGCCTACCCGCCCGACCCGCGGCCGCCGGGGGGGGGGCGCGGCCCTCCATCCCCATTCCCCGCCCCCGCCAACGAACTGCCGGTCGGTCCCTGCCGCCTGCCCGCCCGACCCGCGGCCTCCGGGGGGGGGCGCGGTCCCGTCCATGCCCCGCCCCCGCCAACTGCCGACCCCGGCATCTTGCCCGCCCGACCCGCGGCCGCCGCCCGGGGGGGCGCGGCCCCCCCCATTCCCCGCCCCCGCCAGATGCCGTTGTTCCCCGCCGCCTACCCGGCCGGCCCGCGGCCGCCGGGGGGGGCCCGCCCCCCCTTCCCCCGGCCGCTGGCGCGTCCTGCCGCCTGCCCGCCCGGCCCCCGCCCGCCCGGCCCCGCCGCCCGCCCGGCCCCCCCGCGTGCCTCGCGCATTGCGCGCGCCCGCGCCGTCTTCAAATTTTTTGCCGTTTTTATGTGGCCCGGGGCTCGTATTAATGTTTATGAGTCATCCGAGCATACTAATTCATGCAGTTCGCTCCGGCTACAGTGATCTACCTAAACTTCAATTTTGATTTTACATTGCAACATATACATGAACAACATGTATTAATACTATGCTAGTACGAACTCTTGCATCTATGTTGCGGTTGTGGTTGTGCAGGAGGTAGCTCCTTGTTTCTGTATCACTTTGACAGGCGTGGAGTAGCTCATTGTAAAGGTATGAGTCGCAATCGTGTAGATAAATCTTCGATGAAACTTTGCAGATCCGCGATATGTTGCTGCCTTCCGAAGAGTTCGTGGGGAGTGGGCAAGCCGTCTCGTCGATGATGGGTGTCGCGGATGTCTTGTCGCTGAGTTGCTTGCCAAGTGGAGCAGCGAGCAGTCCATCCGAGTCTTCGCGCCATGCAGTCAAGATTGTGGCCTGTACGGAAGCGCAAGCGGTGGCCTTTGAGAAGGCGAGGAATTACATCCAAACGCATATCTTTCCACTGGACGCGGCGGCAAGGCGAGTGGGCCAAGTGGATGTCGTCCGTATCCACAAAAAAAGACACATCCTCATCCAGTTTGTCATGCAAAACATGCTTAACCACTGCTGGCATTGGTCGCGACATGTGCGTGAGGTTAGCTGTCACAGCTTTGGGTGATTGGGCGACGCCAGACCAGCGAGCAAACAGCAGTTGCGGCCACGGCACCAGCTTGCACCGACCTTGGGTCGCTGCGAGCACGCAGGCCGGCATCATCGGCCGACTGCGTTGTGCCGTGCGTCGCAGCTGCGGCGCGCTCTCTAATCCATGCATCGAGGGGTCGTGACAGTCCCCACACACATCTACTTCTTCTTCTTTCTTCTTTTCTTCATTTTTCCGAGCTTTTGCTGTCTTTCCGCGCCCCCCTGCCCATGCAGGGGGCCGCCTTTTGTTAGGGTGGGAGGGTGGGAGAAACGACAACACGCGCCCGGCGCGCGCCGTTGCCCCTACAGCGGTGTCGCTCCCGTTAGCTGGCAGCGCTTAACCTCATTTCGCTATTGATAGATATGCTGGACGCGAAATACCAATTAACCACTGCTGGCATTGGTCGCGACATGTGCGTGAGGTTAGCTGTCACAGCTTTGGGTGATTGGGCGACGCCAGACCAGCGAGCAAACAGCAGTTGCGGCCACGGCACCAGCTTGCACCGACCTTGGGTCGCTGCGAGCACGCAGGCCGGCATCATCGGCCGACTGCGTTGTGCCGTGCGTCGCAGCTGCGGCGCGCTCTCTAATCCATGCATCGAGGCGGGTGGAGATTAACTCCCAACGCCCGCTCTCCCAATGCTCCACCGGGCGAGATTCATGCTAGGCCATGGCCAAGTTGCGCGGCATGTTCAGCCAGTGCATGCACTGGAGATCACGCCCGCAAACCAGGGTCATGCTGCCCGTTCTCTTCACCTCTCTATCTTTTCCCAGGGCTGGCTTTCAGATACCCGCCCATGCAAGTATCTAAGAGCCAGTCGCCTCGGGAAGATATACCCTGAGCTTCTGCTTCGCGCAGTGAGCACGCCCTCTGCGGAGGGGCGCTTGCGTGGAGCAGAAGCGCAAGGCAGCGACGCACTGGGCTCTTCACGCGGGGCCGGCATCGCAAAGGACCACGCAACACGTTTCCGTGGGGAAACATGCCGCGACGGGGACCTACGGACGCGACGCATGGCATTTTTCTGAGGTGCAGAGCGTCGCTGGGGACCGCGCGGCACGCTTCGGGCGAAGCGTGTCGCGACGGGGACCTACGGAGAGACACGCCACGAAGCTCTTAGCTTCGCCGTCGCGTCGGCAGGGACCATATAACACGCTTCGCTTGAAGCATGCCCCGATGGGGGCCCAAGAGGTAGCGCCAGCTCCTGTGGAGGTGGTGCCTGGGTCACGCAGCAGGCTTCGTGGAAGCGTGGCGCGACGGGGGACCCCAGAGCGGACACCCAACCCTTGCAGGGTTGGTGTCGACAGGGACCGCGCAGCACGCTTCGTAAGAAGCGCGCCCCGAGGGGAACCTGTGGAGACCAACACACCACACCAAGCCGTGGTGGAGTTGATGTCGACGGGGACCACGAGCACGCTTCTCAAAAGCGCGTCGCGATGGGGACTTACGGAGACACGCGACGCCAAACTTGTAGCAAGCTTGCAACACGCGTCGGCGGGGACCACGTGGCACGCTTCGCTTGAAGCGTGCCGTGATGGGGACCTACGACCTCCTCTGGAGGTGGCGGGCGCGAGGGCCATTCGGCGTGCTTCTGCTTCGTAGAAGCCCGCCGCGATGGAGACTGCTCGAGCCGACACCAGCCAAGCCTTGCGAAGTTGGTGCCGGGGGGGACCACACAGCACGCTTCGCAAGAAGCGCGCCGCGATGGAGACCTGCGGAGACGACACCAAATTCCCGCGGAGCTGGTGTCGACGGGGACCACACAGGACGCTTCGCCTGAAGCGTCCCTTGGTGGGGACCTACGAGGCAGCATCAAGCGCCTCTGGAGGTGGTGCAGCAGGGGCACAGACACAGCATGCTTCGAAGAAGCACGCCATGATGTCAACCTGCGGAGCTGACACCAAGCCCCTGTGGAGGTGGTGGCGACGGGGACCACGCCGCACGCTTCGTTCGAAGCGTGTCGGGCGAGCGACGTGCGAGACGACACCAAGGAGCCCCCAGCACGGAGCTGGTGTCGACGGGGACCACGCAGCGCGCCTAACACGAGGCGCGCCGTGATCATCAATGGGGACCAACACAACGCGCCTCCTTCGACGCGTGCCGTCACGGAGACGTGAGCATAGACACGGCGCCGGAGGCCTCTCATCTGGAGTTGGCGTGAGTGCCACGCAGCGTGCCTCGTAGAAGCCCGCCGCGATGGCGACCGACGGAGCCGACACCAACCAAGCCCTGCGGAGTTGGTACCGGAGGGGACCACGCAGCATGCTTCGCAAGAAGCGCGCCGCGATGGAGGCCTGCCGAGACGACACCAAAGAGCTCCAGTGGAGCTGGTGTCGACGGGGACCAAGCAACACGCTTCTTCTGAAGCGTGCCATGGTGGGGACCTACGAGGCAGCACGAAGCGCCTCTGCAGGTGGTGCCGGAGGGCCACGCAGCATGCTTCGAAGAAGCGCGCCACCATGTAGACCTGCGGAGCCGACACCCAGCCCCTGTGGAGTTGGTGGCAACGGAGACCACGCCGCACGCTTCGTTCGAAGCGTGCCGGGCGAGGGACCTGCGGAGACGACGCCAGGGAGTTCCTAGTGCGGAGCTGGTGCCGGCGGGGACCACGCAGCGCATCTAGCCCGATGCATGCCGTGATAGGGCCCGGCGCAGCGCGCTTCTTTCGAAGCGTGCCGTCACGGAGACGCGAGCACACTGCGCCAGGCCTCTGTCCGAGGCACTGCCATGTCGTGCAGATCTGCGCACAGCAGCAGCACTACCTTGGCGTGCGTGTCGCGCGTCCACACTTGCTGGTCGCGCAGGTGGGACTCATTGATTTGTTGAGCGCGGCTTGCGGCCCCACCCCAATTGGGCGCGGGTCGCGTGGCGGAGTGCGGTAACGCGCGTCATCATTGGAGTGCACCTGCTTGCCAGCACATCCAACAAAGACTTCCCGGGCGTGCAGCTCGGCTACCGCCGCAGCACAGCCCGGGAAAGCGTTTCCGAAACTCTCTCGCGCGCCTTCAGTCACTGGAGTGCACCTGCGTGCCAGCACCTCCAGATCCGACCCCCCGGGCGTGCACCTCGGCTTTCGCCGCAGCACCACCCGGGAGTGCGTGACAGAGCATGGCCGGCGCGTCTTCACTGGAGTGCACCTGCGTGCCAGCACCTCCAGCTTAGACCTCCGGGGCGTGCACCTCAGCTCTCGCTGCAGCACCACCCCGGAGTGCGTCGCATACATCTGCCGCCTCGCGCGCCTTCACTGGAGTGCACCTGCTTGCCAGCACCTCCAGATCCGACCTCCCGGGCGTGCACCTCGGCTTTCGCCGCAGCACCGCTCGGGAGTGCGTGGCAGAGTGCGATCTGCGCGCCTTCGCTGGAGTGCACCTGCGTGCCAGCACCTCCAACTTAGACCTCTAGGGCGTGCACCTCAGCTTTCGCTGCAGCACCACCCCGGAGTGCGTCCCGCACATCTGCCATGGCTACTCTCCTTCTTCTTTTTTTTTTTTTTGGTGATAAACGGCGCAGGGCCGCCGCGGGTGTGTACTTATTCCAAAGCCAGACCGTGCAACACCACACGCAGAGGGGAAACGACAACACGCGCCCGGCGCGCGCCGTTGCCCCTACAGCGGTGTCGCTCCCGTTAGCTGGCAGCGCTTAACCTCATTTCGCTATTGATAGATATGCTGGACGCGAAATACCAAATAAAGTCCAGCCCAGGGGATCCTTGGCCTGTGGCGCTGGGTGCGGGTGTCCACTACATGACGACGATGATGATGATGATGCAGGCTCGCGGGTTTTGCCTTTGTGAAAGATCGCACGACCAAGCGTGGCAGGATGCCGCCGGGCTTGCCAGTTTACGAAGTCCGGGCGCCGTCGGATCTGACGGCGACAATCTGCATAGAGACCAACACGGGGAAGGTTTTCGCGCAATTCAGAGCGAAGCTGGAGCATCTGAAGGCGGAAGCCAGTCGGCAAGAGCGGAGGTCCGTCGCTTACGTGAACAGCGCGCGGGGCGCGTCTTCAATTTGTTGCGCAGCACAGTCATGGGGTTCAGAAACGAGCGGCGATGAGTCTGCAGCAGGCCTGCCCAGACAGGTGGCGATGAGTCTGCAGCAGGCGTGCACAGTGTTCGGCGGAGCAAGTGCCAGCTGATCTGCAACACAAGCAAAACGGTGGGCACGTAAGAGAGCTACCCGAAGCGCGGGGCTTCACTTACGAAGGGGATTGCCGGGCACCGTTATTGGTGAGCTCCGTCGCGTCTCCGGCTTATGGCTCCCGCCCCCCGCTCGCCCTTTGCTTCTGCTGCAGAACATGTCAAGGTGACGCCCTATGACTGCCACACACAACCTAAGCCCTTGCGCTGTCGTTGTGCCCCAGGAGGGTCGCCGGTCAGCCGTGACGCGGGCGCAGCTTGTAAGTATATGGTTGGACAACTCCGGCCCGTGCACTTGACTTTTTCGCCCGTGCCGCAGGTAAGGCGCAAACGGTCCAGCGTCCCCTGTCCGGGCGGGGTTGCGGCTTAAGGGAGAGGCTCGCCCCTTACCGCGAAGGGGTGTGGGGTGTCTTCCGTGAAAGCAAAAACGTTTGGCGTAAAATGGGTCGGGTCCTGGATCGATCACTCTGTATGTTAGGCTGTCGCGCTCGGCTAGCAGGCTGGCCGATCTGTACTGATCAGGTGTGGTGGGTAGTTCCCGACTGGTTGGCTCTTTTATTGGGGCGGCTTGACGGGGTAGCGCTTGGCTTTTGTATGGTGAGGTCGCCGAAAGTCAAAGCGCTTCCTCGCCCACCCCCCGGGGAGGAGATCCTTGGTCTGTGGCGCTGGCGCTGGGTGCGGGTGTCTATTGCATGATGATGATGAAGATGATCATGATGATGATGATGCAGAAAGTGGATGGGGATGGTTTTTTTTTTGTGGATAGTCCGCAGCGCAGCACTATTTCCGACCTCAGCCGGGCCCTCTGTCTCCGCCGACCCGGCGGCAAAGCTGGAACTGCTCATCGGTGACACTGCGAAACAAGTGGACAAAAAATTGAAGAAGCTATATATGGCCGTCAACTCAGGTGTTACATTCGCAACTCATGCATTCTACTTAGCTGTTTGGCCTTGGGCGCCTCATCTTCACTGGATGCGCTAAGATAAAGAAAGGGACTGGACTGGCCGCGCTGGCCCGACTGCGCGTATACAAAAAACTGCCCTGACCTCAATACGACCAGTTACGCGGCTATGATTGGTAGCGCGTCTTCAGCTTGACAAATTTGCAAGTGTCGGCAAGACGAATGTAATAGCTGACGAGGCCATATTTTACTGTTGCGAGGGAGACGTGGAGAAGAACCCAGTGTTGGAATACTTGGAACAGATGGAGCGCTATCACAGCGGAAAGAGCTCCCACCCCGAGCCCGACCCCTTAAGAAAAAGGAAAGTTTGCGTAGTGTGATCTGTGCACACAATTGTTTGCTTCATCTGTTATGTCACAAGAGTCGAAAAACGGCGGCTCTTCTTGCGCAGCAGCGAAGCACTTTGCCTGCTCAGTATGACAGCGGAAGAAGGCACGACACTGCCACGGGCTACTAGCGCTGCGGCCCAGACTACACAGCACGGGAAATTGTGCGCAATAACAAAGCCGCGAAGTCGCAGCCTCGTTGCCATTTAGAATGCTAGACAAATCTTGTTGCAGCCAATGAATTTCTTTGTATTCTGGCTCGCCAGATAGTTATAAGACTATCGAAGAAGCTTGTACTCGCCTTGTATTCTACACAAACTATCCTTCCTCGTGAGTTCGGGGAGGTTGCGTTTTTTCCCGTGATATATGGTGGGGGATCATCAAACAGGATTTATCATCGTCATCCCGTAGTGCGTTTTTCCATGTTGATATCACACGAAAGTGCTCTCTGACTGTGTTTATTTTATTGCAAGAGCTGCATGACAAAGACAAGCTCAAATTCGGGAGACACGCCAAGAAACCAACGGCAACCCGTGCTCCATGAGGCAAAGCACGTCTGTCAATGCTGTTTCTGGCATTCTTAGGAAGAGGAACCGAAAAAGCTGCGTTTTGTATGTCTTCCATTTTCTGCATTGCAAGTTCATCACAGTGAGTAGATAATGGCTTTGTGTGATAGTGGAGCGTAGCGGGCCAGAAGAGGTCGAGAAATTTGGCCCCGAGCAGAAGTTTCAGTCCTTCGCCTGCGTGCGGCGAAGTTTCGCGCAGAAAATGCTGCACCCAAGGGACCTGAAGGTCACGGCACACAGAATGATTCTTGCCGCCGTCAATGGCGTCCTTGCTCCCGAAGAAGAATTTCCCGAAGTTGCTGCTCTCGAAACGTTCGCACAAACTGCTTTCGGAAAAAAAAAAATTTTAAAGAGCAAGTAGAACAACAAGTAAGAAGTGTCGTTGGTGTGAAGACGCTCTGAATTCTGGTGTTGGTGATCGTTGCTCTTTTCACTTTAGCCGATGAAGACTCTTGTCGAGTGTTTATGTTTGGGCGCCAGCACGTTGAGGATCAACCGCCGAGATGGAGCTGAATCGGGCAACAATAGCAGCGACGACATGTAGTTTCAGGGACACCTAAGATGATGCTGACGATAGCTGTAGAAGAAGACCGAGAATGATGCTGCGCGCTTCTTTTAGAATGTGAACGTATCGTGAAAGAACATGTTGGCAGGCCCCTTTCGTATCCCTTTGCACAGTACCCCGTGCAGGCTAGATGACGATCATCATGATCATGACCATGGCGACTATCTTTAACAAACTAAGAGCTACAGTCAAACTGAAACTCACGCGCCGCATTTTGAAAACCAGTTCGCAAAAGTTAGGACATCGACATGATTAATACTCAAGCTCGTTATCCATATCCATGTCGCTTTGCTAGCCTGTGAGCAAAGACAACTGTTCTCACGTTGTTCGGACTTCGACGATCGAAATCTTGATGAAGGCCTTCTGCTTGGCGAAACGCAACTTCTTTCATTGTCCAGCAGGTTCGTCATACGCTTGGAAGATCACTATCGTGATCCGCAGAGGTCTCACCTTTTCATGAAACAAGGGGAGGCAGCAGTGGACCCCAAAAGTCAGCTGATCGGCATCGGACTTGTTGTAGCACACAGTCGTCATTATTTATATTTCCAAACACAGTAGAGCAGCCGGAAAATTTCGAATTCCGTTGAGCACGGGTGGAGGTAACGTGATCCAAAATGGGCCCGACTTCTTCCCTCTCGTTATCTTGCCCAGGATCGTCTCAAAATCGGTGTCTCGGCCCCGGTCTTTTCCGTCGTCTTTCCATTTTCCGCGAACTTCGGCCCCGCTGTGGGCCTTTGCTATTTTTCAAACTAGCCGGAATATATATTATATCTCGGGTAGCCCCACACTCTGGCAGCTCCTTTCGTATTTTGTTGGTCATGCGGTCAGAATCCTCCCCCAGCCATGTCCGAAGCTTCTCAAGATGATCTGAGGCGCCTGCTCCCAATGAAGTGATAGACCGTAATGGCCTGAACTAGCTAGATCCTAAAGGAGCCGCGTCGCTATGTTCACCCGAATCCCCCAAATATTACGAAGGCAAAGCCATCACGATCGGAGTGAAATGAGAGGACTCCGCTCGGTCTAGACGTTCAGAATGACCACCCTGAGGGGGCTGACTCTGACCAGGGTCGAGCAGTAAACCCAGAGCGTTGAGGGAGGTGCTTCCATGCTGTTTAGCCACTTGACTCTGAGCCCGAAAGACTCGCGCCAAGCTGATGAATCTGAATGAAATGAGCCTACAGGATGCAGCGCAGCCAGAGGCTTGCGCCCTGTCTGCTGAAAGATTGAAGCGCTGGAAGTGATTGAGAGACCTGCTTAGGTAGAAGCTTCAGCCACTCAGCGCGGCGGGTGTGTTCAAAGTCCAACACGTTTTGCCTTGTGCCTCCGTGGTTCGAGTTCTTTCGTGGAGTTCTCCAACTTCATCACGCCGAAAAAATGCCAAGGCTTTTTTGCACCGAAGCACGCTGACACCGAGAATGAGCATTAAGATTAATCTGCAGCGTTTTTTGGTTTTGTCTTTGTCTTTTTCTTTGTGAGCCTGCAGCTCACGCTCAAAAGTCCACCACTGCAAAGGCCTCTGCTCTCTTTCCAAAATTCTAGCCTAGTAGCAGAAAAGGTCATGCCGGCTCAGGAGGTCGATGCACTATATTGCCTGGTCTATCAACTTACATGCTTTTACGCAGCCTGCCGGTAAAACTATCTCCCCCGGGAGCAAAGCCGGGCAAACAAGGCTCCAGAGCGCCCAGCCAGCGGGATAGCTCCGTCTCTGGACATAATCAGGGTGCTCCCAAGGCCGTGACCCCCCTGATTAGCAACCTTCAGATATGTTGAAACTGAGAGCGCGCGAAGGTCTGCACAGGAATACAAGTCCGGGAGCCATTTCTACTGGACTAGGTGGCCCCCCACTCCCGCGTCCCTGTCGATTGTTGTCGGTTTTTTTCTGTTATCTTAGTGTCCGCTGGTTGTTTTGTGTGCCATTCCGGCTCGTCGCTTGCGTCCTAATATCCCAATTGGCACCCGCCCTGCCAATACTTTTGTATAGGGAACCCCTTGGACGAAAGAAAAAGCCCCGAAGTTGCCGAAGGAAAGTTTCTTTATGGTTGACGCGCCTGGCAAACTAATCACTGACCATCCCCAGGCTTGAGCTCTGTTGTCGTTGTGTTGTTTCTTCATGAATGAAGTGGAGCCGCCTGGCAAATTAAACATTGACCATTTCCAGGCTCGTGTTTCTTTGTTGGTTGTCGTCAGGTTTCTTGAAGAAGGAAGCGCCTGGCAAACTACTCACTGACCATTCCCAGGCCCGAAGGTTCTTCTTGGTTCATGGTTATCCCTGGAGAAACGGTTAGGCTCCTCGAGGGATCGTCGGCGGCTGCGGCCAATAATTCTGCCTCAAGGGAGGGGTCGCTACCTTAGCCACGGCGTGTGCGGCCCTTTAAGGGATGGATCTCCAAATCCAAATGAACTGTCGGCACGTTGTTTCTGGCTTTGTGTCCTCCGGAAACTGCTACGGTCTCTAAACCCACCATGGTACATTTTTAAACATCGCGATGAGCAACGAAGGGAGCCCCAGAATGAAAAGGCTCTTGCTGCAAAAGTGAAAGTGAAAAGTGAAAGTGAAAGGCAAAGCTATCTCTTTAGCATAATCATAAGGCGATCTACATCTGCTTAGTGTACTAATATCGGTCGCTGTGTTGCCAAAGTCATACTTTATCGATTTTTTCTTGGTTTCCTGAGCACTTGGCTCTTGAGTCGTGTCCTTTCGGCGTGGTAGCATATAAGTTGCACCTTGTTTCAAAAATGTTCTACCGGTCACTTGCAGACAAGATGCGGCCCTCGGTCCAGCAACAGCGTGCGAAGGCACGGGAGGCGCGCAGCGACTTTATGAAGCATGTGCAATTTAGCGACGCGTATCTGTTTTTGCTTATTGTGTGTGGGAGCATGTTCGCCAGGTGGTTGGACATGAAAACGCGCCGGGAGGTGTATGTAGCTGTGGCAGTGTACGTTGTTCTGTTTTGCTTCTATGTCGTGCTTATCGAGTGCAAATGTTCTTGGGTCGGGATAAGATTAGGAGGTGCGTATGTGTCATGCAGCTAGTCACTCCACGTCCACGAGGATGAGAAATGCAAATAATAACGAAAGCGAACTACTTCAGGACTTACCCCTACTGCTTTCAGGAGGTCTTCCTCTTGCGGGGTCGGTCCCCCTCCTTTTTGTTCTTGGTCGACTCCTTTTTCCGTATTAGTATGACACTAAGTCCTCCTTCTAAGCGTCAAGAGCATGGCAAGGAAGTCGCGTTTTTGCATGACGAACTATGCGCCGGCCATTGGTCGCTTCGCGTATTTTCGTCTCATTCAAAATGCGCACTACGGTTTCTTTGCACTCATGCAGACCCAAATAGAATTGCAGCGCATAGCTCTGAAGAAGTGGGAGCAGGAGAAAAGCCCGCCCTTGGATGACGAACTCGAAAAGAATATCCTGTGTCCAGAAACATACCCAGCCCATAGTCATCGATGATGCATAGTCAGGGAGTGAGTTTTGCGAGGGCGCGCTGAGATCTTTTTGGCGAGAAATTTTGCCAGAGGATACTAAGAAGGCGTTTCTGCCAGGGAGGTGGTTTCGCGGGGTTGGTACGGAGAGGACACGTAGCCGCGTGCTTTTGCTAGAGGGGGCCGCAAGAGTGAAGACATTGACCCTATTTCTACGCATTTCTACATAGCGTTCTTCTTTTTGGCATGCAGCACTGCGACCCAAGTGCCAGCCGTGCTCCGGCTGCCGCCGGAGCGCGCCGCGGGCTGTGGTTTAGCCGAGGCTGACGAGCTTCGGCCAGAAGGGATCAGCAGACGCTGGGACTTCTGGCGCTTCGCTACACCATGTCGCCCTTACTGACGGCCCTGCACTCTTCCCGCCGCGCCTGAGGGCGCTCGGTGCGGGGGGGGGGAGCAGCTGCCACGAGCACGGCGAGCGGGGGGAAGCTGTCCAGTTGTCAAGTTGGGCCAGCTGCTTTTTTTTGTACACCTGCCCCGGCCGTGGCCGTGATGTTGGCTGGCGGCGGCGGCGTTAGTTTGCACTCGCGCGCAGCAATGCCAATGCTTCGAGACAGCCAGCACAGGTCTGGCTGCCCACGACGTGCCCCGTCGTAGCACCTCGGTAGAAGAAGTTGCTACTACGTTTCCATGTTGCGCCCGCGTGCGCGCTTTACCTCTCTTGTTGCGAGGCGCCTTTTTGGTTTGTTTGGAGGCGAAGGCAGAGATGTGTTATTTTTTGAGCCAGCGGCTTTTTGCCATTTCGTGCGTCTGTGCTGCTCTACAGGCTGGCAAAAGGCCGCCGGCAGCGACAGGCTGTTTTCTCATGCAAAGACCCCCGCCCCGGCCCCCCGGCCTCTCGCCCGTTCTCTCGTTTGCCTCTCGGCCACCTCCGTGGCGTGTCGCTCAGGAGGACCTGAAGGGCCGCTGGGCGATTTGGCGAGTTACACGCGCGCCATTCTTTGGTCGCGCCCTCGGGAACTACAAACATCCGGCGCCACTCCCCCAATGTTGGCCTATCTGTATCTTCTTCCTCTGCTTCATTTGACCTTATCGGCGGCCTTCTATCTACTTGTACTTTCTGGCTTTTGTCTTTCTTCTTTCACTAAGCCCGGCGCCGCCCTCGTTCCAGTCTGGTTGCTTCGCTGCAGTCGTAAAGTGAAATATGACAAAAACGGACGTCTGCTTTAATATTCATTTATATATCGATGTCGAAGTCGATCGTCAATGTCAACGTCGTCGTGTTGTAGGACTTTGACTTTCACATCTCCGGCGGGGTTTGTCTCTGGTTTGTCGGGCGGTTGAGGATGTTGATAGCGCTCAGCGGACCCCAGTTGAACTTCCCTGGACTGCTAAGATGAGCTGTGTGGTGTCATTCAAGATGCTTGGCGCTCAATGGATCGCAGTGCAGCCTATTGCTTACCTTCAGGAAATCAAATAAAGGTAGAGGCAGTTCGTGGCCAAATTCATTCTGGCTCGCCTTGGCAGCCACTACAGGGCTCAGGAAGCTTGTGCCAGATTACGTTTTTTCGACTCTCTTCAGTCCTTCGTTGTCGGTTGGGTTATTCAGTGAGGATGGGGTGGGTGTGTTTTTATTGACACAGAATACCGATCGATTAGTGGAGCGAATATGAATTTATCGAAGTTACGTCGTGCTGGCCAGCTCTCTAAGCTTGGAACTGAGTGCCGCGCAGTTTTTCTCCGCCTGCGAGAAGTAGGCGTGATGAAAAACAAGCTCAAGTCACTCGATCTCGAGAACTTTCCCTGCTTGTGTCGTATATAAAACGGCGACTGTGGACGGAGGTCTGGGATCGACATCGATGTGGTTGACCGTGGCGGGGATGCGGATTGTGTCTCCTAGTTTGCCAAGCTCGCACGCTCGCCAGGTGTAAGGGGACGGGACCCATCATGGAAATGGATCCCGTCCCCCGCTCGAAAGCCGTTGGTCAAGTGTTAAGTGCATTTATATTTCAATTTCTGGACAATGCCAATGGTTCTTGTGTTTTCGAGCCTTCCGCGGAAATGCTTAATCAACGAAGGATGACAGCGTGCAGATCAAACATATGATCCACCTTGTTGTAGACTTCCCTGCCTTGCGAAGCGCAAGGAAGTAGGTCTTCACGCGAATTCGACGAAATAAGGCAGCATGCTTCTGGTTCTGCATCTGCGAGTTGCTGAAATTAGTAGAACAGCTGACGCCACCTCGTCACGAGAACCAAGAAAAAGGTCAGAGATCTTCAAATAGTAGGTGTTTTTGTAGTTTGCTTGTTGTATTAGGATACACTTCGCCTGCCAAATCAATGACTGCGCTCTCCTTCACTGCTAAAGCGGTTGGTACTGCATTGTTTGGGGTGCAGGTGCCTAACTGGCAATTACTATACATTATATTCATGCGAAAAAAGAGGTAGACAGAGGGTCCCAGAGAGGTGGCCGAGAGGTAAAAAAGAGGTCGACAGAGGTAGAAAAGAGGTCGACAGAGGTGGAGAGGTGGCGCGGGACCCCGTTCGAGAGGGTGCGCGAGAGGGTGCGCGAATAAGGCCCGCAGTAAGCGCCCACCCTTAGGCGCCGCCTAAGTGGCACAGAGGGCGCAGAGAGGTCAAAAAGAGGGGGCGCGAGAGGGGGACAGAGGTGGAGAGAGGTTGCGCGAATAAGGGGCGACCTCTCGCGGACCCTCTTGGCCACATCTCGGCCACCTCTGTCGACCTCTCCCCGCGAGTATAGCCGGACTATTAGCGGGGACCCCCAAAAGAGGTCAAAGAGAGGGTCTGCGAGAGGTCTGCGAGAGGGTAAAAACACAAAGAAGCGGGCGCAAATCCGCATGGTACTACCCATATTTGGCATTGCAGGCCATTCGCGGACTTGTTTGGCTCGGCGCCTTTCCGCGCCACCCTCTCGCGCCACCCTCTCGCGCCACCCTCTCGCGCCACCCTCTCGCGCCACCCTCTCGCGCACCCTCTCGCGCCACCCTCCCGCGCCACCCTCTCGCGCCACCCTCTCCCGTCGGGCGGCTTCTGTTCGCCCCCGTTGTTCTTTGCAGCTGCTCCCTGCGCAGAGCGCCTACAGGCGCGGGAAGCGCGCAAGTGGTCCTGAGGGTTGGCGCGGCGCAAACCGGGGGCAGGAATCCAGTATGTTTCGTTTTGCATAGGCCCGTGGGGTTGTGGTCCGATCGGCAAGCAGTCTTGCCCCGGCCCAACAGCCTTGCGCTCCGGCGGCAGCCGGAGCATGGCTGGTACAATCTAGTGCAGATAAAGTTAAAGATGACGCTTCGCCTTCATGATCAGAAATTAACTTTGTAGAAAATTACGCGGGCAGTTTCTGGCTCTTCTGGTTTAGTTGCAGTTGTCCAAGAAGCTTTCGCTGCGGTCTATTTCTCCTACTCGCGACACGCTCAGAAACAGAAGCGAGCACATGAGTTGTTGCACAGAGATCTTTCTATTGTAAACAAAAACAAAGCCGCAGCGATGTTCTGTTTTAAACGTGCCAATGTTTGTGTAGTTTTTTCTCGCCCGTTTCTACATGCAATGTAACTTTATTCGGATACTAACCATATCTAATCTTGTCGCGAGCTGCATGCGCAACGCTAGCGCTGAACCTCCAGGAGGTCCTAAAAGGACACAGCATGCCGTGCCGGAACAACAGGTCTCGAACAGCAACAGCGGCGATTTCGCTGCGCCAGCGGGGCCTTCTTTCGCGCATCCGCCAGCAGTTGCTGACGGCAATCCGCTGCTCGCCATACAGCGAGAGGTGTGGGGCATGCTCAGCGAGCAGGAGAAGAATGAATGCCGCGCCCTTCCCGAAGACCGGAAGAAAAAAATGCTGGAAAAGAAGTACCGCGATCTCGTCATGGCAGGCAAGATGCCGTCCCCTGCACAATACAAAGCCGCGGCAGCCGCGTCCAAGCAGCCATCGGGCGGCACGCAGGCTGTCGGAAGGCGTGGGGAGCAATCTATTAGTGTAGCGGCCACGCCGGTCGTGGTCCTTGCAAATCAATCAGGGTCAGGGACGTTGAACAGATATAATATGCCTAGTAGCAGCATGAATACCGCCACCACCGCCACGGTACCGGTAGTTGGTGTACTACCAGAGCCAGCGTCGCTTGCCGCAGCGTCTGGAGGGACCCCGTTGGCTGTATCCTCAGCGTCATCCTTTGGGCAGCAGGTTGCGCAGCAAGAAAGTGCACTTCTGCGGCAGCAACAAATGCAGCACCGAGCACCATCCCAGCAGCCGGCTATTCATTCCCACGCACCACTCGGATTTGTTGGTACTGCGGCGTCATCTTCCTCTTCGTCCGTCCGGCCGGGCCGCCCAGCGCACCTTGGGGTGCACGCAGAGGAGCAGGCAGCGAAAGTGCGTCGGCTTTCCAGTGCCAGGGCTCCGGGCGACGCTAGTGCTCGAGCGGCTGCAGAAACACACGGCATCTTGCGACATCACGCTCCACAACCATTTGCCTTACAAGATCCGCGGAAAAACTCGAACCTGCATCCATCGCGTCTGCAGAATGCCGGTAATATGCGGCTACAACGAGGAGCGTTTTTGAATGGAATATCGCACAACTTGGGTGCTGCCGGAGGCCATTTACTAGTGTCTACTTCTGCCATCGGTTTGGCCGCTAGATCGCCTTACGAACCCTGGGTAGCTGAAGAGTTTTTAGTCAGACACGAAGAAAGAGTCAAACGGCAGAAGCATTTCGTTCAGGAGGAGCCTCGCCGGCCGATCTCGAAAAGCCAGCTACTTCTCGCCGACGCCGAGCGCGTTGGGGTGGCGGGATCGCACGCGGGCGAGGCTGTTGCATATGACACCTCTTGTCTCACCGACATGCGGCAGAAACAGCTGCGGGGCATCCTGCCTGGGGAATCCTTTGACGAAGATGCGGCGCTCGAGGTCCTCGTTTTTCTCGCGCAGTCTGTCGCAACTCTGCTCGAGGACATTCGGATTGCGGCCATGCACTCCTCCCGAAACTACCTCTCCGTACTTGTGCTTACTAGTGTTGCTTTTATTACCGCATAACAATAACTCAATATCAAGTTGACCATCGCTCATGATCATCATCTTCATTGAGCCCTCACTTGTCATTCAATTGACGTACTGTCATGTTGGGCAAGGGTGGTCTAGTTGTAGTTCCCACGCATCTCTTCAGAAGCTTTTTACTTGTTCTCAAGGTCTTTGTCTAGCAGAACAAGATCGACGTCGGCCACCTGAAACTTTTGAATTCCTTGCTTTCGGCGCCATGTTTTGTTTCGCGACTCGATCTCGAAATAAAAATTGCGGCTGGCATTGGGGCTTTGAATTTTTTAAGTGCTTTGTGGATACCGTCTGCAGGCGAGCACTCTTCCGCAAGGGTGTGCGATACCTTTGGTAGACAAGAGCCCTAGTGTTGGCCCTGTCTCGAGTCATCTTCAGAAGACCCAGAGGAGAATCGTTACGCGGACACGGTCGCTTGTCTTGGACTCTTTTGGAGGCTTACTTGGACGATTCCGGATCTTCAAAAATTGCTGTGAATCTCGTCGCTTCGCCCTGATCTCGTCGTTAGTTCAAAATCTTCGGCATGTTCTTATATTTCTCTCAGATTGTCGTGTTTGTGCTTGTGGCGATGTCTCGAATTATCTGCGACGACAACGACTGGCCAGCTGGAGGAAATGGACGGTCGTGCGCCGACCTTCTGAAGAATGATGCTCAGTAGATAGAACCTTTTGGTGAGGAAGAGTGTTTCAGGCTCTTTGTTCGGCTGGCTTGTTATGAGCACTTTTTTGGAAACTCATTTGCATTTCCAGTAGCAGGGCTCGCTGTTCGTCTTCTGCAATGAATTTCTGACCTTGTCTCTAGTAAGACTCAACAACCAGCGCGAGCTGCCAGCGCCCGCGGCCTAAGGTGGCAAACAGACGCTCTACATTTTTACCGAGCGAAAAAGAAGAACGGGCGGCGTTATGATTGGAGCCTGAAGAGGCGCCCGCTCTTGGCCGCAGAGCAGCAGGCATGCTAGCCCAACTAGCGTGCCTTCGGTTTCAGTGGGAGGAAGCAACGACCCAGCTCGCCTAGCCAATGTCAATGGCCACTGTAAGTGTAAGAGCAAGAAAGCAAACAATTGCATCTTTGCGAGGGAGACAGAGGTAGACGCTCTATTCCGAGCCGGCGACGCCGGTGCGTCTTTGTGAAGTACACTGCGCAGCATCACCAAGAAACAAAGACTAGGGCGAGAAGCAGAAGGACTACCCACGAGTCCACTACTTTTTTTTGCCGCCGCGGCCGCGTCGAGCGCTTTGCTTTCTTTTGCCTAGCGCGACGCAGTCTTATGCCACACTTACAGCTTTGAAAGAATCTGTATATCATGACTTCTGTTGTAGTTGCTGTGGCTGAGGCTCCGCATCGAAGATGAGGACTGGACTGTGCGTTCATATTCTCCCACTGGGCTACATACTTTGCTAAGTACATCACAAGCCAGACGTACTAGACGACCCCCACTCCACTACATAGTATGAATATATTTGTCCCGTGGTAGTGTTACTGGTACCGTGTACAGTACATGATCTCCGAGGAGCCAGTGTGATGTTTTTCAGTTTACCCGCGCTTCCATGCATGCACCCTAGGTAGCGGATTTTGACTTCGCGTGCCGGTACATCCATTGCGGAGAGCCGCCCACACGAGTGCCGAAACTGTTGGGATCCACCCCGCTTCTAGGCAGCACTGTTTCTGCTCCAGCGGTTATCCTGAGTCAAGAGTGAAACTCTCCAACACAAATCAATGTCAATCACTTTTGGGAGTCGATGCATGTTGTCAAAGTTGGGCCCAACTCAACAACAGCTTTACAATTTCCTAGCGTGGCCGCGTCACAAATTTACTTTTTAAGCCTGCTTTCAAAATTGCGATGGCCCGAACGCAACTGAAACACGCCCCCCCCATGGGGACCGTGTAAGCCGTTTTCCGCGTATCCCAGATTAGCAAGTAGCGAAGTGGAAGTTCACAGATTTGCATGACAGGTTTGGTACCGTGAAGATCGTAGTAGCCTCCACGCCTTGGTGTTGATCACGTTCTGCAAGTCTTGCGATTTGACAGATTTCACACCCATCCAGGATCGGAAGAGCGAGGGGGATCTTCGAGCCAAAAAACGAAAAGGTCCCCGAAGCACTTCCGTGAGTAAGACAAGGTCATAGATTTGCATGTCAAGTCTACTTGTGAGGTGAGTACGCTTTTGAACAGGATGGCGCTGCCACGCGGCCGCCCGATGAAGCACGAGAAGAGGCTGCTGACGCTTATGGTCTGCTCCGCTGCGACAACCTCATCTTTGAAGATGTTATGTGGAGCCCATCAAATGTATCTTTTGGGTGCAAACGCAATTGCAAAAGATAGTACCCGGTGAAGCATGGCAGATTCGGGGTTGTGTGTAGTTTTAATTTCATTGGTCATTTTTTACATCTATTCTAAACTAGCAACGCCAGCTTCGCCTGTAAGTAGGCATTAGTAGAAGCGCAAATGTCAGTTAGCAAGTTCTAGACAACAAAGCAAAAAGAAAGAAGCGCCGGCCCCAAAAGCGCAGGCGCGCGCAATCCGAACGTCGCGGCGCCGGCTCACCCAGCGAGGTCGTCCACGCTCCGGCGCGCCCAATCTGGTCGCCCCGGGCCCGGCGCGCCCAGATTGGTCCTTCCGGCCCCGGCGCGCCCAAGCTGGCAGTCCCGGCGCCGGCGCGCCCAAGCTGGTAGTCCCGGCGCCGGCGCTCCCAATCTGGTCGTCCTGGCTCCGGCGCGCCCAATCTGGTCGCCCCGGCTCTCGCGCGCCGAATCTAGTCGTCGCTCGGGCTGCGGCGTGCGTAGATTGGTCACCACGCGCGGCTACTGTGCGCCCAGCCTCATAGCCGTGCCTGCGGCGTACTTAGATTGGCCGCCGCGGCTACAGTTCGCCCAGCGTCCTCGTGGTCGCCCCGGCCCCGGCGTTCGCAGCCTGTTCGCCCAAACTCCGGCGATCCCGCTGCCGGCGATCTGTTGCCACGCTCCCATAGAAAAAGGGGGCCGCGCTGCCCCGCGTGCCCCCGGAGTGAGAGCAAGATACGGCCGCGGGCAGGCGGCCACTTCACTAGAATCAGAAAAAAAATAGAAGACGCGTCGCCACTCATTCTTTCACCGCCCGGGGCCCCTCTGCATTACGGCCCAGGGGCTCTGCACATCCGGCGTTGCCGGCTGCTTCCCTTCGTGTAACATTGGCGTGCGCAAAAGATCCCCCGCTCTGCCGTCTTCTTTTCGGATGAGGCCCCCGGGTTACGCGTAAAAGCCGGGCGACACCTTGCCGCGTTCTCCTTGTTCGAAGTCGCCGACAGCCGCCGGGTCGTCGTGGGGGCGTGCTCTTTCTGGTCAGGAGGACTGTAAAGATCGAGGCGTGCTTTCTAGTCAAGGCGTGGATATTGCTGACCAAGCGCGTGGAGGCGGCCTCCTTCGCGGGCGGGATGGTCAGGGACTATATTTTTTCTTTTGCTTTTACTTGCCCTGGCCTCCGTGTAACGAGCTTAACGCTAGGAACTCGCACCGCGTAGCTAACTCTTCCTGGTGTAACAAGACCGCCCCACCACGCAAGCTCATAGCTAGGGAGCGGGGCGGGGGAAGTTTGGGGGGGGGGCGGGCCCCCCTGCGTTCCGCCTAGCGGGTGGGAGGGTGCGAAGCGGGGGGCCCTGCGTTACCGCAGGGGCGGGTGGGGCCCTCTCCTTCACCAAGGGGAGGGCGGGGGGCCCCCTGCGTTCGTGGCCTGCGCCCGCAAGGACGTGGGGTGGTGGCCCCCTGCTTTCCTTTTAGCGATTGGGAGGATGCGAAGCGGGGGCGCGCTGCCTTCCCAAGCGGGCGACCGACCGAACGGCGCGGGGCCCCCCGGCGGCTGGAGGAGAAGGGCCGGCGGGAGGAATTTGGGGGGCGGGGGCCCCCTGTGTTCTTTGGCGCGGCGGAGAGGGCGCGAAGCTGGGGCCCCCTGCGCTACCACGGACGGGGATTGTTGGGGGCCCCCTGCCTCGCCATGGAAAGGGGAGTGGCGGGGGGGGGGCCGTGTGTTTGTCCGCGGCCTTTTGCGGCAGGGCTTGCTTGGGGATGGGGGCCGCCTTCGTTTCCCCTAGCTAGCGGGCGGAGGGGCGAGAAGCGGGGGCCCCCTGCCTTCTCTAGCGGGCGATGGACGGACCGACAGGGCTCGGGGCGCCATTTTGGCGGGGGGGATGGCAGTGGTGGGGGCCTGGTGTGGAAACAAAGGAAGCAAGGTCGGGGGGTGGAGGCCAGCGGCGGGCCGGCCAGATGTCGACCAGCTTGGCGGCCGGGTCCGAACGAAGGAAGGAAGGCGGGGCGGGCCGGCGGGGGGCCCGAGTTGGTTCGCTAGCCCCCCGCCTTCAGACGGCGTGGCGCATACAAAAGCCCCCGCCCCCCTCATGCCGCCGCGATTAAAAGCGTCGGCCGGCCTTTTTTTTTCGCAATGGGCTTCGTTGGCGCCCCCCTTCTTCGCCCCCCTTGCGGCCCCCCGGGCCGGATTGGCCCGGGCTCCGGTCCGAGGCCTGCCTGGCGCCGGCCGGTTAGTTTCTTTCGAGTGGACACTTCAACTTCGCTGGCCACCTAATGCGGCGGGCCCATTCCAGCGACAAAGGGAGCCCGGCGCGCCCGCCCTGCCGGGCGCCAAGAAAACTAACAGACCCCGAGGAAGGGGCCCCGGCCTTCTGGTATGTAGTGAGGTCACGAGCGTTCTAATCTAGCGATCTTTTTGACGTGTCTTATCCAAAACGACCGGCAGTTTTCAAGTGGCCGGAGGTGTTTTTGAGCATAAAAGATTTCCATTTATCAAGCGGCCGGGGCTTTGTTGTCAAAAAAGCCCGAGCCAATTCTATCGATTCACGCTTGATAAAACGACGCAGCGGAGCCGGCAAAAGGGGCGCCCTTCTGAGGCGCCCGCCCCATCTGTTTCCGTCGATTTGGGGCGCCCAAAAAGGGACGCCCAAAAAGCAGCACTCCGAAAAAAACAGCGAATCCGCATAGTATGGGCCTCATTTTGGCCCACATTCGGGCCTCGCAAAAGACGCGACCAAAATCCGCCATTTCAGAGGCGGACTGAAGGCCAGAAGATGCGGCATTTTGCCAAAAAAAAAAACAAAAAAACAAAGTCCGCCAAAAGAAAAAAGCCAATCCGCATGCTATGGGCCCGATTTGTGGCTCCAAAGGGTCCGTCCCTGGCGCGGGCCCTGGCGGGGCCATAGCATGCGGGGAAGGTTTTTCGATTCGAAACCAAATGGAGGCCAGCTCTGGAGAGAGATTTTTAGCGACCGCCGTGCCGTCATGCATAACATTACTCACGATGGCATGGTGGGCACGCAGAGAAGTTGCGTCTTTTTTGGCGTGAAGACAAAAAGACCGCCATGACCTCACTACCTCCGCGGGCGCGGCTATTATTGGTATTGGGCACACAATGGGCAGAGGCAAACTAGCCCGCGCAGCTTGGTAAGCTTTTTGCTTCTTTGCGTGAATGCAGCAAAAGGCCGCGAAAGGGCGGGCGCGCGCCCGGGCATGCCGCCCCTGCCGTTTTCTGCATTGCCCGCCTTGCCATCTCTGTGCGTTGTTTCCTCCCTCTTTGCCCGTGCTCTTAATTTCCGAAGCGGCCGGGCGGCCCCTTCCCCCGCCTTCATATTACCTCGCGCCCCCTTTGCATGCCCCAACCAAGCGCACGCCCAGCGCTCTGCGCTCCTGCTGGAATGCAAGGGCGGGCGGGGGCCAGCGATTTCAGTTCGGGTGGCAACTGGCCGCCCGGAGTGAAGCCTGCCGTGGCCGCGCGGTCCCGGGGGCCCTTCAATAGAGAGGCCCGCCGCCCTTTCTTGGTATTGCCTTAGTTATTTTTGTGGCCGCGCCCTTTTTTTTCCCGCAGCGCGGTTGTTAGCAGAGGCATTCTGGCGACCCTACCTCGGGGCGGGCGTATTGGGGGAGGGGGGCAGTTGGGGGCAGGAAATTATGGGGCAGGATAGTTGCAGGATGCGAAGTTGCAGGATGCGAAGCTGCAGCGTGCGACGTTGCAGGATGCGAAGTTGCAGGGTGCGAAGTTGCAGGATGCGAAGTTGCGGGATGCGAAGTTGCGGGGTGCGAAGTTGCAGGCTGCGAAGTGGCGGGGTGCGAAGTTGCAGGATGCGAAGCAGCAGGATGCGAAGTTGCAGGCTGCGAAGTTGCCGGCTGCGCAGTTGCAGGATGCGAAGTTGCAGGATGCGAAGTTGCAGGATGCGAAGTTGCAGGGTGCGAAGCTGCAGGCTGCGAAGTTGCAGGATGCGAATTTGCAGGCTGCGAAGTTGCAGGCTGCGAAGTTGCAGGCTGTGAAGCTGAAGGGTGCGAAGTTGCAGGATGCGAAGTTGCAGGATGCGAAGCTGCAGGATGCGAAGCGGCAGGATGCGAAGTTGCAGGCTGCGAAGTTGCAGGATTTTCGCAAGAGGCCGCGGCCCCGGAGTTGGTTGGGGTCACGGATTTGGTTGGGGTCGCGGAGTTGGTTGGGGTCGCGGGGTTGGTTGGGGTCGCGGAGTTGGTTGGGGTCGCGGAGTTGGTTGGTGTCGTGGAGTTGGTTGAGTGTTGCGAGTTGGTTGAGGTGTTTTGTTTTTTTTTTTGTGCTGTTAACATTTAGAGCATCCACATCTACATCCGAAGCAGCTTTATCTATGAGTGATGTGCGTCGGTTGGCTGCTAGCGGAAATAAGCAAAGGCATAGCGGTCCACCTGCTCGACACTGGAGACCTAGGCTTTTAAACCTTGCAGGGCTACTCGTCGGGTGGGTTTATTTTTGCACCGCGACCAATGTCGAAGCTTGGGCCGCGGGGGGAGTATGGTCTCAGAGCAGTCCCGACGTTTCTCGTTTCGTGCTGCCTCCCAAGCGGTGCTTCGTCCCAAAATCACATTGAAACAGATGGAGGAAAGGCGGCGCGCGGCTTTCGCCACGTGCTACCCTTCCTCGCGCCAACCCGGGACGAGGATACCTGCAGGGTGGGGCTGCTGATGTTCAGCCACGTCAACCTGCATCGGACAAGGTGGGGCCTGCTGCGCCAGCAGGCTCAGCGGTACCACGTAGGTAAGCGCCTCAGTATGTCTGAACCACCTAGAAGACCAGCCTAGTTTATCGGCTGTTCACAGGCAACCAGCGACCGTCCTAGCTAACACATGTTGAGGCGAGGCGCGGCCGGGTGTGTAGGTATGCCTTTGCAGGCTTAGGGAATGCCCAAGATCTCCCATGCCGCCCCCTATCGGTGTGATTCTTTGTATGCGACCATGGAAGGCCACGGCATACAGCGTGGCACTGGAATAAATACGCATGACCCGACGACTGCAGGTCCGCAGGGGTAGTAGATCAGAGCACTTCACTAAAAAAGCCAAAGCTCGCCAGGGGCGAGGGCAAAGAAAAAAGCTACCACCTAAAAAAACCACAGACGCCGCGGCGAAGCGGGTAGGTAGCTCCCTGTCCTCGGTGTAGATTTAGGCTTCATAGAACAGCACTGCAGCGCGGGAGAGTCTGCATGTCCTAAAGAGTTAAAGTGTAATCGGCATGGGTTTAGGGTTTTTACATATGTAGTGGCGTCGGTAGAAACTAATTTACAGATCGCGATCTTGTAGAAACTTGCATATAGCTCGGGGCTTAGGGAAGTAGCCGTACGCGCCGAGCCTATTTCAGCCTCTGTCTACAACCTCCGCCTCGTTTTCTTCGCTTTAATTCCAAAAAATACAGGACTGGCATCACAAAGCCACGCAGTTCCCCCGGCTACAGTGATCTACTCAGACGTCAAGTTTGATTTTGCATTGCTTGCGTCGCGAATTATAATTGGCCAAGCATGAGGATGAGGAGAAATGGAATTTGTAATCATGCTGGTTTATATATGATCCTTATGTTGCACTTGCAGTACTTAGAAGTACAAATGCGGTACCGATACTGGTGTTGCCCATGATAGATCATTGTCGCAGCTGAGCAGGCCATATCGCGAGCCGCGGCGACGAGAAGGATAAGCAGATGGACTTCGCAGCGTTTGCTGGACTACCACCAGACGAAGGCAGCTGTTCGTATTCTGATGCAAAACGTTCACAACTATTGCAGCAGCGACGAAACAGGCGAGGAAGCGCTGCGCTTACTGCTTCGAAACGCAGAGTCGGTACTTAATCCCATCCATCAATAGTACTAAGGCCGTTTTCCGTGCTGCTTTTCGACCAGAAAGACCAGCTCGAGATGATTCGTTTAAGTTTATCTTAGTGTTAGTGCGACGTGCTGTGTCTAGTACGCCTATTATGCAGGAATGCAGCACTGCTTCCAGTTCCAATATATAAGTCATATCAATTTCGCAGAAGGGGGCTCATCGATAATGCGCGCGCGCAGAACGCGCACCCGTAATATAGTAACGCGCGCCGGGCGGGGCTGCTGGCGGCTAGGGGTGGGGCGGGGCACAGGGTTCGCAGCCAGCGGCGGGGCTGATGGCGGCGTGGTTTCGGGGTGGGGCGCGATGGTGGCGGCTGGGCTGGGCTGTAGTACAGGCATGTGGATGCGGTTGGATCAATCATGCGGCTCAACACGAGCAGCGAGAGGAGGCAAATGCGACGAACAGAAAGGCTGTTGGCAGGTCGTTGCTCTACGGTTTACGACTCGGAGGAAGCTTGATAAGTAGCTGTGGACTCACAAAAAAACGCCACTTTCGGCGTGTCGGGATTAGACGAGACCACGAGGAAGGTCTTGCTCTTAACAACAAAGCCACTCATGGTCTATTTGTCGAAATTGGCCGAGATCCGGAGGAGCCTGCGAACTTTGTCACAAAAAAAGGCCAGTATTGACGACCACGACCCGGAGGAAGGGAGAAAGCAGTTCTCCTCTATACGAAAAAGGCCGCGCGCCGTTTCCTTCATTCGGCCACGACCCAGAGGCGGGCCAGGGCGTTGCTCTTTCCTTACGCAGGTGGCCGCGTTTCGTTTTCTTGGTTTGGCACTGAGGCATTCAGCGGCTTGCCTGTGGCCCAGAAGAGGGCCCGAGTGTTGTTTTCGCATCACAAAACCAGGCCCACCTCTTTTGTCTGAATTCCGCAGCAATATCCTGCGGCGCCGTTTTTTTTTCCTTTTTGTATTTTTATGGCTCAGAAAAAAGCACGAAAGCCAAAGTCTAGCCTTTTTCTTTTATCGCAGTGGCCACGTTTGAAAAAAAAAAAAACGCAAGGGAATGACCGAAGCAGGCGACTTGATTTGTTATGGGGGAGGGGGGCGCACTCTGTTGCTGCATCCGAAGCCGCGGAGCTTTAGAGTTTTACTTTTGTGAAGGCTCCCAACGTCTTGGCTGCGCTTTGGTTTTGCGCAAAAACTCGTGGCTATCACAGTGACGCAGGTGGGGAAGCGACGCGACAGGTTTCCTCTGCGAACAAGTCTCGGCGCATCTGCTTCGCGGTGCGTGCGTGGCTGTCTTTCTGTACGAAGGCGATTACACGACGGGGGGGGCGGTTGGGGGTGTCTGTTTGTTTTTTCTAGCACGGACCGCGTCCGCACTCTTTATCAATCTAGTAAGGTCAGCTCTCTGTCTCTGGCCGGAGGTCTCCCGTCTTCACCTATCATTAATGGTTAGGAAATATGAGCACAGCGCGAGCTCGCACAAAAATGACGCTTGCGCTCTAAGTTCACTGCTGGATGCCGTCACGGTTCGAATCGATAAAGGTCCTTCTTTCCCAGCATGGAGTGATGCATCTATGGTCGTTGGTGTTGCTAGGTTGACAACGCACGACCAAAACAGAAAAAACTAATTCCAGGTCTTTTACATGCCTGAGTTCGAGCACTTCGCTGACCTCTTTGTCCAGGACATCGTGCTTCCCTACCTGCTATTGACTGCAAATGTTTTGAGTCTGGCAATTGAGTTGTTATCTTTGTTTTATATCGTAGCGAGCAGTGCACATGTCACGGGTAAGCCTAAAATTTAACAGCATCAGCTTTGCCAGATATTATTTGTCTGTGGCCCTGTTGCCTAATACGCATGACATGGTCGGTTTTTGCATGATAAACAATTCTTTGGAGCGCTGCGGAAGCATGCATTCATAGATCATGTTTATGTCAGTGCGGGAGTATTTGTATTATCCAGACCAGGAGATATTTGCAGTGCATACCTGTGCCGGCGCCGCATGGTTTCGGTCGGAGTGCGGTGGCAGATGGCCGGCCTCTTAACCACACTGCTGGCCCGGTTTCCGCAGGTTCGTGACGAAGCTGTCGGCGGGCTATTGTCTTTCATCGACTGCGCAGCAGAAGATCGAAAGGCGTATTCTAGCGGGCACGCCGCGCCCGCGCCGAGCTTGCATTGGGACGAGCAGGATACTGAAGGACGAAAGGTTCGCAGACGGCTGGAGCATCGCCGTGTCAACGGAAAGGCAGCCTTGCTGTCGCTTAGTAGAAGCGAAAACCAGTTGCCCGTCGTTAGCAAAGATGTTGACTCAGAGCAAGACGAGGATCATGGCGCAGTTGACCATATAGGCACGGACGACGAAGAGCTTGACGATTCTGACTCAGATGGTCTATCAGCAGATGGCGATGAGGAAAATCTATCCCTCCGAGACGAAGCCGGGCAAGCCACGACAACTATCACGGCAATGAATATTGAAGTCGACAGCGGCGCTAACCCAATTGCCGATTTCTTGCCAGGTCCCATTTCCGGAAGCGCCACTGTCAAGACGCTCGAGGAGGAAGCGGAGGAGGCTATCCTCACATTCGGCAACATGAACATCATGACGGTGCAAGTATCCAGATGAAAATTGCCCCGGCCCCCAAAGACAGACAAGGCGAGTGATTTGCTTTGCAAAGAATAAGAAGTTTTCACATCTTGGAGAGTTCTTGCGCAATGGGACTCTGACGCATTTTGCTTCAGACCCCAAGCCAGTTGGTTGCGCAGCTCTATTAATGTGATAGATATCGCCTCTGGTGCGGTGCCGATGTTCACGAGCACGACTGCAGAACTACGCTGTTCTGGGTCTGGAGCGTGCGCTGCTTAGTGCTTGTACGTATTTGACATGAGTGAAGCCTTAGAGTGCGAATATTCCTCGCATCATAGAGAAGCTTTGCTGGCCCTGTGCCATCCGGGCTTCGGTCATGTGCTCCCGCGTTGCGTAGACCTTCAAACCCTGGACTGCAATTGCGCCCTCTGATAAGCAATACTACAGCCACATCGAGGAGTGCGCTCTTCGGGGGAGGGGTTCGGGTTTGGGCGCCCGAGGTACTGGCGGCGCGAAGTCTGTCTAGCTGCAATGCAATCAATATCCCGGTCCGTGGTGGGGCTAGTTTTCACATTGATAGATGAAAGGCCGAGATGATCCTGCGGGCGACCTCGACGACAGCCTAGACGAGGAACTGGGACAGGTGGAAGTCGACAAGGAGGATTTACTGTTTTTCGGTAGTAGCGACGAGCAGGTTCAGGGTGCTATGTGGGGCCTGATTCTCTGCGGAGTGGCGGTGGAGCGCCTCGCGGGCGTGCCGTGTTTAGCCGGAGAGGTCGAGTCCTGCAATCATTTACTTCGAACTGTGCACAGAAGATCGCACTCTCAATATGAATATGTTGCAAGGAAAGCTGCTGAATCGTCTGACTACGATACTCTTAGCCTCATGATCCTGTAGCAGAGCAACGAGGTGCTATCTTTCCGGTCACCTAGTCATCTTCAACTGATTGAAGCAGATGACCTCCTGAGGCAGCCTTATTCTGCAGGCACGTCACTTGCATTTATTTTTCCGCATAATAATGCAATTGGAATTGCTCCTTGCTTACCTTAATTATATCTGTTCGCGCTTCGCGTTCGCCGGTTGTGTTTTCCGGCGATTAATATAGAGATTTTGTGGGTGCCGCTGCGTCTTCTGGAAGGTAAGGTGGGTAGGCGGTCGCCCGTTTTTTGCATCGCATGCAAGTGGAGGAGCAAGTACTTTTTTCACATGAGTAATGTCGTTCGCGAGCGTTGCTGACCTTGAGTTGCGAAGCGAGAAGACCCGTGACAAGGTTTCGTTCCGGAAGATTGTTGTGTTGTCCTCTTGGCGTTAGTTTTTCTTTTTACTGATTAGAGCGATTATCCGAGTTGCATGACTTCTACGTTTGGTGAAAACTATCAAAGCACTCTCCGTGATTTTCTCTGAATGGTCACAGCAATTCGGTCTGAGAAATCGGAGCTGTTGTTCCCGGCGCGGCCCGCGAACAATGGAAAACTACCGGAGGCGGGGGATGGAGGTGACGTGTCACGTGTCGTGGCTGTCTATCGTTTTGCTGATGACGAAAACGAAGACTCATATTTCGCTATGGCAGCCGCGGAGGCTGAGCAACAGCCTCGTCGGGCAGATGGCAGCTTGCCGTGCGAAGACCTAGTGCGCGGGGTGGTGGAGGGATCCCATCTCCACGCAAAAACTGTCCACGGGCGCTCCGCGCCAAGTTGCATGACGAGGTACTCTTGCGCTGTGGAGCGTGAAGTCTACAAAAGATGGAAAAAGACCCCCGCGGCATTGCAGGCAGGCAGGTCGTGCAGAGACGACGAGCCTGTGGTGGATGATGAGAGGAGCAATACAGAAGTTGTAGTTTCTGGCGCAACAAGAGATACAAGGATATGTCGTACTCGGCCGAACGACGAGGGTTGTTCTCTTCAGGGTTCATGTCGAAGCAGCAACCCCAAGCTTCTGAACACCACTGAGTCCAGCAGTGAGGACGACGCCGCGACGTCCTCCTCCGGGCTTCGAAACCGGAAGCAGATAGTTGGCAGGTCATCGCCGTCTGGAGCTTCGTGTAGGGAGCTCGGCGTCGTGAGTGAGTCTGTGCAAGACCACAGGCTTGAGATTGAAGCCTCGTCATCACAAATGAAGGAGGCCGCTTCTCCTGGTAGACCGCAGAAGTGCGCTGCTTTCCCTGCATGTGCAAAACGTGCGGAGGAGCACGACTTGGGGCCTTGGAACTTCTTGCAGAACTACACAAGCCTCGAACAACGACTCGACGCCATTTGGCGTGCCGTTGGTCCGAGTGACGGCCCGGATATGCAGCGGCTAAAGCAGGTCTTGAAAGAAAATTGCACACAAATTCGGGTCGCAATTGTAGGACCTCAGAGTGATAATGACGCGATCGACGTTTCCCACGAGAAAGAGCAGACCAATGATGCTCATGGTGAGGACAGAAACGCTTTTGGGCCGAGCAATGCGGTGGTCCTGTACTCCTTCAAAGACGGCAGCACCTTTTTCGGAGCGCCCCCGTTTCCGGAGGGTTCTTCGTCCACGTATATTCATCCAGGTGCAAAGATACCGATAAACATAGATATTTTTCCAAATAGATCTTACTTCTAAATTTCTCAAAAACTTGACATTCATAACTTGCAATCGTCGCTTGCCGGGTGCAGACAGCAAAAAAAGATCCAAGTGGTGAGAAAGCCACTAGTGTCGTGAATTTGTTGACCTGTGAGCCGGCTTCTACTTGTACTCGTGAGGGTGTGGGTTTTTTTCGCGCCGTAAAGAACTTGCTGGTGTGCAGTATGGGCGCGAACGTTCTAACGCGGCAGTGTTCTACTTGCTGCGTCTTGTCATGTGTCATTTTTGGCCCGAAATTTCTAAGCTGCCAAAGAAAGCGTCCTAGTCCTTCGACATGAAAAAAGTCCAGCGCCTCAGTCTGTTTGGCTTTGCGTTTGGGGCCAAACAAGCCCACCTCATTGCTATGGGTTACCGCTCGAAAAACGACGCAAGTAGTAACCGCCTGACTCTGCCCAGTTGTGTCAGCGAAAATAAAGTGAGCGCAACAAAGAGCTTGGCCGTATGGCGGGACCGGAAAATTTCGGCTGTTTTGGCGATCGCGATAGCGGTCACCGCCAGGGCCAGTTTTAAGCCTCTCGGCAGGAGCTTTGCAAAAGTCACACTCTTGGAAAAGTAAAGCGTATAACTATGCGCGGAAAACGCAACGCTCGCGAGGTTTCGGAAGTTTTTGCGCAAGGTATAGACGGCATGCGACTCGTCACGCATGCCCGTGCCATACTGTAGACGCAGGGAGTAAAAAAAAAGCGACTATCTGTCTACTGTAGTGCCTGAGGCTGAGCGGAGGACCAGGGCACACCTAGTGCGGTAGCTTCCGAGTGGCGTGCAGGCATGCGTTGTTGCTATAAAATTCCGGCGCTATGCTACTCGCCACGCCGCTAGGTGGCCTGCAGTGCCCATGTTGGGGGCCAAGAGGTATTTTTTGGTAGTGGAGCACCTCCTGGGGCAGAGGGTACGCTTGCCCGGCAGTACCCGAGTCGGTTAAAACTACAACTAATCATCGTGCTACTGCTCGGCGCAGGGTATAGACGCAATGCTACTCCCCCATGCCATACCGTACAAACCCTTGCGACTCATCTCCATTCACAGATTGTGAAGAAGGTCAAGACTTTCGAAAGAAATAGTTGTGGAGTAGTAGTGCTTCACTTCGTCGTGACCATATTTATAAATATACATAGTATCAAAATCTATAATTTCTGTGTTGGAGGCTTTTATTGGGTTTTCATGATTAGGAGTATATCATTCTACTTGCAGATCCTTCACTAGCGAGCTTCTATCGAGTTCATAACGGCGTCGGGCTCGTCTTATCTCCAGAGAAGGATTTATGGAGACTATTAAGAAATCCAAAGGAGTTTCAGGGCGGCTCAGCCTTTTACGTATTTCCTGCCAGCCTAAGATACGAAGCGGGCCGTTGCCAGTCTTGTCACTCTTCGGGGAAGACGGGTCATAACAATCCCGATGGATCGTCTTCACCTGGACCTGTTCACCTTCTCGGCCGCATAGACAAGAATTGTCTGGTTTTGTGCAAAAACAGCACGGACGATGACCCCTGCCAAGCGCCGCGCAGGAGTGCAGTTGGATATGCGGACAGCGGAGGCACTATCGAGTGGACTTCGGACGAGGCGCCCATAGTGTGTATGGCAAGTCGAAAGTTCCAATACCACCAAACTGCTTCTGGGTGAGGACGAGGGACGCTCCGGAGTGACTTTTTGATATTCCCGAATCAGCATCAACATTTGCATTAGGACAACTCTCATCTCATGTACATGTTCATGCAGCTTCTGCGTCGGCACTCTTCCGGGGTAGTTAGTTTCAAGGAAGTTCTTGCAACACAGTTACAGACGCAAAAAGCCAGGTCGAGCAGCAACAGAAGCGCCATGGTGATATAAACTCGCACTAGAAGGCGCGTCCTATTGTTCGCGCGAGCTGAGCGTGAGCACGGTCACGGTGTGCTCTACTGCATGGAATTGATGGGCGTCCCGGTTGGCAATCTGCCAAGCTCGGTCGTAGCAGCGCGACGGTGAATCAACAACAAAGAAATAGGTACAGCATGTATCGCGGTGGGCGACTATGCTCGTGTACATACACCCGCTCCCGGCAAAGAAAACTAGCCTGTCTTTGACCGGTTTCGATAACCGATAAGCGCACGTATAATTCTGCAGCTGGAGTTTCTTGTGGTTTGGGATTCGACGTTGCATACACGTCGTTCGAGCGACGATCGAAAACTTCGTTGGAGTTCTACAGTCGAGCTGCAGTCTCGACTGCCTGCACTAGCGTACTAGATTGGCTGCGTGCGGAGGGAAGAGGGACTCTTGGTCTTTAGCATTCTAGAGATGCGTACTGTTTATATCAAAATGCCTTGGCTTGGTAAATGACAATCAAACTTTCTTGCTGGCATTATACATAGGGCAAAAATATACAAGATTGGATACCTTGGACAGATGAAAAACGTTCCGAGGAGGCTACTTCCTTTATCCCCCGGGGGAGAAGCCGGGTTACCAAATAATACCTCTTGTATTGTAGGATATTGGCGATAGTACACCTTATAGATACTGATGGTGCTGCAAACTTTTGTCGACTTCTTTTACCGCACTCAGGGCGTCGCTAACCCGAGGTGAAGCAATTGGATTCCGAAAAAAGAAAGAAAGAAAAAAAAAGAGGCCGGTACGCTCTGAGACGCAAAACCGGAAACGCGACGGGATTGCGGAGAACCCCCCGAGGGATCCGCCCGCTCCCCGGGGGATCCGCCCCTTCCCCAGGGGGGCCGCCGCTTCCCCGGGGATACGCCCACTCTTCGGGAGATCCGTCGGCTCTCCGCCCCTTCCCCGGGGGATCCGCCCATTTTTCGAGGGATCCGCCCGTTCTTCGGGGGATCCGTTCTTGCTTCGGGAAGTTCGCCCGTTCTCCGGGGGATCCGCTCGCTCTTTGGGGACTTCGCTGCTGCTTCGGGGGATCTACCCGCTGCCCGGGGGATCCGCCTTTGCTTCGAGAAATCCGCCCGCTCTTCACGGGATCCGCACTTGCTTTAGCGGGTCCGCCCGTTGCCCGGAGGAAAAAAGTGCGCAAGTGTGCAACAGTGCCTGGCGAAGCGATGGCTTTCTCTGATCAGATTTTGGGCCAGGGAGGGTGAGATAGCAGGGCGACAGAGTGCGCAAGCCTGCAGCCGGGCCAGGACAGCCTCGTCCGAGAGACTGTTCGCCAAAAATCGACCGCGCGCCTTCCTCGGGAGAGGGCTGTCGCAGACGGCCCAAGTTCGGCCACAGGATTCCGGAGGGGGTTGGGGAATCCTCGTCAGAACCCTCTGCCGAAATCGATGCCATACCAACCAGCGGGAAGGGACGCCGCAGACGGCTGAATAGTCAAGGGCCGCGGTGGAATCTCCTCCGGAATCCCCGCCAGAAATCCCTACCGAAGTCGGGGCCTTACCGCCGGGGCAAGGGCGTCGCAGGCGGCCCAACTTGGGCCCGAGGATTCCGGAGCGGATTTGGGAATCGATCCCATCAAAAGTCATCTCTACCGACCGAAATCGAGGCCATGCCGCCAGGGAGGGGGCGTCTCAACTCAGGCAGCTCAATCTGGGCCGGAGGATTCCGGAGAGGATTTGGCAAACTTCTCCAGAATCCCCGACCGAAACGGAGGCCGTACTGCCGGGGCAAGGGCCTCAAGGGCGGCTCCACTTGGGCCAGGAGAGGACTACGGCGGGGGTTCTGGAGTGTTCCCTAAAATCCCCCGTCGAAATCGAGGCCCTGCCGCCGGGGTATGGGCGTCGGTCGCAGGCGGCTCGTCTTGGGCCAGAGGCTTCCGGAAACGGTTTCGGAATCCTCTCCGGAATCGTCGTCAAAATGGAAGACCTTCCCCGAAACCGAGGCCATGCCGCCGGGCAGGGGGCTTCGGGCTCAGGCGGCCCAGTTTGGGCTTGAGGACTTCGAGCAGAGCTCCACAGGAATCCTTGTCAGAACCCCTCACCGAAATCGAGGCCACGCCGCCGGGGGAGGGCCGTCCGAGACGGCCCGGCCGATGGAGACGGCCGAAGCAGGGGCAGGGGATTCCAGCGGGGATTTTGAAAGCCTCGCAAGGACCCCTCTGAAAATCCTCGCCCAGAAGCAGGCCCATACCGGCGGGGGGGGGCGTGGCGTGCGAGGCGGCGGGCTGGCGCAAGTTGGGCCAGAGGACTTCCGAGGGGGTTTTGGAATCCTTGCAGGAATCCGCGCCCGAATGTGAGGCCATACCGCCGGGGGAGGGCCGGCTGACAGACTGAGACGGCCCACGTTGGGCCAGGGGACTCCGAAGGGCCTAGGGGTTGTGGAGGCAGGCCTCTCGGGCGCCCACCTGTCCTCGGGGTCCTTCAGCGAAGTCGCGGCCATAGCGCCGGGGCTGGCGGGGGCTTCTGGGACGGCTCGAGGCGGGCCAGAGTGCCCCGCCGCGGGCGGAAATGTGCGCAGGAAGGTTAGCCACGAGCACGACAGCAAGCGCGGTCGGTGGAAAACGCCACGGGGCTGCGCCATTTCAGTCGTTTTCGTGCTTCCGCGGGTCGGGTGAAGAAAGTGGCCCCAAACACGGCGGGGCTGTGGTGTCGTCGCGCATAGAGTGCACGCAACAAGTAGAAGGACGGGTCACGGCGGCAGGGCACTACAGTGGCCGCGCTGGTTTCCAGGTCTCCAGGGCCAGAAATTGTGTAGCCTTAGGGCCCAGAGCGTCCGTGGCCGTCGTTGTCATACAGTAAGTGGGGATGTCGTCGCGCTTCCGCTTGCAGTATATTCATTGCCAGCCTCGGGGAGAGCCCTGTTGGGCTCGCCTTGCCTTGGGGTTGTCGGTTGCAACCGGTAAGGCGGTGGCCGAGTAAGCCGCAAGGAGACAGGGGGAGAGGGTCCGAGTTCAGTGTGGGCGCCCGGCGTGCTCGCGCGCCGGTGTTCTCCTACTTGTCTCGCGCTAGGCGGATGCCCCATGCCCCGCCCGCGCTAGCCGGCTACCCCTTACCCCACCCGCACTACCTAGGTAGCTAGCCAGCCGGGCCGCCCTGCCGCTAGCCTGCCTCCCGGTTGCCGCAATCCTGCTGGCCACCGCTAGCCTGCTGGCTACCGCCAGCCTGCCGGCCACCACTAGGTAGCCTGCTGGCTACCGCGAGCCTACTGGCTACCGCGAGCCTGCCGGCTACCGCGAGCCCGCCCTGCCGCTAGCCTGCCTGCCAGCCGGCTGCCGCTGGCCTTTCATTCTTAAAAATGCCATTGAAGATCGTGGCCCGTAAGGATTTCCGCTCAAGAAAGTCGCCGCAACTCTTCGCCATGAGCCAGCCTGCTATCGGCCCGATTTGTGATGATTCAACATTGTTGCCGAAGCACTCATAAAAATGCAGCATACCGTCGGCGCAAAACGAATCCCCATGGCCCTATCAATTCCCCGCCCGCCCATTTTTTAAGAGCTTCTGTAAGGGAAAACCTCTTCCGCTGCCCATGTAGCAACGTCCCGGCTCCGCGGCCGATGCAGCAAGGGTTTAAGGGTTCGCTTAGGATTCCGAACTTGATTTTAAATAAGAGGCTCATAGCTAAAACGGGCGGCGTTTCTTCAGGAGTTCACGCTGCCGAGCGGTTGCGACACTGGTCGCCAACTACTTACAATCAGGGACATAGATAGTACGGCAAACAGTTGCTCGCTCGCCTGAAGAAGCGAGCACGCAATTGATTTTAAGAGGCTCTCTAAGGGGAAGCCTTAGCGGAAGTTTCTATAGGTGTTCCGTTTGTGAGAACAAGTAAAGGGAACTATCACGATTGATATTTGTTCAGGTGAAGGCTATGAGCTAAAGCGTCGCGTCAGTCGGGACCCTTCCCCTGTCGTTTGCCGACGTTAATCTTAGAGCGGTGATATTCATGTTGATGGGATTTTAATACGGATCTCATATATCATCGACCTATCTCCCGTATCAAAATTAAAAGTACTTACAAGTAAGATCGCATACGCATGCCGTTGGGTTTCAATTTTGTTTTCCCCAGGAAAAAGCAGGCGCATCATTGTCGGTACGTGTTTCGTGCTGTGCCTTTTTCGATCCTGCAGCTCCTGATGTACTATTTTTCTGTGCGAAATACAACCTGGTGGAGAGCTTTGCAATACTGACGTTGCTCCCCAGCAAGCGGCGGGTGACGACAAATGATTGCGCGAAACTTATTACAGTCTCGCTCTAGGACTAGGAGGTGTGACAAACAACGTCAGCGCACCGGTTGACCGCTTACATATTCGTTCCGGAGATCAAAAAATAAAGCAAAATACAAATAGTGATCGGAAAAGATTGAGAGACCACGGAGACCGCATTTCTCGTCCGTTTTTCTGCTGCGTGCAAGGTCGTTTAGTCCTTGGTCGAAGATGGTGGCTCTCGATGACGTTGTGGCGTTCACCGGCGTGCTTGGGAGCATCGGCATGTGCTCCTATTTTGCCTTCATGATGATACGAAAGCCAGAGGAAATGCTTGCCAATTTCGGTTATGTAGCGGCGGACAAAGAGCAGCTGTATCCGTTGGTGGTTTCGCTGATGCGCTACCTGGGGGCCGCGCATATAGCTTTCAGTAACTTTAACGTTAGTACTCGCCCCCTCGTGTACTTGAGTATTCATATGCAGAGAGCCCACGAACGTTCTAACCAGGATTGGAGTTTTCTACTTGTCATATTCATCGTCTAAAATCAGTCGAGTGCTCTCTCCGGTGTTGCTTCGTTATAATATAACAAATCTCCCTCAAACACTGTTTGATGTTGATCTCCAGGATAAGTGCTTGAAAAAACAAGAGTGACGCAGCCGTGTCGATGCTAGTGGTGGCCTTTTCAGGCGCCCGCCGCCTTTGATTTTGCTGGCAGGCAATTCGGGGACTCCAAAAATTTCCCAAAAGAAGAAGTGCCCGAAATGAGGACAGCGAACTCGTATGGTGTGGCAGGCGTCGACGACTTGGGGCATTCAGGGCGATCCCGATCGCGAAAGCGGCAGCATGGCCGTCGGCTCCAAAGCCGGGGGCAGCTTCGCGACCGAAAGTCACGCTCGCATGAAAATGAAAAGGAAAGCAAAACAAAACGCAAAGCCTAAGCGCCGTACTTCGTATCGCAGCACTTACGCTGATATCTTTTGGGTCGTCCGTCCGCCGCATCTACGGCGCCGTTCGCTTGGGGGGCCCAAGAAACTCGCCAAACTCGCAAAGTTGGGGCCGCTTGTTCATTGGCCGCCATGCTCATTCCGCGCGGCGTGGCGCCGGCCGCGGGGGTGCGGCTTGGGTGCGCCTAGAATGGAAAATAAAAACCGCGCGCGCCGCACCATTTTTTCACGCGCCCCCCCCTTAGCGTGGGTGTTCCGCCCGCTTTTCCGCAGCGCGTACTTTTGGAAGCTTCGCCGAAGCTGCAAAAGGCTTGATCCAAGGGAGCCGCTCCGTGCAAGAGTTGTGCGGCCGGTTTCTGGCTCGAGGCGAGAAAACGCCGCGGACCTCATTGCCTCCCCCCGCGGAGGCGGCAAACTAGTTCTGGCACTACTCAGCACGCTACCCAGCTGAGTCCGCTTGAGCCCATCGCTACTTGACAGCGATCGGACCGGGCCCGTCAATGTGGCAGGAAGCCTGACACCGATAGATGAGCCAAGTTGTCGAATGGGTACTTACTTTATATATATAAATATATACATACGAAGTAAGAAAGGTTGTAGAAGATCTAGATCTAGATCTAGTTCGCCCACTCGTGACCATGTTGCGGGATGGATATACATCTGCCATTGTCCCCTTTGAACAAATGTCATCTCTCCGCTATCAGGTTTGGTTGCCACCTATTTGTTGGTCTTATCGGTGTTCTACACGGGGCTGTGGCAGACGTCGTTGACCTTTGTGGTGGTGTATGTTGCTGGCCTGGCCTGCGTGGCGGGGTACCGCGCATTTTACGAGGACCTAAAAACCCCAAAGAACTCGGCTGTCTCTGTTGAAGCCAACAAGAAGAACTTCAAAATTACCGGCGCGGCCCTGGCGGTCCTGCTATTTGCCGAATTCTTGCTGTGGTTGTACTCTCCGGCGTACGGGCAAAACTACGTAAACGATGCAGTGTACCCCGCGCTAAAAAATATTATTTATGCAACACTATGAATTTTTATTTTGTATAGCTGTTGATCTTGCTATTTAGCATGAAAGACATTATATACATGCCATTTCGTACTGCATAAAGATAAACATAAATACCTGCGGTACAGTTACAGCTCGACACTGATTAGAGTAGAACAGATCCCGCACGACAGATCGATCGAGTTTTTGCATGTCGCCGTGACATTGTCGTTTACTTACACGAGAAAAGAAGAAACGAAATAGCAAGGTCGTGCTCTTGCCTCTCTGCTGGCAATAAGACTTCATAGAAAAAATCGATCCGGATTTTTTTCTTGCATACACTGCACGGGCTGCCCGACAATTTGACCTTCGTCAAAAACCGCGTCCAAAACTTCTTCCTGCAACACCGGCAGGTGGTGTTGTGAGAAACGCGGCACGGTTTTTCTCTTGTTCCATGAAGATGTTCCCTCCGCTGTGTGATGGGTGCAGCAAGTAAGTATCCAATGCTGGCTCCTTTGCCTTTATATATTATTGTCTTGATCGTTAACGTTATGTTTATGGGTTGTAGTACTGCTCTGGCGTTGATTTTTATCGTTTTTTTTCCTCAGTACTATGCGCTGGGATCCCCAGTGTGTCATACTACTTGCAAGCGCCAGCGCCATCTTGGGATCCTTCCTACTTCACTTCACGTCTAGCGTTGAACATGATTCGTTTCGCTGTCTTTTTCGGAATGGTCGTTCGAATTCGCTTTTATTTGTTCTTGCCGGCCCGACGGGATAACTTTGCACCTGCTTTGGCAGAGTGGTTGGACCATCAATGTCAATAACAGCGCGAAGTGGGAGGTGTCGAGCTCTTGTGTTCTCTCATCGTCTCTTCTGGTGCTGTGCAGATGCAGTATGGATGAAGAAAAGCAGTCAGGAGAGGAACGTCGCCTGGCGAAAGTGCTTGAAGTGGTGTATCTATGTGCATGTAGCTTCCGCATGCAAATTGAATGATTATGTATTGGTTCTTTGTCAAAACCAAAAGTATAGTGACTGGTGACGACGCTTGCAAAAGAAATGGAGCAGGAGCTAACCTATGAAATAGCAATTATATATAGTTACCTACATTACCTATACAGTGTGAACGTCGTCCCAGCAGACGGCTCGTGACGCGAAGCGGTAAGGCAATCCAATCGCGAACTTTTCACAAAGATTGCACACCAGCAGAAGTCTGTGTGCGACGGAGCGTCTCATGGATCGTCATAATGTGCGTTTGATCAGATGCACAACTAAAACAAGCGTAAAACTTTCATATATCTACTTGAAATTCGAAATCCGAATGAAAATGAATGAGCCAGAGATCTCTCAGTCTGAGGAGGTGTTCCTGTGTGGAAAATTAGAAAGCATTTTCCAGCTCAATTGAATTTGAAATTCAACAGGATCCCAAATGATCCATGACATCGGTAAAAATTTTTAGAGTTAGACACTGACTCGCAAAATACAATCCGAATATCTGCAGGATTTCTTTCATTTCACATGTTTTTTAAGAGAGAAGGCGCCTTAGTGTATTTACTTTTTGTTTTTTAATGTTCACAGACAGATCAGAAGCAGGACGACCATTACTGTAGAGAAAGGAAGAAGCGCTTTTTTTGTTGTCGTTGACTTTGCAATCGTTATTTTGGTTGCATAGCAGACTATGACTACTTGAGAATTGTTTGGTCAAATCAACCCTAAACCCTAAAACCCTTAGACTTAGAAGTTTCAGCATCATCATGTTGAGTCGGAGTAATTTGATTCAAGAGTTGGACCCTAACGAGCGGGGGAACGGCGGCGAAGTGGCGTTATTGGAACTTGATGGCGCAAAGGCAGCGTATATTCGTAAGGCGGCAGTCTTCTTTCGATCGACAGTTAAGGATGCTAGGGCTCATGTGAACAAGGAGAATCTTCTTGCGGCGGACAAGACAGCCATCAAGGCATCTAGTGCTGGGTTCAAGAAGGGATTTTTGTTGAAGTGAGAGCAGGTGGCATGCAGTTGCGCAAGCACTGCTCCTCACACCGGAGAAGGGAGCGGAAGGATTTGTAAAGCAATTTGAGAAATTGAAATCTGAATCTCAACCAAGTAAGTAAAAGAATAATAGACATTATTAGAAGTCCTGACGACGAGGACTACCTGTAGGAGTTGGAGTGTGTGCCACACGACTGTCGGGAGGTAGGTAGCAGCTTTTTTGGAAAATGCTTGCAAGCTGCGCATCCTCCCCTGCTGGAGCGACCTCTTGCCCTGGAGCGGGAGCCACTGCGACCGACACAGTACTATCGTTGCGGGAGGCACGTAAACAGCGAAAGCAAGCAAAGCAGGTGGCCAAGCAACAGCCTGGAGCGGGGAAGTGCAATTTTTTCCTTTCCCACAAAGCGCGCTTCTGTAAGTTTCCACAAATGGAGGGCTCGCAATTTTGTGTCTGTCACAACTTAACCACGGCCCCAGCGGCCCCCGCGCTCGTGGTAGTGGAGCGAGCTCCCATAATTCCAGGTGACTCCTGTTCGATTGTAACAACAAGAATTGACCCGAAATTGGAAACAGTGGCAGTGCCAAATGAAAACGGGCCCCGAGCAGACCAAAGGCAGGATGATGACGATGTTCTGTGCCAGTTGGTGCCTGAAGCCTATGCAGAAAAAAAGAGAGACAGCTCTCAAGCTCGACGCGCACGGACACGAGCATGGAACTTCTCGAAAAATGGCGCATCCCGCAATCGCATTCCGTGCCCACTAGATCCCACTCACAGCATCTACGAGGACCAGTTGGAGAAGCACGTGCAAAAATGTTCTAAAAACGCTCAGGAGAATTTCGTAAAGGCCCAGCCTTGCTATCGCCAGGGATGCAACCTTCTCGGAAAATTTGAGAATGCACGCGAATGGAGAGGTGAGTTTCGGATTGACGTGAAAGCGGTACGGAACCTCTACCCCGACCGCTTGGTTCAGGAGAAGAATTTTGCAAAGATTAAAGCCACCTCAACCTGCATGAAGATGGACGTGCTCAACGGGAACAATGGTCGTAGCCCGGCCACCTCTGAGAAGTTCTCGCAACCGGAGGACGCTGACGTGGGAGCCGTAGCACGCGCACGCGAAGATCTACCGCTAAGTTCATCCTCGGCGCACGAAGGCGGAGAAATCGCAAGTGCGCAGTTTTCGAGGAGAGATGCCGAGGACGATCACGCAGCGGGGGCGGAGTCGGCGGCTAAGCTTGCGGGGATGATCAAGATTCATGACATGGACCTCTCCTTCTGGCTTCCGCTTGTGCATGCAGCGTACCGGGCCGCCTGCAAAATGCTTGAGCTCTCGTGTGGCGAAGCGGATGCGCTCGCAAGGGGGTGTCATTTTCGTCGAGGCGGTTCCTTCACCAATGTAGGCACCGCACCGAAACCGAATCCCCGAAAGAGCTTTAGTGCAGCGCTGGTTGCGAACAACAATAATAAATCAGATGAGAAGGTGGACCACGAGCAAGATGTAGGTACAGCTGCCGGCTTTGAGCTTCATCGCCAACGTGAAGCTTTAGGTGAAGCGACCCGGTACACGAACAGTAAAGATAGGCAGGAAGGCGAACAAGAACAACTAACTGCGACTTCCTTTCCGCCTGCGAAAAAACGACGAAATGCAAATGGGGCAGCCTGGTCGGACGAAATAATGAACTCGATGCCACAACCGGCACCGGAAGGACGGGGGCCGGAGCTGCGCCTCGAAGTGGAGAAGCAGGTAGAGGTTCTGGATCGGGTGGCAGAGCGTATCGCCGTGCTAGAAAATGCGGATGGCAAGCACAATCAGCAAAGCCGGAGCCTCGTCGAAACTTTTCTCGCAGAGGGGTTGTTAGCCGGATGCGTCACATGCGAACAAGAAACCAACCAGGAGGTCAAAATTGGCATAGAAGACTCCTTCGGAACCCATTCACTGATCGGTCGTAGTAGCGACGAAGAGAAACAACTTTTGTCGCCACCGAAAGACGAAGTAGTCGTGGGCGCTTCCACTAATACTAGGGCTCCTCGCTGCCATGATGAAAGAGCGGGAAAACAGTTAAAATCTCGCGTCACGACAACAACCGGGGTAGGAGTGCCATTCTTCCTTGAGTATGGAAGCGGGAAAGCGGGTCTCTCGAGGTGGTTGGGGCTTGCATTCTCGGAGCTAGGCGGTGGAGCAGGCGCTGCGCAGTTTTTTGCGATTGAGCGTGAGGCTCGCCGAAACAAGGCGGAAAACAAGCTGTCGTTGCCCATCACGCGTCTGCGTCTGGACATTGCTGATTTCAATCTTCAACAGCTGGTCAGGAAGGATCACCCGCACACTATGAAGCCCAGACTGCTGAACAGCGCAGATGGTACACCAAAAAATCCTGGAAGTCATAAGCTTTTTATTGAAAACGGGCCAAATGCAAATATTAATATTGGAAAAGGGAAAGGCGAAGGCCCTGGCATCAATTTTGCAAAGATGCCCGAAAACCAGAGAACACTGCTGCAAAATGCCTGGCGCGTGTTTGACAATCGTCCTGCTTGTAGCAGTGTGGTGGTGCACGCTAAACACCTATGCGGCGGTGCAACAGACCTTGCTTTATCCAGCCTTGAATGTCTCAGCGAAGACGTTTGCGAAGAACATCCACCGACTGTTGACAACAGCGGAAGCAGGAGCATCACCGCTAAAGTGGGCATTGCCACGTGTTGCCACCATCGCTGTGACACAAAGACCTACGTAGCGCCCAAGTTCCTAGAGCTGCTTCTTCGCGAGGTAGCTTCGGGCTGTGTAAAGTTACGCGACTCCCAAATCGAGGAAGAGCAGACAACACCGTCAAGGAATGAGGATTCAGACTCGTCGAGCCATAATATCCATACTACAGCTTGCGCCTCGCTTCCGTTGATCGCTTCTACTACAGACGCAAGTGAAGGAACCCTGCTGTCACACAGGACGATCACGGTGCAGGAGTTCTTCGAGGCGTTACTTCCTCTGACTTCGTGGGCCACCTCGGATTTGAACTCGGCCCAGAAGCGGTTCGTCGGCGTGAAGGCGAAACGCATTTTGGACCTGGGGCGAGCCTGGTACTGCCACACCGTATTGGGAATGGAGCGCGCACGTCTCCTGAATTACGTCCCTGCAACGACTTCCCCGGAGAACGCAGTGCTACTCGCAATATAGAAGCAGTATATCGCGGCTACAAGATAATGGGCGACCCTCTTCTTGCTGACCTATAGCTATATTAGAATCCAGGTGGACAAGACAAACAATATTGGCTATCAACAAATCATGCAGACGAATTATAGCAAAGAATATTACGCACACGCAGGCAGTATGATACCGGTCAAGGGCCCCTAGAAGCATGGCGCCAGAATCAGATTAGCATTCTGAGCCCCGTTGTTCCCCCAAAGAGGTGAGTTTTCGACTGCAACAGGGGGCTGTTCTCAGTCATGAGATAGCTCGTATTTCGGCCATATTTCTTTCTCGTTCGTCTTCGTGGGCTTGTCTTTCGTGCTCGTTCGAGATGCCTGGCTCTCAATGCAATCCAGTGCAGACAATTAGCCCTGTTCAGGATTTCTATGCAGAACGAGGGCAGTGCTTCAAGCTCGCCCGACCATGCGTTTGTGTAAGGCCCTTGCGTGACCACTATATTGTCTTTTTTCGTGCTCTCGTCAAGGCAATCCCAATCGTCATGCTTAAGGGGTCTCTCGTTAATATGGTACTCGACGTCGATTCAAGCATATTCGTCATCGTGGTGCATTGATTACTCAATTTGATGATATCCGCTTATTAAGTTCATCTTCATGTTCGTCATTTTGTGTCTCTTCTTTTTTTTTGCGACTCGATAAGCAAAGATCTCAGTCCGTTTTGGAATGTGATTTGTACAAATGCTCCGTGATGTCCTCTACCGAAGGCTGAAACCTCCTCTGAGATTGAGTGTGTCTATACTAGCAAAGCCAGCTTCGCCTGGAAGTAGGCATTAGAAGAAACGCAAGTGTCAGCTAACAACATCATCTAGATAACAAACCAAAAAGAAAAAAGCGCCGGCTGCACAACAAGGCCGCGGCACACCCAATGTGGTCCATGCGGCTTCGGCGCGCCCAGATTGGTCGCTCCCTTTCCGGCGCGCCCAGTCTGGTCGTCCCGGCTCCGGCGCGCCCAGCAGTCTGATCGCCCCGGTTGCGGCGTTCCCGATCTGGTTGCCCCGGCTTCGGCGCGCCCAATCTGACCAACCCGGCCCCGAACGGCCGGGACGATGTTTGGTTGCTTGGTCCGACGGCCGCCGGACGACTTTCGGTTGCCCGACGGCCGTCGGACGACTTTTGGGTGTCCGACGGCTGGCGGACGACTTTGGGCTGTCCGACGGCCGTCGGATGACTTTCGGTTGTCCGACCGCCGTCGGACGACTTTTGGGTATCCGACGGCAGTCGGGCAACTTCTGAGTCGTCGGACGACTTTTGGCCGCCCGACGGCTTTCGGATGACTTTGGGCCGTCGGACAACTGTTGCGCCGTCGGACAACTTTTGGCTGTCCGAGGGCCGTCGGACGAATTTTGGGACGACTTGAAGTCGAAAGCGAAACTCAAACTCCAAGTTGATTCTGAAACTCGAAGTCGAAACTGAAACTCAAACTCAAACTCAATGTTGAAACTCAAGCTCAATGTTAAAACTCCAACTCAATGTTGAAACTCAAACTCAAACTCAATGCTGAGACTCAAACTCAATGTCGAAACTCAAACTCAAACTGACACTTGCATTCTTTTATGCCAAGGTAGTTAATATCTATACCAGGATAAGATTAAGCTGAAATAGTTTTAGTTCAAAATCAAATCTAGATCTGCATTTATTTGATTTTTTTTTTTCGTATTTTCCAGGTCCTTCCAAAATGATACACTCCCACTCCACATTCTTTATAGAAGAGAAGCTTCTCATTTCGCAAGGTTGTACAAGCAGAAACTTCGATCACTATGGTTAGGGTTGTCGAGGAGATTCTCATTCGAGCCGAGGATGATGTTCGTTTTTCATCCCCCATGGAAGGTAGACCGATCATTGGTGGCGCCTGTGCGCAACATGATAAACGTTCGACTGCAGTGAAGATTCAAGATGGTTATGTCCTTTCGAACAGCGTGGCAAAGCACCTACTCGCGCAAGCCTTCCCCGATTGTCAGGAGAAACAGCTACAGGGGCACGTTGAGGATGCCTCGGTGGTGCGGAAAATGGGTGCTGCCGCTGGTTACGGCGAAATTCCCTTCGCCTCCGCCGCAAAGCTACTCCGCCGGCTCGAGTTGACAAAAGAAGATACGTTTTTCGATTTGGGCAGTGGGGTAGGAAAATTCTGTCTTCAGGCATTCCTGGCACAGAAGGTCGGATCTATTGTCGGCGTCGAGATGGGGCCAACGCGACATGGCGCTGCAATCGCCGGACGCCAGGCACTTGCAGAGTTGCTCTCTTCACTCGATGCGCAGCTGGATGCCGGTTTTTGTGCTGGTGGGGTACAGGTGCTCGGTGGACGACCTTCAACCAATTCCAATTTTTTGCAGCAAAAAGGTCTCGGAGCAGACCATTGTCGTCGGTCCGCTGCCATGCAGTCCCAAAAACTTTGACTTCGACGTTGCCCTGATAGACGGCAGATGGACTGTCGTAATGCCACACGCGGATCCCCAAGCTCCGTGTCGTAAAATCGCGACAAGACCAGAGGCAGGGTCGGCAAAATCATCGACTTGTTTCGCAATGGACAGCAATCACGCAGCTGAATGCGCGACAAAACCAAAAGACGTCGAGGCGGAACAGCGTACGTCCCTTTGGCAGCGGCAGAACTCATACGTGTTTCGCCGAATGAGTCGCAGGCTGCTGAGTGGCGGCGTCGACTTTCGATGTGTCGACATGCATTGTGCAAACTTGCGTGCGGCCACTGTTATCTACTGTGCCTCGGTTCTGTTTTCAGACCAGTTCCTACTCAGTCTGCTTGCGAAGCTATCGCGCGAAGCCACAAGCTTGCGGTGGTTGCTCACGCTGAGTCGTCTGCCGGAGGGACAATCGTGTGAGAGAAATACCAGCAGTACGGATGAAAGGGACGGCACGGAGAATGGCATGGTGCTGCTGTCAGCTGCGCCGCGTGTCGCGGCTCAGGCAACTGCGGGACGTCCCCAAAGTAGTAGGGCCTTCGGGCATCAATCGGCCGGTTACGACTGGACGATCCCCATCTCGAATGCGATTAATACGAGCTCCTCGGAGACTAGTTCTTATCGATCCATAGACGATTCAAAATCGCAAACCGATTTGTATTCAATTTTCCTCGGAGTCTAGCTGTTTAAGCTTCTTCGGAAGCTCGATGATAAGATGCGCCGCGTCTAGTTAGCTCGAGTCCTCGGATTCTATACTGTAACGGGCCTTCGGGCATCAGTCGGCCGGTTACGACTGGACGATCCCCATCTCGAATGCGATTAATACGAGCTCCTCGGAGACTAGTTCTTATCGATCCATAGACGATTCAAAATCGCAAACCGATTTGTATTCAATTCTCCTCGGAGTCTAGCTGTTTAAGCTTCTTCGGCAGCTCGATGATAAGATGCGCCGCGTCTAGTTAGCTCGAGTCCTCGGATTCTATACTGTAACGGGCCTTCGGGCATCAATCGGCCGGTTACGACTGGACGATCCCCATCTCGAAGGGTTCCGCAGCCACTCTGCAGCGTGCGCGAAGCATTGCCGCGGCGAGTAAATACGAAGTGCGGAAAAGCGAATCCATACAAAAAATAGACTGTGGAGGCCAGTCGCGCAGCAGTTGCAACAACGCGGCGCCTGCTCAACAGTCTGAAGCCGCAAGCAGAACAACAACAACAAGCGGAGGCAACGGCTCGGCGATGCGTAAAGAAAGTGGCTTGATCGAGGACGGCGCAACAACTCCTAGTACCCCCGGCATTACGTCTAGGGAAAGCGAAGGCGCGCACGATTTTTTAGCCGGGATGCGTGCGAGACTTAACAGAGCTGTGTATTCCAAGAATAAAGGCGCTTCTTGTACTACCGCCCTACCCAGCAAACGCAGACTATACAAGAGCTCAGGTACAGCATCGGAGATGCCAAAAGCCAAGGACTTCCGGGTCCTGCCGTTTGATCCACCAGCTGCGCGAGGGACCAATGACCAATCCCGGAGTACGATGGTGCTAACCCTTGTGGAAATTTGGAACCTTCCGCAGTCATGGACCGAATCCGGAACTGTTTTCCTTTACCGATGCCACCGAGTAGAGTCCTGAAATCAATGCTACCGAAGGAAGTTTTATTGGGCAAGGAGGAAAGCGAACGCTTTTTTTTGCTCGTATCTATGCGTGACTAAGTTTACTACTTGCCAGACCGTACTCCGACCACACTTTTTCCGTCGTGCACCGTCGGTTCTGCTCCGCGCTATGACTTCACCGATAGAATAGAGCAACGTGTTCCATATCCATTGATTCAAAAAGAAAAAGGAAATCGCTCCTTGGCAAATTCGGTGTGCGTTTGCCTAAAGCTTCTCTTGCCTTTCGGTCGTACAAGTGCTGTACGAGATGATTTCTGTATAACAATATAAATTGCGGCTCGGTGTCGATCCTCCTTCACGTTCTTGTTCTTAAAATACAGACGCACAGGGAGAGTCGACATGTTGTTAGATCGGTCGCTTAGTGACAGTACATATACAGCCTGCTTCTCAGTCGTTACATGAACAGCTGTTGCATTTGATTTCTTCGTCTTTTCCTTGCAGCGTGATGCAACGAAAAAAGGAAACGAAAAACCAAAAGCACAATAAAGATTAAAGACACGCACAGGGCTTCGAGTAGTTCGGCCTTGTTGCATTCCGAATTCTGCCTGGCGAGCCGTCGCAGACCTACGCAGCGTGCGAAGGCGCGGCCTGATCATTCCGATGGTGGCAGGGCCCCTCCTGGATGACTGACAAAACAGCAAGAAGAACGCAGCAGATGTCCATGTAGCGTTTTGGCCATAGATAGGCAAGAAATACGTACATTATAAACCAAAGACAAGTTACAAAAATAGAACGCAAAGAAGTCGGTTTGCGCAAACCACACGAAAATATCGGTACGAGCTTGTGCCTTCACTCGGTGTTGTGCTTGAACTTGAGAACTTCTTTTTTTCGGTTTCGTATTTGAGAAAAAATGTAGTACAAGCCGCCGCTCGATGTGCCCCTGATCTCTATGTGAAAAAGCGTAAGCTTTGTTGTCCATATCTTCTGTATCTACTGAGCAGTTTCCACTCCCAGTGATTTACTTAATTATTTGCTCTTCACATCCATATACGTCTTTTTCTTTACCACTTTCATCTCCTTTACCACTTTCATCTTTACTTCGTTTCGAGGCATTCACAAAAAAACTCTAGTGTGTTTATTAATCACGAGCAGTGCGAGCCGCGCCAGTTTTGCTTGTAGAGAAGTACGTTTGAACCCATTTCCATTTCGCTATAATTTCGGAAACAATGAAGACAAACGAAAGGGCTAATGCGAGCGCTCCGAAGTACTAGTTGCTATAAAATACAAACACAACGTTGCGCCGACCCGTGATGGCGCGCGTCGCTGAAGGAGAGGATGAGGGGCACTTTATGACCCCAACCAAAGCAACCAACAAGAAGCTGAACTCCCTCAGGCTTGAAGGCGAGGCCGTGGTTCCCTTGGTGGAGGCCGGCGCCGGCGGCGATGACGATGACACCCCCATCAGCCCGGAGTCCGTCGCATTGCTGGAGAGGCGGAAGAACCGCCCGCCGGGGTGCACGCGTCCCGAGCTCCGAAAGCCGAAGCCCGGGCTGGCCACCCGGGACGGGTGGGTTCGATACATGGACCGGTACCTTGCGGGCACGCCCGCCAGTTGCGGGAAGACGGGATTCACGTTCCCCACCCTCGGGAAAGCAAAGCAAGCGGCAGCGAACTATCCTAGGTAAAAACGTCCCCACCGCCACCCTTTGCAGCGCTAACACCATGGGAAATCTGCTAGACCACAGATGGATAAGCCTTGGCTGTTGCGCATGACAAGCCTGTGCAGCCCGGAGTGTAGTCTTGTTTGGGTAGTGCTGTCGCATCACACATTGATCTTCAGACTCTGAGCTCTAGGCCATAATGCCAAACCATATGTCTGTGAATTTCAAAATACGAACACCATTACATTAGAAAATGCACTCCATGGGGCTGCGCATGGGAGACATCCTGGGCGTGCAGATTTGCACGAAAAATGTCTTGATGCAGCTGAGGTGTATTGCCTTTGCCCTTAGAAAGAAAAGCCTCATTCGTACCCTCCCACCTCCAGACGGAAGGTCTAAACCGCAGCGCCGTCTTGCGCTTGTTGCTTTTGGCCTTTGATTGTGTATGCAGCTGCATAAAAGTGGGGGAGTTGCCTCAGATACCAGTATTCTGCTTGGTGCTGTTGATTACCTGGATTTCTCCCTGCGTCGTGTTCTTGTATGTTTTTTGGACGAGTTATGTGTTTTTGCAACCACGCACCTGCACCTCCTAGCCCGAGGGGGTGCGGGTGCCCGAAGTGAAAAATGTCGGATGTTGGATCAGCTGGCGTGATATGTTGGCTCAGAAGATGAAGGGGGCTTGAAAACAAGTATGTCTCGCAACCCTCCTAGCTTACTATACTTAGTTTCATTCAGCCGATCTGTTTTGCATACGAAAGTCGGCAACTCGCGTTTAGGCCTTGACCTTCTAGGGTGTGTTTGTCGTAACTCATGATTTTACTAGAGACCACGCAGCGCATGATCTACTAGCCCGCTGGCGTGCGGGACCCCGGAAAAAAAGCTGACTGCGAGAACAGTAGGCTAGTGGCCACCGGGTGATGATGCTGGCGATCATAGCGCCTCAGCGTCCGCTTGACTCACCTCCCCTGCGCGTCAAACTATCTGCGGCCATGGTGCACATTGGGCGGCAAAGTGTGTTGCATTTCCTTTAGCAGGACAAAAAATTTGGGGTGGGGATGTATTTACTGAGGATGCGAATCATCCGGACTGCTACGGCATCACGCAGGTGTCAGAGCGCGAGTTCGAGCTCCGGGCCAGCGCGTATGAGAGTGCACTGCTCTCCCTCCCCCTCATTTGTATGGCATGAACAACATTCATTGCAACCACCAACACACGTGGAGCCTGTGCTTGACAAGTTCATGTGCCGAATGTACTTAGATATATTGTTTCGGCTTCCGAAATTTGGTGTAATGCAACAAATGCCAGCTGCTTTGCATAAGATAAGGATTAATTATGATTAAGATTAAGACGAAGACAGCAAGACCAGCAACTGCGTTTGGGATTTTGCATTACAAACAAGGTCAGGGCACGGGGGCCAACGACCTTCCCGCCCTTTGCAGGACGGGGCGCACGTAGATACGTGGACAGCACGCCAGAAATTTCAAAACTTTGCGCTATACTGAAAGCAAGAGGCCGGGCACAGAGTCCCCGCGCTGACCTATGGCTTTTGCGCCTGGGCCGTACGGCTCCCGGGAGTCGCGCGCGTCCATCCAGCTGGCCCCTAGGTCATGACGCGGGGACACAGTCCCCGCGCTGACCTAGGGCTTTTGCCCCGGGGCCGCGTTCGGGAAGCGCTTCCTTGCAGCTGGCCCCTAGGTCGTGGCGCGGGGACAGAGTCCCCGCCCGGACCTAGGGCTTTTGCCCCGGCCGGGGCCGCGCGCTGCCCGGGAAGCGCTCAAAGCTAGGTAGCCCCTAGGTCATGGCGCGGGGACAGAGTCCCCGCGCTGACCTAGGGCCTTTGCCCCTGGGCCGTGCGGTGTCCGGGCAGGGCCCGCGACAGGCTACGTAGCCTCTTCGTCATGTGGCGACGCTCGTCGGGACTGGGCCCCCCCGCTGACCTAGCGCTTTTGCGCCCGGGCCGTGGGGTGGTCCCTCCGGGATGCAGACGCCCAAAGCTCACCCCCCGGTCATGGCTCGGGCACCCACAGACAGAGCCCTCGCGTTGGCCTTGGGCACTTGCCCGGCCGGCCGCGGGCCTTGCCTGCGGTGCCCGGGAAGCGCTCCCACCAAATCAAATGCTTGGACATGCATGGCGCCACCGGTGGGGCCCATGCCCAGACGGGGGCGGGACCGCCTACAGGGCGGGCTCGGGGCCTCCGCCTCCTGGAATGCCTGCGCGCCCGTCGCTCTCTGTGCCCGCGTGTTTGCGCCCAGCGGGCCCACTGTTGTGCTTGGTCTGGAATAAATAAAAGCCGACGCGCCCGGCGTGCCTGCTTGGTCTGGGTGGTGGCGAGTATGAATAGAATAAAAGCAGCCCCCGGCGGCCCTGCTTCGCTTCCGTGTTAGTTATATGCTACCTTTGCAGAAAAATGCAGGGCCCATAGATACGCGCCCACCTTTCTCAGCCGGGCGCGCGCTTGTTTTGTTGTCGCAGAAAAGGCACCCGCGTGGGGCCCGGTAGGTCGGCGCGCCCGGAATGCCTATGCACGGGGCACAGACACCAGCAGCAAACACACCCAAAGGCACGGCGGCGGGTGGCTTCGCGGGGTCCACCCCCTCGAGTGGGCCTGCTGCTCTGTGTTGACACTCATTGGCGGCCGAAAACGCCCGGGGTCCGTCGGTTCGGGGAAGTGTCCGGCCTTTTCCCCGCGGTGTGTTCGGAAGTGTGCCCCGGGGTGTGCCTGGGGTGTTTCGGGGGTGTGGGCCGGGGGTCTGCCTGGGGTATGTCGGGGGTGTGTCGGGGGTGTGTCGGGGGTGTGTCTGGGGTGTGTCCGGGGTGTGTTCGGGGTGTGGGCTGCAAATTGCAAATCACGACGCTAGGCAGCCACTTTGCATACCCCAGAACACACCCCAAAGCTTCAGCAATTCTTGTCGGGGGGGGGTGTGTCGGGGGTGTGTCTGGGGTATGTTTTGGGGTGTGGCCTGCAAATTACGAATCCCGATGCTATACAGCCACTTTGCATACCCCAGAACATACCCCCAAGCTTCAAAAGTTCTGGTTTGCTGCAGTCTAAATAGTAATGTTGAGGGTTAGTAAGAGTTGTGCACTCTCATAGCCCGGACCTGCTCTACTCGGACACCGAGGAAATATCGTGGGTGTGGCTGACCAGCTAACAGAATGAAAAATCCCCCCTCCCCATATTCAGAGGGAAATTTGTGATGCACGGTCTGTGTACCTGTACACAAATCAGCTTTTTGCTGCATTGTAATACTGCAGGCAGATCGATCCTAAGACTGTGTAAGCAGGAGTATTTTGTATGGGCCCTTAGCATGGTAGAGACCCGTTCTGCGGGCTGAATTGCATTACAGCATAATGCGGCGGACTCTCTTGATTTGCTTTCCTGCAAGGCAGACGCGATTTGTGGCCACGGATCAGCATCGACGACGCTGCGCGTGGAAAGCGGAAGCTCGGCGCGTCGGATGAGGGACCCCCGATGCCGGGCCTCGGCATTTGCCTTCTTACAAGACAGAAATAATTTGTGCCCACAAGAAATCTGGCTCGGCGTGTGCGTGTCGGATGAGGGATCCCCTATGGGTCCCTACCCTCGACCCCCTGCACAGCAATGTGAGTCTTAGTAATTTACTTGCTGCTCCCTACTGCTATGCATGTTTTTGTTTTACTTTTGTATGATTTAGATTTGGCGCCAAGCTGAAAATTTGCGTGACTTCGTGAAAACAGAAAAATTGCGGCACCCGTCGTATTTCGTGAAAAAAAAGTATAGAAAAAAAAAGGATCTACGCCTCTCGTCACGTGAAAGATATGTTACAACCAAGAATGCGCTTCGTCTTCGTCGCGTCAACATGTTAGATGGTAAGTAGATTCGTGCACTTCTACGCTGCCGCCCAAAGCCGCTCCCTCCTTCCCCCTCGTGCATTTGGCTCTACCCTTTTACCTTCTGTCTTCTAGCGCTAGGTTGCGAACCTCGCATGTCTTGCAGGGGCATATGTCCGTGGGGGTAGTCCTCGGTGTGGGTAGTTCTCGGTGTGAGTAGTTCTCGGTGTGGGTAGTTCTCGGTGTGGGTAGTTCTCGGTGTGGGTAGTCCTGAGAGGGTTACTCGGTGTGGGTAGATAAAAACTGTGATGCTTTATTTGGGTCTAGGGATGTACTAGTTTAAGTTTTCGACTCAGCGGCCGACACAAGTATTCACTTTTTCATTAGGCGGGGTACGCATGAACATGATGCGGTTACTTATCCGTTTTCGACCGGGCCGCATCCCCGGGACACGTGCAGCACGACCCCGCTAGCGCGTCCACTATGCATGGGGCTGCGTCCTCCCCACCTGACACAAGAACTCCGGCCGTTACACGGCGCCGCGTTTCGTTGTCGCGAAGTTGCCCCTCCCTAACCACGTGGACACATAGTTTCATACGACGACGGTTCGCGGACTTCGACCTGCTGCTGGCGACGGTATTCTTATTCTTTGCTCTTTTCGTTTACCTGAAGCTGAACCTGTAGGAGCCGCATCCCCTCCTAGTTAGTTTCTCAACCCGATCTAGCAGTAGACTATGTGTGTGCCCGGTATTGAGGTCAGATGTGGTTTTTCATGCGACACCAATGCCCCCTCTTTGACTTTGACCTGGCGGCACGGAGGACTCGTTGCATTTTTTGGGACCACGCAAATTCTAGCCTGCGAGGAGGGGGGAGCGAGCAAAAAAAACTGGCCTACGAATATCAGGAGGAAAACTGGCACGACTCAGCATGGCAAATTTTCAGAACGGGGAGGGGGGACTTTTCCTGACGATACCAGCCCGGCTTTCTCGGAAACGGACGGCGCGGAATTCCGTGCAAGCTGGGACGACCCGGAATTGGGTCCCGCCTATGCCATATGCACTGAAAATATTTATATTTATACCTGGGTCTGGAACTGGATCTGGAACAAAAGTGGAACCTGTATTGCTCCTCCACTTCTTTGCGTTCATCCTGTAAAGTCTAGATTGCATCACCGACAGGCAGAAGCGGGACCTCTTGCTCTTTTGTCATGCAAAAATATTTCATTATCATTTCATTTGTAATCAATGCGCTTGCGCATCCGCCCTAGACATGGCAAAATGAGGAAGAGGAAGCGTGGCTTTAGATTTTGGCCCCGCTCGATCGCGCTCAAAAGAGTGCTCAAGCATGATCACCAATCAGCATCACAAGTTTCCACACTCAAATATATCTTTCTGCGTTTGATACGCGACGCAATCCCGGCGAGAACTTCCCCGCCTGCTTGAAGCCGCACCAGGGCCCGAGTACTTTATCGAGGCGGACGCGAAACGTGAGACGGCGCTTGCGGACGAGCGCCAGCGGGTGGCCAACTTTGGCTCGGCGTTGCAAGAGGATCTGCTCGCTTACCGAGGTACAGGAACTACATTCTTGGCTCTGATAGAACGTGTTGCACTACGTACGAGATGAAGGAAAACTATATTGTATAAAGATTGCTTTTGCTTTAAAATGGTTATGGTAGTAAAGGATAGTCTTATGCTAGAGATGGTGAGCCGGAGCGTGAGTGTGGCGCTGTGTCTATCATTGAGTAAAGGGCGCTGTGCCACTTTCAGTACACTTCGGCGTAGACCGTCTTCGATGTCAGCTGTACCAATACACAGGAGGCTGATCGTCCTTGCGTTTTCATTAAAAATTCATCACACAACAGACCTGCCCGCTTCCTCAGCGGTATACGTCGAATCCGAGTTGCGGCGAGTGCAGGGGATTTACAACCTGCAGAGTGGGGAAAAAAACGGGTGTCCTGTATACACGAAGCCGGATAGCACGGAGGCGTTGTTTTTCGACGGTTTTCAGTGGGTGATCAAGGCCGAGCTGGAGGACGTGAAAGCTCCTCTCATTTTTGGGCCAGAAGTGGAGCTGCTGAAGGAGACGGTGCGGCTATCAGGTTGCCAGCGCCCTCATATCCCGGATGATTGAAGTCTCATCAAGTCTTGGCGCTGCAAAGTTTGCAAGTGGGCAAGCTTTCTTGTTTGTTTCCATGCAAGGATCATAGTCAACTGCTTGCTGGTGCCGACTCGTAGTTGTGTGGGCTCGCAGCGCAGGTCACTTCTAACAACTTTCGCCCTTGCTGGGCCTTTTTGCAACAGAAAAGTTGGCTAAATTTTTCTGCTTCGAGCGCGCTATTTTGCGTTGCTGGCATAAGCACATGCATATGTAAGCTGGAGAGTGTTTCGCAATACATATGATTATCAATATGTTGCTCTCGCGTTTTTCATTTTCAGGTGCTCCCGATTTGAGCGGAGGACCCTCACCAATCTTGGTTTGCAGTTGCGGGGTCTGCTAAACAACAGAATTAAAATACACAAGCTCTCAGTTCTGGGATAGAGGTGCATGATGCCCACATGATAGTAGCCTAAGCCTTATCGACTGCAAAAAAAAAATGTCTGGGTCTGGGAGTATCCAGACATTTGTCATGCATTTGTTGGATCTTCAAGTTCAAGAGAAGAAAGTTTGGAATGCACGCAGAGCACGACAAGATCCGCGGAGGCTTCTCCATGTCCATGTCTTCTTCTTTGTCTAGCCTGCATGTGCATGAGAAGCAGCGTCTTGGAGGAACAAAAAGCGCAGCGCGCCTTATGCTGACAATGCAAGGCAGATTTTTCTTTTTGTCTATAGTTCTGTCTAAATTCAGCATCACAAACACAAGTTGCAATCTTCCAAACCCGGACCTATTTGCAATGTATAAGGCCGGGCAGGACGAGAGACCGATGCAGAAGTACGTCCCGAAAGTTATAGCGCGCGCAGGTGATATCGATATGGGAGTGTTAGGATCGAAATCGACAAAGATGGCCTGGTTTGCAATGCAAGCATAAACTCAATACTAGCGGGGCCCCAGTTTATTTCTAAGTGGCGCATGATAAATTTTGGGAGCACCTAGATCCAGCCAGTCACCGCGCTGTTCATCTGGGCAAGGAAAGTTTTTTTTTGCTCCTTCGCAGTCCTACTGCCAAGCAACCCCAAAGAGGCTTACAATCTGCCTCAGCTGCCTGCTTTCCAATACAGGCGATTTGTGCCTTGCGCTGGCTTTGTGCATTATGACAAACTGTCTCAACTGTGTCAATTTCGAACCTGACCCCTCCATAGCCGTTACGATCTCGACTGTACTTCCATATTCGTCTATTGCTATTCCTATTGTAAATTTGTACAAAAACTGTATCCATTTGAATCTTAAAGATGCCCGACGAGCGGCCATCCCTCCATCACTACTCGCTTGAATTCGCGAACTCGTATCGAAATCGGCTTCACGTTTTCTGGCAGAGGGCGTGCTCTTGTTTTCTTTTCATTTGCCTCATCGTCATCTTGGTCCTGCGTTACAATTACAAACTTACGTCTTCGGCATGCATGGTAACAGCTGAGATCATAGTAACACCTGACCACGCAATAGAAATCCGGAACCCCATCCAGCTAGGCATTTGGGCCGGGGATCTTGGGCGCAACACACGTGTAAGCGACCTGGAACGGTACCAGATGCCAAACGAGCTCGAGGGGGACAAGTGGGTAGACCCAGTGTTTCCCCCCGTCGGCGACTCCCTGGGCGTGACGCTCAAGCTATTCTGCAGAAAAGCACATCCAAGTCTGTTTGTAGTTTTGTCAGAGATGATAGAAAGATAGATCTTCGACGTCATCTTGTGTGCGGTTGTTCAGCATGACATAGATATTTATTGCGCCGCCCTACTAGTTCTTGCCAGCTAGCATTACGAAATTCATGATTCAGCACGACGGATAATTCCCACCGCCAGTTTTGATTTGGTTTTGGCCTCCGCACTAGAAAGTTTTCAGTGCCTGGACTTGAGCAACACATTTTTTTTACGAGGTCTATGTAACTCCTATTCATTGCTGAGCTGCGGAGGTTAAAACTTTGCAGCGGGAAAGCAAATCGCCCGCGTCAGTGTTTTTTTTGCAGTCTGCAACTTTCGACGAAGATTGCTGCGAAGGAAGTGCCGAAGTCGCTCATCGTCCAATTTGTTTTCCATCTTCCAAACTTGCAAAACTAACTTTCGAGCCCAGTGCTCAACCTTTTTTCATTTTTTCCAACTCTCCCGATTTTTTTTCCTGTTTGCAAAACTCCCAACAAAAAATATTTTTCATCTCCCACCAAAGTTTTTTCTTCCGTTTTGCTTCCAGCGCGAAACGTGTTGCAACTGCCAACAAAAAACTTCTTTCCATTTTCAGAACTTTGCACAAAAAATATTTTGCAACCCCCAACAAAAAGCTGCGCAAAGTATTTTGCAACTCCCAGCAAAAAACTGCAAAAAATATGTCGCAACTCCCAGCATACGCTTACAAATACTAAACGTAATCAATCCGCGGTAGGGGTGTGCTTTTCGTTTTCTGTAGGATACAAGCAGAAGCTTGGGAACGTGAACATCGAGTGGGACCGGGTCTGCAACCTATGAGAGTGCACAATTTCGGCTCCCTCTCATTCGGTGGGTACTTACGCGTAAGGTCAGCAACAGAAGAAGGGGCAAAATGTAGGTTTTGCACGAGCATGACACAATGCAGGTGGTTCTAAACTCGTCACCATGACAGAATCAATGTCGGTTATACTCAGATATCAACAAATCTCACTTCGCTATATATAATTGTCTATTTTGTGCTCGTTGATGTTTGTTCATGCTCCTTATCACTATCCTAAAGCTTCTTCATATACTTTTCTTCGACTTGTTCTTTGTGCGTAGCTTTCTGCTACTTCGGTTCGCGCTCTTCTGTGATCTGATTCCACAGTGCTTTCCTCTCTGGTCGAGGCCTTCCTCGTAGGTGGGTTTGGACGTGGGGCGCCAGGCGCATGGGCGGCTTCCCATCTCCGTCGTGATCGACACGTCCTATGCCAGCTTGGCGTGTTCGGGTGTTCCGTGCAATGCGTTGCGCACCCGATAGGCCCCGCACCTCCTACCATGCTAGCTCGGTCGCACAGTCTGTTAAGCGTGAAAAATAGATCTCCACCGGCGTCCGAAGCTGCTTGCGGCGACGGTACAAAGGTTTTGGAGGAGGTCCAGCCGGATTTGCAGGACAAACGTATGAGGGGGGAGCTCGTTGTTGACTCTTATACTACCTGCAGAAGGCGCAGAAGATGCGACTGTTTGCGGTGATTGAGCCGAACGATGTTGCGCGCGGGGCACTGGTATCATGTGTGAACAATATGTCCACTGGGTTCGGAAAAGTGGAGCCTGTTTTGGTTGTCTGGCAGTCCCGGAAGCGGAAGGGGAAGTCTGTATTGCATGACCAACAAGAGTGCAGCCGCTCGTCTCACGCAAAGATGCACCCTTTCATGCGCAGTAGGCACAGCTACCACGAACACGATAGAGATATTAGAGGACCGCTCTAAAAACTTGTCATGCTTGGCAGACCTCACAGCGGTCGCGGTCCGGTCACTCGCACTTTCGCATCACGAGCTTCCAGAACCCGTGTTTGCATTGGATAACTGGGGAACTGCTGGCTTCACGGCGCACTGGCGGCGCTCGCCGAATTCCCGGCGTACCTCGAGGAAATGGTATCCTGCGGACTAAAACTCCCCCACCCCTCCATACAAACATAGTCATGATGGAAAATCTGCAACACGAATTCAGAGCATTGTCTTGTAGTCGTCCGCAAGCATCCGCATGGCAAGTTTCTAACTGTAGTGTGTGTAGCACTAGCAAGATGGCTGCAAGGACAGCCGTGGATCAGCGCAGTGCCGTCTGCAGCAGACGGCACTGCGCTGATCCACTTAAGCAATGCTTAAGTACTAGACAGCTATTACAGATGCACAAAGACGCTATACGAACTAGTAGATGCCTCTCATGTGGATGTGTATTATGATTTTCAGGCTATCATGTTGTACCTGTTGATGCATATGTGTTTGACAACTCTGGGGTGGGGACGCTTTTACTCAGGATGAAGGGTGTTCGCGAACTACGTCGCCGAGCCTATACGAAAATTGAAGGTTCCTTATCGCCATATTCTATAATGGAAATTTGTGTGGCGTGTGATGCGGGATTTTTTCAAAGAAGGAAGAGTGTACGCTTGGGGCAAAGCTAGACGCTTTGCTGGTTGTTAAGCATGATGACAGAAGGAGGCGGCGAGGCGCAAAGTGACTAACACGCCTGTTGAGTGTCAAGTGTGCGTCAGATGTGTCGCTGTTGCTGCGCCGTCTCGCAAGACAGAAGTGACTTGGCGTGGCTATACAACATCAGCATCAGATTCTGATGTTTCCGTTTTGAGCATGGCGAGAAGGATGGATTTTTCCGCACGATAGCCGACTAAGCTGCCTAAGTCCGGCCAGTACGGGCTGCGGCTGTACTCCCCGGAGCACGGAACGTGGGAGGAGGTCCTGGTCGACGACCTCGTGCCGACCTTCGAGCACATTCCCCTATTCTGCCGTCCGACGACCAACCACAACGAAATATGGTGCCCGCTACTGGAAAAGGCGTTTGCCAAGGTGCTCAACCGACCCAAGAGCGCCGCGATTGTCCCTGTCGAGGCCGAAGATTTCACAAAGCGCGCAAACTACAAAAATAGTGCGGTCGATGGGCAGCCTGGCATGATACCAGAGTTGGACGTAGTAGGTGTTGTACGTGCTGCGGATGAAGACATCAAGAAGGCCGCGAGTCCTGGCACAGTTCCGGAAATCGCAGACGCAGCGACGCCCGCAGTCAACGCTGGCACAGTCGGAACGGACACCGTGCCTGCACCCGACGCACAAGAGAAGCAGGAGCCTCCACCGCTGCCGGAACCGGCGGGCGAAGATGAAATAAAAGAGGACGAAAATTACGTGCCGGCTTTCGAATCTCTGAATCGGGGGACCATAGCCCTCGCGTTTTCCCGCTTAATCCCAAATGCGCGGACGGAGCGCTGGGCGAAGAAAAACAACCAGTGGAAGTCCAGCTTTAACGAGACCAAAGAGGATGAGGACATGTGGGAAGCCTTGCGCGAGTGGGACAGAAGTAACTTTGTGATGGTGTGCGGCGTTGGGACCCCGGAAAGCCCCAACTCTTATCGACAGGACGGAATCCTGCAAGGATACTCATACAATGTGCTCGCTCTGCACGAAGTCAAGGTGATCAGTTTGTGCTTTTGTGTGTTGATTGGATCGACAAAAACATCGGGATGCAGTCTCGGAGGTTTTACCATACCTATACAAAAAAGCCGGAGCGAATGGTTGCCTCCTACTTTGATTATAAGAATAACGTTGATCATATCGAACTAGAACTTACTTAATTCCCTCCGATGAAGGCCCACGCCTGATGACGAGATCCTGCGTTGAGGTGCCTCCACCTCACGCGGTAGGAGCGGCCTGCCATCAAATCAGCTACAGAAACACCACACTGGAAATGCCTCGCTCGCCCGGATAGAACAAGAGCGAGGCACTGTGACTGCGCGTCCGCGCATCGATGCCATAGCATAGCTGTACACTCGCCATCGTGCCGTAGGCGGAGCCAAAACAGCTACAGAAAAAAGCGCGGGAACTGCCCAAAGCAGTCCCCTGCACATATTTGAACCGGGCCCACAGCCCCGCGTGCTTGTTTGACCGGAAAGGACGAGGGCGCGGTAGATATCAACCCAGCGACTGCGCGTCCGTGCGTCGCCATGTCGCGTAGCTTTCTGGGGCACTTGTTTTGGTTTCATACATAGTAGAGACAAGCCGCCGCAGCTAGTCAGAATGAAAATGAAGAGGCCCCGGGCCCGGGCCTTGGGGAAACTCCTGCGGGAGCCTCCTAGCCCTCCGGCCGGCCGCGCCAAGCTCGTTGTGGGGGGCCGGCAGTAGAGTGCGCCCTCTGCGGCACGACCACACGCGGGGGCCCACGCCACTAGCGACGAGGACGGGTGGCGTGCAAAGCCCCAAGAAGCAGCGCCGACTGCGGCCAGCGCGCGTTCGGTCAAAAGCGACGGAGCCCGGTGGTCGGGGGTGTATTGCCTGAGTTGGGGCGCGTTCGCTGGACAGCCTTGCGTCTGCCCTCCAGCCACAAGTGTGCCACAGCAGTCCCGCCATCGGCGTAAGTACCGTGACACAGTTGAGGGCGCCGCAGCCTCGACCATCGCGAAACTGGCGCGGCCGCGACCAATGCCGCCCGCCCGCCGCGTGCTTGGGCTCCCCCTCAAATGTTACACGGCGCTGCCTCCTGTCGGGGAAGTTTAAAAAGATAAAAAGTCACCGGCGGCATCCCGGCGCGTGCCCCCCGATAGCCGCAAAGACACGCACCGCAGCGGGAAGGGCCTTCCTAGCGGCTTGGGAGCCCGCTGGCACCGCCCCAGTCCGGGCACAGGGCCTCTGATGTGCCGTCTTTCTTGGAGCCCGGTTGAGACGGCAACCCGGCCTCCCAGGCGCGTCGCTACGGCGGGCACGGTAGTTCCCCGGGTTGGCATTTCCCCAGGGCCGGCATTGCAAAAACCTGGGGAACCGCTTACATTCGGCCACGCCCCAAGGCCAAGAACGAGGGGGGGCGCGCGCCAAGTGCGCGAAATCAGAAGCCCGGCGCCCCGGAAACGGGCCCCCTTGGCTGCCGACGACCCGTGGCCGGAGGACGCAGGCACATCCATGCGGGACGACCCTACGCCCCGCGGGACATTGCGCAGAGCAGCCTGCTCCTAGCATGTGCGCCCTTCTCTGGGCAGGCGCCCTGAATGCCGGACGCCCGCGGCCCCCCGGGCGTACAGCACCGCAACCGTGGCGTGAGCGCTTATGCTCCGCACTAACGAGCCAGCCAAGAAAAAACGGCGCGCGAAGGGGCCCAGTGGTGCTCCGCCAGCACACGGCTGACAATGGGTCTGAGCCGTGAGACCGTGAGAAGGAGGGTTGACGGGTATAGTGGCACACCCCCACCCAACGGAGAGATCCAATGGGCGACTGGGAGTAGGGGAGGAGCACACAAGCGGCGACTCAGCCACGGATCCGGCGACCCCGCATCCCAGCACCGCAATAGGATCTTGCAACCTTCCGCCCTTGTGCGTTCGTTGTTGTCACCTCGGGCACCGAACCCAGTAGGGCATAATAGTGCTGATATATAGAACTACTTAATTGATTTTGATTACGCATACAATATGCACTGTGTGCCGCATCTGCGAAGATTATGTGTAGGAAAACGACCTCTGCCTTTGGTTGGTCAACATCAAATCTGCTTCTCTGACAAATCAACCACAGGACAAGGACGGCAGGCCTGTGCGCGCTGTTTTGGTGCGAAACCCTTGGGGTACAGTGAATTGGACCGGCAGATGGGGAAGCATTTTCGGAAATGTCACTTCCGCTGAGCTGCGCAGTGCCGGTATCCAGCGAGAGAACACAGAGGACGGGCTTTTTTACTTAGATTTTGACGCCCACTTTCTGAAGATTTGGACCGCCGTCATGGTTTGTACGGTGAGCATGCCAGTTCGGCGGCGCGGCGTGGGGGGGTCGCTTCTGACCAGGTTTATGGGCGGCGGCGACGCGTCCGCTGCGTCAGCTGTTCCTCCCTTATGAAAGTGCAATCCTCCCCTCCGGCTCTTCTGGATGAAGGGAGGACCGACAATAGAAAAGGCGGCAGAAGCGTAACGTCAAACTTAACCTAAACCTTTTGCGTGACAAATCCGCGTCTGCATCCTAGTGTTGCGTGGGGTGCTACAGCTTGTCATGGACGGAGTCAGGCAAGGCCTCGAGATGCGTTTTTTAATGACGGCCCCCAGCAACTCCGGCTCAAGCAACAGTAGCACAGTCTGTTGAGCATGACAAATAAGGAGGGAGCGTATGCACTTTGATAGGTTGCAATCGAATGGTCGGCCACGCCGGTCGCGGACGAGGAGAGTGAAAAACCTGCTTCGCCGCCGAAGAAACGCTCCGGCTGCTGTGGCCGCGGCTGACTGGGATGTGTCGTGTAAGAACTCGTGTCACAGGATCGATTAATAATGTTTGTTGTTGTTCTGTTGTTTTTGATTTTGTCCGTGGTTACGATTTTTTTAGTTTTATTGTATCTTAGTTTTTTGCTTTTCTTCTTCTTGGTCAACATGCATTTACATTAGTACTAATCTTTTATCTTTACGACGTCGACAAGACCAGCCCAGTGGTCTGTGACGAAACAACAACAACACGAGGACGGGCATATGTATCTGTGTTGCCAGACTAATCCGCAGTAAGTTCCGACTTGATAGCGCTGTTGTGTTGCCAGACCCCGCATCCATAACCATCACTCATTATCTAGCACGTTTTTTTACAAGATATTCAGATTATATCTATAAGGATATACTAGGCACGTATGCGTGTGAAACCAAATTCAATTACTCCGCTAGATCGAAAAACAAAAAAAAGAGCCAGAAAAGGAGTTCAAAAATAAAAAACAAAAAGCCAGGCTCTGAAGCAGCTCCGTCCCGTTTGCGGTTGCGGTGGTAAGTAGATCTTGACTGCCATTGCGGTTGCAAGCAGTTTTTGCGGTTGTAAAGCGAGTGCGCGGCTGTGCTAACAGCCGTGGGTAGTTGTTGTGGCTGGAGTGGTTTTTGCGTCACTTTTCTCCATGAGCATGCCGCGGCTTTCAACATTCTTCGTGCCAAATTGTGGGTTGGTCTCCACAGGCAAGAAGAGCCCCGCGCTTTTCCACTCGATACAGGCATTCAGTGCCGAAATCGTTTTGCTTAGGCTCGACGTTTGCTTCCCGTCAGCTCTTCAAGATTTTGAAAGCCTGGGGCGTCGCTGCTTTTTCCTTCCAGCGCCGAGCACACTTTTTTCAGCCAGCTTTGACGACCTTGCCTGCTATTTTTGTTGCTTGTGGAATTCAAAAGGTTTCCAAGTTCTCCTGTTGGCCCTCACCTTCAAGCTTTGCCTTGCGTAAAGGTAATTTACAACCATAGCGGGGGTCTAGTCATCGGCTTCGGAACTTTTTGAAAACTTTTGAAAACAGAGAAAAAAGATGACGCGAAACCACCGAGGGCCGGCGCTCTTTTTTTGGCGCCGTGCCGTCGTGTTTCGTGGTCATATATGCTGACCGATAAAAGGCGGGCGCGCTGCCGTCGGTCCCACGTGAATCGTGAGCGGAATCCCCTCAGCAAGCTTGTAACTCATTACGCATCTGAGCGAATTGCTAACGCTGGGCCAGGCGGTGTCAAATTGAATTCAAAACGAATTCAAAATGAATTCAAAAAGTGAGCACTTTTGAAATGAGCCACAATCCGCGACGCCCTGGACTCTCAGCGGTTGCTGCCCCGGCAGCTTTTGGCGACCTGGCAGCGCCGCTGCCTGCTGGCTCATTGGCTCGGGGTACTACGGGCTCAACCCGAAGGGCTGCTCCGCGCCGTGCTAGCGGTGTTGCTGAATGATGACCGAGGGCCAGAGCGATGCGCTGTGATTCACTTTCCGGCATACGCCCGCATCGCCTGCGAAAGGCGACGGCGCTCTGTCGTGGCTTAAAATTTCGCGCCACTATTGTGTAGCGCCTGTCTGACACGGGTGGCGGTCTAGTCATTCCCGCGGCCGGCGCTATTATTGGCTTTGGCACTTCAGGCAGGAACGCTACAACTGGCCCGCACGGGCGCAGAAGGGGGCTGCGCTTGTTTGCGGCGCTAATTTGGGATCGGCGCAGCAATTCTAAAGTTCATCGGGGAGTGGATCTCAATTTCAAACTCCATCCGATCGACCCGCCCCAATTCAAACTCCATCCGGACGACCGGCCCCAATTCAAAACCCATCCGGGCGATCGGCCCCAATTCAAACTCCATCGGGCTCATCGGGGCAAATTCAAAACTCATCCGAATTCTGTCGGAATTCCGTCCGAATTTTGTCCCCTACTTGGCTTCTTGATTCGGACGGATTCTGACAGAATTCGGATGGATTTTGAATTGGTGGGGGATGGGATTTTGTGGTCCGGGCCACCAGAGTTGTGCCTCCAGTCGACTTCACCTACCGAGACCAGCCTGGGCGATCTTGGGTGGCTGACCGCATTGGGAATCGCGGCCGGGGATGGCCTCGCCCCTGGCGGCATTTTGTCCACTAGCGTCACATGCAATACGCACAGGCTGACTTGCTTGAGCACTCGCCGGGCCAAGCCGCGACCCCGACACCGAGGCCAGCCATGCTCCTAACCGCATGCGCCGGCCCCCGACGGTTCCCGGCATTTTTCCGTGGCTGGGCAGGGTCTTCTCTTATTACACCGGCAGCACCCCCCTGACGCCGAGCCGGGTTTCAAGGTTCGCAAGTTAAGGCATGATAACAAACTTCGGCCGCCGGTCGAACCAAAGCGCGTTCGCCCCATTTCCCGGAAGTTCCTTCGCGTGATTGGATCCAGTTGCCGACTCGCGCCTGGTCCGCTGGACCAAGCACAGGGCGCAGCGTTCATGTGAAAGCGGTTACAGGCCGTTTGCCATGGCTGTCGCGCGCCACATTTGTTTCGCCCGATTCGCCCCCTCGGAGGGGCGTCTTTTTGAAAATGCCAACTTTTTGAATTCAGTTTGAATCACGATTACACTCCGAGCGGTCTAGAGTTAACGAATTGCCGCGCTGTTTCGTGATAGGTTTTGACCCCGGAGCCGAGGCGGGCTGTTGTTGTTTCGTTTTACATGCGACGCATAGCGTTGTGGGTAGCCTTTTCCACCACGGCGCGGCTTGAGGTAAAAAGCGCGAGACTTCAACTTTCGTTGAAGCCCTTAGGCAAAACAGGACGCGCGCGACGATTTTCAGCTGTGTTGTTTTTGGAGTTTCCCGCTATTCGTGAAAAACAAGGACCGAGGCTATGGCGCCGCTTTTCTGACCTTTATTTTTTTGATCACGGCCTGAAGTTGGGAAGCAAGACTGCTCAAAAACTTTTAAAAGGCTTTGGCTTGGACTTGGGGCACCGAAACGGACGGACGGAATTAGGTGGTGACTGGCGGAGCCTCTTACCTCAACCCTCGATAGACAGGCGTGGGCTTACATCTTTGCACGACCTGGCACACGACTAGGAGGAGGCAGTGTGGGCGCCTCTCTGACGTGGAAACACGTCTTTACCCTTAGCCCTGTGCTATATACCAGTCGCTACAAGGATGATCTGTAAAAACAACAACTGCCGACGCATCTATGTATGTAAAAACCCTAAGCCCATGCGTAGTGCAAGAACATATGTAGAGCATGCCTGAGTCCCGCGCTGCAGTGTTGTTGATCTTGAGATTTAAGCTGGTGACAAGAGCTAGGGTATGCAACTATTTTTTTTTTTCCGTGGCGTCTGTGGTTTTTTAACTTTTAGATCTTAGTCGTACGACCTTGCTTCGGATACGCATCGCAAAAAAATATATCTATTACCCCTGCGAGTCAACATCTGCAGCCGCCGGGTCATACATGTTTACTCTAGTGCCACGGGTCTCCATTTTATGCCGTGGTCTTTCGTCGCCACATACAAATAAGTTGTTATCTACAGGGGGCGATATGGGAGATCTTGGGCATTTTCTAAGCCTGCTAAGGCCTACCTACACACCCGGTCGAGCCTAGCCTCTGTGTGTGTTAGTTAGGATGATCGTGGGCGCCTGTGAACAGGCTATAGACCAAGCCTGCTTTCTAAGTGGTTCAGACACACAGAGGCGCGTATCTACGTACTTCCTGCCTGCTGCGGTAGCAGCAGGCGCGACTTCGTCCAAAGCGGGTTTACATGGCTGAGCATCAGCAGCCCCCGCGAGTGTCCTCTTCCCGTTTCGGCATGAGGAAGGGCAGCACGTGGCCGAAGCCTCGCACTGCCCTTTCTCGATCTGTTGTTATTTTGATTTTTGGATGAAGCATCGCTTGGCAGGATGAAACGCGCATAGAGAAATGAGACCTACTCTAAGACCATGAGCCCGCGCTTGGATATTGGTCGCGATGCAAAAAGCTACAGCCCACCGCGCGACAAATAGTCCCGCCAGGTGTACGAGCCCAGGACCCCAGTGCCGAGCAAGTGGAGACTGCGCCGCAAAATATCTCGAGAACTCCACACAACTGCCGCGAGTAGCCCAATGGCAGGCGGTCACTCTCCCACCGGAACCCGCAATGAATGACCTTGATCGCTGCCTCAGAAATATCACAAACATCTAGAAAAAATAAGTCCCTGATCATTCCTCCCCCGCCGCGGTCCCCGCGCGCTTGTTCAGCATCGCCGGCCGTTGCCGCCCCTTGCCGCACTCTGCACGGCCTGTCGTTTGCTCGTATAGTCGTGACTTATCACGGGATCACAATAGCGCAGGGGCAGTACATATAGCAGTCTGTGCTGCGCACTTCAGACATGCTGTCGCGCCTATTTCACGAACAGGCTGGCGCCGATGGTGCTACCAGGTGTATCAGTTGTGCGCGCGCTCCAGTCGGGTTACACTCGCAGCCAGCCGTGCCCGGGACTGGGGCTGTGTCTGCTCTTTCGAGGAAGCCACGTCGCGGCCTCGGCGCCGGAGGAGATGTTTGCGCGGTGCCGTCAGTTGTTGTCGCCGTGGGGACGGGGACCTTTATAATGTGCTCCGGTTTGCCGTTGCCAGGGTGCACCTTGGCGCCGCGCCTCGTCTGACTTGATCGCTCCCATCGGTCTGTAAGCTGTTTCGGTCGCCTGGTGGGTTCCCCGGCATGCGGCTCTTCGGCTTGTTTCGTCGTTTCCTCGTTTTGTTGGTTGCGGCCCGTACTTGGTCGTGCTGAGGCATCGGGCAAAAGAGGCAGAAAAACCGCGCGCCTTCCGCCGTTTTCTCGTTCTGTTGTTGCATCCGGGTCGGCGTTGCTAGGTCGTGAGCAGGCGTCCTATGTAACCCGCGACAAAGATCCAGAGAAATGCGCTGTAGCATCGGCGTCCTGAACGTTCTTTATTGCATCTGTGCACGGGACAAAATCAGCGCCAGCATGTGCACGTGAGAAAATCAAGCATGCCACTCATGAAATAAACAAAAGCAAAAGAATAGGCGTCGCGCATGACCCCAGTGAACACTTACCGCGTGGCGTCCTGAGTGTTCTTTGTGGTATTTGCAGTTGTATTATCAGAGCTCTCTGTGCATGAGCAAACCGGAGAAACTCAAGCAGAATCCGTGCGAAACAGTACCGGACTCAAGCAGAACCCGCTGCGGGAGCTTCCAGAAGGAAGACCAAAGCAAAACGCTATCGGGCTCGTTTCGGGCTCGTGAAAGAAGGACAGTAATAAAAAGACTGCATTTGTTGGCCTCCGCCATACCGCCTAGCCAAAATGAGCATTGTGCCGGCGCCGAGTCTATGTGTGCGGTTAGTGTTTTTCGCTATTTTCGCCAATGTCTTTGCTTTTGCGATGAAGGGGGTCCGCTGAGTCAGCCTGTTGGGTTTTTTGATATTTGGCCTCTCTTTTTGATACTACGAACAGGGAGCAAATCTCTTTGGCCTTTTGCCTTGACCACGAAGCCCGCCGATGTTGCAAGCGGAGCCATCAAGCTCGGCGCTGCTTCAACCTTCTCAGATGCGGGCGCTTTTCACTGTGGCGGAGTGTGGAAGCTGAGCTCCCACGAAAAGCGCGGGACCCCATCGGACACACAGGAGAACCGCGACGGCATGCCGGGGCTCGATCTCGTATTGGCCGTGCCGTCACTGGCCACCCACCTCAGCCAGCCAGCCCCAGGCAAATTCGGGCCAATAAAATCAGCGCAGAAAAGCACTAATAAAAAAGCTGCGCCGGGCGTCGTCTCGTTGGTTTTGCGCATTGCGTGGCCAGGGGCTGGCTTTTTCGGAATTCCCGAAGAGCGTCGCGGGTTGTCCGCCAGGGGGAAATTCTGCCCGGGGGCCCGGGTCTTTTGGCGCCTGGCCCGCGGATGTTGCGTTTGGGTTCTGTGCCCACCGCGAGGGCGCAGCCCTGCCATGCGCCTTGCCGGAATTCCCCGGCTTCGTTCCCGCCGGGGACGGGTTTTGTCGGGTTGCTTCTCGGGTGGCGCTTTCGTGGTTGTGTTTCTCGGCCCGGGGGCTTGGTTTTGCCGTGGCCCTTCCCCCGGCCGGGGGTTTCAGGGGGTAGGGCGTCGCCCGCCGGGACCTGGGGAGCTGGTCCCGGCCCAGCGTGTGGCCTTTGGGTGGAAGCGGCGCTCTTGCGGGCCAACAGGGGACGAGGGTTTTTGCAGAGAGGGCGGCAGGACTTGCGACCGTTTTCGTATGATCCTTCCCGCGGCCTGGCCTCTGCAGTAATTTTTGCGATGATCTGCGCAATAAAATTTGCATGAATTGGAAAAGGATGCGGCTTCTTTTGACACATGTTCGGCGCTTTTTGACACATGGTCGGCCGGATCGGCCGTAGTCTCCTCGGGGGTCGAGAAATAAAAAAAAAACGTTGCCGGCTCTTTTTGACACATGGTGACGGATTTGGGTGCGGACTGCGAAACCAAATCGAATGCGCGGACTGTCTGCCTGCGCTTCTTGGGCCCGTTCTATTGCGAAACACTTCGCAGGAAGACGAACTACATCAAGACCGACGCCGGGTAGGGGCATGGACACTGAGCGAGGCCGACGAGTTACCGACGCCAATGCCAAAGGACAAGAGAGCGAAACTTCGAACACGAAGCGGGAAAGTGCGCGGAGGAAACGAATGAGGGGACCTCGGGGAAAGCTATTGCCCAGCCCCTCGCGGCAATGTATGCGAGCCCCGAGATGCGAGCGCCCCCAGTCGGACGGCGCCCGCCCCAACATCTTCGCCCCCAGATGCGCCTGCGCCGCTGTGCCGCGCTCGAGATGTCAAAACAGGCCAGAAGGGCAGCATCCATGCGTCCTGCCGCTCCCCGCGCTTGCTGCCCAGGGAGGCCACCACAGAGTGGCCCGCCTGCTCATCGAGAAAGGCCCGCTGAGCCGGCGAAAGGCTCCGGGCGCCTTGCGTTCGTTGCTGGTAGATGGAGCCATGCCGCAAGCCCCCGGCGCCGGAGACCTGCGCCGTCGCCAACTCGCACAGCGGTCACCTTTGAAAGCGAAACGCCGCAACTTTCGTACCCCTAGAGAGGAAGAAGAAGAAGAACAAGAAGGAACAGCGACGAAATAAAGGAACTGCAGAACGATGAAGATGAAACGAGTGGCGCGCTTTGCATCGGCATAAAGAAAAAAGCAAGAAGAAAAAGTGGAAACCGGAACAAGAGCAGAGCCGAATCGCGGCGGTGTGGTGTTTCCATGTGTCAAAGCGAGCCAGTTAAGTCTGAAAAAAAGCCGAGCCCATTTAAAAACATGGGGAGTCCTTTGGGAAATCGCACCCCAAAAAAATTATGGCAAATTTTACTGCAAAGCCAACCCACAATATCGAAGAAAAAAAGTGTTACTGTTACACATTGCAAGAAATAAGCCGAGTACTTTCATACGTTCAGTAAGAATTTTTTTGGCACGCAGGTCGGCGAAAACTTCGTTTCTGATGAATGACGCAGACATGACGAATGCAGCCAGCCATCGGCCCCCTCAGTTACGTCCTACACTAGCTAGCTGAGGGCGCGCCTATTTTGGCGCTCCGCTCCAAATGGCTGGCCCGGAATGCGGTTCGCTGGCCTTTTGTTTCCTGGCCCCATCCCGTGACAACATGAAGCAGAGAATACAGATGGAAGGGGACTCGGTCACAAGGGTGGCAAACCGCCTCCGGGTGAACATTGGCAGGGTTTTGGTAGCCCTGTAGCACGAGTGTTTCGCTATCAAGCATGCGCGGCTTGACTTGTAGGCGAGATATTTTCTCAGACACCCACGGAAGAGCCTGCGCCCGCAGGATCCCTGAAATTCAATCACGGACGTGGGGGCAGCTTCTTTTGCGTGGTGTGCAAACTTGACGCAGAGCCTCTAGCTGAAGGCTCGCGCTTTCGCGTGTTTGCTTTCAGTCGAGGCGTTACACATTTGGAAAAAAAGCGGCAATCTCTTGCGCAAAATCACCCACATTTTGACCCTCCCTTGAGGGCTGGCCAATGTTACACATTTTGGTGCGTAACGCAGCAGTTTTTTTGCGAACCCCCGTGGCACTCTGCGATTTACTGTGTTACACATTTCAAACAGTATCAAGATTCCGCTCGAGGAGAAAAGTCTCGAAGTTGGATTCCGCCCGGTGAAAAAAGTGTTACATATCGAAAAAAAAGTGATGCAGTTGCTATTTTTTCTGGCCTTGCTTTGACCCCTCAAAAAAATGCAGTGTGTATCACTTTTTTTTTGCAATCCGGGTGGAAAGTTGGCTTTCGGGACAGGGTGTCGATTTCGCCAGGAAAGGGCAAACTACGTAGAGCCATCATGGCCACGATGGGAAGGAAAAGGCTGGCACTGCAAAAGCGCCCGCTCGTCGCGTCAAATGCCAGCAAGCGCTGTTCTGCAATTTTCGCTCCCGCGCGTGTCGCCGTTGCACAAGTCAGGCTGGAGGCGTCAAAAACGGTCGCTGCGGTTCGTCAGGTTTGCGACTAAGTGAAACAGCAGGCATTGTCCCTCGCAAGGTCGAAAGCATCGCTGTGACCTTGGCCCGCTCTATTGTTTCGCTGAGACATTCTGCCGCCGCCCGGTCTATCAGTCACTGGAGTTCTCAATCAGGTCCGCGACATGTAGCAGCTTGCCTTCTTAGCTATTCCAGTGAACTGAAGCAGCCGCAGCTACGTGGAGGCCTTCTCTTTGCCTGACACGAAAATGAAAACGCAATAGGCGTGACAGGTAGCCGCGGCTCGAAAAAAGTTCTAGCCTGCCCTTGAAAAAATACGCTATTTTCGATGCCGTGTGTAACTGTAACACTTTTTTCCTTCGATACACAAAGTAAACAAAATCTACAGCGCAAAGGAGCACAGTAATCACACCGGAGACCCATGCTGGAGAAAGCAGAAAGAGCTGCAGCGTTTTGGGCGTGGTTTGCAAAGGAACCGGGATGGCCCGGGGTTTTTGTTTTTGGGCGTCATTTTTGGGGCTTAGGCCTTTTCGGCGCAGTCCTTGGGGCCCTTGTGGTTTCTTGGCCTGATCCTTGGCGAGATTTCTGTTTGCTTCCCGCATGGTGTTGCGCCAGCGTAGCGCCCTGCGTTGCATATGCTAGACAGGGCCCCCTGGGGGATATTCCTATTGGCTCCCCCCATTCCGTTCCCAGGCCCTTTCTCCGCTTCGTGATCTGGCGCAGAAGCCGGGGGCGCGATGGGCCCGCAGGCAGTTGGCCCCGGCTGTCCTCGCGCGGCCGCGGCCACTTCCTGCGCTCGGCCCCTGTCTGTCTGGACCATGCGCCGCGTCTTCCCCCTGGTCTGTCATTCGCGCCGGCGCTTTGGCGCATTTCTTGGCTCCCTTTCCCGCTTTTACATTAGTTCTTCTTTACACCAAATTCAAACCGGGCAGCTTGCCCGGGGCCGGCAGCCTGAGCTACCTACGAAGTTGCGAGACAGCTTCCTGGACGAGGAGGCCTCTGGGAGGTTCAAAGCTTTCAAATACAAGTCTACTAAAAATTCTGAAGGTTTAGCATAGACCCCCGCTATGGTTGTAGTTTCCTTTCGCTTGCGTCTTCCACTTTTTGACTTTAGCCTTTGCTTTTTCCTTTTAGTTTTTGCCCGTAGCGGTAGCTTTCTCTTTTTTTTTAGTTCTTACTTTTAGTCTGTTGCTTTTAGTGTCTGCTTTTAGATTTTCTTCCTTTAGTTTTTTCTTTTAGGTTTTGCGTTTGGTTTCTTGGTTTTTTGCTTTTGCTTTTTGTTTTTATTTTTTGGCTTTTGCTTTCAGATTGAAATTGTGGAGTAATTGCCTGGCCATCACGACTTTAGTCGTAGCAAGGGATAGATTATAATGCTTCTAGTTTTGTGCTATCAACTGACAAAAAGAAATCGAAATCATGCGAATGGGTTTCGTTTTTATTCCAGATGTTGCAAAAAAAAAAAAGAAATCGATGCTGCAGCGACCCATCTCTCAGACGTCCAAAATCGTGTCACACTTGTTAGTAGCAATCACATGTGACGGCTCACTCGCAGTTCTTGCACGACTCTAGCCGCTATTTTGTTCGCATCTCAGACTCAGTGCAACACTTTATTTGTAGTTAAGCGCAAGTGTTGTTGCGAATGCGGTCCACAACGAAAGGAAAGAGTATGACACAAATCAAAAAATGAGAAGTCCCAACGAGAATTGATCTGCGTCATGAAATCAAAATCGGCAGATCCCGGCTGTAGTTTGTATGACGTAGTTCTTGTAGGCTTGACCAATGACTACATCCACATGCATTTGTTCCTTGGATAAGCAACTCATTTTTATTCATACATGACCCATGTGTTGTTTAAACTAGTAGCAAGAAGGGCTGAGCATGTTTCCATCAGTTGTACTTATTTGTTTCTCGCGAAGTTCCTGCACACATACAGCAAAGGTCTAATCAAAAACGTCAAAAATATCATGGGGAACAAAAGTAAGGAAGAGGAGGCGAAGGACGATGTCCGAAAGGACTACTGGGAGATTCTGCGGGCAGGCAAGAAGCGGGAGGACCAAGGAGGCGGACAGCACAGTAGTGACGATGAAGACGCGCGACAACGAAAAGAGCGGCTGCATGAAGCGCACCGGAAAAAGCTCGACGAGGAGCGGGACAGGAGACTGGAGCGGCAGACACTGGAAACATTAAAGCAAACGAAGAAGATATCCCACGAAAAAGCTGTTCAACTGTGATGATTTTGCAAGATCTGCAGCACAAGACTGCCACGTATGTATATGTGGGCACAGAATGGCTGCCATGCCCGCTTCCCAAGGGAAAACACGCTTCAAGATCCAATGTCTTGCAGGTGTAGTCGTAGCAAGAGAGATAGTTCTGTTCTCTATTCCTTTATTGCTATGCATCACACGTTCACAAACACAAACACAATGGAGCAGTTATTTCATGCGATAGAAGATGATGGCGTCTTCCCCCGGCTCGGATTCGGACTCCGAGGTGCCCTTTTGGATGATGGACAGCTCCATTCGGGCGGCCCAACAGGAAAAGCTGAAGCGGGAAAAACAAAAAGAAAAAAAGAAAAAATCGAAAAAGGAGAAGAAAAAGGACAAAAAGAAAAGGAAAAAGGAAGCTGTGCGGAAAAAGGAAGACAAAAACAAAAAAAAGTCAAAAAAAGAGAGGAAAAAGCCAAAAAAGAAAAAGCGCCACTCCTCCAGTAGCGAAAGCGATTCTTCCGAAAGCGAATCCTTATCCTTGTCATAGAGACGATTTGTATGCGTGGCTTTTTGCGCTGCCGTGTCGCCTGTTGTTGTCGATGGACGCTACCAAAAAGAAAGATTGCGATCACGTTCACGACCTCAAATGCAGCAGCTCCCGGGCATTGATATGATTACTCAAGCACAGTGCGAGTGTTCATCCCCATGGCACTTCCTCTGAGTAAATATTGTGCACGAATGACAGTGTTCTCAGCAACTGCAACATCTTCTGAGACTGGAGAAGACGAGGCGGCCGCGACGACGAGTTGTTTTCAAACGACGAGATTTTTGTTCTGCATCGTTTTCTACTGCGTGCGCTTGAAGATGAAAGCTACTGCGTTTTCGCAAAAGCTACATGATGTAAGTTCGTGGTTCGTTGCGTGCTGGAGAACCATCGATACTGACATATTTACTATATTGTAACTATATGATTTTCATTTTTGCACTTCGTCAAAAGCAAAATAATATGCGCGAGCAAATTCGAACTAAGCACACGCAGAGGTATATGTAGCCAGCTGCGTGTGGATGGCTTGCAACGCGCCGACACCGAGGCGCATATGCTACATGTCCTACATGTGCTCCGCGGCTGCGCGCGCGCCCCGAAAAATTTTGAGACCCTGACGCTGTGAGACCTAAAGGAAAGCAATTCGCGCTACGAAATCTTGTTGGCGATTCTGCTAAGGGAAAGCAAATCGCGTTGGCGATTCTCTAGGATCGAGAAAAAAGCACACACATTGGCGATTCAGATCCGCAATGTTTTTGTAGATCTTCCCTTCTCCCGGGGGACCCGCCATCTCCGGGGGATCCATGCTCCAGTCCCCCGGGGACGGGATCCGCTCGGGCCTCGGGGAATCCGCCCTTCCAGGGTGGGTCGGCCTTCCCCTGGGGGCCCCTCCGCCTGTTCCCCAGGGGGATCCTCCTCGAGCAGGATCCGCCCCTTCCCCGTGGGCTCCGCTTTTCCACAGATGAGGCCTCCGCTTTTCTATTCTTTGCCGGGATCTGCCTTCTCTCCAGGGGGAATACAAAAAGAGGCTGACCAGACAAGAATCAGGGCGATGCTCTTGGCGGGTGGATTAGCCAAGAGTGTTGCGCCAGTTCTGTAGCCTTTGACTGCGGCGCCACCCATCCCGCGGTGTTTCGTTGTGGTATGTGCTGACCCCGATGATTGGGCCGCAGCGTATTTTCACGCTTGTGGATATGGGCCCTGCGGCTTTTTTATTTTTTGTGTTCTTCCAACGGCGGGCCGGTTGGTCCGTCTGCTAGCTAGCTTTCTCCGGGTGCGGGATCGGGAGAAATGCGAAACATCGCGAAAATTAAAGAAACGCGCGAAGCGAAGGCAGGACGGGCGCCGCCCGCCTGCGGGCTCGTCCACGACCTAGCTCGAGGCCGCGGCGCGCGTCGGGAGCAGCATGGCCAGGAGGGAGAGCCTGGCCGCGCTACGTCTCTCTGCCCCCTACTTGTATTGCTGTGGGGCAATGTGCTCTCCCGCTCTGCAGTTTTTTTCTTGACTCGTTGAAAGTGTTGTAAAGATGGAAGCTCAGGAGCAACAGGAGCCTGGTACGGTACCCGGGTCGCATAGGTGGTAAAGAAAGGCGGCCCCAGTGGAGAGAAGCAAGGGCGAGTGCGTGCGCGTAGCTTTGGCGCGTTTCGGTGTGTCGGGTATCAGGGACAGAAATCGCCAGGGGCCCGGATTTGGGGCAAACGAAGAAAAGCGGAAACGCGGAAAGAGGAAATACTTATATAAAGCACCGGGACAGCAGCTCGCCCCGGCGCCGGATTTCAAAACGGGAGCGGCTTCTGGGGGAGCCCCACCCCACCGCCCGCCCGCGCGCGCCCGCCCCCTGCTCGTGGCGAAGGCCTTCAGTCCCAGCCATGCAGTCGGCGTCCCCCCCTCGTGAACCCCGCGTCGCTTTTTGCCCATGTTTACAGGCACTCCCGGGGCGCGCATTGTCACGAAACACGGCGATCGAACCCTGCGGCCCTCGCTCGTGACCCCCGCCACCTTTGTAGCCGTAGCTACCCGTCGCGGCCATGGCGGTGGGTAGCCCGCGCACTCGCTCTCCCTCCCCCCCGCGTTGCCCCGAAGCCACTTGGCGCTTTCTGAGTAGAAAAGCAGCATGAGCCCCGGGACGTGCCTCGTGACCCTCGTGGTTCGTTTGAAAGACTTGAAACAAAGTAGCTCTGCGGCGTCCTCGGTGGGCTTCCAGCCACACTTGAGTGCCGTCAGTCTGCGAAGAGCAAGAATTGAGGCCCTATGTGTAGTTGGTGACGCGAGATCTTAGGACCCCGCCGGCATGAACGCTCTAGCCTGGCTGTCGATGTCCTTTCTTCTAGGTGAGGCACGCTCATTCAGGCCGTCCGGCAGCAGCAAAATCGCAGGACGCCTCAACGAACAACGGGCGCGCGCGCGATCACGTAAGAGGACTCCACGGCCTACGCGACTGCTTGAAGAAGTTCGAGAAAAGGGTCCACGGCGATTGGTAGCAGAGCTGCAGCAAGCGCCCAAAAAAATCTTGAGGCGCCCGCGTAGTCATGGTGTGTCCTCTTCTAGAGGTGCGAATTTGCCGCAACTCCTGCTGGGTGGCCGGCGCTATCCTGTGCAAAAGTATCGCACCCGTTTATGCCTAGCCGTATTGCTGTTCATGAGCTCGCTTAGATTTAGAAGCTGGCGGGAGGTTGGCGAGATGAGTGTGGCGGTAAGAAATGGCGCTGAGTCGGGGAGAAGTGGCAGGGCGTTGGTGTTGGCGTCGCTACCGCCCCGGCCTAGTGGCGTGGCGCGTCACTTCGCCGCGGCGAGTGGTATGGAGTGAGGCCGCCCCCGAACGGCTCGAGCCCTGGAGCTTTCTCGGCATTTCCCGTCAATAAGGCCGGCCGGCAGTTTGAGCACCTATGGAGCTTTTTTTTGTATGGAAGCAAATCAGGCACAGCAGCTTGCGCGGCCCCTGTGCCAACGTTTCGTGGCGGGGGACAATCGCCCACCGGCCTAAAAGGCGACAATAGCGGGCCAGCAACGTCGGCGCCCTTCTCAGGCGCCCGCCGCGTGAGATTCCGGCGCGCGCGCGATTCACTTGGACTGCCCAAATAAAGGGCTTCCAAGATGAAATTGCGCGCAAAATCACCACAGCGAAGCCGAACGGCACGGCCGCGATTTTGGGGTCTTGCTTTCATTGATTTTGGGCGACGGCGAAGCCGGCCGCCTTTTCGCCAGGTGGTGCGTGGTTGCCCTGGTGTTGGGAAGCTCCTGAACGAGCGTGGTCCCTTCGTGAAAAATGGGCCGCAGAAAAAAAAACGCGTCAGCGTTAACGCTAGGCCGCGCGCCGTGATATGGTTCCTTGAGTATTTTCGAAAGCATCCATTTTGGAAGAGCGCGCCCATTGAATTGTGGCGGAAAAGTCGGCAAGCGCCGCTACTTTTGCCAGCGCACTTCTTGGGGGGGTAAAAAAGAAAAGTTTGCGGGGAGTCGCCTAGGCCTAATTCTGAACGCGCAGCCCGTCGCCCCGTCGATCCCACAAGAGGCGCGGGAGGCCCGTTGTCAAAAGACGCCAAGAGTAAGGCCTGGAATGAAAGGTCGCAAAGACTTCAGGATGTATTTCGGCATGTAGACTCTCGAGCGCCCTTTTGTGAGCCCGCTGGCGCGCTGAAAAGTGGCCGGGTCGCCTCCGGGGCCGGGCCCCGACGAGGCCGCTCATTGCCAGGAAAAGGGGGCGCGGCCAGCGGGGTGGTCGGGGCGGGGGGGTGCATTTTTGCCCCTTTCGGACCCCCCCTTCCGGGCACCCCTTCGTGGTAGCTTCGACACAGCCTATGCCGACCCCCTAATCCCCATTGGAGACTGCCGACTTTGCGTGCCCATAAATGGCAGCTTCGACACAGCCTATGCCAACCCCCCTCCCCCCCCCTCCGACACACCCCCCAGGAAGGACTTGACTGCTGGCGCCCCCGCGTTCGCAGTATCCGGGTGGAGAGGGAAGAGCAAAATATGCTTGGCCGCGTCCAGAATTAGATCCGGAAGAGGAGGCACGGTTGTCCCTGTCAGGAGGCCTCAGGAAGGCCTGTGCATCTTCAGCAAACCAAAGTGCTGCGGACTCATCGAAAAAAGGAAAGGGCCGGACGGCGGACAGGGACGACGAAGAGGGGCGCCAGCATGCACGTGGCCAACAAAAAAGAGCGGGCGCTGTCCCCCCAAGAGTAAAACTGTTTTTGCCACCGTAAAAGTGATGGCATTTGCCGACGTTACCGCCCTAATTGAGGGAGTGAGAGAGTGAGGGAAGCGCTTGCCCGTTGTTTCTCGTGCCCGAATTGCGTTGCTTGTGAAATTGCAGGCGTCGCTACAACGTGGCCCCGCTGGTGTGTTCGTGTTGCCTTGCGCCGCAACATCACCCGGCCCCGCCTCGCCCTTCAGCCAGCCTCTGAAGGCCGTCCGGTTTGGTTTCCGGCGATCCCGAAACACTTGCCACGGGCTGCGGATATTCAACGAGAACGCCTCCGGGTGATTCGCCGGCTCGTGCAGCCGCTCAGCAGATCGATGAGTGTGGAGGAAAGCCGGCAATCTTTGAGGGCAGCCGCTTACGCTTGAAGGCGGTCAAGATAATTGGATGGTGGCCAAGATATTCTGACGCCAATCAGGCAACTTGGGACGGCAGTCGAGCAATTTTTGACGGCAGTCATGCACTTTGCGACGGCAGTCCGGCGATTTTTGACGGCAGTCGCGCAATTTCGAAGGAAGTCAAGTAATCTTGAAGAGGGTAACAAAGCAGCCAGCTTCCGCGCCCCCCCCTGTTGTAGTCGAACGCAAGCCAACTTGGCTTGCATTCGATTGGTTTTTGACTTTCTTCAAAAATACCCTGACTATTTTCTGACCTGCCGGGCTTTCGCTTCACGTTCCAGCGCTCTCCAGACTCAACCTGCAGCCAATTGGCGCTGCCTCGCTCGTCTCTTTTCGGCTTCTGGCGACCACCTCGCGCAAAGGGCCCGGGGTGCGCGGCCCTTCGGACCGCCAAGAGTGTTTTTGTAGCTGCGCCCACAGGTGGACTGCCGGCCCTTCTCTTTTTGTGGGAAGCGCGGCTGTGGTCATTGTTTAGCAGTGGGGGCCGTTGTTTTTGTTAGCGGGCTGCACATCCACGGCGTATTTGCAAGCTACATCCTGCTTTTCGTTGGCAGTGGCGCCTGTCGCGTTTTTGTCGCGTGCAACCACCCTAACAAACCGCGAGCGACCCGGGAAGCAAAGAAATATCGCGCACGCAGGGACGCGGCGACTGTTTTGCGTGCCGTCGCGCCCCTGTTTTGGTTGTCGACCGAGGGGCAGGGGAAAAAAAGCTCCGGAGGCTGCTAAGTGGAGGGGGCCCATTTGCAAAATGCAAATGGCCCGTCTTCGCAAATTCGCCCAGTGCTCCACGAACTAAATCACACGACGAGGCTGCTACGTGGAGGGGGCCCTTTTGCAAAATGCAACTGGCTCGTCTTCGCAAATTCGCCCAAAGTGCTCCACGAACTAAATCACACGACAACGGCAGACGCAGGAAGCAAGCCCACACGCTAGGCGCCCGGCTGTTCTTCGTTTTATTTCTGGAGCCCCCCCCGCCCGCACCCGCGGTGCCCGCATCGGGCCCATGGCGTCGGGGCTGGTCCCCAGAGGGAAATGCTGCAAATTTAAACGCGCAAAAATTCGCGGCGTTTTTCTTTTTGAAATGGGCACCATTCCGTTCGGCGTCACGTTACAGCGGGTCCGCAAAAGGAAAAGCGGGCCCGCGGCCGGGGCGAAGTCAAGAACGAGAGCGCGATCGACCTCACCTCCGCTGTGGCGTTTATATTTCTTTTGCTTTTATTTTTATTGGCCAACGCCAAGCAGATCGGGCTCGGGCCTCATTACTCAGCAGAAGTTTTTAAAAGTTGGTGGTTGGATTTGAAGAATACTCGTGAGCGAACTTTTTTGCAGCAGAGAAAAAGTCGAAAACGGGGCCGCTCTTTCTATTCTTTGCATTGCCTTCAGTCCCCCTTTTCGGTGTTTGGCTGTGTTTCTGCCCTGTTGTTTGCATGCCATTAGTGGACTTATATGAGTGCGATATTTTTGTATTTGCACAGAATAAGCGCTGGGACAGTTTTGCAGACGGGTACGCGGCGCCCTTCAATCCCTTTATGCAAGAAAAGATGTATTATTTTCACGACCACGAACACTATCACGACTACGGTCTGCCTCCATGTTGTTGCAGATGCATGACTGAGCACGCAGGGGGAGCACAAGGGTCTTGCTTGCGCGACACTGTCAAGATCGATGCGCACGACAAGAACGACAGTGAGCGCCTTGAATGGTCTCTGTGGCTCGTCGTGAAATTGTTCTGTAAGTGCAGTAGCTCTTTGCATGTGTTCGTCCTTAATATGGGACGGACAGAACGTTTATTCTCAACTAATTTTTTTTTTTCGATGGGGCGCGCCGATACCTAACTCCCATGCATGGATGTTTGTAGATGCTTTTAAATTAGGCGTCGTCTAGCTAGTGAAGTAAGTAAACTAAGATAAGTAGCTAAAGACACAAGGAGCCGGAGGTGTAGCAGATCGGGCTGGCTCGCTCTTCGTGGATGCATCCACAAAGAGACAGCCGATGCCGGAGGCTGTTCTGCTCCTTGTGTCTTTAGCTATCTTTTTTATCTACTTTACTAGCTAGTCGACGCCATTAGAGATGTTGATGCATGCAAATGACACCGCAGTTGCCGATGCTTTTCCGCCCCTTTGAAAAAAAAAAATCAGTTGAGAGTAAGCGTTCTGTCCAGGCCATACTTAAAATTAGATGGCTATCCATTCATAGGCTTTTTCAGTGTTAATGAGACGCCCCCGCAGTCGTGACGCACTTTTTCCATCTGATCTCCTCGCGGCTCGAGATCGCAACTCAAACTCTTCCCGACCGCAACTCAGCTTCTACCAGCATCCAGGCATGGGCAGCAACCGCAACGCCAACGTCGACCCCTGGGACTGCGCGACTTGCCCGGTGGAAGCGGAGAATGCTTGGAAGAACGAGACGGCGACGATGGATGTTGCTTGGTAAAAGTACGACGGAGAGAATCTACGGCAGCCACTTTCGCGTGTCAACCCGGTATCGTGACATCATGGAGCTGCATCAGGCCTTTCATGCCTTTCTTGCTTCGCCACTTTTTGCCAACGCCCTCGGCGGACAGGCTTGCCCATACTCCCTCGGGTTCGGCAGTCTTCTTAGTTACGAGCGGCATCAGGGAGTTTCCCCGTACGCAAATGACGGCGATGTTTTCGTTCCCAGCGCATTTTTTCGTGTGGTCGAGCGAGCAGCGGTGCGCGATAAAGGCTTGGCATCTGCGTCTAAAAGAACGAGTCACGGGGGCACAAGCATGAGCGGAAAGAACGACGTCAAATTTGTTACCTTCTCACTTTCGCACGGAAGGCTCGAGAACCAGGCCCGTCTGCGAGAGTCACCAACTCAACGCGTTTCTCAACCGGCGAATCAAGGCAGCTTTCCAGATGCGAATCCCGCGCAGACGGTGGTCCAAGAACGCTTGTCTCCAATTGGGACAGACGAGAAGGTGGCTGTCACGTACACCTCTGTGCCTGTCGATTCGATAGACGACATTTTTGCTGCTTCCGGCGCGAAGTACGTTCTACATTTGAGCGACGAGAGCTGGACGTCTTACGCCCATCTTGCAATCAAAAAGCAACCCACGGGAGAGCAGGTGAAGAAAGCACACGGCACCTGGGCCATGCAGTGGGACCCGCCGACGGGGGGTCGCTTTGTGATGCAGCACGACAGCAAGAGAGATGTTGCCGAGATGAGAGACAGGGAAAAAAGTGCCCCGATAGAAATAACCCAGCGGAGCAATCCCGAACTGCTACCGGACGGCTCAGGTGGAAAGCGATACACCTACATCGATCTCTCTGTGTTGGACCCAACGTATGGCGCGCCGACACACACATCCTGCAAGGCGGGCTACAAAACTAGTCCCGACAAAGCAGTCGGGTTCTTTCTTCAACAAAAAGAGCGGACTAACGTACCTCTGCGGTGGCGGACTGCGCTTACGGCGGAAGAAGCTGGTGGCGCTAACGCACAAGGAGAAGGTCTCTCATCTGCCATCAAGCATTTTCCACCCACGCAGGAGGTCCTGCTGCACGATGCCAGGAAAGAGGACGCTGCATCTCCGAACGCGCGGCTGCTCACTTCAACACGGGTGCGCATTTTTTCAAATTCTACCTTGCGCGACAACATGCTGAAAGGGTGCTACGGCGAGAAGTATCTAATCCCCGACCACTTTTGGAATCAGGAAAAGCAGCTCTGGGTAGTGGTGAAATGAGGCGGTGCGCACGAGAGAGGGCGAGGACGGCAACAGCGTCGCAGCAGCCGAGCAAGATGATCGCGAAAAGGTGCACATTTATCCTTCGTTGTACGACTCGGGGAAAATCGCGGACGGCTCTATCGATCTTTTTCTGTCTTCTCACGTTTTGGAACATCTGGGGAACCTTCCACGTTTTCTGCGCAGCGAGCTCTATCCGAAGATGCGCCATGGTGGATTGGTCTTCTCGGAGGTGCCAGACCACGACCGGAACTACATTTTGAAAACGTTTGGGGGACAGTTTTATCTCACCTTCCCGACGCCGGAAGGAATCGAGAACCTTTTCCGCGACGCAGGTTTCGAGCCGGTGAAAAGCTGGGTTGGAGACGGTGGGTTGCACATCCGCACAATGCACCGAAAGCCGGATTTGGCTCATCAAAAGATTCGTGGCTCTGCAACTTCCTACCAGAAGGCGGGATAATGCAGGGACTGTGCTCGGCTCTGCGCTAGGTGCGGTTGGATGGAGGCGGCGTAGTCCGGCACCTCAATACAATACAATGCAATACAATAGTACATCAAAAAATTGAATCAAATGCCACAATGGAAGCGGTGCTTGACTGTGAAGGAAATGCTGTCGATTGTTCGCAGGCATACTTGACGCATGGACAAATCGTCCTGAAAAACGTGAGCTGTACAAACCGATGACAAGGAAAAGGTAAGTAGCCAAATAATACTACTAGCGCGAGCACCTCATAACGTGAATTTTCATCCCCTGCTTGAGGCTGAGCCGCCGACTGTAGTCTACTACCTGATATTACTCACTAATGTTTCTTGTTTCTGTCAGTCTGTTTCTTTTTCGAGATAACGAGCCGGACGATGCGCGTCATCTTATAACAAAGCTAGACTCTGCCGGTCATCTTCATTAGGCACGTTGACGTTGTTGACGTTCATGTTTTATGGAAATGCGTGAAGTGGTGCGCTGCTCCTGCTTCTATGTTCTTTCTCCTACTGTGTCAGTAGGTACCCGCATGCTGATGCTGTCCTCTTGCTGGTGATCGCGGTGAAAGTACGTAGCGGATTTGTGTCGTGTATGTAAGAACCAATCCACGCGGCGTGCGCCGCGTGGGAAAAAATAAAACAACTCTTCAGCGTCTGTGTCAAATTCTGTCTGCCCTGAAAAATTTTCGCGCTCGACTTTGTCGCCTCTAATAGAGTGGCCGCGTTTGGCTTCTCTCGAAGTGGCCAAATTCGGGAGAAGACAAAGACGGCCAGCTTTTGGCTTCGTCTCTGAGGCCCAGACTAGCAAACAAACAACGAGGTCGCTTCTTGCTGTACAAAAGTGGCCAGCTTTAGCGGCTTTTATTTCAGAATCCCGGTCAGATCAGGAAGAAACCAGGAAAGAGCTCGCCTGCTGTTCGCTCCCTAGCCCGGCCTCGCTTTTTGCTTTTACAAAAGCGGGCAGCTTTGGTCTCTTGTCAAAGTGCCAGGCGCTTGAGCGACCGGAATCGCGACAGCAGTGCGCGAAGCATCTCAACGCGAATGAGGCCCAGTCGGGCTCTTTCCACACGGCGAAAATCTCGCGAGCAAGCGAAACGGCGATAGCAGTGCGCGAAGCAGCTAACGAGCAGCGACTCCCATCCGGGCTTGTTTCACACCGTGAAAAGGGCCTGGTTGGCAAATCGTCGGCGTTTTCGTATACACTTTTGTTCAATCGGTAGAAAACGCTCAGCAAACCTTCAGAAGAAACCTCCTGAAGAACTTCAGAAGAGTTGACATTTCTTCTGAAGAAAGCTTCAGAAGGTTTTTAGCTTTCAACCTTCAGAAGACCTTCTTGAAGGTTTTTCGACCTTCAGAAGGTCAAAAAAGGTTGGCCCTTTTTTTTTTTTTTATTTTTTGGCAAAAAGTGACGTTTTTCATTTTTAACCTTCAGAAGGTTTTGAAAAATCAGCCTTCAGAAGGTCAAAACCTTCTTGAAGGTCCAAAGTCAACGCGTGCCAAACCTTCAGAAGATTTTTTTGCTCAAAAACCTTCTGAAGGTAATTACCTTCTGAAGGTTCACAGAAAAAAATAAACTTTCGCGGCGCAGGATCTGACGCCGTTTCAATTTTGCTCGTTTTTTGAACTGCTATTTTTAGAACCTTCTGAAGGTTCGTCGACTCTTCTGAAGAATTTTCTTCTGAAGGTAGTTTTGATTTTTCAATATCTTCTGAAGAATTTTCTTCTTATTATTTTTTGCGAGAAGTCAAGAGCTGGGTATATAGTGCTCGTAAAAATTATGTAAAAAACTAAACAGTTAACAGCTTCCTTTATTGGGGTTTGTCAGTGGATTTGAGAACATTCGCACGCATTTGCACGCGTTTGCCCCGGCGCCGAGCTCGCTGGCAGCTGTTCGCTTCTCCCTTTTGCAAGCAAGTGACGCAAAGCGCTTGCTGCGTTGCATCCTGCGCGTAGCCTCAGCGCGTTCGCATTCGCCGCGATGCATTCTGTTTCCCGAACTGAAGCACCAACGTGGGCCACCTTGACGCAGGCCATGGCTATCAGTGTTTCCATGTTGGAGGCCGTGAGGTCGTAAGTTGCTTGGCAAACACGTGCGGGGACGGGCGAGGGCCAAAAATGGCACAGAGACTTGCGAACCTGCTGGCATTCCGTCGCTTCTTGGCCTCATGAATTTCCTGGGCTCCGCCTATGGTTATGGCGAAGCGTCGGTCTTTTGGACCTTCGCCATTGCGGACCATTTCCTCGGTATTCCGCGACGCTATTGCCAACGCCTCCTCTGACCAGCGGCGGGCGCTCGCCATGGATACCGTCGAGCTCATGACGGCGGTCGTGGGTTCTGAGGATTGTTGGCACTGCCTTCGCGATTGGTCTTCTGAGTTGGTCTACGCTTTTGCGGTATGGCTATCGGGGAACAGAGCTGGCGGCCTAGCAGCTAGCTCGGGCCATTCTGGTCTATCGTCCTGTGTCGTTTCGGGATGGAGCAGGGGGCATCTGGGGCGATCGTGTTGCAGGTGAGTGGGATCGATTTCCGTGGCCAACTATGGGGCCGCAGTCTCTGGCTTAAGCGCGCACCTTGTCGCCAAGCTTTTTCCTTTGCGGCGGGGCTCTTCTTTTAGAGGGGAGAGACGAGCGGCCTGCGGGATAAATGTTAATATTCTCGCTCAGCCGAAGAGGAAGATGGCGTCGCCAATGACGCTGCCACGTAGTAGCTATCTAGCACGGGCGGTCGCTCCGCGCCCGCCGGCCCGGCGACGAGGGGGTGCAAGGGGGGCGGGGGAGAAAAGTGCCAGGCAGCCAGTGGCCAACGCCACATGCCCAAACTATATTAGCGCGATAAGCGAAATAAAAGAGAAACGGCCGCGGCGGAAAGGCAGGGGGGGCGCTGCGTGTGGCTCTTGCCAGAAGCGAGACAGACCACAAGAAAAGAGCAGGCAGGCCAAAGCGAAAGCCCACCCACGGCCGGGGACGAGGCAAAAAGCGTTGGAAGCGAAAGGAGAAGGAGGCGGGCCGCAAAGAAACCGGGGGCACGCTGCTCGACAGTCCAAAGCAAGGAAACAAAGCAAAATCAGGCAGCCCCGGCGTGGCCCAAGGGCCCCCGTGGTCGGCAGTGCGCACGCGGCCAAGCCTGGCCTGCAGAGCCACAGGCGGCGGAGAAAGGCGCAAACTGGTGCCACATCCCTCGCAACAGGGGTGGAAGGGGAAGGGGCGCCAGAATGCAGATCGGCTGCAGCCCGGGGCAGCCAAGCGCGGAACGCCAGGCATCTAAGCCAAGGCCAAGGGCCCAGACCAGGGCAGGCAGGTCCGAAGGCCACCCGGGGGTCGGGCAGCGGGCGCCGCGGTTCGTCCCAGCGAGTTTCCCAATTTGGCAGGTTTTCCTACTAGTGTTTCCGTTTTCCCCAAAATCGGGCTTTTTGTCACTAGTGGCTCTATTAGTGGGCGCCTTCACTAATGGCGCCTGTCACTAGTACCTCTCGCGCCTTTCTGTCACGCTAAAAACACTAGCAGGATTGCTACTAGTGCCCGTGGGGCCGCGTACATTCATCAACTCCAGCACAGCTGAGGCATGTTTTTTTCGCGCCGCGGCCAAGCGGTGCTGTGTTTAGGAACGCGACGGAGCAGTGGGAGCGGCCGAGATGCAGTGTTGTAGATGTAGCTGTGCTTTGGAGTGAGGTCATGTAGCGAGGTCATGAGCGTTCAGTTCTCATGTGGTAGTTGAAGTTGTAACAGATATCGTCCTCACGCTCACCGATCGAAGATTTTTCGCAGCACATAGGAAACGACGTAGTCATGCACTATTAATATAAATTAAAAAACGTAAACCTAAACGCTGTCAATGTTTAAGCTCACACAGCGACAACGTGTAGCATACGTAGCTGCCTCCTGCGTGTGCTATATGCTTTGCACCATACCCACACGCGGGCGCATGTCCTAGCTACGTATATAATACTACACGCGACGCGCTGCGCACGCGCCGAAAGATGCTTAGTATAAATATGCATAAGCACAAACGTTGACCCGCGCGCGCGCGGCGCGCGCCACGACAGATCCTTGCCATATGCCTGCATATGTCGATGGATCCGCGCGCGCGCGGCGCACGTCACGGAAAAGCTTAAGCTTTGCTACGTGCCTACATATGTCGATCCGCGCGTATACAGTGCGCGTCCCTAAGAAAACCTTGCTCCTATCATGAGCATATGTCTATCCGCCCCGAAAATGTTTTTACGTACATGCGGTTGCGCCTGCATGTGGCGCCGCTCGGTGCGCCAGGTGGCGCGGTCGGTTTCGACGTTCGGTGGGCCGCCTACATGTCCCAAAAACCTGGCATGACTTGGCATACTTACATGACCTACATGCCCTGCAGGCTATATGTGCAAAATTTTGCTGAGAGTAATGTAAAAGTTGCAAACTTATTCGTTAAAGTTTGGATTTGATGTAGCTGAGGTTGAGGCCGTAAGGTCATAGCGCACGCACTTTAATTTAAAGTCCAGCATCAGCAGCAAAGCATGGCAGCCCAGGGAGGCGTGGAGCTGCGCGGCGTCGTGGAGGAAGAAGAGGAGGAGGGGCCCGCGGTCGAGGGCGAGATCGAGCCTGTGAAAGACGCCGACAATGCGGACCAGGGTTTCGACTGGAATCGTTCGTGTGCCTACAAAACGATGAAAATAGTGCGCGTGCGTGATCGCTACCTGGGAATGCTTTATTGGGCCATCGTGGTGGGCGTCATACTGTACATTGTCATCGTGGCTGTAGGACTTGATGGAAAGCACCAAAGACAGGAGCCCGGGCTTGGAAGCACGATAGTGAAGTTCCGCGGTAAGGCCTTCAACGCCAGAAAAGAAGCCTTCGATCAGGCGGATTTGAGGTATGTGCACTGACATTGTGTTGCGGAACGCGAGCTATAGTCTCGGTGTTGCGGCAGCCCTTTTGTTTCTCTCCTTGTTTGCGCAATGAATTTGTGCCGCAAGAGCACTACAAAAAACCCAAATGCGTGTACCGACGTCACCAGTTTTGTTGATTGATGTAGGTAGGAATTATCTGCATTGGCGTTTATTTTTTAATACGTTCATGCTCATGGGGCAGGGGCTGATTATTTAAGAATAAGATTAAATATATGTTGTTGTTCTTTTCGCAGCAGTTTTTTCTTTCGGGAATCAATTGATGCGTCTTGCGTGATGTTGTATGGAATTGCAACTAACAGTGGCATGCTTTTGCAAATAATGATGAGATACCCTGAAATCGAGCCGGGCGGTGCTTTTATTGTGACCCGTAGCGTGACCATGAAGGAACAGTCTCCCGGTGCGTGTGTTGATTATGATAAGCCGTGCAAAGCGGGCGACGACGACCCAAACGTGTGCACGGACTGCGATGCCGCGAGCAAGCATTGTAACTCTCCGCGTTCATGGTGCCCGAGCATCGGCGCTGGGAATGTAGCAAAATTGACCGACGACGGGAGCACCATCATGGTAGAGGAAATGGTTTCGGGCATGGAAGAAGGAGTCGTGGAGTTTTTCGCGGGCATCTCCTTCCCTGGAATGGCCAAGAAGTTTTACGTGGCCGGGCAAACAGAGGAAGATCCGCAAGGAGTCCACGAGCTCCGGAATGTCACGCTGGCCAATCTGCTCCAGAATGCGGAAACGACCTACGCCGACGTGAAACAGACTGGGGCGGTGCTGGCTGTTGCCTTCTACTGGAACTGTGATGTGCGGTATTAGAGGAAAAAGTTGTCCCTCGCTATCATTCGATCAGCATTCGGATCATCATCATCATCAGCATTCGCTGCATCCATCGTTTTTTTGTTCTTCGTAGAGGAGTCTGTGGGGAGCCGGAAGATATTTATTTATAGCAAGCGAGCACCATTGTTTTAGTTTTAAGCGATCACCATTGTGAGGCTCCGGATCATGAGGGCCAAATGTTGGAAAAAAGACCACAAAAATTTGCAAGCCTCTTTTTTTCCCATGGCGAGGAACGCCACGCGCCGTGGCGTGTTGTGCTCCCTGGCTTCAAGTCATGCGTGGGCTATTTTTCCAGTTTGCTTCGCGATTCACTTCATATTTTAAACGTTTTGCCGAAATTCGCGGGCTTCCTCTCATCCCGATTGTAGGTTGTGTGGTGGGCGCAGTTAGATTTCTATTCCGTTTGCCGGATCGATAACACCGTCGACCCTGTGACCATATGCAAGGCGCTTCCCGGTTTTTCCGGTTTGCCTTGTTGCTTCTTTTCAATTTACCAAAAAAAGTTCCCAACTTCATACCCTTTCAAAAAGTTTCCGATAACACGAGCGGAATCGGAAAGATTTCGCGAATGTGTCCGAGAGTTTTCGTTCTCTTTTTTTTCTCTTTTCGTGTTTTTTCGCGAAAGTCGATTTTTGTCATTTTTTGAATTTGCCACTTTTTTTCAAACAATGTCAATCCGTTACGGATTGACATTCGCAGCGAAATTTATAATCAATGCGAGTCGTATGAGACCTACACAGCAATCGCATTGCTCCCATTGCTCGCATTGGTCGCCTCGTAAAGACGTGGCGCCAGGATGCCCAAGATGGCCCTCCCAGCACCCTCCCCCGCTTAGTATCTGGTGACCGTGTCGCGATTCGCGGCGGCGTGGCCGCCTACCATTCTTTTTTTCGAAAGTGACGGCCCAGAAAAAAAAAGAAGTCGGGGCCGCGCCGGCAATAGTTAACAACGAGGCCCACTCGTGGCGCTTCTAAATGAGGCCACAAAGGTGGCCGCATTTTAGGCAGTGCGGGCACTAGTAGGCCGAGGCTACTTAGCAAGAATAGGCCTAGGCGCGAGATGTTTCGTTCTTAGGCTGCCACCCGCCGGGAGTAAGCTAGGGGGCCAGGCCGCGCACCGAGTGGCGCGCCCGCTCGTGTTGTGTTCTGGCGCAGGCAAAGCTCCACACTGGCCGCAGCGCTAGGTGCGGGGTGGCGTATTCTAAAACGGCGGCTCGGTCGGGTGGGAAGTACCGATGACGGAGGGGGCCGCGGGCCGTTCGGCGCGCTCGTATGGGGATCGTATTGGTCCGATTGCTCGCATTGGTCGCCTCGTGCTGACCCTGGATTCTTATAAATTTCGCTGACATTGTTTTAGTTACCGCCTCGGGCTGCTTTCCCAAGTATCAACAAGATCGAACCCCAGTAGAGGCAAAAGGAGCAAAATCATAACTCCCGGAAAAAATAAAGCGAAAAGATTTGCCCTTGTGTGTTTGCATTTCTCGCGACCGGCCCGGCCTTGCCTGTCCCCGCTCAGATGTTGGCAGCCTGGGCATGGTTTCGGGCCTTGGCCTCCAGATTGAGGCCGCGGAGTTTGCTGCAGCGCCTGTTCGGAAGTTTTGATCTGTCCAATGGTCGGCCAGGTTTGGTTTCCGTGCCTTTGGCGTTGTCTTTTTGGGTTTAGGGTTTTGTTTAGGGTTAGGGTTTAGGGGGTAGAGGGGCGCGATTTTTTTCGGACACGCGGCAATTTATGTGAGACGAGAAATCTGAAACAATTCAAAAACTTTTTTCTTGGAATTTTTTTCCGGGATTTCTGATTTTATGCAGCAGCCGCAGGAGAATCATCCTATGGGATGGCCAATGCTCTATGGGAGCGATCTTCTGCGGAGAAGTGCTGGCGCCGGCATCGTGGAGCGCCTACCCCTCTATCATAAGAGAATCTGCCTGGGTCTCTGTCCGTCTATAGGCAAGAAGCCTCGCGATCCATCCGCGGTCGGAGCCGCAAACTGCAACAGCCTGCCAGCCGCAAAAGTCCCGAAGTAAAAACAGGGCGGGGGGGGCGGGGAAAATCAGCAGACCCAAGGGTCTACCGTCTGCACTAACGTGCTCAGGTTCTGGATACCGTGCAAAGGCTAGGGCGGGGAAAGTATAAGACACCGCCCGACCAGCCTCAGCCTTGACTCACAGGCTCGCAAGACTCCTGCTGTGCGGGCATACGTTTTACGCAGTAGTCGCAGGAGGATCATCCTATGGGATGGCCAATGCTCTATGGGAGCGATCTTCTGCGAGGAAGTGTTGGCGCCCGCATCGTGGAGCACCTACCCCAACGCCGGAGGAGCAACGCGCCGAAGCAGGACAAAGAACCCCGAGCCGCCCAGCGGCAGACAGATGAATTTGGGCAACGGACCGAGCCCCATCGATGAGGACGCGACAGAAACGAAGGCGAAGAAAAGACAAGGGGCGCGCAGTCTCTCTCTCCGTGCCACGTCTCTCTGTGAACAAAAGGCAATAGACAGAGATAAAATCCAATGGGTGTGAGGCCCGCGAAGGTGCGTGGCAATCAATGGAGCAAACTATGCGGCGCCGAGGATCAAATAATGTATCCCAAAAAGAACAGACTCCAGACAAGCCCCGGGCCGTCTCAAATAGCTTGCGCACTGGTTCAATATAGTAGACAAACGCGGAAGCTATTTTTTCGCCTTCGCCTTGGCCTCATGCACAGCCCCCGCCCGCTCCGGTTCGAAACCCCAGCGGCACTTCTCGGCAACGCGCTTGATCTCTTCGCAAGAGGTCGGCGGGGAATGGCGGTAGACACAGCTACGCCGCTCGCGCTTGCCCTTCTCCAGGAACGTCGCACAAGGGCCGCGACTACTGCCCGGGCCGTTCTCCGTACGCCGGCGCTTCGCGTCGTCGTCCTTATCCCCCGGGGGCTTAGTGTTGTTCTCGATTCGCACCAGGCACAGGCCCTGGAGCCAGTCCCACACCCGAAGGGCGTAGAGTTGGACGCTGTCCACCTGCGCCACCTTCTTGAAGCCCCCCGCCCGGCAGCACCAAAGTCGCCAAATCGGCGCGCCGCACTTTGTGGAGGATTTTCGTGAGCTTCTCCGGACCCAGCAAAAACCCGAAGCGCAGGATGACTGTGAGCGCCCAGCCGTTCACGAGGTGCACTGCCTCGCCCGCCATGAAAATGGCCGCCGTCACAATCTGGACCATGTGCGTGATGTCCTTCGCAGTGATCTGGTGAAGGGTTCGCTCTTCGACGTGTTTACACAAGGCGGACCAGGCGGGCGAGGAACAAAGGCAATCCGGGGCGACTCCAGCCTGCGCGGCCACGGCTTCGAGTCCCTTTTTCTCCGTCGTCATCTTGGTGGCGACTTCCCCCAAGACTTTGCCCAAAGCCCCGGAACGGGCCTGCTTCGCGGCAGCTTCCGCACCCCCATCCTGCTGCTCTTGCAGCTGCAGCTGCTCAGCAGGAAGCTCATCACGGCCGTCCATTTTTGCGCGACAGAGGAAAAATAGATGGCGCTCACGACTGAAGTCTGAGGACACAATATCGAAAATCCACGGAGGACGTCTCAAGTTCCCTAGCTCCCTGGAAAGACAAAACAAAGCAGGAAGAAGCGCGCGCCAAATTTGCAGGAGACCGAAGTGATCAAAGTAAGATCCTGCCGGGGATTTAAGCGCGCAGGATGGGCCGAGCGCCGCAAAAGCAAGAACAGAGCCCCATTTCTAGGCCACGAAGATTGTAACCCCGATCCAAATGGGCCACCGCCGAGAGTGTGAGGAGAGAGAGACCCGGGCCGCCACTTGCAGCGAGAGCTGAAATTTACAGGAACCAGGAAGGACGGCGAAGCTAACAGCCCCAGGAACATGAGCCGAGAGAATTTCTGGAATCTGCACGGAACCAAGTAGCCGCGTAGCGCGGTGCAATTTGCGGAAAAACAGAGAGCGGGCAGAACCTACAAAATCCCGAGGGAAGTGTCTCGCTTGGGCACTTCGTGCAGTCCTTTCGTGCGGCTATAATAGCACACCTTGGCGGGGGACGCCCAACGTGAAGGATTCGCAATGACTAAACTACTATGGCCGTGCTCCAATAGAGTTAGGAGAAGGCCAGTCCGCAGGCTATGGGAAGAAAGTAGTTTGTATCTCATACCTGCCTGCGCGACAATCGCTCAACATCGATCCCCCGAACCGCATAGAGGGCCCCCCGGTACGCGTGCAGGCACGACGCACGGCCTCCGGATTCGCGGGAACACTTCACCCGAATCGCCTGCGTGGCATTGCTCTTCAACACTACTCCCCGCAAGTCTAGGCCAGTGGAGTGCTGCCCCCACAGGATTTTTATCCCGGCGCCGACTTTCAGCGCCTCCGACTCCCGCAACCCAAAATCAACCAGATCGGGCCCCAGTCCCGGCAAATTATAAAAATTCATGGCGCGACTTTGAAAAAATTCGCCGACGACTTCTCTTTCGAAAAAAAATCGGGCGCGGATGATGGGGGTTTCTACATTTTCCGTATTGCCCCTCGTCCTTCGCGGCTTCCGTGTGTGCCTTTGGGTGTGTTGGGCCTTTGGGGTGGTTCGCGTTTTGCCGGAAGAGTGCCGAGCCCCCCGGTGTCTTTTGTTTTTTCCCAGGATTCTTCCGCGCCCGGGGGAGGGGCAGTTGTTTTTTGCCGACGGCCGGCCGGGTTTTTTTCCGGGATTTGGAACGCGGAGCCGGTAATTTATTACGACAAAAAAAATTTTTATTACGACAAAAAATTTAAAAAAATTCAAAAAAATTCAAAAAAAATTGTCGTGAACAAAACGGCTTAGAAATCCCTATGGTTTGGGATTTGTCGCCTTTTTTCAATTTTTTTCCGTTTTTTTGACAGATGATTGACAGATGATTGGTCGTAAGAAATGCAGAAAAAAACTGCAAATGTCCCGTCTGGGTATGAAGTTCAATTTGGAGTATGTGGGTCGTGGCCCGCTGCTCGACAGCCCCTTGGCCTTTCTTAGGGGCCGGCGCCCCCGTTGTTGTGCTTCCCTCGGCCGGCCCTTTTTCTTTCTGGGGTTCCCCTTTTTCACCTTCGCCTGCGCCCTCCTTTTATCTTTGCCTTCCCTGGGCCCGTGGATTCGTCGCAGATCTCGGGCCACCACGTCCTTCGGGCGGGATTTTTTTCTTCTCCGAAAGTCTTTCGAAAGTCCCGGCATGAATTTTTATAATTCGAGCCCACTGGCGGCCGATCTGGTTGACCAAAAAGAAAAACCAGCAGAAGCTGGGCCCGGTCTATTGTGTTCCCGATCTGCGTAATGCGCTCCCGAAAAAGTGGCGCTTTCTGGCTGTGGTTGAACACGTATACAAGTGCACAGCTCCCCCTCCCCCTCAAAATATTCCTCCTTCATAATATTTCGCAATTTATTTGGTTGCCAAGTGGTGCGCTTTTATGTCACCAAGTGCTGCACTTTTGTGCCATTAAATCGCGCACGTTTCGACTCCAATAAATGCGCAGCGATCGCGTTGCGTTTTGTGGCAGCAAACGCGTCGCAAAAGGTCGCGGGCCCGGGTCGTGTTCGTGCCTTTGATCGGTCGAGCCTGTGATCTCCGCACACCTGGCGCAGAAATGAATCGGGGCCAGATGACTGCGTCAGGAATGATAATGAACAAGGAGACGGCAGCAAGCAACCAGAAGAAAAGGGCGGGCCTTCTTCTGCGTGTAAGAAGTTGCAAGACTTCTGGCAAATGCTCGCCAAGTCGCCAGCTTTTGCGTCGTCAAGTCAGCGACTTTTTTGCGACCTCGGAAATCAGCTCAAAGAGTGTTGCTCTTTGATCGCTAATCGCGATGCTATGGGCCCACTCACCCTCATGAGGGAAAGTGGACAACTTTGGCGAGGGGGAGTGAGCCCATAGCATCGCGATTAGCGAAACGCGCAGCGTTTTGGCCCCGGCAAATCGTCCCCATAGCGCGCAGGCTAGCTCCTAGAAAAAAACTAAAAAAGTGCGCGCTTTGTCATTCAAGTCATTCGCTTTTTGTCACTCAAGTCAGCGACTTTCCGAGCTCGGATCTGCGAGCCGCAAAAAAGGAACAAAAAGTATCACACTTCGATGGCTAATCGCGATGCTATGGGCCCACTCCCCCTCATGAGGGGAAGGGAACAGCTTTGGTGAGGGGGGGTGAGGCTAAAGCATCGCGATTAGCTTTCACAGCATGGCGAGAGACTGCAAACGTTTGCGACGCTTTTGGCCGCATAAAAAGCAACGCAAACGCTTCGCATTTGGGGCCGAATTGTGCGCGATTTGATGACATGAAAGCGCGTTATTTGGTGACATAGAAGCGCGCTACTTGGTAACCAAGTAAGTGCTTAAGTATTAATATTTTGAGGGCCGGGGAAGCTGTGCCGCAAACTACTGAGAAGGGACCAGATGGAACCCTCCTCGACCTCGGTGAGTGAGAGCTGCCCACTTCCCCGCCCCTGTTTCATCACTAGGCTGGCGTCGTCGTCAAAAGTCTTGTAGTCCGTGGCTAAAGAAATCGCCACAAAATTCTCCAGACCCCGGTAGGAAACATACAGGCCAGGGATCGACTCCCTGCGCCCTGGAGATTCTTTCGTGCTTCACTATGCGGGACTTCGTTGTCGAGGCGGAGGACAGCGAAGTCATTTGCCCGAGAAACTGAACGCACTGCGACAAAGCCACTGGATCGGCCGCGAGCCGGCGCGGCGTCTGCGTTTGCGCTGAGGTGCGAGGCTTGCGAGTCGTGTCACCCGCTGCAGGAGCAGCAAAATCCTTGGCCCCCGACGCCACACCTTCCAAAACCTGCGCTACCCTGTCGCCCCACGGGAGCGGCGCGCGCGCATGTTCCTTTTGGCGAGTTTCTTGCTTCTCTTTCAGACTTTTGAGTACATGAAGCATGGCGAAAAGTGGTAGAAACAAAGCACGCAGGCCGGTATTCCAAATCCCAGCGGTACTATTGTACGGAAAAAGCGAATAGCGGCGACAGGAGGAATCTATCCGGGAAAGCAGTGTGCTCAAAACCCTGAGAAAAGAGCAACGTAGCCAAAATAAGAGGGACTGGGACAGGGCCGAACTAAAATGCCCAAGGGGAATGATCTCCAACGCCGCAGCTTGCTTCACTCAGCAAAATACTCTGACCCAAGCAATTCACCACAGCGATCCCATTTCGGTCGGACAGTCTCGGTCTCGCAGAGCGATGAGAGAAGAGAGGTCAACAGCCACAGGCTAGCGCTCCTGTCAGGGAGAAAGTTCGCAAGGGTAACGGGCCCGAACCGCCAGCGCCAGACGACCCCTCCTCCCATCGCAAAGCGAGGCCACAGACTCAGACTGTTGCCCCTTCGGGCAAACAGTCCACAAGTACCGTCTCCCCACCGCGGGAAGGGCACAAAAGCCATCCCTGCCACAACTTCAGCTAGGGGAAGCAAAGGGCTCGCCTCCTCACATCGAGGAGGGCACCACGCTCCTCCCCCCACAGCAGGAAGAGGAGACTACGCACACCCTTGCTACATCAGCGTAAGGCTCTGACAAGCTCACTCTCTTCACATCAAAGAGAGGAGGACGGCGCTCCCCTTCCCACATCGAGAAGGGGGGCAGACTACTACCACGGCAGGGGCGTAACTCCTTGGAACCTGAGAAAATACAGCAGAGAAAAACCAGCAGAGCCAAGGGTCTACCGTCTGCGCTAACGTTCTCAGGTTCTGGATGCCGTGCAAAGGCTAGGGCGGGGACAGTATAAAATACCGCCCGACCAGCCTCAGCCTTGACGCACAGGCTCGCAAGACTCCTGCTGCCCGGGCATGCATTTTTTTACTCCCGAGCCCCCGGGGGGCCCATCTGGTTGACAAGTAGCGCGGTAGTTGGACTCTGGACGATAAAGGCAGAAGCGTTGGCCTGTGCCACAACCAAGGCGCGCCCCTCCTTCTCCTCGTCGCTCTTCGTTGTGTTTATTTCTTCGCTTGTGCCGTCAGATCGGTTTAAGACTAGAAAGAACGCAGCCAATTTATAGCGTGTTTTTCTTGGGATCGTGCTTATTATATTTATTGCATTTTTAACATTAAGTGGGGCTGGGGTAACGCAAACACACCGCTGCAGTCTCACTTCACATCCACCCGGCCGGCTAAGTGAGAAGCTAGCCTAAGGTAGCCTCTCCGTACTCGTCCCTCCCGTCCATTTGCATTTCTGGGACGAGTTGCAGGGCTTTTTTTGGTGTTGCGCTGTAATTTTCCAAGCCGCAGAAGCGCTTCCTCTTCCAGTCTTTGCCTTTCCTCCAACTCAGAATCAGATGCGTCCGCTGGTTGTTGATGTGGCCGGATTAAGGTACCGCCCAAATATGAGAACCGCACCGCTCAACACCATGGGCGGGAATAGGCAAAACAGGAAGCGCGCAAATTAGCAGCAGAGGCGAACCGCCGTGCTGTTATGCTTTGATGCGAAACCGGAAAAGAAACACGACACCGCATGCGTATGCAAAAAGCCGAGCCCTCTCTCTTCAGTAGAAGACTCGTGGGGATTGCGCAATATACCAGCCTTGACTTTTTTCCACAGACGTATACAAGAAAAAAGATAGCGAGGTAGATGGTTTTTTTCGTTTTCAATTGCGGGGTCGGGACTGCACATCAGACATAACCGCTCGCCGGGTGGACAACGCCGTGGGGTATTATCAGAAGAAGGCAACGTACTACAAAAAAAACGGGCAGGACGTCCGGGATGCCACGGTCATGTACGGGATACGAATTTTGGTCGAGAGCAGTGGTATCGTACTTAGTATAGCTGCAACACGTGGCATTTTTGTATGCCGCAACTCGCGTAGCTGGTGGCGTTGTCGTCTTGGTTTTGGCTTTGTTGTCATTTTCAACATTTAAAAGCCATCATGAACAAACTGAGAGAGTTGGGACTGTGGCCATGAATCCGCCTCCTGTTTTCATTACAAACTACTGGTAGTGCCATACACTAGCGTTATAATCTCTCTTTCTGCTCTGTAGCCTGGATATCTCACTGCTTTCAAACCGTTGAGAGATAAATCGCAGCTAGATCCGGGTACAGCTACTTCGAGTCCTCTTGTTTTTTGCATTGCACCCGCAAGAGGACAAACAAATATTAGTAGGAAAAATTTCCCTCGATGCCTCAACATCCCAGGGATCGGCAAGAAGTCCACACTTGTGCTGCTGGTTATCCAGCTCGGTAGTTGTCTCGCACTACTCCGAGTGGCGAGTATTATGGCGTCCTCAGATGTGGCAATCTCAAACTAGAACTCAATGCCACTCGTTGCAATCAATACAGCTGTGATTCGTCATCTTGCATATGCATGAGCAACGTGGTAAGCCCGGAGATGTAAAAACCTTTGCGCTTTTCGCAAAAATTGGAGCTAGTGCCACTTTTTAATCGTGCGCATTTTCGGTCGAGCTGCCAGAAAAAGAAAGTTAATGCACACACGTCGGCGGCAGCGGGAAGATCGTTGTGGACGTGTGTTTGGCACCACAAATAATTTCCGTCTTCAACATCGTTAGGATTCGCATTGAAACACCTGAGCAGACTATAACCGTGGTGGCGGACTTCTTGATGTTGAACTGTTACTCCGAGAAGAAAGTGAAAATGTACTACAAGTGCAAGGTGTATGAAAGTGCCGTGTAGGGAATTGTCAAAATGGAAGTAGTTTTCGATGCAATGCAGTTGCTGCACAAGATTATGGACCCTCTATGCATAACACAGATACATCACAGTTTGTTGCGAAGTCATTTTTCAGTGCAAGCGCAATCTACACGCGAGGGTGAAAGAAGTAGATGTTAATACTACGTATGATAAAATGCTAATGCAGTGATATGCACCGATGCAATATCAATACATGCCTGGACGGGCCGCGGGGATGAATGACGATGATGGCACAAAACAATATTCCAAATTAATCGATAATTTCCCACTTGACGCATTCATATTGTCTTCGAGACGCAAGACTACAGCGACTTGCAAGATCGCATCAACATTATACAGGTGACGTCTATCATAGATGAGATTCTTAGCGGCGCTGATTTTTGAAGATCTCTAAATCATTGTGCAGTGCCTGCGACCTACTGAGTGTAAGTGAAATCAGTATTGCATCCTTCCTCTTAATAAGCTGCAGACTCTTGTTGGCAGTTCTGATTATATTTGATAATTTCCACCTGTTGTTGATGTTGTTGATGCCTAAAAAATTTGCTTGAAGTTATGATATGACTGCACTGACTTCTGAGGTCAAACAAAATCTTATCCCGTATTTCAGGATGCCGAGAAAGAAACTTCGGCGCTTCTGCGAAAAAGCAAAAACCTGGGTATGGGTTCGGGGGGCCGTGGCGGGCTGGCAGCCAGCATACTCAGATGACCCAAGAGACATCATGCGTGGATGCAGCACACCCACACGCGACCATTGATCGCAAAAATGATCGCGAAGCTCCAGGACTTGTCATCACCTCCACACTGAGCACCCGCGGTACGTTGCAGGGAAATTTTATGGTCCGGCGCACTAGACCGAGGCTGAAATAATTACAAAAAACCCCTCGCCTTGCTTTTTAACAGTCGATTGCGACGAGTATACGGCAAGATAGAGAGGACTGTTATGACTCGGTGCAGGTGCAAGCTTTTGACGTTTGTCAGTCGCTGTCTCTATGTTGATACAAGGCATCTTGCCGGATCGCGCATCCGAGAGCGAGACAGAGCTGGAATATCTATACCTTTTCTATTTTCCCACTCCCAGACAGTTTTTCCCTAGAAAATGACGCTCGTTGAGACTTTGAGAACGAAGTTTCAAGTTTCGACAAAAGCGGTGAGTATGAATACTTAGCTGCACTTGCGGACGGACGTCTTTCTGCGGGAACACAAAACCAGCCGCGTGCTTTAGAAGCGTGGAGAGAATTCCCATACAATTCGTTGCGCAAGATCGCGAAGGAAAATCACAAAACGCTAAAGAATAGCCGGGCGCCGGAGGTTTTACAAAAAACAAGGAAAAAACGTTCCGGGTCGCCTTCGCCACCTGGCGAAGAATGTCGTCCGGGCCCACCGTGACCTACCGGCCCTGGCGAAGTCCGTTTGGCTTGCCGGAGTTCCTTCATCGGCTTCGGCCCGACTTCTTCCGGCCTGAAGATTCATTGCTGGAGACAGCTGGCCGAACCTGCTAGGGGCCGCCTCGCTTGGCCTGTCCAAGCGCAAGCCTGTCGGGGCACTGTTCCGGAGCATGCCGGGCCTGCTAGGGTCCCTGTGCTAGGCAAGCCTTCCGAACCCGCCCGCCGGGCTGGAGCGGCTCGCGCATGCCTGCGAACCTGCAAAACCGGTGTGGCGCGCCGACGCCGACAGGCCTGCCCGGTAGGATGGACGGGCCGGCTGACGACGCGACCGAAAAGCAGATGCAGATGACGGCGCCGCCGAGGCTTGTTTGGCTTTTTGTTCCCGTGTTTAGGTTTACGCTTTGCGCTTGCGGACGACGAGTAGTCGAATGCAATTCACAGTCAGGCAGCACTTCGCAATCGCAAGCGGTAAATCGATGTGAGAGAGAGTGAACAGATGCAGATCACAGATGAAGGCTGCGCGATCGCGACGTATTAACAGAGAGGCCATGACTCCGTGATCGGTCTCTGCGTGTGATCGTTGCAAAATCAAACACCTTTTCCTTTATCGACGACGCGACTTTCTTTTTGTACTTACTAGCCAGGTATGCTTCGCCTGTGAAAGTGTGAAACAAAATTCAATATTATTCCGCTAGACCGAAAAACAAAAAAAAGAGCCAGAACAGGAACTCAAAAATAAAAAGCGAAAAGCCAGGGCCAGAAGCAGCCCCGCCCCCTTTGCGGTTGCGGTTGTAAGCAGATCGTGATTGCGGTTGCAGGCAGTTTTTGCGGTTGTAAGGCGTATGCGCGGCTGTGCTAACAGCTGTGAGCAGTTGTTGCGGCTGGAGTGGTTTTTGCGCCACTTTTCTGCATACCGCGGCTGTCATTCTTCGTGCCAAATTGTGCGTAGGTCTCCACAGGCGAGAAGAGCCCCTTGCTTTTCCACCCGACGCAGGCACTGAGTGCCAAGAGGCTGGGGCGTTGTTCTTCCTTCCAGCGCCGCGCGCGCTTTTTCTGCCAGCTTTGACGACCTTGCATCCTATTTTTGTTGCTTGTCGAATTCAAAAGGTTTGCAAGTTCTGTCGTTGGCCCTCATCTTCAAGCTTTGCCTTTCCTTTTGCTTTCGACTTTCACTTTTTGACTTTAGCCTTTGCTGTTCGTCTTTGCCCTTGCTTTTAGTTTTTACCCGCAGCTTAGTTTTTGGCTTTTACTTTAGTTTTTATTTTTAGTTTTTTACTTTTAGTTTTTCCATTAGTTTTTTACTATTTCGTTTTTACTTTTAGTTTTTACTTTTAGTTTTTACTTTTAGTTTTTACTTTTAGTTTTTACTTTTAGTTTTTACTTTTAGTTTTTACTTTTAGTTTTTACTTTTAGTTTTTACTTTTGGTTTTTACTTTTGGTTTTTACTTCTAGTTTTTACTTTTAGTTTTTGCTTTTAGTTTTTACTTGTTGGCTTTTGCCTTGAAGTTGCGGAGTAGTTGTTTGGCCGTCACGAATTTAGTTTTAGCAAGGGATAGATTCTTGCAATTGCTAGATTGGATCTCCATAGGCTGGCCACAACTGAACTGTCCTTGGTAGGTTGGCTACTTCTAAAATGCACGAGTCGCGCTAGCGGGTTTGAAGTTGAGCTGTAGTTTCGGTAAATCAACACGATGATCGGAGGCGAAGAGGGGGATCGTGAAATGAGTGAAATCCGCGGGAAATTCGAATGATCGATCGCAATACAAATGCGACGCCATTTGCTGAACACAAAGACGTCCGCCTGTTTGCTCTTGTGAATAGGGTCAACCCTCCGGGGTTGGCTCAAGTTGACAACCCACGAAATCTAGCGCGCTGCCTTTTTTCTGTGTCACGATGACGCGCGTGCTCCTCCACCACCGGGCAGTGACTAGAAATACAATAAAAAGATCCGCCACTATACCGCGTTTTCGGTATTCTGCAATATCTGTTTTGAATTTGATTCTTGCCAGAACATGGGAGGACTTTTCCCGCCGGTCTCCTTGAGACTTGCACACGCAAGATGAAAAATTTGCGAGCGAGTGAGCAGCTGGCGCTAGTAGAAGGGATTGAGTTGCCTCCCTGAGCCAGGCGATGGATTTCCGAAAAGCAAGTTGATCTCCAATGTTCGCGACTGAAGACAATGTTTCTAGCATGCGGGTTTCCCTTCATCCCCTTTCAGCGTGCTTCTCTTTGATTTGAAGTCGAGCAAGACCCTGAACCTCATGCACGCCCACCCAGTGCAGGATAGACATAGAGATAGATGATGATGATGATGATGATGATCATACTCGACAGATGACACAGATACTCGGAAGGAATACCTTCAACCTCATCACGAGTACGAGAGGACTTGGACTTGCAATTGCCTTTGACTTTACCTACGATCTACCGGGCATTTATTTTTTGCTTTTTTTCGATTGCCGCGCGTCATTGCGGGTGCACATGAATAAAAGTAGTCCTAGCCACGTATGCTCCGCCTGTGGAAATGTGAAACAAAATTCAATTATTCCGCTAGACCGAAAAACAAAAAAAAGAGCCAGAACAGGAGCGCAAAAATAAAAAACGAAAAGCCATGGCCAGAGGCAGCTCGTTCCGCCCCGTTTGCGGTTGCGGTTGTAAGCAGATCTTGACTGCGGTCGCAAGCAGTTTTTGCGGTTGTAAGGCGTATGCGCGGCTGTGCTAACAGCTGTGCGCAGTTGTTGTGGCTGGGGTGGTTTTTGCGCCACTTTTCTGCATACCGCGGCTGTCATTCGTCGTGCCAAATTATGGGTAGGTCTCCACAGGCGAGAAGAGCCCCGCGCTTTTCCACCCGATGCAGGCACTGAGTGCCGAGATCGTTTTGCTTAGGCTTGTTTGCTTCCCGCCAGCTCTTCAAGACTTTGAAAGCCTGGGGCGTCGTTCTTCCTACCTTCCAGCGCCGCGCGCGCTTTTTTCAGCCAGCTTTGACGACCTTGCCTCCTATTTTTGTTGCTTGTCAAATTCAAAAGGTAAAGGTTTGCAAGTTCTGCTGTTGGCCCTCATCTTCAAGCTTTGCCTTTTCTTTTGCTTTCAACTTTCACTTTTTGACTTTAGCCTGTACTTTTAGTTTTTGCCTTTGCTTTTAGTTTTTACCCGTACCTTAGTTTTTCGCTTTTACTTTTAGTTTTTACTTTTGGTCTTTTTTACTTTTAGTTATTTCTTTTAGTTTTCACTTTTTGTCTTTTGCGGAGTAATTGTTTGGCTGTCACGACTTTAGTCTTAGCAAGGGATAGATTAGTAAAGTGATTTAATTTACGCGGAAGTGCATCGTCGAGCTTCCTTCCCTTCCTGATGCTGATTGATACTCGTTCGTCGCGATTGATTTATTAAGTTATGGCCGTCTACCTCCACTCTATATATACACAGAAAAGTAGATGTAATATAAGAAAATGATAATGAAAAAGGTTAAGTGTAGTACATGTATTATTTGCTCTTCAATACAGAAGTAGATCGAATTGGAGCCACCAGTATGGAGGGTGAATCCCTGGAAAGGCTGTTGGAGCGCAACTTTCCCCTGGACGAACTGGATTCAGTTTGGGTATATGGTAGTGCCGCATTTCCACAACTGTCCGAGGCTGAACAAGAAAGTGCAGCATTAGGAAATGCAGACAACCACGCAGCTGGGCCCATGACAACTGGAAATTGCTATCATGATTCAACAGGGATTAGCCGCACTTCAGCCACTTGCACTTCAGGTGCAGGGACCAACAGCGGCTCTGAGGTCGAAAGCGCGAGCCGCAAGCAGTTGGACTTTTTGTTTATAACGAAACAAAACGCAGAGGCGTTTCACGCCCAAAACCTTGCGCAAAACTGGCACCACTACAACTGGCTCCGTCGTCTTCCCTTGCGCTTGCTCGGTTACGTGAATCGGCTCGGTCCGGGTCTTTACTTTAATGCGTACTGTGCCCTTCAGGTTCAGAATCGCATTTGCTCTTATGCTCCACCTCGGGAACCGGAACGAGCGGAACCGGAAGCTAACGACGACAGCTCCGTCGCGGACCTTATGACGAAAAGCTCTTCTCCAGATGCGGAGCAGCACGCGACAGAGCACACCACGGGACCGGACCCCTACCAGCACAGCGTGGCTGAAGTAGATGACAAAAAAAAACAAGAAGGATATGGAGAACAGAGCGCGACTGGCGGCTCCTCATCTTCGGATGTAGTTTCAAAGCAAATGAGCGTGAAACTCCAGATGCATGAGCGGAAGATGCAGATTCAGGCCTTGAGTTGGAAGGCGCGGCCAGAGCCCACGCGTTTGCTGCGTGACTTTCTTCAATACGCGAAGACAGCGGTACCAACCGCGTCCGCAGGTACGAAATGGAATATGGGAGACCAGCGGAGCTCTGTTGCCTCGCAATTGGTGTCAGCAGCGCTGGGGGACGAGGAATGCTACCCGACCGGAACGAGCACAAAAAGCGGTCTGCGTAGCTTTCGACTCGAGGACGATACCCTGGGACTTTGCTTCGCGGATACCCTAGCTGCAAGTATGGGAATGTTCGGTTTGATGAAATCGACAAAGTTGCATGATAACGATTTGCAATTGGTTTTGCAAAAAATCCCGGGCATGGCAGAGTCACAGTGAGTCTGTGAGAGCTCCTGTGTTATGGTGATGGCATGTGAGGCCGATTGTCAACGCCAGCCTGCTTAGGTTTATTAGAGATACTAGAGCTGCGAAAGAGAGCAGCACAAAAGCAGCCCTCTTGGTCTTGGCCCCAACAGCATGAGAAATTGGATGCAATTCTTTCTACCGCGATTTTCATTTTTCATTTGTTGCTTGAAAGTTCCAATGTGATTTGGAGGCAAAACTGGTATCACATTTGCACATCGCAAATTCCTTCAACTCTGTCGATTTCGAGCCAGGTACTCCTATAGCAAGGAGCACTACGGACGCGGGAGAGGCAGAGACGCAAAAGAAGCACATGAGGGGCGGCCGTGACGCAATCGATCCGGATAAACTGCTTCTGCAGAAGAACATCAAGCACGCGGAGCCACGCGAGCGGGACTTGCGTTTGCCGCAGGAAAAAATTTTAACTCTTCCGACTCTGACTCAAGAGGTCAAGTATGGCATTGTAGAGAGGTCTGCCCTTCTCGAAGATTTACGTACCTGGCAGCACCTTTACTGTGCCGGAAGAGCGCAAAAGCCGATGCTTCGGTTTTATTTTTGCGAAAAGCGACTGGAGGAGACGGACCGACAGTGGATTTTTTTCAAGCGCGTCCTCGAAGCGGAAAGCATCCTGATGGAGACCCGGCTTGGCGCTCTGCAGTTTGCGCGCATGAAGCTTTTGTTTGATGCGCGTCAACAAGAAGAGAAAAAGGCAGACTTTTCCGCTGGGAAAACTCTCGCTCTGTCGTGGAGCACCCACCTCGTATCGGTACGAGATAAACTTCAAGACGTTGTGGCGAGCGTACAACATTTTCGAAGTCCTGGCTCTAGGAAAGAGATGAATACTAGTAAAGAAGCGCCGAACTCGTGCAAAGGTGGCAAAGGTGGAGGAACAGTCTGCGACCAGACTGAGTTCGAACGAAGTCGATTGTTTCCGGAGGACATGTTGTGGCACCACGTGTGCGATCTGAGCTACCGCGGCGATGTGCGCCGCCTGCTTTTCGAGAACCCGCGCAAAACCGAAGAGATCATTCGTGGACAGCGGAGCTTCTTAGAACGAATCTATCGCCCACTTTTTCCGCTGGGCCGCATAGAGAGCGTACCACGTGCTGAGCTTTACAAACGACGACCCGCGTTACCGCCCGCGCACGATAACGAGACCAGGACGAAGCAAAAACGAAGACAACCGGACAGCTTTGAACACCACGACCAGCAGCCCGCCGCGAGCTATCGTGTGTGGTTTTGATCAAAGCACGCGCCGAACACCAAAACGAGCAGCCTCGGCGATCTATCTGGGCTCAATAACAATACATAGGCTTGCAGGGTGTAGCTGGACACTTTGGGCTCGGCTTTTTGTTCGTGTAAAAGTCAAAGTTCGGCAAGGCAGCCTTGCCGAGTGGCGGGCGACTGCGCGTAAGGTGGCGGCGCAAGAGATGAAAAAGACCATCCGCATCCCGCTTGGATACGCGCTGCCCCCCCCTGCAGCGAGTCTGTGGGGCGTTGGACGGACGACCGTAACCCGGCCCCCGCTCGCCTTTCTGCCTCCCGCCCTAAGGACCGCGTGTCAGTCATGGGGGGCAAAAGAGGGGCGACGAAGTGTGAGCGGCCTTTTTTGGGGATTAGATAGATATAGGGGGCATTTGGTGGCTTGCCCTTCTTCGGTGAAGCTCATGTGGAATAAGTATCCAAGCCCGTGCCGGTCCAGATATTGAAATGGAAAGCCCGCGCAGGTCTAGATATTGGATATCTAGAGCGGCTATCCAATATCCACGCCGTGCCGCCGTGGATGTAAATAGGGGGGCGGAGAAATATTATATCCGATGGCTTCATCTGCTAAGAAATTAGCTGCGGCACATGGCTGCCCGCGGCCGCCAACCAACACCAGCGCAATTATCAGCGAATGGGGATATTTGCTTGGCCGCCTGCGCGCGAATCTACAGGCCCGCGCTTTATGCCGCAACATGGGAGAAATTAAAGGCGGCGCGCTAGTGTCTCTGAAGCAGCTGCAGGGACCACGCGCGGGCGAAATTGACTAGAGCCACACAGGCAGCCCCCAGCCGCAGCGCTCTCGGCGAATAGTAAAAAGCGACAGGAGCAGGAGGCCTGGCCTCGTTTTGGTTTTGTATGTCCTGGTCTCGTTTTCGGGTCTCGACGGTAACGGGCGCGCCGTTTGTAGGACCTAGCGCAGAAGATGGCGTCCGATGGTCTTCATGCGGAGACCATTGAAAAACTATTGCAGGGCCGGTTTTTTCGCACCCCCAGCGAGAGCTTGGGCGATCTGGCTACATTTGCGTTGGAAAGGGCATTGTCTGAGGGCGAGACCCGTCATATCAGTGCGGATAAAGTGTTGCAGATGCGAGTGCAAAAGTCCTCGCTCGCGATGGCCGCAAAAGGTATCTTGACTAACAAATGGTCGCATTCTGTGCGTTACGCTTATCGCAAGTTCCTGAAACGGGTGCAAAAGAAAATATCTTCTTTCGACGTCCTGCACGAGGAGGCTAAGCATTTGCTCCTGCGGATCAGAGTACTATACTGTCTGTTTACGTGGTCGAGGTGCAGCGTGTTCGAGAAGTGCTGTAGTTTTTTTCTTTCCTCGCTCCACCTATGCTGCGAGTGCAACGTGTCCTTTGGCCGCGCCGATCTCAGCTTGCACCATCGACACCTCTTTCAGTAGCCGTAGGATTTGCATTGGCATTCTTGTTCTCCTTTTTTTTGGGGTCTAGTTTGATTCGTACCTCTCGTCCACGTGCATTTTTCGTCTTTCCCTTCGCAGAAGTCGTCCATCCCGTTGTGGTTGTCGTCGTTCCAAATGAACATCGTTGTAGATCGTCCACCGATAAGCCTCGAAGAGAACCACTTAGAGCACTGTAGTCACATACTTTACGTGGGATCATATATGAGCAAAAGCTGCAAATGCAAGCAATACGAATAAGTTGTCTACAACTATTTGCCCAGGGTTATGTTGGTCTTTATTTTCTTACAAAGTCATCAAAGCGTGGTTTTCTTCTCCTGTAGGGCTCTAGTACCGGCTCGATTTCGACGGAAGAAACTACTCACGAAAATCCTCGAAGCAAGTGCTGCATACTTGTAGAGAATAAGAAATGTAAATGTTGGAATTCAATACAATTTATTTATTGAGCTTACACACAGGCACACCGAACTAACGTCCATTATGAGAATTGTTATTGTAATTATTCGATGGTGGACCCGGTTTGGGCTTGCGTTCGTCGGAGATTTATTCACCGTCGACGGCCTCTCGGCGGAGTGGCGGGACCACCAGGTCAAGGATGAAGAAGATTTATCGAAGCTCATCAACCCGGTCCCGGTCCCGAAAGAACAACATGAAGCCGTTGGGGGTCTGTTGGAAGATCAGGAACCGGGCGGCGAGATACGTACTCTTTCTTGTTTTTCTTTTTGTCGTGTAAGTATTTCTGTTCAGCAAGACGGCCCCGCTGGCCAGCACGATATATGATAAATGAAACAGAAAGAACAGAAACAAAATTGAAATTCAATTTCAAACATAAACGCTAACGCACTCACAGCAGAAGTAGTGAGCTTTCCCTCATCGTGCAGCTTGGAAGCCTCCCGCGCATCAAAAAGCAACTTTGGAAAGTGGCCACCTGCGCCTGGAGCCGAGATGCTTTCTGCCGCACTCCAATTATCGGGCAGGCCAAATTAATAGAGACCGCGTCGAAATAAATCAACTGGCAAGTAGAGCCTCGTCTTCTTTGTATGATCGTGAACGTCGCGAAGGCCGAACATGCTGTGGTCACGCGATTGCTGAAAGTGAAAACCTTACACGTTGCGAAAGTTACGCTAAAGCTAAAGGTGCGAGAACCATGCCCCGGGAAAATACCGACCTTCTGCGCCCAGAAAGTGAAGCCTAGTGTAGGTTTTTTTGTATGTAGAAGTGAGGTTACGAACGTTCGGTCTATCCTGGTGTTTTTTTGACCTGCAATTTTCAGCATAAAAACATCTCACTTTTGAAAAGTGAGATGTTTTTATTGGCTTCGAAGCCCAGTCCGATTGAAAATTTCAATCGGACTGGGCTTTGAAGCCAAACAAGCCCGAGGCTATTCATTCTATTTCTTGCCGATTGAGCAAATAACGCAGGCGGGGAACCAGCAAAAGGAGCGCCCTTCTGGGGCGCCCAGCGCAGCGAGTTCCACCGATTTGGGGCGCCTCAAAAGGGGCGCCAATAAAAAGATGCAAAGTAAGAAGGCAAAGACGTCGAATCCGCATGGTTCGGGCACCATTTCTGCCCACTTTTGGAGGTCGCGAAAGCGGTTGTCCATCTGGGCCGCTTCCAATGGGGCGGGTAGCACAAAAGCTGCGCTTTTTTGATTGACAAACCAAGAAAACGCAAGAGCCGCCAAAAGCCGAAAGCCGACTCCATTGGATACTAGGGACCCGATTTTGGGAGCCCATAGGGGCGGCGCTGGCCAAGGCCCCGGTAGGGCCATAGCGTACGGGATAGGTTTGGCTTTGTGAAGTCGAAAAGGTGTGGAGCTTTGGCCGCGATTTTTATATTTTCCCCACGGCCATGCAGAATAACAATGCGCGCGAGCAGGGTATTGCGCGCAGAAAAAAACAAATTTTGGAGCCCGGCAGCCGCAACGCGTCAAGCGCGCTGACGAAAAAGCCGCTTTGATCTCACTACCCCCGCCGGGGCGGCTATTATTTATTTTTATTGGCTATTGGTATTGGATATATAATATTTTAGCTTCTTCAAAAGCCCACGCCTCTGGCTTGCCAAAAAGCCACCGGCTTCTCTGATCTCGAGGAGCCACGCACAGCTTGCGCGCCGCAAATCGATTCACCTCCGATAGTGGCCGGCGTGCTTCACAGCACGAACATCAAGAAAAAGACTCATGCGTAAAAAGCTTGATTTGAAGTTTTTGAAACAGAAGCATATAGTCCAGTGACAGTCAGTGTCAGATGCGGGATATTGGATTGACATTGATGGTGCGGCAATAGCGGCCGTTCGCGGCACACTACTATTCGAAAAATGTTCGTCCCCTACTTCTCGCAACAAGAATGAAAAACTCCAGGTCCACGGTCATCTTCATCTACACATGCGCCGTGGCTTCTCGGGAGCGCGTATGCTGAGGGGGTCTACGTTTTCGCAGAGATGCTAGCGCCTTTCGACGCTAATCAAGCTGATCGTGACGCCGAGCATGGAGCCAACAACTGCCTGCATCACGACGGGAAAGTCTGTAAGAGCCACGCCATAGCAAACCCGTGGCTGCAAATTCAATCGGCTCAAGAGTTGCCCGTCTTCCGTGTGAGTGTTCGCGCACCGCATGTTCCTCAAGAGGACGAGGGGGAGTTGCATTCGCGGGAGTTGCATGCGCTGGTGCCGCAGCTTCTAGGGCCTGACGGCGAGACTACTGAGTGCGGTGTGCGGGTCGGCGTGCATTCCTCCAACGGAGAGAGCGAGACCACATTGGGCGGCGAGACCCGCATGAAGCCGCCGTGTCACGAGGAATTTCCCGGGTTGGCCTGTGAGGCAGCGTACATGTGTCACCCAGCAGGACGACCGGAAGCCGGGCTGGGCGTCAAGCAGTATCGTACAGAAAAGCACACCTTCTATACCCGAAAAAGCTTCTCAGCATGACTACCTCTTGCTCTTCAAGCCCTAGGCCGCGCCACGAACACAAAGACAAACTACATTCTGCATGACAGAAAGCGAAAGGTACGTCTCTTGTGCTCGGCGCATTGCAGAGTCTTCAGTGACGCCGATTTCGCAACGGCAGCATAAGCTTAGTTTTGTGTCATGCGGTGGCTGGCCGCTAATGGAAATGGGAACCACGGACGAGGCTCAGACACAACTGCACCTCGTCGACTTCCTTTCCTACTACATTACCTGCGTGTGGGTTCCGAGGGAGACCCTGCCTGGTCTACGCGAACTACATCGCGTGAGGATTAGCCGACTCGCGATCCCCAGAAGTGCGCATCCTTGTCGACCACAAAAATTAAAATAGAAAAATAGGAGCCGCCGCGCCAGCGTCGGCGTGGTCGCTTCAGCAGCGCAAATTTCATGCAAAAGATTTATTTAATATATTTTTTTCCTTTAAAGCGGTTGGATGAGCTTTTCTGCAGAATAAGCAGGACCTCCACCAGGACGGGCTCGAGGAGGTGATGAACTTTGACTGTCCGGCTAACACCAAGGGGAACTATGTGTTTGTGCAGTTGCAGTCAGATATCACAGAGACAAAAAGCTAGCGCGTGTCAATTGTAAAATGCAAACACAATTATTCCCCTTCTTTTTTACCTTCCCATTCTCGTTTTCTTTTTCATTTTTGGCTGCGAAACGAAAACAAAACAACAGTCTTTGCTGCACTGTGCGGCTACACCAGACGCGCACCATCAGAAGCGCGGAACCGGTGGCAGTGCTTGTGCTGCACCATCAGAAGTGCGAAACTTGCGCGGCCGGGCGTAACTTGCGCGGCCGGGAGTAAGAGGCTCCGCCAATCACCACTATACTCCTGTCCTGGCCTACCATCTTCATCAGAAGTGCGAGCTGCGAAGGGTGGGCGCACCATCTTCAAAGTCAAAAAGTCTCCTCGCCCCATGAATGAATGAATGATCCGAAATAAAAGAATCAGGCTGGACGAGGGGGTGAGCGCTACTCGTAGAAATCCTGCTAGTGCCGGAAAGCTGCTAGTGGAAAAGGGCCCACTAGTAGATTTCCTACTAGTTGTGCTGGAGGTTTTATGATCGCCAAAACGGGCTTCCGGGTACTTCTATTGACGCTCCCCACTAGTGGCGCCCTTCACTAGTGGAAGCACTATCGAAAACTGGCGCAGGCAGCGCCGCGGTGGGGCCGCTTCCAGGCAGTAAAGCGCTGCCGGGACCCCGGGTGGCCCTCCGGCCTGCCGGCCATGGTCTCCGCCCTTGGCCTTGTCTTAGGTGCCTTGCGGTTCGCGATTGGCTGCCCCGGGCCGGAGTCGTGCTGCATTCTGGCGCCCCTTGCCCTTCGCCCTCTGTTGCGAGGTGTTTGGCGCCAGTTTCCGCCTTTCCCTTCCGCCTGTGACTCTGCAGGCTTGCTTCTCTCGCGTGCTCGCCGCCGCGGGGCCCCTTCGGCCCCAGTGGGGTTGCGTGCTTTGGCCCCGTTTCCTTTGGGTCGCCGGGCGTTTTGGTTTGCGCCTCGCCTCCGTGCCCTGCTTCGGCGTATTGGTTTCGTTTTCAAAGCATTCGTCTGTTTAAAGCGAGTCTTGGCCCACTTGCTCCTCTTGTCGGCTTTCTGGCTTTTGGAGCATATCGCCCGCAGTGCCCCGCCTGCCTTTCCGCCGCCTTCCTGTGCTCTTTGTCTTGCCTTGCGCCAGCCCCGTTCCTGGTCTTATTTTGGCCTTTCGTGCCCCCTTTTCGCCCTGTTTACTGTGGCCCGCCTTTGACTTGTTTCCTGTGGTTAGCCTTCCGGCCCTTCGCAAAGGTTCTGCAAACGCCTTCTGGCCGCCCTGTTTGTGGAGGCCGAGGCAGTGGCAGCGCTTTGTGCCCCCTGCCACCCTCCGCGCCTTGCGGCCTTAATGTCTGTGCGTGCCCTTCGCTCACGATCAGGGAGTGCGGCGTCTGTGTGTGTGTTGTCATCGTTTTCCGCCTGTGGTGTCAGCATAGTTTGGGCATGACCAGTGGGGTTTGGGCCGTAGGTTTTCCCCTAGAAGTTCTTTCTCCCTCGCTCCCCCTTGCCCCCCCTCGTCGCCGGGCCGGCGGGCGCGGAGCGCGCGCCCGTTCTAGATAAACACTAATGTGATGGGCAACCGGACCACAGGCACAGACCACAGAAAAACAAAAATCTGTCATGAGCATATTTATATGTGCTTCCTGCGGGCGCATAGACACTTTCTACAAATCTGATTTACATTTGTGTTGTCTTCGTTTCTCTTATCAGTGCCTACGTTTATTGGGACGGCCGGCCCTTGTTATACGTCCAATCTCAACATCCATGGGCAAAATAAATCGATGAAAATACTGATCAGTACGAAAAGGTCGCGGCCTGCCGGACGTTCTGCCGGTAGATGTCATGTTGGGTGACTTACAACATCTGTTCTGATTCAAAAAATGCTGATTTTTTCTGTTTGTTTCATCTGCATTTGGCGCGCTTTCTCTGGCATATTCGAGGGGTGTGGGATGACGGAGATGCTGGATGTGCCGGACCCTAAGAGTCCCGACAACAATATCCCAGCGAAAAAAGCTAGCCTATTGTTTTGCATGACGATGCATGACGTTGAGGATCATGATGATTCTGTTTCTAGAACTGCATTACACAGAGTTGAAAAAGAAAACCTGCTTTGTATAGCCTAGACACCATTTTTCTACGGGGGATCCGCCCCGAAGAGATTTTGGGTTGCTATTTGCTTAAGTTCAAGTTTTGCACTTGTGTTTTCGTTTAGGTTTACTTTTTTCAGCAAGACAAATGACGTGCTAGTTTTTTTCTATGGGATGAACAAGATGATTCAAACACACGGTGTGCGGCGGCGTCTGGAACTTCTTCGCGTAGACGTGTTCCGGCCCGCTCCGGCCCCGGAAGCAACTTGTTCTCTCGAACTAGCGCTCTGCGTCGACGCAGAGGCGATTCCCGTGGACGGGGTGTCCTGCATGACTGCGAAAAAATTCTTACCCACGCAGGGCCAAGCCGGAGACGAAATGACCGGAGAGGTTTACGCCTGCTGGCAGAGCACTAGCGAGTGTAATGAGTTTGCGAACGCGCACCACGAGCACAACGCTCCTAAGCCGGGGGAGGAAGCACGACGGGGTGCACCTGCTGGACACACACTGGAGATCTCTCATTGCGCTGTGCACAAGCAGCCGAAGTGCGCAGCAGCCACGGAGGAGGACGCACATGAAAAGTACGCGTGTCCTTTCGAGGACGGGGAGTGCTACATGGTCACCGGGGGCGCTCCCGGACACTCCACCAAAGACGATCGGTTTTGTTTTAAGTCGGAGCCTCGGATCGGCTCGGGCGACATGGTGCGTGCCCCATGTGATGCCTATTCGTCCTACTTCTATGCACACGGTCACGGGGGGGCTGACAAGGAGCCACTGGAATGCCGAAAGCTAGAGAGAGCTGCCACGCTGGACGACGGTGGCGCATTCATGGAAACTACGAAAACAGAGGGCAATAAGAAACTCGAGCCGCTTTTGAGTCGCAGTCGCCGAGGGCAACCTCTAATTATGGTATGAACATCAACAGCATACGTGCATGCTTCATGTTCTTGTCCCGGTCTAGCAGTACGTAAATCATGCGTTGTGAAATGGTTTTTTTCGAATAGTAATTTTTCACTTTTATATTTATTCCATGTAGTATTCATTTTCATTGCAGCATCAACATGCGAAATAATCGCTCACGTACGAGACCATTTCGTTTTACTTGCGCTGAATTTTATGTTTATAATCTAGAGTGTACAGGAGCCACGGATCCCGCGACCCCGCTTCCCAGCACCGCCATAGGATCTTGCAACCTTCCGCTCTTGTGCGTTCGTTTTTGTCACCTCGGCACCACACTATAGATGTTCATCAGGTTAAAGTTTTTGTGACTTTTGCACTGTGTGATGCCACACTCGTCTGAATGAATAAACGAATTCTGTCAACAACGTTTTTTGTGGCGTTTTTGTCGAGGCGGATACGAGAGATGATTGAAAAATAACAATTCTCTCATGCGAGACAAGAGCAATAAAATGGCAACTCAGACGAGCAGTCTGATGTGGAAATCTCAATCAATAAACCAGCCGAAGAAATAAATGAATGCGCAGCACCTGTGTTCGAGATTCAAATTCATTCGGTCAACACACTGGTTGCCCACTTCCAGCCAAAAGAAGTCAGTCTCAGTTTCTTTGTCTCGCTCCCCTGTCTTCATGCACCTCTGCCAGCATTCAAAATTAGATTTCAAGCGGATTCGCTTCGCGGTGAAGATCAGCGCCTGATTGATATTTTTACCCTATGTATATCACACAAGATCAATCAATCTGAAATTGAATTGCAAAACGCCGATCTTTGGCTCGTGCGAAGTAGAGGTGGATTTTTTGTTTGCACGTTTGTTTCGCGGATTACTTCTGTCAGTTGTAGAAGATCTTTATTTCGTTTTATTTATTGTAAAGGTATTAAACATTAAACAATTGTCGCATATGGAGATCATATGGTCGTGGTCAGTTTCATCCATCCGCTTCGGCGTGTTGTATTAGCATGAGTGAGGTTGAAAACCGTAACTCGCTGTGGCAACAAGGTGGATGTGGATCACCAAAATCGTCGGCCGGGGGCAGTGCATGTGTGGCTGCGTTTGGGCAAGAGCAGTTGCGTCTTCCTTTTTTTTCTTAATTGCCCAATGCGTCCCGCTCTCGCGCGTGCTCACCAGCGCTTATCGCGGGGCCAAACCCGGAGAAGACTTCGAAGCGTTCCGAGCCTGAGTTCCGTCGGAATCCAAGCAACATCTGGCGAAATTCCTGCCACTTTGTCAATTCCCGGGATACCTCCCGGATTCTTCCCGCATTGATTTGGCCTCTGCCGGTGACAAATCAGGCCAGAGTCTGGCCAGCGGCCTACTCTTGACGCCCTTCTGGTAAAAATCCAACCAATTTCGGCGAAGCTCTGGCTGGAATCTTCCGGCAAGAGTTTTTGGCTGCGCGACATTTTCGGATTTGGCCGAACTCATGTGAAATCCCCGAAGGGGTCCGAACCTTTGAACAGGCCTGCGGTCTCGGGGCTTTCGCCTAGCGGTCCCGTGGGCACGGTAATGGCTGTCGGCGCGATGGGCCGGCCGGCCGAGGGCAGTTTTGCGCACGCTTTTGGGTTCGCAGCAGTTGGACGGAGCTGCCCTTCACTTGGTTCTGTCCAAACACAGCCATAGTTTTAATTTGTGCGCCCCCCGAAAATATTTCAAGGATGCACCTTTCCGTGGCCGGCTTTCCTACATATTAAACAAAACAAAATTGCTGTTCGGCGTACAACTCGAATATTCCAGGCATCGTTCGAACGACGTGGTGAAGAGTGTCGCAGAAAGCAGGTGTCACTGTCAAGCTCAGGGCGTTTGCCGTGTTCCGCCGAGTGGACGAAGAAGTGGTAGAAAGGCATGATGCGCTCCTGCATGTAACTAGGGTAGTCCTACCGGTGTGTGGGCGTGATAATTTTTTTCTCCGCAATCCGCTGATGGTTTGAGAAACAAACCGGCATAAAGAGTGGGCGATATGCTGCGTGCCCGGACCGACCTCCTGGATGAGCACGACTTATCCAAATTGATCGTCAGTGTGTGCAACTACTTTTCCTTGGGGCAGACCGAGTTAGCGCGGGCGCTTTGGCGCATCGTGGCGCAGCGGGATCTGCCACAGGCACTGCGGGTTTTGAAGATAATTTTGTGGCATGGGCCGCCACGGCATTGGGTTCCGAGCACTAGCACCCCTTCTTCGGCGCACCTGTGCTGGTTCTGCTTGCACCTGAGTTTGGCCCGCGGACAGCAGCTGCGCATTCCCCGATGGCTGAAGCAGCGCCTAGAGCTGGACGTGTTGATCGCCTGCGCTTTGCTCGACGGCGCGGCGCTGCGCGCAGGACGCGGGCGGCTAACCGCAGAGGTCGCGAATGAGCTCCGCGCTTATCACGCGGGGTTGCTCGATTTGGATGGCAAGCAGCAGGTGGTGCTCCCGGCGCTCACGTTGCTGCCAATCCTTCCCCAACTGTCCTCCTACGCGTCCTACTTGCCGGCACAGGTTATCGAACAAAAGTCTTTCGCACGACAGAACCCGCGGCTGAGCCGGCAGGCAGTCTTGCAGCTCTACGAAATGACGAAGGTGCAGCCAGTGCTGGGGCACACACTCTGCGACCAATTTTTGCGGATTCGCAACCTCGCAGACCAGATGTCCATCGGGCTTGCGGCAGACGCTCTTCTATTCCGAAACTTCGATCTGGCCTGCCGTCACTTGCGCTTCGTGGAGCCGGATAGTGGACGGTTGCTACCTCCGGGGGCGGCCTTGTACGAGTTGTTCACCTTTCTCATCTTGCACGTTTTCCACACCGCCGACCCAAATTATGTGGCTGATGTAGCAGAGGGGCTGCGTGGAGGTTCTGGCGCAGCGGTAGTGGGAGCCCCCGCGGTAAATTTTTCCAGACACGACCCAGCAACCGCGGCCGGTGGTACGACTAGCCGGAGTCAGCAGTACAGCCAACGGGGCGGCAGATCTAGCGCGAATCAAGCAAACGGCAGAACAAGCACGACGTCCACCTTTGCGAGCAGCCTTTACGCCGACCAGACATTGAGGAATGCGAATGGCTTCCCGGGTGGGGCACCGTCCTCGAGCAGTGCGGCGGCAAACAAAATCCTGCGAAACTTGATCACTTCTGCCGGCGGCAACGGCGCTAACCAGTTGAACGGCGGGGGAGGGATACCCCTCTCAGAATGGAAGAGCGCTGCCGTGCGTTATCTGACGGACCAGTTTCAGGTATTCGGGGGAACGTCGTCCACTGGTGGCTTCCGTATGCAGCACGTGAGGCGAAAGCCGCGCATTTACGAGGCGTTACTATCAAACCGATGCACGGAAGCCCTGAAGCTGTTCCAGGTGATCGAAGATGAGTTTCACCGTTTGCAAATTCAGGCATCCCCCCTCCCACCGGCCTTCGACCGTCGCATGAGATTGTATTCATCTTCTGCTGCATCTTCTGCCACACAACCACAAGGCGCAGGTCCGGTTTTTCCTGTAAGAGCTGGGGCGTGTCAAAAAGCTGCTGCACCGGCGTTGATGGCGCATGGAGAGCGGACGACCAGCAGGACGAGTTACAACTTTCCGATAGCAGCAGCCTCGTCTAGTAACCCACAAGATCAACAGTCGTGGAGTGCTGCCCACCACAGTAGCGTTAGCTGCACGTCTGCGCTTGGCACTTCTGGAGCACCGGATCATGCAGAGCCCGGTCTGCTGCTCGGAACGCTTGTTCTGGATGAAGGTGCGTGCTGGTGGGACGACTACTTCGAGTTTGCCCGCGTGGCGCACGTTCACTGTTTGGAGTACGTGGTTAGCACAGCATGTCGCTTCGTCCGAGAGCGGCAACTGGGACTGCTGACGCGGTTGCTAAAGCCCTTTGCCCAGCTGAAGCCCTTGGTGATTTTGCTCACCTGGCAGGACCTCACGCTGGAGCGGCGGAAGGAGCTACTGGACACCGTTTGGCAGTCCTACGTGGCGGAAACGGCGACCTGTGGAGTCCACGGCAAGTATTTTGGATGCCACCGGGTGGGAGACTTGTGGATTGACTTCTGGGTGGAAGTGCTAGACTACGCTGTAAAGCTCTCGCTCTGGGTGGCGAATCTAATCACATCCAACTTTCCGGACCAGGACCAGGGAGGCGCTGGGAGCACCAACGGCAATCCGGCTGGTCCGCAATTTTGGAAAGTCGCAACGGAGGTTTTGGATCGCCTTCTGATTGACGACCTGGCCGCGGATGACGAATGCCCGGTACGAGAGGGACTGCTGCCTCCAGGAGAATCACGGGCAGTTGACCTCCCACAAGGAGAAGTCTGGCACAAGAAGCACGTGCCGTCGGACGAGGTTCATAAACGTCGATACACTTCTTCCACTGGAACTGATATTCAACTGGGACCACCAAAAGGTGCGCGCAACGGTGGCAATTTCCTGGTGCAGAATCCGACGTTTCATCGCGCGGTTACCAGCTGTTCGTTGCTTTTGGTGATGCGTACCCACTTACCGAACGTAGAAAGCGGCGTCATGCTACGCGCGTTGGAGCAGCTTCCTCTGTTGCGTCTTCGCAGTGCTGCTAGCCAGCACTCCTACGACCTGGACCTGTGTCGCTGCTACTACGCCTTGCGTTGCGTTCTGACGTTAGTGGAGCAATTGCACACGGCAGCAGCTCGGAGTAAGAACAGCTCGGCAGAGCATCCCCGCAGTGCCTTCAAAATTCTGATCCAAAGCAGCATTGTGGAGCTGGACCGTCTTGTATCAGACTAAAAAGTGCGCCTACCCCAGAACACGGAACTTTCTGTGATGCAAAGTTCGTCAATCTTCAATTTCATTGGGACAATCAAATTGAAATCCAAATTGTACATTACTGCGTATGTTGCATTCAATGCAAATTAGGTTTGCCCTAACGCTCCTGCAGATGAGAAATAAATTTCCGGCGCGCGGACGCGCAGCGCAGCGTGCGTATGTATCTAGAATGGGCGTGCGCTCCGCGCCCGCCGGCCCGGCGACGGGGGGGGCAAGGGGGGGCGAGGGAGAAAGAACCTTTAGGGGAAAACCCATGGCCCAAACCTCACTGGTCATGCCCAAACTATGCTGACACCACAGGCGGAAAGCAATGACAACACACACAGGGGAGCAGACGCCGCACTCCCTGATCGTGAGCGAAGCAAGGGCACGCACAGACATCAAGGCCGCAAGGCGCGAAGTGCCGCAGCCACTGCCTGGGCCTCCACAAACAAAGCGGCCGGAAGGCGTTCGCAGAACCTTTGCGAAGGCCCGGAAGGCTCACCACAGGAAACAGAGGCGGGCCACAGGAAACAGGGCCAAAACGGGGCACGAAAGGCCAAAAGACCAGAAACGGGGCTGGCGCAAGGCAAGACAAATAAGAGCACAGGAAGGCGGCGGAAAGGCAGGCGGGGCACTGCGGGCGATATGCTCTAAAAGTAAAAGCCAGAAAGCTGATGCTGACAAGAAGAGCAAGTGGGCCAAGACTCGCTTCAACCAGACGAAAGCCCTGAAAACGAAACCACTGCGCCGAAGCAGGGCACGGAGGCGAGGCGCAAACCAAAAAGCCCGGCGACCCAAAGGAAACGGGGCATCGCACGCAGCCCCATTGGGGCCGAAGGGGCCCCGCGGCGACGAGCACGCGAGAGAGGCAAGCCTGCAGAGTCACAGGCGGAAGGGAAAGGCGAAAACTGGCGCCAAATACCTCGCAACAGGGGGCGAAGGGCAAGGGGCGCCAGAATGCAGCACGACTCCGGCCCGGGGCAGCCAATCGCGAACCGCAACAAGGCACCTAAGCCAAGGCCAAGGGCACAGACCAGGACCGGCAGGCCCGAAGGCCACCCGGGGGCCCGGCAGCGCTTTACTGACTGGAAGTGGCCCCGCCGCGGAGGCGGAGCTGCCTGCGCCAGTTTTCTACTAGTGCTTCCACTAGTGAAGGGCGCCACTAGCGGGGAGCGTCACTAGTAGCCGCAAACCCGTTGTGGCGATCATAAAACCACTACCAGGATTTCTCCTTGTGGCCCCTTTTCCACTAGCAGCTTTCCACTAGCAGGATCTCTACTAGTAGCGCTCACCCCCTCGTCCGCCCTGATTCTTTTATTTAGTATATCTATATAGGTAAAGGTAATTGTGAGATGACAAACTTCCTATAACTAGCGCTTTTTTTGACACGGCCAAGCATTTAATATATAAGAAAGTTGCCAACTCCTGCTCGTCGAGGGGGAGGGCACTCGGCAATTTGATACTTCGTTTCGTGCATCCAGCGACCTCATCTGAAAATTATGGAAGGGGAGGGAGTGATGTTACAGAATGGCGCCAGCCCTCAACAACGATTCTGTTGCGATTCGCCACACGGACGATTTGCAATTGCATAAACTTTTAACTTTTATATGTCTTTTTGTCATGTTCATAATACTCGGCGAAAAAGAGAAACGTAAAGCGAGATTTTTCATGGGGCTCGCGGCAGCTCGTACAGCCAATCGCTTTCCCTCTACAAAGATTAATGTTTTCGTGCAGATCTGTAGTCTGTGTTTTGTCCGAAGCAGTTTCCTCAAGAGCAACAAATCCGTCGCCTCCGCTGGTCCGGCTGCTGCAGGGACCATTTCTATCGACTCTTTCGCTGCTCTTCCAGCAGCCGACGATCATTTTTTGGTCCCACCTGCCGCCGTACTGTCGTTGCTGTCGCTCCTCCGCCACCACCTGGGCCGAACGACCGCGGAGGTGGATCTTAGGATGAACAAGTGCACGAGCACGACCAAGAGCAACAACTCTTGCACGATGGTGACGCGCGTAAAGGAACACTTGTCCCAGTTTACGCGCGAGGTGCTGTGGCGGCTGTTTCTGACGTTAAAGGAGTACTTTTTGTTTCTCAGGTTCCGGGAAAAGATGTCGTTGGCGGCGGACCCACGCCAGTAACAAATGCACATATGTCTGGATCTAGATGTGAAAGAGTGCAACTTGTGACGGGAAACGCTGCCTTTGAACTCTATGTTGAAAATCTGCAAGTATTGCAAGAGCAGCGAGAGATGTCAAGTTCAAGTTTTTGCTACACGGAGGAGGCATTCCCCATGTGGTTTAGGCAGCAGGGTCAGGAAGTCCACACAAAATCTGTGATCCCAGGGCACGCACTACAGATCTTGTTATGGCTCGTGTAAAATGTGCTGCGTTCCGGCTACTCTGGATCGCGATCGATGGAGACAGGGCGGGACCTGCACCGGCGACAGGCACTAGCCAACCTCCAGCCAACCAATCAATGAGCCAAGATTTGCATTTTTTCGGACATCACCCAGACATGTTTGCATGTGGTAGCCATTGGGCGGACGCCATTGGCGCGACGATGGTGGGACGGGAGAGCTTTCTCCCCAATCACCACCTTAATTTGGACAGTCCCTTTCGCCAGTTCACCACCCCGGCGGAATCTGCCTTGTCTCTTCAGCCGGAATCCTTTCTGCCCCGAATGCTGTCCAATCCGAAACTGCTGTTGCACCGCGCGCTACGCATGAATGACTACAAATTAGCCGAAAAAATTCACACCGATTACTACCACAGCGATCAACACTTGGACGACTTGCTCTACCCCGTCGTGATGGGGCATGCGACAATTTCTTGCAATTCGCGATACGAGCAGGAGGAAAACTATTTTAGGACGAGCAAGAAGAACTTATTGTCGAGCACCCACGGAGCCGAAGGCGGTGGTGGAACGCGACTACCCCTACGACCACGAAAAACTGCCGGCACGACAACATCCTCGATGGCGCGGAAAGGTGATCGGGGAGTTGTTGTGGTGGCCAAGAAATTTGCGAATTTCCGTCGGCGCATGATGCGGCAGAAGTCTCCGCCCGAGACCGTCGAAGCCGAGGTGATGCGGCTGTGCGCACAGTATTTTCTCGGGGAAGAGGCGCTGCGTGCGTCGTTCTATATCTTAGTAGATCTGGCGGTTTCGGCTGCACCCCATACCGGGGTTTCGACGCGCCTGCTGAAAAAGGCGTTACAAATTTTGGAGAGCCTCGTCTTCGAGGAACTGGAACAGGAGCAAGGGCAGAAAGACCTGAAGAATAGGACCCCTAACACCGCTATCAACGTGACGAGAGCTGCAACTCAATATTCCGGAAATTCCTCGCGCTCTCCCGCTTCCTCCGCACAGGCTGCGAACCCGAACGCCGGTTCCGGAGAACAGCTGCAAAATTGGGTGGCGCGATTGAACGTGCTCGTGGAAGCGCGAACCCAGTACAAGACCCTGGCGAACATTTTGCTGGGGATCGAAACTTTACCTTCCGAGCCGGCGTTGCTGAAAAGTCACTTGAACCGCTTGCATTCGCAAAGGCACGCCATCATGAGTTTGGTGGAATCGGTCGAATTGGTAAAGCTTGGAGAGGAAGTGCTGCATTCTTTGTCGGCCAGCAAGTATCTGCTACGGTTTCTGGAATACCTGGCCAAGGTGACGGATCTCATGCGGTCAACCGAAAATTATCAGGGCGAATTGAAGGTCTTTGATGTTTTAGCGGAATCGCCCGAGGGCATCGTGGCACGGCTCCTCTTCGACCTCGGCGGCGCGGAACAGGCCCAGGCGTTGGCCAAAGTTATGGGAGTCGATCTTGTGGAGGTCATCCTGCACTACGCCTATAGTACAGAAAGTTTGGCACCGGCCGCTGCTTTCAAGGCGAACGTCCTCGCGACAATGCGGAGTGGTGTCATCGATGCAGTAGGTGCTGGCTCTTTGTCTGCGCCGCGCGCTGCGGGTCACGCCGATGCTAGTAGTCGTCCTCCTGTTACTGTACCGGGAAGAGTAGAACGAGTCGGACTCGGAGTGAAAATAACAACCACGGGAACTAAAAATGGAAATGCTGTGACAAGTAAGACAGGAGCTACAGTAGATCATACCGGGTCCCAAGAACAGCAAGCCGAGGATACGGACTCCTTTCGAGAAAACGGCAGTGTGATGTTGAAGCACCAAGGACAAGGAACCGGGAGCGTGGAGCCGGGGTGTGCGAGCAATCGCGAGGCCTATCAATAGAAAAAAGCTACGACGCATGATCATATTTCTGAAGGCAAGATAAGGAATTGCACAGATGACAGATGAAGAAAGATCTGTCGTCGGCGGGCCCCTAGCACACTGTGTCGAATAGCACTACAGACTTTCCTCTCGCTATGTGAGTGATTTTATTCTTGCATCACCATTAGTACCTGAAGTGAGAGCCCTCATGCTCATGCAATGAATAAAAAAGAATAGTAGATGTAGAAGTACATCTACTACATCGCGACCGCATGGAAAGAGTAGTTGAAGTATTTGTATCTCGCGCCGCCGTCGAGTGGGCTTAAGCTTCACGCCGCGAAATTTTCTACATACCTACGGAACAACCGGACACAAGGAAGGTGGCCATGACTGTAAGACGGAAGAGCGCACTTGGCCCTCAACCCCAGCAATAGCGCGCGCGCGTGGATGTGTATTAAGTAGGAAATGGACAAACTAGTACCAGACAACGGCCCGCAGCGTTTTTCAAAGCGGAGCGCTGCGGCTTGTCACGAGAAGGATGAAACTGAATCTAGATGGCTCCGCGCGGGCAGGAAGCTGACCGCTTACATCAATAGGCGAGGCCAACTTTGAGGCAGTCCGTTTTTCGTGTGTAAGGCCGACGCGCATGAAGCCGGCCAGTATCTGTGCCACCATGCACGACAGGCCGGCACACCAGGACCAAGCTGCCTCGCGATGCATTGACGCTGCCAACGCGGGAAAAAAAGCGCCGCTCGAGCTTGGTATAGTAGTAGATTGTTTGAAGGATCTAGCACGGACGGTCGCGGGTAGTGCATGACTACCGCGCCAGCTTTTTGCTGTTTGATAAGCCCTACGCCATGTCTATGAACGTGGTGCGTGTGGTGGAGAAAGCAGCTGGCCCGCTTCTGGCTTGCCTTGCATGTCTCGAGCGCCGACCGGAACAGTGGCCGTCGACCGCATTTTTGAGCTACGCACGCGGCGCGTGCAGCGAGTTTCCAGCGATGCAACGATGGGTGTACGAACGCTGTGAGGTCTGGGACGCACTGTACTGGGCCGCTTCGCGCGAACGAGTACCGTTTTCTGCCGTGGCGCAGCAGCGGATACAGGTCACTGATGCCAACCACGGATGTACTAAGGAGTTGAGCGATTTTTCCCCGCTTTCAGGCGACAAAGATTTTTCATACTCGGCATCGTCCGCGAAAACGTTCACGACATCGCCTGTGAGACCCGTCGACGGAGCGGCGCGCGAATGGGCAGTGCACCACTACAAGGCACGAAGCGAAAAAAATACCGAGAACGAAACCGATGAGAGCAGCGAGCAGGTGTGCTGTACAAGTCTCACATTCGACGGTATTGTGGACGGGTATACGCGGAAAGGACTAGAGCGTCTGCCTGTGGCGGAGCAGCAGGCTCTGCTAGCGGTTGGCGACGACCGCGAGGATTTGCTCCGTGCCGCGTATACGCGCCTTGCTTGCTCATTAGTCGCACAGCAGCGGTATGAGGAAGCACTGCAAATCTGTGATCTGGTCGATGGTGTTCATGTGGTAGACCAGATATTTATGCGATTACTACGGAATTTCGAATTGCCATCTTCCCCTTGGATACCATGCGCGGCGCAGCCACACGCCCACGCGGCCTTTTTGCAACAGGGAAAAGGGTCCGCGCACGAGTACCTTTATCGGCTACAAGATCCTGAGCTTGCGGCGAAGTTGGTGCTTCGGCTCTATCGGTATTGGGACAACCCTGACATCATCTTGCAGGCGCTTACGATGTGCCTGCGAAAGCTGGAGATCAGCAGCGAGCGCCGCCGCAGCGGGGTCTGGAGGAGCCAGCATGCGCCAGCTGAAGGAACCCCGAGGACTGGCGCTGTGCACCACCCGCAGCCACGGCGAGCACCAGTGGGAAGGTTTGCGAATAATACTACTACTAGTTATAGTGCTAAAGTAGGTGGCACCACAATTACCAACACTGGGACTGGCGGAGATCTGCCGGACGCGGAGACGAGCACTATATCTGCTGCAGTGCACGGAAATAGTTCGGCAGCGAATGCAACCACAAGCAGAAAGGTAAAGAGCCCCCACATCCCCGACGAGAATATTGCTGCGCAGATGGTGGATGGAGATCGAGACACTCCGCAGTTGAAGGGGGGCGAACAGTTTCACGACACGGCTGTTGTGGAGGGAACCCTAATGGAGGAGCTGCAATTGGTGTTGGGAAACATGACCATTTTGAAGAAAGTTCTGGAGTGTTGCGGCGGGAAGTGGGCAAGCTGGCATGAGATCGACGATTTGTACAAGATGAAGTACGACCACGGAGATAAAGACCATCTAGCACCGGAGCCGCAGCAGCCGCATCAGCACTCGCACGCGGAAGTGCCGAAAATGGCAGAGTCATATTCCGTATTGATGCGGCCGCGGAGCACAAGTAGCCCGAGTCGTAGTTGTTCTCCCGTTGGCCATGGGCCGCACACCTTCAAAAACAAGAGCCGAGAAATACTCGGCGCCGCGCTGGCCGCCGATCATGTGCTAGACAAGAGCACTACGATAGAGCTGCTCTCCCGGCGGGCGGGCGCAAACGAGAAGCAGGTTTTTGAAGACACGGTGCTTTCCCATCTATTGTCGCTGAACTTGCATGACCTGGCACGGCAAGTGCAGCACATGTACGAAATTGCGGCTCCCAACGTTTGCATGATCGAGGTAGAGCGGCTGGAGTACCTCTTCACTGAGGCCGAAGACAAGACGGAGGCGGTGACGCGCCTTCTTCATTTCCAGCCGCCGCAGGCCGTGCGGTTCGCCTTCGCGCTGCTGGACCGCTTCACACTGATCCGCCACCGCCTATTGTTTTGTCGGATGCTCCTTCAGCACCTTCGTTCCTGGCTTTCGGACGCCCAAATTGTGCGGCTGGAGATCCTCTGTGCGAGTTTGGAGCTGCTCAGCGTCGTAGAGCAGCCGGTATCCTCGACGACAAGCAGTCGAAGTCGCCAGCTTTCCAGTGCTGCAGCTAAAAGCACGGACTCTCATTCCCTCGGCGCCCCCGTCGAGTTCGAGAGTCTGGAGTTGCTGAAAATGCAGCCGCACTACTTGCGGCTGCTGGATCGTCCGGTACTCATTGTGGAGTCGTTGCTTATGAATTCGCGCACTGATCTCCTTCGCGAGTTCCTAGATAGTTTTCCGCAGTACCGAGTCGACTCCCTCATTCTCGGCTACGCGCGGAAGGCACTCAGCCTCAGCGCGTCGACTAGTAGTTGTCATTCCAGGATGAACGCAGCACCAGAACAGCAAGGTTCGAAGAGAAAAGAAGCAGCGCAAGGACTAGATGATCATCGCGACAACCGCCCATTTGCGATGGAAACACGGGATGAAAACAAGCGAAGCGAGAACCTCCGAGATTATCAGCAGTTTGAAGGAGTGCGGAAGCAATGGACAGCGGAAACGGGCTTGGGTGGACCTTGGTGTCTGACGGGCGACCCCGGTCTTGACGACGCGTTGCGTGCGTCTCACGTTTACGAACGAGCTCCGAGCATTGAGCTCGCGGAGAGCTTGCTTGATCTTCTGTCAGATGAAAGTCTAGAAAACGCTGGACTCTGCTTCCAGCTTTGCGACGAGCTGTCGCTACGGTGGCAGGCACTCATGCCGCATTACTGCCGCATGAGGGTACAATGTTCATCTTCTCCATCGAAGAAAGGGAATGGCTACGAAATAATGCATTGGACTACAGCTGCTGACGAGAATTCTAATTCTTCTACTGTCTGTGGGGGTAGTGAACTCGACCCAGAAGAGGACTCGTGGTCCGAAGCGTCGGAGTTTCCGCCACCGGAGGAGTTGTCCGGAACGAGCTGTGAGGGAGAGCAGGACCATCTTCTTCGAACCTCGGTCAATTCGCCGCCGACGGAAGTACTAGATGATGTGAGCAGTCGTGGTCCACGCAACGTCGGCCTGGTTTCGAAGGGGAGCAGAAGGCCGGTGGTTGATGGACATGGAGGAACTTTGATGACATTGCAGCCGCCCCGCCATCCGGGGACAGGCGGTGCCGAAACGGACGAGAGACGCACGGCCAATGACCGACCACAGCCTGGAGTGAACAGTACTAGATCTGCAGCGCATAATCTGTCCTGTAGTACGTAGTGAGGTCACTGCACGGCTCTAACCTGGTAGCTTTCTTCCCATGAACCGCCAAAAACTGCCGGCATTTTCAGGCCCTAAAAATAAAGCGCATTTCAATTTGAATTTGAGCGGGGTAACAAATTCTGACGAGTTGTGGCCGTCCCACTATTCACCCGCCCGGCCGGGTGGGTGACTAGTGGGACGGAACCAGGAGCCTGACCAGCTGGCCGGATCTTGCTTGTCGCCGTATTCGTGGTCAGGATCCTGGTTCCGTCCCACGAAAAAGATAAAAATATCAGGAGCGCCATCTTGTTTCTTTGGCTTTGCCGTCAACGAGAAGTCGCGGCGTGAGACTATGCTATCGCGCACCAACCGAAAGAAGGACGATGGCGAGCCAGCAAAGGCGGCATCCTTCTGACGCGCCCGCCATGTGAGATTCTAGCGATTTGGGGCGCCCAAAAGGGCACCCCCCCCCCCAGAAAAAGGGCCCAAAACCAGAACAGCCAAATCGCATGGCGCAGGCGGCGGCGATTTCGGAGCATTTGGGCGATCGTGAAAGCGGCCGCCGTTTCGCCAGTTTCTTCCTCTGGGAAGCTCTTGATCTTGAACTAGTGCAGCCGCGAAAAATGAATAAGTAAAACGCAAAAAAGAAAAAGCGCGCCAGACGCGCGAAGCCAGTCCGCATGTCTTGGGGCCGATTTTCCCACTTCTATACTCTTCGCTTTTTGGGTGCCCCCTGCGGCTCCCGGATCGGCCTCATAGCACGGAGGCTGGATTCGGAATCCATAGGACGGAGGCTGGATTGGATCGATTTTTCGAAAATTGGCAAAGCTTCTTTCTGGAATTTCCACAAAGAACAAGCTTTGCCAATTTTCTAAAAATCTGCGACGCTTTTGAAGTTACCGCGGTGTCGTGTAGCGTAACGCTGCCCACGAAGGCACACAAGCCTGCACACCAGAGCAGGCGTGCGGCTGGCCCGCGGCCGCCAGGGCGGAGGGAGGCAAGAAAGCGCCACCGACCTCACTACCTCCGCCACGGCGGCTATGTTTGGCACTAGTACAACTACGGAGGCCGCTCTGGCTTCAGTCTCGATCGTCAGCCTGCTACTGAGGCGGCTGCTGGACTACTTGGGAAAGAAATTTCGGGCGCACGCCAAATTCGTGTCGATGGTGACGCGTTGCCGTCACAGTTTATTATCCTTTTTACCAAAGTTCTGGCAGAGGCAGAGCTGCAGTTCGATCCAGACCACCATTGGGCTAAAGGCCTTGTGTGAGAAGCCGGATCAAATCCGGGACCAGCTGATTCGGGACGACCAGCTGGACCTGGCTCTTGAGCTCTGTGAGCGCTGCAATTTCGCAGCGACGTCCATCGTTACCGAACAACAACGTGAAGGGGAACAAGTGGCGTCTTTGGGGGAACTAAAGCTTGATCAGCATTCACCGGGGACGATTGTCCGCTACGGCGCCCTGCAGGCAACGACCGCAGCCGGCGAGGGAGCGGCAGATGTGCCGGGGGCGGAACAGCAGCAGCTTAGTGCTTCGGCAATATCCGAGGCCGCGGCATGTGGTAAGGTTTTGACGCGTTCACGTTCACCAGCTGGCGGTGGCGCTACCTTGTTACATGCTGGACCCCGAGAGTATGGCGTTCTCAAATGTTATACATTCTCAACTGTTACATGATTTGTCATGCAAAATTGACTGTTGATTTGTCATACATTCTCAACTTTCCAAAAGAGCGGGGGTTGAGTTGACTGCAGGGGCACAACTGCAGCCGCAGTGCTTTTATAGAGTAATCTTCTCGGAGAACTGCTTGGCGTTGCTTGATCCGTTCAGCATGAGCACTAAGCTGCTACGGAGTGCGTGCCAGTCCAGTATCTTGACAGATATGGCCTTCCTTGGCTTCTCCCCGGGGCAGTCTACCCGGTTAAGGTTTTGGGATCCGGCGAGCAAGGGGGGAGGCACGGCGACAGGGAAGACCTGAAGGAGCAAGCTCGGGCTGGCGTTGCTCTTGTGCAGGCCCTAGCCGACGGGGCGGCTAAAAGAATATCGCATCGAAGCGATCTTAGAGCTGTGGGCTTTGTCAGGGGTCGCACTTTGGGGCGGGGCAGGATGCCAGTGGGATTGCCCGTCTATGAGGTCCGGGCGTCCTCGGATTTATTATAGGCGACGTTTTGCGTTGAGAGAAACACGGGGAAAGTGTTCGCACAATGCAAAACGAAGATGGAACGCCTGAGGGTAGAAGTTCGCCGACAAGAGCGGAGATTTCTGGCTTATGTTAGAAGCGCGCTCACGCTGCTGCAACTTGTCACGCAACACAGCCACGGGGTTCGGAGAGTAGATGCCGAGCTCTCTGACTTCAAGAGGCTACAGGCGAATGCCCGTGGTCCACTCAGGCAGGGTCGCGGCATAGTGCTAAGCCTGGTAGAAGCACTAGAAGGGGCGCAGGCCCTGGGATACGAAGTTCGCAGAGAAGTACTTCCGAACCACCAGCAGGATTCATTTCCTGCCAGTTGATTTATCACTCCCGACGCACACGGTTCCGCTGCGGATAGTCAATGTAGCACAGCGTGACAGCCGCTACACAGCGTGGCCCTCAGGCGTCCGGGCCCGGGCCATCTCAGCCAGTAAAATTTTGGCAATATTCCGGCAATTTTTTAAAGCGTGCAGGGGTATCGCCAGTCGTCCGGCCATACGTAGGCCGGGTCCTTCGGCCGTGCCGGTTTTGCCTCCCGGCCGGTGTCTTTCGTAGTTTCTGCCCGTGCTGGTGGGCGCCTTGGCCTTGGCCAGTTGTTTTCGGGTTGTTCGATGTTGGGCTTCATATCCTTCGGGATTTGGTGGCGTGAGATGTGATGTGCCGGCTGTTAGGGTTTTGCGCTTTGTGATTGAGGATTCTCTCAAGCCCAGACGCGCAAGCTCTGCATTGGTGTCGTCTCGTCGTGTTATTCTGTCGGACCTTTCCTGAGAGGCCCGACAGAAAGAATTGCATGGCGAGATGATTCGTCGTCATATTCGTTTTACTCAACACAGCTCATGATTGGCGTGAATTGCAGTAGGAGTTGCAACGCATGCTGCAATTCATGCTGCAATTTATGCTGCAATTAGTGTCCCGACCATTTTTGAAAAGCTGCAATTGACGCTGCAATTGGCCGTGCAATTTTCGTGCAATTTCAGGTCCGGGTTCGAAAACAAAGCAAATGGCTTGGTTTTCGTACCCCCCCTGAAATTGCAGCTTTTTTGCACACCCAATTGCAGCATCAATTGCAGCTTTTCGAAAGTGGTTCGGGACGGTAATTGCGCACTTTTTGCACACTGAATTGCACACTTTTTGCACACTTTTTGCACACTCTCGGGGAATATTCTCAAAAGCTGGGGGGCGAAATGCATGGCGCATGTGGCGCGCCCACACCTGCTTCCTGAGCTTTCAAAGTGTGCAGCCCATAGGTGGGTGGGGAAGTGCGCACAGGGTGGTGATGTCGCGCAGCCCCCGACCACCCCCCGCCGGTCTTGCTTCCGGGGTTGTCTGCAAAGAAGCCTCCACCCGAGGCGCAAGGTAGGCCCGGGCGCAAGGCGGTGCGACGAGGACCGGGCCTACAGTTTCCTGGTTGTTTCACCGAGGGGGGGCGACCCAGCTTTGCGTCGGGGTTTCGTCACGGGCGGCCCGGAGGCCGATTTTCATTTCTCCTTGCCTCATTGCCATCTTCTGCTTTTTACGCCTTCCACCCTCACTTTCATTTTTCAAAATTGCCGAAAAATTGCCGGGGAATTAGCGCGTTAGGTGGCCCGGGTCCGGACGCCTGATGGCCCGCCCATGAGTTCGGCGCGGACACTTATAAGCTCCCCCCGGTCCGTGATTGGCCGAAGATGAACCGCACGAGGCGCGCGCTGTATCTGGATGAGTGCCTAGGGTTGTCGAAAGGGCAGGAAGCAAAGCAGGACGAAGGAAGTGCTGAAGTACTGGGCGCCCCCTCGCGAGATGAGGGCAAAGGGGGGGAAGTCGCGGACCATGCAGGTTCGGACAGGCAAGGCGCGGGCTCGGGTGTGGACAGCCAGACAGACCCGAAGGTGGGTCGCGGGTCCGCAGTTGCCGACCCATTGCGCAAGTTCCACATGGGGGCCGACTGCCTCGCGTTATCCCGAGTCATCGGTAAGGATTTGGTGAAATTAAACAGACACGACGCTGCAGCCCAAGCGTCGTTTGGGCGGACCTGTAGAGGGGGTGATGCTGCGGGCGCTCCCCAGATAGAGCATGTGGCTTCCTCGTCCTCGTCTATAGCGCACAAGAGGCGCGACCAACTTACGAGAAGGAAGCGCGCAAGATTTCAGGTGAGGGGCCCAACGGGCACAAGGGACAGCTCGAACGAGTTGGCATGGGGGGGCTTTAGCGCAAGTGCCGACGGAGACCAGGAGAGGGGGGGAAGCACTAGCAGCGAAGCTCAGGCGTTGTCTCCGGATCAAATTGCCCAGCACCCAAGCCGAAAGAAGCGTCTGGAGGGGTGTCACCCGCCTCGGCGGCCCCCTGATGGTCAGGGGCGGAGGGCTGATGCATCAGTGAGCGGGGGCGTCACTGCATTAGGGGGCGAAGGGCAGGCAGTTAGCGCCCAGCACGTTGATCCCTGCAGCGAGCAGGGAAGCCATGAGCGGGACACCCAGCGGGGAGTCGCTAAAGCGGCGCCTCCTCTCGCAAAGGAGTCCGGCACGGGGCAGCTGCCAGCGCAACCGAAAGGGCAAAAGAACATGGGGGAGGTGGCTATGGTCGAGCAGAAGCGCGACTGACTCTGTAGAATCGGCAAACAAGCAGGCTAAACCTTTTGGCGAGCTCTCCGGGGTAGAGATGGGAAAGTTCCAGAGACTACTGGATGTTGTCCATCTGATGGGGCCAGCCCGCGGCGGGGATCATCAAGAAACGAGGGGGGATAGGCTGGAGTGCGAACAGCTTCCACCCAGGAGCCGGGGCGAGATGTTGCGAAGAGTTACAGGCAGGAAGAGGGAGGGTTTCGAGTAGAGTACATATTCGGCGTCTAGCTGCGTCAGTGCCTGCGCTAGGCAGGAGCAACATTTTGAACCACTGAAATCCTACACACTCAGACAGCAAGCCACGTCGAAACGCTCGGACTTTTCTTTTCTTCGTGAGCAGTCACGTCAAAACGCTCAGACTTTTCGTCTCGTCATGAACAGACCGGAACGGAAGAACGAAAAACAAAAGCAGAAGGGTAACACTAGCGGGCACTCCAGCCCCAGCTCGTTGCTACCTAAGTAGTCGGGTTTGGCAGGCTCAGTCGCGAGACCTTGCGTGCCTTCGGCGGATGATTCAGTGCCAGCTGGTCTTCGCGTGTTCTGCAACAAAAGCAAAGTGGTCGGTACGAGATGGAGCAACGAATCGCGCGGGGTCAGTGGGTATGAAGGGGATTGCCGGCCACCCTTAATGTAGGCCCTAAAAAATCCATCTCTACGCCCATCTTTTCAAAATTTGCCCTATCGGTTTGCCGCCATTTTGTTGCATTCCAATACAGAAAGCCTCTCGAGCAGCTCGACCGCCGATCCTGGCTGGCCATATTGCCTGACAGATTTTCCGGGTCTTGTTTTTCTTTTTGCAGCTTGGTGGAGGATTGTGGTAGGAGTTGCGAGGCCAACTAGTCATGCACATCTCCGCGACATGCAGAAACAAGAACAAAACCGGGAGAATGCATTCACTCGGCCGAGAAAGAAGCTGAAAAGATTCAGCCACGCAGAGTGCTCATCTTTTCAACTTTGCAAGCTATCAAATTTTGAAAAGATGCTCTTTCTGCATCTTTTCAAATTTTGATAAGTGGCTGCTCACTTTCCAAATTTTGAAAAGATGCTGAAGGAAACATCTTTTCAAAATTTGACAACCCGAACAACGGAAATATCAAATTTTGAAAAGATGCTCTTTCTGCATCTTTTCAAATTTTGATAAGTGGCTGCTCACTTTCCGAATTTTGAAAAGATGCTGAAGGAAACATCTTTTCAAATTTTGATAAGTGGCTGCTCACTTTCCGAATTTTGAAAAGATGCTGAAGGAAACATCTTTTCAAAATTCGACAACCCGAAAAACGCAAATATCAAATTTTGAAAAGATGCTCTTTCTGCATCTTTTCAAATTTTGATACGTGGCTGCTCACTTTCCAAATTTTGACAAGATGCTGAAGGAGACATCTTTTCAAAATTTGACAACCCGAACAACGCTAATATCAAATTTTGAAAAGATGCTGCTTCTGCATCTTTTCAAATTTTGATAGGTGGCTGCTCACTCTCCAAATTTTGAAAAGATGCTGAAGGAGACATCTTTTCAAAATTCGACAACCCGAACAACGCAAATATCAAATTTTGAAAGGATGCTCTTTCTGCATCTTTTCAAATTTTGATACGTGGCTGCTCACTTTCCAAATTTTGAAAAGATGCTGAAGGAGACATCTTTTCAAAATTTGACAACTCGAACAACGCAAATATCAAATTTTGAAAAGATGCTTTTTCTGCATCTTTTCAAATTTTGATGAGTGGCTTCTCACTTTCCAAATTTTGAAAAGATGCTGAAGGAAACATCTTTTCAAAATTTGACAACCCGAACAACGCAAATATCAAATTTTGAAAAGATGCTCTTTCTGCATCTTTTCAAATTTTGATAGGTGGCTGCTCACTCTCCAAATTTTGAAAAGATGTTGAAGGAGACATCTTTTCAAAATTTGACAACCCGAACAACGCAAGTATCAAATTTTGAAAAGATGCTCTTTCGGCATCTTTTCAAATTTTGATAGGTGGCTGCACACTTTCCAAATTTTGAAAAGATGTTGAAGGAGACATCTTTTCAAAATTTGACAACCCGAACGGCGCAAATATCAAATTTTGAAAAGATGCTCTTTCTGCATCTTTTCAAATTTTGATAGGTGGCTGCTCACTCTCCAAATTTTGAAAAGATGCTGAAGGAGACATCTTTTCAAAATTTGACAACCTCAACAACGCAAGCACTTGCTTTGTTGAGGTTGTCAAAATTTGAAAAGATGTTTCCTTCAGCATCTTTTCAAAATTTGACAACCTTTTTGACAACCCCTTCGATGAGGTTAAAAAAGAGCTCATTAACTTGAGCTATTCCCCACGGTATGGCGGATTTTGATAAACCTTTTTGGCAACCCCTTTGATGAACCTAGACAGAGAATTGCTGACGAGAGTTCAAGGCTTTAACTTGCGCTCCAGCTGGCGGGTCGCCAGATGGTAAGCAAAGCCGTGCCTCTGGCGACACCTGTTTGCTTGCCTCTTTTGTGGCTCCGAAGATTGCGAAGATGCCCCCTCAGCAAGTTTGCGAATTTTGAAAGGCACGCAGAAGGGCAGGCTGCTCACCCTTTCCGCGGCTGTCGAAATTTGAAAAGATGCGCTGGTAGCATCTTTTCAAATTTTGGAAGCCACAGAAGACTGAGCTGGCCTCCCTTTGCGTGGTTTCCCAAATTTGAAAGGATGCTCCCTCGGCATCTTTTCAAATCCTGAAAACCAGCCAGCTGCCCTCCTCAACTGCGGCATGTCAAATTTGAAAAGATGCCCCTTCAGCATCTTTTCGAATCTTGGCAACCTCAGGACAGAAAACGGATCGGCTCTTCTGCGGCTTCGAAGATTGAAAAGATGCTTCTTGAGCATCTTTTCAAATTTTGAAAACCACAGACGAGTAAGCCGACCCCGTCTTCTGCGGCTTCAAAAATTGAAAAGATGCTCCTTCAGCATCTTTTCAAATTTTGAAAAGCACAGAAGAGCAGGCGACCCTCCTCTTTAGCGCCTTTTGAAATTCGAAGAGATGTTCCTTCAGCATCTTTTCAAATCCTGGAAACCACAGAAGAGTAAACTGCTCGGGTCTCTTGTGGCTTCGTTATGGAAAAGATGCTCCATACAGCCCCGGGCCTCGGGGCAGAAATAGAACAGCCCGGCTTGGCGCGTTTGCAAAGGCGGACGCGCAGCCGCCATCGAAGAGGCGCTGCGCGATAATCGGCGAGGGCGCCGAGCAATGAACTGGCCAAAATTTGAAAAGATGGGCGAAAAGGTGGAAATTTTAGGGCCTTCACTTAAGTGGTAAGCTCCGAGACGATTCCGGTTTACGATCCCAGTCCCCCCGCCCACCCTTTGCTTCTGTTGCAGAATAAGTCAAGCTGAGTCACTACGGCCGCCACGCACAAACTAAGCCTTTAAGTTGTCGCTGTGCCCCAGGTGGGTTGCCAGTCAGCAGTGCCAAACAACTGGTCTATGGTTTGACAACTGTGGCCCGCTCGCTTGCCTTTTTCGTCCGTGCCGCAGGTAAGGCGCAAACGGTCCAGCCTCCCCTGTCCGGGCGGGGTTGCGGCTTAGGGGAGAGTGTCGCCCCTTAACCCAAAGGGGTGCGTCGTCTCTTCCGTGATAGCAAAAACGTATGGCGTAAAATGGGGCGGGTCCTGGATCATTCTGTATGTTGGGCTGTCGCGCCCGGCTTGCTGGCCGGGCTGTACTGATCAGGTGTGGTGGGTAGCTCCCGACTGGTTGGCACTTTTCTTGGGGCGACTTGCCGTGGTAGCGCTCGGCTTTTGTATGATGAGGTCGCCGAAAGTGCTTCCTCGCCCACCCCCCGGGGAGGGGATCCTTGACCTGTGGCGCTGGGAGCGGGTGTCCACTACATGATGATGATGATTCTCAACTGTTGACGATGACGACAAGCCTGGATCAACTCCATTTCCGATCTGAAGTTGTCATTAGAAGTTGCGGTTTTATTTTTGTACCTATGTATATAAAAAAAAAAAAATTGTCAATGTCATGCAAAATTCCAACCAAAATCGACACGACGATCAAGCTGCTCCGCATGACAAATCCTCGAAAGGCCAAACAGGCTGAGAATCTGTGCCAAGTCTGTCATGCAAGACGCGCAAAGCCAAAGTCAGCCCAGCCCTTCACTTTTGCCATTCGTGCACCACAGATTCATGCGCGTGCATCACAGATTCACGACCTGGTGGCCGAATCATGTGCGGTAAGGTGTCCTTACGGGTTGTGTAGCGGTTTCGGTCGGCTTAGCATCACAGATTCATGTAACAGTTGAGAATGCAACAGCTGAGAGCGCCATAGAGAAGTGGCGCAGGAGAGCAATTCAGGCGTCGCAAATAACGTGACGCTAGAGAAGCAGCAGGTGTTGGATAAGCGGTCCCTCGCAACCTTGGCAGACGCGCGCACGCAGAGCATGCTGCGCTCGCGTGCCACCCTGTCCGAAAGCAGCTTTGGCAGCCGGAGAAGCAGCTTTTCCACGTTGACGGCAATTGATTACATGCACGTCCACGTTTCGGCGGACCCCGTTCGTGAGGCGAAAGTAGTCACGCTGCTCCTCCTGTATGAATTTGGAAAAGCGCACCAGTGCTTTCAGGAGGTTTTTGCAGGAGGGCCGAGCTACAAGAGTGCAGCCAGCAGACATGGAAAGATGAACAAAGACGCGCAAGGCCGCGGTATTGATACCAGGGGGAACAAGGATCATCGGCTGTTCACTGCCGGCAGCGTGCCGCTGTTTTCCACCAATCAGAAGGGACTCTTTTTACGAAAAGTGGAATGCGCCGTTCGCTTCCCACCATTGTTCCACCTCATGGGCCTACAGCAAGCGCTGTCTAACTTTACGGTGAACCACCTTCAGCGAAAGCTTTACCACTCAACCAGTCCTCTCGCGCCCTTTCCGCTCTTTGTGTTTCCGGAGGTCGCACGCGTGGCGCAATCCCGCAATACGACGCTTCTCCGGAAGCACCGGGTGGCGCAACTCTTCGGCGAGTACCTCCCCCAGCATAGCTTCTTCCAGAACACCAAGGCCGACCAGAAAACCCGCATTGTCTCCACCATTATTCCCTGTGGCGGCGGCCCACCGGACCCCCGAGTGCGCCCCACACTGCGCAGCGAGCCGATGCAACCCACGGACGCCTTAGCCTTCTCAGCAGTTGTGCTCTCTTCAGCCTCCGCCGCCTCACGGCGTTTCGGTCTTCTATCGAACAGACTTCCAGCCTCCTACGAGCAGAGGCCGTTCTTCGCGGGTGTTGGAACCCCGCCCGAGCCGGGAGGTGGACCGCCACCGAGGTCCTCCTCTTTTCTCGTCCAAGATCGTTCGACGTTTTCAATACTGACCAGTAGCAGCAATTTGTACGGTTCCTACGTCTCCTCCGTTTCGGAGTGCATGTCTCCACATTCTGAAGAAGCAGCTGGAGCTGGACTGCAAATGAGCGGGACTGATGCAGTCAGGGCGATTTCGTCAGAGGATCCGCGTTTTTTCAATGCGATTTGCTGTCTTTACCCCGCGATCCACCGCACAACGCTGACAGCCTGGTGCGCCACGAGCGTGTTGTTGAAGGCAACATTGGCAGAGGAGTATGCGCAGCGGCGGCAAAGACGCGAGCAGCGGCAACAGCGGCGGCAATCCCGGCTACTGGCACGGCGTCAGCGTGCAGAACAGATGGCGCGAGCGGAGCAGCTTCGCCACTTCGAGGCTGTTGGAGAATGTCAGCTAGCACCTCGGGCGGATATCCTCTACAAAAGTATCGCTCTCGTTCCCATTGCATTTGCAATGCTGCGCGAGTACAGTTGTTGCTTCTTCGTTTTCATCGCTAAATAGCATCAGATTGCATACTTTTTTTTATTTTTTCTGGAAAAAATTAAAATTGAATTTCAAATTCAAATAGATAATGCACCAGAAATTTGATTTTGTACTGGGGATGCGATACTCATACTTTTGCAATGCATACCGGACTACGTCGCTGATGGTGCACCCCCATCGCAATTCCTGAATGGCGCTCTCCTTCCAGAGGCGGGAGTATCGAATGGAAATGGTGCATCTTCATCTTCCTGCGAAAAGCATCAGGGTCATGGACAAACGCTACAACAGCAACACCATAGGCCTGTCGCCGGCGGTGTCATCAAGATCAAGTCCGCCGTGAGTATAACATCAAGAGGAAATGAGGTCGGTGAAGATTGCGGAAAGGAGCGCACAGAGAATAGGGATCTTGTCGGGCGCAGAGAAGGAGACTTGTTGGATTTTGCGTCCTCCGCTCATGCGCAGAAAGGAAATCAAAATTCAGATTCTCTCCCTTTGGCTTTGGCGAAAGTCGTGCTTCAAAACAAAGAAAAAGTGTGCACTAGAAGTGCTAATGAGCGCGAGCCGCATTGCAATATTAAACAGGATGCCTTTATTACTTCGCCAAGAACCTGCCAGGGTCTTGGTCATGCACCAGCTGGGTCGGACTCGGACGTGGACGGGTTCAGTCAAGCGGCAAGAGGCATTCCAAATGGTCTGGTCCAAACATTGGAGACGGCACCAAGATACAGTGAACACCGTTCGACAGACGCGCTTGATGTAGTTCCGACGCGGAATCGAGGACGTGGCGGACCAAGCGTTATGCAAAACGTAAGTCTCGTGGATGCTACTTTCGGTGGCCGGGATCAGGTCGCGGAGGTTGAAACCCAAGACGAACAAGCCATCGACAGTGACTACTCGGACTCATCTTCCGAAACAGATGCTGATGAAGAGCAGAACGAATTCTACTACGAGCTTGGGATTGCACCCCCGCTCTGTGCCGTACCGGGCGTTAAAGCGAGCCAAACCGCGCATCTTGGTTTTGCAGCAGGCAACGCGAACAAGAGCCTTGGGCGGGCCAGCGGGGTCTTGCACGCGGGTCCAGCCCACATGCCACTATCAGTTTTGGGATCAAGTAAAGGTTTAACCTTAGCATCCGACTCCGGTACTGTAGCTCGAACCAATTTAAGTGCATCTTCTTCGCCCACTTCCGCTGCAGCATTCGTGCTGCACCCTGGTAGTGCAACAGCCTCACAAATGCTTGGCACTCCTGCTTCGTCTACATCTCAGCTCTCTTCGTCTAGAGGAGTTGCTCAACTCGAAATGCACAATCCTCGGGAGCTAGGTCGGGCCGTCATCGCAACCGGATCCGCTCTGGTGCGGGACGCTATTGATCAAACAGCAACAATGTTCATTTCCGGTAGTGCTGCGCTGCCGCATTCGATTCCAGAGCGGTTTTTCTTGAATGATCAGCATGGGATCGATGCTTTTGGCGCAGGATCGCTTCATGAACCCTCCGCGTCTCGTCACCTCACTGCAGTTCAAAGAAGTGCCACAAATCTTTTTACGGACGATCATCCCCAGCACGCTATCGGTAGCAATGCAGCAGCAGCTGATGTTGCTGTTTCAATAAATCAAAATCCAACCCTTGTCGTACAAGAACAAGAAGAACGTGAGGGCCGCGGAAGTTCTGATCCGCTTGGAGAAAATTTTCTGGACACCGAACCTAGCTTCGAGTACGTGTCTCTAAAAACACCGTCGAGGCGCAGCACAATCACCGGACGAACTACTGGCACGTTTTGTCGGAGCCGACCAATCTTGGAAAACAACATCTTGACACCGCGGGGTGGATCTCTACTTTCTTTATCAACCTTGCAGCAGCACCATGTAGGAGGCTCAGCGCATGCGCAGACGCAGCAACACCAGGCGGCGGCGCTGCTGGGTGCAGAGCATTTTCCTTTTCGTGGGGACCCACCGCATCGTCATCCTGTACCTCCTGGTAGCAATCTTTTTAGAAGTGCGGCTGCGGCATCTGCAACTCCATCTGCAGCCAGCAACGCACTTCGTGGCGACCAGATCTTTAATTTTTCGCAAGCTCCTCCTGGTTCTTTGGGTTCTTTGGCCGACCAAGTACTCTCCACTGCAAAATTGTCTAGGTCTGGAACGGTGGAGCGTGTCATCCTTGTATTGCATGACGAGCAGAATAAACACATCTTCATCTTGATCTTTCTTTGTGAGGAAATAAATACGCAGTTTGTACGGCGTACTACTCGATGAGTACGGGTACGAGACGGGGTGGTCTTCAAAATTGATTGTCATGCTTGGCTCCGCCTGGAACTCGAACTGGTACTGGATGTGCGTCGTGTGATTTTGATTAATTCTGATTCAGGCATCCATACTTGAGCATCACAAGTCTCCAGACCCAGACATATTTACAATCCATACCAACTTTTCGGTGGAAATTCTTCGAGCAGCGCGAGTGCAGGAATGACGGATCGGTCTCAACTATCGGGAGAGACGTTGGCGTGCGTGGAAGTAGAGTCGCTTCAACAGCAGCAGGAGCAGCTCCCCCTTGCCGATCAAATACTGCACTACTCTCGTCGCGGAAAGAGGAAGACCACAAGCAAGTCGACCCACAGTTACGAGGCGCAGATGCAGCGAGCGCTGCAGGAGCAGCAGCTTGTAGTGTCGACCTTCGCGCGGGCTGGAATGACGATCGACGCCAGCCGGCTATGCGTGGGCTGTTTTCCGTCTAAGTTCGGTAAGGTTGCCCTATTCTCGCAAAGCAGCCTGTGGCCCGACCGCGATTTTCACCACATGCGAGGCAGCCCAGCGGGGCTGCCGTTCGCGGTGCCGCGGTTGGTATCGCTTCCCTTTCTCACGACGGCGGCGAAGGAGCGCATGCTGCCACGGCAGGGGTTTCGCTTCTTACTGCTTCTGCATGAGTCGTACCGATTGAGTCTTTTGCCGCTGCTAGTGCGGGAGAACCGGCTTGTGGCCACCTGCTACTACGTCGTCGAGAATCGCATTTCGTGCCAGCTCTTCGTGGAAATTCTCGGTCAGCACTGCCTGCAGACAAACCAGCTCTCGCAGCTGCTAAACTTTTTCCTACGGTCAGGTGCCGGAGAAGAGCACGATGAGGCCGTGGAGGATACCAGAAATTTGTTGAACGAGTGCGCCGACTACGCCCGTTCGCAGTCGAGAAAGGCATCGGTCCAGCTAAATAAACAAACTCGGCAGAATATGAATTCATCGAATACAACCGATGCACGCTCGCGCCTACCGGCCGCCACTTTGACAAATAGTAGCGCTGTACGCGGCGCACGCGCAGCTGGTGCGGGTACGTGTGCATCAGCTTCACGTTTAAGTATACAATCGTCCGGAGGCAAAAAAGCAGTAGCTTGTTCAGCTTCGAAATCTACGACAGGCACAGGAGCTCGTTGTTTGGCCCACCATGCAATTATTAGCGGCGCGACGAGGACCCCGAGTTCCGGGTCTCTCCCTCGCAATGAGGTCGCGCTATACTTGGACGAATTGAAGGAATTCTTGCGGGAACGGCGCGCACTGGATTTACTATACAAGTACTGTTATGCAAATGCAAGACAGGAGAAGTATTGTGCTGTACAAGAAGGACAGCTATGCATCAAATGGAAATGCTTTAATATGCTTGTGCTAAAAGAAGGACAAAACAAACCCGAGTACGTGTACTAGCAAAGAGCGGCCGACCGTACTAGGTTTTGGTTTTCCTTGCCAGAACGTCGACCGCGAGGACCGCCTGAACAACACACAGAAAAAATGAAAGGAAAGAAAACGAGCCAGTACCACCAGCTAGCACCGAAGTTTCTCTTTCTCGGTGTGTGTGAATATAGTACAAAGATGAGTTAGAAATGAAATACTAAAACTTCAAAAAAGCGGAGCAGAGCAAGACTCTTTCACTGTGCGTATGGAGCAAGCCAACGCTCTCGAGGTCCGCGGGCCGAAAGAGGAGTGCCGCGGACCAGATGAGGAAGTCCTCGGTGCTGAGGAGGAGATCTGCTGGACGCAGGAGCCTGTCCGCAGGGCGGAGGTGGGTCCGGGGCCGAAGGCGGAGGTGGTGGGTCCCCGGACTGAAGATAGTGCAGCAATCAGGGGCGGAGGTTCGGGGGTGGAGGAAGGAGGTCCCCGGGCCGGCGGAGCAGGGGATTCAAGCAAGAAAAGAAGGCCGTGCCCGGCGAAGGGGGAGGAGGAGGCTGGGACGCGGGTTGCCAGTGTCATACTTTCCTTTCTTTCACTTTTGGCAGGCCGTTGCGCATGCGCTCGCGTACTCGGGGGGCGCAGCACGCACTTGCCCGTTGGCGTTGGCATGCAAAACGTCGCAAACGCAAGGCGGGCGAGGGCGTCCACTAGATGATGATGATGATCCATTGGCAATGGATCTGGTAGCACGAGTGCGACACTTCTCTTGGGTGGATAGCTGCGTCTTCACTGGAGATCATGTGAATGCAGGGCTGCTTTCAGTTCACCTGTTCATCATAAGCCAGTCGTGGGACTCACGGCTCGGGCATTTGCAGGATGCCCAAGCGCAGCTGCAGCAAGCACTCGACTTGTTTCTATTGCTTGAGCAACGGTCCTTGACAGGAGAAGGCGGTGGGGCTTTGCCGCACAGAGCCAGCACGGGCGCGCTACACGAGAAAAAAGACGGCATGATCGGTGGAAGTCTTTTTGACATTAAGCAGACCGCCTCGGCGGTGTTACCTAGCGCAGCAACATCGAAGCTCACAAACGACCAGCTACACGGTGGAGAAAAACACAATTATCCATTCGTGCACGCCTCGAAGGGAAAGCTATCAGTGGTAGGCGCGCCGCGGAGTCACCACAATGCTGCAGGTTTGCACTTTCTGTCCTCACACAGGCACGCCGCTGGGAGTCACCTTCCCGTGCCAGACGACGGTTCGCCGACAGTTCGCCTGTCGCAAAGTAAAAATGGTTTCAAGAAAGAAAATCACAAATCCGTGACTGGACCAACAGGAATTTCAAGCAATCCGTTGTTACAACTGCGCACGGTGGATCTTCTAACTGGCAAAGAAGTGAGTGCACAAGAGATTGAACGGTTTCTCCGACTAGTGCAGTTCCAGACCTTGGTATGCGAAGTGATTCCTCGTGATCGGGCCCACCTATTTGACACGACGCTTTGGGATGGAGTCCACCAGAAGCGACAGAAAATGTCGCAGTTGGCCTTACTGCATCTTTCCAACGCCACGATCTCCCGGAGATGCGAGGTAGCCGAGAAGCTTCTGATATCGGCCCATTTCCAACTTGCAGAACGCATCATGGAATTTTTGCAACTCCCAGTGGTGGAAATTTGCGTCCGTGCCAGTAACGAGCTCGCCACCACGGAAGCGCGCAAAGCGCGCTGTCAAGTGTCTCCGTTGCTCCGGTTTTTGGAGTCCGCAAAGAAGTGCCTCGATCACCAAAAGTGGGACCAGCAGGAGTGGGATAGCTTAGTGTCCAACATGGTGAACATCTGGATTCACGAGCGAAAGCAGTTTCCCGACGCAGGAGCGGACGCCGAGAAGCTGATTCGGTTTATGAAAGACAAGCGCTGCAAGTTGGATGCCTTCGTGCTGCTAGGGCATTTGGAGAATGCCTTTCAGATCGCCCGCAAGTTGGGGTCCCTAGAAGAAATTGTATACTTGAAAAAGCAGGCCCAACAGCACAAAAACTACCATCCGGACCTTTTGAAACAAATCAACGCCTATATCACCTATAATGCGAGGTAGAGAACAAGAACGAGTACGAGAAAATGTGTCGAGTAGTACTCAAAAACTTAAACTACAACTAGATGAACAAGCAGGGTCACATGGACGTGAAAAGAATTGTGACATGCGTTACCTTGTTGTTGTTCGAGTTCGCTACAGTCGCCAGTATCGCCTTTCACAGTCGAATTCATAATTTACCGCCCCGGTCATTAATCGGTGACTAGGAATGTACGCTTCGCAACCGTAATGAGGCTCAGGGTGTCAACCGCAGCTTGCTGATACTCGGCAGAGGACAACAAGCGTAAACGATAAACAACATCATGAACGATTTATTATCAATGTCTATCTGCCATCGCGAGATCATCAGCGTGTGACCCGGAGCAGACTCTGTCTGCGTTCACTCGTTCATCTGGGACCGTTCGGAAATCTAAAAAATTGAACGCATAATTTTCTTGCAGTTGCGGATCTTTTCTGCATTTGCGCACGTGTTTCCGCTGAGATATTTGCGCTCGTTTCTTGGCCCCTGTGGGCAGCGTGCGGCTTGATTCTCGTGACTCAGGCGGTTTATCTTTTGCGATTCGCGCACGTCGGGATCGGGAAGATGCGCAATGCTACTCGTGCCCGGCGATCGGGGGCCGGCCGCGAAATTTCAATTGGCACGCAGCGCGCGCTTTGGCCATTTGCTTTGAAAGGGCGCGCGCGTCTTCTCGTGCTCTGCCTCCGTCCGGGGCCGGGAAAAAACTGCGCGCTTATTTCGGCGCCATCTTTATTGGGAGCGGTGCTGGTGTGTGCGTGTTTCTTAATTATCGCTCAGCGACCGGAAAAAAATTTGGCGCGCTGCGCACGCACATGTGCCCGGGTTTGGGGAGTTGTGACGCCCTTTTCTTGTCCGGCAATCGGGGGCCGGCCGAGAAAAAAGCTTTAAGTTACTTTGTTCGGTCGCGCGCTGTGCGAGCGCAAACGCCCCGACCCGAGGGTGCGTCAACTTGCTTATTTTCTTTCGCATCTGGCGCCGCCGATCGGGGGCCGGCCGAAAAGCAAGCTCTCCCTTTCGCTGCGTGCGCGCAGGCCCTTTGTCCGGGCAGGCGCGGGCGCCTTTTTTTTCATGTCCTGTAGCCGCAGGCGGGCCGAGAAAATTTTTTCGCGCACTACAGCGCGCGCGCAACCGCTGAGGCCGGAGGGCGCAGAAAATTTTTTTCGTGTCGGACAGTCGAGGGCCCGCCGGAAAAAAATTATTGGCACGCTGCGCGCGCGCGGACGCCTTGGCGACAGAGCGCGGAGTGTTTGCTTCTTGTCGAGCAATCGTGGGCGTGCCGGAAGAAAAATTCTCGCCGCGTGCCGCGGCGCGTGGCCAGCACATAGGACCTTGAATATACTCGAAACATAGGATAGTCCATCGTCGTTCGGTTTTTCAAATTGTTGCTTTTAGCAGGGTATCCAGATCCACGAAAAAATCCTCCTCCTCGACTTGAGCAACAGCCAAACCCTAAACCCAGCAAAAAGCTGAGCCCATTAAATTCACTTCGACCATGTCGACGTCCGTGTCGTTGTCGCTCTCGTCCGGTGTAATTTCTAGCGCTCACGGACAAGAGACAGGGCCTTTGGAAGCTTAGCGCGTAGATTTGGGTTTCTTAGATCAAGATCTCAGGAAGAGGGGCAGGTTTTTGTAGCCGTCAGGGCAGTGCCTCTCTGTCAGCGTTTCTGGTTGCGCAGCACGATATGTTGAGCTACAACCCGCTGTCCGTAAAGATTCTCTTGCATCTTCTACTAACGATCCTATCTGTTTCGCAGCTTCAAATTATTTCACTTCGGTGTTCGTCATATTGATGCGTTTGCCTAGGTGTGCCACTTACTTCTTCCCGTTTTGTCGGTCGTCCGGAATAGAAATTTATCTGCCCTAATTCTGTTGCTGTTCCTGTGTTGTCGTCAAACAGCGCAGCAACCACGTAGAAGATCATAGCTTAGAAAAACAAAGAAGACGCCAATCGTGACACGACTTTGTTTCTGTTGTGCTGGACGCAGAACAAGAAGTCGGTGATCGCTCCATCTTACCTTTTTTTCGGTTAGTGCCTTTAAGCTTTTTAGTTTTACAACTTGCTAATCGTTCGTATTTTTCGTACACCTGGTGGTCGTGCAACACAAGAATCGTGCGGGCCGTCCTTCGGAGAGGTAGAAGCTATGAACCCTCAAGCTCAACATGAAACTGAAAGCAAAAAAAAAATACTTAGAATAGCCTATTGTGGTCGTTTTCGTTGCGCCTGAAATAAATCATCTGGAGCATCAACGTCTCTTTCTCTATAGTATTGATTTTGTTTATGCTTTTCAATTTCATTCTTCCAGGCGCTCGCTGCGTGCTGATGCTTCACTGACTAATTCCATTGTCCCCAGCGCAGTGATTTTGTATTCCCCTTTTGTAGAAGACGTTGATGCAGCCCTAGCTTTTGTTTACTCAAAGTGTAATCCTGCTGATTGACTTACATACACCAACGTTGTCCTTGTTGTAGCAGCTCGAGCACGTAGTTATTTTCTCTTCAAATGTATATGTATTGACTGTTAGTTGTTTTTTTACCATTTTTGATCTTCAACGACAAGGTACGTCGCTAACCAACACTTGTAGTGAGCATTGATTGGCTTTGCCTTTGCATACGTGTATGGTTCCCGGGACGGAAGGCGGCCCCTCCTCAGGGGGCCCCAGTGAAGCAATCATGTCTACCGGATTCGGAAGCCATAGTTATAACGCCCACAGCCACGGCCAACAGCTGCGTGGGCCTGGTGAGGAGCTCCCTCTCTTGAAAGACTGGACCCAGCAGATGGAACAAGCCCGGGTATGGCGCATTCTGAAGGCAAAAATGCTTACGCCCTGGCGCAGTCAGGGGTATTGCCGGGCACTTTGTGCGTTTTACGTGTCTCTCATTGCGTACCTAGTCACCGTCAGCTACGTCATGTCCACTCGCTTGCAGCAGCATCCGGTTCCCAGTCGCAATTGGGGTTGCCACTACATCCACCAACTACCCAGCGCTTTCCTGAGAATATTCCGTAAGGCTTGTTTCTTCATGTTATGAAAAGTTTCATCGAACAGCATCGCAAATAAAAATATCCCTTTATTTACTAGCTCGAGCTCATTTCGTTGATGTTCAAGATTTTGAGAAACTGATGTGCACCAACTGCAATCGGAATCACCGACTTTCTTGTGCGAGGGGAATCGTTCCGGTGTTTTTTCTTTGTGAAGCCGCAGAAGAGGTATATTGATGGCGATATCATCTGGTCGTGAAGGAACTTCATGAAAATAAAATTAAAAACTTTCTACAGTGGTTCCGATTCCGCTGGCTTCCTTGTTGTTTGGAATCGGTGTGCTGCGGTACCCGTTGACCACCTGGATGAATGCGCTGGTATGTTTCTGCCACGCGTTCTGCGGACTCTGCATTGCGTTCATCTTCATTGTGGACGAGCTACCCGGGTTCGAGGCGCCACTAGACTCCTATGGCTTTCGTAGCTACACGCCCTTTCACTTCGTTCCTGCCACCGTTGGTTATTGTTTCGTCGAGGCCGGTCGAGACATCGCTTGTCTAGTTGCGATCGCTGACGCCGTGGTAGTTACTATGACCTACAAGCAGTGGCGGAAAAGCACGGTATATTAAATGGCGACTCAGACTTTTTTGTGTCGCTGGTCGGATTATGTCTTTTAGAGTGAGAGAATTACACCGGGTACAACTTCAACTTGTGGTTGTGTTCTTTTCTTTATGTCGCTGCGGCTGCTGGTCACAAGATCCAAAACCGATGATGATCGGAGCGCGTCCGCGTGGCGCACCACCTTGAGCAGGTCGTGTGCACTCCTTCGGATTGCATTTCTGAGGGCGTGGCTTGTTCACAGGGATCTGCAAACGTAAAGTGGCCGTCGCGGTCACCAAAATCACTGCCTTTAGATGTTCTCGCAACTTGAGCATGATGACGGTGATGAAGCTGAAGAATGAAATGGACAATACGAATACAAATAACCTGAAATAGAAATACATTTATTTCTAATGTATTTTTCCACCAGAACGGTACGCGCTGAGGCCCAGAAATATTCGTAGTAGCATCGTGATTTGGGTCAAACCTTGCGTATATACCCGGGCGTGGTGCCCTCGTGGAACAGCTTTTTTGACGCTGTGCAAATATAAGGACTTTATTGGCCTACGCGCGCCATACCATGCGGGTTGGCTCTTCGGAGTCTTCTGGTTTTTGCTTTTGTCTTTTAGGCACGTCTTTCCGGGATCCCGGGATTTTCGGGATCCCGGGATTTCTCGCGAAACTGGTGAAAAAGTGGAAAAGTTGCGTTGTTTTGACAGCGAATCACGATGGTAGGCCCTCTTTTTCACGAGCTTTTTCACCGTGAAAAAAATCGTGAAAAAGCGCACCAATTGCGTCGCGAATCGTGATGCTACGGGCCTGTTTCCGGAGTTGGTTTTTCCTGGTTTTCCGCGATATTTCGCGAAAGCCGCGCAGCCAAATCACGACGGCAGGGCCCTTTTTTCACGATGTGTCTCACCGTGACACAAATCGGAGAAAGCGTTGCGCATCTATCTCGAACCGCGATGGTATGCGCCGGCTTCCGGAGTTGGTTTGCGTGGTTTGTCGCGATCGCCGCGTTTGTGAGTCTCGACGGGGCGATCGCGACGGTGTGGCCCGTGTTTCACGGAGCGCCCCCCCTTGCGACGCTTCTCGCCAGGCTTGTGGGCGGTGTCGCGGGGACCCAATCACGAACGTGACCGCGCACCGCGGCACATGTGGGCAGTATTTGTATTAATTTCCGTTGCGCGCCCGGGCGCGTGTCTATTTTTCCCTTGCCGACCCCTGCCGGCGCCCGCGTGTCAGAATCCGCACGCCCTACCAGCGCGCGGCCAGACGACATACGGCTCCGACGGCTCGGCGCACTGCGTGCCCTGGCGCATGTGGGCGCCAGCGCTTGGGGGCAATATTTCCCCGTGCGTGATGAGGGCAGTATTCCCCGCCACACTTCTTGGCTTTGCCTGTCGCGCGTTATGTGTCTTCGGTTCTTGCTTGCGCATTCGCCTCACGCTTCATGTCTGCCTGGTTTGGTTGGTTGCTGGTTGTCAATACGCCCGAACGACAACGATGCACCAGAACGACAACGCGCGACCCCGCCGCGAGTTGTCGCTCTGGGGTATTGAGAGCCAACCCGCATTCACAGCCAACCCACAACCAGCACCGCCGCCGCGAACTCCCTCGGCACGCCCGCCCGCGTATCGCGGCCGCGCTGGCTGCCGGGAATGTGATGGCGCGCGCGGGCAGCATTTCGGCTGCCCCTCTCTTTCCCTTCGGCCCGCGCCGAAGCACTACGGCTGGGGACGCTTTGGGGCCCCTCGGCGCCGCGCGCGGGCGCCTCAGTGTGGTGGGCCTTGCTACCCGCCGCGCTGCCTTACGGCTCGGGCCCGCCCGGCCTACGGTTGCGGCCCCCCGGACGGGCGGACCACTTACAGAACAGCCACCACCGAGGGGCGCGGCCAGGCTGGCGCCCAACAGAAGCGGCGCAGTGGTTAGGTCCGTGGTGAGACCCGCGGGCGCAATAGCTGTGCGCAACAGGAGCCGCGCAATGGTTAGGTCCATGCTGAGGCCCGCGGGCACAGTAGCTGCAGTTCCCCCCCCCTCCCAAACAAGATGGCGGACCAGCGGGCCATCCACAGCACTCCTCCCCCCAACCAGCAATGCGGGCGGCCTGCAAGGCAGGCGCCTAGCACGTGGGCGGCCCCCTGCGTGCCCACGGCCAAAACAAATCGGGCGGAGTAGACCAGCAAGGCAGCCGACTCTAAGCCCCAAAGGCTGGGGCTTCCCGCCTCTTTTCCCCAAAGCTGACTGAAACCATCCAAACGCGCTGGACGGTGGGGCCTCCCAAGCTTGCCCCTTACAGGCAGGTAACTAAGAAGGTGGAGGCCCGTTCCGGACCTGATAGGGCGGGAGTGGGGGCCCCCTGCGGGCGGGGGCGGCAGGGAGGCGGGGCTCCCTTGTGGGCAAGGAGGGCCGCGGGGGCCCCCCGCGGGAGGGCAGGAGACCGCTTTCGGCCGCCAGCCCGCTGGAGGCGGGGGGCCCCCTGCGCGCAGGCAAGGAGGCAGGGGCCCCCCTGCGCGTGGGCAGTGAAAGAAGGAGGCGGGGGCCCCCCTGCAGCCGCCGTACCCAGCGGCCGGGAGGGCGGGAGCCGGGGGGCCCCCCCTGCAGGCGCGATGCCCAGCGGGCGAAAGGGTGGGAGGGGGGGCGGGTAAGGAGGCGGGGGCCCCCTGCGCGTGGGCAGTGAAAGAGGGAGGCGGGGGCCCCCCTGTAGGCGGGATACCCAGCGGGCGGAAGGGCGGGACCCGGGGGCCGGGGCCCCCCGTGGGGAGGATACCCAGCGGGCGAGAGGCGGGAGGGCGGGGGCCCCCTGTTTTCCCCGAGGGTATGCTCGACGCAAAAATAGCAACCTTCGCCGTGCCATCGTGTTAAAAAGCCTGGGCCTCAGCACGTACCGGTCTCTTTTCCAAATGCTTACTAATACATGCGCGGCACCAGGATAAGAAATCTAAATGAGTTCATTAATTACTATCTTCGAGCGGCTGGCGAGGGCGAGCTTGTGAGTCCAGGAAGAGAGAAGATAAGGGTCGGCAGGTTAATAGGTATGCGAGGGCTGGGTCCCGCCTCATCCTCAATGCGTCGCTATAATGCATCTCCTTTCCTAATAAAAGCGGGCAAGCGCCCCGTCTCGGCTAAACGCCGCCCGAATCGATTGCGCGATCGAAATGCTCCCCGCCCTCCCGCCCTGGAGTGGTGTCAGGAACGCGCGTACTCGCTGGTAGGCTTTTGTTCCTACCCTCTTCCCCATCGCTGTCAGACGAGTATGCGCCCTACCGCCTTGACAGAGCGGCGTCGGCGCAAGACATGTGATACAAATTCCCTTGAAGTCGATAAAATGCGCATCTGATTCATCTGAACGAAGCAGATTCGATCGATGTTGTTGAAATATCAAAACTTCAGGCGGACCATGAAGAGGGGGAAGGCATGAAAATGGCCTCGACTTTGATGAAAAACGGTTTTCCAAAGGAGAAGGCGACTCTGAGTGAGTATATGCAGAAGCAGGTCGCTCTTTACCAGAAACGGCAGTGGACCATCCAGGCCTTTCACAAGCTGGTGCTGGTCATGCAAGGCATCGCAGTCATGGCCGTAATCGTCATTCTCCGGGTTTTGTACGTTCTATATCTTCATGGCGCCCACCATTGGGTATTTTTGGTCTTCGGTTTCATTCCCCGGGAGGACGCACACTTCAGCTTTCAGGCGGACTTTCTGCGCGACATTACAAACGGCCATCTCTGTTAACGCAATCTGGGGGAAAATCTTCCAAGAACCTTCCGAAATGTTTCCAGCGCCCCAACTTTTCAGGGCGTCAGTAGATTGCAAACTGAAGGGCGCCCCATTGCGCTTGCGGTGGGCTGGGCCGCATCTATATCAGGGCGGTGAATAATCTGACGCACAGCATTCCGCCGGGCTCAATTTTTGAGCCGCATGGCACGGCGAACCGCGCAAAGCGCCTGCCATTGCCGGGCGCTGTCTTTTCTTCAGGCGCCGCACGCTATCGGTTCGCCTGATTGGTATGCAGTGAGGCCAGGACCGTTCTAGTCTGGCGGCCTCTCTGCCAGGCACCATGCATGCCGGCCGGCAGTTTTCAAGCGGCGGCCGGAAATGCAAAATGCTTCCGCCCCTCGAGCGGCCGGGGCCTTAAATGCAAACCGGCGCAGCAGCGTGCTATCGATTTCCAGCCGATGAAATGACGCAAGCAAGGGAGCCCGCCGGCAAAAGAGGCGCCCTCTGACGCGCCCAGCGCCTTGATTTCTAGCGATTCCGGCTGCCCCGAAAGGCGCGCCAGAAAAGTGGTAGCACGAAAACGGCATCACCGGGTCCGCATGGTGTTGGCTTGATTTTGTCCCACGTTGGCTCGGGCCTCGCAAAAGACGCCACCAACCGGCCGCCGACCCCCTAGGCGCGTGGGCCGATAGACCCAAGGGCAGGGGCCGCGTTCTTATTGGCAAAAAACAAAAGAAGCGCGCCCCACCAAAAAGCTTAAGCGGGCCCGCATGTTAATTATCCCATTGGGCCGACCCCGGACGCCCACACACTCACATGGATGGCTTGCTCCGACGGAGGCCCAGGCGGGCCATAGCATGCGGCGAAGGCCTTCCGTTTCGAGCCCAAGTGGCATGCTGCTTTCGGCCGTTATTTCCATCGGCCCCCGTGCCATCGTGCATAACATTAGGCACGGTGGCATGGTGGCCATAAAAGTTGCGTCGCTTTTTGGCTTCAAGCCAGAAAATAATCGCCTGCGGCCTTACTTCCGCCTTTCCTGGGCGCGGCATGTCTTGGTGAGGGGGGCGGCGCCCTTCTGGCCATGCCATCAGAGCAACGAACCAGAGGAAAGCGAGGCGGCGAACCCGCCTCCTGGGGGCCCTGGCAAGGTGGGCCCGCCGGCGGCAAGGCGCCGCGCGCAGCAGATTGCGTGCCGGTTGCCGGGCGAAACGGCGCGGCGCCTTTGAATAAGGAAAAATAATCACACGAGAGTGATGTGCCCCGGAATGGCCCCGAAATCCTTCCGAAATCCTTCCGAAATGTTTCCAGCAAGTTGCAAAAAAGTGCCCGCCTTTTTCAATGAAAAAATGGCAAAAAAGTGACGAGCCCGAAACAGGCTTAGTGGAAGGATTTGGGAAGGATTTCGGAAGGATCCCGGAAACATTTGGCGCCTTACAAATTCACTTTTCAAGAAATTTTTTTTTTTGTGGTCTGCCACTTGCTCGGGACGGTCGATCATAGCACCGGCGGAAGGATTTCGGAAGGATTTCGGAAGGATTTGGGAAGGATTTCGGAAGGATTTCCGGGACGTCCTGGACGGAGTCTCGGAAGGATTTCGGAAGGATTTCCGGGACCTTCCCGGAAGGCCTTCGGGAAGGCCTTTGATTTCAGCGGGATTCTTCGTCCGGTGGCACTCCCCAGGGCCCGAGAACCAGCTGGCGAGGTGCCGCAGGGGCCGCCCCGCACGCAGCTTGCCTAAGCCTGCCGGCCGAGTTCTCTAGGCTAGGTAGGGCCGCTGGTCGCTTGCGCGGCGGGCAGTTTCGGTGGCCCGGTAGCCCTTTGCGGGTTTTTTGTATGTAGCGCGCCCATGGACGTTCCGGTCTGGCGGGTTTTTTTGCGAGGTATTTTGCAAAATGCCCGGCAGGCTTCAAGCGGCCGGCAGTGTTTTTTCCGTCACATAAAAAGCATCCGCCCACTGTCTTATCCAGCAGCCGGGGCGTTGATAGCAACCAGCCAAGCCCAGTGGTATTCGTAGTCTATTGGTTGGCGCTTGATAAAACGACGCGCGGGGGCTGGCAAAGGGGGTGCCCGTCCGAGGCGCCCACCGCCTTCCTTGGCTTCTGCCGATTTTGGGCGCCCATGCATTTCGGGGCGCCAACAGAGCAGCAGCCCGGGAAAACACCGAGCCCGCATCGCGGGGGCCCCATTTCGGCCCGCGTTCGGGCCTCGCAAATAAAGACGTCACCAGAGGCGGCCTTGCAGAGGCGGCCTGAAGGCCAGGCCTCACGCTTTCCCGAGCGAGGCGAAAGAGAAAAAAAAAGCGCGCCCAGCCAAAGATCGGAAGCGGGCTCCTGTGTTATGGGCACGATTTCGGGCGCCCAGGGGGGGGCCTGCCCTGGTGGAGGCCCAGGCGGCGCCTCAGCTTGCATCCGGGGCAAGGCTTCTCTTTTCGAAGACAAATGCCTGGCAATTTATTTCGGGCCGTTATTCACACCGGGCGCCGTAGCGCCGTGCGTAACATTTGGCGTGGTGGCCATACACGCTGCGTCGCTTGCTCGCTACGCTTCTTGGCTTCAAGTCAAGAAGACCGCTGTGGCCCCACTTCCCCCACCGAGGCGGCTACTGTTTTGCAGCTTTCTTTCGGTGTAGCGCGCCCAGGGATCGAGGGGTAGGCCCCCGGATGTTGTGGCGCTGGCTCAGCGTGGTGAAACGGGCGCAGATCTTTCACAGCGCGAACGCGCGCCGCGCATCAGCGCACTGGCTGGTCCTCGTTGCCGTGAGTTGCCTACCCCAGCAAGGCAAAAAAGTTAGGAGGCAACCCAGCTGCGCTCAGGGTCGAGAGGGCGCGGGCATTGGTGGGGTGCTGGAACGATTTGGGAAGATTTTTGGAAGAATTCCCGTGCGGGTGCGTTATCAGGCGGTCCGTTTGTAACGACATGATTATGACGCTCGCCCTGTTCTATACCGTATGTATCATGCCGCTTGCCTTGGTGTGAAAAAAAAAAACATCCTCACGGTTTTTCTTGGATTGCGTAGATACTTGTGACATACCCATACGACAGGGCGGTCACGTATCTACATCCGTTACCTTGACATGTCTAGCCAGCACCTCTTCTTCCTCTTGCCGTTGTGTATCAATACTTGGGAAGATCGCGATCTTTTGTACGTATCTATCAGTATCTTCCTGAATTGTGCCACTCCCAGTCTCTACTATGTGGTAGGTGTTGAGTGTGATAGCGTTCGAAGAACTACTACACGGGACCGGATTTGCGGTAATTTTCGGTAAAGCAAAATAAAAGCGTCCTGCTCCTTTCACAGTCTTCGACCGAACTTAGGAATAAAACTTCGTTTTTTTCTGGTTAGATATGATAGAGAAGACAGCAGCACAACAGTATATTTCATCTGCTCTGTACCTCCTCGAATTGAAAATTAATTTGTATTTAGTTTAACTATATAATATCATCTACTCGAACTCGCCGCCCATTCCTTTTCGTATTATTTCGGCAGCTGTATATGTACGTTTGCAATGAATTGCATTCCGAGGATGTGTTTTGATTGTTTGCGTTTCACATGGTTCTCTCTGCCGTGCAACAAGAGGAACGGACAGCATTTTTATCGTCATGCTAGCTCATGAGATCGTGCTCGAGCGTGGTGCCGTCATTCGAGCTACGTGGTGCCGTCAGTGTTCGAGCTACGTACTTTCCAGTGTTTTGTACTTCAAAGCCATGGCACAGACATGCGCTTTCTTTGATGCCGATGCAGTACTCTCTGCTGCTCTCGAGTTTGGATGAAAGATGGGTTGTTTATCGATCATCTAGATCTATCTCCTCGAAGTGTGTGGTTGTGGTGAAGCTGAAGCCAACCAGAAAGAATCCTGCTCCTTTATCCTTATCAGCCATCATGGCTTCTGTGGAACGATAGGAGTCAAGCGATAATTGAAGACAGCGCTATCTCTTCTGCCACCATCATGCGCATAATTAAAGGCAGCGCGCGCAACCGTACCAGGTAGCGGAGTAGAGAGGGAAAGAAACAATTCTTCAGATGTTTTCGGAATCGGAAATCTTTGGTAGCGATTGGATGCTGGGATCGCACTCACAGAGCTTGGCCCTAGATCTGCGCGGAACATTTGGCAGCGGGCTCCGATCAAAAGCAACTTTCCGCCGATCATCAAGTGTTGCTCTATAGCGTGTTATACAGTGAACATGAAGCATAATTAGGATAGTGATGATGATGATGATGATGATGATGATGATGATGCCTTTACCTTTTTAAGGCTTAGACAACTACAAGAAAAGATAAAAAGCGTGAACGTCGCAGCTTAGAGCGTCGGTAGGATTATGGTCCACCACTCCCGCTGGAACAAAAATGTAGCGGAGCGGCCTGGGGTGCAGCACAGGGGGAACATCATTAACGTGCACATCAAAGAAATAAGCCGATCGCTTACTTTTGTCGGTGGTGTGCCGCTGCTTCCCCTGCGCAATTGCACGCAACAGCAGGAAGACCGGATCACGGGGAAGAAGCGAAAGAACGTCATCAATGAGGATTTGAGCGTCTCAAGCGACATCGTCGACGAGGCTATCCAGGCCTACCGCCTGAATGGACACTTTCGGCATTTTGAAATCCAGGGCCATGGTGACAGACTGATGGTGTATCTGTTTCTTTGGATTCAGGATATACTTGCCGCAACGCTGGAGGCGTATCCCGCATGGAGCGGAGGCCTGCTTGACGATGACTACAACTGCGCTCATGATAAGGAGCCGTCGGTAGTAGAATCGTCGTACATCGGCAAGACTGGCGGTGTCGGTTCCTGTCTGCCTGATCAGCAGAAGATGTTACGCTTACGGCATGGTAGTTCAGCCGGGTCTACGTTTGTGCCGGGCAGCGCCGCGGAAGCGAATAAGCACCTACACTTGCGACGAAAGCTTGAGCATGACGCGGCGGCCGATGGGTGCTCACCGGAAAAAGAAGCGGACTTCCTGCGTACGCACCTAGGGTTCAAGATTCCAAGTACCGCGACATGCTGCATGAAGGCGGGGAATACCGGTGCTGCGAGTTCGAAGGCAAACGCTGGAATGACTTCGGTGCAGACGCTGGAATGGCAAGTGCTACGTGCTTATTTGCGACAGCTGCGAATTGAGCTATTGGCGCGGGTTTTCCCATCACTTATTATGCCCGCACCTGCGGAACATGCCGGCGGCCCTACAGGAGTGATGGTTCCATCCAAGTGGTGGATGCAGTACAGCAAAAGAAAGTTTCTCGGTCTACATGGCTTACCCAAGAATTAGCGAGAAATGTTGCCCGTGTCCCTTAATTTTAATACGACAGAACCAGAGGCGGGAGATCGTCGGAGTTTTAGTGTTGCCTGGAACTTTACTTCGGAAAAAAATCCGTGTCCGATTGTGAATTTGTGCGCTTCAAAGCTTGATATAAGTGTCTTCAGTCATCAATTTGATGCGGATATCTGTCCCTGTCGACCGAGTCCGAGCCACGGAAAATGAGGCCACCGCCACCGCGGCGATTGCATTTCAATACTTGACGGCTATGTTTTGAAGAGACATATTAATGTAGTCTAGTTGTAGTGTTCATGTTCAAAAAGGCAAAGGGAAAAAAAAATTTTAAAGAGAAAGTGACTACGACAAGCACACGCTTTATATCACAGAGAGCGAAGTTTATTTCTATCACTTTTATGTCTACGAGATTATGATTTAGATATAGCTATAGATTTATTTCAGTGGTACTGGTAGCATCAAAAACAAAATCAGGATGAGAGTCAGATCCGGCCTTTGTGAGGGGAAGTTTTTATGATGTTGACTTGGTCTACTTGAGCAACACGCAGAAAAGTCAAGCGTAGCCTGCATGCAGGCAGAGTCATGATCGTGACCACAATCGTCTTGTTCGTGCTTGTGTTCGAGGGAATCGAAACTAATGGTGAAGAGCGATGCAGCACACCAGACGAGTATGAACAAGCCGTATCTATATCTACTTTAAAACTCGATAATATTTGTCTGTATGTAGTTTGTGCGAGTGCTCCTGGAGTATTAAGAAAATCGGGCTCTCGCTCGTGTTTCAGTCGTCGTCGCGTGGCAGTACGAAAAAGTAGGCGAAGCCTTGCGGGGGCAAAGGTTTCCACCCAATGAATCACAGTATGTCTGCTGGGCCCCGAAAAGATGTGAGCTCGCTCATCCTGTCAATCGAGCTGTCAGGGTGACAGGTAAATTAGCAGCCTCGTCATGCTGCTTTCCCACAAGCGCTAGCGAGGATAGGACTGAAAGCGGCACCATCATCATCAAGTCAAACAAAGCGATGAGGATTATGATCGCAGCCACTGATTCCCGGTGCCGGATAAGCACCTGACCCACTTCCAGGGAAGCGCTCTTGCATTTCGTGCATGCACGGTCTCGTCCGAGCCAGCGGGCTCCTTGCATTTCGTACATGCGCGGTCTCGATTTTCATCGCGCAAGAGGGAGCCTGGCCCTCACAGACACTGGCTGCGTCTCAGAGTGTGTTCCGCGTGAGCCTGGCGGGCTTCTTTGACGCTGGCGCATTAAATATATATCTTAGAAAGATAGTCCTTTTCCTTTAGCTGAGATTAAGGAGCTCAGCAACGCCGCCACTTTGTTTGCCTCGTTCCGTCCCGAGAAGCAGAAGCTCGAAGTCCACCGCTTGCGATTCCTTTGATGAGGCTCGTCTTGTCGACGTCGTCATTTATGACCGTTGTTCGCCCCAATCGATAGGTTCTTGCGTAGTACTTAGCCAAGAACATTCATTCATAGCTATACAACTGGACCAGGAAAAGGCAAAAGGGCCTCATACTAAAAATCAGACAAGACCGCCGGCAAAGCCTCTCTTTTCAAAAGTACTTAGCATCAGTAGCAAATGAGAAGTGTCGATAATTAAATATGAAAATAATGTAGCAGAGAACAAAGTCGTACAAGTACTGAAACTAATTATATTCATCGCATCAATAGTACCGCTTCACCTTCAGCTACATTAACGTCATGGTCGCAGGTGACGCGTTAGATGGGTGGGCCTGGCGGGTCGAGAGGGAGGTGACTGGGGCCGGCACCGCTTGGGCTGACGCTCAGCAGGCGAAGATGAAAGATATGGAGGAGGCCCGAAGCCGGCTGGAGATCAGCGAAGAATTGCATGCGGAGCTGGACGAGCTGACCACCGAGTGCCTGCTTTTGGAAGATGAGCGCGTTGCCACGGAAACGCGAATCAAGGAGCTGGATATCACGCTGCAAGTGGAGAAGGAGCAGCAGCACGCACGTACGCTGGCCTACAACACCAGTAACTCATCTTCCTGCTCTTCGGGAAGCTTCTCGGGAAGTGGCAGTGCCGCTTCCTCGACGATGCTAATAAATCTCAGCTCGCACAGTCTCGCAGGGACGTCGGCAGGCAGCTGGGACCTGCACCAGCAAAACTTTGACGAACATGTACGCACCTACTTCTCCACCATCTCGCGCAGGTTGGGCCTCGACATCGACGTATTTCACGAACACTACGTTAACGGAGAGCCTGTGGATTATGTCAGGTAAGAGCGGTCGATGTCGTGTAAAGTTTATATAGATATACCCAAACTACAAACTGAAGCATCACACATAATTAACTACCGTTGCCGACTTAAAATAAATTCTTGCTCGTGGAGCGAGATTTTTGCGTTCCCACATTTGATGACTTGGCTACGACCATCATGAAGCTACTGCCCGTGTTGCAATTGCAGCAGGCTTTGCCGAAGAACATGAACAGTCTTTACGGATGAAAACTTTGACCACAGCACGATGCCAGTGACAGAGGAAAACTGTCGATACCGCTTAACTTTTCGCGATCTGACCCCGGACAAGAATCGCGTTTTTACTGCAATCATCAAGCTCGCTCCGATGTTATCAGTGATCGAGGCGGACCCCGCGTTGGACCCGATATTTTTGCAAACTTTGGCGGACTATCAAATGCTAATGCAAATTGTTTATATCTGGGGCCGAAATAATGATAAAGGTGCTGACTTTGACTTTTTCATGAAGATTTTGCTTGTTCATGATCACGTAAGTATATGCGCATCTTGTTCTTGATCTTTCACACCTGACCCTGAAGACGTCGTCTCGTCGTCAGCTCTTGAAAACGGGTGGATGAGCTGACTTCGGGAAGCGTCCGTGGGGTGCGTCAGCTTTGTTGGCTTTCTGCTCTTTAGTGAAATGGAGAGCAATGCGAATGCATGGGAATGGAGTGCAATGCATGGGAAGTGATCACGTTCTTTGATACATACCCACCTACCCTTGGCCATGGTGGTCTGTTGAATGTATGCAGATGCCTGTCTCGTCGTGCGATTCATTCTCGTACCCAGAGGGTTGCTAGGCCTCGCTGCCGATGCTGTCGGGCAGCCGATGTTTAGAAGTAGCAAAGGGCCGGTCACCGTATCGCAAGGTAACGTTATTTCACACCCAGGCCTCATATTTGCAAGGCATACGGACTCGGCGGGGAAAAACCAGATGTCGCTCGCTCGCTTCGTCGTTGGGCTGCGTCGCGCCTTTATTGCGCGGTACTACCCCTGATCGATGAAGAGCATGCTCGTTCGGCTCGTTCGCTGCGGTTGGCATGTAGTGCGTCTTCATCATGGCGCAATTTGAAGTCGAATACATAGAAAAGGGCGCGCTATGTGGTTCATGAGATGTAATAAATATAATTTTAATTATTTGTACGTAAGAAGAAGAAACTCTCCGCGACTGCGTCGCGGGGCAAGCATTGTATTTGTTCTTCCCGTGGGTTATGAAAGAAAAGAGAGTTTGCGCGTCAAGTATTTTTGTATTTGATGTTGTTCAGGATTGGATAAGGTTAAGGCGCCGGCTTGTTCCGCATGTTCCGCTTCCCCAGTTCGCGCTTGCTTGCCTCCTCTGGCAGCTTCGAGTATATTATACTCGAAGCTGCGAGAGGATAGCTTTAGTTTTGCATTTGTCATAATTTCAAAGCAAAGAAGAGCACCGCCCCCTTCGTTTCGTTCCGCCGTCCACTGCCTGAAACAAATCCGCAACAACAAAAATGCAAATCCTTGACACTTGTCAGGCGCAGCGATATTCTTTTTGATAGAGCGATAAAAAAAAAGAAGAACGAGGCAGCACGATATGAACGCAAAAAGAGCAGCGGACTCGATTGATCGAGCAACAGCAATGCTCTTTTTTGGCGTTTGCGTTCGAAGAAATAGGCGTGGGCGCAACGAAAAGCAATAAATTTGATAAAGCTTCTGAAGAGCTTCCGAAGAGTCTTCTGAAGAGCTTCTGAAGAGTCTTCTTAAGTCTGGGGATTCTTCTCAAGCTTTCGCGCACCTTCTGGAGAGTCTTCAGAAGGTTCACCTTCAGAAGGTTGACAAATAGCAAATCTTCTGAAGGTGTGCCACTTTCAATTTTGGCATTTTTTGACAACCGAGACAATTTCCGAAAAACCTGCAGACGATTTTCAGTCTTCTGAAGGTTTTCTGTAAGTGTCTCGATTTTTGTTCATTTTTTGAATGTAAAATCTGGCCGTCTTCTGAAGGTTTGCGACGTCATCAAAAATGGCCGACCTTCAGAAGACTGCCTACCTGCTGAAGGTGCCAAGCAGTTCACTTTTTCGTCTTCTGAAGGTTTTTTCGTCAAAAAATCGAAAAAATTCCTCAGAAGGTGACAAAAAAACCTTCAGAAGACTGAACCTTCTGAAGGTTGCAAAAAATGAGCTGTAATTTCGTTTGCGCGAGCTAACGCTGCGCTTTTTACACTGAAAAATAGACGGCCAGTTTTTTTGACCTCCTGAAGGTTGAAAATCAAACTTCCACCTTCAGAAGCTCTTCAGAAGGTCAAACCTTCAGAAGCTTGGGGAGGAGCAAATACATTTCTTGCCCCTATAGAATATAGATTGAAGATCAAGATCTGCAGCTGCTGCTGGAATAATCTACCTAAGGTATCGCTACCGAAAAACGAATGTGTTTTTGAAAAAAGTTGCTCATTGATTTCCCTCCGCCAGTTTCGGATCGATTCCGATTTGTTGAAATAATACAGACAGTTCAGTGGAATGAACAACAAGTAGCGCGCAATGGCGACCGATGCTTGTGCTTCGTTCATTTAGGAGCCAATAGAATAACAAGATGAAGAAGAGGATGCGACAAGCGTGGAGAAGATGACGACGCAGAGGTGGCCTGCAAGTATTACATTATGACTGCGGCACGGCAGATGATGCTTCGTTTCTTTGGTGCAGGCCGTTCGTTGCGTACTTGCGGAACATATCCGATGCCAGCACTTTGGCATATTGCAGGAAGCGAAAGCCCCATTATTGATTATCCTCGCGTTGGGTAGAATGCAACTGAAAAGCTTCGGCGCTTTGAGAAACTCGCTGACATCATTGAGGAGATCGCAAACGGAGAAAAAATGGGAAGAAAAAGAGTACTCCAAGGGCTCGCGCGCAGACGAAACAAGAGTAGGGGCGTCGATGCTATTACATCCCCAAACCGATGACCAGGCACGTAAGTAGTACAAGTAGAAGAAGCCGTGCTGGGGCTATGATGGGGATCGTGCGAGCTTGTCGCCTTTCGCTCAAATTACTGACACTACATCGAGCGCCGCATCGTTATTTTCAAGAGGGAAGAGTGAAACAATTATCAGCTCCTACGGGACCAGTTACAACATGAATTTCGCTTCCCTCTCGTCGCCTAAGAATACAGTTCTCCGTAAATACAACATGAGAAAGAGAAATATCATGCTCGTCAGCTTGATCCTGCCGCATCCGAGATCTAACCCGAGCTCCTCCCGGTCGCTCGCGATTTGGGTCGTGTCCATCTCTGTGGTCTTCTCTGGTTTCTTGCAGCGGCGCGCAAGCGGGCTTGTGGCAAGAGATGCTGGGCGTGAGGACGACAGCGGAGACCGCATCGCCGCCGATAATGGTGGCGGCGACGAAATCCTCGTGGTGGGTGCACCTGCGGCGCCGCTCGCTGCCAAGCAACTGCTTCGATCGAGTAGGAGTGGAAGTGGAGACCCGCTCGAGACTGGGGACGAGGTATAGCGTTGGCATCTACAAAATGAAGATGAAGCTTCAGCTTTTAGTTGTCATACGCATTGATCTCCGGCTACTAGAATCAAGTCGCTCGAGTTCAGCGATGGGAGACGCGAGGATCGAATGGGCGCAAGGGATTTTGTTTTGCGCTCCCAACAAACAAGGGCAGCGGCGGACGAATCCGCGTGAGGCTTTTGATCCCAAAACAACCGACGATCTCGCGACCCGAGCAACTAACTGCAGCGAAGATATGTGTGTGGGCCTGCTATTGATATTGTGAAGAACACTCAGCGGCCACCGTTTTTGACAGGGCTGTCCCCCGAGACAAGGCTTGTGTGTGATTCCCATATCTGCGCGGAGGCGGCGGCGTGCGCGCTCACTGTAGGGCGTGGCGGGCGGGCGAAAACACGAGCAGGAGCGCAATCTATAACCCGAAGGCTTTGCCGGATTTCGCTGGGCAATTCAAAATACTAGCCCTGGCCTCCGTGTAACGAACTTAGCGCTAGGAACTCGCATCACGTAGCTATCTCTTCCTGGTGTAACAAGACCGCCCCACCACAAAAGCCCCTAGCTAGGGAGCGGGGCGGGGGAAGGTTGGGGGGCGGGGGCCCCCTGCTTAACCACGGAGAGGGGCGGGGGCCCCCTGCGTTCGTGGCCTGCGCCCGCAAGGGCGGGGGGTGGTGGCCCCCTGCTTTCCCTCTAGCGGGTGGGCGGGTGCGAAGCGGGGGCGCCCTGCCTTCCCAAACGGGCGGCGGGCCGAACGGGGCGGGGCCCCCCGGCGGGTGGAGGAGAAGGGCCGGCGAAAGGAAGTCGGGGGGCGGGGCCCCCTGCGTTCCTTGGCGCGGCTGAGAGGGTGCGAAGCTGGGGCCTCCTGCGTTACCACGGGGATTGGCGGGGGCCCCCTGCCTCGCCATGGAGCGGGGCGGGGCGGGGGGGCCCCTGTGTTCGGGGCCTGTTACGGCGTGGCCCGGGGATGGGGGCCGCCTGTGTTTCCCCTAGCGAGCGGGCGGAAGGGCGTGAAGCGGGGGCCCCCTGCCTTCCCTAGCGGGCGATCGATGGACGGACAGGCCGCCCGGGCTTGGGGCCGGCGCCATGCGGGCGGGGGGGGGATGGAAGTGGTGGGGACCTCCTGTGGCGACGGACGAACCAACCAAGGTCGGGGGGCGGAGGCCAGCGGCGGGCCGGATATCCACCGGGCGGCCGGGCCCGAAGGAAGGAAGGCGGGGCGGGCCGGCGGGGGGCCCGGGTTGGTTCGCTAGCCCCCCGCCCCCAGACGGGCGGCGTGGCGCACGCGAAAGCCTCCATCGCCCTCGTGCCGCCGTGATTTACGGCGTCGCGCGGCCCTTTTTTTTTCGCGACGGGCTCCGGTAGCCCCTCCTTCTTCGCCGCCTTTCCGGCCCCCAGGGCCGGATGGGCCGGCCCGCGCGTCGGTCCGTGGTTTTTCTGGCGCCGGCCTGTTTCTTTTGATCGCCGACCCATGTTGCCAACCGAAGGAGGTGAGCCCAAGCAGCAAAAGGAGCCCGGCCCGCCCGCCTTGCCGGGCGCCAAGCCTACTAACCCGCACGCGCGCCGCCCCCGCCCGGGCACCCGCGCATGAAAAGATGGCGTAGCGCAAGTGCCCGGATGTGTCCCTTTGGCCGCGGCGGGGCAAGCGCTCCGCTACCGCACCTCGGTAGGCGGCCGCGCACGGGCCGAGGAAGTTTGGCGCGCAGGCAAGCGGGCGCCCTCCTACCCCACGTCTCTTTGCCGCGCGCCAGCCCCAAGCAAGGAAGGGGCCCCGGCCTTCTGGTATGGGACAATGGACAAAGGCAAACGGACCTGCGCAGCTTGGGGGGCTTTTTGCTTCTTTGCGTGGATGCTGCAAAAGGCCGCGGCAGGATGGGCGCCCGGGCATTCCGCCCCTGCCCTTTTCTGCATTGCCCGCCGCGCCCTCTCTGCTTCCTTTATGTTGTTTCCCCCCTTTTCTGTGCATCCGGTTGCGCGCGCGCCGCCCCCAGGCGCCATTTTCGAAGCGGCCGGGCGGCCACTTTTTCCGCCTCCCAGATCGCCTCGCGCGCTCTTTGCATGCTCCACCCGCACGCCGAGGGCCCTTCGGTCCTGCTTGAATGCAAGGGCGGGCGGGGGCCAGTGATTTCAGTTCGGGCGGAAACTGGCCGCCGGAAGGGAAGGCGGGCGGGCGAGCCCGCGGCCGGGCGGTCCCGGGAGCCCTATCATAGAGGCCCGCCGCCCACCTTTCTTTATATTATATGACTTTCTTTTCCCGCGCCTTTTTTTTCCCGCAGCGCGGTTTTTAGCAGAGGCATCCTGGCGACCCTACCTTGGGGCGGGCGTATCGATTGGGGGAGGGGGGAAGTTGGGGGCAGGAAATTATGGGGCAGGTTGCGGGCAGGAAATTATGGGGCAGGATGATTGCAGGACGCGAAGTTGCAGGATGCGAAGTTGCATATGGCGGCGTTAACTACTTCACTTTTAAAAACTTCAAACTTTTTGCTTGAGGTAGAAGCAACTTGCTGAGCTAGCTACTTTAAGTAGGTACTTTATGTAGCTACTTTAACTCGCTACGCTATTGGATGTAGTTGAATTGTAGTTAAAAGCTCGACTCCGTCTCCGCGACGCTGTGCTGCCACGGGCTTGTCTGTTGGAAAATGACCTTCCGAAGTGACTACCTCTTTCCCCTCCCTTTTTGGTAGGGCAAAAGTGAAGCAAAAGCGAAGCAAAAGTTTTTTGCTGTGATCCATCATACCATCGTGGCTACAAAACTACATCATTTTTTTCATGGTTTCAAAAGCCGGCGCTTTGCCCCCCTCTTTTGCCTACCAAAAAAGGTAGGCACTTCAAGTAGTCACTTTCAATCAAGTCCGTGGCAGCTAGCACAACGTCGCGGAGACGGAGTCGAGCTTTTATCTACAATTCAACTACATCTAATAGCGTAGCGAGTTAAAATAGCTACATAAGCTACCTACTTAAAGTAGCTAGCTCAACAGGTTACTTTTACCTCAAGCAAAAGACTTGAAGTTTTTAATAATGAAGCAGTTAACGCCGCCATATTGCAGGGCGCAAAGCTGCAGGATGCGAAGTCGCAGGATGCGAAGTGGCAGGATGCGAAGCCGCAGGGTGCGAAGTTGCAGGATGCGAAGTGGCACGATGCGAAGTAGCAAGATGCGAAGGAGCAGGATGCGAAGTTGCAGGATGAGTGCGACGCTGCAGGCTGCGAAGCTGCAGGGCGCGAAGCTGCAGGATGCGAAGTTGCAGGGTGCGAAGCTGCAGGATGCGAAGTTGCAGGATGCGAAGGCGCAGGATGCGAAGCTGCAGGATTTTCGCCAGAGGTCGCGGCCCCGGAGTTGTTCAGTTGGTTGGGGTCGCGGAGTTGGCTGAGGTCACGGAGTTGGTTGGGGTCGCGGAGTTGGTTGGGGTCGGGTAGTTGGTTGAGTGTTGCGAGTTGGCTGAAGTGTTTTTTTTTTGGGTTATTAGAATTTATTAGTGTATTACTTTTTTTGCCGCGCCTTTTTTTTCCCGCAGCCAGCGCGGTTTTTAGAAGAGGTAATCTGGCGACCCCACCTTGGGGCGGGCGTATTGGGGGAGGGGGGCAGTTGGGGGCAGGAAATTACGGGGCAGGATGATTACAGGGCGCGAAGCTGCAGGATGCGAAGTTGCAGGGTGCGAAGTTGCAGGGTGCGAAGCGGCAGGATGCGAAGTTGCAGCGTGCGAAGTCGCAGGATGCGAAGTTGAGTCAAAATGTAAATGCCGGAAGGTCGAACATCTGCGAAAAAGTTTTCGGCTTGGCGATTTGGGGAATTCGCGAAAAGTTTTGAACTTTGGATAGTCTGTGCTTGGCGATTTTTTTCCCCCGGGAACGGTTTGAAGTTCCGCAGCTCAGCAATAGGAGTCCAGCTCTAAGTTATACAAGTCGGCAGGTTATGTCGCT